CCCTAACCCTAACCCTAACCCTAACCCTAACCCTAACCCTAACCCTAACCCTAACCCTAACCCTAACCCTAACCCTAACCCTAACCCTAACCCTAACCCTAACCCTAACCCTAACCCTACCGACAATTGACCTTCGTCGTCCGGTCCCGCACCGTCCGTGCTGCCTCCACTAACATCTGCTCCCGGAACCAGTCCTCGAGCACCTCCGGCATCGTCGCCGTCAATAGTATCAGCGGGCAGCGATAGCGATGCAAGCTCCGGAGCTCTCCCAGCTGCGCTCGGTACCCGACGTCTGTAACGACGGTATGGCACTCGTCAATGAATATCCGTTGCAGCAAGCCGGCACATAGAAGCCCGTTGGCATAAGTGGAGAACTCCCCGGCAGTGACGGTATCTGCGCTAACAACCACCAACCGGGCTGCCCGCGGTAACCCTTCTCGCCCGGCGTGCAGCGACGATTGGAAACGGATGCAGTTGACTCCTATGCCCACTGCGCGCGTGACCAAATCCTCCATCAGCGCTACAAATGGAACCACTATAATGTTAGTTCCTATATTCGGCATAACTGCTAGCAGTATGAATAGTATGCTCTTGCCCGCCCCTGTTGGTAATATGCTGATAAGTGACTGGTTGCCTTATAATGCTATGATCGCCCGTATGCTCTCAGCCTGCTTGCTGCTGCGCTATCTCGCTCTGGGCCCGAGCAGCTTGCACAAGCCGGCCGCCAGTGCCTCCTCCGCCGTCTCCAACACTATCTGGCCCCGGGTCCGCTTTGGGCTGTTCAACCCTAACCCTACTACTGTCCCGGGCTCTACCGCTTCACCTGCCCGTCTCCGCTTGCCGTCCCCAACTGCCTCCCCTCCCAAAAACTGATGCCATAGCCGGCTGATCTCCTTAAATGTGGCAATCATCTCCGGCTGTAGTTTTCCCGGGAACCCGATGTGTACGGCATAGTGCTGTCGCGCGACCCAGCTCCTGTGTGTTGACGCCAAATCCCATACGATATTCCAGCTTCCCCCACAGTGCACCGGCTCTCTAGTGACGGGATCGACCTCGACATCATCATCGTCCCCGTCGTTGTCGTCTAACCGGCTCTCCATCTATTATAACACGAGCCCCCGGATTCGCTAACCCATCTCGATCGCTACGACCCGGTATCGTCCCACGCCCAGCCTCACGCCCGTCGTGGCCTACAACACCCGCGCCAGCTTCCAGCTGAGTCGTTCTGTATCCCACACCGCCAAGCTGCCGTCTCGCCATATGAACTCCAACTGCTCCCCGCGCGGTTCGGCCAGTTCGCCCTTGCGCCGGAGTGCCCGTTCCGCCGGGATCAGCCACGCAATATAAGCTATCACCATCTGCCCAATCACCTCCGGAACGAACCGCGCCACCTTACGCAAGTTATCCCAGATCGCCTTCATCTTATCTCAGTCCGTCACCATCATCACCTGCCCATTGAGAACGAAGATATTGCGGATGAGCTGCCACGAGTCGCAGTGCCACAACGTCGCCACCTCGGGCCCTCGTCCGGGTAGTCCGCCCCATGCGTGGACGAGCACCATGAGCACCTCCCGAAACATCCTCAGCCGTCAGAGCCACTGCCAGACCCCCTCTCGCCTAAGCCGTTACTTCCTCAGGTCCCATATTGATATCCCCAACTGCCTCATCACGACCGCCAGTCCGGGCTCCAGCCAGCTGTTCTTCGCGTTTGTCGCAAACAACTATCCGGCCCCAAGCCGCACCATACTGTCAACGATCCGCCCTAGCTTAACCAGCGTCTTATACCTCTCCCAATCCCCCGCGAATAGTGAATCGAGCAGCTTCTGTGCTTCGACGACCTGGTTCCGGAGCGCCCACGTGAACTCCTAAACCATGATGCGCTCGCCGTTGTGGAATAGCGACTCGCCGTCCTCAGCCCAACGCACCGACGGCTGCCCACCCATCCGCATTCGCCACCCTTTCCCCAGCGCCATCCATCCGATGATGGTGCTGACGACCATATGCGCGCCTACACACATCCAAACGGCATGTTGATCCCGGAACGCGATCACTGCTTTGATCCCGACCTCGTCCTGATCCCGGGGCTGGTCCTCGAACGCGGCCTCTAAGAAGAAGAGCCGGGACCACCACAAAATGGCGGCCAGCATCCCCGTGTATAAGTGCGGCTCGGTATACCCGAGCGGATGGGACCGGATCCCTAACGCCGCACAGAAGCAGAGCAGCGAGTTTGAATAGATATGCCCGCCCACCTGCGTCTTGATTGAAGCCACCATGAACAAGAAGACGGCCCGGTTGAGCGTGTCGTTGTCCTTCCGGGAATACATACCCTCGTCCCCTGCGTCGTCGTCAGCCCCGTCCTCGCTGTCCTGGTCGTTACAGCCGTGGTTGTGGCTGCTCGCGATGCTGCTCCTCTCCAGCTCATCTGCTACATCGCATAGCAAGCTCCACTATTCATCTGTAAAGCGGATAGCCCATCGCTCCAACGCCTCATCCCTTCCAATATGGTACGCTCGCCAGCAAAAGCCCAAATATTAATATCTAACGGTCTAGTATTTAGCTATTGATGCCTCCTTGCCCTTCAGACCGAACGGCATCCCGCTGGGAGTAGTGCTAACAATACTAGCAAGCCATTAGAGCGTCTCAGTTGGCACGCTATCCAATCGCCAGCTGCACCGTTCCACCTCGCAATCAAAGCTCTCCCCAAGACGCAGCAATATCAGCCGTTCTTGCGCGCCATCTTCGTCTTGCTCCCGGCCTCGTCCCGCCGTGGTGCTCTTCACCCGTATCCACTCAGCTACTTCGAATATGTCCAGTAGATCTCGAGACCCAAAGTGATTGACCCACCGCACCCTCTTCACCCACAACGAGTCCCAGTCCATATCTTCTTTTAGATCCCCTCTTCGAAGTCGCTCGGCATCCTCGGCATCCAGCTCAGCCGTACACTGGGCCACCATCAGCTCCATGGCATCCTTCTCTGACTTGTTTGCCAAGTCTGGCCACACCTCAGCCTCGTTGCTGCGGACGATCCAGTATCGAGTATATTTCCCGCGCATCCACGTCTGCAATTGCACCTTTGTTGATTTGAGCGGTCCGGCTGTATGCTGAGCCTCCCTCTAATGGCGTGTGATGTTGTCTCTTGCTGTTGTGAGATATCGGCATATAGAGCAACTATAACCCTATAAAACATTAAGCTGTTTGATGGCTAAGCTGCCATCTATGGGGAGAGCATCAACCTTTGGATCGGCCAAGTCCATCCTGCTATAGCAGTCCTTAATATCTCTGAGAACCTCTCCTTTCAACTGATGCTTGTGGCGGAAGTGTGACTCAATGCTGCCGCTAGGCTAAACAGCTGCCTTGCATTTGTAACAAATAAGCATTTAATGCTCCTCATTAATCTCAATAAAGCTATTTATAGTTAGTTAATACTACTCACAATCTTATAATAGTAAATAAGCTATAGATTATCTTTCTTCTTATCTTTTACTACTGAATTACCCCTTTTCTATAGATTAGCCTAATGTAACCCTAAGCCTGAGTCTCCACTTGGGGTTAAACACCACCCAATCACAGCTCCATCCCAAGTCCAACCAATTCTGCTCCAACGCCCAGACCACCTTCCGCCATTTGTATGGCCGATTTTACTAGAATCGCCTGCGAATAATACCTAGGGCTGGTCCTTGAACGCGGCCTCTAAGAAGAAGAGCTAGGACCACCACAAAATGGCGGCTAGCATCCCTATATATAAGTATAGCTTAGTATACCTAAGCGGATAGGACTGGATCCCTAACGCCATATAGAAGCAGAGCAGCAAGTTTAAATAGATATACCCGCCCACCTACATCTTAATTAAAGCCACCATAAACAAGAAGACGGCCCAGTTAAGCGTGTTATTGTCCTTCCGGGAATACATACCCTCATCCCCTACGTCGTTATTAGCCCCATCCTCACTATCCTAGTTGTTATAGCTATAGTTATAGCTACTTACAATACTGCTCCTCTCCAGCTCATCTACTATATTGCATAGTAAGCTCCACTATTTATCTATAAAGCAGATAGCCTATCGCTCTAACGCCTTATCCCTTCTAATATAGTACGCTTACTAGTAGAAGCCTAAATATTAATATCTAATGGTCTAGTATTTAGCTATTAATGCCTCCTTACCCTTTAGACCAAACAGCATCCCGCTAGGAGTAGTACTAACGATACTAGCAAGCCATTAGAGCGTCTCAGTTGGCACGCCGTCCAATCGCTAGCTACACCGTTCCACCTCGCAATCAAAGCTCTCCCTAAGACGTAGCAATATCAGCCGTTCTTACGCGCCATCTTTATCTTGCTCCCAGCCTCATCCCACTATAGTGCTCTTTACCCATATCCACTTAGCTACTTTAAATATATCTAGTAGATCTTAAGACCCAAAGTAATTAACCTACTACACCCTCTTTACCTATAACGAGTCCCAGTCTATATCTTCTTTTAGATCCCCTCTTTAAAGTCGCTTAGCATCCTCAGCATCCAGCTCAGCCATACACTAGGCCACTATTAGCTCTATAGCATCCTTCTCTAACTTATTTACTAAGTCTGGCCACGCCTCAGCCTTATTGCTACAGACAATCTAGTATCAAGCATATTTCCCGCGCATCCACATCTATAATTACACCTTTATTAATTTAAGCGGTCCAGCTACATACTAAGCCTCCCTCTAATAGCGTATAATGTTATCTCTTACTGTTATAAGATATCAGCATATAGAGCAACTATAACCCTATAAAACATTAAGCTATTTAATAGCTAAGCTGCTATCTATAGGGAGAGCATTAACCTTTAGATCAGCCAAGTCCATCCTGCTATAGCAGTCCTTAATATCTCTAAGAACCTCTCCTTTCAACTAATGCTTATAGTGGAAGTATGACTTAATGCTGCCGCTAGGCTAAATAGCTGCCTTATATTTATAATAAATAAGTATTTAATACTCCTTATTAATCTTAATAAAGCTATTTATAGTTAGTTAATACTACTTATAATCTTATAATAGTAAATAAGCTATAGATTATCTTTTTTCTTATCTTTTATTACTAAATTACCCCTTTTCTATAGATTAGCCTAATATAACCCTAAGCCTAAGTCTCTACTTAGGGTTAAATACTACCTAATTATAGCTCTATCCTAAGTCTAACTAATTCTGCTCTAACGCCCGGACCACCTTCCGCTATTTATATAGCCGATTTTACTAGAATCGCCTGTGAATAATACCTAGGGTTCTTGCTATGCTCCCTTCCAGTCTAGTTCCCACCTTATCTTCTTATACTTATTATCTATGCTGATTATTTTTAGGTAGTATAGCTCATTTTCACTCTCTAGCGTCTTTATTACGCCTTTATTCTATTTATAGTTATACTAGGAGTGACGTAATAAGACTAAGAGTTCCTAGGCTAATACCAATATTAGGTTTATACTACTATCAATTTATTAGGGAAGTTTATTATAACATTAAAAGTCTTCTTAAAATAGAAGTTCTAATAAATAATACCCCTAAATTATTCTCTCTTACTATAATATGCATAAGGCGTTTATCTCTCTATACTATTAGTATATATAACCACGCTAATAAGATAATAGTAGTTCTATATATACTTTCTACGTTATATAGGAATATATCCAGCTTCTTATTTAAGTTATGCTAATTATTAGAGGGATTTAAGATAATAATAGATCTTATATAAGTAGAGAATCTTATATAATAAGACAAAGAAGTCTTATAACCCAGATATATTAGTAGGTAGCTGGCTGGATGCCTAGATATATCCTTTTATCCTCCCACCTATTTACCTCTCTCTTTCTCATCCACATTTAATCCCTCACCACTAGCCCAGCTAAACACTCAGCCCCTACAAACACGCTATATAGTAATAAGCTGGAGTTAGAACGGACAAGAAGAATCTCTTATGTGGTTTCTAATACTGAACGGCCTTAATAAACTATAAACCACTTTATATACTCTATAGAGGGGCAGGCTTCAAACTGGCGCATTTGAGACACATCTCCAAGCTACTTATAGGTACTGTTCCTGCTAAGGCTAGCCGCTTAAGCTTCATTTTCACTCTCTATATCTCTTTATATAATTCTTTCTATAAGTAAGGTCTATTTAATCTACTACTGTGCACGCGTTCTATATAGATTACTTCTTTTCTATCTCCTATAACTAGTAGAGCTATTAATAGTCACATTTTTATAAGCAAGAGATTATAGAGGCTATATTAGTTATCTAATTATTTATAAGTCCTAGGATAAGCTCTCTAATAACTGCAATCTAAAAGCCCCCTAGGGCTTCTTTATAAATCACTTTATAATAAGTCCTAGGATAGGCTTAATAACTATAATCTAAAAGCCCCCTAGGGCTTCTTTATAAATCACTTTATAATAAGTCCTAGGATAGGCTTAATAACTATAATCTAAAAGCCCCCTAGGGCTTCTTTATAAATTACTTCATAATAAGTCCTAGGATAGGCTTAATAACTATAATCTAAAAGCCCCCTAGGGCTTCTTTATAAATTACTTTATAATAAGTCCTAGGATAAGCTTAATAACTATAATCTAAAAGCCCCCTAGGGCTTCTTTATAAATCACTTCATAATAAGTCCTAGGATAAGCTCTCTAATAACTATAATCTAAAAGCCCCCTAGGGCTTACTTAATATTTAATAATATAATAGACTTAAGGATTAATAAGCCCCTAGGGGCTTTTCTATTCTAAATAAAGCTTTTTAATCTACCTACCTATCTACCTACTTATCTACCCCTATATTCCTTTCTACTATAGATACCTAAAGTAAATAAAATAATATCTATAACTATAACTTTATAACCTAGCTTATTCCTAATACTAAACCTCCTTTTCCTTCCTAGCCGCCCAAACCTCCTTTTCCTAGCCCAAACCTCTTTTTCCTAGCCCTAACCCCACCCTACTGGGGCCGTTCGCGCCCGCTACTATAGAGAAAACTTATATATTAATTAAATCTATTTATTAGTATTTATATTTACTATTTATTATTAATATATTTAATTAACTAATAAAAGCTCTTTATAATAGCTAGTAAAATATATTTATACATAAAATATATCTATATATTATATAGAGTATTCTATTTAGTATTATTAAACTATAATAATACTTTTAAATAGAGTTATAGCTAATTAATAAAAGCTTAATTTCTTTTTAAGCTAAGAGTAATTTTATAGTTTAGAAAAAATAAAAATAACTTAAAGAGTATTAAAGCTATTAAATACTATAGTCTAGCTAAGTTAAACTTAATAGAAAATATATAAAATAATAAGAATATATATATATATATATATTTAAAATAGAGAAGATATATATATAATATTATATAGCGCTAGCTAGTAGAGCTAGAAGTTATATAATAAAGGTTATATATAGTATTATTTAACCTAATAAGGCTCTTATCTTCTCTAATCTTTAATATATCTAGCTGCCTACTTCTTATTTTTTCCCCTTTAAGCTAGAATCTATTTAATATACTATCTTAAGTAGAGTATAATTCTGTCTCCCACGCGTACTATACCTACTCTACACGTGCCCTCTTAATACCGTTTCCATTTGTATTACTATTCTCTCCTTGAGCAGCAAAGTATTCTAAGCTGCCCTTAGGGTCAGCCTTCATACTCTTGCTGCCGTTCTGCCAGCCAGCAGGACAGACTTCACCGTGCTCGTCAGTAAACTGGAAAGCCTCTACAAGACGAATTGTCTCCTCAACATTGCGGCCAACCGGGAGGTCGTTGACGGTGATCTGGCGCAGGATGCCCTTGGGATCGATGATGAAAAGCCCGCGCAGAGCGACGCCCTCATCTTCGATCAGCACGCCATAGCTGCGCGAGATCTTATGGGACTTGTCAGCGACCAATGGCAGCTGGAGGTCATCGCCGAGACCGCCTTGCTTGCGAGGGCGCTCCGTCCAGGCGAGGTGGGAGAAGTGAGAGTCGGTCGAGACGCCGAGGACGGTCGTGTTGATGGCGCGGAAGCGGGGGAGGGCATCGTTGTACTGGATAATCTCGGTTGGGCAGACGAAGGTGAAATCGAGGGGATAGAAAAGGAGGACAACCCTTAGTTTTCATATTAGCTTACAACGTCTTTAATACGTATGGGCAAGTATCCAATTGGACGGTGCGGGCGGAATTGGGGAAAAAGAAGAAAGGGACAGCTTCTCACCATTGGCCGAGGTAGTCAGACAGGGAAATGTCCTTGAACTCGCCACCGGGGAAAAGGGTGGTAGCCTTGAACTCGGGAGCAGGGCGTTGGACGAAGGCAGAAGACATTGTTGCGTTTGGAAATGCGATGTGAAATGGTGAGTTGGAGGATGTAGAGAGGAGATGATCATGAAAGAAAGCTTCAACGGCGTCAGGGGAGGAAAATTCTCAGTCTATGCGACAGCGGTCTCCCCTATCTGTTGCCTATGCGACCGTTATCGTTGCGTAAGGTATCCACAGATTGCTTCATGCTCCATATATCTGTCTCGGTATCCGCAATCGCGCGACGCATCCACAACGTGACCCCCAGACTCAATGCATCGCTTCCTAATCGCGTTGGTTAACTTGCCTTCATCCTGGCCGGCTGCTTTTGCTCCTTTTACAGGAAACCGAACTGTGAGAACTGGATTGACTCTCTTCGGAGTACGTTATGGCACACCGGTGCAAAATTGTGCGAGTGCGCGCAGGCTTGGTTAGGTCCCTTGATGGATACAGGCTCATTTGGTTCGCCGTGGCGCTCGATCCATCTTCATGCTTGGGACCCAGCGAGCGCGTCTCGGAAGACGGTGACGGAGGATGCGGAGTAAGCGGCAGCCAGGAAGGCAGAAATCGTATCGCCGCCGCCGGTCCGGTAGCCCGTTTGTTCGACTACGCAGGAGATCGTCGTTCAGGAGCATCAGACCGGGGTTCATGGACTCATGCAATCATATCGATACTTCGAATGTACTCCTTTTGCAAATTACTTCCGTGATGATGGGGATGCTCTTTACTTTGGACTTAATTCGAGGGTTCTCCGAGGAACGCAGAGCAATCACAAGCTCAGAGAACATCAAGATCACAAAACTGCCCCATAAAGAGGCAAGGCAATGTGAAGGAACCATTAAGACAGCATGTTGACAAGCTATCTAGCTTTAAGCTAGCGTCAACCCGCGTCAACTTCTTGCGGTCACCTGACTACTTCCCCGAACTCACTCCCACCACTTGACATCCTTCTCTCTGAGTGTATTACTTCCACAATGAATCTCACCAAGCCCAACATGATGGCTCAGAAAGTCGTCCACAAACCCAACATCCATACCGGCCCTCGCGTACGCCTCCTTTACCTTCTCCTCAAACAAGTCCTGACCGTTAACGATGGGACCCCAAGGCTTCGGGCTCAGGTAGTGCTTTCCCAGCACGATACCGTTGATGGCAGCTGGGCTGAAACTAGCCACGAGGAACTCATTCCTCATCACCTCGTCAGTGTGCGACGGTAGTCCGTCATTCGAACGGCTGAATCCACCTCCCATTCCGAGTGTCTTGAAGAGAACCGGGACGCGAATGACGTGTTCGCGGGCCAAGGGGATCTCTGAAAGCATAGTCTCGAGATTGGCGTTGATGTGCCTTTGGGCGTAGGCGTTGACCTGGTGGAATGTTTCATTGGCGAGGAGTTGGTCAATGGTCGTCGCCAGCTCTTCTTCCGAAACAGAGAATGCGGTATCCAAACTGCCGTTAAACGAAATTGCGCGGACACCGCCGTGTCCTGCAGCAGAAGCGTTCCGCAAGGTCTCGAGAGCAGAGGTGGTATCAGCGATGCTAATAGTAAAACCAAGTCCTGTGTCGTTGGATGGAACGAACTGCACAAACTCGTCCACGTGGCCAATGAGAAGCCAGCCAGTCTCCAAGAGGAGGGGCTTCTGCAACTCCTGGCCTTGGAGGAAGGCTGACATAGACTCTGCGGGCATCTTCTCGAAGTGCTTTCCTTGTATGATCCTGCCAACGGGATACTTGATGCCGCTTTTGGAAGTGTAGGGGGGAATGGTCTCGAGGTTTCCGAAAGAGTTGATCTCCAGATGACCGAACCCTCGACGACCTCCTTCAGGCTGGAAACCGCCAACCCCCTTGCCACGCAGTTGCTCAAAGATCTGACGACCGCCCGTACGAGTTGACTGAGCGGATCGCAGCATGATCCGAATCGAGACAGGGCCATTGGGGCCAGGCATGCTTGCGTAAGCGGGCTCGATGAAATCCTGAGCCCAGATATCGCTGCTCTGGTTGAAGAGGTACATGGGGTTCTCAAGTCCTGCAGCCTTGCGTCCTTCGTCAAGTTGTCGAAGGAACTCGAGCTGTACGGGGTCAGAGTCGTTGGCCGCAGTGCTGACGAGCGTCTCCACCCGTTGAAGATGATGGTGAGTGAGAACCGGGGCAACCTTCAGCTCGACGGCATCCGACATGATGGTGCTGTTGCTGTACAGGTCGAAGTGGACCTTCACCTTGCCGTCCCATTTGGAAGAGTTCTTCACGAACTCTCGCCCATCGATTCCCAGGGCGATACCGGATCTGAGCTGAGTCGAGTTGAATATGAACTCAGGGTCGATGAATCGCCAAGATGAAGTATCGTTGGAGAGAGAGGGGAAATCGTTAACGAAAAGCCGGACTCGGTCAGCCGCCGTCTCAGGAGTAGCGTAAATATACGCAAAAGCATCCTCTGAGACTTCAATCGGCAAAGTCTCAAGGGGAGCGATCAAGCCCGGCTCAAGAAGCAGATGGCCGGACGCGTCATGACAGGACACAAGTTCTTGATTGCTCAAAGGGTTGCCCTGAAGATCCTTGTTGGCACATCGATGAAGGGAGTCTCCAACATTGGGCAAGAAGATGGCGCCGCGAGCCGGAGTCCAAAAAGCCTTATCCGTGGCATCCGCCTCGTTGACGATGCCGTCACGATTCGTGTCAGCGAGGATGATAGGTCGAGTTTGCTGGCTGAGGGTAACTCCGAGATGAAGGCTGACCAAGGCAGCAGCCGCTGACTTGACTGAAAGATGCATTTCTGAGAAGACTGGCGGGAGGTGTTGTTCAATGAGCTTGGCCAAAAGAAGGTCTGGCTGCTTGCCGAATGAATGAGTATCTTGAGAGCGAAGGTGCCTTTTATAGATGATCGTAGCTACAGCTGCTCATCAGCAACTCAAATGCACGCCTTACTTCAGTATCAACACGCCCTTGTAATCTCTGCCGACTCCATTCATTGTCATCGCGGTAAGTGATTCGACCCTTGGTATAGTGGCCCTTTCGCTGAACATTGCAATGCGCAGGATTCCTGTCAAGTCAGTCGAACAGAACAAGAAAACACCGCAGCGTTGTCCAATGGGCCCACAACGATTGAAGCTATCTCGACAGATGGATCTCGTCACGCTAGGCTAGATCGGGAAGATTTCCTGGCCAAGACATTTTAGCGGGGAATCAGGCCGGGTTCTCCACGTGGACTGGCGGGAAATAGCGTCGGTGTTCGAGTCGTCACAATCAGACTTCTCTCCTTTCAGCATTACCTTATCTGCTGCTGTAGTATTTGATCCCCCATGAAAACCCAATCATACCGTATCTGCAAAAGCTAGCGCTCCAGTTGGTTCGGTGAAATGTTACCCAACCTCAGTGATTTCTCTGACTGAAAGGATAGGCGAAAGAGCTTCCGGAAGCGGCAGCTGATATACCCTGCACCCGACCATCGGTGGCCGACATCGCCGTGTTGCGTCTCAATTGCCGAATAACTTTAGAGGGGTGAGAGGTCTCATCCTCATCCTCCACCGCAGAGCGGAAGTGTGGCTCTGGGTAAAAGAAACCAACCAGCCCAACCATATTTCTAAGTTTGCGTGCGATTCCGTCCTCGCACTGCCGCATGCATAGGATTGGAGAAACGACTCTCCAATATGAGTCTCGGTCCCCAGTGCTGGCGGTGCCGTAAAAAGCGGCTCCGGTGTGACTCGTCACAGCCTGCGTGCCGGAAATGCGGCGCCGCCGACGCTGAGTGTCCCGGCTACGGGGAGAAGAGACCAGTCGCATGGAGGAACCCGATGGTTCTAACAGACAAGGGTATTTTTCGCATCCGAGAGAATGGAGCCCGTGAGAGACCAGCTTCGGCGTACGTCATGGGCATCGTGTGTCGATCGCCCAGGACTGTCGGCTCCGAACTCGAACTGAGGATTACCGCCGACGCCATTGAGTATTGTGTGTTTGCAAGTTGGCCGTACCGAACATGTGAGCTGACATCTTCAGATAATCTACACGTTGCGCCCGATTTGGTGCCATATGCGACACAGCGAAGCCCGTACCAAATCTCACCGAGTGAGGTCGGCGAGTTGGCGGAGTACGTCAGAAAATCGTACATATCAATTTCTGCCTTACACAAGTTCGTGAGCGGCGAGACAGCGAGATTAGCTGGTTTGGCTCGCGATGGAAGTGACAGCGGCCGCGCGACGGTTCGTTCTTGTGCGAATGTAAAACCATCGTCTGATGGCTCAGACCTCTCTGTGCTGATTGCCACGGGCGACTTTGAAAGCGTCCACTTCGCTTCTCAGGCTGCTGCGATACGGGCATTGAGTGACGAGCTCAATAAGCATCGAGCCAATGTTATTATCGCCGAGGCCGGGCCAGGTCTTCTCCTTGGCATCATGCTGATGTTGTCTTCTCAGGTTGACTCTCTCCTTTCATGTTCCATTCGTCGTCATACTGATCTTCTGTCAGATCCAATACTCAGCATATGCGCCCTGGCAAACGCACATTCATGGGGCTTGGGGTTTAATAGCAGCTCAAGGTGGTGTCGAAGTTCTAGCCAAACAGAACCGGGAGCTCTGCCGAGTGTTGCAGCAAGTTGCCATCGTTGATATTTTTGGAATGTCGACTCATCGGCTGACACCTCTGACGGCTAGAACCGTCATAACTCGCCATGCCTCATATGCGATGATCTTTGACGCGAACGCGGTTGACATCCTCAACCCGTGGACGCTCATGCCAAACGATCTGGCAAAGACATTGAATCAGATCAACACCTTGCGAGCGCAGGATACGCTTGAGCCATCGACCAAAACCCGTATGGAGGGTTTGTCTGCCGTGCTTAGCCTCCTTGAAGAGGCTACGCCAGATAGTTGGGCCAGCGAGGTCGCGACAAATGCGAACGTCTGGCTATCGCCTGGGCATTTGAGTGAGGATCCAGAGACCAAGGCGGCATGGAAGGCTATGATGATGGCCTTCCTCAATGCCACTGTGTTATACGCCGTCAATAGTTTGGCGGGCTTGCACGGCACTCCGGCGAGGTTGGCTGCTTTCTCTCAGGGACCTAGGCAATACCTGGTCGGGAGGGAGACAGCCGCATACGATGCCCTTATGTCTTCCATCCGCCTGCTATTTTCACAAAGAGTCCAGCGCCGATGCCAAGAAGGCCACAGACCCTTCGAATCTCCAGCGACCAGCGCGGGGCTACTGCACAAGTTCGTCATATGGCCGATGGTTGTTGGCGGCATTCAAGCTGCGCTTGTCCATCACGACGACGAGGGAGCGGGCTTTCTGTGCTCTGGTATGCAGTCCGTTGGCGAGGAACTTGGCACTGTCAGCATCATTGATGGTGCTCGTCTGGTCGAGAAATTACGACAGTCACAGAGGAACGGCCTTGAGCCCAGATCATGGGACGAACTGTTCGATGGGGCACCCTTGTTCTTGATGTGAACAGTTGAGATCCAAGATACCAAGGCTAGCCCAAAAACAGACCAAAGAAACTGTAGAAGCTTTGGACCGCTCACACCGTAGGGGTCTCAACAGGTCTCAAGATGGGGGAAACGTTCGATCAAACTGCCAAGTAGACGTCAATGGTGCGTCCGACGATCGTCCAATTGTTTTGCGCCTTGTCGTATGGCCCAGCAAATCGGCGCCAATCCTTGCCGACACGGCTCCAAAAGTCTGTAACACGGAACAGCTTCAGCGTTCGCAGTCTCCAAAGCAGTTCCTAGGTTGCCAGTCATACGCTTGCGAAGTCAAGTTAGCAATCACCGTGACAAGGGGAAATCGGACGAGAGTTGGTAGGAGTAGTCATATAGTCGATGGATATGTACATGAGAAAACGTGCGTACTGAACGCCGGCATGCCGAGGGTATCCCGAGCAAGAGTCGAAATTACAAGTCAGTTTAGTGTGTCCAGACCATCCAGTGTCAATGTCGGCACGCGGCATCGCTCAACAAAATTCTGTGATTCTGCAGGTGGCGGGTGCAGACGCGCGACGCCGCGCGCACTGGTCTTGCCGACCACAACAGAAGGACAAAAAAAAAAACACCACCAATGCAGTTGCAAATGCAACGCTGTAGGAGACGTGACCTGAGGGAGTCATAAAGAGTAACATGCCGCTTGCTCTGTGGCAGTGCTTCGTCGCACCTCGAAGGCTAGCCCCGAGGTTTCTCGTGTCGCCGTCATAAAGTCGCTATCCCGACCGTAGTATCGTCCACCTAGTTCTTCCTTTATTCGATAGTCTTCAGTCCTTGGCCAAACCCTCCTACCGTCGGACCTCGTCGACAGTGACATTACTTGTCCGCCAGTCCTGAGTCGGGCTCTGCTTGCTTGATGATCCAAAGCCGGGCATGGAGGCGAAACGGCTCAATCTCTTCTTGCTGGGCTCAGTCTGCGCGGGGGCCACGGTAGGAGAAAGTGGCTCTGCGTGGTGAAGGGCGTTGACGCCGGAGGATGTCTCCTTGCTGCTGGTGCTACCGGTCGAGGAGGAACCGGTGGAATTGGGGGTCTGGTAGACGTACTCGCCATCGACGTAGACGGCGTTGGACATAAAGGTAGATCGGCGATGGCGACGGCGGGTGTAGCGCTGCTCCAGACGGAAGAGCTCAATCTTTTGTTGGATGCGCTCAATGATACCGGGGGCCATTTTGAACGAATGATGTCGCAATGGCAACGATGGTTTGGGGCTCGGGTATGACTGGGTGCCTCGGTTTGGTTCGTGCGGTGGAAAGGTACGATTGACGGCGGAAGCGGTCAAACTCAATTGGACAATGGTAAAAGCGGTATGGCGGAGGCGCTTCGTGTACGGACGACAGTAAATGGGTGATGTCTGTGGCCGTGTGGCAGACGCAAGAGGTAATGTAAGGCGCGGGAGGAAGGCGAATTGTTGAGATGAAAGCTTGTCGCGGCAGCAGGAATGGGCGGAATGAGTGTCACCAGGTTGTGACACAGATGTCTCTGACGAATCCGAAGTAGCTGGGTCAAGGTCTCTTCCCCCTTTCCCAGGTCGTTTGCGTTTTGATTTCGTGTGTCGGGAAATAATTGGGGTATGCGCTCGGTGCTCGGTGCTCTCAGCTGACGATGATTGACGGCGGGTAGCAAAGTTGGCTGTGACTCGGACTAGGTGTATGTCTGTAGCTCGAGGCGGTGCGCGGAGGATGGAATGAGGAAGTCAAAACGCCAGGCTTCAAGGCTTTGAGGGTTGTACTGAAGAGAGCGAATGGCTGGACCGGACGGGGCTGGACCGGACTGGAACCGTTGGGGCGGGTGGTGTCGAGCGAGGGTAGGGTGATTTGATTTGCGTGATATCGAGACGAGACGAGGCGAGACGAGACGACTGATGAATCGGGACGGGTGGGTGGTTGGTTGACAGCGGCTTGGCCCTAGAGAGTAATGAATGACAAGGGAAGTGGGAGTATTTGGGCGTGGTGGTGAAGATGGACGCAATGAAGGCGGGAGGAAGGAAAAGATGCTCGGCCAGCGGACTTTGTTGGTTGGTTGGTATGGTTGTAGTTTGGCGGCTCGCTCTCAATTGGAAATGGATGAAGGAAGGAAGCGATGCGACTCAACTTGACTCTCACCTGCACCAACGTTCAGTTCAATTCGTAGGTGCAGCTGCAGGAGCTCCAAGCATTTCCAGTTTTTCCCCCCTTCCACCGGTTCTGGACTGAAATCACAGCCGTTTATTGGCTCGCTAGACAAGATCACTAACGAAATCGTCTGTCATTGGCTGGAAGTTGCAGCAAAAATTCCAGGATAGAAGGACGGTCCTCCGATGGACTGGTTCATGCCTCGTTCCTTCCTTGTCAAGTCCCTGCCTATCCTTTCCCCTTTTAGCAATAGCATGCCGTTACTCTCCACCCGTGTCCACCTGCCCCTATCATGACCCCACTTATCACGGAAATTTAACCAACAGCATTGGACAGCTTCCCTGCTCAACCATGTGCTCTGCTGCTTGCCCCGGACGCAGCTGCTTCTTCCTACTCTTTCCTCCGGAGACTGATCCTCTTTGAGTTTGTTGTGTTCTTATTGCATAAGACGGCATATAATTGCATAAGCTGGCTGCCAACGTCTCGTCCCCGTTTGTTTATCCGTATCTTCAACTGTCAGCACAATAAGTGGGGTGTCTAGTTCTGAGGCGCGACACTTAATAAAACATCTTTGACGTTTCTTCTGTGGCTTAGCCGTCTCGGCCCGTTGCAAGTCAATTCTCACCACCAATGAGACTCGCCGGAAAACCCCATAGCCGAGACGCACATCCTTTGCTTCGATCTGGCCTGGAATGCTCCACGACATCTCCAGTCTGCTGAACCCAGCGGCACAGTTTGCCCAGAATGCAGAAGTTATTAGATATGCATCGTCCATCCCCCCGTCGCTGTCATCCAGATCCACACGCATTCGTTAACAATCCTGTTCCAGAGTATCATTATGGATACCTCGTGTCCGTATTGCCTCCGCCTCCGCCGCCACCACGGCGAACCACCCCCTGAATCTTCGCATTTCGTCGTTACATCGTCTGCTCACTCGCCATCGGCGGACCCTAGCCCTCGCCGTCCAAGTGTCCCGTGCGGGGGAAACTTGGTTTAACCGACATTGATGGTTTGCCGTCACACAGCCTCTGCGATGGTGTTTGCTCAAGCCATTGCCTCTTCTATTTCAATCTATGTCCTGATGGTATTCCACGTGGTGATCCATTTTCGTCATGACAGCAGACGCCATCCCATTGGCCTGTCAGGCGATCTAATGAAGACCATGCTGAAATGTCAACCATAACTCGCGCACGTGATCCATACCCGGATGTCATCAAGTCGGCCCCATGACTGTCGTTATTTGATCGAGATCCTAGCCCGCCAGCCCGATTTCCATGTAGTGTACGGATCGCGACTCAATTTGGCGGGTTGAAGTCAAATGCCTGGGTTGACATTCAGCAAAGATTCTGCGGTATGCATTCGCAGGCGGGGGATGGCAAAACACATCTTGAATGGCTTAATCACGAAACGGTATTCCAAATCTGTCAAGCTCTTGGTAGAAACTAGGAACTTCATGTGCTCTCCAGAAGGATCGGTATAACCCTAGAAACCATGTCCGTCCGGCCCTCCCGTTCATCTACTTCAACTCCAATGCCCTCTCGATGCCAAATGTGGGATTCGTTCATTCCCCGGCAGTTAACAGCGTCGTCAGCGCCAGGCTTGCTTCAAGAACTCCTCGATATCACTCAGTAGAGCTTCTGGTTGCTCCAGTGCTGCAAAATGGCCGCCCTGGTCTTAGTTAACTTATCTCATCCTTAAAACTGAGGCGACGTGACGTGGTATGTGTGCTCAGCGTACCTTGTCATGGCGGTTGAACCAAACCAAATTTCCTGTAGTTGCCGCCCATGACTTCGGCACAGGCGCTATCTCACACGGAAAGTACGAGTACCCCATGGGCTGGTGACAGTAGAACTTGGGATCGGGATGAACCATGTATTTTCGAGGCCCTTCTTGCAGAGCCTTGCGACATTTCGCATCGATGATTGGTCCGAAAGGCTCATCAATGATTTCCTGATATTTATGAGTTTCCTAAGACTCACTACTGATTCGCTGCGACTCACCTGTCGGTAGGGGTAAATTGCCCGAGGAAAGGTCTGCGTCAGCCAGTACAGAGTCACGGAAGACAGAATCTCATCCATAGACGGTGACTGATCAGTCCAGGCCAGGAACTTCTCACCAATCCTAGCCATCGTGTCAATAAGAGCCTTGGCGGCATGTGCCAGTTCGACGTACCAAGCCAGTAATGCCAGAGGACTTGAGGACAAAACAAAGCCAATAGTAGCTGTTCGAGTGGCATGTTCCACGGCATACGCGGTCCCGAGCTTCCCAAACCTGTCAGCTCGTTTGAGGCCTTCACGCTCGTATTCCTCCAAGGCTGAGTTTTCCAACTCGGCAGGGCAAGTCATAACACAAAAGTTCACTAAGTGTCAATAGTCAATATCTGCAGTGTCCTCACAGCTAGAACAGGCAAATCTAGGGTGGGCAGAAATGTCTTACGATGCAGCACTGTTGCAACCAGTCAGTCAAGCTTCTTTAAATGCGGGTAAAACTCGTAGGTAGTCCAAACCTTTGCAGGAGTCATACGTTGCAGCCATAATTCTTGCTGTGTAACTCCCAATGTCGCCACCTTGCAACGCGTACCCGTCACCGAAACCAAGTCCAACCATGAGCTTGTGAAGCAGTCGCCCCGAGTCTTGCAATGTCCAGTTCTTGTCCAAAGGCGGGGAGTCTGAGAAAGCATAGCCTGGTAGCGAGGGGATGACAATATGATACGGAAGGTCTTGCGGGCTGTAGTTCTGCTTCAATCTGGACAGAATGCCAGTAAATTCGAGGAAGCTCCCTGCTAGTCGTTAGATGCAATCTTCATTCGACTAATCAAACCTATTGCCGAGGTTACCAGGCCATCCGTGGATGCACATTAGTGGAATTGCGTCCTTCCTCTGGGAAAAAAGACCAGTGAAGTGAATCGCATATGCACTTCCATCGTCATCAAGTATGTTTGCCTTGAAGTTGGGGTGCTCGTTGATACGGTCTTCAACAGCGGACCTTTGGTGCGATGAAGTCAGCTTGGCGGATCTTAAATCCCGCATGGCGACCCCTCACCAGTCGAAACGGCTCTCCCAGTAAGCTTTCGCCTCAGACATCCATTCGTACGTGACACCGTATCTTCCGTTCGCTGATGAGTTCTCGTACGTTCGTGGCCCGAGCTTGCTGAGGCGGATGAGATCGTGGAAATCTTGTAGCTCGTCCCGGGAAACTGCCACATGGAAAGGCGATACTTTCACGGAAGCTTCGTGTGGTAGTTGTGCATAACCATACATCGTGCTGTTGTACAGAAGATCAGCTGCAAAGTAGATAAAGCAAATTTGGTGACAATTTGGTTTGGCATGCGCAGGATGTTTGCGACTTTGTAGCTGGTGAACAGCCGCTTGGGTACATAGATGTCAATGAGAAGGGCGTGGAGTGGGCACTGACGTAATAAGAAGTATGACGTAGTGGCAGCCAATGAATGGTCTTGGTGTCCATGAACTTGTATGAATAATAATGGTCTCTTGAGAATTGCTACACCTAATAACGATATTAAAAGACCGTTATATCTGAACCTAAGAATGGGTATCGTCCGTTACCTCTTCTATCCCTTCATACAAGGTCGTACTTAATTCTACTCTCTGTATGAATATAAAAAACATAATCTAATACTATTTGCCTGCAATGCTTCTGGTGGTCCTGGTACCACTTGAGCAGTTCTGTAAATGCCTTCTTCTTTACACCACACTTTCTAAGATTTGAGAAGCCCTTTGCTATTTAAAGAATAAATCTATAAAACGTTGGTTCCTTACTACATCTGTGTTCTCTCTAGATGCAGCTAACACGATAAATGTTCTGACGTTGCTACCTATTTCATTGAAGCTACTTAAAAGAGTTATTTAGCTGTCTTGCTCTCATTCCCTATTCTACTAAAGATCCTCGAGTCCTCAAGAAGTTTGAGATAGAACCTTGTAGAATCCTGGCTAGCAATATCTTTCCGTGTCGGCCGCCGAGGCTACAACTACCCAAGGAAACGATCTTGACCGTCTTCATAGATGCCGTACAAGCAAGAGCCTCTGCACCAATGAACTTTAAGTTAGTGTGCGGTGATCGGGCCGCGATAACGACCCATAATTTCCCGACCCAAAGCACCGGGATGCCGGACCGGCATTCAAATCATTTGAGGTAGCGGCCGAGGTAAAGATCTTCTAAGGGCCCTTACAACATTCTGCTTCGAAAAGGGAAAAGCAGGCTGATTGCTAGAAGAATAACCTATTGCCCCCTAACGCTGTTAAGGGGAGCAATATCAAATTGCAGCAAGACTGCTAGAGTTCTATGTCTGTACATGGCGTACTTGGTTCGAATGTCAAGTGCGTCTCATTATGTGTCTGCCTCACATGTCGAAATGAGGGATCGCCGGAAGTTTAACTTTCTACATGAACCTGGAAGGAAAACTTCACCGCGACGTGGGCGACAACGTGATCATTCTCGCAGGTGGATCAAGCAAGAAGTTGATGCTTCAACCTGGTCTATTGTCACATTATTTGACAGAAACGGCAATTCGCCTGGATTACACGACCGAAAAATACAGTCTGCTGGTGGGCCCAGCAGGAGCAATAATGTAAACAGGTGCATTTTGGTGGGGGCCACTAGTTCATAGGACATTGAGTAAATATGATTTTCCAAGGTTTCTTTTTTGACGGCATCAACGCAGCTAGTCTCACACTCTTAGTCGCCTCATCTGAGAGCATGCGATGCAGACTTTTGCAAATTCACATCCCACCGGTGGTGTTGAGCATTCGCTAGTTTCAACTTGGCTGCATGAAAGCTGTTGACCGTGGTGGGGGTGAGGTCGTGGCAAGTCTGCCGCCATTCGGTTCGGAGCCGAGCTGAAAATGATAAGGTTATCCCAATAAACATCCCTGGTCTTGAATGATTCAAGCACCCGAACGTCCGATGATAACGAATTTACGAATGAGACAACCGAAGATGCGAAATACTACCAGTAAGCTCCACAGCAATACACCGTCTCAACCTTGCAAATCCGAACCTTGTTTCTTATGACAGCCGTCATTTCTTGAAAAGGGGTGTGACGCCCCAGACTTAAGCCGAGCAAGGAATATGTTAGATACGTTTGGCCGTTGCCCGACTGCGACTTGGCTCTTTAAGCTCAAGGGGATCATCGACGATTTACGAGACAGCGGACTTGGCTGCGCGATTTAAACTTAATACTTAATGCCCCTACTTCAACAACTAGCCTCCTAGGCATCAGAGTCTTACCCATCTCAAGCGGAAAGCACCCCCAGGAGCGACGCAAGCCATGTTTGGGTACACATCACGGAGTGCTCTCGTGTGGATGACGCTTGGCCTGTTAGGCCTGGTGCGTTCGGAGTCTGCGACATGTAAGGACCTCTCCGCAGGTACAAATATTGAACAGCACCAGCAAATCCAGTTGGAATACACCAGCGAGCAACAGAATTACTGGTACGTGTTGAGTTCGACCCGCAGTCTCAGCAATATCATGTCAACGAAACATAGGTCAACTGCTTGTGGCAACCTCAAGCCGAGCTGCATACTTGTTCCCAAGAGCGCGGAAGAGGTTTCGTCAATCATCAAAGTTCTGCAGAAGAACCATGAGACGTTTGCCGTCAAGTCAGGAGGGCACAACCCAAATAAGTACTACTCCAGCATCCAGGACGGTCCTTTGATCTCGACCAAGGGACTGAAAACGGTCCTCTACAACAAGGCGAGTAGTACTGTCCAAGTAGGGCCGGGGAACAAGTGGGAAGAGGTGCACGAGGCCCTCGAGGGAACTGGAGTCACTGTCGTGGGCGGTCGCATCGGGAATGTGGGTGTAGGTGGTTATCTGCTGGGAGGTAAAGTTTTGTACTTGGAACCACATGGAACCGCACAAACTAACCCAAGGGGTCAAATTAGGTGGACTCAGTTTCCTCAGCACCCAGTACGGGTGGGCAGCGAACAATGTGTTGGAGGTCGAGATCGTTCTCGCCAATGGAACCATTGCCACCGCTTCCAACAACTCCAACCAGGATCTCTTCGCTGCGATCAAGGGAGGGGGGAATGCTTTTGGTGTAGTCACGAAATACGTCCTTCAGGCACATCCCATCGGCCAGGTACGGACCCTGAGAGCTCCAAGCTCACGCGTTCCGGATGTGTTAATCTAACTGAATTGATAGATCTGGGGTGGCAACTTGGTTTTCGGCGCCGAAAAAACGGACGAGTTACTTGCAGCCGTTCGTAACTTTACCGAGAACTACACAGATCCCAAGGCGGCTATCATCGCCACCTCGGAGCTCACTGCGATCAACCTGGTCGACATCTGGATCTTCTTCCTCTTCTATGACGGTCCGGAACCCCCTGCCGGTGTCTTCGACGCGTTCTTGAAAGTTGGACCAACCATCAACAATTGCAAGACAAGATCTTACAGCGACTTCCTCAAGTCCAACGACTTTTTCGTCTTGAAGGGCAGTATCTACACCATAGCCACGGAGACCACACCGCTACCTCCAGCTGCTGCCGGTGCGAAAGTCATGCGGTCGTACTACGATCACTGGTACAATACGTCAGCCAAAAGGGCTGGTGTCGCTGGGTTGATCGCGTCGATGGCTCTTCAGCCCATACCCAAGTCACTTCCTCGCATCGCTCGTGATAAGGGCGGTGATCTCTTGGATTTGGACGACAGTGCTGACCGGATCATCTTTGAGTTCGACTACTCGTATCTCTTCTCCATCGACGACGCCACCATTGATACTACTATGGTGGACTTGTACTCCGGCATGAAGTCTCGTGTGGACGGCTTCATTCAAGAAGGCACACTGCCGGATATCTACAGACCATTGTTCATGAACGATGGATACTTCAGACAAGACTACTGGGGGAGGTTGAGACCTGAGAAGAGGCAGTTGGCAGAAACAGTGCGCGCGGCTGTCGATCCCGAGGGTATGTTCCAGCATCGAACTGGAGGGTTTAGACTCTAAATCTTGATTGTTTCCACTCGTTTCTTTGATGTATGAGGAACAGATGAACACTTGGACGATTGGAGCTTCTTCTTTGACGACTTGTCCTTTATGGTTCGCACGAGCCTCCCTGTAACCTTCACAGAAGACTGTCGATGTTAGATAATTGAGAGACATCTTCACCTTTCCCCAGTTTAAGACATGTGCATCATAAGCATTGATATGGTAAAATCCTTGTCCATTTGACGTCTTCCAAGTAATCTACACATCTCCTGTGAAGACACTCGTTTATGTTCATGCCACGGGTTAGCTATGTCGGAGGCGAGTGGTGCTCCTGTCCCAATTGGAAACGACATTGGACCCGTGCCTTAAATCCGCCAGCAGGAAAGCCTTTAGCAACACATTTAGTTTCCATCCATATAGAGGGTTCAATAGGAGCTTATAGCTATCTCTTAGCTTAATACTAAATTATATATAGATAACTAAGGCGTTATAATTATATCTTATAAATATAATACGCTATATAATATAATATAGCTACCCTTATAATCTAGCTATTAATATTATCTTATTATACCTAATAAATATATATTTAATATTTAATATTCTAAAAGAATAAAACTCTATCTTAATAAGCTTTATAATATATATAGTAATATACTAAATAGCTTTACTTAAGGTTAGAGGGGGTAAAACCTTAATAAGGGATATTAATCTATAAGAGATTATCCCTTTTATTAAGATTATATTATAAACTTTATCCTTTTATTTATCTACTTAAAATATTATTTTATATCTCTTATTTTATATTAGCTTTTATTATTATTATTTTTAATATAATCTTAAGCTTTAACCCTCTTTAATCCTTTAATACTTTTAAAAATAATATCCCCTTTTATTTAAACTATATTAATAATATTCTTTTTATATATTATATTAATAAAAATATTATAATAAATACTATCTTTTTAAAGAAATAGATAATTTAGTAATAATATATAAGTTATATAATATTATAGTAATATTTAAACTTATTTATAGCTTAAATAATAATTAGAATAAAGTATAAACTATTATTAATTTTTAGTATATTATAATATAATAAGCTATATAATAATATAGAGTTTAGCCTATTTAATATCTTAATAATAATAGGATAATATATAGAGGTATTAGTTAGGATCTAGATATATTAGATATAAAGTTAGTAGTTTTAGATATATTAAGTATAATTAGGCTTAAATTAATCCTTATTATTAAATAATAGCGCTAATATAGGAAAGGTAATATATAAGTAATTATATCTTACGCCTTGGGCTAGCTGATTCCCAACACTAATGAGATCTCACCGTCTCGAGGGCACTATGCGACAACACGGTGGGGAAAGTAAGGAACGAACGGATGCTTAATTAGCGCATTCGGCCTAACCACACGGAACGATACCGTTACACTTACATTCCGACTGCATAAATAGGACTAAAAATTGACACCACAATGGAATTGTAATATCACGCCGGCACAACTTCAAGAATAATATTCTAGGCCTTCAGCTCGAGGCATACACGAGGGTCTGTGGAGCCTTAAGAATTGGTCGAGGACATTTGAGAACTCTAAGAGACACGACTGGATCGTTTCGTAGTCGTAGGATGAAATACTTTTAACCAACCGAAGTCATGAACGCCATGGGATCTGTTAGATCGGAGTACATGTGTATTGTGAGTTGGTGATGCAGGTGGGATATTGAAGACATCGAAATGGGAACTTGGATCAATGATGGACACTTTTCCAACAGACGTTCTCGTTGAGGTTCTTTAAAGGATGCGGTCTTTCGGACACGGCAGCTACGGCTTCCCAAGCCTGAGACCCCGGCTCCGCGGGCGAGACCGAGACCGAGAGCGACCTGTCGGCGACATTGCGGGGCCCCCTTTATTAGTGCGGTGTCAAGAAAGGCTAAACGTAGAGGACAGCCGTTTCTCGTACCTCTACACCAAAGAAAGTCAGCAGTAACATGGAAAATACGAAGAAGAGACAATCGAAGATGACTCGGGCGCCGAGCGCCAGGATGATACACGGACGCCGGGGCATACCCTTGTGTCTCCATCGACCCAACTGATAATCAATGGCGTTTCTTGCCCTCTTCATGTTCTTGTTCGGACTCGCAAGAAACATCCAGTCAACGAACAACAAACAAATTTGGCGTCTTTCGAAAACTGCAGATGCCACAACGTGATGGCGAAGCTTCCAAGTACCCAGGTCCGCCGGGTCGATTCTGACAGCTCGGAAGCCAGCTGGTGCGTCCTGTGTTGGCTAACATTTACCACCATTTTGCGACTTGGGCTCTCTTTGCACCATTCCCATTGGATATCTACGTGCAGCAGTCTAACGTATTTGCAGGGGCCTGGACTACCTTCAGGAAGAAAAGATCACGCCGTTGACTTGGATCGAAACCCCGGTGATATCCTCCGATGAAGACACGGGCGAGGTCAAGCTTTTCGTCCGCCACAATGCCAACACAATCGAGCTATTCTCCGACCTATTCTTCGTTGCAAACCTCGAGACATTTACGCAGACACACAGCATTACCAACCTCAGCAGTTTAGCGGCATATCTTGGCTTCTTTGGAATTATCTGGTTCACCTGGTTTCAGATCACGCTGCATGATGTCCGCTTCTCTGTCGACTCAGGCTACGAACGTATGTGCAAGATTATTCAGTTCTTGCTGTTCGTGGGCTTCGCACTGGTTGGGTCGTCGTTCAGTCCCGGGACGAAGGAGCACAACAATGATGTAAGTCTCAGTGAGCGTGCCGTCATTGCCAATACTAGCTGCTGACCATCGAGTAGAGCTTCAAACTTCTCTGCAATATTTTGTTTGCAACTCGACTGTTGCTAGTCGCACAATACTCTGTCGCTTTACACTTTGTCAAGAAGAAGACCAAAGCCTTAACTTGGCCTCTTGCTCTGACCATCACACTCTTCATTTTCTCAGGCGGAGCCTTTTACTCCATGACCCCCGCGTTTTCCCCGGAATCGGGTAACGGTCTTGGTATTTACTATGTTTGGTACATCATTCTGGCTATTGAGGCCGCGATCACTCTCGGCATTTCATCCGTCTGGCGGAACCTCAGCTTCAAGCACACCCATCTGACGGAGCGCATGGGTCTTTTCACCCTCGTCATCATTGGTGAAGGAGCAATCGGTGCCACCAAGACCGTTGGCAATCTGATGGGCGAAACAGGCCTAAGACTCGACGCTTGCCTTGTTGTTGGTTGCATCGTTTTCATCCTGGTACGTTATCTCGTGACTTGTCTTATTGCCTGACTAACATTGCAAAGATGTTCTGCTGGATGCTTTATTTCGACAACCCTCCCGAATGCAAGTTCGGGACAGTCCGCCAACAGATCTGGGCTGTTCTCCACTTTCCCTTCCATCTCGGCATGATCGGTGTCGTTGAAGGCTCTCAACAAATTGCACTTGCGTGGCAAGTCATGAGTGAATTTGGCGGGTTCTTCACAGATCTCCGGAAAGCCTGCATCTCCTTGAACCAAGACGGCGAGGCCCTCACCAACTCGACAATCACGTCATTTCAGGGCCTGAAGATGCCCAACAATCTTGAGGTTCGCGACTTGGTTCCTTTCGTCTACCAAGAGATTTACAACCTCGGAAACATGACTGGGATTTGCTCCTTGGCAAACACCACCGGCGGTGATGACCTCTTCTTACCGTCTCCGTACAAAAGGTTGACGCAGCGAGTCATCGGTGTGCTGTTTGAATCGTACAACGGGCTTAGCTCGTCGGGCGAGGAAGATCCCGGCGAAATCGCAGAACCGGCCTTCACCACAGTTTACGTATACTACTGGGCATCCTTTCTCTTTGTCGTCGCCTTCTTCGCCGTATTCATTGTCATCACGCGACATAAGGATCGCCCCCTCAACATCTTCGATAAGGCGGCAGTCGCCAGCAGGGGACTGGCATCACTTTTAGCCGTCGGATTGGCGGCTGGCGCTGCGTCAGATCAGTTCATCTTCCAATACCTGAAGAGTGCAGCCACTTTGCCCACTGTCGCTGCAATCTTTCTGGTCATTCTTGCCATTGATAGATACACCAAATATCTGAGCGCGAAGACGTTGAGGAGAAATTTGACGGGGCTGAGTGATTTCGAGAGCTTGCCGTCCGAAGTCAATGTTGGCCACAAGAGCTGATGTGGTTGTCCAATTGAGACTTGACCAAGATCATTCGCTCGGGGAGCTGAAATTAGAAGTTTGGGTTTCGTAAACAAGAGGCGCCTAATTTTAAATGCGAAAGTATGTGTCATTAGACACAGGAAAACGATACCTTTCTTGAAAGCCTTGATGTATATTAGTTGTAATTCATTTATATGACACGGAGACTAGTTTTCTCCCGCGTGGTGCTGAGCTCTCATCTCCAATCCAACCTATGGGAAGAGTCAGAATAACCATCTCAGGAGATCCAAAGCATCTGTTTATGCATCCAGGCTATAAATGATAGCAGAGAGCCATCGAATTGGGACCTTCTTTGCGCATAGGCGAGTAAAACTTGCTTGAGGCCTTTGCGCCCCCAAAACGTGACTTGTTTGGGGGCCTTATAGTGATGTGATCGCTTGAGTTGGACTGAGTTTTTAGCCCACGCAGAACTAAGACCATAAGTTACGGTTTCAAATACCGAGCAAAACAGTTGCTTAAACAAGAAACATCTAGGGCCTCATGCAGATCTACGGCTGAATGAATGTGCCTTCTCCTCCAAGCTAAAGAGGTATGCATGATTATCTCTTTTACAACTGAAATTGAGTAATTCCTCGCCTGGTGGCTTTGTAGAACATGAAAGAGAAGAGCGTTCATTAACTGTCAAGTCCCTGGAGCAGGCGATATGTGGGAGCCCAACTACGTGAGCACCAGTTTTTTAACATATACATGCTAGGCTGAGTTTTAAAGTTGGAAGTTTTAAGTGTAACGAAACATTTTCGTAGCTGAAATCTAAGAGCCTATGCGCAAAGCATTGTTAATGTATACTTTTCATCTGCGGACGATTTGACCCAATCTGAAAATGAGGGCCTGGCTGAAATACCTCTTTGGTCTGACTGCGAAAACATGTGGCGATAGCGAAGTTTCACGGGCGTCTAATGACTCCTGCCTACTGGCGTGAAGAACTAAGATCACAAATTGACGAGCATGTAATCATGTTATTATGGGTTTCCCTTCCATTGTTTAAGATGGAGATGCGCCGCCGGTCCGGGTCCGGAAGTGGATCCCGTTCGAAGGCCGCCTAGCGCCGAAACGGTGCCAAGCTCCCACCATCGATTGGCTCACGATGTCGATGTCATTCTTGATGAAATCACGAATACTTAAATTCTCCCAATTAAGTATTCAGCATGCAGTTTGTTTAGTGTGGTTGCAGCCTCGGTACAGATGTAAGGCCTATTGAACGGCTTGCTATTGGAGCTCTGCACCCTATCGCCAGGCCAATTTTGTTGCCGGAGTGTCGGTTTCATGCATTAGTATGTGCCTCGCTAATAATAACTCCAAGGCAAGCAATAACTACCAGTCGACTTCGATTCCCCTCATGCAAGTACCAATTGCGTGAGACATGGGCTAAATGGTTTAAGAAGCTCTGATTTGAAATCAAGTGACGTGACGAGTCGGTAATATGATCCAAGGTTTAAAGATAAAGTCCGCATGAATGAGCATGAAGGCCAGTTAAAACCACATACCTGTGTTCTTTAGGACATGAGAAGAGGTGAACCAGATCATCATGGCAGCCATTGCAACCACCGCCGACGAAGTCTCAGTAGCGCCTATTAAGCTGACACCAGCTTACAATAACGAGATCCATAACCAAGTGAGAATTGCCAACACTGGATAATACCTCAATGAAAGTGCTGACAATTTGCAGTATAAGTACTCACAGTATCTACCGGTGTACGATGAGAGCACCTCGTTTCCTGCTCTTCAACCTTTTGAATTCACCGACCGCGGCCTGGCAGCAAACAATGAGAAGTCCAGTCTTCTTCCGAAGAATGACCCAGGAATCAAGGCGACGAAACTAACTCCAGTCATCGGAACTGAGATCCGCGGCCTTCAGTTGTCACAACTTGATGACCGCCAAAAGAATGAATTGGCATTACTAATTGCTGAACGAGGTGTGGTTGTCTTCCGGGATCAGGATTTTAAAGACATGGACATTGAAACGCAAAAAAGCTTCGGAAGATATTTTGGGCCTCTCCATATTCACGTATGTATATGCTATTATACTTTGACAGTTTTGCTAACCAGACTATTGATAGCCCGTGGGTGCCCACGTTGAAGACCATCTTGAGCTTCACAACATTTACCTCGGCCCCGACAACGAGTACCGCAACCGTAGCAAGAGCAACAAATTATCAACAATTGGATATCACTCTGATGTTTCATATGAGCACCAGTCTCCGGGTGTCACGATCCTGACATTGCTCTCAGTGCCGGAGACTGGAGGTGACACAGCGTGGGTCTCGCTGACAGCTGCGTATGCGCGACTCTCGAGGCCAATCCAGAGGTTGCTGGAAGGTTTGAGGGCGGAGCACAGTGGATTTGCTCAGGCAGAGAATGGAAGACGGGACGGGAAGTTCGTGAGGAGGGAACCTGTTAAGTCACAACATCCCGTTGTCCGGATTCACCCTGTATGCTCGAAATTTTGACGACGTAGAAACATGTGCATACTGACTATGGTAGGTGACTGGCCAGAAGGCCTTATTCATCAACCCAGGATTCACCAAACGGATCATGGGCCTTCGCGACGAGGAATCAGAAGCGCTTTTGAAGTTGCTTTTCAATGTTCGTAACCACTGAGACTTCTTATAAAGCCAAAGGAGCGACACTGACAACAAAATAAATAGCACATTGGGCATGGCCAGGACTTCCAGGTCCGCGTCAAATGGGAAGAAGGCACCGTTGCCCTTTGGGACAACCGTGTCACAGCGCACACGGCCATCTCGGACTACAACGTCCACAGCCCCCAGGAAGGGTTACGCCACGGGTTCCGAATCACGACGCTGGCTGACAAGCCGACGGGGGTGAATGGTCTGGAGTCCACGTGGTGAAATGCATGATGGGAATGTATTCGGTCCGTCGCCCACGATCGCGTTAGGGCTTTGCATCTCAGATGAATCCGAAGTCCGGACTCTCCTTCACAGACTTTGGCGAGTTGAAACAGGAAGTATGGTTCTTGCGCGGAAGGGGGGCAATGCGTTCCGCGGTTTTAGTTTGGGGGAAGTCGTCTGCGGGGTGTCTGTAGATGTGTGCCTTCAATCCACGCGATTCTCAACGGCTTGTCAGGTGCCTGTGCGTGGCAGATAACAACCATAACATGGGGACCAGTAATGGGAAATATTCCGCAATGCGACCGAGAAAAGTGGACAAACGATATGGTTAGCAAGAATTGGGTTTGTAGGTCGCGCCAGTAAAGTGACAGATTGGTGCTATTCCGGTATGTGTGTCTCTCAAGTGCTAGCTGAGTAAAGACCGAAGTCTCACGCTCAACTTGCGGAGGAAGAATACAATCCCCTGACTTCCGGATTACGAGTCCCGATCCATAAGGTTCCATTGCTTTTTGTCTGCGTGCTGGAGTAGGACGACAGAAACCAGGTGATTCTAGAACATGGATTTGTGGCAGTAGTGGAGCACTCAGGCCTGGTAGTCCCGGCTCTCCCGGTTGTAGTGAGGATCAGTGCCAAGGTGAAGCTTCATCTTTGGCCGAGGTAAGATGGGGCAAGGGCGGGCGTAGCAGTTGGAAAATTGAGGCGGAACAACGGAACGCTTGCAGACTGGAGAACCGCCGGGCTCCATGAGAGCCGCATCGTCTTTCATTATTTACGCCAGTTTAAAGGGAGAGAATCGGAGACTGCACGGTGGTGTGATCGGCGACAGCGGAATGGAGGCGGAGGCCGACGTGATGGATCTCAGTCTTCTTGACGCGTCTCAGATCTCGTGACTTCGAGCCCCCTTTCTTTAGTTGTGACCTGCCCCAGAAGGGGCCCCGAATGACCCAAAGAAAACAAAAACACCACAGAAAGAATCTGGGTGCCCCTCGGGGAAGTTGAGTGGGTGCCTTGGAGTAAGCGCATCGGACAGCGACCGACAGGTCGGTTAGACCTGTAGAATAAGGCAAGTGAAATGGAGTTTTGAACTTGTGGAAGACACGAAGCAAAAGACTGGAGATTTCTGGAGAATGTCTGGGGCTCGGCTGGGGATTGTGAGGAGAGAAGCGCCGAAGAGAGGCCATGATCGCGAAAAACCGGAGCTGACGGGGACGTCATCTGATGGTAAAGCGGATTTGACGGTCTCTTCTCCCATATTCAACATGAACGGGTGAGGACTTCGACAACAGTCGTTCAATCAAGGATTTCTGGCAGCTTGGAACAGTTGCTTGTTCACCTGCTTCCCAGATTTCAACCGGGTATCTCAACTGGGAATAACGGCCCTTGGCGCAGGTTAGATCCGATCCACCCGGTCGGGAAGACTCCTTGGCTTGATTGGCGACTCGGCAGGAGACAACGGTGCAGTGCAAGCGGTTGGACAGGCAGGAAATTAATTGCCATGTTGGAACGGGGGCCAAGTACCCCGATGAAGGATGCCGTCATTTAGTTGCTGACAATGACTCGAAGTACCTTCACGTATTTCTGTCTGCGTACAATACTTGGCTCAAAAGCCCTCTCTGCATGATGACTTTCACTGGACTTCTGGAAGCAGCATTGTCACGCACGCATAGGCGCGGTCAAAATACATGACGGTCCAAAGATCAAAGTCCAGACGCAAGTAAAGTAGGATGTTTTCGTGTCTGCTTTTCAAAATTATGAGCTTTCAAACAGTTGGTCATGCAAGTTGAACCCGACACGTCCTCATCCGCCACACCCTCCCCATCACAGCTGAGACTTGGAATGTATCCCATTGCTGTAAATATACGGGAAGATACAACCCAGAACGGCCAACATCGGATCCGACAGCGAGCAGTTCCTCGGTGTCTCTCACTTTTACATCATCTAACGCCTGTTTCCCATGAGATCCACCGCCCTCCACGAACGTCATAACCATTCATCAATCTCGAGAAGCCGTTCCAGGAAATAATCGACCAACCCCCAACCCTATCCCCAGTCTATCAGTCCACGGGACTCCCGCACTCGCTCCCCACATTTTCAGAATCGCCTCCAGAAGAGCCGCGTTGGTAATACTCAGCCCCGTTCTCTTTTCTCTCATCGCCCAATCTCCATGTCTTCCCAGTCGCGGAACCGCTCCAGAGATTTCAACTGATGGGGAACGGACCGATTTCGACGCCTGGAGAAACCAGAGCCCGGACGGCTGCACCTCGGTGCCATCCAGTACATCCCAAGTCATCGGGCACTCACTCACACATTGACGCGACCCTCGGCCCTCTTCCTGACGTCACGCCTCTTCGCGCTAGTAAGACGCCCCCTACCCTGCCCAACCCAACGCTCTGTTTGCTGGCGTTGTTTCCGGCCCAGCATTGTGAGCATAGTTCACTGCTCATGTGTTGATCGAAGAAACGCACATATATCCTCCGCCATGTCCCCCAAGACAAATGTTGGCGTGTCTCGGATGAACTATCACGGACGCTTCCTAACCGATTCGATCACCGCCTACCTCTACTCTAATACGCGCCCACCCGTTGCCCAACATGGGTTTCTCGACGATCGAGTTCGACAAGTACAATCCCGCCTCCGAGAAGGCGAGTGATGCCCGCCAGGACCTTGCGCATCTCGACTACTCCCCGCTCAAGCGCATCACCGGGCGGTCATGGGCAATGGGCATTCTCATTTCCATGGGTGGCATGGTGTAAGTATAACGTCAAGGGCAAAGATTACACGACATTGACAGCCGTAGCTTCGGATACGACACCGGTCAGGTCTCCGGATTCTTAGAGATGCCCGACTTCCTTGATCGATTCGGCGAGCATGGGGCCGATGGTCCAAGTTTCAGCAACGTCCGCTCCGGCTTGATTGTCGGTCTCCTCTCCATCGGTACCCTCATCGGCGCTCTCGTCGCCGCTCCCATTGCAGACAGGTTTGGGCGCAGGTATTCGATCTCGTTTTGGTGCATCATCACCTCCATTGGTTTCGTTATCCAAATTGCCGCCGAGAGAGCTTGGGAGCAAATCATGGTCGGCCGTCTCGTTGCCGGCTTTGGTGTTGGTGCTCTCAGTCTTATTGTGCCTATGTTCCAAGCCGAGACCGCTCCGCCATGGATTCGTGGCGCACTCGTTTGCGCCTACCAACTCTTCATCACTCTTGGCATTTTCCTTGCCGCTTGCTTCAATGTTCGTACCCAAAGAGACCTTCCAGTGCTTCTCCATTCCACATCATATTAACTGCTTGACAACAGTATGGTACCGTCACGCATCAGGAAAACAGCTCCGCATCTTGGAGGATCGTCATTGGCCTCGGCTGGCTGTGGACTATCATTCTTGGTGTCGGTATTCTGGCTTTTCCCGAGACTCCCCGTTTCAACTACCGCATTGGTAAGGTCGATGAGGCCAAGCGCACCCTCTGCCGTGTCTACGGAGCCCCGGAGAACCACTACGCGATTCACGTCCAGCTCGAGGAGATTGAGAGCAAGCTCCGCGCCGAATCGCAGATCAAGGGTAGTGCTGCCAGCGAGTTCACTGGCATGTTCAAGGCGCCTCGCATGGCTTACCGCATCGCGCTAGGCATGTTGTTGCAGATGTTCCAACAGGTAACGTCAACCTTGTGCACATCTCTCCAGTCCCAATGTGTCTAACAGTCTGAATCAAGCTCACTGGCGCCAACTACTTCTTCTACTACGGTACTACCATTTTCGCCTCCGTCAATATCAACTCCTTCATCACTCAGATCATTCTGAACGCCATTAACTTCGGTACGACGTTTATCGGTCTCTATATTGTCGAGCATTACGGCCGTCGCAAGTCTCTCATCACTGGAGCCCTGTGGATGTTCATTTGCTTCATGATCTTTGCCTCTGTTGGCCACTTCAGCCTCGACCTCAACAATCCACAAAACACCCAGGGCGCTGGCATCGCACTTATCGTGTTCGCTGCTCTCTTCATTCTCGGCTTCGCTACAACGTGGGGACCTATGGTATGCTTCTTTCTACCCGGCGACGTATAAATCATTCGACTAACAATGTCTAGATCTGGACTATCCAAGCCGAGCTTTTTCCCTCTCGATACCGCGCCAAGGCAATGGCACTTTCCACTGCCAGCAACTGGACTTGGAACTTTTTCATTGGATTTTTCTCCCCATTCATCACCAAGGCCATTGACTTCCGTTATGGTTACGTCTTTGCCGGATGTAACCTCGTCGCCGCTGCACTTGTGTACTTTTTCGTCATCGAAGGTCAGGGCCGAACCTTGGAGGAGATTGACACCATGTATCTTGAGCGTGTGACACCTTGGAAGAGTACTCAATGGGTACCGCCTTCTGCTGAGGAGATGGCCAAGATCCGCAAGCAAGCCGGTACAGAACTCGATGCAAGCGCGAGCGATGGTGCCGGCCACGGCGAGAAGGGTGAGGCCTTGAGGCCGAAGGACACACAGAACGGTGCTGCGCACGAGGAGAGAGTTTAACCAAACCTTTTACAAACACAACAAAGGTTTTAAGTCAATAATAGAACAATCCATTGAATTGAAGTGCAGCTCATATCGTATTATGGGTACTACCTTTTGCTACAAACACACATATTACTTTTGTCTCCAGGTGATTATTCCCGCTATTTAATATTTATGCAGTTGCATCGGATAAGGTATGAATCATTGGATGACATCTGGGTTCTAGTCTCTGCGATACCAACTTCGTATCCCGGAACCCGCAAGCTTTAGTCAGTGTGGCATTTAGATAATAGACAGACTTATTAGCAACATCTTTGGACTAAACTGCACCCTAGTATGATGGCATCAAATGTCCAGTATCCACGTGAAATACCTTAGTGAGCTCTTAAAACTTTGCGTGGGTAATACGTAATTAAGAGCGGATTCTCTAGCAAATTAAGGACTACTTAACAACCCTATACTTATAACCCAGTTGTAATAAACTAGTGTAAATATAATAAGATAACATTTATAGTATAAAATGCTAGGTAGGTAACTTATAGAATTATGCTTACAGCATAGCTGTGGGGGAGAGAAAGATTTATTTAGACTAGTTATAGTTAAAGATAGGGCTATTGCCCTCATATCTAAGAATATATTAAAATTAGTAAGGATGTTAAGTGATGAGTGCTGATTATAGAATACTCACACGTCCTTAGTAATAATAACAATTATAGTTCTCTCTCTCTCTCTCTCTCTCTCTCTCTCTCTATATATACAGTCTGGTATTTCTTGCTCCTCTCCTTAGATTTAATTATTATCATCAGCTTATCACTCTGTCCTGAGTTTCTTTACTAATTCTGTGAATTCGTAGGGGATGCTAAAGTTTATGTCTCGCTAAAGCGATAGAAACGAAGATCATTATGGATAAGAGTGGCCCTGCGCACGAGATCGACGTGAGTTCAATGGAATGGTGTGTAATTTTTTGTTAAGGCCCAGTCCCTAACTTATAAGTCAGAATGAGGGCTCATTGACACCTCGAATGAAGAAGAATGCGTTGGTCAAAGCATCATTCCGCACGAGTCCTATGAAAGCAGCAGACTTTCTAGCCAATCTGAGTGTGGTATTATCCGGCTGGTGCTTGCTAAGCACTTTGGTGCCAACGAAGGCCAACGGGTATATCCAGTTGTCGTCTGAGGGGGCTAATAAGTTCTGTACGTTGGGGGAGATGGTAGGATTCTCTCAGGGCTTGCAGACATCCGCCAACCTTCAGGTATCGCACCTCTGCAATCATCCATCATGTACCGTGCCGGGGCATGTGACGCTAGAGACGCCAACTGAGAACAACGCTCGGAAAGGTTGTCAAGGCTGGGTGTCTTGTCCGCATTCACACTGCCAACTCAAGATACTTATCTGCGATCATTCTCCGTTATGCATTCGATACGCGCCGGGTTTTGCGGGTCAGTCCGACTTCCTACAGTCGGGAGTTCACCATCGCGCCACGTAGTTAAAGCTCTGCATAGAAATTCATAGTTTTAATCATTTGAAGATCTTTCTCAGTTTGGAATCTGTCTGTAAAGCTTAGATAATGTTGAGAGTTTTACCTATTTATATCGCCCCTCTTTGCTTTTTGCAATACTTTTAATCTTTAAGATTAAAATCACGGTGGTGACGGCAATGCCTAAGTGGCGGCTTACTCGTCTGATAGATTATTAACTTGCAGGCCCTTCTCGACAACGTATTTGGCGAAACTGCCATCGACTTGGCGCAATACGTCCTGGGAATCATCAGTTAATGCCGTTGACGTTCAAAACATTCCATAAGGTCCGCATGATGATTACGAGCCATTGACAGGTCCGCAAAGTCGGTCTCCCTTCATAAAGGGTATGTTTCTTGGCCGCTGAGCCTACCTCGACAACAAGACCAGCATAGTCACATCAAACGCAGCTGCCAACACAGCCTGCTTGGTCGGCGACTTCGACGTATTTCCAGTCAGTCGGGTTGTTGCGACAGCTGTTGTCTTAATCAAAAGATAGTCATCGGCTGGAAGTGCGGGAATTGGCACATACACGACTTGGGCGTCGCCGGGGAGATCGCTTTGACAGATTGATTCGAATCCATCTTTGATTGATTCGGCGATACTTTCTTTGTAAAATTTGCTGAATGAGAATGCATTGCTTGAAGTTATCCCAGCGATCAATCTAGTGGTTTTCTGATAAAAGCGCTGTCTCTATTTTTTCCCTTTTGATGTAACGGAGCCAGCGGGGATCCTATACTAAACATGGAAGCCTGATCAAGGAAGAAAGCTCTGAATATGTTTCGATCAATCCGTGGGAAACCTTCAAAGCGCCGCGTCATACCCGGGGCTATTTTGGTACCGCGACTAGTGAATGCGTCAGGCTGGGGTAACAATTTGGATAAAAGTCTTTCTACGCGTGGAATACAGGTTCTTCACCCTAAACATTTGCTCAATCAGCAGGAAACCAACTCTAATTATAGAGACAAGCACCTTGGGCATCGTTATGAATCGTCCCGTCATGGTGGGTCTGCAATTGAGTAGTTTAAACCTCGATTCAAGGCCACCACCAACATCCCTCATCTCCATCTCTTTCCCTATTGATGGTCGACTGCCGAAAACACCTTCTCGCATGAAGGCAAGGTTTAAGAAGAGAAATAAATACAAAGAAACACCAAATCATCAAATCGCCTTGCTGAATTTCACCATGCCTGCAGCCGCCGTGGCACCTCGGATTTCGTTGCTCATATCGAAATCATCAACAACTTGTTGCACTTAGCAGGTGTTAAGCATCGTCGTCAGCGCAGACTTCTCGGCGGAGGTGACGGAGAGGGCCCAGTAGCTCTTGACCTGAACCCAGGAACGAGCGTAGGTGCAGTGGAAGCTGGAGACGGAGGGCTTCCAGGAGTCGGGGCTCTTGTCGCTCTTGGACTGGTTGACTGAGTCGGTGACAGCCCAAAGCTGAGGGCGGGTGAGGTCGTTGGCGAACTCCTGGCGCTTAGCAGTGGTCCAAGAGGCGGCACCAGACTATTGTCCCCAAGTCAGCATTCCTCTCTCAGCTATTTCAAGCGCATGCCACGTATACGATGAAATGAAAAAAAGACACAACTCACCACCCAGGCGTTCTTGAGGGGAACCATGTGGTCAATATCGACATCGCTTGCCGCAGTCCACGAGGCTCCGTCATAGGGGCTAACCCATGTTCCGCTCGTAGACGCGCAGGCCGAGTTGGTGACGACGTTGGTGCCATCACGCTTGAGAACAGTCTCGCGGGTGTTGCAGGCACCCGAGATGGTGATCCAGTGAGGGAACAGATCACGGTCGTACGTGTCGGTGTTGGTCCAGGCACGAACAGTCAGAGCAGCGAGCTGTGTCTTGGCGCTGGCGGCAGAGGGAATGCCGGGCTGTTCTTTGTGAGCATGTAACTTGCAACCTCGACAGCCGACCGTTGACTTACGGGAGTGGGCATCGGCATCGGGGCAGCAACCGGCTCCGGAACGGGGGCAGCCGCGGCGGCACCGGCGAGCGCGAGAACAACGGCGGAGAACTTCATTCTGGCGGTGGGACAGGGCGGGAACAGGGATGAAGGCTGAGAGTATGCTGTGAACGAGTGTCTTGGCACTTACTGACGACGAAGCGAAACGAAACGAGAGCGGGAGATCAGCCCGCAGTTTATATCTTCTGCCTTCCTCCTTCCTATTCCTGTTGCGAGTAACTCAAGACCTCCTTCATCGGCGGTTTGCGATGGTCCCTCGTCCACGTTTCTTTCTGTTAGACTGCGACAACTCTCCACTTTGCCGGCTCTCCCCATGCTGTCGAGCCAGTCACGATGCTTCGCGACCCCACGAACATTGACCTTCTCTCTTAATCTCCAGCCCGACCCTCCAGGAACCCGCCGACACAGCATCACCAAGACGATGAAACGGCGCGCTTCTCTAGAAAGAGGCACTCTGCCCGGTCGCAGTGTGACCCAAGGCGAGTGTCCAATTAAGGCTTTACAGGGGTGACCACAGGGTTCAATGGACGAGCTGATAGCTGTGTGCCCCTTTATCGCACATCTTATTGGCGGGTTAATCTACTCTTGTGCGCCCTCGACTTGACTGCCGATGCACGGCGCGCTACTTCTCCTGTTCCCTCGACCAAGAGGATTAAAATGTAACCGGGACTCCAACTTCAACTCCAAGCCAAGCCAAGGAACCGATCAGCCACTCATATCTCCCGGCACCGGCACGTTATCTTATCGGCCCCTGTCAATCACCTGCGGACGCTTGATGCGGTATCTTGTCTTCCTTCTCCGCTGCACGTCAACCCCTCAGTGTCCGGGGGCCTCTTCGATGGTGCGCGCCTTCTACCACGAACCTTCCTCTTTAAGGGTCAGATGCCGATCGTGCGTGATTTGTATGGTGTCCCCAATAACGATAGTCCTCTCGAGACCCAGCGATAGGTGTATCAACTGGCAGCAGCAGAGTCTAATGTCTCACGCCAGAGAAAGACAGGCAGGTGGACAGCTATTCGTCTCCGTGGACACGTCAATCTCAGCGTTGATGGATGTTGCGTTTCCTTGCCAAAACAGCTAAGCAGTCGTAAGCGGTGTGCCCATCCATGAATGATTGCTCTCTCATTAAACATGGTTTCCCCCATTGGCTTGAATCAGACCCTCTCATTACTCGTGTACGCAGTATCGGTCCTCCCATTCCCAGCGGTGCCCACATCCCGACCTCCGATCGGACCTTGCGTCTGAAGTGAATAAGCTTAAGCGGAAGTAGATTGTGGCCTCACACACTCATCCGCCATGCACGTATCAAAGTATCTTGTGATAAGCTCGAGACGTTGCCGGAGATTTAACTACTCCCAGCCACAGCATGTTGGGCGACACTGCCGCCGAATCGCGCGCTCTGATATCTCCGTGCAGGCGGCAGTCAAATGTCACATCGGGACAGCTTTGGGCACAGATGACAAACACCAAGGCGACAAATATATCTCTCAACACACAAGTGATACCTAGACGACTCGCTCCGACGCGGTCAGCAGAACTCGCCATTGGCCCCGCCCAATCAGACCCATCACATCTACCACACGTGCTTGATGAGCAGTTCGCAACTTCTCCGGGTTCCGCCTACGTACCGTCCCGTCCCGTCCGAAGCATCTCTGCCAGACGCCCAAGGTTCCTCCTCATGCATTGTCCCACAAACTCAATATGTCTTTAATGTTCTCAGTCTTGGGCTTCTTTGAAGCCACCATCATCGCCACACGTTTAACGGCACTGGGCACAGGAGATAATTGGTGTTTTACTCGAATTTTGTACTTAGATGCATTCTGAAGCGGTCCGGCCAATTTGGCTTACAAATCCCAAGACTATATACGATGTCGAATCCAATGCTCCTATCATAACACTTATCCGACTCATTCCAGGTACCGATGACCTCTACTTGATTCGATCGTACCCTCGGAGCCTTGCATACTAGCTTCAAAGCCCTGTTTTTCTGGTTCTAAGTCAGCTTAATGCCACCTAATCCCCTCACGGGTTCAGTCATTTGGTCCCGTATTGTGTGACGGACTCTGTTGTCCTTTGGCAATCGCAGCCGTCGGTCATACTTTTTGAGGCTGTGGACCTAGATGTTGCAAAATACGGCAATAGTCTAGCCACGAGTTCTCGTTTCGAGGCTTTTCATTATAATGGAATGCTCGATGATAGCCTCATAGCTGACTCGGTCGGCAGCGATCTTAATGTTGTCAAACGGCTCGTTGGAAATGGTCCCAAAGTCAGCCTCATCATCTCCACGACCAAGAGACGCTTCCCATATGTACTTAGATCGGTTCTGGCAGGAAGTCACGAGATCAGGTCGGGGTGAGTGACAAGCTCCGAGTCATCGCAGCCAGTAGACTGTCATTAGTAATCATGCCGTGTTATAACTTAAGTAATAAATCTATAGAGTAATAAGAATGAACCATTTGTCTTCCTCAACGGTGGAAAAAGTGTGCGCCGCTATTCAGCAGCCCAATTTCAGGGCACCACTCTGCCATCTTCTCGATATTCTCCTTCTGCCACCGAAGCGGCTGGTGATATCCCAACGGTGTCTCGTAATAAATGGTCTCCACCGCGAACTTCATGGCCTGTTCGGCACTCGGCAGCTTCCCATTGCGTTCCTTGACCCTGGCGTTGAACCACTGATCCTCAAAGTCATTGCCCAGTGTCGTGTTCGGGTCGGTCGTGATCTCGTACATCAACTTCGGATTCCGCAGCGACAGACCTCCGTTGTATCCCTGGCCGAACTGAGGCGCGATGGGAGCGCCGATCAAGTCCCATTCGATAAAGTCTTCGATTCGCGACGTCGACTTGGAGCACAGAATGCTGTCGGCTTGGAACAGCAGGACGCGGTGCGCGGATTTGAACTGTTCCCAGATCCAGGGCGACGCGAGGAAGACGGAGACGGAGTGGTGGTCGGTCATGACCGTCGTCGGTGGCAGGAACTTGATCCGGATCTGATTGCTGTCCACGAGGCGCAGGAAGGCCGGCGAGGACGGTGGCTTCCAAGTCGCCTCGAGCGTCACGAGCACCAAAGGCCAGGAGGGTCCCAAGACCGTCGCAAAATGCAGCATCACGGGCACCAGATTCGGCACGCGGGAGGTGTCTGTCTCTATGATGACGGCGACGTTGTTGGGGTACTCTGGCTGATGGGCGCTCAAGGCATCCGAGGCGTAGAAGTCGTCTCCGACTGGTGATTGTGCGAGACCGCGGCGTGCGAGATGTTCGGTGGCAGGTTCGTTTCGGTTCTGGATGAAGACAGGGATTAGCTCGGCGGTCATATCATTCACGAGATGCGCGACACCAACCTCACTCTGGAAACTTCCCCGTACACCGAGCATCATGACGATGACAAAAACGAGACATAGCTGCAAGCAGGCGCTTCGTCTTCCAATCATATTGGGCTTGCGGAAGACCCTTGATGTAAACTCCAAAACCATGGCACCAGTCAGGACGACAACGACGACGACGACTGTCAGAAAGACAGCAGCCAGCAGGACCTGAACGCACAAAGGGACGAAGGCCCCCAACCATTTAAACCAGATGATTCAGCGTTCGAGAACTAGACCTGCTCCGTCTACTCGGAGTGCCGAATCTTCTGTAGTGACTGCCAAGCAACGTTGATCTAGTCAATACCCGGCCTAATCATAGCTTATCAAACGCCTCATCGTACATTCTTTTATTGTCGAATCATCACATGTGCTCACTCCGTCAAGGAGGCGTTGTGAGACATCAGGGAACGTGGATCAGTAGCGTCGAAGCTGAAAATAGTGGCACCGAGGGAGAAGGGCATTTAACCCTAGGTGAGTTGAGCTATCCGTAGATGCTCTTCAAAAGCGTACGGCGTGAATGGAGCCCGCACCAGGCCGTTTCATTGCTAACGATGCCTGATCTAAGCCGATGGTCCTCTATGTCTACTCTGAATCGTTAGGAATGGGGTTCGAGGCAGTGTGTAGGGCGCTCGCTGGCTACGAGTGTGCGCGTCGCAACGATCGTCGTTGAGAGAACGATGTATCAGATTGTGTTGATGAATGCAAGGGAAAGACATGCATTTCCTTCGGTATTGGCTGTCTCAAAGTCGAGGCACCTCAGCTTCTGTTTACGTTGCTAGCATTAAAGTTCTCCCTTTGGACGGCTGATGTCGTGAAGGGAGGTCTCCCTGAATACGATTTGACATGGACCATTCTGCATAGACGGCCAGCCGTTATAAGAACCATACGTGATGCCGGCGAGGACTATCTGGCGTTGAATTGGCGTAGAGGTGTGCGTGTCGGAGTTGGCAGCGGGCTGATAGGTTACGGTTGCTAACTACAGATGTTTGACTTCTCAAAGATACTTGGGAATTTTGCTGGACTTGAAAGATTGTCCATGATAGCACAGGCAATTGTTTAGTGCAAGGCCATAGGTTGTGCTGGAAGAGAGAGGAGAGAGCCTGTTCTTGCAATTGAGAAGAAGATGAGGAGGCATTTGCTGATGTACTGACTGACTGGTTGAGTGTGACCGGACCGGAATACATGTCTCTTGGAGATACAGCCAATCAGGAGCTAGCTAGCTTTTTTCTAGCCAATGATATGGGCTCAATTGGAAGAAAAAAAGGAGAGAACTGGTGTGGAATTGTATCCTGGGCAGTGCAGTCCCGGGAAGCCACAACACCAACGTCTACCGCTCCATGCGATGTAGTAAACCCTTTTCTCTGCCGTCTACCGTGGATGAATCGGCCACACCGTACATTTGATAAGAAACTCGGAACGGAGGTTAAGGAAGGCGAAGTTTGGCAAAGAAAACTTGCCAAATCAGTGGCTTAGTCAGTAGCCAAGTCCCCCACTGCGACCGGAGGGTGTGAGGGTACATACCCCGCCAAACCCCAACCTCCTCCTGCTTCTTCCGGATCAAGGTAGCCAAGACACCGAAAGCGGGATCCCCGCGCCTGCTAACAACAAGAAGCCGGCGCAGGAATGGCAGTTCTCGAGTGACTGCTCACTTGCTCTCTTGGAACTCGAGGATTCGGAGGCTGGAAACTTTCAACGGGCCGCCCGGAAACGAGCAACGCGAACAAGCGACCGGAACAGAGAAGTTGGAGGTTGGGAAGTCGCATCAGGGAACCAAGAAAAATCAATAGTGGTGAATGCGGCAACCGTCGAGGTTGCTTCGGCTTGGCAAACGCCGAAGATGGCTTCTCCAAGAACTCCAAGGATGGAAGGCCATGTTTTCATCGTGTCTGCAAGTCGTCGTCGCCATTTGTTCCTGCCGTTCTCGGTCTCTTCCGCTCTTTACGTCTTTGTCCTCGCCGTTGTCCCTTTCGTTCTTGCCTGATTTAAACCGAGCAGGACTTCCGCAGATGTTGCTTTCTTTTTGACCTCATCTCACCACCCGCCCATCGTCGACTTCTTCCTCAACCTACCTTAAGATCATCATCGATCTCTCCACACTCCAAGGCCAGGTTCCAACTCAAAAAACACCCCTAGTCATCAAAGATGATGAGACACGCCGCCCTCTCTCTGGCCCTCGGCCTGGCCTCCGCGCAGACCTTCTCGGCCTGCAACCCCGTCAAGGGCGACAGTAAGCAACCCCCCCCGATCACTTACACCACCCATCCACCCGTCGCCGGTCTGACAAACCCCTCCAGAGTGTCCCGCCAACGTGGCCTTCGGCGGCGAAGCAAACTACGACTTCCGCACCGCCAAGTCCGTCGACGCCCTCGAGTCCTTCTTCATCGTCGACGGCGGCGTCAAGTGGAACCAGAAGCTCATGTCCTTCAGCGACGACACGGGCGCCCAGATGACAATCTTTGACGAGCAGAACGCCCCCACCCTCACCTCCGCGCCCTACCTCTTCTTCGGCAAGGTCGAGGTCGAGCTCCAGGCCGCCCCCGGCCGCGGCATCGTCACCAGCGTCGTCCTCCAGTCCGACGCCCTCGACGAGATCGACTGGGAGTTCGTCGGCGCCGACCAGAACCACGTCCAGACCAACTTCTACGCCCTCGGCATCAACGACTACGGCCGCGCCAGGTACTACGAGGTCGACTTCAACCCCATGACCTCCTTCCACACCTACACCATCGAGTGGACCCGGGACTCCATCGTCTTCTCCATCGACGGCAAGGCGTACCGCACCGCCACCCCGGCCGAGGGCAACTACCCCCAGACCCCGATGCAGCTGAAGCTCGGCACCTGGGTCGGAGGAAAGGGCCCCAACCAGGGCACCATCGACTGGGCCGGCGGCCTCGCCGAGTGGGACAAGGCCCCCTTCGCCGCCCACTACCGCTCCGTCAAGGTCTGGGACTACGCCGGCGGCGACAAGGCCGGCGCCACCTCGTACGAGTACAAGCCCGGCTCCGACGGCTCCTGGCAGACCATCCAGGTCAACGGCAAGGGCGAGTACGTCGGCGACGTCAACCGAGACGGCCAGCATAAGGAGCAGCCCCGGCAGCGCGCCCCGGTCCCCCAGGTCCCCCAGACCGCCAGTCCCTCCCGCGCCGCTGTTAACGCCACGGCCACGGCCGCCTCCAACGCTACCACCGTCACGAGGCAGACCTCCGGCGCCGCCGCCGCCGGCACCGGCACCGGCACCGGCATCGCCTCCCCGAGCGGCCCCGCGCAGTCGCCCATCCCGGCACCTGCATCCGCGTCGACGCTGCAGGCCGGCGTCTTCATCGCCTGCGCCGCCGGCTTCTTCGCCGCCATGATGCTGTAAGCTAAAAACGGCGTGTCTTTGTTTTGTTTTTTTTCCCAGCGAAGGGTCCAGCTTCCGGCCTGTATAATTAATCATGTGTACATCGCTAAAACGGCCTGGCTTGACGCGTTCGCACGCGTGTATCATGTGAGAAACGGAGTTACTGAGGGCAGCGCGCCCCTGGGGTTTTGTCATTGTAGACTAATAAGAACAACGTTAATTCGAGAATACGGCAAACTATCTCCTTTGCAGCGATTTCCAAAGTCCAATCTGTGAAACTTCATGTCTTTGTCCTAATTAGGTGCCGGGAAATCCGGTCATCGCAACGTTGTAGACATTAAACCCGAAAACCAAGCCCAGACGGCATAATCCATCTCCCCATCTCTCACCTTGTGTCTTTCCCCAATGACTACAATGCACACCTCACCAACTCAATCTCGGGGTCTTCAGAAATCCCTCCATTTTCCCAAAACAGCCCCGCCATCACCACGCCCGCCACGCATAGGCGCGACAACGCATTTTACACGTCGCATTCCGAAAATCCCAAAGGAAAACAGCAACGCACTCAGACACAGGGTGGCAAGCGAGCAGAGCGGGAAAAAAATGAGGCACGGCTGAAGAATTCGTGTGTTGTTTGACAACAAAAGCCTGGGTATCAAACTAGCTTTGTACAAAAGAAACGAAGAACGCAGAAGCAATGATGATGATGATTATGATGATCCACCAGGCCCGATTACACCCGCCAAAAATATGCCCACCAAGAAAACTCCTCGAGTCCGTTGTGGTCATGTCGTCATGGGCTCGCCTGTCTCTCTTTCGAACCCGCCTTTTACCCTGAACATCCGATTACGCCCTTCTCTTTCTTTTTTTTTTCGCGCTCCTCCCTGCGCCCGCGGCGACCCCCTTGCGTCTCCCCCATTTCTAAGTCCGGATCGCGGCGTCGTGCGACGCGTCGAACTCAATCTCCCCTTCGTCCAGCTCTCCCCTTGCTGCCCGCCTGGCCAGGTCTCTCTCCGAGTAAATCTCGTTCTTGCGCAGCGTCGCCTGCTGCAGACAGTCCACGTAGGTGCGGAACTTGACAATCTCGCGCAGTAGGTAGGCGCTCTTGCGTTCCCAGTTGGCCATGGCCTTGTTGGCATTGGCGTTGCGTGGCGTGAAGGCAAGGAGCATCGGGCTGCGCAGCTGGTTGTGCGTTTGCAGCTCGTCCTCTATGCCCTTGACGTACGCCCCGAGGCTCTCCAGCTGCTCCTCCTCGGACAAGCTGCTGGGTCTCATGCTCTGCGCGGGAGGTGCCCAATCGGAAATGGTGATTCTGTCCCCGGGCAGCTTGGCGCCGCGGCCGTTCGAGTAAGCCCCGCCCGAGCCCTGGTCAAGCGAGCCAGACCGGAATGTCCCGTTCGACAAGCTCGGCCGAGGGTTGGCAGCGCTGCTTCCCGGTCGCGAGCTGCGACCGGGGGATTGGCCCGTCGTCGTCTGCTCGTTGATAGCCGTGACGAGGGCGTTGTTGATGATGGTGTCGCTCCACCCGTACTCGATGTTGCTGATGCCGCCGACCAACGGGTGCGTGCTCAATCGTGCACTCCAGTAGTTGGCCGTCGTGACAAACTCTTTGCTGATTTCGGGCGTGCCGACCTGGAAAAGGTGAACGGCTCCGCTGGGGAGGCTGAGCGCCCAGACGTGGGGTCGAGCTCTCGAGTAGCCGGGCGGCGGCAAGGCCGATGCCAAAGTCTGCCGAAGACTGAACGTGCCCAGGTTAGTAGCATTCTCCTGCCAGTTTCCCCCTCCAACAATGGCCGGGCCCTTGGATGCGTTGCGGCCGCGACCCTTGCGTCCGACCGAGGACTTGGCCGTGCCGAATGAGAAGATACTCATCTGGCCCTTTTGGATGACGGCAAACACCTCGTTCCAGTGCCTGTCCTTTGCCTTCTTGTCAATACCGTCCAGATGGTGCTTGTGGGTCACGATACCCTCCTTTACCCACGGGGGTCCGGCCAGTTCGAGGGACTCGTCTTCGAGGAGCTGCGCGCTCTTCAGTTCGTCACTCATGATCGAGGCAGCCTTGCCGAGACATGATTCATCGTCACGGATGATGGCCTGGCTAAGGGCGTTGGCAAATCCGATGGACTGTTGATAGTCTCCGCCTCGGAACGACGACCCGAGCGAATCCACAGACATCGAGGTTTGCGTTCGCCCCAGCGAGAGCTTGCTCCACGTCGCCGACGAACCCGTAGGGCTCCAAATCGAATTTCCGTCCTCGAAGCTTGTTCTCGACGAAGAGAATCCCGGATTGCCCATACGAGGTCGTGACCTGCTCTTCGAATTCCATCTGGAAGAATTGGCACGACCATGTTCAGCTATGCGCCCTCGCATAGATGCCTGACTCTCAGACGGGGCCTTACTCAGAACGCTGGGCGTTCGCTTCAGCATGCCGATGACGGACAGGCTATTCGTGGTGGGCGTCAGGTTCTTGGACGGGTCCGCACCAAACAACGGCAAGCGTTCGTCGCGGATCGAGGCGTAGATGTCCTTGAGCACGATTTCGACCTGGCTCTCCCAGGCTCGCATCGTGCCGTCGAACGGCGTCTTGACCAGCGGCCCGCACTCGTCGTGGAACTCCGATGAGCCCTCTTCGTTTCTCGGCGGCGGGCGGAACGACAATCGGCGGGAAATGAAGCGCTCCTCGACCGACGGTCTGGGATCATCGCCCCCGAGAGAGCTGTTCGTCTTGCCGGGCAAAATGGTTGGGCGTTCAAAAGCCTCGGGAGCTGACTCGGCCACCGCCTGAGTGATCGTGGTCATTGTGTTCTTCACGAACTGGCTCCGCGTCATCTTTTGGTCGATGTCAGCCAGATGCAAATCAGTGTTGAGCAACATGATCGAATAGCAGATTGTGTGAATAACGTCTGGCTCCGTGGTTAGCGTATCTTCATCGCGTGTGTGGGGGGGCAATGCAACTCACCAGATGCCTTGAACCCGTGGTTGGTGTTGCACTCGCACCAACGTTTGGAAAAGGCAACCAGAATACGGTCCACTTGCTGCGTCTCGGCTCTGAAGACCAGGCGCTCACAAATCAGACGAAGGCTCTGCAGAATGCTCTTGTTGGTGAAGTCGTAGAGATCCATGTACGCGCGCAGGGTTCTCTGCCGGATAGGGCCCTCCTCGCCCATCCAGGCGGCAGCCTTCTCCTTCTGAATGAAGTCCTCGTTACCGTCAAAGATCTTCTGGGCCTTTTGCCGATCGTCGTCGGTCGGGTCTCCGACGACGAACTCGGGCTCGTCGAGTGTCTTCACGCCCATCGACTCGAGTGTGCCCAGGACCTTGGGGCTGCTCTCGGAATTCTCGACTCTGACGCTCGGAGCCGCGCTGACTGCAGACTTGTACTCGGTTGTGGTGGATCCTGAAGCTCGACTGGCAGACCTAGTGCCTTCGATCGGTAGGATCAGTCCCGACTTGTTGCCGTCCTCGTCAGAGTCTGTGGTGTCAATGGTGAGGCGGTTGTTCTTCCTTCCTCTGATTGTGGCATCATCCCTGCGGGTGGAAGGCCTGCGCGACGGGGAAGCATCCTTGACCGTCTTGCCTGACCTGTGGCCCTTGTCTTTCCTTGTCTTACCACGCTGCTTGGACTCCGTGTCTGCCTCGTTGTCGCTGCCGTCGATGTCGAGGAAGGAGTTGTTCCTCCTCTCGTTTGATACGGGAGGCTCTGGGGGCGGTCGGGTAGGAGTGTCGGTGCGGCGTTCGTGGTCGGAAGGCGAACGATCCTCGCCCCGGGATCGGGAGCGGACTTTTCGAATGCGTGCGTTGGGGCTGGGATCGTACTCGGGGGAGAATGAGCGAGGGTGCTCTTCTGCCGATGCGGCCTCGTCTTGCGAGGCGGTAGCTCGATCGGCCGCCATGTCGGAATCAGCAGCTGGCGGAGGAGCAGATTGAGGAGTGAGTGGTGTGTTCGGCGTCAGGGGGCTGCCTTTTAGATATGGGTTCATGACCCTTCGCAAACTACTGATTGGGCTGGGCTCGGGCTTCGCAGAAAGCTTGTCCTTAGTAATGGGCAGCTGGATGGGAGGTACCAGCGGGGGCATGGGCGGCTCGAGAGCAGCGGGAGCCGGGACAGGAGGAACGTCGTCGGCGGACACAGACTTCTTTCTGCGACGGAAGAAAGAGCTCGGTTTCTTCTGCAGCACGTGATGATGGGAATGGGACGAAGATGTATCCCTCGAGGGCGGGGCGGAGGTGGATGGCTTCATCTGGTTGGCAACGTGGAGAGATCGATTGCCGGACCTCTGATCGACGGTATCCACAGAGGTCGAGGATGTTACGCCCGAGGAATTTTGCGTCTCGGACGGGGTACTGGGAGCATTGTTTCTGGACGAACCAAAGACTCGCCTGAAAAACCCCGGTTTTTCTTTTGTTTGTGACGGTGCTTGTGTCGGAATCGGAGCTCCGTGCACCGCCTCTTTTTCTTTTGTCTTGCCGTAGCCCACGTGTGGCGCGGGTGCCGAGTCAATCTCGAACGCGGGGACATGCGCAGCTGCGGGAGCGGAGGCGGACGCGGGTAGCGGCGGCACCTCCTCATGGGGGTGATCGGATTTGGTATCTGCCTTGCGGCTCGTAGCTGTGCTCTTGGTCGATTTGTTGGATCGTTTCCGCTCGAGAATGACGGCCGGGGGTTCCAATTCGTCGTCAGCCACGGGCCCGGCCGCGGGAGATCGGGGATACGTCGCGGTAGGAGGCGTCACGGGCACGATGCGTCGGGGTCCTCCAGGCACGGTCGGGGTCGGGGCGGCGTCGTAGTCGTCGTTGAAGAAGGTGTTGGAGAATTCGATATGCCAGGGGGCTTGTCCCTGGTTCTGGTGCTGTGGTTGGTGCTGGGGTTGATGCTGGGGTTGGTGATGCTGAGTGGCCTGCAAAGCGGGCGGGCGGTGGCCGTAGTCGAAGCTCGAGGATCTCCCACCGAAGCCAGACGCCCACCTCGTGCTACTCAGGACCTGGGCGTAGCCGGCATCGATACTGTTGGAGCTGCTGCTCTTGGTGCTCCCCTTGCCCCCGCGAGAATGCATGTGGCGCGGGGTGCCGGGTGTGCTCCGCATGGACTCGCGCATGCTGCTGATGCGGTGTAGGCCGGTCTGGAAGTTGGAACTGCTGTTGCTCCTCCGTCCTCTGGAAGATATCCTGCTCGCGTCGTCGGCGTCAAAGTCGGAGCTGTACGAGTATCCGTGGCCGTTTGCCCTGCCGCCACGTACCGGCCTGGGCATATTATCGTCGGTGTCGTATGGGTATTGTTGCGAGGGTTCATCAAACATGTTTATCCTCCCGTTTCCGAATTGACCGCCTACTGGGCCGCCCATGGAGAACTGGTCGAGGGATATGAGCATGTTCGTCATGAGAGAGTCGCGTGTAACATTGCGGGGGGATAGCGACAGGTCGTGTGAATCGCGGGGACGAGATGGGTCTGGGTTATCGTTCTCCTTGTTCGAGGACATGTCGAAGCTGTCGGGAGAGTCGGGGTTGTCTAGAAAGGAGTCGTCGGCATGGCGAGTGACGGAGGGGCCCCTAAGCGCCCGGGAACTGGCCTTGCGATTGGAGAGAGAGGTGGGCGGCGGCTGCTTGATCCTGTTGCTTGGCGGCGTCTGGGGAACAGCAGGCGGGCCGACGGAAGACTCTCGATCTCGCGATGCGACAGGCGACCTGGAGTGACCGGTGGGAGGTGAGGTGTCGATGTTGAGGTCGGGACGGCGACGGCTCGAACGTCGAGGAGTATCGGCGTACATGGCGAGGGGGGGGAGGACGGGGTATCGTGGGGGGTCGAAAGGGTTTTCAAGTCATTTCCAGGACCGAATCCAACAGGCGCAGAGAGCACAAGGTCAGGTCCGTCCCGTCGGGGTCCAGGTCCAGGTCCAGGACTAGGTAGGTGCAGGTGCAGCAGCTGTACGGAGACGGGGCGCTGATGATGTGGGTTGGCGTGGTGGTGGTGGTGCTGCAGGTCGAAGGTGCCGTTTAGCAGGGTCAATTCGCAGCAAACCAATGCGACGCAAGGCGAAGCGATCCAACGCGAGGCGAGGGAGATGGCAGCGCCGCGAGTTCGAGTCGAGTCGAGTCGAGTCAAACACAGAAGCTAAGCAGCCGTCGCAATGTCCACAAGGCCGGTCGAAATCGAGGGGGTACGAGAGCGTTGGACCTGGGACCGGGCCTAGGTAGAGAAGGAAGGCGGTAAAGCAAGCGTCTGTCGATGCGAAGGCGTGGCTAGGTAGGCGAAGGTGTAGGTGTAGGCGTAGGCGGCTTGGTGCCGTCTTGGACGAAGCCTAACCGAGTAATTGGTGGCCGAAATGAAGGTAGGTGAGTCCCCTTTCGGGCGAGCGACGTTGCAATATTTCCTTATTGTTGTTTTCCGGCCTCGATGGACTGCTTTCTTTTCTTTTCCCCGGTCCAGGCGTCTTCCCTCGTTCGGAATGGCTCGGGCAGGGTGGGCGGGCATAAAAAGCCAGCAGGTGGCACGGAGAGCGGGAATTGGTATATTTGGGTGTCGGGCGGTGGCAGGATTATTATGTATTCATATGCGGGACGGTGGTAGTTGTGCTGGGTACGGGTATTTGGTATTGAATTGTATTCCGAATGAGGCGACGAATGGCACCCTCGATCATCCCCTGACCTTGCTGTGTTGTGTTGGTGGGAGATGTTGGTGACGGTGATGATTGTGGACCGACGAGCTCTGTTGTGGGTGGTTGTGGTAGGAGGTCCGGTGTAATTGGCGTCGAGTGTGGCAGACGACAATGTTCGTAGCGGAATTGCAAAGGACGGCGGGCAGGTGACTAGGTAGTAGTAGGTAGTCTGCTTGCTGCGCGCCGGTCGACGACGGGACGGGGTGGGAGCAATTAAGGAGACAGGTTACTCTTGGTCGGTACTCGGTCGGCGTCCCGGGAAAAATGATGCAAACCGGGGGGTGGGCTTGCTGAGGCACAAGCAGTCGGAGAAGAGATGTCGCTGAGGGGGGCAGCGCCGTGAAACACGCGTGGACGGTCAAAGAAGGAAAAGAAGCGGAATGGAAGGAGAAGAGGAGGAAGAAGAGGAGGATGAGAATGATTGATTGATTGATTGATTGATGCAGGAGGAGCAGGGGGGAGGAAGAAGAAGAATTGTCAATTGAATGCAATGAAAAGATGAGTGTGGATTGGGTCCTTCGGGAAATGGGGATTCGGATTGCTATGACAATGATATTCGGCAATGATGTGCGCGAGGCAACGTGAGCCGCAAGGCAAGGATATCTACGTTTGCTTGGCCACCTCAGTCGTTGCAGTCAATCGTAATAATACGGAGCCCGGTGGTGAGGTGAAGCTGTGGTTGACGGCCACGAGAGTCTGTGTCTGTGCCAGTGACAGTGACAGCGTCTCTGTGTCTCGGTGTCAATCCAGTCTGCGGCAGCTACTGTAGCTATCTGCAAGTCTCTAGTTCTCATGTCTGTGTTGTATTCTGCATCTGCAGCTTATCCGAGACGACCAGTTTGCGGCATGTCTGGCAGATTCTCTGTGCGACACCCATACTCCGTACACACAATGCAAGTGGTCTTTCTAGGTATTGGTGAGGCAGGGTAGGTAGATCAGAGACAGTCATGGGTTGGTTGATATCGACATGACCGGATCGTTCTGCCGCTGCATGGTTCAACAGACAGAAACACCAGACGAGACGACAAGAATAATAATAATGAATGCACAGACAGCGCAAACATCGGTTGTCCTTGTCGTCGTCCTCGGATGAAGTGGAACACGGCAGAAAAGAGAGGAAGGAAAGCGGCGGGCGGGAGTCAATTGATCAGGGTAGGTCTTTCCTTTATTTTTGACCGCGACGGGAGTGCCTTCCTAGAATCTGAGATCGTGGAAGGTGGAAAGGAAGGTGCAGTGTAACTTTATCTTAATCGCTCCTTCTTCTTCTTTCTTTTTCTCATATTATCTAATCGACCAAGGATGGTAAGGTAGGTTGGCACCCCGGGCATTCTACTGTTGCTCCTTCCGCCTTCCAGCATCATAAAGGGAAGGAGGGCATTCCGCAGTATTGGAAATGTTCTGTTGCATCTTCTCACGAATTTCTCGCTGCGTTTCTGCTTTCTCGCATCTCTCTCCCCTCGACAAAAAATCAAACTGCCTCCAGGTCTCCAGAACCACCGGCTCACATTACGACACATGGTCCGGACCCTTCGACCTTGTCGAGTCTCTGCGGTTGCCCTTGGCCACTGCTTCTGCGTCCGCCGTCCAGAGATTCCATCTGCGCCTAAACTGGACACGCCCCAGTCGATCCTGCAGGGTTTCCCCCTATTTCCCGCTTGATGCTTCTAAATCCTTCTTTTTTTCCCTCCTCTTCTTTCTTCTGGTCTCCTACCGCAATTTCACTGCGCAACACCGTAAGACGTCGTCATGATTTTCCTATCCGAATTAAAATCGCTTTCCACGAGTCGTTGTCCGGCTTCCATCACCATCAATTTGCCTCCGAAACACCCGCGCCATTCCCGTTATCGCAGCCTCCCAATCATCGCCAGCCATCTCCAACCTCCGCAAGACAGTCAATCCTACCGGCAACTACCTGCGCCGCACCATGCTTAGCACCTCGCGACACGAGACACCAGACACACGACCGCCGGCTGGCTTGCCGCCATGGACTAGCCTCTCTTCGCCGGCAGGCCACTCCTTGCCCAAGAAAAAAAAGGGACAAGAGGGGACAGGGCTGCAGGGGGAATGCAACATGCAGCCAGCTCACCAGAGCTCATGTCCCAAAGGAGCAATCATCTCAGGGTACCCCGGTACACCCAACATCACAATGTTTGTCTGTCAAATTCAACTATGTCCGCCGCACCCAATCTCATTCGCCAACAGCCGGTGCCAGTGAGCCCGACGCCAGAGATGGGGAGAAGGGTCATGGAAACCGACTCAAGATGCCGTCGCTTTCACGTTTCCAGAAAAATAAAACTCCACAACCAACGGTCAGCGGAACAATTCCCTCGCGTGGCAGGCCGGCCCCTCGCATGGATTCGCCTTCCAGTGCTACCACGGCACCAGATACGACGACGCTTCCCTAGCAAAAGCCGTCACCATTTCTGACCGTGGTCACTCGTCGACCGACACGCGATGCCGTGCGATTTCTCATCTCAACCGTCACCGAGAGAAGGCATGCTGCCTTGCCTTGACTTCTCTTCCCGTCTCGCTCTCCTCCCGTCACCTTCGCTTCCAGATCCGCCCACTCATTTGCGCCCACATGGAAGCACATGCATGCAGGCACCCTTGGGCTTTCCCCTGAATCCATGCATACACCAACTTCGCAATCAAGAGGCCCGTGCCATTGCGCGACTCGTCCTCCGCCTTCTGCGACCTGCTAATTCGCTCGTCGCGACACCCTCCTCACCACCACTTGCTCCGGTCTCTTTCCGCAATGGCCCATCTCGTGCTAAGGCATCCCACTACCCCTTGATGGGTGGTGGGATGAGTAACGGAATTGGAGGACATCAAGAGGGAACAATGTTTGCGAGCCGGCAAGGAGTCAATTCAAGATCCTACAGGCCAGTGACGGCGGAAACGCCTCGCTACCAAAATATTGACGGGCATCGTAACTCCTTTGAGGAATGACTGCCGTGCGACGCGACGCATCAAAGAATGAAGAGAGGATCCTGAATTTCGTCTCCAAACCTCCAAACATCCAGGATCCCCGAACCCGAATACCAGACCTACGGCCGTCTTCCCCAGAGTCGGCCCAGCAGCAGGCGTCCTGGTCCGTCCGAACCTCGAGTTCCGTGGCTACCAAGTGCCGGCGTCTCTATAGTAAAGGGCATTAATTGCCCGCGACTTCTGCGACACGCTCCCCATACGTTGCCGCTGCTGACCACCTCGGATCGTCGCTCTTCACAAGCTCTGCCAATCGCTGCGTCAAGACACCTCTGATGAGTCCGCGATGCTCAACACCACCACTAAGCGCTGCCTTCGACTGGACGAGATGCTTTCCGAGTCACACGAATTTCAACGGGTCATGGCGTCCCGGCGACACCATCATTGACGGCCACCCCCCACGCCACGCCCAAGGAACGGTTCCAACCACATGCCAACGATTCTGCCTGCAATCTGCGGTGAAGGAGCCCGTCACTGACCAACAGTTCCCCCTCTCCCCAAGTGAGGAGGGGGCTGGAGCTCGGCCCCTATTCCCACTTGTACCCAGAGCCCGCATTCAAGCGACTCAATCTCCAACACTGGTGGCCTCCATTCTCAACAGTAAAGCACCAACTTGGCAGAACCCAAAACACACCGACAAGCTCCCGCGTCGACAACCTTCCCGCCGTCGTTCCATGGTGGAGCGAACCTTCTGTTAGACGTCAAGTTAAGGGTCGAGGGAAACTGTCAAAGCGCGAACTATTGCCACCAGGCCGGCAGCATGACGAATAATTCTTCGAACACCAGCCCGTTCCACAAGTCTGCGTGCCGACTTGCCATCAAGATGTCTTGGCTCAAATGTTCTTCCGAGCCAAGCAATGCTTGACAATTCGAATAAGACAGCACCAACAAATGTAAAAGCGTCGGTGTTTAGATCAAGTTTTCGGTATTTATCAAACCGCTTACTTCTTGATCGCTCATTCATCAATCGCGAGCCAGACCAAATAAACATGGTGTCGATCTTCCGCGATGCCAATCGCCAGCTAAATGGCTGGTGCCGATCCGAAGATCACCAACCACTGTTCGTTCAACCACTCACTCACTCACTGGCCTTTCATCCGAAGTCATGTTCGCCTCCGCAGCTAGTTTCGGCGCCTTGACGCTCCGTACATCCACGATGAGCTCCGTCGTCGCCGCGAGCCGTCGGCCTCCGTAGCGCGTCTGCGCTGCTCCCATACAAGGAACATCCCGACATCTATCCCAAGCAACCTCGAGCGAAGCTGTCCCTTCTCCCTGCATCTTCTCCATGCGCAAATTACTTTCCGGTTTGTCGTTGCAAACCGCCCCCAACCTCAACGCTACCGCTCAGGTTGGCAGCGGCAACGAGGAACCACGATCCACCAGTCCCGCAATCGCTTCCCCAGATCTGCTGCGACTACAAACCCATCTTTTATCTTGTTTGCTCGTCTATATTTGCGGCTCATTCATCGATTCCTGCTTTACTTGGTTGCACCGGCCTTGGCGTGACAAGAGAAGAAAAAAGGCGCCCTGAAACAAACGGCTCGCACGGCTTCCGCGCAGCTGCTGTTTTCAGGTGGGCGTCTGTCTGCTGCGGCCGGATGTCTGGTTCCACGAGGTGTTGTCTCTGACGGGACCTCGCATGGCGACGGAACCGAGTGGTCGGAATGCGACGCCGATGACTCGGATCACGACAGCTGGACACTCTGGCATCCGGGTCAACTGAAGCGGATATCGGACGCCAAGCCAGTCGCCTGGATTATGCACTTCCGGGGCCGTTTCTTTGCGGGAATCGTGATACTCCCACTTCATCGGCCAAGCCTCCCGGACGTCGGCCTTTTAGATATACGAGTCGAGTTATCGCGAATCACCACCGTGTACCAGTCTTCGCTCGGATGAAATGAAAGGCATTCCAGCTGTTCTGACTAAGTTTGTGACAAAAAAAAAAGGAAAAAAAAAAAACAGATCACGACCCAGCCAGATCTACATCTGCTTTTCATCAGTGAATCCATGACGAGCGATGGAGAGCAGAACACGACATTACGAAAATACATTGAAGGCTACGATGCCAGTCATCGTCGTCCTAATGGATCCCTCCGCGAGCAAAGAAGATACAGGCCTGCTTCCAAAGAGGAACACTCGGGAGCGATGCCTTCTTGTGCATCGTGTGGAATCTACCTCGTCTCGCTTGACACCTGATGCATTAAACGTGTCTCTAATCTTGCCCTTTCAGATACATACTGGTTCTGATGATGATCCTGCGAAATCTGTCGAATCCAGGCAGTGCCACGCAAATCTTCTAGACGAAGCGAACTGGGAATACCTCGACTTAAAAAGCCGTCCGTCCCGTCTTCACCGTCTTCACCACACCTTTCACCGCCAACCGTCTCAAAACCTCCAACAGCAACCCATCACACCCCCTCGCCGCAACCAAGTCCACGCTCACGGGAACCATCTCCGTCCGCAAGCTAACGAAGCTCTCGTACGCCACCTGCCCTACGGGAATCCCGATCTCGGGACAGCTCGCCATGCTGGCCAGGTACGTCCCCGGTACCGCCGACCCGCCGCCGACGCCCGTGTACGAGTCCGAATACGCCCCGTCCCGCGCGCTCAGCGCCTGCTCCCGGTACGAGGGCAAGCCCCCCGTCCCCGCGTCCAGTATCATCAGACTCTCCGAGCACGTGTGCGGGTCCGGCCGGAGGACCTCGGAGAGGAAGAAGTCCTGGAACTCCCGCTTCGTCGCCAGCGCCGCCTCGTAGTCGGCCTCGCTTAAGCCGACGCTCCGCTGGAAGGCCGCGCGCGGGTTCGGGTCCAGCGGGGGCCGCCCGACGCCGGGGAACCTCGCGTCCCAGGCCTCCTCGAGCGGCACGCCGACCTTGTTGTACGAGACGTACTCCGCCAGCCTGTTGCTCCCCAGCTGGAACGCCATGACGTTTGTGATCTGCGTGTTCGACCCGGACGCGTGGAGCGTCGCGGTGATGTTCATCGGGGTGCGCACCATTCCGAACTCCTCCTCGAGCACGTCCATGAAGCCTTCGAACAGGGCCTGCGCGTCTGGGTTTCCCAGGGGGAAGTAGTCCACGGGGTAGATGAGCTTCCTCGGCATGCCCGTGAAGCTCCCGTTGACGGCTACCTGCGAGCCCTCGTACCATAAACTGTTCACTTCGCGGAACAGGACGGGATCCCTCGCGAACACGCCCGCCGTGTCCAAGGCGTCGGCCAACGGAATCACCCCGGTGAGGTCCATGCTCCCCCACGAGGGCCGCATGCCGTAGCTCCCGACGTAGGCCGATGGTCTGCGGACGCTGCCGCGGGTGTCGCTGCCGACGGCGAGGTCGAGCCAAGGGTACGCCGCGATGGCGGCCGCGCTGCCGGAGGAGGAGGACGAGGCGGAGAGGTAGCCGTCGCCGCGGGGGTTCCAGGGGTAGTGGTGGTCCTGCCAGAACCAGGGGTCGGCGCCGTGGGCGAACTGGCTTGTTTTCGTCTTGCCCTGTTCACGTCAGTTATCGTTGTCTTGTCGGGGACATCTTCTCATGGGCATTGAAAGAACTTACGACGATGACGGCGCCCATGTCGATCAGTTTCTGCGTCGGTACGGAGGTCATGTTAGCCGGGGGAAAGACCTCGGCGTAACTTCTCGATCCGCCGCTTGTCTGCACGCCTTCCAGGTCATAGATGTCTTTCAGGGCTACGCGGATACCGGCTAGGGGTCTGTCATCGCCCAGAGAGTAGAGGCGGGAAGGGACGGGGATCCAGGCGTCTTGGTTTGCTGCGATGAACACCTCGACGGGGCTGAAGGCCGCGGAGCCGGGAACGGGCGTGACGCCGAATAGGAAGGCTTCCTGCGCATCTCTGTACAGACGATACGTTTCGTGAATGGCCGTTGCCGATGGGTTGATGGAGAGGGTGTACGGGCCCGGCGGGAGCTCGTCAACGGACGGAATCGTCAGGCTCCGAAGTTGCGACGACTTGAGAGACGTGAAATTGTGTCCATCACCCGTGATGAAGTACGCGACATTTGACCGCTCTAACCAGGCGATCGCGGACGGGTCTAGGACGGCGTTCTCCGGCGTCGACACCACAACGGCGCCCTCGAGGAATTCCGTGCTCCATACGTCGTCGGTTGAGATGTAGAGAGCAGCCAAAGCGGACAACACGTCCGAAGTGATGCTGGTCTCATTGGTCTCAAACACGGTGAGAGGGAGGACCTGGGTAGTGTCGAGTGTCGAGTTGGCGGTGTTCACTGGTGCTGCCGGTGTGTAGTACGTTGAGTTACCGAAGGTGTATGTGAAGGCGCCGGATGGTGTGTTCGAGAGAACTTGGAAGCCGGCTTGGACAGGACGTGAAGCGGCTATGACCGTAGACACGGCGACTGCAAGGTGACTTGCGTACATGCTCGCGATGTCGAGGGAGCAGATAGTCGGCTTCTTCACCAAGTCTCCCTGTCTGACGTCTAAGATTAGCAACACGATTTATAGCTCAGCGAGCGCTTCACCATCGGATCGGAGCTGCTCCGCCTGACCGACTTCGGCGGAGGCAGCGTCGCGTAGTTTCCCGAAGGCCCATCGGCGCCATGTTGGAGTCTGTAGATAAGGATATTCAACCGCGGGGTACACATCCACATGGATTGGAGATACCGACGCGTTGGTAAGCATTAGACTGTTTGGTCATTGGTTGAGGGCAACATAGGTGGACTCGGATGAATGCAAGATGGTCTTGGCCACAATATCTATCTGCCGTGTTGGTAGATAAGATCGGGGATAATGACATCACGAAAGCCCATGTTTCCGGGGTCATCATCAATCGTTTGCTATCATTACACAGCGGACCACCGAATGGCGTCGACTTTAAGCTGTTGACATACAGATCAAATCACATCAAACCGACGTGCTTCTCGAGACCACCAACTCTCCCACCGCAGAAATGGGCGTGCCACCCATGATATCAAACACGGCCAACGGCGCCGCAAAGTCCCGTCTGATCCAATTCCGAAGCTCAACCGCCATCAGCGAATCAACGCCATAACTCGACAACGGCTTCGAAAGCTCGACATCCGCGGGCGCAATAGACATGGCGCGCGCGAGCTTGGCCACGAGAGAGTCGACGACAACCTGGAGTTTCTCCTCCGGGCTCGCCGCCGCCCGGAACAGCGCGGCCGGGTCGGTGGCCTCTACCTTGGCGCCGGCCTGCGTCCCCGCGACGCGCGAGAAGCCGCCGAAGAAGGGCCTCTCGAGCAGCGCCGGGGGAGACTCGCCCTTGGCGAGGAAATCAGCCGGCGTGCGCAGCCCGACGAGGACCTGGCTCCGTCCCGGCGACGCTACCGGGGCGTCGTGGTCGCAGCACAGCGTCAGCAGAGCGAGAAGCTCGCGCGCGTCGATCTGTTGCATGTCGTCCGTGGCCAGGCGCTGGCGTTGGAAGGCGGCCGTCTCCGCGACGATGCCGACGTCGCGCATCCAGCCGATGTCGAGGGATACCGCCTTCTGGCCGGTTTCGACGCGGTGACGGGCGAGGGCGTCCTGGAACGTGCAGCCGCCCGCGTAGTTGGCCGTCGCCATCTGGCCGATGATGCCGGCGAGGGACGAGAGCAGGACGAAGAAGTCGAGGTCCTTGGGCAGGAGGCGGTGGAGGTTCCACGCCGTGTCGATCTTTGCTTTGACGGCGATGTCCCACTGCGGCAGGGTCATGTTCTCGAACATGGCGTCCTGCAGGACCAGCGCGGCGTCGATGCAGCCTTTGATGGGGGGCATCGTGGTCGAGCAATCGGCCAGCACGACCGACAGGGCGGATTCCGAGGCGACGTCGCATTTGGGTGACAGGATGGCGACGCCGCGAGACCGGAGAGATTCAATGGTCTCTGTCGCCGCTTTGGACGAGGCTCCGGACCTGGACGGGACGATGAGGTGCTTTGCGCCGCGATCTGCCATCCATGTGAGAATGGCGCGGCCCACGCCTCCGAAGCCGCCCGCGACGAGGTACGACGCGTTCGCGTCGAACTTCCACGTCTTGCGGTCTGTGAGGTATTGCTGCGAGGAAACACAGGTCAGATTCGAATCATTGTGGGCGGGGAAATCACAACTTACCGGTACGACATCGTCGGCACTTGGCTCGATGACTACACGACCGATGTTTGACCCGTTTTGAAGCGCTCGGAAGGCCTGCTCGACTTGCGAGGCAGGATAGGACTTCACCGGCGAGGGAGACGCGTCGTTCTCGCACGCGAAGCCCATGGTATCCCGCAACAGCTCGGCAGTGAGGCGGGGGTCCTCTTGCATGATCTCCCGCAGGTCCACGGCCGAGAAGCTCACGTTCCTCGAGAAGCTGGACATGGGAAGGCCCGCGTCGGCCATGATGTCGGCCTTTCCAATCTCCACGAAGCGTCCGCGGCGCGCCATGCACCCCCACGACGCCCGCAGGCTGTCCCCGGACAACGAGTTGAGGACGACGTCGACGCCGCGCCCGTTGGTGACGCGCATAACGCCCTGCGCGAAGGACGTGTTGCGGCTGTGGAAGATGTTTTCCTCGGGAACCCCCATCTCGTCCACGAGGAACCGCTTCTTCTTCTCGCTGCCGACAGTCGCGTAGACCACGGCTCCGCGCTTCTGGGCCACGGACACGGCCATCTGACCCGTGCTGCCCGCGGCGGAGTGGATCAGGATCGTCTCCCCTTGGGCGATGCGCGCGACGTTGACGAGGGCGTGGTAGGCCGTCATTCCGGGGATGAGAACGGCGGCACCGGCGACGAAGGACATGGTTTCCCTGGGGATCTTGATCACCGAGGTCGCGGGAGCGCGGGGGTATCGGCGCATGCAGCCCGGGGAGACCATGCAGACGCGGTCGCCGATCTCGAAGGAGCCGCGACAGGCGCTGCCGGTCCTGGTGACGACGCCCGCGCAATCGTTGCCGAAATCTCTCTCGTCGAGGCGGCCCAGGGCTTGCAGGACATCGCGGAAGTTGACGCCCCACGCCTTGGCTTCGATCTCGACCTCCTCTGCTGCCAGGTCGGTCTCGAACGTGGTGTCTTCGATGAAACACAACGAGTCGAGGGTCCCGACGGTTTTGATCGAAAGTGATAACGCAGGTCCCTCGGACCACGGCTTTTGCTGGAGTTTTGGGAACAGGAGGGCATCGATCGCGGCATTGCCTTTGACGTCTTCCGTGGCCCTGCAGGTTTCGAGGAGCCCATTTCGTGCTGTGAACTCCAACTCGCTGCTGGCCTCCGAACTTAAGAAACAGTTCCGGAAGACCTTGCTGATGTGTTGTGAGGCGATTGATGGAGCACTGTCGCCTTGGGACTCGATTGCAAGCGTGACGATGTGGCTGTCGGCCATCTCGAGACGCAACGAGCGGAAGAAACCTTGAGCTTGGCTGTAGAACGGGCGTTGAGAATCTTCGGCGTTCGTTTCAGTCACCCACATCAACTTCTTCGAGTGACGAATGAGATGCTGCAACCAGGCTAGTCTGCTTTCCGACATGTCGAATAGGAAGGGGGTATCGACGCTCGCGAGGCAGAGAACCACGTCTTCGGGGTCCGGCTTGCTCTGCTGGAACTCATCGATGGACAGGATACTGACGGAGTGTCCGAGACCGAGACCGTTCGTATGGCTGCTAACTAGGTCGGCCACCTCTCTCTGCGTCTCTGACTGACCATCAACGACTACGAGGACCTTCAACGGCTTGACGATTGCTGAAGTCGGAGCGTCTTGCACGGCCGTCGAGACGATGACGCTGCAGATGTGACACCCGTCTTCCACATGATCCCTCAAAACAAGATCATTACCGGAATAACCGCTCTCTCGCAAGCAGCCATTCCACTGCTCCTCGTTCAGGAGCGGCGACATCTTCCGCCACTCCTCACGCGCGAGCCACCATCCCGGAACGAGACCGAAGGAGAAATTCACCACCACGTCCTCCGGCGCAATCACCTCCAAGATGAGCGCCCGTCCGCCTGGTTTGAGCGCAGTCCGCACGTTTTTCATGGTGCCCACCAGATCCGCCGTGGCGTGCAAGACGCTGCCGGCGACGATCAAATCGTACGAGCCCACCTCGAAGCCCTGGCTCTCCAGAGTGCGTTCTAGGTCCAGCGTCTTGAAGTTGATGCGACCTTCCAGGGCCTTCCAGCGCTCTCGGGCTCTGTCGAAGAACATCGGCGAGATGTCGGTGTAAGTGTACTCAGCCAGTCTCAGACCTCCCTTCTCCCTCTCGAGAGACTGCAACGCTCCCAGGACGTGGCCGGTGAAGCCGCCCGTGCCGGCGCCGACCTCGAGGATTCTCAGACCCGGGTTTTCGTGGGAGGCGAGTTCGAGGAAGTTGGACAGCCGCACGTCGCAGACTTGAGAGAACAAGTCGGCGTAGAAGACGTCGGCGAGATCCGAGTCAAATATCACCTCGAGCGGATCCTTCTCGCCGATCAGAATGTTCTTCAGCTCGCGCACCACGTTCGTGTGCAGCTTCCACGGCGGACGCATCGCCTCGATCGACTGAAGGCGTTGTTCCAGCTCTTCGTCGGTCAAGGGGGCCTCTGGGTCATCCTTCTGGGTTGCGTCAAGGCTGTCGAGATGATGTCTGATCCATGCCACGTGGCGCTGGAGGGAGGCCGGCACCTTGTCGAAATCTGCTGCCGACATGTCCCTCAGCGTCCTAGAGAGAGCGAGATTCATGACGGCGCACATCTCGAGGTGATGAGTGAGTGCTGTTGCGTCGTCCTTGACCACACGACTCGTGATGCACGCCTGCGAGAGCTGCTGCTGGTCGAGAAGACTCAGCTGGGGCTTCCATTCGGCATTATGCAAAAGCTGTCTCGGTGGAGCGCTGCTCTCATCAACTTTGGAGATGGCCTTCGTGACAAGGTGTTCGATAGACATCAGCACCTTTCCATTGTCGCTCAGAGTGTAGATGGTGGCATCCTCGCCGGCATCGTGGTCGACGTTTGCCACTCCCGAGCATCGGAGGGACCCGGTATCGGGGCTTTGCCAGCCCGATGCAGACACCCAGGCGTTGACGATCTTGACGGGGACGTTGGTGGCGGATGCGGATGCGGATGCTTGGGAGCTCGCCCGTGGCATATGGAAGACGGCATCCAGGACGGCTGGGTGTACGAGGCTTGAAGTGTTGAAGTGTGGTTTAGAGACATTGATGCGAGCAACCGCAGTGTGTCTGCCGTCCCAGTGAATGTCTTCCAGCAACCGGCACCAGTCTCCATACCGCAGGCCGTGATCGGCCGCATGGCGGTAGAAGACGTTCGAGTCTACCGGCTTCATGCACAACCCGGCCGCGTTCTTGTATCGTTTGAGAATGTCCTGGTCAAGCAGCGTCTTCTCCTTCTGAACATCAGCCTGAGAGGAGTCTTCCTCGTACTGGACCTGTATCCGCCCTCGGAAACACTCGGACCATTCCTTGTTACGATAACAGAAGACGCGAATGTCAGACCAAGTCGAGTCCTTTTCGTACGGCTTCTGAATCGGTCGAAGTTCGACAACGGTCTCGGTCCTGTCTTCCCAGGCTTCGCCTACAATGATGGGACTCATGAAGTTCGCCTCTTTGATCGAGTAGCCCGAAACAGTGCGATTGACGGGAACCATTTGCAAGGCCGCTTCCATGGCCATCACGAGCATGCCTGCCGCCGGGTACACCACGGTGTTGCTGACGTTGTGATCGGCGACCCACGGTTCAGTCTCGACGCTCAGGAAGTTCCTCCATCGCGGTTCCAGCGGGTTCCAGTCCGACACCCGTGTTCCCAGCGTCTCGCCGATCACGGCACCACGGAGCCTGTAGTCGCGGCTGATGCGCGACTCGGACCAGTACTTCTTGGAGTGGTCGAATGGGTACTCGGGGCAATCAACGAGGAATGATGTGTTGCCTTTCACTTGATTGACGGCGGTGATCTGCACCTGGTACCCGTAGGAGAACAGCTGCCCAACAAGTTCGAGCGTGGTGTCAACGGCTGATCGTTTTCGGAAGAGCACACTCGAGTACCGGACCTGCTTCGCACGAGATCCTGCTTGCGCTAACGTATCTGCGACAGGACGACGAAGTGCCGCGGTCGGTCCGATCTCCACAAGATCCGTGATGCTCCCCAGGAAGCCAGACTTCAAAGTGGAAGACTGCTGTGTCAACGCGTGGACGGCGTCGGAGAAGCGGACCGGAGACACCATGTTATCCACCCAGTATTGCGGCGTCGCCAAAACCGCAGAACGGACGCTTTTCCCTGTGACGGTCGAAACCATGACGATGGAAGAGCGAGGAGCGGAAGCCTCAAGTTCTCCCATCTGCTGTTTGTAGTCATCGGCGATGGCCAGCATGGCAGACGAGTGATACGCAACACCCGTCTTCAGCTTTTGAGCAAAGATGGAATCTATGTCGGCCTGCTTCTTGACGGCGTCTATGGCGTCCTCCGGTCCAGACAGGGTGCAGTTCAGGGGGCTGTTGACGCAAGCAACGCTGACGCCTGCGATGCCAAGGTTATCAAGATAGGTTGGAACGTCATTCTCAGCCAGATTCACAGAGATCATTGCGCCAGCTGGAGAGCTCGCGACCCGTAGTCTGCCAGCCAGCTGGCCACGATAGAAAGAGACTTTGCAAGCTGATTCCAGAGACAGAGCACCGATGGCGTACGCGGCAGCAATCTCACCAGAAGAGTGGCCGATGACCGCTTTGGGGACGATGCCAAAGCTCTTCAGCAACTCAATGAGAGCGAGCTGTACCGCGGTAGAAAGAGGCTGGCTGTATCCGGGGCGGTCGATGTTCTCGCCGTGCCGAAGCTCGTCCAGTAGCTCCCAGTCGCATCCCAGTGTACCGTAGATCTTGTTGACCCGCTTCAGAGTTTCCGCGAAGAGGGGGTATTGTTGAACAAGCTCCCAGCCCATGCCGGCGTACTGTGCTCCTTGGCCAGTGAAGACAAAGGCGAGTCCGACTTCCCCCGAGCTACGGACCGGCTTGGAGGCGATAAAGCTGGCAGCATCGCTGGAATCCGTGGTAACAATGGCAGACGTGCGCCAGAGCATGCGGCTTCGTCGGTTGGACAGAGTGTAGGCGAGGCGGTCGAGTCTGGCTGGGTCGTTCGAAATGTTGTTCTCGTAGAAGGATTTGTACTGCTCGGTCGTCCTCTTTACCGCCTTCTCGTCCGCTGCAGACCATACGAGCAACCGAGGTTGGGCTGCGACATCGTCAAAATTCTGCAGTTTGTTGTGGCCATTGATGTCTCCATTGACGTGGCCGTTGATGTGACCTTCAACATGGCCGTTGCTCCCATTCCCGTTCGAGGTTGTACCGTTGGTGATTGAGAGGCCGTTCAACAAGGCGCCGGTGGGAGCCGTTGTGCAATGGTTGCCGACGAGGCCTCTCTCGTGCAGGTAGTGATAGGCGTCATCGAGGACAACGTGAGTATTCGTGCCTCCAAAGCCGAACGAGCATACGGAAATGCGGCGCAAGCCTTGGCTTGGCCATACGATCTCCTTGATTGGGATCTTCGTGATTATGCAGGTTAGCTCGCAGTCTCGGCCTTACGGAATGCGCAGGTCGTGTACTCACTGCAACATTGTAAAACTCGGTGTCGATATCGGGGTTGATCTCCTCAAAATTCGCATGGGGCGGAATAACGCCTTTCTCGAGAGAGACTAGACCACAATACCAGTAAGTAAGAGCACCTAATTGAATCAACAACGGCACTTACTAATGGATTTGACCACACCGGCCAAGCCACTGCTCCCTTCGAGGTGACCAATATTGGTCTTGACTGACCCGCTGCGAATCCAGTCAGCCGCGTTCTCTGTCCAAGCCAGTGGAGAGTCATGGAAACGCTTCACCAAATCACTTACACATAGAGCGGCTCTTCGGCGGACCGAGAGCTCCGGAAAACGTTGCCTATAGCTTTCACCTCGATCGGGTCCCCCACGGGCGTTCCAGTACCTGCATCGTACTTGTCAGCGGGACGACACACTCAAAGTGTCTGATGGACCGATGATCCTCGATTTACCATGAGCCTCCACATAACGGGTCTTGTCAAAAGCAAGATTGGCTTTCTTGTACACGTGGCGTATCAACTCTTCCTGAGCCTTCGGATTAGGCTGGGTCAAAGAAGGCGTCTGACCGTCCTGGTTCGTGCCGGTCGCTCGGATGACGGAGCGAATCATGTCGCCATCCCGCAGAGCCGCCGGAAGTGGCTTCAGCACGAGAGCGACGAAGCCCTCACCTCGAGCATAGCCGTTCGCCCGGCTGTCGAATGTCCAACACTTACCATCCGGGGATAAGAAGCCGAGATTTGACAGCCAGTGGGTGAGGGTAGGGGTCAGCATCAGACTGGAACCGGTGACGAGCGCCTGTATGTCTCGGCCGGTTAGTTCCCAGGACCACAATTTCAGGCAACGGAAAGACGCACAGATGAGGACTCTCCGGCCCGCAGAGACTGGCATGCCATGTCCAGGGCGACGAGGCTGCTGGAACAGGCAGTGTCGATGTGAACACTGGGCCCCCTCAGGTCGAAGTACCAGCTCACTCGATTGGCGATGAGCGACGATGCCATACCGGTGGCGGCCGTCCTCTCGACGTTTTCTGGATCTTGCGATAGCATCCTTGACCAATCGTCCGTGAAGGACGCGGAGAAGACGCCGGTCCTCGATCCCTTCAGCTTCTCAGCGGGGATTCCGGCTAGAGGTACCCTGGTCAGCACGCCAGACGAAGGCGATCGTTTCCCGTAGTTGGATCAACCGGTTGTCTCACCATTTTCAAGAGCACGATACGACGTCTCCAGTGTCCACCGTTGCATGGGGTCGAGGGCTTCGAGATGATTTTGTCAGCTCGTTGCTTTTTTGTCTCAAGAATTAGCGCCAGCTACTACATACCGGCAGCCTCTTTCGTGGAGATTGAAAAGAAAGGAGCATCGAATGAAGCAGGATCATCGTTGATGAAATGGCCTCCTTGACAGTTGAACTGTGGCATATGTCAAAATTAGGAGACCCAATTTCCTGGGATTTCCTCCGGCCTCGTTCATGTGTGGTCACGTACCTTGCTTCGTTTGCCAGACACGAAGGCTTCGGCATTCATGCGACTTTCAGGCCACGGCGTGGACAAATTCCTCCGGTTCTGCAGGACATCCCAAAAGCTGGCAACATCGTCTACACCTTGAGGTAGTTTGAATGACATGCCAACCACGGCGATATCGTTGGCCGTGGTATCTGCCGTGAGCAGCTGCATGCGATCGGGCTCCTCTGCGATTGAACCCATGGTGTCGGTACCGTAATTTTGTCACGTAAAGGGGCGAGATGAAAACAGCAATGTTCTGAATGCAACGCTCTCACTTTCACACGGACATTCAGTTTCGAAACTGCCAACAGAGCTCGTCCCCTATTGTGATATATGAGACAATTGAACCCTAATGCCCAAGCATCTGGGATTTCAAAGACTCTGGGGCTTTGGAACCAGACCCCATGGCCTCGTCTCGTTGAAAGTTTCCGTTTTGTTACCGCCCTCTGAACATCTCCATCTGCATACATACATCACCAGGGTCTGCTGCACAGCAACATCGCTATGCAGACAAGGCAGTTGAGAGTCACTTGAAATTCAACAACACAACCGCCAACACAACGTAGCGTCGAATCCCGATGCAATGGAGACCAGCCCACTGGGCCTCCACCATCAACATCAGACTCTTCTCTCCCCGGCGGCCCGGGGAACCCGTCCCGTCGCTTGCGAAGTGGAGGTCAGGCGGATGCGGTGGGCCTCCCGCCAAGGAAGACACGGGCTCGCTTCGGGTCGTTAGCTCAATGTCGGTCTTTCGCCGGCGATCAGTTCATGACCATGTTAGGCAACGTCTCAATCCTTGGAGGATTGGTGAAGGGGCCACATATCACGTATCCCTGTATTATCTGTGCCTCTTTGCCCTTGTCGACGAAGTCCGAACTATGCTTCCGTATTGGTTACCCAATCGGCCCTCGATCTTCTGATACAGGAACGTAGCCCTTACACTCACATGGGAAGTGAAGACGAGGCGGATTGCTAGTTTCTCATGGTAGGAATCCTCTGAAGCCATTCCAAGCAGATGCCTTCATGTAGGAGCTACACTAGGTGGTTTTAGCGGTTTATTCATGGGTCTGCATCTTCATGTCTTTGCCGGTCAAATCCCGTCGAGCCCAGGAATCAGCACTCAATCTTCTGCCGTCTTGATTGTGCGATCAATTACCCGAAGCGTCCCTCGTAAGGCCTGCTGGTCCCTCTGTCCAGGCACTTGGTGCCCCTGATCATGCACGAACACCTGGCGGTTGTCACATAGACGCGCAAGGGAACTATGCACCTGCTCGGGCGTGCTCCACCCAATTTCGGCCCAGACTTTCTGCAGGGGCGACTGCACGTCGGTGCGAGTCGTGCTCTCGTGCGAGTAGACATGTGCCGTGGGAATGAATATCGAGACTGCGTCCTTGGCGGGATCCAGACTCCTCACGATGCCGGCCGCGAGGTCGTCTGGATCCAGCGGCGGTGCTGCGCTGAAGAAGATACCGCATTTAAAGTTTGCAAACGGCCGCCGAGAGTCTTCGACGAGCAGAGTCGCAGCGATGATGCCGCCCTCAGAGAACCCCATGATACCATCGAAGGGTCCCTGACTCTGTACCACGTCGATAAGGCCGTCGAGCAGTTCTTGGTACTGGCGAACGTCGGAAGGCTCTCCCAAATAGCCGTACCGGTCTTGATCATCGTCTATGTTTTCGCCTGCTGTGGTTTCATCTGGCCCAAGTCAGTCATGAGTAGCCTGAGGAATCGGATATGTCCTGCCATACCATCGCCCATTCGTATTGGTATGTCTCCATTGAGAAACTCAAAGTGGTGTTCGCCAAGGTCTTCTCGGAGTCTCGCTGCCACCCAAGCATGATCAGTCAAGTGATCATCCTCATGTTCAACGCACATTCATAGACTGAGAAGTCATATTGGCAAAGCTCAAGTGTAGTGCCCTTAACTTGAGATGACAAGTTTCTTACCAGTTTGGAACTCGAATATCTTACAAAGGATGAATCAGCACCACCGTATCCTAGGTAATGTACACACTTCAGACCTGCGTCATACCTTTGCACTTGTTGCCCTCCCATGAAGGCACAGGAAACGCATCTTTACGGGAGTTGAAGAAAAAGGAAGGGGCTGGATGCCGGGACAAGGTGAGGGTTTCGAATCCGACTAAAACAACGGGGAGTGGCGAGACGTAGTCCAAAAATCATAAGCGATGGTCCGGATTCGGAAGAATTCTTCCTTGCCCAAGGATTATCCGACTCTGGTACGACACTGATATCGATATGCACGGCAAGTGGAAAAGACTGGGCCGTCGTGCAGAAAAGGATCAAAACCCCCAGGGAAGTGAAATGGCTGACTCGGCAAAACCAAGAACACGAATACCCGGACTCGACGTTCTTCAGAGGCACTGAGGTACAGAGGCCTGGCTTCCGACAGAGCCCAGCCTGCCAAGTGCAGATCTCGCGTTGTCTCCCTTTGCGGCACAGCCAGTGAGGTAACTTTTGACAAGATCCGAGGTTTCTAAGAGCCCTTGTCGAAATGAGAGGCAAATTGACGGTCATGACAAGGTTCCCTGCCAACCGTTACATGCTCATAATACCGGCGTAGGTATGATCCAGGGGTTACTCGGAATTTTCACCATAGAAAGTGCCGTGTTCATCCAACCATACTTCGCGAGCCTCTCATAAGAGGCTTTGAGGTCATCCAAATCCCTCAGTCTACTGCCAACTATTTGCCGACTAAGAACATCCATCCAACGACAGCTTCACACGTTTCGAGCACCAAGCTTGCCCCACATGGCGGCTGTCGACTTCACCAAGATGACTCCGGAGGAGCTGGACGCGGTGTTGGAAGGGCCAGCCATGGCTCCGCCGGACGGAGAAGTCAGCAACTTTGTTGACCCTCCAAACGAAAATGGCCTGGCCATCGCCATTATCGCCATTTGCTTGGTCGTTGTTGTCCTCTGTCTCGCCGTCCGCGCATATGCCAGATTGATCATTCTGAAAAGAGCGCAAACTCAAGAATACTTGATTCTGGCAGCTTTTGTTAGTAACATCTACAGCGTTACCGTTACCGTAACCTAACGCCACCTCATAGACATGTTTCATCGGATGGACCTGGGGTACCATAAGCCTGATTGACAACCCGGGATACTACGTCCACACATGGAATGTCAAGCTTCGAGATACAGTCAGCATGGGACTGGTGAGTTCAACATCCTCCTTGAGTCTGAAGCATTGCCCACAAGGCAAAACACTAACAACCACAAGGTCATTCACATCATAGGCCTTTTCTACTCCGTGTGCCTTCCACTCCTCAAGATATCGATCTTGCTGGAATGGCTTGGTTTATTCGTCCCCGGTAACAGAAACTGGTTCTGGTGGGTGAGTTGGGGCCTGATAGGCATCCAGATTGCCTTCGCAATCGCTGCGGTCATCGCTTTGAATATGGTCTGCATCCCAGCGCAGAAGAAGTGGGAGTTCTGGCTTCCGGGCAAGTGTATCAATGCCCACGACATTGAGACCGTCTCAGCTAGCTTCCAGCTTGTCTCGGACTGCATCATTCTCGTACTTCCCCAGAAGGCAATTTGGGACCTGCAGATGGGCTGGAAGAGAAAGCTAGGTGTCTCTGTCATCTTCTCGCTCGGTCTTTTGTAAGTGCCCCTTCACCAGACACGAACTGCTCAAGAGATGTTCATCAATCTGACTTCCATCTCAGCGCTTGCGTTTCCGCTGCCTTCCGTCTCGCCGTCACAGTTTCGTACGCCGAAGCCGCAGATACCATATACCACATCGGACCCGTCTGTTTCTGGGCTTTTGCCGAGATGACATGCGGCTTCATCGTCGTCTGCCTTCCTTGTGCGCCTAAGATCTTGCTGGAGAGCGGTGTCTGGCGCAAAATGAAGAAGGGACTCGGAATGAGCGTTACTGCCGGGGCCACCGGCGCCAGCGGAACCGGCATGACTCCGAAAAACCGGTCGGGGTCAAGCGCCATGAGATCGAAAAACATGCGGCCAGCCGGTAACTCGTATTTGGAAATCGACGACACAGAGATGAAGACATTCCAGTCTGAGTCGACCGAGCATCTCCGCGAAGATCCACGAGCCAACAAGCTGGACCAAGGCATCGTGCGCACCACACAAGTCACTGTCACTCAGAACTCAGACACTTCCAGCGGCAAGGAGGGCATGTACAGCCATCAAGCACCGCAATGGAGGTAATCCATGCTTGGCATCTGGTTCCATCAGCTTCGGTCCTTCGGGTGCAGACGGCTTGACCCGCGGGGAAAACCAAGTGTTCCAGGCCTGTTTACGTAGCAATAGTCAGGGGTCGAGACGGACCGACACAAAAGTCCCTTTCTGTATATTAAAACCAATAACTGTACAAATGTAACATGTATCCATACTCTGCAGCCCTGCTGCTTCCAAGCAAGAGGCAAATGTTCACAGTTAGGGAAAACCGCAATTGAATCATTCTTCTAAGTTGTCCTGTTGGCGAACCGGGAAAGACCCCTTGGGGTCCGACGTCGTATAAGACTTGGCACCAACCAACAGCCGTATTGTGAAGAGGGGGCTTGGAGAAAAGCAAGGGGCAGAAATTCGGCAAAGATCGACAGGTGAAGATGAAGAAATGCGCACCCTGGACCCTGCAGGCTGCAGAAACGCGGTAGTGACGGTTGCAACGGCATCCCAAAATGGCATGTCGGTCACCGGTGGGGACTTGTTCCTGATCGCAGAACATCCGTGACAAGCGCGAATGGTATGATATGATGGGGTCAGTACAAGTCGGTTCCATTTCTCTCCCCACGATTTCGTCGTTCACAGCTTGTGGTTGGGCCATCGACCCAACTTCCCTTGTGTAATTGGTCAAGCTCTGCACATATGTAATATGAGGTGTCCTGATGCGTGGGGCTTGGTTACGTTCAGACAACGGTTTGTTGACAAGGGTTCTGATCCCATTTGCACGTCCCCAAGGCCACAATCAACGGCTTCGGTTCCGACCTTCAAGTGCGTGACGATCCTGGCAACCCCAGACCCCTCGATAATGTCGGGATATCTGTGATATGCAGTATGCCAAGGTGGGATACACCGCTTAATCCGCCATCCGGAACCTAGTAACTCCCGCTCACGCCCTCATACGGCATAAATCACCGTTCCCCTTATGGCTGTGTCTACTGCAGAGCTCAAAAAGGAAAGCATCATTGGAGTTCTGACTCTCGACATTCACACACATCTTTGCTGCAATACAACTCATTAGTCAAAGTCACACTGCCTCGATAACATCATGCCTAAGGTCGAGGAATTCCAGCTCCACCCTCTTGGATGGGAGAACGACCCGGAAGAGGAGCGCCGCGAGCTCTCCACGCTCGACTACTTGTCGGCTATGGTCTACAACAACTATGCTCTGTTCTTCAAGCTTGAAGACGAGCAGAAGAGGTGACTGGCACTTTGATCCTCGGCAAAACGTCAACAATTTCTAACTTCCCATCAGCAAAGTAGCAGCGGTGCTTAAGGAAGGCCTGGAGCGCACCCTCAGCCAGGCCAGGCATCTTGTTGGCACCATCGAAAAGGGTGACGACAACCGCTACTTCTTCGTCAAGAAGAAGGACAGCACTGTGAAATTCGTTGTTCAGTATCTTGACTCCCCGGAGGACAAGTTTGCGTCTTTCTCTGATATCGAGAAAGCTCATTTTGTCTCGACCACTCTGGGCGATATCAAGGTCCTGAGCAATGCTCCCATGACCTATGGCGAGAAGCCGGAAGCCCACCCGGACTGCAGCCCCGTTATCGCATCGTACAAGGCCAACTTCATCCCAGGCGGTCTCATCTTCAACATGCACTCTCATCACTACAGTAACGATGTCGTTGGCTGGGGAAACTTTGCCAAGCAGCTGGCTGACAACTGTTACGCCATCGTCAACAAGACGGGGTTCCCTACTTTTGACCCCCAATGCCTTGATCGCAGCCGTTTCATTGCTCCTTCGGTCCCGGAGGAGTCTCGGGTCAACGCGCCTCCTCAGGCCGACCGCCACCCGGATCACAAGATTTCGCAGTCTCTCATCTTCCACTTGCCCAAGAGCAAGGCCGCCGAGCTGAAGAAAATTGCTTCGCCCAACGACGGCACCTGGATTTCCACGTACGATGCCATCTGCGCGCTCATGTGGCGAACATTCTCCAAAATTCGCGAGCCCGTCTTCAAGCCGGACCCTACCTCCACGCCCATCTGGGCCGAGGCGGCTACCATGTCCAAGCGACTCAAGAACCCCACGATGCCCGCTCGCATGCAGGGCAACACCTTCTTCGCCACCATGTCTGCTGCGGCTGCCGTACCACAGCTGACCGTGGCTGAGATCGTCTCAGAGGCTCCGTTGACCAAACTCGCGAGCTACGTGCGTCAAATGACCAACGGCGTCACCCAGGAAATGCTTTTCGGCGCGCTGGACTCTCTTGCGCCGATCAGGAACAAGCAAGACTTGGCCATCCGCATCAACTCATTCCCTCCTATGACGCTGGTCATGACCGACTGGAGAGACTCGGATGTGTGCAACTCCGACTTTGGCTTCGGAAAGCCCGTCGCCTTCCGACACCTGTTTGACACTGTCACGGAAGGTCTTGCCATCGTGTACCCGCCGCATAACGGTCCGGCTGGAGATGACGAAGGCATTGAGGTCCAGGTCTCCTTCGAGAAAGAACTCCAACAGCAGTTGGTGAATGACCCCGAGTGGAAGAAGTACTTCGAGTTCAGAGGTGTTGATGCAGAGGAAACCAACCCAACCGGAACTGAGACCGTGCCAGTGGCTTAAAATGTCGGCGGGGCCATGTATTTGAACGACCTGAGGCCCAGGTAGAAAGAAATATTAAAAAAGCACTTGCATTCTTATCCCCGACTCATTCATAAACGCTCAATTGCTACGCCTTATACGAAGTCTCCTCAAATAATGAAAGTGAAACTCGAAAGCTGGATAAATAGCTCATCATGCTAGGCAAACATTATACTATCAAACAGATCATCTGATGCAGAAGCAATGTGTGTTCGAAGGTATGGATATCAATTAGAAGTTCTGAAATGGATGGACTGTACGATTTAAAGCATGCAGAGGCCCCGTGACCTGTGAGACTTCATATTCTTCAAATCCGACATTGCAACATCGAGGCCGTGATGCGGCACGTTTTGTGAAAATAGGCTATCGCATTAGCACTCTAGCGGTCAGAATACGTAGGAGATGAGTTCTGATGCTGCTGTGCCTGATCTACAATGAGCAGAAATTGAACGTCATGACATATATAGTGTTGATTGAGGAATACTAGCTAGAGTGCCCTTCAATATTGTGGCTTATTTGTGGCTATTGCCCGCTGTAGACTCATACGGCGAAAACTCAAAGTCTCAAATCAAGCAAGCAGTGTTGATTGAGGAAAGCTTTTCATCAAATGTCAAGTATCAATGCCGGGAAATATACACGGACATAATTAAGCATAATACCTGCCTTTCTCTTGACAATCAACGTGAACTCTTTAATTGCCACGTATAGAGTTGAACTTGAAGCCGATCGCAACATTCCACGATCCAAAACTGACTGGAAAAGTGCATTTCAGATCGGTATTCACGGTAAGTTGAGCGGAGAAGGCACTGGAGTGCCTATCTCGCACTGATGGCTTTTAAAGATTATAATTCTTATTTATCTGTATGTTAATTCGAGTCGCGCTCGTCATAGACATGAATTTCCGAGTTGCATTTCCTCGTCCATGATCTTGTAGTGCGCCTGGCAAAGGCTTCAGCTCCATTCCCCCTGTTGCCCTGCTATAGATGTCAGTATTTCCGAGCAGTTTCCGGCGAAGAAGATGTTGGCTGCTATTCAATTCTGCCAAATATGGTTTAGAGCCTGCATATCACAAGGCTTTCTCATTCGTCGCAGAACAACATGTTGGTGTGGTTCTGTTGGCGAGCCCAACTAGAACGCAGCAGTTTTGTTGTTCGCATCTGCTGAACCAACACACAAGGAACAAGCGGACCTCAAGGAAGAGGGGTATTTGCGGGGCCGTTCTTCTTATTTCTTGCCATCTGACGGTGGCCGATGTCCTCCATGTTCTCTCTTCTCTCATCATCACACAACTTGTAGCTTCACCTAGTATCGTCATGTCTGCGACGTCGAATCAAGCAGCGGTGCCGCCCAGCTCTTCATTGGCAAACGCTGATACAGGTCCTCATGAGGGGCCTATTACGGCTGTGAGCTTCGATCATCACGTCCTATCGGCTTTCGTAGCTTGCGTTGACCATGACATATTAGGGCCCCGCCATTGATGAGACCAACAACGAGTCTGAGACGAGGAGGTGAGTTTGTCTGGAGTTTTGTGAAGCTATGTGAAGACAAGTGCTTATTGTTCGCAGCATCATCTCCTCATCAACCGCGTCATTGACCGAAAGCATCACCGAGTACCGCCGTCTTCATGGGCGAACATACACCCAAAAGACAGACTACTGGGGACCGAATGACGAGAAACAAAACGAAGGACTCGAGATCAAGTACGTTTCAACACGGCGGGCTGTTATTTCAGGCAGGATTCTAAACTACTCACCAACAGTCATTACTGGATGACCTTGTTTTTAGGTGACAAGCTCTTTCTTGCCCCGATTGGTGACAGTCCTCAAGTAAGCGTTCTAATCTCCAGCACTTTTGCGATGGGAGTTCACGTCCTTGACAGAATGTTCTTGACCTCGGTACCGGGACAGGTATCTGGGCTATGTAAGTTCGAGGAACTCTCATGATCAGAAAACTTTACTAACCACGGCTAGCGACTTTGCCGATGAGTTTCCGTCTGCCGAAGTTGTTGGGATCGATATATCGCCTATCCAGCCTTCCTGGGTTCCACCGAACTGCAAATTCCAGATTGGCGATATTGAACAGCCGTGGACTTGGCCGGCCGACTTCTTTGACCTCGTCCATATCCGCAACCTCGAAGGCAGCGTAGCAGACTGGCCAGCGCTCTACAACCAGGCCATACGCAGTTTGAGACCTGGTGGTTATATCGAAGTAAAGGAATTCGACATCGAAGTCCGGTCTCAGGTCCAGGATGTAGACGACGACCACCCTTATAAGGCCTGGGCGAGGAACATCTGCGCCGCCTGCGACAAGCTTGGCAAGACAGGAAAGCAATGCCGTGAGCCCGGAATTGCTACCAACCTTCGAGAAGCCGGGTTCATCGACATTATCGAGAAGAAATGGCCGATCCCGATTGGTGCATGGGCGAATGACCCCATGTTGAAGGAGGTCGGCACAGGAGCCCTGGAATATCTCGATCAATCGCTGGAAGGATTCGGGACCTTTCTTCTCAAGGAGATTTTGGGCTGGGAGTACGCCAAGGCCATTGTCTTCATCAGTGAGAAGCGCAGGGCGCTCAAGGACGCGAAGATGCAGCCGGTCATCGATTTGTAAGTTCGCCGTTTTCTGAGACGAGCCAAGTACTAATAGCTTGCTGTATATAGACATCTTGTCTATGCCAGAAAAACAAAACATTGGGGAAAATGCCATGAACTTGTATTTCACGTTGCCTGAATGTAAACACTTTCTCCACTACACTGCGTTGAGTTCATAACCCTTAGTCTCAAAATCTCGGCAATGAATCTATGCAGTCGGTTGACGTCTCGCAGCTTTTGATGTCGAGGTTTCAGTCTGTCGAAGGCATATGTAGTATTCAAACCAACTAGAATTCGGTGGCTTCTCTATACATGCATTTGAAGGAAGATTAGCCGCCCTCATCCTGAGGGCTGCTGAATGAGTCGAAATCACTTCAATTTCTTCTGCTTACCTCTTCGCGACGGCCTCTTTCTCATGCTTTTGTTCAATACGCCATTAGTAGCGTATAACCAATATTGAACTAAGCATCCAGAACTACATCTCCTCGAGGACAGAATTGGAAGCTCTCATCCAGCCAGGGTCTAGATCCTTCCGGCCGCGCTAGGATTTCTCGGCCGAGCCAACGCGCTAAGCCAGCCCGACGACCATCTAATTTCCCGTGCCTCATCCCCTTTTCATCGCCGTCCCGGGTCATCATCCAACACCGCTCCGACAACCTCAAAACCCGGCTCCGATCCGAGCATCCCGTCAAGAATGAGGCCCCTCAGCCTCGGGTGGCTGCTCACCTCCATCCTCCCCCTCACAACCGCCCTACCCAACAGCACAACCGAAGTCGACCTGATCTTCCCCCGTCCAGACAACACCTACGCCCCAACACCCTCTGGCCTCCCCGTCCTCATCTCCCTCCACAACCCCACAGCCGCGAACCACTTCGGCTGGACCTTCCGCTGGGGCGTCTACAAACAACCACACCCCGACATCGCCCACCGCCTGCCCCTCAACACCATCTCAGCCGCCATCGGCAACGACACCACGTGGCCCGACAACCCGCACCTCATCACCGACGCGACGGGAAAGCCCCTCGAGCCCGGCACCTACACCTTCCACTGGAACCTCCGCGGCAGCCACTGGTGCGAGTTCCTCCCGGGGAGCGCCGAGTACTCCGACGAGCTCTTCCTGACCAACGGCTCCTTCTCCTTCACGGTCGCCAGCGGCGCGCCGACGCCGACCTTCACGGGTACGTGTCCCACGGCGCTGGGCGTCGTGGACTACGTCTCGACGACGGTGTACCGGGGGTTGCCGTGGGACGAGGAGCACGGGGACCCGGCGACGCAGACGCTGACGTGCGCGGTCACGAGGAGCGTGAGCGTTACGGCGGAGCCGTGTCTTGCGACGGTGGACGCGGCGCAGGAGACGAGTGTTTCGAAGAGGATGGGGTGGGGGGAGTATGCCACTGCTGCTGCGTCTGCCACGGGGACTGGGTCGTTTGGGAGTGGGCGCGGTGTGGTGGTGCCGTTCTTGTCTTGGGTGTTCGTGGGGATCGGTGTCGTCTTGGTTATTTCATAAGTCCTGCGGGGGGCTTTGTTTGAAGCAGACTTTGATGGACGATTAATCGATAAGGCGTGGGATCGATAAGCCTGTGACATGTATCTGTCGAGAGACAGCATGCCTGTTACGAATAATTCAACAACCTTCTCCGGTTGCTTCGACGTAACTATGACAACTCACCTGTAGAGCAGATAGGCCATCAAAAGTAATACCGCGATAGTTCTATATCTAGAAGAAGCCCCTTTCCCCGCTCCTTGAAACTTCAACTAGTCTATCACTCATAACTTCTAAGTATTAGCGACTTGAACGACATCTATATCCATTAACTATGACAAACATGGACTAGCATATCACCGTGATTGAGATGAACTACCTCCCTTTGATTTTGTGCTATGTGGTGTAGTTTTATAGGCAACGAGCCTAGGACGCACAGGGAGATCTCAGATGATAACATTTCGACAATGGGAACGAAGCGCAACAATGAAGCTCACGACGCTCGTGGGCACCGAAAGATGACCGTTTGCTATGCTTAGATGGACACCAGCGCGAGGGGTTGCAGTAGCAATAAACCCCAAGATAATACCGTGAACTTGCTCAGTCGGAACATAGAAAATCGCAACAATACGTCGGCTCAATCGATTCAGATACTATAGAATGGTATAACTCACCATTGAAGTTTTCAAAAGCCGTGCCTACAGTCTTGTGGTAGTCATCAATCATGGCTAACGCTCAAGCAATCGTGTAGTTCACCATCGTGTGCTAAAGGACGCGTGTAAGCATTCACATAATGTACATTAAGACTATAGCGCAGCGGGCACCACCATCCCCGGAGAAAACAAATATACAGCTAAATGTCGCCAATTCTTCTATCAGTGTTATTTATACCCTACTCACTGTTGACGAAAACCGCATTTTCCCTCATAACTAAAACGGAGACGATTTCATTGATACAACCCAGCCTCAAAACCACAATCCAACCCCCGAATCCGCTAAACAAAACCACGTTCCCCATATGCAATGCCATAAAAACCCATCAAACCAAGTCCCTATCCCGCATAGTCATCCCCAAACTTCAAGGAAGCTCACAGACGAACTCCCCGAGCTCACCCGTCACGCGATCCGTCTCCAGAGACGAACGTGACCCAGACCCCGTGCCAGCCCATCTCCCCGTGACTTACCGAGCGGAGATCACGGAGACGGGCTCGGCACCGAGCCTCGGACCTCTTTAGATGCCTGAACGACGCCGCACGGCTGTCCCGTCTGTGCGGTTATGGACCTTGTCTGACGCATATCGTTCAAAATGCAACTTGGGGGATGATGACGGTAATGGCTTCTTCCTTGGATGTGAACATCGTTTCGGGATAAGAACGCATGGCAGGTGATGTTTGAAGATGCACGAGAGAGATATCGTCTGCATAAGCGTTGTCGCTGGCGAATCAAAAAAGGAAACAGACGGTTTTTGGCATTAAGGAGGTTGAATGTTATTGGGTGTTGTATTATGGGATATCTGCAAACAAAGCGGAGCCGCAAAGTCTGTAAGGAGGGAATTAGACGTTCAATGATTGCATTCGAGGATCGAGGTGGGCCGCCGAGTCTAATGGAGCTACATCGTCTGATCATCTCATAGGCTGTCTTCTCTAGTAATCTCTATTCTGGGTGTATTGACATCTGAAATTTTAGGGACGTCAAGGATGTCAGGGCTGAGCCATTCCTTGACCGCCGCGATGGCTTCGCCGTACTCGACCATGACCGTCTCTTTTGGCGTGAACGGTGGAGGCTTGTCCCATGCATGCTTTTCTGTCTCGACCACGCGAGTGCTGATCCGGCGCCCCCGGGATTGAAGACGTTCAGCAAACTTCTGACCCTCCAAGAGGAGCATGTCGTACTCGCACATGCAGAGGTGAATGGGCGGAAGCCGATCCACCATCTCGTCTGTCATCAGGCCAGGGGACAGCCGTGGGTCATGGCGCTCAGACCGTGGTCGCGGAGGATATACATAGGATGCGTCAAAGAGATCAGTCATTCCCTTTGGAAGAGTCATGTCAGGCCTGCCACAGGTCTGCCGCTTCATTGGCCTTGTGATGGTCCAGTCGAGAAGTGGGTAGAAGAGAACGATGCCGGATATGTCGGGGACCGGGAATTTAAGCTCATAACCCCACCTCTGGGGCTCTTGGAGGAGGTTCCAGCCGGCGAGGGCCAGGGTGCCGCCGGCCGAGAAGCCCGAGATGAAAACCTTTGATTTGTCGATGCGGAATTCTTCAGCACGTGCGACGATCTGCAGGATCGAGTCGGCGGCATCCTCTACCGGAGTGGGGAAGGGATAGCCCGGAGCCAGACGGTAGCTGACGGAGAAAACGACGGCATTCAGGGCGGTGGCTACGGCTCCGGCCCAGCGGGCGTCATCAGTACCCTGTCCGAGAACGAAGCCTCCGCCGTGAAAGTTGATGACTGCAGGGACCTTCCCGGTGGGTTTTGCTGGTGTGGTTTGGGGAGGAAGCCAGACATCGACTCTGATCTTTTCTTTACCAGCCCATTCAGACAGCGTCGAGTCAAGCCAGATGACCCTATTCGCGGCTGGAGGGACGGGAGCGGACAGGTTCTGAAGTCCGAATGCAAAGGCGGCGCCCGAACGGAGGGCGAAAGCATTAGCGGTCAGGCGCCAACGAGCGATATTCTCGAGGGGATTGTCATATTCGCCGTCGGGAGTGCCGGCTCTGCTGGTAGCGGCACTATTGGCCTTGCTATTGGCCTTGCTCCCGTTCTTGCTAGACCTGGATAGGTTGGATATGTTGGATACAGTCCGGGCGAGCTTGTTGGAATTCATCGGGATGCGGAATGCGCGGAAGTGCCGCGGACGCAGATGCAGATGCAGGTGACAAGCGGCCGGCTGGTGGATGCTGAGAAATGCGGACAATCGGGCGCCGAAGAAAGTCAAAGAAACATTGGCGAACGACGGATGTAGTCAAAGAAGGGCGGTGGTGTCTCGGGTATAACGGAACAGAGCGGTTTGGCGATAGGTGAGAGGAACCGACGGGAGAAGATGGAGAAGAGGATTGACAAATCAAGAGGCTAATAGGAAGCTTTTGGTGCTACCGGCCGAGGAGAGAGAGGTCGTCGGGTTGGGTGTGACTCCGGGCACTAGGCACCAGGTGGAGGAGGTAGGGTGTCAGGTGTCATTGACGTTGGAAGTAGGTGGACTTGGCGGATGTGCCCTACCAGACCGGGAAGGCCTTGGCAGATGAGATCAGGTCCCAAGGCGAGTGGGATGGAGGATCGGCGTGGTGAGGTAGCCTTTTTTGGTGTCGATGGTGTGGCCACCTAAGGTAGGTCGTGATTATCGGCTAGCAGAATGGATGTGTGTGGTTGGGCTGGAGAAAGACGGCGATTCTGAGACGGGAGAGAGCAGAAGTCGAGGCCAGAACAGAGCAGGTTGGGAGCGAGGCACAGCAGGGTAAACGGGAGGCGATATGTCACTGGCACTTGCCTCTACGGCTTGTGATGGCGCAACAAGTTTTCAGGTTGCTTGTCGGTCGGGGATGATACCATTACGATACGTGGTGATGTGGCAGGTGTGGCAGGTGTGGCAGGTGTGGCAGGCGTGGCAGGCGTGGCTAAGGCGCAGTGTCAATCGCCCAAGGCAGAGAGCGTGACAGAGCTGTGAGGTGTGTGAGGTCCAGAAGGACTGCAAAGATGCCGAAAGGGTGACGTCAGTCGAGGCCCAGGGTGGGGCCGTGCCTTCCGGGATGTGACCGGAGCTACCTGCGGGATGCGCATCGCGGTTTCCAGAGGATGCCAGAAGACCCAAAGACCCAAAGACCAATAGAAACGGTGTTTTTAGAAAGGCCCAAGGAAACGCTAGGCAATTCTTGAAGGTCCCTAAAGACGGGAGGCAGCTTAGGTAGCCTGGAAGGTTGCCGGGGTCTGCCCCGGAGCAAACGGTCCTCAAATGGAATGACAATTCAGTGTTTAATCGACTGCAAAATGATATCAGCCACTTAAAAAAAGCGTTTCGTCGTCCGTGACCTTGTGGGGCTAATATTGGCGGGGGACGTGGACAGTGGACGGACGGGAAGGAGGTACGTACCGGATGCCCCACAACGAATGACGCTGCACTGACACCACATGGCCGGTGCTTGTTTGTATCGGGCAGGAACCTACGGCGAAACGGGCAGGAAAGGCGTGGAAAGGAGGAAACTTCACCTGCCTTGCCTCTTACCTAGACGTGCCGTGAGAAAAATTCAGGTAGGGCAGGAGCGAAGGACCACTTTGAGGGACCACACGCACCTGGCCGATGCGATGCGATCGATCCAGTGTCCTGCCTTTTCGTTGCTTTCAGCAAACTTTTGCCTCGACTCGTGTCCATCTTAATGTTCGTACGAGCAGCTACATACTAAGGTACATTTGATTCTGAAGTAGGTGATACGTAAGGTCGCAGCTGCCGTTCGGGTACAGGATACCTCAACTGTCCCCGGCCTCCGTGACGTACCCCGACCGTCTGGCCGCGACTCCGGCATCTGGGCACATTTCTGTCCTGTGACCATGCTGAGCAAGCGCCTTGGTCGCGCAAGAAAATCAAGACTTGGGCAGACTCTAGCAGTATTGGCTCGATCATGGTTGAGTCACCGGTACATGATATCAGATTGGGTCCAAAGAAACGACCCTTCCGGGCGGAGCCATGTCCGCGGCGGACCGTGATGTTCGCCGAGTTTCCTTCCATCATGATTATTCTTATTCTCATCATCCGCCCCCCTCCTTTCCCATCCACCTTTTCCCGTCTGTTCTCTCCATTCACATGTACCTGCAGTGACATGCCCATGTCCATCCTCCATATGTAAACCCGTCTTGGCCAAGTCAACCAATTTACTCCAACCTACCCTCCACCCAACAACACCATCTATCGCCAAGCAACTAGCACTACCGCTACTACGTATGTCCAGCCCTTGCCAAGGGGAGGCAACAACACCATGATGGAACAGGAAGCCGTACGACCACCACCTTCGGGCGCTCTTTCGCGCATCGCTCAGAAGATCACATCGCCGCTGAAGACCCACAACCAGGCTACTACGACATCTACGACAAAGACTACCGTCTACGAGAAGCATAGCCCAAGATCCAGCAAGACCAGCCAGTCTAGTAAATCCAGCAAGTCCAGCGATGGCAGAAGTCCAGCAACGAGCCCGGCGAGAAGCCCGGCCAGGAGTGGCGAGCTGAAGCGACAGGAACGGGGGCTCAAGCTCGAACGTCGAGAGCAGGAACAGCGAGAACTCGAGGAACGCCGCCGGCGAGAGTTCGAAGAGGCCCGCAAGAATGAAGACGAAGAGACTCGCGCACGATATGGAGAGGGAAGCGAGGACGACTACCCCACCGAGCTCAACACCATCGCCGAGGCCAGCCAGATGGACGTCGGCTCCAAGGTCACCTTCCGCGCCAGAATCCATACACAGCGCAACATCTCAAAGCACCTCGACTTCATTCTCTTCCGCGACCAGACTGACACCATCCAAGGCGTTCTGGCCAACGTCACACCGAACATGGTGAAATGGGTTCAGCGACTGCACCCCGAATCCATCGTCCAGGTCTCCGGCACCCTCAAGAAGCCCTTACAGGACGTCAAGTCCGCCTACCACCATGATGTCGAGGTTGACATCTACTCGATCCATCTTCTCAACCCTGCGCAGGCGCCACCATTCAGCAACTACATGCCCCCGGATAGCATGAACAACAGACTCAACAACCGCGTCCTCGACCTGCGACACCCCTCCAACCAGGCCCTCTTCCGCGTCCGCGCCATGATCACCCGCAAATTCCGCGAGACCCTCGACAACGACGGCTCCATTGAGATCCAAACACCAAAGTTGCAACCTGCAGCGACCGAGAGTGGTGCTGAGGTCTTCAAGCTGAACTACTTTGGGCGTCGCGCCTTCTTGGCGCAGAGCCCCCAATTGGCCAAGCAGATGGCCATCTCTGCCGACTTTGGCAAAGTCTACGAAGTAAGTGCGCCCATTTCATTGTCCGAGGAAACCAATCAGCGTGAACCACCGCTGACACCGTTAGATCGGCCCGGTCTTCAGAGCCGAAAACTCCAACACGCACCGGCACTTGACCGAATACACCGGACTCGACATCGAAATGAAGATTCACAAGCACTACCACGAACTTATCAGGGTCCTCGACAAGGTTTTGAAGAATATCTTTACCGCCGTCAACGCCATGCCCGAGCTTAAGATCGTTCGCGAGAGGTGGCCAAGCGAAGACCTTGTTTGGTTGGACGAGACCCCGATCATTCCCTTCCCCGAAGGCCTCCAAATGTTGCGCGATGATGGCCGAGATGTTGCCGACGAGGACCTCTCAACAAGAGACGAAATCCGTCTCGGAGAGTTGGTGAAAGAGAAGTACAAGACCGATTACTACATCCTCGACAAATTCCCCGCCAACGCCCGTCCGTTCTACACTCACAAAGCCGAGGATCCCTTCTGGACAAACTCTTTCGATATTTTCGTTCGAGGCCAGGAGATCTGCACCGGAGGTCAGCGCATCAACGACCCCAAAGAACTGCGAAAGAGCATGGCCGCCAACGGCATCTCGGAGGATGAGATGTCAGAATACCTGGAAGCGTTCGACCTTGGCGCTCCTCCCCACGGCGGCGCTGGTCTCGGCTTGGACCGCGTCGTCTTCCTTCTCCTGAACCTTGGAGATATTCGCTACGGATCTCTCTTCTATCGCGACCCCAAGTCTCTCCCCATGCGCTCCTTCCATCTTCCTCATCCCAACGCAGACACAACCAAAATTTGGGCAGGCCGGGAACTGCCTCCTCTCGAGGAGCTCATCGCCAATTACGGCGACGCCTCCAACACATCATGGCTCGACGAGAGATTCGAGATCTGGCGTCATAGCAGTGGCGCGGCCGTCGGCTACGTCAAGCAGGGCAAGTTCGCCATGATCACCGGCGACCCTCTTTGCGACCGCGGTCAATACGAGGAAGTCATTCCTGCCTTCGTAGAATTCGTCACCAAGGAGCTCAAGCTCACACCAGTGTGGATGCTCGTCTCCAACAAAGTCCAGGAAATCCTTGGCCGACGGATCGGATGGCGCACAATGTCCTGCACCGAGGAACAGCGCGCCGACGCCGATCAACACACCGCCCCGGACAACCGCGCTGCGCGCCGGGTCAAGCGTGAAGGTATCAAGATCCACGAGATCAAGCAGCTCAACGACGACTTCATGAAACGCGCGGACAAATCGATCGAGGCTTGGAAGGAAAAGCGCAAGGACAAGAAACAGGTCCATCTCACCGAGATCCGCCCTTGGATCGACCAGTCCCACCGTCGATACTTCGCCGCCGAAAAAGACGACAAGGTCCTCTGTATGGTCGTGCTGGCGCAGCTGGCACCGCGGTACGGCTGGCAGGTGAAGTGGGCTCTGGACTTCCCCGATGCGCCCAACGGAGCGATCGAGGTCCTTGTCGAGTACGCCCTTTCCTGCATCTCCGGTCCCGTCACGTTTGGCGCCGGCGTCAGCGAGAGGTTTGTCCCCGGCCAGCACCTCCACGGCGTGCGTGCCAAGTTCTTGAGCAAGACGTACGCCGCCATCGTCAAGAGCCTCGGCCTGGGCAGGAAGGCTGAGTTCAGGGACAAGTTTGGCGTACTGGGCGAGCAGGTGTACATCTGCTACCCTCGCCGCGGTGTCACCTTGTTTGACCTGAAGGAGATTGTCAAGTTTTTCATGGACGAGGACAGCAGCTAAGAGTACCTCGGCATTGCGACGTAGGGAGAAGGGGCGACCACTAGTGTAATTACGAGCATGGAGCAGGACTGTTGTTGGTTTGGGAGGACTTGGTTTTGTTCATGCACGATGCAATCGCAGCGATACCTCCATCTTTTTAGATTTGATACCAGCGTAGAACGCACTCTCATTTGTAAGCATAATAACGAACATTCCACCCGACCTCGAACTCTTTACGCAGCGCTATTCTCACGTCTTGTCCATTCTGAAGATTGATATCAGCAATATGATATCCCGATGTTCACCTTCGTCGATTCTCAAGCACTAACTGCTCGTATCAAGATATCCGGTACCAGCTGGCACGCGGTGGAATCCCGAAGGGCAGGCAACCTCAACAACCTGAAACGGCCTAGCACGAAAGACATCAATGCGTGGTTCATCCTGTCATGGACCCTGCCATCGACGTCCGAAGTCGACATCGAACCACGCCAAACAGCGACGGCGCCTGTAGAACTGACAACCTCGAAAATGCGCGTTTCGCAACCACCGCCCCAATCCGTCCAGACACGACGTATCATCTATATTGCACGCCAACAGATCCCCAAAAGCCAAGCTCGTCGACCCCGTATGATCAACCGGTATTCTTCGAGAAGCAAACACGGTACTGGTCCGCGGGTCGCTCTGCCGAGGCCCCTCGCGTTCTTAGACATCAGCACTTACACACAGCCGTGTGGTGACATCCCGTCTCTCGTTTGAGACCTCCATGACCTAGACTCCAGTCTCCGCACTTGGCTGGTTACCCCCCCTCGAACGTCTTTTGAGCTTCGCGAATCATCGAGCGCGTTTACTTCTCGAGAGCCGAGGAATGTTGGAAGATGCCGAGGGACGTGACAGACCGGGCGGAAGGTCTCGTTGAAGATGCCTCTTTGAGTAAAGATTCATCGAGGCGGCGGATATCACGAACGTCTATAAGAACTCGATAAGAAGTCACGTCGAAGGGGAATATGGCATCTCATCGCAACCAGCATCACCACCGGCGCGCACACAGTCCTTTCGTTCCATTCAGTCTTTTACTACTCCGTCCGAGACGAGATCATCCTTTCGTTCTATCAACTCGACCCAAATTCCGAGAACCAACTCTTTTCCAAAATGAAGTTCTTCAACACCCTCGTCCTGGCTTCCACGGCCCTCGCCCTCCCGACGGAAAACAAGCGCCAGATAGGCAGCGTCGGCAGCACGGCCAACGAGTTCAAGACGGGCGGCTGCAAGGACATCATCTTCGTCTGGGCCCGCGGCTCGACCGAGATCGGAAACATGGTGAGCTCACCCCCTTCGGGCCCATCACCTCTTCCTGGCAGATTCACTGACTCACTGGCACAGGGCACCGTCGTCGGTCCCCCGGTGGCCAACAGGCTCAAGAGCGCCTTCAGCGGCCAGGTCGCCGTCCAAGGCGTCGACTATGCCGCCCGCCTCGACACCAACTTCCTCCCCGGGGGCGCCGACCCCGCCGGCATCAGCGAGATGGAGAGCATCCTGAACAACATCGCGTCCAAGTGCCCCGACGCCATTGTCGTCACCGGAGGATACTCGTAAGACACACACACATCCACCCCTACACCCCACGAAAAAGCATCTATCCTAACTCTCCAAACAGCCAGGGCGCAGCCGTCAACCACCGCGCGATCGAGGACCTCCCCGAGGCGCAGAAGACCCAGATCGCCGGCGTCGTCACCTTCGGCGACACCCAGTTCCGCGCCGACAACGGCCAGATCCCCAACTTCCCCAAGGACAAGATCAAGATCATCTGCGCCGCGAACCCGCGCGACACCGTCTGCGACGGCAACCTGAGCGCCGCCGTGCTGGCGCCGCACCTCTCGTACGGCGCCGACGCCGGCGAGGGCGCCGATTTCCTCATCGCCAAGATCAGGGCCGTTCAGGGGGCTTGAGTTTCTGCGGGGTGTGTTTACCATCTTTGGATACTCTTCTTCTCAGGGGAGAAGAGGGTGTTGGGAACGGGGATGGATGGACGGACTGCTGTGTGGGTTGGTGGGGATGGTTGAACACATGACATCGGGAAAACGTGGTGGACTTTTTTTTTTTTTTGCTTTTCTTCACCGGAGAGGAGCTTCTGGAGGCTTCTATCCCTTTTTCTTTTCTTACGCCAGAGTTGCAGAAACGGGCGGTTATGGGTTGTCCGTCGAAACGTCTCGTCTTTTCTTTTTGGAATTCATATGCTGGGTACCCGCCTACAAACGTTCGTTCTCAGCTGTCGGTGACATGTTTTGTGTGTTTTGTGCGACGTTGTGGACAGACCGGGTATTACGACGCCTTGGAGTAGAGTGGTTTGATGCAAGATGTGATAACGCATTAGTCTTTGAGAGAGTCAAATCCTTTCTGCGCTGTTTCTTCTTAGCACAGCACGCCGGGTCTGTCCAGCGCTTGAATTTGGTTCCATTCTTCACATTTAGAAAATAACATGAGCTTCATGCAGATACATAGCCACAGAATCCTCATATGAGAAGACATGTAATGGTATTCTTGCTCCACGTTTATCCAGGACTTCAACTACCGCTAATGGACGACTCCTCAAGCCACCTATTGAACTCCGTGATGAACTCGCATTAAAAGCAATCGCGGGGTGCATATTACTAGTCCAGCTTCTGGAATACACTAATTCGAAGAAAAGAAACCGACCTCGGCATCGAATTCGTTTCCTAGTGTACTAACCACCGTGCCCTCGGAGGTTTACTTCTCGGCGCCTTTGTAGGGAGGCAATGTCGGCCGAAGAGAGGGGCACTTCATATCCCCCACGTCGCAGTTGAATTGACCTGTCTTACTCTCAGCTCTTCACCCTCCCCCCGTCTTTACCACATCGAGTAACTCCCGCGAACATGTCCGTCGTCTGGGGTGCAGGCTGCACCATCCAACGCTGCGGGGACTTTTTGTGCTCCACCGAATTGGCTAGGCTTGGCGATGGTACGAGATGCGATTGGCGAACGGAGGTGGCCCCCTGTCGAGTGAAGAATAACGGCGGTGCAGGTCGAGTGCAGGCCGAGGTCCATGGAGCGATTGTGTATGTGTTTAGTTCAGGAGGTCGGGCTTGGATTGAAGGGGACTTTTCATGTTCCACGGACATTTCGACAACTTGTTTGAGAGGCGACTTCCGTCTGAGAAATGAAAAAGTAGCCCATTTTATGAGTTCTCATTCATTCGCTGCACGCAGTCAAAGGCCCGAATCTCCAAGTACTTGGACCATGAAGTACGTGACAACTCCATATGCACAAATCTACAGCGGGAACTACTTGTGATCTCTCTATGATGTGGTCAGTGGAATGAACTGGTCAGGATACAACAGCTTAGGCTCCGAACACTCAAGAAAGAAGAGGGCCAACAGACAAATTTCGCTGATTATATTGATCAAACTATTAGCAAGGTCCTCAAATTCACCAATGTCTGGCCATACTATCAACGGCAAAATACGCTTCAAGGTTTGAACGCGAACCGACTTACATTCAATACCTCATATCACGCCCTCGAAGATACTCATGGTAGTCCTGAATTCCGACAAACCAAAACGTATCATGCCCTACTCGAGGAAAGATCTTAACATGCGAGGTGAACTTATCTGAGTTGCATTGTTTATTGGATGCTCAATCCATGACTATGCAAGCCTTGATACATTGCTTCTTGCGTATCGCATCCAAAGCTTCTCCAAATTGCTCCAGCTTAAAGGTCTTATCCACAATCCCGTCGACTCTCACCTTTCCAGCCTCCAGATAGTCCACACTTCTCTGCAGGCAATACATCTGCGAGAACGAACTGATGAGGGTCAGCATGATTCCATCGCAACTCCACACGGAAACGAACTTACCCAACAATGGTGATTTCATCCCCGAACACCTTGGACGGCGAGACGTTCACAAGCGCATTCTTCTTATAGACGCCATAGTACATCAGTTTCCCCCCCTTCGCCACAAACTCCATGGCCCGCTCGGCGACCTGGTGAGACCCAGACGCCTCGATCACCACGTCGAATCCGTACGGATGTCCCTTCTTGAGTGCTTCCCACTGCGGCTCCGGATCATCACGCTCGAGGTCCACGTACTCATCGCCGCACTCGAGCTTGCGAGCCAGGTCCATCTTGGCGCCCCTGTTCGAAGCCACGACGACGTGATGGCCGCCATTGTGTCTCAGCAACTGCGCGAGGCAGAGTCCCGTCGGGCCTGAGCCGATGAGGAGGGCCTTGGAGCCTACTTTCGTCCCGATTTGTTCCAGTCCGTGGATCGCGCAGGATGCTGCTTCAAAGAGCGACGCGTCGATCCAGGAAAGCTTGTGGAAATGGAACAGCTTTGCCGCCGGGAAGACACAGTACTCGGCGAAGCCCCCGTCCACTGGACCTTATCGTTAGCCATAGTCGACGCGGATGAGACTCTTGTACACAGAACTTACAATGGACGCCGTGGCCCAGGAAATTCTCGCAGTGCAGAAGCTGTCCCCGGCGGCAGTAGTGACAGTAGCCGCAGAGCTCCGAGTTGTCGGCGGTTACTTTATCGCCGATTTTGAATCCGCTCACGTCGGAGCCGATCTTGACGACGATGCCTGAAGTCTCGTGTCCGGTCACGACGGGCATGCGGGAGGCGAAGTCGCCGTCGTGGATGTGCAGGTCTGTGCCGCAGACGCCGCAGGATTTGACTGCGTTCCATGTCAGAATCTATTCGGATTCAAGAGCGACATGTGCCGGCCGCGAATTGATGTCGCCTACCTTTGATGAGGACTTCATGTGGCTTAGGTTGCGGCACGGGGATGTCTTCTAGAGAAAAGTCTTGTAGCTTGTGGTATACGATCGCCTTCATAGTGGAAGGAATGTCGTATGTGAGAGCCATTTTGAGGATAGTTGCAGACTAATTCACGAAAGGGTTGCGCGGATGTTAACGGCCGTGGAAACAGAGAATGCCTGTTGAAGCATGTCTACACACGTCAGAAAGGTGGTTGATTTATCACCTACCATCTAGCCGTGGCATATTCTGACGTTGGCCGTTCTCGGCTCGGATTTGGATCATCCCTCGTCGCGAGCGGCTCTTCCGCCCAGGAAGAGTCCACATCCGCCGTCACAACTTACGAAATACACACCTGAACATCCATGTTCCGTTGATCCGATCCCGGTCGCGACAGCATGAGGAGTAAGAATTTAGGAATTCCCTCGGGACGACGAATTTAGATAGTGTTCCCGTTGGTCGGTGTCGTCCCTAGTGTGGCTTGATCCTTGTCGCTGTCAGATCACGCTCGTCTCGAGGGAAGGCGGTTCTGGCTCCGACCGTCATCGCCATGCGAGCCCACTTTTGCCCGGGAGTTGCGTGCAACATTTCCTGATATTGCTCGTCTTGATCCCCGCAGCACCCCATGGGGAGTTGCACAGAATCTGGGGAATCGAACGAGTACCCCCTGCCCGGGAGTTCGGTGTTACGAGCATGCATCGTTGCCCGAATGAGCGTCGTTGGCAGAGGTTCTTGCAATTACGACACGGGCACACGGATAGTTATAAAACAGTCATTCCCAAGCGAAATGACCGAATCGAGAATCTGCCATCTTATCGCATATATGCTCTTCTCGGCTACCGGCTTCCCATGAAATCGGCGCTTCTTGGTCATTGGCACCTCACGTCTGAACGATGAAATCCTGGCTGGGAAGAGGCAAGAGCCTACAGTTCGGCATCACAATATGCTGTCTTTCAGCGTTCATTCTCTTCGATTATGAGCAAGGGGTATGTCCATCTCATGAGCTCCTTTCTCTGGTTCTCCTTGACTAACACAGCGACAGGTATTCGGCCCAATTCTGCGCAACGAGAACTGGCTCAACCAGTTCAAACATCCCTCCGATTCAGAAACCGGCATCATCGTCTCGTGCTACAACCTCGGCTGCTTGGTCGGCTGTATAGGTAAGATCCGACAACGTTACAAATGGGATGTTGACGGGGCCGATCTGACCTTCTCTCCGCAGTCAACTTTGTGTTCGGTGAGAAGCTGGGCCGTCGCAAATGTATTTGGATCGCCATGATATGGGTTCTCGTGGGCACCATTCTGCAGACTTCGGCCTTCTCGGTACCCCACCTCGTCATTGCGCGAATCATCACCGGCGTTGGCACCGGGTTGAAGAGTTCGACTGTCCCAACGTACGTGTTCCTCAGCACAGTCCATCCCGGCTAAGACTAACTTTTCAATCTCAGTTATCAATCGGAGCTATGCCCTCCATCATCCAGAGGCCGCCTCGTCAGCGCGGAAGTTCTATTCGTCGGTGTAAGTCATCCGTCTCTACTACAGCACCGTCAACAACCTGTCTGACAAACCGCACAAGATCGGAATCGCCGTGGCGTACTGGTTCAACTTCGGCATGAGCTTCGTCAGCGGCTCAATCGCATGGCGCCTCCCCATCGCCATGCAAGCAGCAATGGCAATCGGCGTCATCATCCTCGTCCTCGCCCTCCCCGAGTCCCCGCGATGGCTCTTCAGACACGGCCGCGACGAGGAGGCAATGGACGTCCTCTGCCTCGTGTACGACAAGGACCCCACGGACGAATTCATCAACGCGGAGAGGGCGGCCATCCTCCACGCCCTCGACGTCGAGTCCGAGACCGAGACGCCCTTCTGGGCCGTCTTCAAAAACGACGAGATCCGCACGGGGTACCGCGTCTTCCTGGCCTGGCTCATCCAGCTGATGAACCAGATATGCGGCATCAATCTTATCGTGTACTACATCCCCACGGTCCTCGAGCTCAACGTCGGCCTGGAGCACCAGCTCAGCCAGATCCTGGGAGGCTGCATCAACTTGATGTTCGCTGTGGGGAGCATCCTGCCTACAATTGCTCTGGACCGACTCGGACGCCGTCAGACTATGCTCTGGGGCTGCGCCGGGTTGGGAGTCTGTATGGTCATGGTATCCGGACTTCTGTCCCAGGCAGACGGCGGCGCGACGGCTCGCGGTACGAATTTTGCTACCGCTTCGGTGGCATTCTTCTTTCTTTACATGCTCATCTACGGAGCAAGGTGAGTGATATCTGATCTCCTTGTCTATGACTTACTAACAGTAACCTATAGCGTCAACTGCGTGCCATGGGTTTACGTACCAGAGCTCGCTCCTCTCAACGTGCGCACGCAGTGTACCGCCATCGGCATCAGCAGCAACTGGCTCTGGAACTTCACAGTCGCCATGATCACGCCCGTCATCATCACCAGACTGCAGTGGAAAGCATATCTGATATTCGCTGCGACCAACGCCGTTTTCGTGCCTATAGTCTATTTTCTTTATCGTATTTATTCTCTTCTCTTCAAAAGAAATTGGACATGGCGCTAACCTATTGCCACAGCTGAAACGAGCAACCTTCGTCTGGAGGAAGTTGATTTGATCTTCAAGACCGGCCGAAATCCTGTCACCGTCGGCAGGGAGCTAGTCGCGCAAAGAAGACAAGAGATGAAAGCTGGCGTCACAACTGGCACAGCCTTTGATGACATGGAGAAAACGACGGGGACCGTCCAACATAGGGAGCGTTAGGAAAGTAGCATTGCAACTTATGAAAGAATCAGATGTATACACAACAGCTCTCCTATTTCGTCAACCTAGATACCAGGAGCATTCGTCATTGTCAGAAATCTATCCCGTCATCTTTTAACACGGCACATTTCAGCTACAAATCATCAACCCATTATTTGGCAAATCTTGATGTAACACGTGTACATGTAGAAGGCGTCGACAGTAATTGAGAATATTTAGATTGAACGTATGAGCTATAGCCAAGAGTCTAGATTGGAGACCCGCGTACAAATATCTCGTTACCATTGCGACAAGCAGAAATTCGTGCTACTCCTCTGTCCCAGTCAACATTGCTTCAACTTGAAAGCCTGAATTCTCCAGTATTACTTCGCCACTTTCGACGTAAATCATGAGCTTGATTGACATACATTGTATTCACTCTATCCGGGGCGTCATCATCGTAAGAAGCCAAGCGGGCGTCATCCAAGACAAAATTAGGCACTTGCCCAGAAACTCCTTAGTGCATATAACAGACCAAGGAACGATGTGGTATAGAGGGAGTGACGAACTTGTTGGACGACTACATGTAATGGTAAAGGAAAGGTGAGGGGTCGTGGATATGTGAGTGGCATTATTTGGACGCGGCAATGGCCTTCTCGAGATGCTCCCAGCACTCGGGGTGTCCCAGGGCAGACACCCAAATGTTTCCCTGAAGATCCTTACCGAGAATCGTGAACACGTTTCTCGACAGCACGCTGCGGGTACGTGCAAGTGAGTGGTGGTACGAGACCTTGCCCGGTGGCGGCCGGGGCAAGACTTCCGTCGCATTGGCATTGACAGCCGCCTTCTCCGGGTCGCCATGGCCTGCGCTGGTGATTTCTCCATCGGCGCCTGTATCCGTCTGGCCTTCCGCAGCTGGTTTGATCTGGGGAATAACAGCGGGAGCGAAGTCGATACACTCAAAGAATTTGCATCGGGACCAGTTCGTGAAGATGATGAGCATACTGTCCGCCTTTCCGTACACGGGCTGGTCACCGCAGCGCCCTCTTCCACGGAGTCTGCGCATGAATGCCATGATCTGGAGCGGAGTGGTTTGCGTTTGGATGTCGTACCGGAAGCAGCGCGCAACGTATCCTAAGGGAGCCTTGACGACCTCTGCGGAAGACAAGACAGTCCAGGTTCCGACGGCAAAGTTTTGAACGTAGGTCTTTCCAGGGGCGAAGACGGTCTTAAGGCGGCCTGTAATGTCGACAGCGTTGAAGACGGTGACGGAGCGTTTACCACCGCGGGCCGAGCAGACGAGGCGGGTCCACCACGCGGTGAGAACGTCGCCTTCCGAGACGAAGGGGGCCTCTTCTGTTCCGAGACCCTTCTCATCCATCGCATGGAGATCGGCCATGGCACGGTTGCGGAGATCGGCGACAAACTTCTGAGGCAGGCATAGAATTTTGGACTCGATTTCGGGGCGACGCCACATGTCCCACAGAAAACGGATATTGAAGCGGAGATGACGGATGCCTTTGAGCTGTCTTCGGTCGATGAGCAGGGCTTCTTTCTCCGGATCGGTGTCGACGCCAACATCATCGAGAATATCCTTGCGAGCGCCGTGGAGAGCAGAAACCTCGTTCTCGCGACCAGCCATAACAAGCGACCAGTTCGTGACGAGAGACTGCATGCCCGAAGCGCCGAAGAGGACGTGGGAGAAGAGGAGGCCGACGACGGTGGCGTCTGTGAAGGTGTGAATGTGCAAGTGAATCTGGGGTTCGTCGGAAGAGAGAAGATCATCGAGGGTCATAGGCGCGCCGGCTCGAGCGCCGAGGGTATAGAAGTTGACGACACCGGGCTGGATGGAAGGTACCTCAGTTGTCTTCGGGAGGTGTTTTGCGTTGGGGTGGTCCTTGATAGAGAAGTCGTGAACGTCATGCGAGCAGCGGATTGCCGGACGCGCCTCGGTGAATTGTTGTGGGACATGTAGTTCGAGTTCGTCGTCGTCCTGTCTCGATGTTAGTCCAGTTCGCTGAAGGTGTGACTAGCGAGGATGTCCAACTCACGTTGAGCCTCATGCGACCGCCCAATTTCCTCCATTCACCTATCTCGAGCAGTTTTGCTAGCGAGCTTTGGAGTTTCTCGGCGTCCAGGACATCGTCGAACCGCAATGTCCAGTTGAGAAGCATACCACGGAAAGGTTTTGTGTCGTCAAAGAAGTGGACGGGATAGACGTCATCCGTCGCTACCTTGGGCGGCTGTTGCACGCGCTTAGGCTTGCGACCGAAGATGGAACGCACGTAATCCATTGTTGTATAGTCGGTGTTGAACGAAACGAAAGAAGGAGAAACGAAAGGGGTAATCGGGCGATGTCGTCAGTTGCTGGCTACCGTGGAGCTCTAACAAGCCAGACTCGCGGGCCTCGATTAAAAAGAAAGGAAGAGGGGGATTCAATCCGACCGTCCGTTTTGTTGCAAATAATAGAGCAATATCAAATTAGCTGGCCCTCTCAAGCGAACGAATTCCAGACGGTCGTCGGATGCCAGCTTATATTGCCAGACATTGGCAGACGTCTTTCGCAATCATGCCTTGAATTCCGGATTCAGGTCAATGGCCTGGCAGCTACTAAAATCTGTATGCCGCTGTCACGGAGGTTTCCTGTAGGTTTGAAGCACGAAGCACGGCCAGATTCGGCCAAGTACCTCCCAAGAGAGGTTCATTGCGCTTCTTCTGCAGCACCGAGAAACAACGTTTTGGTAGAGAGCATGTGCGTTTCGACCATCAGCCGAGCGAGATCGTGCCCCCTTGAAGTATAAGTCTGCAGTAGTCCCGCCTTCAAGGAGAGCAGTGATGTATCCCCCCATCTGTTCTCAGCTTGGCGGGAGAGACAAAGCTGCGTCCCTTGCCTTAGTAGTCGCTCCGAGATCTTGCAGCATTCGAATGGGATTCCCCTGCCCGGGGGTGTTGCGGTGCGTGTTACGAGATTGGTTGACAAAGAGGACCAGACCGGGATATGAAGAACTGTTATCGGCGGCGGGAGAGAGGACCTACCTAGATAGGAAATTTAGCGGGGATGGCGAGCAACGGAGCCGGCCGAGGGAGGCGGGCGAGTGAGGAGCTGATTATCGCATGTATCCCGCATTATTCCCCGCATGAAGGGTAATGCTCGCGAGTCAAAAACAGAAGAATGCTGCAACCGTTGAGCACATCTTCTTCGTCGACATCCACGGACGAAACCTTGACTGACAGGACCAGCCGAGAGAGACAAGATGACAGCGCAGCCGTTCAACCTTTGGGTGGGAGGCCAGGAGAAGCCGGGCCATGCAGAGCAGTACGTGACAATCCTTCCATTCCTGAATACCCCGCGCGTGCATTACATCTGCATGCTCATCCGTGCTCATGCTTCATGCTCATGGCTCAGGCTCGACGCTTGCTTTGCTGACACAACGCCAACAGAATCCCAGTCGAAGACCCTGCGACGGGCGAGATATTCGCAAGGTAAGGTTCTTTTAGCCCGTGACGCCCATCCGGCTGTCATGCCCGTCACTTGTCAACGGGGGCCGGCTAAGCTTATTGGCGTGGATTGGATTCTGACAAGCCGCAGCTGTCACGCCTCATCCTCCGAAGATGTCAATGAAGCCGTTCGTTTGGCACACGACGCATTCAAGGCCGGGACCTGGTCCAAAGCCCCCCGTCATGTCCGGGCGGATGTCCTCGACAAGACGGCGGAGCTCCTTACGGCGGAGCTCCCTTCGCTGATCCCGCTGGAGGTAAAGCAAACCGGACGCGCGATTCGCGAGATGCGCGCTCAGGTGCCCACGTTGGTCAAGTGGTTCAAGTATTATGCTGCTCTTCTGCGCACCGAAGAGCGTGCAGTGCTCCCGACCGTGGGCAAACTGCACAATTGGATTGATCGCGTGCCATTGGGCGTCGTCGTGCAGATCACCCCTTTCAATCATCCGCTGCTCATTGCCGTCAAGAAGATTGCTCCGGCACTTGCCGCCGGCAACAGTGTCGTTGTGAAGCCCAGCGAGCTGACTCCACTCACGACTCTGCTGCTTGGAAAGATCCTGAAGCAGGCTGGCGTCCCAGACGGGGTGTTCAGCGTCTTGCCCGGATACGGCGCAACGACGGGCAAGGCGCTTGTTGAGCACCCTCTCGTCCGGAAAGTTGACGTCACGGGCGGTACCGTGGCCGGAAGGGCGATTGGCTCAATAGTCGGCGGCAATCTGGCGCGGTACACGGCAGAGTTGGGAGGAAAGGCGCCGCTGATTGTGTTCGAGCAAGCCGACATCGACGTCGCTGTCAATGGTATCGTCTTCGGATCGTTCATTGCGAGCGGACAGACGTGCGTGGCGAGCACGAGAATCCTCGTGGAAGAAAAGACCCTGCAGACGCTGCTCTCCAAGCTGAAAACAAAGACAGAAACGATTCAGCGGCGAATGGGGTCCCCGAGCAACCCAGACTCGATGATGGGGCCGCTGATCTCGGCGAAGCAGCTGCAGAACGTGGAGGCACTCGTCGGAGAGGCGCTTGCGACAGAGGCTGTGGCATTGGTTGGAGGCCATCGCATGTCTGGATCGAGCAACCTGGACGGTACCGACTTTTCCAAGGGCTACTTCTTCGAGCCGACGGTGCTGGTGTCAAAGTCCGAGGGCGACATCCTGAAGACGCGCATCTGGCGGGAGGAAGCGTTCGGACCTGTCATTGTCGTGGCACCATTCAAGACGGAGACAGAGGCGGTCGCGTTAGCCAACGACAGCGAGTTCGGATTAGGAGCAGGTATCTGGACGCGCGACGTGGCGCAAGCGTTTCGAGTGTCGGAGCAGATCGAAGCAGGCATCGTATGGGTGAACACGCATCACCGAAACGATCCTAGCAGTCCGTGGGGTGGCGCAAAGAGCGCGAGCGGCGTCGGTAGCGAAAATGGTATCGATGCGTATCAGGCGTACACAACGACCAAGAGTACGATTGTGAGCTTCGCGAGCTCAGAGGAGGCATTGGCGACGGATGACTGGTTCCGCGAGGGTTCTGGCGATGTACGATATGGATAGGATAGACCGTACAAAAAGGTGTGGTGGGAGCTGAATAATCGACCAATGTGCAAATTTTGTTCCCGAGAGAGTGCGGGCGAAAGAAAAGATGGGAAGATGGGAGGGCCGGCAATGTTTCTCTGATGTTCGGGGATGAAAAGACACGAGGGTGTTTCAACCAGGAGGCAACCCGTCAGTGCGTGCCTGCTGGAATTGATTCTCGCCTGCAGCGTGCATCGCCGGCGGTCTTTCCTTATGTATCTCGGGCCGCAGGTGCCATCGCAAAAGACGCCAGGTCGGCTCAAAAGGCCGGACTCGAGTATTGTTTCCGAAACAAAGTGATAGAGAATAAAAAGCAGGAGCCTACTTCAACAGTTCCCAATGGCCAAAAGAGAAAATGGCAAAAGAATTAGGTCCATCCAGGATTCGAACCTGGGCTTACGGAAGACTGGTGTTAATCAGAATCCGACGTCCTAACCAACTAGACTAATAGACCGACGCCTATTGGATGAACGGGGTTGCTTTTGGGCAACCTATCATTCTGATTGATCGTAGAGTTCCTTAGGGTGGGGATCCTCCGGCCGGGCGGCCCCACGTTGGTAGAGAACACTTGTGAAGCCGCTGTCTGGGAGGCGGCGCGGTCTATTGTGTGTCAAGGTTTCGCAGTTAGCTATTAAGAACCCCCTAAGAGATCCCAGAGCTTAATGAGAAGCAAATGCCGTAATCTAGAGATTTGCCAGACCCAAAACCCGCTACCCAAATGCCATCAAATTGGGTTACGTCAAGTAACTGAATGTTGCTGGGCCGCTACCCGTGCCGCAACCGAAGGGCAAAAAATGGGAGGAAAACGGGCATGCACAATGCAATTGGACAATCCTTGACAACTGACATCGGCAAGCTTTTCGACATTGCAAACGCCCACCAGCGTAGTGTTTGGTCCCGTGTAGAAGGTTTTCTGTTCTGGTTTTATCTGATCAGATTGGACCAAGAAAACGCACCCAGAGAAGAAACACCACACGAGCCACAGTTCACCCCAAAAACTGAAGCTGCCGCTGCCGCTGCCGCTGCCGCCGTCGGGGCTGCATGACATCATCCGAACGCCATAACGAACTCAGTCGACATTTGGCAAACAGCTCACTTCAGACCGGCCGTAACAAGTGGAAAGTCAGGCACTTGGTTCGTGGTCGTCAATTGCCCTGTTCCTCCTTTCTCGACCATTACCCTTTCCAGAGCATCAAACGAACCGCATTGGCATCGACGTTAAAGCAGCATACTATCTCGCCTGAACTGCTGAGTCTGAGAGCGCCGAAAGCATTCTCAGTCAAGCCCGTCGCCAGCAATCAGCTTTACCTTACTTTCCGGGCCTTCCACCGCCATTGAATATCGACTCGGTTCTACAATGTCGCGCCCGAAACAACACATCATTTTCCTCACGGGACCGACGGGAACCGGCAAGACGACGATAGCAAAGTACCTCACCGAACAACTCCACATGACCTTCATCGAAGGTGACGATGTCCGTGCCCTCCCTCGCAACAACCCTGGCTTCCATCATCGTGCAGTGCACTGACATCATCCAGTATCACCCAAAGGAAAACGTGGAAAAGATGCACAGAGGTGAGCCTCTTACCGACGAGGACCGCTGGGGCTGGCTCGACGCCCTCCGCGATGAGGCCCTCAAGGAGCTGGAGTGCGACCTGCACGGCGTTGTCGTCACTTGTTCGGCCCTGAAGCGGACTTACCGGGACATGCTCCGGGGAGCCTCGCATCCGGAGAAGGACATTTTCGTCAACTTCGTCACCCTGCATGCGCCGGAGGACGTTCTCTTCGAGCGGGTCAAGAATCGACATGGACATTTCGCCGGCGCGAATCTGGTACATAGCCAGTTCCAGAGTCTTGATCCGCCGCATGAGGACGAGCCGGATGTTGTGGGGGTGGATGTGCAGCCGCCTGTGGATGAGGTGAAGAAGGATGCCTTGGCCAAGGTGAATAAGCTGTTGAAGAGATGAGGAATCTCTCGCAGATTTCTTTTGAATTCCTACATCCAAATGAATCATTTGAGCAAATGGGTTAGGAAGATGTATTGTGACACTACGAGTGAATGTTGAAACTATCATCTCGATCTAGTACTTTCCAAACATCGTCATTCAACGCCAAAGCCATAATCACATCCCCGTTTCGTTCTTTAGGCTGGAGAAAGAAGCCCAATCCATCAACCAAGTTCGTAGGAGTAAATGGCACCCCGATGTACGTCGGCTCTACATCCAAAACTGCGGTATCGTACATGGGAAATTTGTTCCACGCTGTAGTGATCAAAATGTCGGTTTCGACTGAGACTTTCTGCCGAATAGCCTGTTTTCGAGGCTGCGCTACAATCCAATCACATAACCCTTGCACGTCGTCCAAATTGACAGAGCGGGTCATATCCTGGATTGCGTGAGCGATACGCCAAAGTGGCGCGTCGCACAACTCTTCCGCGGAACGCTCCATGGAAGGCGTCAAGACAGAACTAGGGAAGAACTGGGATGGGAGGCCGGCCTTCTTCGAGAAGTCGATGCTGGTGAAGAATGTTGATTTCCGGGCGCCGCATCCTTCGAGAGAACGTCTTGCTCTTTGTGTCTGTTGCCAGATGAACGCTGACAAGGCCGAGAAGGTAGATACCCAAGAGGCTCCATCTGGAGAGGTGGCTTGAGATTTCAATGCAGCGAGCGCCGAGGAAGAGAATCGGATTTCGCGGCCTGTTACGGGAGGCGGTGTTACCATCGAGTTTGAGATAGGCTCATCGTCCACAACGTCTGACTGAGGAACGAAGCAACCAAAAGGCCCGGCCCTATTCGCATGGCCATCTGGCGATTCTGGTTGACCAACGCTCTCATCGACACGTTCAGCCAGGAAAGGCATTATGTGCGGCGGACTTTGCAAAACCGGTTCCAGGCCTCCGTTCTCTCCAACGGCCGTATAGATCTCTGACAGGTCGCCATATAACTGTAGGAATCCCCCAGCGCCGCCCATGACACGAGCAAGGCGAACACCAATGGCTGCAGAACCACAAGCGAACCTCGTGTGCTGAAAACTGAGCAGCGGATTGTTGAGAGCCCCTTCAGCAGTAGCATCCCATGGAGCGAGCAGAGCTGTACCGGAGCCCGGGAGCTCCGTGACGCTCAGCGTGTTTGTCGTGGCATCTCGAAATTCCGACAACGACACGTCGCAAGTTGCCTCGACAACACTGGCGCCCGTCCCGAGCCGTGTGATCGAGCGATTTCCGGTCTGGCGATCAACGATCAAACGGCCAGTCAACTGAGGATAGTAGTCTAGAAGAACGGATATAGCCTGTTTGAAGCGCTCAAAGGATACGGGTGCTGGGCACGTAATTGAGGCTTCGTAGATCCAGATCGTACAGACTGGAATCAGAGGGGAAGTGAGATGGTCTAAGGGGCCCAGTAAAAAAGGGAATGGGACTGATGAAACATGAGGGCCTGTGGCCAAGCTCACAACGTGTGAAGCGCGGGTATTGACTTTCGCGTTGCTCATAATGTGCGATACAATATGAAGAATCTGTCAAATGATGAAACTGTTCGGGTAAATAATGAAGTTGATCATACTTTTGTCTCCTATACGTACTGGAATGACAAGAGGGAAAGCTCGGGGTGATCGATCTTTCCGTTGGAAACTCATAATGACTCATAATGACAGCTCGCCGCGCGACTCAATGCAAATGATTTTTCGTTTTTCACTACATTCAAAACCTTACCATGTCAGCGATAATACATGTTTCATTCAATATTCCTTACAGTGAGTTATCAGTCGGAGGCCCCTAAAGTCCGCAACCATAGACTTCCCGTCATTCCGCTTTTGCGGAGTATGGGCGGACGTACAGTCGCGGAGTTTCAGCTTTATGGTACAAGAACGAAGAGTAGGAACGAAAGTTATAAAAGCGGCTCACTTTACAAGAGACCGTCCAAACTTCTACTTCCTAGAAATCTTACAAAAGCTAAAGCTGTGAAGATGCTTCGTGTTGGAATCGCCGGTGGCTCCAACGGAATCGGCAAAGCCATCAGCGATGCGATCAAGTCCCGCCAAGAATGGGAAGTTGTCATTCTTGGCCGCAAGGCCAGTGGATCAATGCAAGAGGACGGAAGTATTGCCCTTGATTACAGCGAATTGCCCTTGATTACAGCGACGTAGACCAGCTTCGAACAGTTCTCGAGACTCACCAGATACACACCGTCATCTGCGCCATATCCTTCCAGCACGAAAGCGCGATCCAGAACCAGCTGAATCTCATCGAAGCAGCTGTTCAGTCGTCATGCACGAAGAAATTCATGCCCAGCGAGTTCGGCATCATATACAAGCCCGAGTAAGTCGAATCTGTGCATTGATATGGCAAAATTAACTCCCTAGACATATCCGAGGTCTGCCTCTGTACGCCGGAAAGTTCGAGGCTGTTCAGCGCCTGGAGACGAGCAATCTGGAGTACACCAGGTTCTCAAACGGGCTCTTTATGGATTACTTTTTCGACCCGTATATCCCGTCGGCGTTTCCCATCAACATACCTTTGTGGGTTGACTTAGCGGAAAATTTTGCATCCATTCCAGGAGACGGCACGCAGTCTCTTGTTATGACACACTCTCGCGACGTCGGGCAATTTGTTGCCGCCCTGATAGAGCTCGATAAGTGGCAGGAAACCAGGTACTGCTTGACAGGCGACCGGCTCACCGTCAACGAGTTTGTGCAAATCGCTGAGTCGGTAAAGGGCGTCAAGTTTGAAAAGCATTACGACAGTCTGGAGGAGCTTGATAACGGCCAAACCACACTTCTTCCATCCGTACGCGCGACGTTGCCGACAGGTGCGGAGGCCGCTGTGGTACAGCGTCTCATAGCCGATGCTGGCGCGAGAGTCGTTCGGGGCGAGATGGATCTTCCTCAGAATGGCTCCTTGAACGAGATGTTCCCAGAACTTCAAACCCTCAAAGTCCAGGATGCTGTGAAAATTTGGTTCGCCGGTCAAGAGGGAAAGCCGACGTAGATATCAAACACGGTTAAGCTAGCAGAGGGCATTTAACTTTTTGTCAACAATTAGGATAGGTCTGCTAAGTATTCAATACATGTAGGCGATCAATAAAACCCCCTGTTTGGTAAAAAGATGTAGATGTACAACACGTTAAATGAAGAAGGTCACATATGCTCCCTCAAATGAGATACCTGAAGCCTTTGCCAGCCGCATCAAGCCGGCCAGCAGCTTCCGCCTCTTGCTCCTTCAGCTCCAACTTCCGATTCTCTCTCTTCAGCACAAAATGCAACACCACGCTCGCAATAATTGCCATCACCGCCATCGCAGCATTGACGCTGAATGCCAATACGAATCTCGGCGCCGCGTCGTTAGGGTACAGGTATGAGCCGTAAATCCCAGAAAACGTCGAAAACGCATTGTTAAACGCGACCGCAGCGGCTCGCTTGGCAGCTGGCCGGTACATCGTGTTCGCCGTCCACACCATAGACATGTTGAAACCAGTGTAGATCCCGGGCAGCATGATCATGGCGCCGAAGTATCGTGGTCCAATACCAGTCGCGGCACTCGAGACGATAAACCCAATAAGCGAACATGAAAGAGGCACAACGGTATGCCAGAACCTCTCGCTCGTCCGGTCCGCGTTCCATGACACGCCAGCGCAGGCAATGCACGCAAGCAGGTACGGGGGAGAGGTGAGGAGCAGCGTTGTGATGCGGTCCTTACCAAGACTACCCACCACCGTCGGGAAGAAGCTGTTGATCGAGATCGCGCTCGCTGCGCCGTATACTAGCACAACGAGGATCCAGTTGATCGGATCAACCATGATCATCTTGAAACCCGCAAGTATCGGCTGCGATGACGAAGAAGTCCAGTCCTCCTCGCCGGCGGCATCGTTCTCCATGCGCCACATGGCCATTTGCCGCTCCTGCTCCGTGAGCCACTTCGTGTTGGCAGGGAAGTCTGGGAGAATGAAGAATGCGCCGATGGCGATGAGAACTGTCAGTGAGCCCTCGATGATGAAGAGCCAGCGCCAGGCGAGCAGTCCCGCGAGGCCGTCCATCCCGTTTGTTATGCCCGCTGCGATGAGGCCTGAAAAGGCGCCGGAAAGCATGCTGCCGCTGTAGAAGAGACCGGTTCTCACGCCGAGCTCTTTTCTGACGTACCACGCGCTGAGGGTTGCAAGGCAGCCTGTCCAAACAAAGTCGTTAGTAATGCCAATTTGAATGTTTGATGTTGATAATTGGTTTGACTGACCAGGGTAAAAAGCGGCTTCTACGAAACCCAAGAGGAATCGAGTCGCCAACAAACCACCGAAATTCTGCGCCGCGCCGCTGCAGGCACATAAAACACCCTGATTGCATCATTCCTTGTCAGCGGAAAGCGCTCCGAGCGTGTGGTTACACAGATTGAGATTCGGCTGCAAAGCCTGTCACGTTACACGCTTGCAATGCGGCAACTCGATGATGCACTGAAGAGCGTCGCTTAAATGACTCTTTGGGGATTGGATCTCGAACGTCCGACTCACCCAAACTGCCATGCATCCTGTCAAATACATGGCCGGTCGCCCAATCTTGTTCAAGAACAGGTTTGATGGCACCTGCATGAGGATGTATCCGACGAAGAGGATTGATACGCAGGTCTGACAATCACAATTATTAGCCTTGGTTTCGCGGTGACTTGACAAATAGGTCTTACCTGAAATTCATTGCCCGTAAGTCCGAGATCCTTTTCCAAACCAGCAAGTCTGGCTGAACCAATTGCGTTCCTGTCAAGGTAGTTCATGATATAGATCAAGATCATTGTAGGCAGCATCCGAAGATCGACCTGAAATTTGTCAGATGGGAAGTGCAATAATCAGGGATGGTATGCAGACTTTACGGAGCAACCTCTTCTCAAGAGCCTTGAACTCCTCCTCCGAGAGGTCCCTCAGGAGTTCCGGCAGCGGTCTAGTACGCCATTCTGTAGTTTGACCCTCGGAACTGGCTTTGCTGGCGTCGGTGGTGTCGATCGTCTTCTTCTGGGATTCGTTCTCGATGGCGTCGCTGTTTGGGGGAGGCATCTTGGTTTTGGGGATATTGGTTCTCGCAACTAAGGGGTAAAGCCAATGATTGGAGTTTGCAGAGTTCAATGTCTTGATTCTGGCTAAGTCTCGATGTTAAATATACAACCCTTAAAGAAAATGAAAGTGCACTTACATCTAACAAGCTTGATCACTTGATCAACTTCCCCTTCTTGCTACTGAACTTCCCCTCAATTATGCCCAGCCCGAGGTATTTCCTTAGACAAGATACCTGATTGTAAGGCAGGTCCAAGTCGAGAATCTCTCTCAAAATAACGATAGCGCTATCTCACACGAGATAAGTGTTGACAAGGAATAGGCTGGGGGAACAACTGCAAGAATGCAACATGCTCCGCTTCGATGCCAACCATCCACAGCACGCCCACTGAGTCGTATGTATCGGCTGTTAATGCACGGATGCCGATGGGTTGATGGATTCGTGGGATTGCGGGGTGGTGGGTTCAGTCCAGGAGTGCGACACTTATCAATCGGCCGCTAGAGTATGAGAGACCGAACCGGAGCGGGTCACTGGGCACTCTTTTATCTTTCGTCAACAATGTTTGCTTCATATCGGCCAGTGGAAACCGACGTGTTCTGGGCAATCATAGGCAACTACGGACAATAATGGATAATGGAGTGGCAGCCCGCCTCCGAATCAATAACATGGTCTATCCTTGTTGGTGGTTGACGTCTCCTTGTCAAGGATCTTATTAGCCGCCAGTGACGTGATGCAGCCACCCAGCTTCATGTGGTGACAATAGACTGGAGAGCACAACAAGCATTGTGGTGAACCGTGTATGTCGTATCACTTCTAATGGCCGATGTCAATGTGGAACGGATATCCTCCGCAAACGCGGGGAAGCTGGCATGCACGTCGACCGTACATACCGAGTCTTGCTGCGCGGATGTGGCCAACGAGCAAGGCATCGGCCCCTCAATCGGCCATCGTGAGCCGAAGGCGTCTCACTTGCATAGGTTCTTTCAGTTATATAATTCCGGATCAAGTGGTGTTAAGATTGATGGCTTGGTTCAGATGCAACATCAGAGTTTAAACCGCCATTGCCAAGATAAACTTAAGCCCTCCTTGCCCCTTCGCAACAATCTTCTCAGTCACTTCAACTCTTAACTGTAATATCGATCAGACGGTAGTCATGGCCAAACCCTCAGTCCTCATCGTGGGTGGTGGTGTCTTCGGCACATCCACCGCGTACCACATGTCCCTTCGCGGATACGACACCGTTACGGTCCTCGACCGTTTCGATGCTCCATCCAAGGACTCGGCCGCGACCGACTTGAACAAGGTTGTTCGCGCTGACTATCCCAATCCGCTCTATGCCAAGCTCGGTGACGAGACAATGCGTGAATGGACCGACCCCAGGTCCATCTTCGCAGGCATGTACCGCGAGACAGGTTGGATTATGAGCGGACACAACATGACGCGGGGTTGGCTCAACAGTGCGCTTGAAACCGCGAAGAAAGCTGGCCGTCAGGGTATCGAGTTTTTGACGACCGAGGAAATGAAGCAGAGATGGCCCTGTCTGACGGGAGATTTCCCCGATTGGACTAACCTTTGGAGTCCCGCAGCTGGTTGGGTAAGTAACATAATGTTTCTCCTTTCATTAAATGATTTCATGTGAAGCTTACTCTTGTGTCACATCTTGAAGGTGCCTTCAGGTCAAGCGCTTCTAAGGATGGCCAATGCAGCCAGAGCACAAGGCGTCAAATACATCAGTGGTGAAGCGGGACACGTCAAGAAGCTGCTGTATGACAATGACGGCACTTGCAGAGGCGCCATCTCGGCAGATGGAACCGCTTACACGGCTGATATCGTGGTACTGGCCACCGGCGCCAACACAGCGACACTTGTTGAAGCGAAGAAGGAGGTTGTCGCACAAACCTCGGTCATCTGTGTGATGAAGCTTGAACCGCATGAAGTTGAGAAGTTCAAGGACATTCCGATCATTGACGACTTTGAACAAGGTGAGCATCTGGATATTTGGCCGACAGTTGCAATCAGCTCTGACTCAAAAAATAGGCATCATCTTCCCACCCGACGAGAATGGGTTGGTAAAACTCTGCAGCGTCAGGCTGCTTACCAACTATCGCAACAGACATGTCGCTGGAGCCTCAGTCCTTCACTCATTGGCAGACTATCCCGATGATGGGTGCCCGAAGGAGATTGAGGATGAGATGCGATCGTTCGTCCGAGAGATGATCCCCGAGCTGGCCGATCGACCTTTTATCTCAACCAAGCTTTGCTGGTAAGTACCTTAGGCGAAGCCGGATGTTTGCCGATGGCTTTCTACTAGAAACCTCACTTCAACGGAGTATTAGTCGCTAACTATCACTTCCAGGGATGGCATGGCAACAGATCTCAACTTCAGAGTTTGCCCCTATCCCAACACCAAGAACCTTTTCGTTGCCACAGTTGGGTCCAACCATGGCTTCAAGTTCTTACCAATAATCGGCAAGTATGTCATCGACATGCTTGAAGGCAACCTGAGCAAGGATCTGCAAGAGCTATGGGCGTGGAAGAATGGAAGAATTCCCGAAGGCACACAAGATCCCCATCCTTGGCCCTTGCGTGATCTTTCAGATTTGAAAGGATGGCGGAGTCGCAACGCTCCTGGTGCCGGAAAGCTTCCGTGGACTTGGAGTCGTTTGTGAGAGTAGTGAGGTAGTAAGGCTTCATGGAACAGCGAAGCGTGGATTGTGATGGGCGTCTCACATAGGCCTACAGAAGTGATTGTTGAATGAGTAACAATTGGAAAGCATTTCATTTCGTGTTGGTGAAGTACTTGTATTACAAATCATAGAAGCAGCAATCATTTGCCAAGATTGTGCTCGCTAAGGATGCTCCCACCAAACAAATGCAATATGCCGCGCAATACAATGCAGCCAAAGGATGCTCCCACATATCATCACAGTTGTGTATTCGATTTCATCGTGCATCAGCCAGTCAGATCGCCTTTCTGGCCTCATCATACAACTAAAGTGGGATAGCTGCCGCCGCTAGAGGTAGATTGTCCGAAAGTCCGTCGGAACTCCGCCGGCATTCCGGATTCAAACGCCAAAACAGCCCTTAGTCTACGCGTGTTGAGGAACAGAGTCTGTACATTCTGGAACTCATCGTGAGAGCTTGTGTTATGAGATAATTTATTTCTACAAACCATTCTGTTGCTGTGCCTAGGTGGATGCTGAGTATGGAGAGGAGTCCTCGCCCAGGCCAACTTCAATCGCTCTACGAAACCTCTCCCCACAGTTTCCTACCCACCAAAGGTCTCGAAGAGAGGTCAAAATGACACAGTAATTCTGCAAAACCCGTAAAGCCATTGTATCCCGTGTTTTGATAAGATTGATGAACTCATCAGAGACGCTTGTCGGCCAGCTTCCAACCATTCGGAACTCCGTCGAAGCCTGCTTGAGTGATGCGCGGAGTCGAATAATGCCATCAATCACAGACGAATTGTCAGTAGCGCCCTGAAGACCGCGCAAGGCTTCAAGAGAATGCTCGAAGGATGTGTTGTCGCCATCTCGAGGCTTGTACAAGAGCTTCGCCATTTCCTTGGTATGTGTTGCATTGCCAGATGTCCACAGCGCACGCTTCCCTCGTAGCGCACTAAATATTTCGATGATGTCTTGTAATGTGAAGTCGTTGGGATCAGTCTGTAACTGTGCGAATGTCAAGATACACAGAACAGCGGAAAACAAAACCAACGTCTCATGTGAAACACTTGTGTCTTGCAGGCGTTGCAACTGGTGACGGAATATTTGAAGCCCCATCTGCTGATGATGCAGAGCTCGTACGTAGAAACGATCCGTTGCCAGATCTTCAACGCCACGGTTTGAGTGTGTGAGGTGCGTTCCAGCCAATGCAAGGAGACCGTGCATCAACAATGGTTCATGTTGCTCATATGCTTGGTCCGGTATGGAATACTGCCAGACACGCTGAACCTCGGGCAGAAGAGACAAAGATTCAGCTGTAGAGGTGGAGTAGTGGTGCATCAGCTTCATGTCCAATGCATCGAATGTGAGCTGGCGACTGGGGTCAATTGAATGATTGGATGTTGGCTGAGTAGTCGAGTTGGGCAAATGAGCATCCGACGACGATGCCCATCCGTAAGAGCAGTTTTTGGCGAATCGCTGGCAGTTCTTGCATCGCGGATATGTCTCATCACACTGAAAACCAGTTAGCGTCATTTGAAGAAAGCATTTCAGGTTTCTCCTTCCACGTGCCTTCACGCGACGACCTTTGCATTGCGCGCAACCCAAGCGAGACTTCACATGTGGCCTTCGGCTTGGCATGTTGCTTGATATAGCTGAGATATGTCTAACGTGTGGTAAATCAGTGGCATTAGGTATGGTATACGAGGAGTACGAGGTTTCTGATTTTATTTTGGATGGACTTTTGGTTCTAATAAGAACGCCGTCAGCAGCACAGCTGAGCCACTGACGCGTCTTAGTGCTTATGGGCGGAATCTTATCTGACCGTTATTCCCCTAGTCTTCGCGTGGTCATTTGCGGACCCAGTCTCTTCTCAGGTAGCCTGGCATGTCTCATTGGAATTCGTAAGGTAAGCCTCGGACTTTGTGATGGGTTTGGGAATCCCCGTGCTCTCCGGTCGTGCCGATAGGTTGGAATCCTGGGTAGACATACAATTGACTCATTGTGGCTGCGGATATCTTGGCTTTTGGGCTGTGAGTTGCGAATTTCGCACACAGACATCGGGGTAAATATGAAAACTCCGATTCCTTTCTAGTGTTTTTCGGCGACATCACAGTGTGTAAACAAGTTTGTGGCCCTTCACCTTTCCATCCTTCAGATCTCTCAAGCCTGAGAGAACCCCCTCAAGTCCTTCTTGTCTCTCTTCGACAACGTGTGCCTTCAGTTTGCCTTCATTGATGAGGTGGCTCGTCAATGACCAGAACATCTTCGCAAACTCGTAGTCCTTAGGCTGTCCTTCCACTACCTTGCCGTACTTCATCGAAGTCTCACCGATGCCGCTGTACCCAGAAGTAAGATGAATTTCAACGTCATTCCTGTCAATTAGCACGGTGGGGACATAGTCATGGGTGTTTTACATACCTTGGGAATACTTTTCCTGGCAGAAGCAGTGAGCACCTAGGCCTTTTACTACCAGTGACCTCGCCAGCTAGCGCGTCGGCGCAGATTTTCATACTGCTCTCGTTAGTAATGATGTCGAAGGCATACATCAGTCCGTTATTTGTCTCGCGCCGAATTCTGCTGCCAACGTTCCCCTCGTGGTAATCATAACAGACGCTCGCTCCGAGGCTTTTCAGACGATCGAATTGGTGCGGTGAGGCCAGCGTGATGACTTGTAGGCCGGCTAGTCGAGCATATTGGATTGCGAGACAGCCCGTAGCCGTGCTGCCGCCATATATCAAGACTGCGAAGGACTTCGGAGTAGGTTCATCAGGAAGAGGCAGCTGTAGGGACTGAAAGAGCCCTTGGCCTGCTGTCGTGACTCCGGCACCCAGCGTAGCACCGCTGCTCCAGCTCCAGTCGTCTGGCAGGTGTGCGAAAATACCGTCTTTGATTTCGGCATACTCTGCGAACCCGCCATCTCGGGGTGCGTAGGAATTGCAGCCGTGAACGAGGCCCGCAATCCTGTCGCCAACTTTGACCTGCCATCCATCTTATGAGAATAAGTTTGCTTGATGGAAAATAAATGCCTTACCTTCGATTTTACTTGTTGTCCGATTGCCTCGACAATTCCTGCGACGTCGCATCCCACGATCTCGCCTCCTTTGGCAAAGCCGAAGACGTGCTTGTAGTCGGTCGGATTCAGCGCCAATGCATGTACTTTGATCCTTACAAAGGTATCACGGACTGGCAGATCTTCCACCTCAGCGACTGCTGCACCATCGGTACCGTCCGCCACAAGTGCCTTCATGGTGATCGTTCAAAGAGTTGGTGTTTTCGGGTAGATGAGTGTACTTCGGTTTTGCCAGGAGGAAGGAAGACCATCTAAAAGATGCAGGTTTCAAGAGACGTCCAATTGAGATGAAAATTCCTTGACTTATATGTCAAGCACAAATACAAACAGCCGGGCGTGCTTGGTCGCGATGTAGAAAGACGACATCGGCGCTGAAGCTAGTTTTAGAGGTCAGGACCGAGCGACGCCAACTTCAGCCCATCGACTGCCCTACAACACCGTGTGGCCCGAAGGTTATGTCGAAAGCAAGTATTTAATACTTACTGCTCATTTCGATCGGTTTCCGCGAATGCAGAACAGCTTTTCGACACCTATCTCTCACTCTCAAAATCAAAAGTACAGTGAGAACATAATGTGTTCTAAGTTTCTGCTGTAGTCATAAGTTATGGATCTCTCCGTGTTTGTCAAATTATGAAAGTAACGTATAAAAGGCTCTGAAACGAATCTATGAAGATATCTCTCGATATTGTGTGTCGCCCTCCCATCCCTCATGTTAACGTGAATAAAGCCCAACACCTTTGAAAGCATTCCATATCCATACCTAGACTCTGAACTACTTCACTCGTGAATGGCTGTATTGGAACCATCTGAGATGGCACACCCTTCTTTAATCGGAAAGAGGAATAGCTCTCATGGAGTAGTCAGAGTCGTTCGGTTGAGAATCTTTGTTTCTCGGTTGAGAGGAGGCACGTCCTCGCGAGCTGATGGCGGGAAAGAATATGCCGGGATAAGCAACCGTCATGAGAATTGCGGCAATAGCAATCATCCTGAAAGCCATATGTGAGCAAGAGGTCTTTCAATGACGTGTCACTCAGGAGATACTTACATTCCGTCCAAGACCAAGAATTCACCTTCTTTACGCATGAGTTCGTTACCCCAGCCACCAGCCATTTCAGGAAGACTAAAAAAGCTGTGAGCGGATGATGCTTCCATGTCAGTAACTGGAAGAAAACCTACCGGTAAATGCAGCGAATGAAAATTGTCACAAATGCAACTGTTGATGCGGACAAATAGAACCGGAACCTCCAGTTGGGCTCAGCCGACTGGTTCCAGGGGTTCGAACCTTTCGTCGACCGCCTCCTGCTGTAAGTCCGCCAAGCAAAGTCGATGGCCAGTAAGCCGCAAATACCCATCGTAACAACCTGGAACGCAATGCCAGCAATCATGAGGTTGTTTCCCGTGTCGGCCAAGCTGTCGTCTCCGTCGGCGGATGCGGCCATGCCTCCGCCGGCAGCTTGCATGAGAAAACTGATAGCGTCGCAGCTGATGAAGATCCAAGTATACCACTTCGGGGCGAGGCGGGAGTTCTCCGGTCCAATGTAGGTGATGAGATGCTTGAGCGTGAGGTAGATTCCTGCCGCCATAAAGGACGGCGCAAGGATGAGGCAAACAACCTGCAGGCGAAAGCCATCATCGCTCCAGGGGTTCTGGTTGAGCAGCAGTCGACCAATGTATCCGAGTGCTTCGAGGCCGCAACCAATGACCATTACAGCTGTGAACGCACGAAGCCGAAATTTAATACCGAGAACGAGTTGTGCCACGGTGCAGATACTGAAAAGGGCTACAAAGAAAGCATTGCCGCCAACGTTCGGATAGTAGCCGTAGATGGTAGCCTCCACGGGGCAAGGAGGAGTGACTTCGATGCATCTCTCCATGGTTTCGAATGGATAGGGAGGTAACTGGAATAGATGGATTGATGATGATAATGATGATGATTTGAACACCCAAAAGCAGGCATTGTGAGTTGCCTTTATATGCTGTCTTACTCGTAGTTATTTACGAGTGTTTATTTGCTCATGTTTGGGCCTCAATGCGTTGCGCGGCATACGAGGCGGTGTTCAATCCTTTCCACTCCTTGCCCGGGCAGTGGTAGCGAGTTGTGGTTGACGGACACGAGAAACACATCGTTTATCGTAGGCTAAACCACGAACGGCGAAGTCAAGGAATGTAATCAACCAGTCAACTCTTAAATTCTTGAAGTAAGCACTCGCGTACACGTTACGCCTCAATTGCCCGGTCAGACCTGGCGTGATGTTCCTCGTCGTTCCTCGTACACCATTCCCGTTTTGAAGTGGCTTGACTCCGCCTCCACCTGGCAATCTCTTGCGCCAACTTTCTCCTCTCAGAGACTCGTAACCACAGATGATGACCAGAAGCAGTCATGTTTTTACTGGCTGTCTCAACAAGTCGTTGCTGGCACGTTTTTGGGAAGTCTCGGGGACTTTCGATTTGAAACAAGTTGCTCACTTCTTGCTGCTGTGCTACCCGAAGTGAGCAAACTCGGGCAGTTTGGAGTAGGCTATCTGACGTGTCGCCTCGAGAAGTGACAAGAATTAGACGATGTCGCAGTCTGCTACCTATTCTTGGGTTATGCTTTGCTCTTTTCTCAGTAGTTGGAAGCAGATACCCGTTCCACAAACTGTCATGCAGTCCCGACACCACGGCCAGCATCCGAAGACATGCCCCAATATCAGGAAAACCCCAATCCCTGCATCAACACCGCTGCGATTCGCGGAACACCAGACCCTGTGCAACGCTATTCCACATAATATTCATCGCTTAGGCTTAGCTCTGGGGCCGATGCAGGCCGCCCCGCCTGGGTCGCTATCATTGTGTACAATGCCGGCTTCTGATATGAACACAGCGGGGGAATCGATATCTAGAGACGCTTCCCCGCAAGTTTCATGCGGCGCTGTCTCGACGAATCTGCGCAGTAAGATGACGCCCTCCCGCATTTCCAGCCTCCGGTATCGCTAGCATCATTTCATGTGTCGCTTCATTTCCAGCTCATACCTTCGTCTGCGCTGAGTTTTGGAAGACCACTGACTCCCGTGAAGTCACGAATCCGATCGGGCCTGGATATGCAGTTTTGAAGTATGACCACGCTTAAAGGCCGAAGTGCGGTGGCCTGCAAGGCCTGCCACTCCCAGAAACTGAAGTGTAACGGTGGTACGGTTACCAGTACCCTCATTTCATGTTTGAAGCGGCTAATGATTGGTTGTGATTTCCTCAGGAACTCCATGTCAGCGCTGCTCACTTCGTCGTCGCGAATGCATTTATCCCATCAAAGAGAAGTTCACCACAGTGTCGGAAAGTTATCTGCGATGGCTGGAACGAGAAGTCAATACGACTCGGCGAGATGCCAACCAAACGCCAGCAAACTCAGCAATCGCAACTGGTTCTGTTGAAGCGGCGACTCAAAGTCCTACCCATACGTCACCCAAGTCTCCCATCAAGGCTGCCCGTGACGTCAAAGACGAAGTCATGGAAGATTGTAGCGCGGAGAACTTCGTACAAAGACTGAGGCAGCTATCATGGACCAACGGTTCCATGAGTTCAAGACATTCTACCAGCGCCGGCACTGAGGGTTACACCTACTCGCGCCTCAAATTTGATTTCCTGCGTAAGTCTGTCTAACAAACTACGTATACTGAGACCCCGTCACTAAAACAGCACGAAAAATGCAGAATCCGAGGTTTCTTTTCGGCTTCCCCCGCGTCCGTACGCGTTTCATCTGCTCCAGGCATTTGAGGAAGGATTTAGCGAATACCACTGGTTCCTCCGGAAGAGCTTTCGTGATCGGCTTCAGTTGACATACTCGGATCCCAGCTCGCAGTCGCACGACCGAAATTGGCTTTGTCGGGTATCTGTCGTTCTTGCATTGGCAGAAAGCTTCAACCGGTCACGCATGACTTCGTCTACGCACATGCAGCTCACAGGACAACAGCCGTCTAGTCCTTACGGCATGCCTCCGCCCACATCCACGACGTCCTCCCCTACATCGGAATCATCTCCATCATCGCAAACACTACCACTACCTCCAGGATCAGACTTCTTTGAGCAAGGCTTAATGCTGCTAAAAATGTCTCCCGAAGAGCCTGTAGCAGAAGATGTGGAAGCTTTGAATTTGATCGTGAGTTGAGCGCTACCAATTCAGACTTTTGTAACTAAGATATGCAGGCTTTCTACTGCTACTCTCTCAATCGAAGAAAGACAGCATATTCGTATGCGAGCCAAAGCATTGCGCTCGCGAAGCTTCTACAACTCCAGAAGCCATCCACGGACTCAAATCACGGTGCTGGAGGGAACAGCATTCAGCTGATGAATGAGCATCGAAAGAGGCTATGGTGGACTTCGTACTGCATGGATCGCATGATTAGCACCGAACTTGGCGTTGCGCCTGCGCTTTCATCTGTGCCTGATGGAATTCAGCTTCCAAATTCCAACGGGCTTACTGTTGACGAGCTGGAAGAGTTGTCAGACCCCAACCTGTTGACCGCGACAACCCAGCTCTGCGAGATCAAGCGATTTGTTGTTATAACTGCCGCCAAATATGGAGATGTTGATGAAGAGAAACGCCTGGAAATGATTAGGCCATGCATTGAGATGTTACAAGAGTGGAGGGGAAATCTGCCTTCCTCTATGACCTTCACATTCGAGGAGAATCTTCCAACAAGGCTGATGGAAAACCAGTTTGGAAGAATCCTGGCATCAATCTACTTGAGATACCATCAAGTAAGTAACTTTGGTGGCCATTCTTCCACACAGCCTGGCTAGCTTGGGCTAGGTTTGAGGGGGCGTACAAGACCAGACTGACTCGGATAGTGCTACATCTTGCTTCTCAGACCTCTCTACCTCCAGAAGCTATCCTCCATTGTACAAAAACGACGGCTCAACAGTCAGCAAGTACAGCCGAGTCGAGTTGGCTCCTTGCCAACGGAGGGCGATGACCCAATGAAAGAGGTCAAGATCCAATGTCTCGAGGCCGCTCGAAACAACTGCAAGATCTTACTCGGTCTCTGGAACTACGACAAAATCGGTAAGTCCATGCCTATGACTGAAATCTGATGGGTGCAGCTTCTGACAATGGATCTTCGTCTCAGCAAAATTTGGTTACTGGGAGTCCTTACATCTTTTCTCGGGCCTTGCGATTCTAGCTCTGGCTCGTGTATCCTTCAAACGTGGAAGCGGGGGATCCTCGCCAGTTGAACAAGATGATACCGTTCTGTACACCAAAACACGAGCCTTGCTTCGAGAAATGGCTCGGGTAGGTAATCCTGCCGCCAAGGATCACGACGCTCTGCTCTCTGATGTTGAGGCCATGGTGGATAGAGTTTGCGAAGAAGAATTGGCCACGCGGCAGACTAGCATGGAAGCCGACCATGTCAATGAGCCATTGAATTTTTCCGAGTTCATGTTCGCCGATATGGGTTCGGAGCACCAGATTTGGTGTGATACTGACTGGGAGAATATCTTGAGTACTTACACCCAGGATATCTGACTAATAATTCGATCTTGTGTATTGCACTAGTATCAAATTTAATGAGATCACAAATAATGCATCATAAGCGTACATAAGTTCACAATGAGACGACAATTTTAGTTAAAGAAATGTGTAAATTCTTTGAATATGTTCTTTGGCGAAGGCATGGCACCTCAAAATTCATCCACAAACGCCTTTAACCCAAACCAGTGTGCAAATCCGGCACTTATGCTACCCAGCCCCCTCAAGAATCATCTTTTCCAACGCCACAATGCAGAAGGTTCAGCTGATGATGCTCCCAATTTCGCTGCGCACTCATTTCAGCTATGTACACGGTTGTACCTCCGGTCAGATTTACTGGGTTGCGCCAAAGATCTCGTTGAGGTCGCGCTTGGCATTGCGCTTGATACCGCACTTGTTGAGGCAGGCGTCGATACCAAGAGCAATGTTGGCAGGGATGTGCTCGCGGAAGCTCTCAAGATCGGCACCATCAATGGTCTGAACGCCACCGAGGGTAGAAGAGACGACATCCGGGCGGAGGTTGAAGAAGGTCTGGGCAACCTGCTCAACACCGGGGTCGACGTTGTTGAAGCCGGCGACGAAGACAGCATCCTCGCAGTCCGGGTTGAACTCCTGGTGGATCGCGCCCTGAGGGAAGACAGCCATCTGGTAGGTGTTCATGGTGTTGGCAATCGGCTCGACACCGTTCTCGACCTGGAAGTTGGTGACCAAACGACCCTTGACGACAACGTTGAGCTCGGTGGCGCGGTTGTGGACGTGAGCGGTGTTCATGCCACAGGGGCCGAGGAACGCAAGAGTCATGGCGGCACCGTTGCCGATGAGGGCGGGGAACGTCTTGGCCGTGGCCGAGGTGGAGAAGCCGCCCTTACCGCGGGATTCGGAACCTTCCGGAGCACCGGCGTCGTTGAAGTCAAAGACGTAGTCGCCGGGCTGGTTCAGGAGGCGGACACGGTCTTGTTGGGTGGGGGCGGTCATGAGCTTGGTGATAAGATCCATGTTGCCGGCGCGGGTGTTGACAGGGACGATAGGAGGCAGAACATCGTCGATCGAACCGCTGTTGTGGTGAGAGTAGGTTGTGTTGGCGGCGGGGGCCGATGACATGGTCTTCGTTGAGGAGGCCGGAGCGGCAAGGGCAGCCGCGGCGAAGATGGTGGAGAACAGAATGGCGGAGGAGTGCATTTTGATTACTTTGTTGCTTTTTCGACCGTAATAATTCGATGTAGACTTTCTGACAGATAGGAGATCCCGACTGACAAAGGAGACAAGGAAATCAAGAAAAAAGAGTAGGAAATACTGGAGATTGGAAACCGGTCTGTTGATTGTGTTGCTTGGTTGTGATGGTGAAGAGAAAAGGCAACATGACAACTGCTCTGAAAGATCGTTATATACTTTTTCATCGATATCGTGATGCTCAGCAGGATGGACTTTTGATAGATGACATGAGCTTTTGGTGGTTGCCTTGAGTGAGTGCTTCGCCCCCGATATCCAATTCCAACATTCGCTCACGATGTGTTGTGTTGTCGAAGGTGATGTGTGCCAGGCATCCTTCTGCTGTTGTGCATCCGGGAATGGCTTCAAGCTTACGCCAGGACGGTAATAGCAACACCACCTCCAGCTTCATCAGCACAGCCCGGCACACTGCAGAAAAGATGGGGAAAACAGGCAAACTGATGCCCACCCAGTAAAAGCTGGCGAATAATCGACATGGGTGTTCGGGTAGCGCAACTTGGCGCTGACAGGCGACAGGGCTGATGAATGTTGGTGGCTAACCTAGGCAGCGTGTTATTACCGATCTGCTGGGTTCACCGCCGAAAGAAACAGGAAAGCTGCATGCGGATAACATATTGACCGCAGCAATCGCAGTCGCCTGCTCATAGCCATCATCCGTCAGCAGACAGCTTTGAAAGTCCGAAGATGTGTCAAGCTGAGGAAAGATGTTCCTGTTGTTGGAAATTTGATTCCTCATGCCTTTCACGTGGCATAGAGCAGGCTAGGTTCCTTCCATGAATATGCCTCTTAATCAGCGATCTATTCTGGGGCTCGTCGATTTTGAACCGATATGATGTCAGATCTGGGTTGGCTTTTGGCTTGCCGCGCCGCACAATGGATTTATTGAGTACAATGGATTCATTAGAGACTGCGCTGATGAAGTTGAGGCAGATGTTGGATGTTTCCTCTCACAGATACTTAAGCGACATAATCTGCATTATGAGAGATTGTTTCTGGACATTTGAACTCAGAATGACCTTGCGTTGGTGCATGTAGCTGAATCAAAGGTTGACTCAGAAGTCAATTATCAGGTCATTTGAGGGAATGGATTATCAACATCATCTAATACCAGCTTCTACATAGGTAAATCCGCAAGCGAGGAAATAATCAGGACGAAGAATAGGTACTTGAGACCTGACTTACGGTTACCTTTGAAAGTCACCGGTTCCAGAGTTCCTAGGCGTACGATTACTGAAGCTGATGATCCTTCCGGACGTAGTGCTTACAACCTGTCAGTTTGTGTGGCGGTACGACCAAATTTGAGCGGGGATGTAAGCTTAAAGGCAAAAAGACCAAAATATTCGGACTTTCGAATCCTTCTGTGATTGCTAGTCGTCATATCAATCCGAGCAGGTTCAACACGGAAGACTCTTTGTGGTATCCGAATTGCTAGCTAACGATGCACCCACTGGCAAGCGCAAGCGTGAGGAAACGTGCGTTGACCTCACCGTGGTCATTGAAAACGATGCGGTGGCCCATGGCACTGAGTTCGACCCTGATGACCTCCCCGTTGGTGAGGGAAACAACACACGGCGGCCGATCGAAGAGGAGCTCCTCGAGCACTTCGGCTACCTTTCCTGTGAAGACAAGTCGTGCAGTCGCAAGATGGATGAGCTGCGTTGCGCGTCTCGACCATATGCGCAGGCCACAGCTCGGGCTGCTGAGCGAGTGAAGGCCGCGGCTACGGCGACCGCCGATGAGGATGTCGAGTCGCGGCGGTAGACCGCGTTCAGCAGCGAGAAACCTCGGGCAACGGGGTGGGTCGCCGACGCGGTGACGGAGGCGGGGTGCACCCGGCGGCCGAACTGGCGGCGCTTATCCCGCTTGCGCCCGGCCCCGCCGCCGTGGACAAACTGATGTAATGTGACGCGAAAAGTTGTGCTCTGTATGAGTACGGTTGGAGGCCGGGATTCTATTTTTTTTTTTTCGCAGTTATTCTTTTTTTAATTTTGAATTGGCAATCAAGAAGATAGATGTTGTGATCGGGCTAGTTTAAGCCCCGGAATTAATCAACGCGCCTACTGCCAGGGGTACATCATGCATGCAAGAGGGGTTCAAGCCAACAAGACCTGCTAGAATATATAAAGCCCCGATGATTCATCCCACAGCCTCCCATCTTCATCTTGTATTCGTACCTTATTGGGAGCATGAGTGATTGCCGACCGGCTGCAGATAGTCAGCATAAATGTTTCTTTGTCTTTCAGCATTTTCTTTTATGGACGACAATGTTAAGAGGTTGATTTCGGGATCCGATTTATCAACTTACCCCTCATAACAACTTCCTCGTCATATCTCATATCATCTCATGGAGGGCTCATCTTTCCATCGCGAGGTGGCCCAAGGCCTCACGCAGTTCTACACAAAGTTAGCCACGACACCTTACCTGTCGCCTGACGACATCCAACACCCCCCGCCAGAGGGATGGAGTGACGCTGAGCTGGACATGGATGGCCTGAGAACCACATTATGCCGGTCCGATACCGTCGTGGACCTCCTGCGCCACCTTCCCTACTTGCAACCTGTCGGCGCAGGCGATCAAACGGATCAATGTCTTATCTTCCCGAAAAGTAAGGCTATGCGCTACTTGCGGCAAGATGGCTCGCTGGCAGATGAGCACTTAGAGGGCTTGTTTGAACTGGCCCACCTCCCGTCAGACATCGTCAGCTTGACGTATCCTGCGGGGGAGTACACGCTTTACGGCCCGCAATGGTGGCTTGTGGACTGTAAAACAGGACGTATCATCAAGTATGCGGGACCACCACGCGGCGAGGCGTTGGCAGAGGAGTTCGAGTCAGAGTGGAAGAAGGCACCATCATATACACCTACCGAGTTCTTCGAAAAGACTGCCTCGATGCTCGGCAAGGACTTCTACCCCATTCCTGGTCTGATCGATGGCATTGAGCCCGACTTCTCAACCCCCGATCGCCGAGAGCTTGCGTCCTCTATGTATCAGATTTACATGCTGGCAGGATGGCAACACGGCCGCGGACCCGGACCAGCTTTTGACCGCAAGAAGTGCCGGAATGATTTGAAGGTTTTCTTGAAGTATCGACAAGAACGCGAGTCGCGAAAGCGAAAGGCAGAGGCCGGCCGTCATGGTCCCAGACTGCCACCTCGGGAAAGAAGAGGTCCTGCGACATACACGTCTGGCTATGACCGGGACGTCATAGTTGCTGGCCTGACGAGGTACTACGAGACACTGGCCCAGATGGCCTTCTTTCCTGCGTCGCTCATCCAGTATCCGCCAGGCGGACGCTGGGGTGATGATGCTTTCCTGCCGGCCGATAAGACACGCCTCCTGGGCTTCAACGACCGTGTCATTGACCTGTTGCGGCATCTTCCGTATCTCGATGTCGACGAGACGCACGAAGACAACCGCTGGCCTGTCATTGGGCGTAGCGAGCCGCAGCGCTATCTCGAGGACAACCCGGGGCTGAACGAGGACCTCACCGCGGACAAGGCCACTCCTGAGCGCCTATGCGCCCATGGTCTCTTCCCTTTCCCTGAGAAGATGCCTGACGGTCTAGTTCCCATTGCTGGCGGAAGCGCCGACGGTAGCGGCATCGGCGAGTGGTGGATCATAGATACTAACGCCGGCACAATCATCGTCTACGATGCTGGCAACAGGCAAGTTCAGGATGCCCCGGACGATCAGCCGTGGCTATGGACGCCACCACGACCTGCTGGGCCGTACTTCCATGCACTCGTTGACAGCCTGTATTCCCTCGACTTGGTGCCTTTGCCTCGCCCCGACACGGAGGACGCAGAGTATTATCCCGAGGTGTGGGGTGCAATCCGAGAGGACGATGCGAAAGGGCAAGTATCAGACACTGAAATAGAGGTATGTGTACTTCGATTGCATCTTGATGTCATCATTGATGTCTATGATTCTGTGGTATTTGACACTGATAGCATTGTGAACGGTTCTAGGACGCTCGCGACATATATCGTAAGCATGGATGGCCAGACCTGGCCAGGTTCCGCCAACAGGAGTGCTACGATGCTTTGGTGGAATTTCGAACGAAGCTACTGGAGGAGGATGAGGAAGAAGATCATGGGCCTGCTTGATAGGCTGCGTATAGTCACGGAGGCTACGTCTCCCTGGTCATTAACACAATTGGACTCGAAGGATGGGACAGAAGTGGGTGAAAGAAGCGCCCAGTGCATACATGCCAGTTGAGACTTGAAAGACTCAGGGTGGACGGAAGGAACCAGTTGATGCAAATAGAATAGATGGGTGTCAAGGGAAGCAATCAGAGAGACATGCTTCATATGTGCTCTGCAAGGGCCTCTCTAGCTTCGCTGATTCGCAAAAAGGGACGTTATCCTAGCCATTCTAACTTCACAAGAAAAACTGATAGCAATATCAAGCCTGCGAGGACGAAGGCTTCATGGCATGAATGAAGTATGGGTATCAACCCTCAATTGGGAATCTCTATGGGCTTGAAAAGTAAGCACGAAAATGCTGACCTCTCTTGCCACAGTTGACTAAGGTACCTCGATATAACACAATGATGACAACCGCCGATCCCATGCCTTGCTTGTCCTTTGCATCCAACCCAAAATACTTGCTTAGTAGACATAGAAGTTGGTGGCATTGGGGTCTTCCCGTCTCTTCTTCGCGTTAGTGCGGATCAGAGCCCATCTCATGAACCAGGCGCAGATCACGACGCCTAGGGAGAAAGCAATGCTGGAGCACATGGCAGTGAGGAATCGAGGGGAGTCGGAATCGGGCCATAGGTAAGGAGTGTAGATACTAGCAGCGTTTCCAAGCGTGTTTGCCATGGCGATCGCGACAGCCTTCTTCTCGTCGGTCTGGCCAAGGACGGACGAAGTCCATCCCAGAATCAAGTTGTTGACGCCGTATGTGGCGCCAACGAAAAGCATGATACCGGTATATCGGACACCCATGTTGAGGGATGCGACGGACATAACAAAGCCCAAGCAAACGATGAGCTTGCTAATAGTAATGTGCCAAGTACGCTCGTTGAATTTGCCCGATGACCACGGCACTAGGACTGAGAAGAAGGCCGAGAAGACGTAAGGCGGGCAGGTGAGAACGAGGGTGATTGTGGTGTTGAACTCCAGGGTCCCTACCACGGTAGGGAGGAAATTCTTAAAGCCGTTGGCAGACAAATGGAGGTTGTCCATGAGGCAGAAAACCCACGTACGCCAGTCCATGCAAGCCTCTTTGAGGCCCGTCCAGACAGATGTTCCCTCGCGACGGTCGGTGGTGTCGTTGTAGATTCGGGTATGGGCCAGCTGGCGTTCCTCCTCAGTCAACCAGCGGGTCTTGAGGGGGCTGTCGGGCAGAAGGAAGAAGGCGAAGAAAGCGACGAGGATGGAAATAGCGCCTTGAATGATGAAGAGCCTAGGAGAACCATTAGCGAGCTGCTTATAAGTGCGGGTGCGACATTGCTTCAATCTTCCGATGAAGAAATCGCCTTCATGTTTGCACTTACCACTGCCAGCCGTGGAGACCTCGCATACCGTGCATCTCGGAGAAGATGGGAGCTGCAATAAGACCAGAGAAAGCACTGGCGGCCATGTTTCCAGTGTAGAAGATGGCCATACGAGAAGACACTTCCTTGCGAGTGTAGAACATGGAAAGCATGTAAAGAGCGCCTGGGTAGAACTGCGTTTCAATGTCAGCTAAAGACATCCGGTGATGTCGGAGTAGTCGTGACGTACAGGAGCTTCGGTAATTCCAAGAAGGAAGCGGCAGACCAGCATGGTCGCGAAGTCATGGCACTTGTAGGTCAATAGACTGACGACGGACCATGCCATCATGAACCCGGCCATGTAATATGAAGGGCGGACTCTGTTGAGAATCATGTTCGATGGAACTTGGCCACATAGGTAGCTTTGACGCAATTAGCCGGAATGGCCCCAAATATTAGTAGGGATGTGGGCCTACCCGACGAAAAGAATCGACACGCAGGTGTTGTATTGCGTTCCCTTCAAGTTCAAGTCCTTGTGGAGGCCATTCAACTTGCCGTTGATCATGGCGTTTCGGTCCAAGAAGTTGAGGAAGTACATGACCCAGAGAATCGGCTGTCATACTACCGCGTCAGCTTCGGCGCCTCTAGCATAAGAGGTCGTTTGCGGGAACATACCAAGATGTACCAATCAATCTTCTTCACCAGGGCAATCTCCTTGGGATCAGTCTTGGTGTGAGCTCCGAACTCGTCCACTTTCTCGATGACCGGTTGCTTCATGAGCGCCGGGTCATCAGTAGTGAAAACGTGCTCCATCTGGTTGACAGCGACCTTGTCCTGAGGCGACCCGGGCCGGCTAGTTTGGACGTTGGTAGCCATCGTGATGTCGTGAATGCGCCTGACAGCCGTTCAAGAGAGTGAGAGAGCTGAAGTAGCCTAATACACGAAAATTTGGCGGGATTCCCTCCAGTCTGTGCTTGCGACTTGACGAAGGAGAGGAGGTTGGCCGTGGGTGTCCCTGATGCTTCCAGGTTGAAGAACAGGAGTTCGTCTGATATAGCTAGAGGAAGCTCAGATATATATCCCCGTCTCCATCAACCTCATCCCGGCAAACCCCATGTGCACTCACCGTTCGCAGCCATCGCGTCGGGTCCAACACAGCGGAGTCTGTCATGTCTAATTGGTGGAGACGAGAAGAATCCCCATGGGGTAGATGGGGTTAGACGGCTGACGGCTTTTCCGCGAGTGCGGAGTGCGGGGAAGAGGAGAAGCCAAGAACTTTTAAAGGGCTTCACATCCCGAACTAGAGCCAAAGCCTGAGGTGCAGATTTGGATGCGTGTTTACGGCTGGGCGAACAGGGTCTGGTGCCGTGTTCTGGCACCAGTCCAAAAGCGATTCTCATTGTGCATCCTTTTGCTCCTCAACGTGTTGACTTCGATGAAGAATCTTTACCTTGTCTGAGACATGACCTCGGTACCTCCCTCATGAAGCCACTTTCTTTCTACCTACCTTCACTCCCAGCCGTTCATCTGAAGTATCGTCGTCTTATCATAAACTTCCCGCTGACAACGTCGTCTTTCTTGTATCATAGTCCGAAGAACTCAAGGAGGCGCAGCGCCATGCCACTCCCCTGTCATACTTGCCAGTCACCCCAACCAGAGAGGGCTTGGCGGTGATGGCTTTTCTGAGCCTATTCTCCTTCACACCCCCTTGGCCTATGCCGGCGTGCCAAGTTCTACGCGGAAAACAACACGGAAAACCTGCTTTCTGACGGAAATGCTATCATCTCGTTTCTTCTCGTCTTCTTGGCCTCGTGGATCATCAGCCAAGGCATGGCAAAAGCGCATTTCAAATGAGCTTATTTGGAAAGCTGAGTATGTGTCGGAAAACACATATGATCGCAGGTTGGAGAAAAAGCAGAACACGGGTCCACACCCGCAGCAATTGCGAGGCTATTAGTCTGAAGAGCTACCATGCAAGATAGAGACGAAGTTCAGACATACAAATTGCGGACCTGGGCAAGAAAGATACTCCCCCACGCCCCGCATCGAGACACTGCCAATGGCTTTTCGTTGGTGGAGTGTCACCCCGTGTCGGCGGATAGCATATCCGCATATGCAGCTCAAGCGGTCCCGGATCTCTTCGTCGTTCGGTCTTCTTGTTGGTCACTTTTACCATGACCGAACAATAACGTTGTGAGAAATTGGATGTTTGTTTAGTGGAGTTGGCTGGGGTGCAGATGATTGTCCGCCGTTGGTCCCCTTCCTTGCTACAGTTGCAATGCGGGGTGACATGGCAGGATTTAGACCCAACGACTGTTGAACACCGCCTGTCGGCTTCGTTCCCTATTCAAAAGGTTGGATCAGGGTTGCATCGCGGTGCAGTTGCAAACATCTGCGAAGACCACAAACCGAGTTGCCGAGCAAGCGTTGATATCGGTCTACTCCGTGCATGTACGGATAGCTGATGTGCGAAGTGTCAGCACACAGAAGCAGCAAGGATCTTCTTCTGAAGGGACAGCCAAGGGAGCGGTTGGTCGTTCCAGCAGGATATCACGCGATGTTGGTGCAGCTTGGACACAACCACCATAGTCGTGGTATGGCCTGTTCATTTCGATTTGTTGGAATTTATTGCCAAGAAGCGCATCTGCGTTGGCAGCCATGAATCTCTTGGGCAAACTTGGCTGGCTTAGGTCTCTTCGCGAAGCCACACCATGTAAGCTTGAACGTGGCCTGCCGCCAGATAGCCGCCTGCCATCCCATTCCGTTGTCGAACTAATGTCAACGCCAAGGCCGGCTAGCTTAGCTGTCCCGAGGAGATGGTTTGCACACACTCTCCGCTCACTAAAGGTCGGCGATAGAGGCCTCCATCGCGAAAGGCCGACGGCTAAGTATCATGCTGATCCGGTGTGGCTTCGGAAAAGCACATCCAGTACAGCTGAATCTTAGCCTTAGCTTCCTTTCATACCGGAGTTGACGAGTCGCTAAAGTTCACGTCAACCTAGTTGAATCTTTCCATATCGTGAACTCGGACCAGCACGTTCGCTGCTTCTTACGGAACCCATTGAATGTTTGCGTTCCGACCGTACACGTAATCAATCTGCATCGATGCCGAAAACAACATTTCTACACAACTACGTTACAAACTCTCATTATGAAGGTAATATATACAGGAATAACCCCTTTTCCTACAATATCGAGCCAACTCCTATCAAAAGGGGTTAGTGATATTTCTCATCAGAACAGTACCATTACCAAACACTGTTCCGTTCCTCAAGACATCAACCCGCCACGGGTCAAAGTGAGCAGGCGGGTTGTCAATCTTCGTACCGTTCGCATAGATGATTCCATTCCACGGAGATGGCAGCCTCTTGTTCGACTTCTTGAACAACGGGTGTCGTCGCTTGTTGACATAGCAGTTCTCACTGGCCATGTATAGGTTCAAGCCTAGCGCTAACGTCCGCAGCTCGGGCGCGGCATTGTCCCAGTTACGATCGTACGTGACGCGAATCCCGATATAGTCCATCAGAAGCACCGTGGGAAACGATGTCGGGGACATATTTGCCACGCCACCGTAGTACAGCATGGGTGTAGTAATGTAGTTGGCCAAGTTCTCGAGCTCGTAGGTCAGCGCGTCAAAGTGAGCGGCGTTGAGAAGCCATTGCGACACGAAGAACTCGTCGTTCTTCGCACCGTCAGAGCGTGCACGGTCTTTGTCCCCGAAGCCTGAGACCTGGAAGTCGAGGAGGTTTTGAACATTGCCTCCCTTGCCATCCTCCCATCTATCGGTACGGTCCATGTGTGTACCTGCGAGATAGATGCCCGACGCCGGATCATCCTTCGGGACGCCGTCCTCGACACCGAATTGGTCAAGAATAATGGCCACACATCCCTTGCCGTCGTTCATTGACATGAACTCACCCATCAGCCGGTTCTGGAACTTGGTCGCTGCGGTGAGATCGGGGCACCGGTACTTGATTTCCTTCAGCTTCTTGAAGAACGCGGCCATCTCTTCCTTGTCGAAGGCGTCACCGCCCGCACCGGGCTCAAAAGCGACCATGTCTCTCATCCACAGGAAGATGACTTCGCCAGGAGTACTGTCATAGAAGCTTTGATGTGTTAGTTCAAGAACAGAGACAGCAGAGGCTGAATGGCTCACGCATTGATTCCATCGACAACGCTAGACAGCGTCACTCCTGATGCTCCGACGACTGTGGTTCCTCGTGGATCGGCGACGTGGAAGATGTGGAACTCCCCATTGTCGCTCGCCGGCACACGTGCAGGTCGAAGGTCGAAGTAACGCGCGCCGAGCTGGAGTTGTTTCTCGATACCGTATGCCTGCGTTTGGGTGTCCGCCGCGACGCCTGACAGAATAAAACAATTAGCACCCACACCCAGAAACATGCATGAATGCCAGACTTACCGCCCCATTTGTATTTACCGATGGTACTCATTCCAGAGTCATGGGCACCAGGTACAATGACATGCTTCACTTGTCTTCCTTTGATAGCCTCCCTGATGGAACCCATCCAGCCCTCGGGTGAGCTGTCAAGCGTGAGCGAATGGTGGTATCCATAGCTTTCGCTGCCCGTGATGACAAAGGTGACAGAGACTTCAGACCCAGGAATCTCGTACTCTCTGGTGCCTAAGCCCCAACCATCCAGATTGACCACGAATCGTTGAGGTCTGCTGTGAGGATAGTGCGTCGTGGCCTTCACGTGGAACTCTCGGCTCGTGCCGACGACCTCGAAGTAAGCCTCGCCGTTGTCATCGACTCTGCTCTCGCCACCGACTCCGAACTCCACCAAGTTCTGGCGCGCATGTCCAGGTGGGATATCGCCGAACTCGCCATGAACCTGGTAATAGTGCGAACGGTCTTTCAGGTAACGAAAGCGGTACGGAGTAAGATTGACGATTGTCATGTAGTACGTGTTGGTGTCGACCAGCGGGTACACGGCATGCTCAACGCCAGGCATAGCCTCCCGAGAGAACGTGTTATCATTCGTATCGCACGTGTCTCCTTCCTCAATAGGATAGTCGAGTTTGCACGCATCGCCGGGACAGTAGCCACGGGAGCAAGCAAACTGACACAGTCCAAAGTCCTTGATGCCATCGTTCAAGGCTTCGCCTGTCGTGTCCTTGGGTGCCGGCGGCTCCGTCAAACCGCCTTGCCCGGTACACGAGCAGACGCCTATTGGACAGAAGCCGTAGTTGCAAGCATATTGACACAAGCCCGTGAGGCCGTTGTCGGACCTTCCCTGAGTGCATGCTGGAGGAAGAAATTCCGAGACGGTAGGAACGATGATGGGTTGTTCGGTTGGACTGCAGGACTCCGAGGGACAGAATCCACGACTGCATGCCCACTTGCAGAGTCCTGTGTAGCTCTCACTCTTGCCGGCAGCTGGGAAACCTGTGGCACCGGTCCCAGTAGGCTCTGGAATAGGTTTGCCGATAGCAAGACATTGGCATGCCGAGACGGGGCAGTAACCATACTTGCAGGTGAATTCGCAGAGTGTGGTGAAGCCGGTTGCTCCTGTACCCTTGATACACTTCTGCTCATCGCGCGATGACGCCGGTGTGGCTGAAATGGATCCCGCGGCCATGGCACTTCCAACCCACGGATTCCAGTTGGTGAGGCCGCCTTCTGCGCAGGTCCCAGTGATAGAACCACCGGTGATGGTTGCGATAGTACCTCCTCCTCTTTGAAGAGTGATGACAACTGAACCGCTGCCTTGGAAAGGAACGCTTCCGTGGTAGACGCCAATGCCTCCGTCGGGGACTGATGTCCACGTTCCAGCCTGCGAGGTACCACCGACGCTGACGGTAACGTCTGCCGAGGAGCCCAGTACAGCTGAAAAAAAGATCCTGTCCTGCATAACTTCGGCTGGCGAGAACTCCAACTGCAACTGGCTGGCGGTGTTGCCGGACGTGTCACCATCACCACAGGCCTTGGCCGGGGTCGTTCTGAACCAGCCCATGACGCCCTCCTTTGTCACAGTAGCTTTTCCGTTCTTGTAGTAGTCAATCCAGAAGGGTAGAGTCATTCGCCAACCATCATGAGGAAGGTTCTTGGCGAAGTTGAACGGGGCCTTGCCCGTCTCAAAAGCGCCCATGGCATGATCCCGAAGAGGTCCGATGTGATGAGACTCTCCGTAGTCGTTCCAGGAAATGATCTCAACGTAGCTGTAAAGGAGTTGAAGTTAGCTTATGGTATGATCTGGAAGGATGCGAGACAGCAGGCTGGAGTGGAACTTACTCTGGCTGATTGTAGACGATTTGGATCCAGCGGTCATGCCATAGATCATCTCCGCGCCAAAGCCAGTTCTTATGGAAGCCAGGGAGATTGGTGTAGAACCAAGGCGCAGCAGGCATCATGTAGGGCTTCTTATCCAAATACTGATAGTACGAAGCGTCCACATATGTGTCCATGTTCCTGTTTCCCCAAGGCCACGCAGCCCAGTTGAAGAGTCCATCAGCGACGCCATTCGATAATTCTAACGCCCTCTTGGCTCCTTTGGAGGACCAATCAGGCATGAAGAAGCAAGGGAAAGAACGCTTGATGTCAACCCAATCTGACGCTTGTTCGGGGCCTTCAAAGGTGGACACAAGAGGAGTGCCATCACTATGCTTGAAATATGTCGAGCGGGTAGCGTAGGTTTTTAGGAGATCGAGGACGGTGTCCTTGGGCCACGGGCCCCTGCCGGCGTAGTCGAAAGAAAAGATGAGTTTGAAGCCCATGGAACTGGCCACGTCAAAGACGTTCTTGAGCGAGGCATCGTTCATGGGCTCTCCATGGGCAATGTTGAGGGCAAAACCGTCGATGTGAGCCTCTTGAGCGAGGCGGATGTCGTCACGCCAGGTGTCAAGGGTGTACTTCTCCGTGTTTCCTACCTATTGAGGGTCAGTGGCCTGCTGAGAGACACTCAACGAAGATATACGCACCATGAAATGGGCAAACACTGCTTTAGCTTGCACATGGCAGGCGCCTGCGAGGATCGCCAGAGATTCAAGGAGCGGAAATCTCATGGCGGCCGGTGAATTCTAAGAAACGAGGAAGCTTGCTCTGACATCCGATTTCCATTTTTAAGGGAGTTTGTTTCCGCTTATAACTACGCTGATGTCCTGAAAGAGCGGGAATTTCAGACAAGTCTCTGATACGTTCCATCGCCAGACTTTCCTTCGAGCAACTGTGGTTGCCTGCTGTCTCTCGAAGGACATGCCGATATGGGAGATAATGGCTTGGCGAACTTGCAAAAGATCTTTTTTTACAGTATAAACCTCTGTCAGACCAACCTCGGATGGGGCCGTAAAAGTGAGATTGGGTTCTTGATGCCGAATTCAGCTTGTATTCCGATGCTTCTTCTGCGGCACAGTGGTTGAGTGACTGGTGGTGCGGATATCGAGGCTCCGCGCCTCCCTTCAAATGATAGATATCATGTGAAATGGCCTTCTGTGCCGCTTGGTGAGGTTGTTAGTACCTCAAAACGGCCCGCGGAGCTAAGCCTTGTAACCCTTGGAGCGTCTGGATCATCACGTCTTGCTGCATGTACAGGGAGCCTGGAGGCAACCAGTTCCTGCATCTGACACGACCCTTCACGTTTTCCGAGGCCAGCCCTGACGGGTGATCACCAAAGTTCTTCCTTGGTTGAAGTTGGCGGGGTAGGTGTGAAAAGCTTTTACCAGCAAACTAGATTCGACTTCTTGATATCCCCACGACTGTTGCACGTGGAATCGTCAGGCCATTACGGTCCAGAGTCCAGACACGGCGGTTTCCGCTGTCTTCCCTTGGAGATCTTTCTGACTAGCCATGAAGAGTGGTTATTTTCAAAAGTCGGGATACGCGTCCTTCATCATAACCATCAGATGATTATCTTGCATGTGTCCCTCGCAGAAATGTAACCTTTGCGTTGAGTATGCTCGTCAGCCGTTCCCTATCTGACCGCATCCATTAAACCCCTTGTCTCTAGACCCTGGTGATTTCCGGCTAAGTGCGGAATCCAAAGCCACGCGGTCGAGCATTCGTCAAATCTGCTTGCGTCGGGATAGGCTGTATCTAGTTCTCCCGAACGTCGGATGGAGTCTCGGTCCATTTGAACACCGACGTCTAAGCCTGGACGGCCTTGGACCCCATTGTATCAGGGGTCTACGGCAGGCACCCGTGGATCTTGCAGGCGTGGAGATTGCTTATTATGAAGCTTGTCTAGGTAGTGCAGATCTTGGCAACAATGGCGCAGCTAATCGAGGGTCCCGCGCAAAGTCAAAATTAAGATCACGGAGACATACAAGATAGTTTCGAGTACGGAGTCAAACGCGTCAACAGCAAACCCGATGTCTTCAAGACCTTCGATGTTGAGTGTCATGGTCAATCGGTACGTTGATGCTTGTCTAGCTACTCTTATCACAAGTAGATCAATTGAATTTGGAACTTTGGTATCTTCAATCCTTCTTTTAACTTTGGTTCTAATGCTGACAGCAATTTGCCGCCAGGCAGCTTATTGAGCTGAGCGGCACAGCAAGGTGTTGGTAGTACGCGACCAACCGGAGGACCTGCCAAGACCTGTCCTGCTACCCCCAGATTGGAAGTTCAATAAGATGCCTGCTAGCTCAAACACGTGGGAGAACGCGAGAATATGATTTGGTACCCTCCCTGGGCTCTATTCAGACAGCAGTTTGTCGCGTGCCAACAACATAGTTCATACTTTTGTGTTGATGTTCTTACACCCGACGCATCGTCTCTTCGACATCACCATTCAATGAGCCTTTAAACAACTCAGAAATCAACAGACGCTTTCGTCTGCACCAAACGACAATGTCATTGACTCTCACAGCCCCTACTCCTACGCCGTCGTTACCGGACAGGATGGCAGTAACAACTCCATTCGTTCATCCACCAGGTTGTAGCACTGCAAGGCAGTACATCCGCATCACCACATCCAAGCCAGACAGTAATGAGATTCAAACTCTCGACGTTCTGGTTTCCGACCCAGGCCTCGCGGGATTTACATCATGTCAACCATCAATCAAGTCACACACCGCAATCGCCGACTTTAGCCCGGCTGTGTGTCCTGCAAGTTGGACCGCGTACGGCCTGACAGCTCTTACACAAACGACATCGGGAACTACGAAGACAATATCAAGTGCCATCTGTTGCGGACCGTAAGCTCTCCCTATGATCCGGGGCTTTGTCGTGACGTTGATTAACATGACGTGAATCAGTCAAGAAGATCTGTATATTAGCGGCGTCCAGGCTCTCAGCATGGACTACTTCTCGTCGAATCCTGCATGCATCGGTACCATTACGCCCAGGAACGGGCTCACTCTCACCGGCACAAATAAGGCATCTATGACGGACATTAGCATCACGGCAGGCCTCACTGTTCAGCCAGCGTGGCAGATCAGCTGGGAAGCGTCCGACTTACCGACTCTCTCACCGCAACCGCCTGACTTGGCCTCCGGTGTGTCTGTGGCTACATGGGTTCCTGGAGGTCCTGTCACATCATCATGTTCTCAGGCGTCTTGCGGAAAACCTGGGACTTCAGGACAGACATATAATGGGTTAGTTGTTGGGCTGGCGGTGACCTTTTCGGTTATTGGAGCTATTGTGATAGGATGGTTGACATTTTGTTTCGTGAGACGCAAGAGGGGTAAGGCCAGACGAGCAATTTGAATTTCGTAGAGGCGACCTTTTGGGTGTGGGAAAGATTAATGAAACCAAATGTCCGATAAGCGTGTCCGACACCACCCAACTGCATTGCTCTTTCATTGGCAGAAGTTTACTGAATTTTCATGTCTAGCAAATGTGAAATAATGTACCGTAGTTGGAGTGGTTGGGGAGTTGGCTGCTTCCCAGGATTGCGTTTATGAGATTCTTATGTTCCTAGTACTCATTTAGACTCCGTATTTTCTGCTGCCTTTACACCTCTCCAATGCAAAGTAGCCCTATCCATATTCTGAAAAAATGAATTGTCCCCGCGACTTGTCAATAAATTGAGATGTGAAAAACAAACAATGAACGGCGTGTAGATGAGTAAGCACGAGTCTCGAAAGTCGCCCTTCTGCGGGCTGAGAGTCTTTACGTCACCGTGACCAGTCGACCATCCCGATCCACAATCGCATTCCGGTGGCTTGGTTGACCTAAATAAACAAAAATATCCAAGCAGACACAGCAAAATTGTCCTTCTCTTGCACTCCATCCAATCCAAACCCCATAACCACACTCTCCAAAAACCTCTCACAATGACCACCCCTCTCCGCGCCCTCCGCCTCGCACCCCGGGCCCTGTCCCGCGGCCCCCTGCCCCGGGCCTCACTTACACCACCACCCCAAAAACGCCTCCTGAACACCGACACCGCGCCGGTGCTCTACAGCGCGCGCGCCAAGGTCGTCGGCGCCCGCACCGGCCACGTCGAGGGCGACGACCTCCACGTGGACCTGACCATGGCCAAGGCACTCGGGGGCGCCGGCGACAAGGGCAAGACGAACCCGGAGGAGCTCTTCGCGGCGGGCTACGGCGCGTGCTTCCAGAGCGCCATGAACGCGTCCGCGGCGAGCATGAAGATCCAGATGCCCAAGGCGCCCGAGGACTCCGTCGTCGACACGACGGTTCACCTCGTCGGCGACATGAAGAAGCTCGACATGGGTATCCGCGTTGACATGAAGGTGCGCGTGAAGGGGCTGAGTAACGACGAGGTTCAGAAGGTTGTGGACAAGGCGAAGGAGGTTTGTCCTTATAGTCGGGCTACCCAGGGCAATGTTACGACGAGTATTGAGGTTGTGAAGTTTGACGAGGCTGGTGGATCGGGAGGTTCTGGTGGCTCTGGCAAGTCTGGCAGCTCTGGTGGTTCTGAGAAGATGGATGGTGTTCGGCCGAAGGGTCACAGTGACTATCAATGAGACCAACGGGTGTAGCTTTAGATTGCACTACTGGAAGTTCATGTTCAATGTAATATGAGCCAATCCTATTCGCTGGCCTTAGTTCATGTTTTCATCACGGAGAAAGAAAACTGTTCGTATAGAGATCATATGTCTAACTTCGTTCCAGCTAATATAAGTTCTAGTATACTTATGTTCAATAAGAAGGCATGTGCAAAGAAGTTCTTTTATCTTTCATCCACATCCCAGCTCGTGTGATCGGTCCCGCCATCCCCTCATGTATCGAATATCCCATCCAATCCATAGCCAGCTGGTAATACGCCTGGCCACAACACCTCAACAGGACTCCTACGAGCGACATTGAACCCCATGCTGATGTCCTGAAAGTCCCTCTCCGCCTCGAACCAGCCATTCCCCAGCTCATATTGGTGGAAAGACTCGGCCAATGCGCCGTGTTCTATGTTCTCCCAAGCGCCAACATACTCCTGAGGGATCGGATTCAACCAATTAAGACTATCAGCCATGAAGTCGTACATCGACGGCTCAGGGAAAGACGAAGCATCTCCAAAGTCCAAGAACCGATAAACGTCAGATCGCCGCGGAGGCCCAGAAGCCCCGCGGCCGGGACCCAGCCGAGCGAGCATGCCCGCGTCGTCCGGACCGACAGTCGTTCTCCGCCTCTTGACGGGATTATACGGCATCTCTCCGAGAAGTTGGGCGTGTAGGAGAGCTGACGCCTGGCGGGCTTGTCCCATACGCCAACTGGCATTCTTGGCGGCTTGCGAAACGGCGAGGAATCTGGTCGCTCTGTCCACGCTCCCGGAGATGGTTTCCACGACCTCGTCGCGCAGCTCGGAAATCTCCCTGGACAGGGAATCGATCGTCTGGTCGTCCGATGCGGGATTCGGTTCCGCGTGTTGGTCTTCCATCTCGTCGTGCGACCGCTTCCTGGAAGTGCTCTGCGGAATGGGCGGCTCCCGCTCCATCTCAAGTTCTTTAAAGAATTCAAACGACTCTTCGACCAAGTTTTCGAAGAAGTCGAAGAAATCTGCGACTTGATCGTTTGTCAATGTGCCGTGATCGCTTTGGACATTGTTCGTCTCCGATGGTTCTCCAATTCTCGTTCGGATCTCGTCCATGACTGCTTCAGAGACCTCTTGAGGGTATGTATCGTGATCTTCGACGCTTTCCATGTTTGGTCCTAGCGAAGGAAAGGTGGTTGAATGTTCGGTTTGAGAGAAAGGTACGGTGTAAAAGATTTGCCGTAGAAGAAAGAGTATGTATCTTGATTTTATATGTGCTGTCGTTGTCGATGTTCATGTAAATTCAAGAGTGTGCATGTAAGTCCAGTTCAAACACCTGCAGTACTGGAAAAGCCATCCTTTACATATGAAGACCCAGATCTTTCTCCGGTCACTCAATCACTCTGTCAGATTAATGGCGGAGAGAAATTCTCATACATTCAGCACCCAGGTGAAATTCAAAGTCTATTAGGTGTCTCCGATAACACGAACCATACATTTCCCGTAGCCATTTTGGGTTGTGTCCGACCTTGAGGGCTGGAACTTGGAGACTAGAAAAGAGATGTTGAGAGTTTTTTGCGAGATGGTATATACCATATATTCGTTCTCCGCGGCGCGCTCAACTTAGTTCGAACCTGGATAGTCTGAGGCAAGTAAGGAAGGCAAACACTTGCTCTTTTCCTAGTCTCCTATTGAATAGATAAAGTTCGTAAAGTTCTGAGCTTTCGATTTTGTTTGTGGAAATATTGCTCCTCTGCTAAATAATACGATTACTGAGCTCGTCCTTTCCGCCCTGTCTTGCTCTCGCTAGGAAGGAAGGGACGAAGAAATAAAGTGACGGGACGTGGTAAAAGTCGAAGGCCAGGGCCGAAGAGGTCCCTTTAGCTTTTCCGCAACTCGCAGTTGCTTTACATACGTAGCTGACAGCTCACCTTTCATATGGATGCCTCTAATTCTAGCGGACACACAACAGCAGATGCTATTGCATACGACGATGAGTAAAGGTTAGTACCGAACAAGAGAATACCACACGAACACAAAGTATTATGTTCATTAAAACAAGGTGCCGAGATAGGTCAAACTGATTATTGTATGACTTCAACTACGACGGACCATGCCCGCTACTGCCTGGCCTGCCAACATCGGTCAGGTTCGCCAGTTGAAATAGTATCCAAAAGCATAAGTAAAAACCTCAAAGTCATCATCATCAATCAGGATGTTGATTGAACCTGCTAAACGCCCCTTGTAGACCCGGAGACCCCTTCCATGCTATGAGGTGTGGCAATACTGTACAATGTGGACCGTCTCGGTCCGTCATAAGCCATGCGTGGTGTTTTGGTTGGTGTGTCATTACTCCAGTTCCGTCTCCTCCCACCGCTCTCACAGGTTCTTCTTGACCTGGTCGGCGGTGCCCTTGGCCTTGCCGGCGGCCTCGTTGATCTTGCCCTTGGCCTCGCCCTTGAGCTCCTGCGCCTTGCCGGCGGCCTCGCCGCGCAGCTCTTCCGCCTTGCCGGTGGCCTTGCCCTGGCTGACGTCGGCGCCGGCCTCCTTGACCTTGCTGGCGACGGTGGCTAGAGAAATCGTGTCAGATCCGGGCTTCCCTGTTCGGGGGAGAAGGAGATGGGGACTTACAGCCGACGTTGATGCCGTCAACGAGCTTGTCGCTGATCTTGCGGTCGACGGTCTTCAGGCCATCCTTGACGGTCTCGGTCGCAGACTTCTGGGCCGGGGTGGAGGTGGTGAAGTGTCTAGGGGCGACGGTGACGGCTCTAGGGACGACGCGGGGGAGGGTGGCGATGCGGCGGCCGGTGGCTTCGATGAGGAACGACATTTTGGATGTTGTTTTTTGGTGTTTTGTTTGATTTTTGGGGGGAGGGTATCAAGAATCGCAATTTGCTTTTGTTTGTGGGAAGGAGAGTGGTTTTGTTGTGGAAGAGAAGAGAGACGTGAGCTCAAATATGACGGCAAGAAGGTGCCCCCTCGCTCGTCTTAGGAATGAGAAGGAGCTCTCGGGTAGTGTAGGTAGCCATGAGCTACGGGTGATGTCATTCCACACGCAGCTCTCCCTGCTTTTGCGGGGAGGGAGCTGCGACTGCAGCACTACGGGCTGCGGGACACATGCCAAAACGCACTGGACCTCAGCTTTCCCACAGCGAGAAACCCCACTGTAAGAAAAAAACCACAACACTTGAAGCAGCGATCGCTCGCCATGACGTGCCGGGCCACGGCGTCTGGCCAGTAAGACATTGTATCACACCTACATCATCGATCAATGGTCCCCCAATGCAGCCGCAATGTGGGCAAGGTACTGTCTAGGTATTCCATTATGCTTTTCGAGAGGGCGATTGGTGCAGATGATGACGACATGTCTACATTGCCGCCATCACACCACTCACAGCTCACTTGAGGCCCTGGCTGGACCGCCGCTTGCATTACCTCGGTCTTTTCGAGGTCTGGATTCTTTGAGAACGCGCGGGGAAAAGGCGAGTGAGGCTTCTTGCGTTGGCGTGGTATTGCTCGGATCGGGGATAGTGACTGACGGATTGAGGTAGCGGCCGATTGGGAGACCGATGGCCAAGGTGCCCCTCGGTCGACGATCTCGATCTCTCGGGGGAGAGGCCCGGGCGCTTGCTGCCCGAGAGCTTCTCGGGATGGATTGGGTCCGCTCCGGAGCGGGGCCGGGGCCGGTGGTTCCATTGGATTGCGCGTGGAAGTTGCGACTTGAGACGAGTCGTTTTTGTTGTGAGATGACTGAAATCACGTCAAAACGAGTTTACTAAAGGCTCGTCGCTTATACATCATTGCAGGCGTAACAAGAACCAGATCGATCTGCCGCACAGTTTAATACAACAACCCTTCCTTTTCTTGAGTTTCTGTAGCTCCCAACAGTGAGTGAACGGTCGCTTTTATGGTTATATAACTTCTCAAGTCTATGTCGCGCGCTGCAATTACCCGCCTACCTTTACCACGACACTTTCACGGTATCGGCGCCGTCACCGATCGATCTGTGTGCTAGGTCTTTTTGGTTCCCCGCCTCTCAGGCAGTGCTCTAGATTTCGGTAATGGGAAATCAGACAGCAGCTATGTATCCAATAAATTTTACAGTGTTGTCTATCTTGGCGTTGTCTATCTTGCAATGCCAAGATGAATATTTCAACACTTATCGTCCGGTGAAAACAGGCTTCCTCTTCTCCTGGAACGCCTTGAGCGCCTCTTTGCGGTCCTCCGTGGCGACAACCCTCTCATACATCTTATTCTCGACCTCCTCCCTCGCCCAGTTCACAGCCTGCAACCCGGCACGAATGGCAATCGGACCGCCCTCGCAGATCTCCCCCGCGAGCCGCACGGCCTCGCTCAGCGCCGCCCTCCTCGAAACCATCAACGCCCCCTTCTCCTTGTCGCCCTCGCCCGCCTTCTCGGCCTCGTCGTGCGTGACCTCGACCAGCCGGTCCGCGATGCCCAGGAAGTAGGCCTCGGGCGCGGACACGCGGCGGCCCGTCAGGATCAGGTCGCGGGCGCGCGAGAGGCCGATCAGCGCGGGCAGACGGTGGGTGCCGCCGGCGCCGGGGATGATGCCCAGGCGGGTCTCGGGGAGGCCGATGACGGCGTTGGAGGAGAGCACGCGGAAGTGCGTGGACAGGGCGAGCTCGAGGCCGCCGCCGAGGGCGATGGATGAGATGGCGGAGATTGTGGGGATCGGGAGGCTCTGGAGGGAGTTGAATGTGCCGCGGAGGTTGGAGAGGAACTCGTCGGTTCTGCGGCATCTCTGTTAATCATGGACGTCCTATGCTGGGGACCGACTGTTGCTGTGTGGGTAGGGAAACATACTCCTCCTGCGTGAACCCGCGTCTCTCCTTCAGATCGGCACCAGCGCAAAAGCTCGTCTCAACGGCACTGGCCAGAATGAGGGCGCGCGTTGGGCCCTTGACGTCCTGGCCGGCGACGCCGCCAAAGACCTGCTTTTGAGGGACCTCATCGCCGTTCTCGGTGTATTGGGCGTGGACATCGTCGATCTCGGCGCGGAGCTGGGACAGCAGGGCCTTGGAGATGGCGTTGCGGGCCTTGGGGCGGTTGAGTTCGAGGATGCGGATGTGTCCGGAGCCCGGGGCGGGAAGCTGGGTGACGGTTATCAGCGGCTGGTTGGAGTCTGCGGCGGTTGCGGTTGAGTAGAATGCCGTTGCGGTCGGCTTGGAGGAGCACCGCGGGATGCGGACGGCCAAGCGGAGGGGAGCGAGGCGGGGAGGCATTGTGTTTTGAGATTATGCGGACGATGAGCAATGGCAATCAATGGAGAGAACAGCCGTTGTTGTTGGATGGTTCAAGTCAATTGAGCCGTTGGACATGCAGCTCGTTGTGTCGGCAGAGCTCATCAAATTGCGCCGAGGAGGAATAGAGAGCTCCATTGGTGAGGATGCTATGACGTTAATGGCAGGTCGGCTTTGCTCGGTTATTTGTGGAGATCTTAGCTAACACCCCGCTCGCTAAGTGGTCAACCGCTCTCTCGGTGAAGGGGCGGCCCAAGGAGCTTCACCGAGCTGGCACAGAAGCTTGGATCACACCTCGATTCCACCGAGCGCACGAGCTGCAGCTGTTCCGACCTTTTCACGCACATCATCGACACGGTTTCAAAAGAACATCGTCGATTCTCAGACAAAACAGCCAAAAACACCACAGACACACGCCCCGAAAGCAGCCAAGACGAATCATCAGGGAACGCCATCCAAACATCCCAGGGGGCGGCCGCTGGTCTGTGCACAGTGACGTCCCACGTTCCTGTTGCCAAGCGCCAGCGCCAGTGCCAAGCTATCTCCGTCCCTGCGCAAGCTCAGCTCCCACGTTGGCTAATGTCGCGTGCCTTTATCTCTGGCCCTTAAAAACATTCGCATGCCTCTCTACCCGTCAAAATGGGTTGCTCTGTCGGCATATCCTCTACACCATCATGTCGGATAACACGACAGAAAGCATCATCGTCCCCTTCCTGGGCGCCTTCCAGGCCTCCTTATCAGTCCTGCTTACCATCGCGGTCGGTGTCGTCGCTACCCAGTATGGCCTCCTCGACAGCAACAGCAGCAAGAAGATCTCGACCTTCTGCGTCCGCATGGCGCTTCCTGCTCTCCTGATCACCAACGTCGGCTCCCAGCTCGATCTCGAGACCGTAAGTGCTCCACCATGATGTCTTCGCCGGCAACCTCTAACCGATCCAAGGGCATGAGATATGTACCCATTATATTATGGGCCATCTTCTACACCACGGTCTCAATCGGCATCGGCCTCTTCTTGACCAAGGTCTTGGGCATGCCGGATTGGGTCACGCCGGCCATCGCCTTCAACAACACCACAAGCTTGCCCCTGCTGCTCGTGCAATCTCTGGATGCCACTGGCATTCTGAGCTCCATCGACGACAGCTCCGGCGTGGTGTCCAAGGCCAAGAGCTACTTTCTGGTGAATGCCATGATTGGCAACTCCCTGACGTTCGCACTCGGGCCCAAGCTCCTCAACGGCCAAGAAGAGGAGGCCCCTGATAAAAATGGCGATGTAGAGGAAGAGAGCGAGGAGGAAGAGGAGGAGGACCTCGAGTCGCAGGAACAAGAAGCCGTAGAACGGAACGAGCGCACTTCGCTCCTCCCTCGACGCGTGGCCGTCAAGCGCACTCGCGTGCAATACCGCATCACCCGCAAGACCAACCGCTTCTGGTCCTCCCTCTCACCGACCACCCAGAACGTCCTTGAATTCTCCTCTAGTTTCATCAACGCCCCAGTCATCGGCGCCCTTCTCGGTGCCTTGGTAGGCCTGGTGCCCGCCCTCCACCGTCTGTTCTTCAACGAGCCTGAGGAGGGCGGATACCTCAACGCCTGGTTGACTTCGTCCCTCAAGAACGTCGGCGACCTGTTCGCGACGCTCCAGGTCATTGTCGTTGGCGTCAAGCTCTCCAAGGCGCTACTCCAGTTCAAGAACGGGTCCGATGCGAAGGAGAGCCGCGTCCCGATGGTGCCGTTCCTGGCCGTCACGGTCGTGAGGTTCATCGTCTGGCCCATCATCTCCATCGCCGTCATCTACGGGCTCGCCAGCAAGACCAATGTGCTGTCCAAGGACGCGCTGCTGTGGTTCTGCATGATGCTCATGCCGACGGGCCCGCCGGCGATGAAGTTGACTGCGCTGGCCGACTGCGAAGATTCGGACGAGGCGCAGAAGATGCTCATCGCCAAGTTTTTGACCGTAAGTTGCGCCCATGTGCGACGAGATAAAGTGATTGCAGCGTAGCTGACGTTTCCGCAGATGTCGTACATCGTCTCGCCTCTCATCTGCTTTGCCGTAGTAGGCGCTCTAAAGGCCAGCGAGTCGATTGTCGGAGGCTGAAATATGTCACCGACGACTCCTGCCGATCTGTTCAACACCTCCCAGGAGCTTGACCTTGCAGTTTAATACCCTTGAACACATTTATGTCGAGGCGTTCGTTACCAGAAACGGCTGACGCCTCCAACTATGCGCGATATTTCCCATTCTAGTGCGACGTTCCGAATCAATCGACAGATACCGTGTAGCTATATTGAAGCGAGACCGATGACAAGAAGAGAGAGAACTGAGTGACCCAGGCTAGATATAACCATGGGTGACCTTGGGTGCACTCCGAAAGACGTGCGGGGGCTGCTCGGACCCAACCCCGGCCAGCTGCCGGAACGCTGAAGCAAGATGGGACGATCGAGATCACAGGTTCGCGTTGCACCGCACCAATGCTTTTCAAGCACTTTGTAGTTCGCCATAAGTACGACCACGATTACAAGTAGACACTTCGAGAGAAATGATAAAATGAGCGCTGAATAAGACACCGTTGATTGGCCCTAGCGACCCCCAATTCCTGCACCCCAGCCGCTATCTCCACTGAGGTCGTGGGTCTCGGGAAGACCTTCCGCTCTTCACGTCATCCACTCACTTTCTCCCACCCATCCATCGACTTCAACACTACCCCACGTTGATTGTAAATAATCCTCAAGTTCAAAAGTCAACATCACGATCTCAATTGCGGAAAGGTTTCCACATATCACCAAGTACTTGTTAGTTCTATTCGAACAATCCCTTTCCCGAGCACCCTACCAGGTACCAGGTGGGCCACATCCCCGCGGACTACACCCAACCCACAACCTCGGCTCGAATCCCACAACATCAACAACCTCGCTCTCACATTACCAACCCGACCGGTCCCAGGAACATCCAAACTGCAATGGACCCCGCCTCCCAAACCCTCCCGCCAGAGGCCATCGCCCTCGCGGGCCGCATGTACGACGGCGCGCGCAGCGGCGACATGGCCCTCTTCCAACAGGCCCTCCCCGCCGGCCTCCCCGCCAACATGACCAACGAAAAAGGCGACACACTGGTACGTAACCGGCGAACCAACCACATCACGCCATTCTCACTGACCGCGTACACAGCTCATGCTGGCCGCCTACCACGGACACGCGGAGCTGGTCAAGCTCCTGATCCAGCACGGCGCGGATCCCAACCGGCTGAACGACAGGGGCCAGAGTCCCCTCGCCGGCGCGGTGTTCAAGAAGGAGGACGGCGTGATTGAGGTATTGTGTCTCTCTCGTTTCCCGGTTAAGGGCGACATGGGACGTGAGCACGGGAGTGCTGATTTGTGTGTTCAGGTTCTGCTCGAGGGCGGCGCGGATCCGGAGTACGGGAATCCCAACGCGTTGCAGTGCGTGGCCATGTTCAAGCAGGAGGAGCAGTGGCAGGCCAAGTTCGAGAGCGCGCCGGGGAGGGGGAAGGCCGAGACGAAAGCATGAGGGGGGCGTTTGGAGGTTGGGTGTCAAGATTAATCAGATGCAGCAATATCGCGTGCTCAGCGGAAGCCGTTCAAGTTATTTTACGCCGGGTTCTCGAGACCCGTCGTGTTATTGAGCGTGATGAGAAAGCCGCTTGCTGCAGATGGAGACGAGCAGATCAACACTCGGAGAGCACGCCCACTTGGAATCCAAGAATGCAACACTGACAGAACAGTGCAATATCAATTACCCGCGCCAACGCCTCAAGTTCACCCAAGCACCCATCAATCCGTCATCCAAGACCCATGAAACAGATGCCTCATCAACGCAGCCTCAGGCGGCCGCCCGTTCGAACTCCCCGAGTGCGGCTGCCCCATCCCGAACCCGTCAATCGGCAACACCAACACGTCCCCGACCAGCCTCGGCTCCGTCATGCCCGACAACATCCTCACGTCCCTCAGCGTCTCGTCGTACTCCCTCAACATCCCAAACACCGTCTCCGTCCACGCCGCGACGCCCGTCACGTTCGCCACGTCCACCGTCATCAGCCTCACCTCCCCCAGCGGCACCCCCTGCGCCGCCTCCAGCCCCTCCAGCGCCGCCACCGCCCGCGCCGCCATCCGCCGGAACACCGGGTGCCCCGGCGCCGCCGCGATCGTCCACTGGCAGAACTGCACCCAGTGCGTCTTGTCCGGCCACACCCCGCCCTCGCGCCGGTCGAACTCCACCCCGACCACGAGCCGCACCCGCTCGCGCAGCCCCGCCGGGATCCAGTCGTCGATCGGCCGCAGCGCCACCGTGTCCACGTCCGTGTACACCCCGCCCTCGATCCCGAGGAGGAGGTACCGCAGGAGGTCCGACTTCATCCCGATGTTGGGCATGTTGGCGTACGCCTCGACGATGCGCGGGACCGCGGCGAAGTGCTCCCTGACGAACTCCATGCCCGCTTTCTCGCCGACCAGGGTGCTTTTGCGCGTCAGTCTCCCGTCTCGTTCTTCTTCTAGCATGGTGGGGAGAGAAACAAACGTACTACGAGTATCCCGGATTCGCAGCGATCCACGAAGCCGAGTTACGCAGACTCTCCGGGTCAATCACGGCGTCCTCGCTGGCCCGGGGTGCGTCCTTGGGCAGCATGATCTGCCAGATCCGGGGCGGCACCAGCTGCGAGGTGTTCGTCCTCCACGAGGCCGAGGGCATACCCGTGCGGCCGCCGAAGCGGAACAGCCCGCGGCGGGCACCCCACAGCCAGAACAGACAGAGCCACGTCAGGCCGAGGGCGACGAAGATGGTCCGGTAGCGGAACCGGGCTGGGTGTTTGAGGTTCGGCGGCTGCGCCCACCGGGGCGCGGCGGAGGGTTTCTGGTGGTACGACGAGAACATGCCGTCGGCGCGCCTTTCGTCGAGATCTGCGTGTTTGCTTCTTTGCGGGGGCGTGCGACGATGGAGTCGCCGGGTCGGCTGGGCTGTTGGGGACGAGGTTGCGAGGAGGGGACCCAGAGGGGACAGACCTGAGGGAAAAGAGCTCCATCAGGATTGAACCTGCGAGGTCTCTCCCTCCGTCAAATATCAATCGAGAATGCCAGAGAAGATGTCGCCGTCGCCGTCGGGCTAGACCCTTCGTGGACACGTACCTGCATGCCCTGGGTGAGTCCTGTCCCTCCCTGTGCTGCGGCTGAAGTGGTCCGGACGGTGCGCCACGCGCGAAGGGTTTGGGGGCGGTTGGCATAAAGGGCGCAATGCCGTTCTCGGGGGACAAATAACACGAAGTCTTCAGTCTTCTTTCTGGTAGTAATCGGACATTGATCTTTTTTGCCGAAAGGCTGCGCGGCGTTATGCTTGCGGGACACCACCGTGCTCTTGGGTCGCCGTAGGGCTTGACAAGCGCTTCAGCTCGAAGAGCCGCGCTGTTCTCCGAGCTAAGGTAGGCCCCGTGGAAGGAAGCGCACATGTCTTTCTCTTGCCGATATTGCAACTGAAATTGCGTGCCATTTGGGCATGCTCGTCGAGACATTCCGTGCTTAATCCCCCTGGCAAGATTGAGCGATAGGCCAGTACGATAGCCACTGCTCAGGTTCTGTGGTTGGTTGGAGGGGTTTCTCAGGTCTTAGCCAAGATGAGGGCATCTACCCGCGCGTGCCTGTCTCGAGGGCCTGTCTCAGCCAGAGAGTTATCTCAAGTATTTTTTTCACATCGCAGATTCCAAGGTTGAGAATTCCTTGATATAAGAAGCATGCTGTAGACATGTGAAGGCTTCAAAGACGCAGGGGAACTTGCATTCTTCCCATCGAGTTCCTGCCGACTTGTCGCGCTGATTGGAAGAAGGAGATTCGTTGCTCCGCATTCTTCGCACTCAAAGCTGGAATTCCCCAAGTCAGGGAGCTCCAACTCCCTTCCCGCGATGGACCCGCGCGTCTCAGCACGCCGAATGAGGTCGGCTGGCAGATAGAATGCCTGGTCTATGGTCTGGCTGAGGGGCTATTCTGATGACTCGAGTGTGGGATATCGGATTATCAGCCACCCTCGCAGCCGTTTCCACGAGGCAGAGTGCTAACGCCTGGCATTTCAGGGTCTGTTGAGGCCGGTGGCATTCTACGAAGGGCGGGAAGGATCGTTTGGCTTCTTGTTTCCTCTGACTTTCAGGTAAATAGGTGGTGAAATGATGACACTCCATGGGGACGTTCTTACACGTAGTCTAACGCCATGGGCTTGGAAAGAGACCTGATAAGACGCCAGTATCGGAACCTCACGAACCATACAAAAAACATCAAATCCATAATATTTTCATTTCTTCCACTACACAAAACCCCCAGTGCCCAACCCCCTCGTGGATTTACACTTGCCGTAACTCGTATACCCCCCTCCCGCCATCCACCTCGACAAGTTCTCGATGCCCACCGGGTCGATATTCCGATTCGTCTTGATAAACACCGTCTCGAACGGGTGAATCGTGGACCCGAAGTAGTCCCCCTGCCGCAGCGTGTCGTCCTTGTTCTTCCTGGGCACGTTGGGGCAGTACGTCTCCGGGTCCCCCCGCGCGACGCCGTAGAAGGACGTCATCATCACGTCCACCTTGTACCCGGCCGTCGTGATGATGGCCGTGCTGCCGATCTCCGAGTGGATGGCCTTGCGGTACTCGTTGTAGCACGCGCTGAGGCCGATCGGGTCCGACGCGTTGCCGTAGCGGTCGGCCACCGCGGCGCCGGGGATCTTGGACGGGTCGAGGAGGAGCTCCACGCCGACGCGGTCCGTCGCCCAGATCATCGACTGGACGTGGAAGCGCGGTATGCAGTTGGCGGTTATTCCGACAAGCTGGTTTGGAAGTCGTCAGATCTCTTGCCGGTCGGGTGAGGGTGGGTAAGTGTGTTTGCGGAGAATCTCACCTTGACCTGGTCTGTTATTTTATTCAGGAAGAGGTCTGACCAGCAGTCCCCGGTCCATTGGGGCAAGAACGGGCCCCTCAGACTCGCGTTCATCATGATGAAGCGGTCGTACTTCTTCCACAGCTCATTCGTCCTCAAGACCTCGCCCGTGGCGCCTGCAGTCACACCAAAACACTCACGTCAGCGGACGTTTCTCCATTCCTCATTCCGCGTCGGAAACCCGGCCGGTAAAAAAAAAAAAAAAACGTACCCAGATCGTAACAGGTGTTGTCTCGCCTTACGATTCTGACATTGTCCTTTTTCGGAAGGAAGCTCGTCGCGTTAGTCTCCCCGTTAAAGACGAAGATGAAGTCGGCGGCGTCGTGGAGGCCGTGTTTCACAAAATACGCCAGGTTCACCCGGGCCGTCGGGGACTCGAAGTACACGAAGGTGACGAGCAGGCGGTTAAGCGGCTTCGTTTCGTGGACGGCGGGCGGCGTCTTGATGACTGCTTCGTCGTACTGCGACGACAAGATGAAATCGGGCGTCGTGTGTTCGACTTTCTCTACTTTCGTCGTGTCTGGTTCTGTGCTGGGGCTCGAGTCCTGCGTCGTCGGGGAGACTCATCATCAGTCGGACTCTCATCACCACGACCCACGAAACGTCAACTTACCGCGCTGTATCTCCCCAGAGGCCATAGACAGACCGTCCATATCAGCATCAGTGCAAGTATAGGGAGCAATCGCCATGGCGCAGCCGGTCCCGACATCGTCATTGTGATGGACCGCCTGCGGGTCTCGGGCACCAAGCGGAAGGACATGAAGGAGATCCAGCGACAGCCCTTGCGCAGCGGTTCGGGAGAATCATGAGGTGAGCAGATGGTGTGAGTTTCTCCATGTTGTGATGATTTGGTGCCATCGACGTCTTAAGTCGACTGCGGCATCAAATCCCCTCGCCTGGTGTGGGAAGGCGAGCAAGTTCGGAATACGTCACGCTGTCCATGCGGACCGGTCCGTGGAGAGCGGGAAGGGGTGCGACAGAATCTGCAAACAGCTTCGCTGAGCTTGGCTCCCCGATTGAGCCCCCGGACCGATCATCACTTCCGACCGTTTCCGGAGCTTGTGAGTCTCTCGCTGTGATCTGGTGCCATCCAAGTCTTATGTCAACTGCAGCGTCGGATTTACTGCGTGGTGTAGGAAGGGGAGGATGGTTCGGATCATGTGACGCTTCCCAAACGGGGTCCGTTGAGGGCGAGAAGGAAGTGCGATAGAACCCGCAAACAGCTTCACTGGGCTTCGCCGATCGTTTCCCCAGACCAAACGCCATTCTCGACCGCTTCTGTGTCTTCCGCAAGCCGGGCTTGGCTGGTCTGGTCTCTCCGTTGAAGTCATCGAATGGCGCGTTGCTGAATGCGGGCAGCCCAAAGCCCGTCTTAGATGAGATCGATCCAAGTTAAAACGGTAGTCTTATATCCTGCATGCATGATTCCTCGTTATCGTAGTACACGTGCTGAAGGATTTGGTCCATGGCCTCTTCGGTATGAACGTAGGCTCCGAGACAAGAGCCCTAAGCAAGTAGAGAGCGAGGCTCGCATTCGCAAATCGGCACGAATTCGTACCAGTTCAAGCCACACCTCGGTCCGAAACTTCTAAGCATGAAATCGTTGAAATGTTGAAGACCGCCACGTCGGCCTTATGTCTCCTCCGTTGTGAGCTTCCACTGGTTAAAGACTGTTGCCAGTCACACAGCGGTGCTGTCATTCAAGAGTTATATCTAGACGGATTACAACGCGAGTTGTCAGGACAGATTTCTGCATCAGGTCCCCAGGGTAAGAATCCTCGTCTAGCTCTCGAAACACTGTTTCGGCCGTTGGCGTGGTTAGCAGGTCAGACGGGTGATGTAATAATGGCATCGTCGAATGTCGCAGTGGTGACTGAGGTGGGGCCAAACAAGTCACAAGAGCGGACAGCGACCAAAAACGACAACTTTTGTTCATTGACCATGTGACTGTTTACTTTTGTTCCGACTCCGACGGCTCAACATCATATTCCACCTCTGTCCTGATGACATACTTGGCACCTTTCCTTACTCCGGTCCCCTCATGCAGCAGCGCACTAGTGTCCCCATGCGGGAAAACCGCAACATTGCCCATCACGGGCCGGATCGGGTAGGCATTGAGCGTTCCCTCCCGTGCCGCCGGCAGGAAGTACGTAGTCTCCCCGCCCTCGAACTCATCGTTCAGGTAAATCAAGAATGTGAAGAGCGAACTCTGCTTCTTGCCCTCGGGCGAGGCATCGTAGACGTATGTGTCGTCCGGAAGGACATCCGATGGCGGCCACGCCCCGTCGATGTGAGCACGGTACTCGGCGCCGGGGACGTAGCGGTACACGCGGAAACGACGGTTGAGGCCGCGAGCCATGCGACCTTTGACGGAGGCCGGGACGTGTGCTGCGACACGCGACCAGAGGGTGTCGTGGAAAAGGGGGTCGACGACCCAGTAGAAGTTATGAGCGAGGATGCTGATGTCGCCGTCTTCGCGGAGGGGTGCGTCGGGGAGGAAGTTGACGGTTTCACCAGCGGCTACGATTGCTTTGCATTCTTCCTTTGACAGCACGTTGCTTAGAACGCCGAGGTTGGGGACGTTCGGATGTGGCAGGTATGATACGTTTAATTTCTCTGTCGCCAAGGGAATCGCGTTTGGAGCGGTGGTGTAGAGGAGGGCATCGTGGTGGTTGGGCGGTTTGCGTTGCGGGCCAGGTGTCCTCTCAATCATACGAAGACCAGTAGAGAGAGCCGGTGGCGCTGATTTGAAGATTGTCTTGTCCAGCACGGAGGCGTAGACTTGTTCTGAGGGTGTTGAAGGACGGACGTCCCAGATTTCCTGGAGGGCGATGCCAGGTGTTGACGAGACTGGCAATGCCTTCGGGTTCGTATCGACCGGGCCGGTGACTCGTAAGATGGCATCCATCACGCGAAGGCGTTGTTCGTCGAGTTCGCTCCGCTGAATGGCAGCACCATCTCCGCCGGGTATCGTCGACAAGCCGCTGATCATGTCCAGGTCTCGCACCCATCGACACAGAGCACCAAGCTTTGGTTCTTGCTCGCGAATTTTCATTTCGGCAAGGAGTATCCTCGCTTCGGTGTATCTTTCATCGGTAAGGGCAGACGTGATGCGCGCTACAAGTCCGAGGTTCGATCCGGCTGTGCGATTGAGAAGTCAGTCTATGCTTGTGGTGTGGTCTGATGGGTGGCGACAACGTACGAGCATCGCTGGCGGATGCCTGGCGGAAGTCGTAGACGGCAACGCGAAGGTCTTTGCATGCTTTCGACTTGATGAGGTTGGGGTACTGTGATAGCGTCTTTAATGTGTCGACCGCGATGTCGAGCTCTTCGTCCGAAATGACTGTCTGCAAGCTCTTGGGCTCGAGGGAGGTGGCGTCGCCATCGCTATCGGGTGGAGGGGTAATCGTCGATGTCGCATTCGTTTTGGCTACTTTATTGGGCGCCTCGACTTGCGCGTTTTGCTTTCTCTTCTTCGATTTGGACTTTGCCATGACTGTTGCGTTCAATCGTGATCTGATGAAGGTGGGTGCGCGGGGTGTTCGTCGGGGTGGGTATTGGGATCCGTGAATAGGTACAGGAAATGTCGGGACGGCAGGTAGCTTGGGTTCGGCGGCAAGAGCCGCCGCCGGATTTTCCCCGGCCGAGCCCCGCTTGTGGGACACCTGGCCGGCAGCTGCGCCCAGATGAGAAGCGACGCTCAGGGTCTTCTATGGAGAGTTAAGCGAGCCAATGAATTCATCTGCTTCTCACAACATATCTTTCCCTTCTCAACTTCATCATCTACGGTTCATATCGAGGTTGTTTCTCTCACTTGCTTAGCGTCATGTTCAAATTCTCATCAACCTCTCTGCATTTCGACGTACATATCTTCATTTTTGCGGCCTCTGGAGCACCTAAAGTCTGTTCCGAACCTGCCTATCTCACTTGAAATAGCGTCGCGCTTCTTGGCGGGCCTCAGTTCACGGTGATGTCTATCGAAGAGAGAGTCATGGGCCATTCCTCTTCCATTCGCTCATGACTATGGTTCTGAATGGACGTTATATTTAACATTCGTCAACGTTCAATTGTCCACGCGGAGGCAACCTCACACCTTCCACTCACAATTTAGATGTCATGATGAGCCCGTCTGTCTTGAGATGTGGTCGCTAACTAACGTAAAGAAACAACGGTTTCATGAGAAAGAGAGGTCGATTACTATCGCTTTTACTGCATACATCAATATGCCACCCAGCCACGACCTACCTTGTTTTGAACCATCGCCTGCTTTCGCCGAATCGCCACTCAGCAACCGACCGAATTCTTGAGTCGGCACAGATTCGACGTGTCAAGTAAGCACTTGCACGTTCGAATCCAGAACACGAAGTCTGTTGAGGCAATCTCCGTTGAGCCGATGTCCAGACTTGGTCAAGCGTGAGCGGCTTCTTCGGCTCTTTTTGTAGTCCAACATGCGGGACGAGCATCGAGAAACGGCCCAACGCCTCTGGTTAATCCCTTCTTAAACCCGATTTCAAATCAGAAACGTCATTCTGGGCATTGTCTCTTTGTGGCTCAAGCAAAAGTACTCTTTGATTAAGACAGAGCCATCTCGCGCTTAGAGGACGGGTCCAAAGTCTTTCTTCACTTCGGACCCCACTCCGACGACACCCGGCTCTAGTATTCCAACCCTCTGACGCTTCTTCTATGTCATTATTTTAGCCCGTTTCCAATTCTGGTGTTGCGAGGATACTCACTAGTCCCTCCGACGTTGCACCGTGGAGAAACATCCCGGGGTTACTTGAGGGCTAGCTGCCGCTGTTTTTGGCGCCGTCGACGACGCCTGGTCCGCTTCAGCCAGCAACGGAAGTGCGCGCTAGTGATTCGGCACTTTTCCCTCCCGTCTTTTTCGGCTCGACTGGGAGCCTCTGTCTTGATATGTCTTGCGCTACTTACATTTACCAGCCTCCTCATTGGTCTGGGCGACCATGGCACGCTTACTCTCCCGGAATGAAGATCTGCAGAGATCACGATAGATTGAGCTCGCGCACCAGATGGTCTTCTGCCGAGAATGAGACCGTCTTTGCTTGGGTGAAGCACGTTTCTTTTGCGCATCATCACCCACGGCTTTCTGGGGAAGAATGCGGTGTTCAGACCATGAGTCGTGGTCATCCGGGGAAACAACCACTGACCTCATCTTGAAGTCCGTCCTCTTTAGCTTACTCGGACGGTGTTATCACCAAAACAAGAAGAATGCTGAACCAGATGGGTTTGAGAACATATATGAAGGCGCAATCATGCGCAAGTCTTAATTATTAAACCAGACAACCATCTCTAATCCTAATACCTGCTGCTTTCCTCTTACAGCCACCCTGTCCACAAAATGAAGTACCACGGCGCAGTTCTCGCCTCGCTCACTGCTTCGGCAGCAGCGTTCCCCTCTATGATGGGCTCTCGAGAGCAGCTCGAGGACCTTCTCAAGAGGAACCCAGAGCCGGTCGCCGAGCCAGAACCTCAACTCTTCGGAGGAGTCGTTGGTGCTCTCACCGGCACCATCACCGGCCTCCTCGGATCAGTCGCGCAGAGCGTCAACCCGGAAAACGCCCGCCCGGAAAAGGGCTTCGAGTTCCAGGCCCCCGGACCCAATGATAGCCGCGGCCCTTGCCCAGGTTTGAACCTGCTGGCCAACCACGGCTATCTGCCGCGTGACGGCCATGTCACGCTCGGCCAAGTCATCGAAGCTACCTCTCGCGGTTTCAACATGGAAGCGGACCTGTCGACTATTCTCGCTGTCTTCGCTGTCCTTGCTGATGGAGATATCGCCACCGAGTCCTTCTACCTCGGCGCCGGACCTGGTGGTGTCGGTGGTTTGAACCGCCATTCAACAGTTGAGGTAAGCCAGATCAAACTGAACGTACATCCCAGTTATACTAAGTCATAACAGGCCGACATCTCTGTCAACCGAGAGGACTTTTACAACGGATGTGGCGACAATCACCACGTCTCATCCCGCATGTTCAAGCAAAATGTCGATATCGTTGCCAGCAGCGCAACCAAGCAGTTCGACCTTACCAACATGGGCACACAGTACCAGAAGAACTCCATGTTCTCTCAGAAGTACAACCCTTACCTCTACTACTTCCCATTTCCTTTGATTGTCTCGCTGGGCGCCTTCGCCTTCTACCCTCAGGTAAGCTTCATCTAGAAGTTGACACGCTGGGCTTCACTAATACGTTTCCATCCAGTTCATGAGCAACGGTACATACGGAGCCGGAGGAGTCGCCAACTACGAGTCCATCTCCTCCATCATCGGTGCCAAGTACGACGACAAGACCGGCCAGTTCCAATACGTCCCCGAGACCTGGCCCAAGAACTGGTATCGCCGCGCGACACCCTACGGCGCAGTTCAAACCGTTCTGGAGGGCCTTTTGGATATTTACATCCGCAACCCCGTTGTCCCGGGCGTCGCCCAGCTTGGCACTGCAAACCTCAACGCCACGACTGTTCTCTGTGACCTATACCAGGGAATCAACTCCGTCGTGCCCCTTTTCGTTGCCGGCACGACCGAGGAAGTAGCCGCGGCTACGACATGGGCTATTTCCAAGCTCGATCCCTTCTTCAGCAACACCGTGCTTGGTTGCCCGCTCAGCGTTCTCTCTCCCAACGATCCTTCCTTCCTCTACCCCAATGCAAAGAACCAGGGTGGTCCGCTGAACCCGCCACGGAGCGTTGCGAAGAACGTTGGTAACAATGTTTACTACAAGACCTACTTCACCACTGCACCTACTACCCCGGCATGCTAGTCTGGTGTGTACTCAATATCCAAGGATTATGATATAGTTTGAGGGCTCGTAGCAAACATTTGTTGAAATTAAATATTCGGTCCTGTCACCACATGTATCTAGCTGGTAGCCTTGCGTATGAATACTTCTCTTACATATAAGTTATATGTCATTGTAAATATACCCCAAAGATCAAGCCGTCACTAATTTGTGAAATCAGCGATGTATGCCACGCCAAGGGTCATTGTTGTGACGTTCTGCAGTTCTCAGTCTCTGCTTGAGTTACACCTTGCGGGGTCGCTAGAACAACAACAAAATGTGTACTCGTTGGGTATGGCGAGCCAGAACAATAAGGGTTGCTGGCTGTATTGTATTGCATTTGCATAGTATATTACATTAGCTAGAACAATAACAACAGTAAGGGTTGGTTGCTGCATTGTATTGCAGAGAATATTGCGTTAGTTAGCTACAATAATAACCATTCTTCTCACTGCTGAATGAGTCCAAGCTCTATTCCCAGACTTGCAACGCAAACACATCAAGCCACTTCTCCCAAAACTTCATGTTCCTCAAACAGGATAGCCCAGTGATCGCAGAACGCCGTAAATCTCTTGCACCGTCGCACTCTGTTCGAAAGTGGCTTTGTCTGTATCGCTGCTTTTGTCGCCCTGCTTTTGCCAGTACTGCAACGGATACTTGCTTAGACCCTCTACTCGGTAGACTTCACCCCCAAGCCGTCTATGAAAAACTCGGTCGTTATGGGACTTATCATATCCGAAATCAAGCAGGGGAATCCAGATTGGGGAGGGCAAGATGCGCCCAGACTTGTCCCAAAAAAGAGGCGTGAGCCTCTCCTTAACGGGTTCGTTTTCCCTGGGCCAGGGTAATCCATCACCAACAAACATCTCTTCGAGCAGCTGCCAAATGCGGCGGCGATTGTGTAACCCGGAAGGCACATGTTCGAGGTCGGAATGGTAGCCAGTCGAGGCAAAATCCTTGAAACGCCATCCTATGGGCTGGTCTTTAGGGATCTCGGGCCGGACTCCAAAGTCAACGCCCCGAGTGAGCTGGCGAACCAACAATTCCCAATCCCACTCGAAGCCGGCGCCGTATGCCTCAGCATCCTTCTCATCAACCAAATCTGGTTCAATGTCCCATAGCCACGGGAGAAGACCATTCGAGCCCGCTTTCAGCTGTTCCTTCCAAATCGCCTGTGGAAGAAGATAGGATGAAACACGTGGCAGGTCGCTCCCCATCATGGCAAGGATGTTGTCTAAGATCTCCGCTGGCATCTTAGCCAAGTTTTCGGCCAGCAATTTGGATTCCACCGTATCGGTCGGCGGCCCGCAGGGCTGGAGGTTTCTGAGAAGACAAGCGGTCAAGTTCTCGGTCTGTAGAGGATCGCTCAGAGTCTGCAATGACGTATTAGTACGTGAAATACCGCGAGAGATGGAAGGGGCTCACATAGAGTACGTTCTCAATCGCAGAGCCGTACGGGCCAGGCCATTGCATGCCAACACAGTCTTCGTAGGCCCATGTGCACTGAGGCACATAATAGTAATTCTGGCCAAGCATGTAGTTGATTCTGGGAAAAGGGAGGCGACTGTCCATGTTGTCTCTGTCAACAGACACTGCGTGTCTCCAACGTAAAGCCGTGAATAAGCCTCGAAAGTCTCTCACGTATGCGACTCTAGACGAAGAAAACACCTTCTTAGCCATCTCCAAGCAAGCGTCGTGAACGAGCATATAAATCCTTTCGTCGTCAGTCATGTAGTCGAAGAACATTATTAGCTGCATCTTCTCGTTCTGAGGAGTCTCAATGAAGAATTTGTTTCCGTAATCATAATGCCTAACAACGTACACCTCGATATCTGAGGCCTTTCTTGCCCGCATCTCGTCAACGTTTGCAGCGCACAAGTCTGGATGAGGATCCGGAAAACATGATAGGGTCGCAAAAGACACTTGTTCATACCGGAAATCAGGATGAAGCTGTCCGACTTCATCGTCTGGATCGTAGAGTGCTCGACCAACCGACAACCAGTCCATTGAGCTTGACGTAAACAAGGCTTCTTCCATATTCTGAGGTTCAGCATTGACGGAGTTGAAGCCATAGCAGCCTCGCCAATCTTCGCAATGCAGTATCATACCGCAAATTTGGCAGCTCCAGTTGCCGCGGTATTCATCCATTTCGTCGCTGGGTCTCATAGTGTTGGAGAAACTTCGACCTGCGTTTTCCGCGGTGTTGTGGCGTAATAAACAGAGCGTTGAATTCGTCAGATTTGTTCCGTATGAAGCAGCAGAAATCAAGACGCTCGATCAGAAAAGCATTCGTCCTAAAAGATTGGGGGAAACGGATGCTGGCAGAACCATGAGAAGACCGAGCTTGAATGGCGGAGAATGAAGGGCAGAAAGTGGAAGACCAACACGTGTGCGTGGATGGCCGGTCTTTTATGTTGGGGGCTTCTCTCTAGCTGCAACATTGATAGCAAACAGCTCCTAACCCCAATTGGAGCACTCCGTCTCTGGAATTGGAACGTAATTCGTGCGTCTAATGCCCTTGTCATACGGCCGCCAACTGGAGGGACATGCTATTAATAGCGACCGATCACCAACAACAACAACAACAACCTCATGCTTTTGTTGGCACCAAGCGCATTGAGAATATAATATTTCGGGTAGTCGCGTGAAACCTGAAAGCCCCCAAAATGGAGTAAATGCTGGCCCAATAGATGAATCGTGGTCCAGCCAACGACGGGGGCGAAAATCAAGTTTGCCGACGTCGCAACAGCCCCCTCAATACGTGCATGATGCTTCCAAAACGCGTTTGATTATGAACGCAAGCGGCAAAAGCGTTTACAGAGCGACCAACTTGCCCCAAATTTCCATGTATTTGGGGGCTCGAAGAAGAGCATGGGGACAAGCTGGGGTCGAAGTGGGAGAAGCTGAGGACTACTTTGAGGTTTCACTCCTGAACCCACGGCCCGTTACTTGACCGTTTCTGCAAATCTCCTTGATTTTCGACCCATACAGCCAACAGTCAAGTCTTTTATTGCTACCCAGTACATGACTATGATACGGTTTGAGATCAGCTGAGATGCACTCAAGCCATGCCATCTGGATGGCGATCCATGTAGAGGCTACATAATGCAAGTCTGGTGTGCGGGTGAGCATCTTTGTTGCTCACTTTGAACCCCCAAGTGACATCAAAAGGTGCATGTCCTGCAGATGGTCTAAATTAAATTATCGTGGAAATTGCAAGTCTACGAAGGTGGTCTTTCGCAACGACTCGGCCAGTCACCTCTCAGCGCTTAGTTCAAGCAGCGAGAAGCTTAGAAACCGGTAGAGTGTCGGTTTGATTTCAGAGAGAACTTGTTTATATAACTCAACAGGTCCCAAGATTGAAAACTTGCCCAAGATCTCATCGACTAATGACACTCACAATACTTGGTCATTCAAAATCGTGGCTACACATCTTTGACACTCGCTTTTGCCCCCAAGCACCACATCTTTTTACTATTCATTTTCCACTCTTTCACTTGACTTCGTATCTCGTCTCAGAATGAGGCTCTTCGTTATTCCCTGCCTGTGCTATGGCATACTATCAATGGCTACAGATTTGAAGCAAGTGGCTCAACAGGATATGGCTCCCGAGCTCACTATTCACTCAACTCTCAACCCAGATTCCGAGGCGATTCAGGGTACAACCACCATGACCAGCATCCCATCTGCAGCGACATTTTCGGCCTTTGTACCTTCTGGAAACCTGTCTCGAACTCTCCCCGGGCCAACATTGAGTGTGACTAGCGACTTGACAACATCTATTGCATCCGACAGCCCCGGGTCCAGCCTGGAAGTTGGCACATCCACCAGCCCAGACTCTTCCATTGTTCCTGGGGAGAGAACTAAGACCCCCTCCGCCTCGGTTGAAACCTCACACATTCCATCTGCTACGAGCAGCGTTCTTGTCGCGAGCTCTCAAACAGACGTGGTCGGAAACTTCCCGACAACAATTTCGCCGCAGAGCACACATCCGGTCCCGACCACGACGATAACCACCGTACCGCCCGAGTTTGCCATCCAAAGCTTGACAAAATCTGAGTGGACAACAAACACCTGGATTACTACAACGGCATCAGATGGTAGCCAGACGGTCGTTCCCGTCTTGGTAGGATGCCCTGGCTGTGGCGCAGTTGGAGGCGGCCTTATCCTTTGGAACCTTCCGCCTATTCCTAATGTTTCCTTCAAGCTACCTGGTTTTCCGAATTTGCCACAGTTCAGCTTACCATGCATCAAACTTCTTTTTGTGGAAGTGGGCAATTGTCCCGGCCCAACTACTGAAGAAACTGATGGCAAAGACGATGATCAGGGTGACGATGACAAGGACGAGGACAGCAACTCGAGCACCAAGCGAGATTCATCCAAAACCGAGGAGGCCACGACAACAGCTTCAGCCACATCTACTCAAAGCTGCACCAATACTCATACAGCTAGCAATTGCATTGCCACCTGTAGTCCAACGAGAGTCGGCCAAAGTTCAACTGTCACCTGCTTTACAACCGCGTGTCATCAGACAATCACTGGCTGTAGCGTTACGGGCACCACAATTACAACAACGACACAGCCATGTCCCACTGCCGCACACGGTGTCGGCAGACGAGAACTCGGCAACAACAACTGCCCTGTGATCTGCCCGGACTGGGATCTGTCTCCAGATCCGGATTTCCCGTCAAACATGGACCCTGAGGAAAACCAAGAACGGTACGAATCAAGGTCACTACCAATTGCTGGACGAATCTTAGTAGCTCGAGAGGCTACCGACAACAATTGCAGGGAGGGGAAAGCTTCAGATTTCGAAGTGCAAGGCTGTAGCGTTGAGGAAGCCGTGGGCGCAAAGCTGAAGTATCCAGCTTATATCCCAGGTCCGAAGCTTGTGAGATGTGAACATGACGGATTTCCCGGCCTGGAAGCAGCTGAAATCGAGGAATACCAGCAGATGCCAAGATGGTACAGCAGAACCGTGGCAGCGCCCGCCTGTCAGCCCACGGTTGTTCGGATCTCACCACAGCAGATGTGGGACTGGGACCAGAAAACCCCAAGTAGTGAGCGTGGGCAGGAGTACGCTAGCTTGGATCACACGTGGGAAAAGGGGTGGTTGGGGGAATACCTTGGATACTTGATCGATAATCAGAAGGCTGCGCTTGTGGACAACAAACCAGGCCAAGAAACGACAAAAATCAACTGCGACGACTTCAAGCTTTACTTATTCAACTCCAAGGGTGGTCTCGGCGACCGAAACTTACTCGCAGCAGTCATCGAGGCGTTGCCTTCACGCACTAACGTGGACTTCATTGGGATGACACAAAATCTGAATGGGGACATAAAAGTAAGTAAACAAAACACTCGGCCAGAACACGCTCTCTTCAACTCCCTATACTGCTTGCATTCAAATACCTGATGAGTATCTACGGGCTAATCTCGTCTCTTGGCGGTGATGATAGGGTCAAATCTGGTCTTTGCCTGCGTGGGACAGTCTTGTCGCCAAAAGAGTTCAAGTAAATGTCAAAGGAAAATGGACTGCTGCGGTGAAGTTTATGAGAAGGAAGATCGAAACCATGTTTCGGCTACAACTTGGAATCTCCCTTGTCAATCTACCAGAAGCTCTGGAACAGGCGAAGAGGACCAACAAGAGGGTTTACCTTGAGCTGTAAGTCAAGACCTTAATGACATGGAGAATTTCACTGGACTAATTCAAAATTGCAGCCGAAAACTCGATCAGAAACTGGCAGCTGAGACAAACATCGAGGCATTCACGCAGTTTTTCTTCTCGTCTCAGTTTCGAAACTTCATGGACGCCCGTGTTGACACAGCAAGGGCCCAATGGTTGAGAAACGCTCGGGATCTGAAGGCTGACATCGCCAAAAGATTACTGGAAATGCCGACGATGACGGACAACTATCAGGAGAATAAGGATTCGCAAGAGTTTCAAGATATTCTGCGAAAATGGGAGTACCTGAGTTCTCTTAACGATGATGTCTGGACATTGCAACTCAGCTGGGACTGGCCAAACTGTGAGGGGAACAGGCGAAGAGACGGATCCATCCCAGACGTTTGCGAGTTGCCGCCTCCCAAGCCTACCACGCAAGCTACGGCATCTTCGACCACTCCGACAGTCCAGTCAACCATGTCTTCACCTCAAATGACAGGCGCACCCTCAATCACGCCCTCTGCGACGACGACATCGCCCGTCCCTTGCGGCACACAGCAATGCTCGACCATCACTTGCCCAGACGGCCATGCGGGAGAGTGTATGGCTCTTCCCATGAACCGAGGGTACGCCTGTGGATGCCTTCCGCGCACTTGGACCGAAACCTATCCGTCTTCCAGCCTCAGTGCTACGACAACCACCGCACAGGAGGCCATAACGCCCATCCCCAGCAGCCTGACGTGTTTCAATGACGAAGACTGTGGCAAATGCGAGGACAACAACGAGGTCGGAAGGTGCATACCTATTCCAGTTGTAGGTGCACATGATCCCAGGCATGGAAGCTTCCTTTGCGCGTGTCTACCCAGGAGTCTGAGCCAGACCCCCACAACCGCCCCACCGGTCACAACGACCACGGCATCGCCTCCTCGATGGACAGGAACTTGCAACAAGCAAGGTACTAGATTCGAGAAGAGCCAGGCTTTGAAGTGGGTTGAAGAGTTCTGCGAGGATGCTCATGAGAATGAGTGGAGCGACAAGTGGTTTTCCCAGGACAGTATGCAGGTCAAGACCAAGGGGATCAAGGTATACAACGATATGGACCAGCCCATAGAGGCTGCGTTCAGGTTCTTCATCAAGGTCAGCAAACGATCGGGGAAGGAGAAACAGTTTTGCGACCAGCAGGGAGACGGGTCCAACATCAAGTCCGCGCTGGAATTGCTGAAGAAGAGCCCCGTCACGTGCAAGGAGCAATTGGGTATTCTGGTGAACGACTGTAAGTCAGGCCACCATCAGCGGACGATGCTTTCAAGAAACTTGACTGATTTCTCATAGGCAATTGGAATGGTGAGGCTGGTCGGAACCATCCATCGGGCGGGAACCGACCTGGACTGTGCCTGGAATGGGAATTGTCCGCCAAGATAGAGGCATAGACAAGGACAGTATGCTGTTTTGGTTTCGTGAAGGGAATGGTTGGCGAGTAGGTTGTTGATTTGGCCAAGCATTTACGCCCGCATACTTCATCTCGTAGCTGAGGCTACTGGTCTTTGCTTTTGCTCGCTACCATATGTCGTCTTTGGAAAGGAGCTCCATACACGGAGGGTTATTCTCTTTCAATCAAGTACGCTATGTAAAAAATGACGTACATAAATCAACCGCAGGTATCAAAGCTGGTAGTGTTCATCCGCAAATGCCAATCAGTCATCGACGACATCAGATGCGGGTCAACATTCCGATTCGCTTTGATGAAGATGGTCTCGTAAGGATGGATGTTGCTGCCAAAATACTTCTTGTCCCACAGCACGTCCCCGGAGTCCGGATGAGCCTTGCAGTACTCCTCGGCACCGCCTTCAGCCTGGAGGGATGTCATCATCGCATCGACTTTGAACCCGGCCTTCATAATCAAACCAGTCGTTCCGACCTCGGCGTGAACAGCGGCGTTCCAGTCCGCGTAGCATCCGCTCAGGCCGACAGGAGAGTCTTTCGACCCGAATTGGTCATCTTCGGATGCCGTGGTTGCGATGCTCGGATCGAGGAGGATGCCCATGCCGACATCGTCGGTTGCGAAGATCATGGATTGAATGTGTAGTCTTGGCTTGCAATTGAGGGTCATGCCGACAAGCTGTGCCCCACGTCAGTTACTTGAGTCCCGCTCATCATGAAAGTTGGTTGGACCTACCTTTGTTGTTTCAGTCACCTTGCTGAGATACAAGTCCGTCCAACAAGAGGAACTCCACATCGGCAGGAAGGGACCTCTGATGCTAGCGTTCATCGTGATGAATCGCTTGTACTGCTTCCACAGATCGTCCTTACGAAGGACCTCACCGATTGCACCCATGTCAAAGCAGGTGTTATCCCGCTTAACAATTCTGACATTTGGCAGATCAGGGATAAGGCTTGATGACTTGGCCTCGCCGTTGATGATGAAGACGAAGTCGGCCGCATTGTGGAGGCCCTTGGTGACGAAGTACTCCAAGTTCGCCCGCGCGCTTTCGGACTCATGATAGGCATACACGACGAGCGGCCTATCCTTGGAGGCCGCGCTGGTTTTGGTTGAAGGCTCAGACGAGCCATTTGCGATTGATCCGGCCACTTGGGGCTGTTGTTGGAGAGTTAGCCGCCAGCCTGACAGGGCACCTCATAAGTTGTGTACTTTGGAGGACACATACGATCTGGAAGGGCAGTATCCACCATGCCGAAATAATCAAAAACACGGCAGTGATGGCCCCAATCTTTAATGGCGTCCAATGCACGCTGATTGAAGGCATCTTGAGCGGCTGCTGGCGTGGAGGGACTTCCGGAGCAGCATCCAAGAAGAAAAAAGGAGGTCAGTCTGGATTCAGCTGCAAAGGAGCGCTGAGCTGAAGATAACGACAGAGCAAAGCAGCGCGACTGACGTGGAAGTGGGCTGAATGCCTGTACACATTCAGTCCTGACTGGTTGAACACCCCTGTTGGGTGGGTTAGACTAATAATAAGGACCCCTGAGATGGATGGCAGCGGTTCGGTGGAAACTCCGGGGACGTCGAACAAGGAGAGACCACGACCAACAAGGCTGCTGGGGTTGATAGCCGGGCTGGCTGCCACATGAAACGCTATGAAATGTTCTGGGCGGCCATGTTGGAGTTTGTGTTGAGTTGTGATAGAAGAGATCAGCATCACAACGTGACGACTTTGCTAAAATTTCATTGCCCTTCGTCCTGGCTGATAGTGTGAGCTTGGATGGCCCCGTAATTGATAGGAAACATCAGAAATTCCACTCAGGCTTCGACCAGGTTACGGAAAGGAGTCTATTGTAACATCTGTGCCTTGAGTACCTCGAAAGATATCTCAACAGACCGACCAGGCAGAGTTGTCAACAATTAAAGCTTGGTGGCAAGCAGAAAGCACCGGCAGCCCTAGCTCCTGCATCGAAACCCCTTGCTAGACACAACCCAATCGAGAAGAATATGGGGTTTCATTTGATCTGCCTGCTAGCAGGGAGACGACTTTGGCAAACCGTCTACTGCTATTGGTGCTACTGAAGCCGTGCCGCATCTTCGTTGGACGTGGCATGAGAAGTTTGCCTACCCCGAACCCTTTTGCCGCTGTGCCGCTGCCACGGTGAAATCTTCTTAAACCTGTTGTTGGCACTCGGTGAAGAACTGCGTTGGTTTGAGTTGAGTTGTCTCTCCTTTTTTTTTTCTTTTTTGCTCGCTACCTACTGCAAGTGCTACATGTCTGCAATGTCACCTTCCAACGGCGCAGAGCCGCGTTATGCCTCCATCAATGTAAGTTACGGCCGTAAAGGAGGGTTCGTCAACAACAGCCATATTCTTTCGCTAACCTTCGCATCGTCACTAGGATCGAGAGAGTCAAGCTCCCGAGCTTTGCATGGAGCAACCCGGACTCGAAGTCGCTGCACAACGACAGAATGACGCGGCGGATTGGTCCGGCCTTCAAATCACTCAAGCACCTTCCGAATATCAACAAGTTCCTGGCAAGGAGGCAGTGTCATTTGGAAAGAGTGAGAAGATTCCCGTCGTCGAAGACCATGCCGTGGCCGAGGTCGAGGGCGTCGGCAAGACGCCACCGACATTAACACCAAAAGCCAAACGACGGTTCTTAATCGCGGGCGCAATCTTCCTGCTAGTCGCGTTGGGAGCTGTTGTCGGAGGCTTCACGGCAAGCAGGGAAGCGAAGGCTTCGTGGAACAGGGTCTGGGGAACGTCACCAACAGGAGATTCTGGGACTGCAGAGCCCACGGGAACATCTACCACCAACTCCACGACGAATTCGCTACCGATAAAGCAAGGGCCACCATTGACCGTCACTGGTTGGCGAAAGGAAATGGGCGTCGAGATCTTCCTCTTCTATCTGAACACCGAAAACGTGATTCAACGCTCGACGTTGACTTCGACATCGACGTCGACAGGGACAAGCAAAAAGAGTTGGGGAACAACAACCAAGAAATACTCCTCCTTCGTCAGTGGGAGTAGTCGTCTGTCGGGGACCATCATTCAATACGGCGATGGGTACCAGGTGGGCAAGAACAAGTTGCATACCGTATAAAATGTCCATGCTGACGACTTCATGATTTCATCAGCCGCAAACCGAACTGTTCTACACGAATGAAGACAACCGGCTCATTGGCTTAAGCTTCAACGACAAATACAGCCCGGTATATCAGGAGGACAGCATCAAGAACATGCTTCTCGCCACCGGCACCAACAGCAGCGTCAGCACGTACTGGCCCTGGGCAACATTTCAAGGATCCGACGGCAGGCTGTGGGAGGTGCGCAATCGCCTCCGGGAGGAGTTCTCGCCTGCGGCAGAATGGGATGCGAAAAAATTAGACATCATTGCCGCTGATGCCAGCCGTTTGGCATTGGTGCCGCTGGCAACCAACTTCAGCCAGATTGCTACTAAAGGTGGTTACGGTATTGTATATCAGGACGAAAACAATCGGTTGGCTGTTTTCATGCCTGATTTCAGGCTCAACTCGGATGAACTCGGGACGTACTATGCCGCTTCCTGGCCTACGGGTGAGTATTCCCGTTTTCCGCTCACATGTTCGTAAAAGGTAAAGCGCTAAATGTTTACTGCCAGATTTTCTCTCCGTTACCCTGCCGGATCACGGAGTATTTGCCGCATTTTCTGTCGCCCGGCCTTCGGACTCGCTCGGGCGAGTAAATACCTACATCCTGTATGTTGACGCATCTTCAAACATCAACGTGGCCTACACCGAGGATTCTTCATCGTGGCTTATCTCTCGACCATCGGCCTTACAAAACGTCGATCCTGATACGGATATTACGTGCCTGACGATGGCGACCACATACCGAGATTCGAGCCAGAGCGAGGTGCCACTGATGGACGCTTCTTGGAAGCTAGCTCGGTGTTATTTCCAGAAGGGCGGGCTGTTGCGAGAGATGGTTTTTGATGGTACCGACTGGGTTCATTTCGGGAACGTGCCAGTATCGTAGTTCATACTCTGCTTCTCATTTTTTTATATGACGGTTTAGCCTTGGTTTCCAAACGTCTGCAATCTTCCGTGATCTTGTCGTCTCTAGATCACTAAATAATACACACACTAACAATGATATTTCAATGTGACATCCGTACAGTTCATTGTGTACAGTCGATTCATATTTTATCAGCTGTGCCAGCTTTTGTCGTATCGTTCATTTTACTAGTAGACTTTGCAATCCGAAATTTTTAACTAAACTTCAATGTCGTCTCAATGACGCATATATCCAGCGAGGCAATTGCCCTTGTTTTCAACTTGAGACTGGGGGCCGGGCAGATCACAGCATACACCTCCCCATGAATGTTACACCAACTTGAGGCTCTCAGTACATGTAACCCTTAGCAACCCCAAAGTCACACTTGCTTGGTGAGAAAACCACTTCTAGCTTTGCTGCTTCACCTGGGCTCAATGTCCTGGACTAGCTTAACTTCTTAAGCAGCGTCAACTAAAATGATATAGCTAGTCAGCTGTTCTCAGAAATACTAATATAATAGCCGTGCTCAGTGCAAAACAGGGTCTAAGCCCAGCTCGTAAGAGCTCAATCGACAACTTGTTGCGAATCAACCCAAACCAAGTTAGAATGTTTTCTTACTACATTTTTAATATTTAGTGGTCTAGTTTGACATGATAAAACGATTACCGGCTTGTGTTAGGTGCCACTTAGTACAGATAGGTTATGCGACCAGGAGGTTCAACCCAAAAGTGAATTGTCTTGTGAGACACAAGCTGGACTTGATAGTTTTTGCTCGGCGGCGCATCTTTGACAGTCACATTTAGCTTACAGAGTTACAAGTCCATAGGTAGTTTCATTCACGACTTGATCACCTCAAGCTGACTATAAGTTTATGAAACTGTAAAGCTTCTTCATAGGTTCATTACCAACTCGCGGAAGTCGACAATCGTGGTTCTTGTAATGTCAACCGATTATTGCCATGAGAAAACATGACAACCTCAACCAACTACAGCAGTTAGCCGATGCCTGCTCAGATCCTCAATAGAAGATGATGTCCCTAGTATCAACATATGATATCATATATAGCGTGTTGAAGTGTATCCACTTAAGAGAGGGAAGGTCATGTCAAGTAGTGAGGCATTTAAACGTCTTCGAAGACGACACACTAGGTTTCTGTCTATCATCTCACTGTCGTCTCAAATCTCAACTCTTTGGAGGCCCGATCACTCAGTTCAGACAACCGGTTTCCTCCGCAGTAACCGCAACAAGAAAAGGGACGGACTATTTCACACTCATCCCCAAAAGAACATAATGTAGAATGACGAGGACAGCAATGAAAACGACAAGAACGACAACGAAACAACAGTTCTAATAGTGATAGTAAACCTGACATTAAGGTATCAAGTTGCCCTAGGGTGGGTGTGATTTAGCCCGCCCCCAAGAAAACCCATCACGTCAATCAGGAAGCGGCATCTTCCACGCACCATCACCGAAAGCCGCCGAGCCGTTGCGACCGAAGTCCAACCAGTTACCTCACTAGCCGGCAGGATAGAGCAAAGCCTAGAGAAGACCGGAAGCCTAAAACGCTCTTAGTGCGGGCACTAGAGTGTCAAACGCAGCTGAAAAGGAGAACCGCCGAGCTTAAAACTTTTCGGGGCACCCCAGTCAGAAACGCGCGGCCGCGTGTTCGGACTAAAGGCCCCCTTTCTCGCGACCGTTTTTCACGTTATCAAGTCATCACGAACGGACATTGAAAGCACAAGAGATGCCCCCCAGGTATCCACTCGAACAGACCATATGTTCGGACGGTGGGAGGGGAAAGACTGTAGGGCTTTTGACACGGAAAGAAAGTGAGGCGATTATTCAGCTCCTGGAGTTCGTTGCACATCTCCACAAGCAAGGCATCTCAGTCGCCACCGCGGCAGTCACCGCGGCGAAAGGGGCGAACCGACGTTGATCAGGAACATTCGAGGAGTGAAGGAAGATATGACGCAGGCAGCATGCGTGCCTGAAATGCCCGTCGGGGAGGAAGAGGCGGACGGTCTAGACTCCGATCGGCGCTGGGAGGGCCGGCTGCGAACCAGACTTTGAGACGCGTCTTCCGATCTGAAGGTGGAGATGTAAACAGATACGGACGGGGGGCCTGTTGCGGCTCCGCCCTGCGTTGATATCGTCACGGACCGGTTAACTAGAGACGTATTTGCACTGAAACGGAGTAGAGGATGGGTTTCCGGATGAAAAAGCTGTCAGATGGCCAGTGCAAGTCAGTATTTCGTGGTGTCTTTCCAACTCGGGGGGTTTGTTGACGAGACGCGGCATATGCAGACCGTCCTGTCGATGCCAGGTCTAGAACTGGAACTTGCTCCACATATCAGCAGGACTCTGCGCGATCTTGTCGCACAGCGGGATGTTGTGGGCGGCAAGCGTAAGCCGGGCTTCCGGCTCGCGAAATCTGCTCGCTGCGGCCTGCAGGGGAGAGGCGGCGTCCTCCCGTGGGGGCTTTGGGAGATGTAGCCCCTTCGGGGATGTGTTCCTGGCTGGGTAGTAGATGGATGACCTCCGTATGGTTTGGTCTGTGGTGTGGTTCGACTTCTTGTGAATGACTGGCCATCACTTTAGGGCTGTGGCATTTTGGATCTCAACAAAGCCGGTCTCCCGCATTTCAATGTGATGGGCGTGCGTAAGACGTGGAGTTTGATGAGCGAAGTTGGCCGTGGAAAGTCAACGGAGACGCTTGAGATGCGGCTATTGACTCCTTCTTGCTGGATTCGTATTGGATATTGGAGCCAAGAGGTCTATTTTTGGACTCAAGGCACATCAGACTTTCTCAAAGTAGCATTCAACCATGATTTGAATCGTGATATCGAGGAAGTCTTGGAAAGCCCGATGTGTTATGTGTCTGCAAGCTTCAAAGATGCGGTGGCGCGCATTCTCGGAAGACGTGACTGTCCAGTGTGAGCCCGCGACGCTGTGTATGAGTTGGAACATGTAAACATTAAAACAGCCTTTGCCGGCTCGTGTAATTAAACATCTGAGACGCTGTCTCAGCCGCCTGACGGTGCTGCCGTAAGCGAAAACATCCACGTTCGTTTAGGAAAATCGCGTTTGTTCCAGGCATTCTACGCCAGGCCGTTCAAGGAATCATGACGGTGAGATAAGACGCCGCGAAGGTCGAGATGAAATGGCAGAAAGATTGCATTCGGGACCGAGGGCTCGGGCCTAAAAGGGGCAAGACCAAGTATAATTAGGGCAGCACCACCCGGCGGGATCTATCCGTAGGGCGAGGAAGATTTCAGAGGTGAAAAGGGTATCGTCATTTCGATAAGGAGAGTCCATCCGGAAGCCGTCGAAGCCACGAGGGGCACTAGATCCAGGACTAGGCGGTGTCGATGTAATTGAAGGGGCGACAGCTGAGTCCGAGAAGAAACGTGATGAACTAGGCCGGTAGGCTCCTCGATCGTCTCCTACCGGCGCCTAAGGGGCCGGCATCGGGATCCCGGCCGTCGCGGAGCGCGAGAACCCAAGGATCGGGGGGGACGCCCAGCGATTTGACAGATCCCCCAACGAGACTGGCGGAGCCGATGGCGGTTTGAACTATCAGCAGATGGGACGACCGGCCTCCTCGGGCGGGATGAGCTGTGCCTCTGCTTTATCACGCAGCGAACTTGGCGACGAACTTGGCGTGTGAGAATGTCTCGCTTTTGGGGTCCTGAAAATCTGGGCAGCTGAGAGGCAACTCTTCAACTGGGAAGGTGGCCCGGGACATCATGACTCGGCCATCTCCAGAGCATCCACAGCGAAAGAACGGCACGACATTGTGGGTTTATGATGTCGGCTGTGCAGCGACCGCCCCTGCAGCGACGCGTCTTGGAAGCTGGAGGGGGGCGGTCCGGGACACGGGGGCGATGGGGGGGATGCGGTGGAATAAATAGGACCAGCGCAGAAATGAGGTATGTAATGCCGTACGGCGTTGCAATCGCGAATGGAGTCGGCGGCGGGCGGTGTGTGTGATGATTGATGTGTTGGCCGGACGGGGAGGTCAGGTCGCAAGCAAGGAGGAACCGGGAGCCGGGGAACCGACTCGAGTTAGGAAGCTCAAGGGGCCGATCAGCGGGCAGTTGGAGTTGCATCTCGGGATTGTCGACGGCTTGGATTTCTTGGAAGATGGGGTTTATTGCGAAAGAGAGTTTTTCGTGCCGTCGATGGTTCGTTCGTATTAATCAAGCATAACGGGACCTGTTGGAACGCTGGCAAAGCCTCCTCACGAATCACGGGAGGGCCGGATGCTTGTGGACGCGGGTTCACGCGTCATGGTTGCTTTTCTGATGGGCGGCATTCGGTCAAGATGGCGAAAAGTCCGGCGTGTTAGGGTATCATCGGCGGCTTGCTTTTCGACTTGCGAAGTTCCAGCAATTCATGACGGTTGAAGAGAGGAGACTGGACGCAGGGCGAGTTCATCACAACCGGATCACAAGAGAGAAAAGAAAGAGACAGGGAGAGCGTTGCTTCTTCAGGGGGCTGCTTTTGTCAGCTGGGAAAGGCCCCCAATCTACCAGCGGTGCCGTCTGTTGCAGAGTTGCCTGATGATACATGCTTCGAGGATGAGGCCTTCCTGAACTGCTTTACTTGAGATGGAAGTGAGGCGAGCCGAAGGAAACCACTGCCCGGAGACTCGTCGCGAATACAGATGGCTTTCGCTCCTCCAAACCGATGCCAAATGAGTCCAACACCGATTCAACCAGCAGACGCGGTTGGCGACGGGCTTGTGAAGTTCGATACTTGCACATGCCATTTTCACCCTACGCCCGAGAGATAGATTGCCCAGCTCCTTCGTCCGTGATAGCGGTGCGCCTGGCATGCAGATGCTCCTCGAGACATTCGATATCATCTCCTCATCTTCTTCTCTCGCCTTAGGATCTGGGTTCTGTGCATACGGCTACCTCGGCTATCCTTGTTGAGAAATCGGATTTTGAAGCGTCAAGAGATAGTAACCATCATCATCAAACGCCTCGCCTGCAGAACTCCAACAGCAATACGTCGGCTTCTCTCTTAATTGATTGCTGAGGCTGTGCTCGAAGCAACATCGATCCCGAGCAGGTAAAAGGAAGAAAAAAGCAACCTGGTTCAGGCCAATCCAGGCGAGACCTGCGTCGGATGCACGAGTTTGCGGACGACTAATAAGGACAAGCTTCTCGATTAAGCGTTTCTCCTCCAAACTCCACCCCCTCTCTTCCGCGGCCCGGCCAGGATGTGCGTGTACAACGAATACCGACACGCACGCTTTTGTCAATTGAAGACGCTCAATCCATTCAGGCAGTGCCTCTGCCCAGAGCAAACGCCAGGAGATCTGATATCGAAAATAGGGGAGGCTTTCCTATTTGGATAGAATTGATTTTCCAGGGTCACGAACACGTCCTCCTAAGTTCCTAGCGTAAGTAATAATGATCGCACGGGTTGTAGCCTCTTCCTTTTTTATCCCAACTTCATCGGTTCGCCGAGAGTCTTGGGTAACCCTCCCTACTTCGAGATGTCTTCGATGTTGGTGCATTGGAAGAAGACTCGGAAAACCCAGGCGCGACAGCTTCACACCATCAACAACGGCGACAGAACTAGGAGGCCCCATGGACATTTCCAAGCCCTTCATCACGTCCCAATGCAAGCCACCTGCCCCAAGACGATGCAGGATGGATGTCAGCTTCACAGACAATTAGAAGACGAACGGGCACGCTGCAAGCCTCTCTGCAAGCCTTCCCCAAGCCTCTTGGCCCGGCCGCCCGTTCTCGTATCCTCTGCCCCTAAGTGAGAGACATTGAGGGGAGTGGGAATATCCCGGTGCCCAATCTCGCCTCCATCTGCTGCTGTGGTGTCGTGTGCACACCACTGCACAGCGCTGAGCGTCTGGAGATTCGCTGGCTTCTGCATCTAGAATGGATGGCACAGCAGTACACCACGTTGGATATCAAACGTCGTTGTGTACAGAATGTTACAGTATAATAGATACACAATTACTTGACGATTTCCCAACTGGTCGCTGACATGCAGTCTGTCATTCCGAGATACCGCCATCTACTTGCTCTGATAATTGAGGGACCGAACCAGAGCCCTCAAAATCCGCTGATTTCTTATGCACGAAAGCTGCACCATCATCCGAAGATGAGATACAGCGCGAATACTGATGCTCTCGGTAGTCACTCGGTCTCCAACTCGGCCACCAGCCAATCTGCCTTACCGATCGCGGGTCTCGTCCCGGGACCCGTTTCTCTCCATGTCACCGTCTCCATCCCCAGTCGGGACATGAAAATAGCTGACGACGGGCGTCCACAAACGGTGCTCCTGACGTTCTGCCGGAGCGGGAAAAGGCGGTCGGTCTCGATCTGATCTTCAACGGTCTTCTTCCATCACCACCGTTTGTTTCTTTCGTTTCAAGTTTCAACCTGCGACTTTGGTCAGCCCCTTGGCGGTTTCGTTTTCACCAGCCCGTCGTTTGGGGACGGCGACCGCATGAAGACGGCCGTGATCGCGGATAGGTGCGCAGAGAAATAACATAGCACCTGCGACCAGCCACGGCTTGTCTCGAGCGGCCGTCAATCAGCAGCGTCAAATCAATCATGGACAGCCGGTGAATAGTGATGGCAGCCTCCTGCACGCTGGGAAGTCCAAGCAGATGGGGGTCCGTCCGAACAGTCAGACGGGAAGGAGTCAACCGCAGATGCAATGCATATACGCAGTACGCGGAGTTCAAGGAGGGGAGGAGACGTTGGCGTGGCCGAGCGAAGGTTCATCCTGTCTGTCAGGCTATCGTGGCACCAGAGGCACCAAGAGGTGCAACGGACGCCGGTGCGCAGGCGTCCCGTAAGACCGTCATCTTCGTACGGGTGTTCCGTACGGGTACCTGAGTTTGTACGGCGGCTGTGCCCATTTCCCAGGTTCATCCAGACGGCGTTGAATCTGATTGTCTGATGGGATGTCTATGTGAGTGGGATACCGCATGCAGCGCCAGGCGCGTGGCACCCTGACAATCAGCGTCAAACACACACACACACACACACACACACACACACACACACATACACAAAGCACGCAGAAGGCACAACGGCCAGGAGGAGGCGATAATTAGAGACTCGTCCCGTCTTTAGCAAATTGGCGCAGAGTCGCACAGCAGATACCGAACCCAAGGACGAATCTCGCTTCCATGGCTTCGCCGCTTCGCTTCGCTACCATTCAGTGCTTTGTACGAGACCACCCAACGGTAACGGTCGAGCAAACGGACAGCATCCATCCCATCCCATCTCATCCCATGGGGAGCACCGCGTGTCGTACCGTACCGTACCATGGGCCGGCTCATGGTTGGCGGCGGCCGATCGGGTCAAGTGTCCGCCTCCAAAAATGACTCTCCCCTTGAGGAGATCACGAGCCAAGCAACGCACCAGGGCAGTGTCTTCACAAATTGAGTGGCAGTATCCGTATGGACAGTGAAACTCGATTCATAAATCCGGGTGGTCATCGCTCATATGATGGTGGTATCCGCAGGCGCGTGTGTCAAGTTATCCACCGCCTCCCCCTTTTTTTTTTTTTCTTTTCTCGACGCGCACAAAACCCGGATTTATGAACAGACCACCACAACTTGACAACCATGCTGGGCGGTGGTGTGTTGCATTTTGTGAAGGATTTAATTGGAAAGTGGATTTGATCACTCGACGGCTCGCGATAGCGTGTAGCAGAGACGATCACTCATGTTAAGGCGCAGTAGAGGCCTCCAAGCCATCCGACTAACAGGGATGATCGCGTCGAGACGGTACAGTCTACCATCAGGGTCGATAGTGCGAGTGATCTGCAGCATTCAACTGCGCCCCTGACGGTAAGTTCTGGTTCCTGAATTCTTTTCCCGGGAAGACGCTGAACAGTGCAACACCACGCCCCCCCTCCTGGCCCTCAGCTGCGGGAATATCCAATTGTCGACAGCGTCGGACGGCAGGACGGACGGCAGCAGGCGATGGAATCCAATCAGATGTACCTCTGGCTTGTCACGGCATGTTCTTGTCGGACAAGCTGTCAACAGCACACGATGCCAGAGACAGAGACTGGATGAAGACATTCGTGGCAGCTCTTCCCAGGCTCTCAGAACGACTCGGTCCCCAAGACTCAATCACTCCAACAGTGATGTCTACTGTCTCCTCTTCAGGTCACGCCAACGCCAGGAGAGGAGTTGCTGCCCGGTCTGCCCCTAGCATCTTCCCAGTGTGCCGTCTGAAGGCCTGGGAGGTTGCCAGGGGACCCCTTGGCTGTGACCGACGCTGCTGCACCAGACTTATCAGGCTCGTCCCGGTACGAGGCCATGCTTCTGTCGGTTTATGCAGGGTTATGCAGACACCAGATGGCAGGCCCGGGTTGAGACGACACTCAGACGGAGGGAAACGGTCGTGTTCACAAGAAAGCGTGTCTTCATAACTTCCAACGACCAATACGTATTCTGGGTCTACACCCTCCATCTTGCTCCCCCGAAGCCCCCGGGATGCCGCAAAGTGGACTCGCAATCTCGCTTTCCCTCCTCATCTCAATCCACTCGGTGCTCGTTTCCCTCTTTTCAACAAAACAAGACGTTCCCTCCAATTCCACACCCGCTGTCACTCGTTCTCGTTCCAATCTCCTCCCCTCCCCCCCTCCCAAGTCTCTCCCTCTTCCACTGTTACTCATCTTCGATCCGCCAAGGTCTCCTCCTTTTGCCTGGCTTTTCTTTCCGCGCCTCTCCTTTCAATGTCATTTACCCGGTGATACCTCTTTTTGCACGCCAAAACGAGACCCTCGAAGGATATTTACAACACCCAAGAAGAGGCATTCGATATCAGTTGAACGCAAAGAAGAGAAACGAAGAGGAAAAAGGGAGGCCCGTTGTGCCCAGTACATTCTTTAGGAACCTCGCCTGATTTTCGCCGGACGCACGCTCGACCTCAACACGGTCCTGCCCGCCCACGACACGCTCGCTCGACAACCATCACGCACACACCCGATCGGATCGAATACGTATTACATCGACCGGCAACCATCTACCTAATCGAACGGGAAGGGAATTGTAGAAGCATCGTCGAGGAATTTCGAGTTGGGAAATAGCAAAACATCGGTGGCCGATTGAACCGCACACGAGCCCCTGACCCTCGAACCCGCAAGACGAACGAAAAACACCCGTCACCGTCTTCGAGTCCTGGATCAGATTCGAGACCGCCCTCTCACAACCATTTCATTCGCACTTTCGCTACAACAACAACAACACATTTCATCATGAAGTTCTCGACAGCCCTCCTGGCCTCCGTCGGCTTCGGCCTCGCCAGCGCCGCGACCGGAACATCGTCCACCGTCGGCCAGAGACCCAGCACCGCCCCCGTAAAAGACGCCATCACCTCCCACGGCTGCTACAACCTCAACGCGACGACATGGAAGATCTACCCCGTCGAGAGTCTCAGCACCGGCGTGTGCACCGGCGAGTGCAAGGACAAGCAGAAGAAGAACGTCGCCGCCCTCAACGGAGAGGACTGCTATTGCGGTGACGACTACCCTCCCAAGATCAACGTCGTCGACGACAAGAACTGCAACTTCCCGTGTCCAAATTACCCTCTGGAATCTTGTACGTCATTTCCTCTCTTGATTCACTACCACAACCAAAATTCGGCTAACATAGAACTCTAAAGGCGGCGGTGTCGACGATGGCAATCTGTTCTACTCTGTCTTCAACACGGGTCTGAAGCTCGTCGTCTCCGACGAGGAGCCCCGAACCACATCCACAGCGGCAGCTACGAAGGCCACCACGAGTGCCGGCGGCGCCGTCGAGACCATTATCGAGACCCCGACGACCACCCCGACGCCCACCGGTGACGCCGACAGCGGCAAGAAGGGCGGCACCAACGTCGCCGGCGTCGCGGCCGGCGTTGTCGTCGGTGTCGTCGTCATCGCCGCCATCGCCGGTGGCATCTTCTTCTACGTCCGCCGCAAGCGCAACGCAGAGATCGAGGAGGAGCACCGCCGCAACGCCGCCGTCAACGCCTTCATCGGCGGCTCCAAGCCTCCCAGCAGCAGCGGCGTCTCCATGACCGACTCCCGCATGGACCCGACGCTCGCTCACCGCCGCATGAGCGACGGCAGCATCGCCGACAACCAAGATTACTCGCGGAAGATTCTCCGAGTGAGTTTCACCTCCAACCCCCTTTCAAGCCATCGAGAAGTGACAAACTAACGTCCTCAATCAGGTTACCAACGCATGAGAAACCTCACGTCCATGACGACGAACGACCTTGGGCCCTCTTTTTCCGGCCGCTAAATCCCCAAATCTATTTTACCATTCTGGCATCCACGGCGTTACGAGGTGTTCCCAAATCTTCCCGACGCTGGCTTACTCGGGGAAACACAAAAACTTCCCATCAATCTTACCTCGAAACCAAAAAGAATCAACGACCAGTGTCGTCGGGGGGAGTTTTTTCATATGTATCATGGTGTAGGGAAGGGAAGGGGAAATCAAACATATCTTCGGATCTTATTTTATTTTAACGATATGGGGAGGGTTTTGCGCGTTGGATCATCAAATATCTTCATCGTTTGGATACACACACACAAAACACACCGCCGTCGGCAACGATTTATTCTTTGAAAAGCCTCACACTCCATACAACCCCCTACGCCGTCCACTCCTTTTGCGAATACTCTTTTTAGACATTTTTTCTCCCCGGATATCACACACCCCACGCATGGAAAGAAGGAGAGCACGAACTGTCTCGAGACAAAGGCCTCCAAAATCAAGCAACCCGCCAACCACACACATCACACATCACACCCAGAAACGTCCCGGTCCGCCAACCGCCCCCGCTGGGGCGTCTTTCGCTTCTTACGATTTCTCTCATTGGGGGTTTGGCTGGCCGAGATGATTCTTCACTCCCCGAAAAAGACATCTATCGACGGCGGTTTGGGGATATCCCTTTTCTTATTTTAACGACATTTGATGGAAAGTGTTGCGACGGAGTACGGTGGCGCCCTTCCCATCTTGTGTATAGTACAACGGACCTTCATATTATGGACGCCGCGGCGGTCTCTTGGGAAGACTCGCCTGACGATTTGACGCATACGTGTGTGATATCATCGGAGTCCTTCGCTCGAGGCCGCCGCGGCGAAGGAAAGAGAAGGAAGGTCTGCTTTTTGTTTAGGAGTGTCGGGCTCAGAAACCCCTCTCGGCCAGAATCGCATGTTCACTGAACAACGCGGTTGATTGTGCCCTGAAGAGGAGGCGGTTTTCACGGTGCTGGGAAACTTTCTGATAAGCGTGTTCGATGTACTTAAACGGATCCCGGGCGTAGTAATCGAGCATTGGAAAATGACCTCATATCTCTCGTTCGACATCTTTGACATGACTGACCCTTAACCGCATTGACGTGGCCGTGAATGACAGACAAGCCCGTGAGAAACGGCCGTGAACACCTTTCGAGCCAACAAGTCAGGGACCCCCGACAACCGTCGTCTAGCGGCACCTCCGAGCGCCGTCTCCGAGCACCGAGCCACGACCACCGAGCTGGTCGTCCCGTGACCCGGCTGCTGGCTCCGGAGAAGCGTCCAACTCGATCCGTTTGGGGGCCTGTGAGGAGGTCACCTGACCAGCGAACGAACGGGCTGAGCCTTTTTTCTGATTCTCGCGTGCGCTTCCAAGGTTACCAACAACTCCCACGCTCACTGCCCGGTCCACCATCCGATGGAAATAACCTTGCCAATAACCTACGCTGTTCGCCAGCCCCCCTCCCCATCCGTTCCCAGTTTTGCCTTTTCCTCTGCCCGGTTTGTCCCAAAGCCTTCCCAGTCCCAGACGTGCACGTGGAGAAACTCGGGAAAAAAAAGAGAAGAGTTGAATGAAGGGCGATTGGGATTGGACTGTTCAGAGCCACGAGGTGCGCTGGCGCCCGGTGGGTGCGCTGGGGAAATAAAATCGGGGTCGGACGTGTCATGTTAAGGACCCCTGACGATCGTTTTTCCCGGCGGCGGCGGCGGCGGCGGCATTTCTTTTGCATTTTTGTTTTCTCCGCGCTTGTGCGTGGTAGCGCGGTGCTTGTGTGTGTGTCTGCCGTGTGTCGACTGGTCGACCGTCAGCGCTTAGGCTGGCCGTTTGCGTCCGCGATTATGTTTCTTTCGCTTTCGTCACTCATCCAACGGAGAGGTTGTCTTGGGTGATGTGCTGTCCGTCGTTTCGGAGGTGTGTGACTTGCAAGGAGGGGCAGACCCTGATCCTCTGCGCTAGATTATCCCACTCCCGTAGGGTCTGCCGGCTTGGCCTGACGACATGGCCGTGGGCGTGACCCGGAGTTGGGTATACATCGTCGGGTTATATTCGACCACGGTTCAGTTGAGAGGTATTGGGCGTGGCTGGGGGCGTTTCAGTGTATTAAGAAACCCCGTGATGATTCTCGGCGCCCGGGATCGGTGAGCCCTACCGTAATTCGGTGTTCGTGGGTGTTGTGGAGTTTTCCTGCCTTACGTTGATCCTCTGAACCCGGACGGTGATTCTCATTTATCTCTGTCTTTTTCTGGGTCTTCTCTTGATAAAGACAAACGAGATAGCGTACGGATATGCTTTTGACTTTGATTGTGAGTTGGCGCTGAGATGGGGCGTTGGCTTGGGAGGTTGTTTGATGGCGTGGTATTTTGACGGGCGGGATGACGTCTTGATCGGCTTGGGGTGAAACGAGGATCGGCTCTTGCGGTTCTTTGGGTGCGGCGGGGACTTGTAAGATGAGGATGGGGAGGAGGGTTTGAGTTGAAAGTGGTTGGCATTTAGTTGGTTTCTTTGGCTGAGCGGATGGGCAGGTTGGCTGCCTCTCAGCTGCTGTTATATCGAAGCTGAACGGGGACGTTTCGCCATCAGCGATGTTTGTCCTTCTTCTGGGCCATGCCCAGGATCGCTCGATGGGTGCCTTGTTGGTGGAACATCGTGACCGGGTGCCGAGTTGCTCCTGAGTCGAGAGCCGACTCGGGTGACATGGCCGACACCCGAGTCCGAATCTGCGTCGTCCAGCCTCGTCATCCAGCTGTCAAAGTAAATCGCTCCTATACTCTCACCGCCGATACTCTCCTCGTCCTCTGCACTATCCTCGCCCATGTCTTCGAGCGATCGGCTGCTTTCTGCTGTACTGCTGCTGCTCGGTAACTGTATGTGGAAAAGAAAGACGTTCCGTCCCTCAGTCCTCACCCCAAACGCCACGCGGAAAGGGCTACCGCGTCGTCTGAGAGAGACTGTCGTTTGCGGTCGATACCTCCCACTCTGTTTCTCCTTTTTGTATTGCTCCAACACAGCATCCAAACTGGCGTCATCCAAAATTCCTGTGAACCCGTTGATGTCTTCGCCATTGTCTCCTTCCCAGCCCGGCACAGAGCGGGCTTCATAAAAGTGAATCTCGACGTCGGGATCTTCACCCTCTACATTGAAAACGAATATAAGCAATTCGAGGTGATACAGGTTGGGGATTCTCACGCCCATCGTTATCACAGAGTTTTTCGAAAACGTCTCGCCGACGAACCCATAATAAAAGTTGCTCCACGCAGAATTGGGTCTAGACCAAGTTTCCACGTTCGGGAAGAGGTAACGGGGAATATGGTAACGAAGCAATATTGGACGTGTATCCTGATTTTCGAGGTAATCACTGCGTTCCTTACTGACTTGTCTATAAGCCTCAGCATCAGCCCAATCTCTGACTTTCAATACCTTTCTGCAGCATGCCTCAGGCGAGGCGCGTACAAGCCCCCCAACAGTCGGCAGAAGACGGAGTGAGACGCTGTGCACAACGCGGCATTTCGGACAATCGTGACTTAGTGCTAAAGGCAAACCCATGAAGTCAGATCCCTCTACATAGTTCTGATTGCCCGTGATTTTGACGCCTCTGTTGTTGAGATCGATCCTGGGTTTCGGTTCCGTTTTGTAAGCGGACCAGCCTTCCGAGCAATGGGCGAACTCTAGGGGAGATCGGGCGAGAACACCTCGATATCTTTGATCTCCATTGACAGCCAACCATGCGAGTATGGACGGATCGTTTGTTTGGTTGATGATTGCTTCTTGGAGCCTCTGGAAAGCCTTCTGGCCTTCTCCGTACAACATCGGCATGTTGATGTCGAATATACCAAGAAGACAATACGCAATATCCTCGGGCCGCTTTGTTTGTCGATACGCCGCCCATGCCATTTTGACAGCAACAAGGGTGTCTGCAAGGCTCTTCTTCATTGTCAGAATTTCGATGTCGATGCGGGAAATTTTGGAAAGCATTCTGGCTCGGCTTTCCTTCGTGAACCGGAATCGCCAGCTGAAGTCGTAGAACTCGACCGTTTGCGGGGCAATGAGTTCTTGTAAGGTCCACCCACGCGTGAACCATTTACAGAACTTGAGGCCTTGCAGGTCGTGTGGTGGGCGCATGCCGCTCCAGAGTGAGTCTTCGTCGGAGAGTTGGAAGGCCGATGAAGAAGGACGGAATATCCCCGACGGGCGATGATGTCGTTTTGGAAGGGGTTCAAAGTCCTCTAGAAAGACGAAGCAGACAGTCGAGTTCCGATACCATGAAAACATTGCGTTGATGGCCTCGCTGAGCTCTGCGCTACTGGTCTTGTCGATGCAACAGGTGTCAACCCAGGCGTACTCCAGGTCTCGATGAAAGGCGAGCTCGCACGTTTTGGCGATTTTCTTGAACCCCTTCTTCTTCTTCGCCCTCTTCAAGTGGCGCATATCGTTGAAGGTGACCTCTTCGTCGCCCCATGTGTGAGAGAGGATGGCGTACTTGACAGTGGAGGAGTCGACGAACTCCTCGAGCTGTAAGGTTTTGGTGTTGATGAGCCACATTTTGAGTAGCGGCGCGTAGGCCTCTGACAGCAGCCTGAATTATCGCGAGGTTGTTGAATGTTTGACGATAACGCTGAAATAATCTGTGTCCTCGCGTTTGGGGGTTGTGAGTTGATTGAGAGAAGTTCGTAAGCACAGCCTGATCATTGACGGGGCGGCTTTCGGACCATCCACCCATGACTTCCCTTGGCGCATCCCACCAATAAGGCATGCATGAGCATGCATGAGAGTCCCGATCACCTTCCGCCAACACGCCTGGCCGACTTGGAAGGTGAAAGTTGCCATGAACACTTGCCGACGAGAGATCACAACCGCCGATGCCCGGAAGGGACTACTTTTACGAATTGTCATTCTGGAGCTAACTTACATCCATCGAGTTTACATCAATCAACACACTGCTTGATTTGAGTTTTCGCAGTAGGATCGATCAACACACACCATCCTTTACTGGCACTCCCCGCGATGCTTCCGCCAATCCGTCTTCTGACACTCGGCACTGCAATACTTGACCGCCAAACATCGCGTGCACTTCTTCAGCGCAGAACCGGCCTGGTCTGCTGTCTTACCACAGCTCCTGCACCTTTCCTGAGTCGCCTGTTCGACTGCTGCAGATGGATTGCTCCGTTCCCATGACTCAAAGTCGACACAGTCGTCCACGAACGGCACTGCAAAAGTAGGGCTGATGGCGATACGCGTGGCATACTTGGCCACGGAATCCCAGTCAGGTATCGCGACAAAGTCGTCTGGCAGCTTGCCCTCACCGCACGAGCAGAGGGTCGGCTCGCCCTGCTTCAACGACAGGGGTGCAGTGCCCACCTTGCCGTACTCGCACGAGGACTTGTGGTTCCAGGTTCGGCTGCGCTCGGCAAACGACGGGAGCATCTTGCGCCAGAAGACGAGCTCGTCGTCGTTGACGTTGATGGTGCAGACCTCCATCGTGAGGAGGAATTGGAGGAAGGGCTTTAGCTTGTAGACGAGGTCGAGGGTGAAGGGGATCACGGCGGCGTCCAGTACGATGGAGCCTGACGCGGCGTCAAGGCGGACAGCGGAGACGAAGATGAGCATGTGCATGCCTAAGCCATCGGGTTGGTTCAGGCCGAAGAGACCGGTCTGGCCGCCTTGCAGGCCCGTGGAGAGCATGAACATCGAGAAGAGAGACTCTTTGAAGTTGAGGCGGTTGGAGTTGGAGATGCCTCCTCTTCCAGCTTGGGCCTGTTCACGAACTTCCTTCTCGCGAACAGTGAACATGAAGGATAGGAGGGTGGTCATCCAGCGGTTTGCTTCCTTGTTGGTGACGTCGATGATAGGCAGCCGATCGAGGTTGAAGTGTGGGGTGTTGAGGTCTGCGGGCGTGTTGGACAAGCTCTTCGCCAGAGCATTGGGGTAGACGAAGTCTGTGAGAGGTGTCTTGGTGTGCGGATCGGTGGCGAGGGCGGCGAAGGGTGCGATGACCTCGACGTACGCCGATTTGCGGGCGATCCGGGTCTTGGCCTTGCTGGCGTCGACTGGAGCTGGGAAAGTCAGGGGATAAACGTGCTTCTTATCGCCGAAGACGAGGTTGACAGTGAAGGGCGAATCTTGTTCGAGAACAAGGGGCAGCTTGTCCGTGAGGAGTTTCTTGGCCTTGTCGGAGACGAAGTCGAGATGGCCGGTGATGGTGACAACCTTGTCCTGCGCTTCGCTGACGTCGGCAGTGAACACGGCTTTGGTATCCTTGGTCTCGGGAGAAGACTCCGCGACAGCACCGGCGGCTTCACAAGTTGCAGCGTATCGGGATTGGCCTGGCAAATACTTCGTTATGAAGACGCTAGACTCTTCCTTCAACATTGCTTCGTATATCTTCAATTCTTCGCCCAATGTCTTTTGGTAAGCCGCAATGTTCTGGGCGGAGCTTTGGACCTCCAAACGAACAAAAGCTGTCTTGCGCTCAAGTTGGAGCGATGAAGCAGGGACATAAAAGGATGCAATGAGGGGAGACTCTCCCGACCAGCCGGCGGGATCAGCCTCGACTGTAACAGAGAACTGGTTCGTCTCTCGATCGCCACTGGTCTTAATGGTGCCCCAGACGAGCTGGACATCATCGAAGAAGTTGTGCCATTTGTGGTCTGCGTCCTTTCCGGAAACAAGAGACCCTCTGATTGTGGGAGATGCCGTCTTTGAAAGACCGGAGCCGGTGAACATGCGCATGACCGCTTGCCTTGGAACTACAAGACTCACGGCGACAACCTCAGGAATCGATTCCCATGAGTCGAAGCCACCCAGATTCCGATTTGGCTTGATGTCTCTGCTGAACCAAGCCTCGGTGAGGAGACCCTGGGTGTGCATCTGCGAAGAGAGATCCTGCCGTAGGTTGCCCGTGAACATCAGGCTTCTCTCAAAGGAGAACTTCTCGAGAAAGATCTTGACTGTTGTGTCATAGTCGGAAACCGACAGTCTCAGTTTGAGATAACGCATTAGCGCGACCATAGTTCCGCGATGGAATGTGGTGTAGGCAGTGTTGCGGATAAGCTGCGCCATTGACGACTGGGAGATGGACAACAGCTTCATCGGATTCTCGTGTTGGAAAATGTCGAGGTAGACCTTGAAGATGACGCCTGCGAGAGCTTCAGGATCGACCTTGAGAGGACCCGTGGCAACGACGCCTGACAGGAACTTGGATTGCTTCCAGTTGATACGGCAATGGCATTGAGTCTGGCCTGACTTGTCCTTGTTGAGAACGCCCGAAGCTAGGCCAATAAGAACCTCGTCCACCCATGATACCGCGGTGGCATTGGTCCAGTACTCAACAGCGCTGGCACCCAGAAGCAAGGACACGGTGGGAGCATCGCCGAAAAGAAGCTTGTCAAATGCCTGCTTGCTCGTCTCTTCCCTCTTCAGCAAAGTCTCGGTGAATAGAGACGACCAGGGATGGGCTTTCAGCAGTGGTATGGCGGACGTTAGTAGATTCAACGTGCCAACATAGTCTGCGATGTTGGAAGTATCGATGGCATCGAAAGATGAGGGAGCAGCTAATTTGCCCCCGTAAGCATCGGGATCTAGCGCCAAGGCCCGGTGGTCGAATTGCCTTCGGTACCAGCCAGCTGATGTCTCTTTGGTAGCAATGAAATGCTGAAGCGTCTGACAGAATGCAAGACCTTCGCTGGCGATGGAGCGCACGACCAACTTCTTCTCTCGGAGTAGTTTGCTGCATGCAGCTGCCCATTCCCGAAATTGGGTCTTGGCGGCGGCATAAGCCTTCAGTCTGTCATCCTTTTGATTAGGCCTCAGTGGCGATGACTCGGTGAGAGACGCGAAGGCGGTGGCGAGGTGGAAGCCAAGGATAGGGTCAGTTGCGTAGTGCAGAACTCGGTGCTTCGACAAAGCAGCGGCGAACATGGGGTTGGGTGTATTGGCGGAACCGCTGGGCCCGGCAACAGCAGACTTCCAAAAAGATTCAGATGCCTCCATGATGTCTCGGAAGTTTGGCATCGCGATAGGAGCGGCAGACCGCATTCCGGTCAGCGTCTGTGTATCCTGGCCGTAGGTGAACTCCTTGAGCTCCATCGAATATTCGATATTGGCCTTGAGGGCGGCTGAGCTGACGGCCACATCTGCAGACACAAAAGCATGGTAGCTTTTCCAAATGCTGCGGACATCGTCAAACGTGTCCTGGTCAACAAAAGGCAAAACCTTTCCGTAGGCACTGGACTTCCACGATTTCAAAGACTCGGACGCGGCGAGGAGCTTCTTGAGTTGCTCTGAGAGTTGGCCGAGGTCGGATTTAGAGAGGTGAAGCTCGTAGTAGAGATTCCATGGCGTATTTCCCGAACCTTTATTATCGAGAAGAAAGGAAAAGAATAAGATGTTACGCGCTTCGAGGTGTTAGTGCGACCAACCCTTAAGAATACCTAAGAGGGATGCCTCGCTTGGCAACGGGGGGAAGCTCGTGTGTAACGTAGATGACATACCTAGGATTGCCTCGTCCCAGTCATTGCATGTAATGTCAAATTTGCGGTCGGCTTGAGGATAAACATTAGTTGATTGAATAGAATCAAGGCGAACGAGGGGTTAATCACATACGCAGTCCGATTTCGTTGTAGGCTGTATGCAGAATGTTTCTCACATCCCCACAACCCAACAGCAGCAAATCTCCGTCGATTCCTTGCGGTAAACCTCTCGCGAGGTTCACAGCCGGGGTGTTGCCGACGGGATAGAAGAACGAAAGGGAATTGGCGACGGTGGGCGTGAGCATCTTGTCGGCGCCGATGGCAGGGATAGAGGAGCTGAACGTGTTGCACGGCTAGCCTTCGACAGATGGCAATCGCAAGAACTCAATCTTTATAGAAGTGTCAGTATCATACCATCTTTTCTTTTTTGGCAGAATGAAGACCATAAACTAACCTGCGATGTACAAGGTATCGAAGCGGTGTGTGAGCTGTTGCAAATGTGATTCTCACCACATCAAACAGGCAGGGGTCGGAAAGTAGGCGTTTAGCCAGGCGCTTAAGTAGGCGCGTTCCAAAAGGAGAATGGTTGAAAATGGAAAAAGAAATGACTTTGAAAAGAACTTGAGAATCTTATATGCTCTCGTAAGGAACCAAATCGCCCAAACATAAGGTATCCTGTCTTCCTCCAAGCCAAAAAAGTAGGAGGGGATGCGGTGGTGTCGGACCAGGGAAGCTCTGGGAGCTGTGACAGCTCTTTGGAGTTTGGCAAGAGCGGGGAGCTGCAGCGAACCAGTCCAGGCGGTCACAGCTGGCATTCAGTGGCAGAATGCAAGTCGGCAACACACCGCCTTCCCAGACAGTTTCGGCAGAAAGAGCTACCGCCTTGGATGCTTTTCGCGACGCCTGGGCTGTCGCGTTTTTGCTTGATTGTCAGCTACAGCGTCAAGAAAAATTAATGACGACTGCCACCACCGCATTGCCTCCACGACTTCAATTCCGATTACTCTCACGCGCCGAATACTTCTTGTAATTCTTCAGGCAGTCACGTCCGAGCCGCCAGTGCTTTTGCCAATCGCGAGCTTTGGAGAATCCATCCAACGACACAAACAAATACCAGGGCCATCAACCATGGCTCAACTTTCGCCGCGAGTCCGGCGCACGTCGCAGAATACACAGTACACGTATGCGAACTGCCCACAGTCTTCTCCTGGAAGCTCTTAAGCTCACATGATCACAGCTACAACCTCTCGAGACGTATTCACGACGTCAAGACCTACCCTATCCAGTCTCCCCAAGGCGCCACCATCCTTCTCTACGGTCACGATAATGGCGTCTCCATTGTGTGGAAGGGTGGTCGTCGCTTCAAGCCGACGAAGAAGCAGCCTCCGCCTCCCGAGAAGCAGAATGGGGCCCCGGAAGATGCCGTCATGATCATCGATTCCGACGACGATGAACCCCCATCCAAGGCATCGAAAACATCGACCCCCTTCACCGACAAGCCCGAATTCGAGGATACCGAGGAGGACACACCATACCCCGAAATCATTCAGACTCTCGATCTATCCCTGGGTACCGCCGCCCTGCATCTTGCCGTCCTGCCCATGACACCATGCCCTGCCGAAGATGCTTCCTGGGGAGGAGCCGACGTTCTGAAGGAGAAGATGGTCTTCACCGTCGCGTGTGCAACCAACGAAGTCTACGTCGTCACTCTTCCCTTGACCCCGCCGAGTCCAGAGAGCAAGGCACGACCTGAGTTGAGGTCAAATCTCCTGGCCGGCAAGGCAGGCTCGGGCCAGTGGGGCGAGAGGGTTGTTTTCCTCGGCGGCCAATATAAGCACAGCGAGGGTGTCGCCATGTCGTTGATCAAGCCGAAGACCTCTTCAGCTTCCGACAGGATACGTGACCAGTCTGGTGCGACACAGAAGCCTCGCCTTGTCGTGGCAGCACACACCCGCGAAGCGTGTGGGACGCTGCGTCTCTGGGATGTACCCTTGGACGTTCAACCAGGCGAAGCCAGCGGCCGCATCAACCCTTTCCAAACAGAATACCTCCCCAGTCCTCTCTCCAGCATCTCCTTCAACCCCACGCACCTCACACAACTTCTGACAGTCTCCTCGCCCCACGCGGTCCGCATTTACGACTACGCGCAGCCATCACTGCCGCCCGATGACCAAGCCACTGGTCCTTTTCCGAGCCAAGGATCCTGGCTTCTCTCTCTGTTCCAGCCATTCACTCGTCCCACAACCACACGTAAGCCCATCCTAGATGCAGCTTGGATCGCTCACGGCAGGGCTGTTCTTGCCTTGCTCGCCGACGGCACCTGGGGTATATGGGATGTGGACGGTGCCAGCCCACTGGGCGGCTCCATCCTGGGCAAGAACAGCTCTGGAATTAAGGGCGCTGCGCTCACGGCCTTCAGTGCTACTGGACACGTTGAGGGAACTGGTCCGTTGCGTACTACTACGGCAGCCGTGCCAAGATCCAATGGCAACGGAGAATTTGTACCCATGACCCCCCACACCCGACGTGATGCTGCGGCATCATTGAGCACTGCCGGCTCGTTGGAGCGTTTAGTGGCCATCAGAGGCGGCATTGTCGTCACTCCTCTTCCTGGTAGCGGCTCTGGATCCGATGATGAGAGCGTCGTGTTGTGGATTGGTGGTCTCGATAATGTCTCCGTCATCCCCGCCGTCTCTCGATTCTGGGACTCACAACTCCGACGCAGCTCAGGAGGTGGCGTAAACCTATTCAGCGGAACCACACCAACCAAGATGATCCGACTCCACGACTTGTCCACAGGCCTCCTCGGCGAGCGTTGCTGCGGTGTGGGCGCTGCGGTCAACTTCGCCAGGCTCAAGGATAACGACGGCGGCTTGCGCATCGAGGTTCTGGTCATGGGCGAGAGTCGATTGGTCATCGTCCACGAGTCCGAGGAGACACCCGGCGCCAAGATTGGAGGTGTCGTTTCAACGCGCCGCCGCCTCTTTGGCGACAAGAAATCAGAGGCGCCCAGCGCCATCATCGTCCACTCTCGACCGGATCAGCCTCGCAACGTTTCGTTCAATCTCAGCGTCAACAAGACGAGGAGCTTGATGGGAAGGTCAGTGGGACGCGACAGTGTTCTGCCCGACGACGACCCGACTCATGACTTCACGCTGCCTCTCGGAAGACCAAAGTCTGGCTTCGGTTTCGCTGACGAACTTGAGCGCGCGGCGGACTTGCAAGATGATGCCACGATGCGTGACGTCGAAGAGGAGATGTTGGACATCTTGGGTCTCGACCAAGCTCTGGAGGATATGGAAAACGATCGCGGCAGTGGCCGGAAGAGAGTTTACTTCGAGGGAGACCGTTGAGGTTCGCTGACGAACCTTGTACTAGTGAGAAAACAAAATGTACGATACCCACGGACCGTCCCAGATACGGATCCAACCTTGGTACGCGCCAAAGACTAATGCCGTTGATGCCTTTCCTTCTTCTCTTTTTTCTCTTTTCCCTGCATTTTCTTCTTCTGCAAACCCCAGTACAAGCACAAACAAAAACACAAGCCAACGTCTTCCAAGACCAAGGCATCCGCACTTCAAGGTGGAGCGCAAGGAGAGATTCATCCTTGATCCAGCTCTGTATTATGAGCGGTACATTAAGAACCCGTCCTCTGGGCTTCCTTCGTAAGGCACAAGATCGCAAGATGAAGTGTTGTCGAGGCTGCCACAAGACGGGGAAGCCGACGTTTCCTCAATATTGGAAAGGGATTTTTTTACGGGTGGGGGCGGGTGGTTCGGTTCTGCGAATTGACCATTTGCTCTCCCAGCCTCCGCGTCGTCCTGCTATCTACCCCCGTTCCCGGACTCGGGAAGCCTCGCTTCTTGAGGAAGATGGGAGGGGTGGGGGATGTTAGGGTTGGGAGGTGGTATCGTCGGTACATACTTTCGAGTGCTTGTTGCTTTGTGACTTGAGTGGTTTTTTATGTGATGAGTCTATGTGATGGTCTCCCGCCCAGTCCCTCTCCCGCGAAACGCGCTTTCGATCTTCAGCTTGTGTGCCCTGCGTAAGCTGGCATATCCGTTGAAGTTGACCCAATTGTAAAGGTTATTTGGACTTTAGATGATTCCTCGTCGCATTCTTTGTGGCTTTCTTGTCCGGCAGCTCGGTCGATGCTGTCTCTGATGGCGCCGTGTGATTGAACACCTCGGTCGGCCTTGACATCGGCACCTTCTTTTCCCTCTCTGTTGCTTCCCTCTCTGACTCTCGTTCCATTTGCTCTTTCCTGTCCCCCGGGTACTCATGAAAATATTCGCTCCAGTCATGTCTAGCCGTCCAGCAGCCTGACACTTGCATCACTGACCAAAGGCCATGTACTGCGCATACCTCACAGTCTCTCCATCTCAAGCTCCTACTCAAGTCAGCCCTCGTGTCTGTCAGAAAGATGTACCGGTAGCCAACTCCAGGACACCTATATACATTCCTCGCGAAGGATGTCACACATTTAGCCCGGATATCTGTCATTTTCGTCGGCTTTCTTAAATGGTAAATGTTCATCTTGCTCAATCTGCTGTCGACCACCCCACACATGCGAAAGCGATGCCTTGCGACAGTGGTAATCCTAACATCGGATAGGAAGTCATGTCTTCCAGGTCGATGCACATCGTGCAGACAGTAAAACCAGCTTACGCATCATCACGTAATGATCATGAACGAGGATTCTCAATCTGAAAAATACTTGAATATAAAAGTCAATGACAACGCTAGTGTAATGGTATCAAAGTCTATGTCTGCGCAACCCAGCTGCCTCAGATGAATCGTAAAATCATAAAACGGCCATCGAGACCACGAAAGTAAGCCGCTCTCATCCACCACGTCTCGCGACGTTACTCGCAGAACGCCGCCATCTATCCCCATCTGGGCTCGTCGTCGGGGATCTGGGGAAAGCCCCTCGCCTGAGGCGGGGCAGGCTCGTCGGACCTCTTCTCTATCTCATCCGTCATGCGCTTGGCCGGAGACTTGGGGCTCGGCTCGGGCTCGCAGATGTTGGTGTTGGGAGCCGGCTTGTTCTTGCAGATCAGGCCGCCGCAGCAGGGCTTGTTGACGTCGGCGATGCTGGTGAAGCAGAAACCTATTGTGAACGGGTCAGTTGGATGTTGCGATGGAGTTGAGCTAGAATGTGGGGGGTAGTGCTAACCTCCGTTGCCGATGCATTCTCTCTTGATGAGGCCGGCGTCGACGCTGATTGCCGAAGCGGCGCCGACGAGGGCAACGAATGTGACGAGTGTGAACTTCATGTTGACGAAGTGTGTGGTTGTGTGTGTAATGAAAGTGTGCGCTTGTTTGCTGTCGGTTGTATTGATGTTGTCTGAGCGAATGTGTTCTTAAAGAAAGCTTGGGTCTGATATAGACTGAGAGGGTTGGCAGGAAGATTGACCTGCTCTCCTCGGTGGGACTCATGAAGATATATACCTTCATCAACCACTTGCGAGTCATATTACAGATAAGGCATATAAACAGTCGTAATGGATCCGATCTCCCGGGAGGCTGTGCAAGATCCCACACTTGCCCAATCTGTCGGTTATTTCCCCCCAAGACTCCAAGACCGATCGCGGTCTGGAGTAAGAGGGCGTCAGATGAGCAAGCGGGCCTTACGCGTTCACAGTTTGAGCCCGTCGTATCAGTTTCGGGATTGCGCATCCACACACTACTGTACACCGATCATCAAGTCACTCCCGTCTCAAGTTCACCCCTGTGAGCGTTCGTCGGAATCTACGGACAGCTCCATGGGGTAATTCCCTCAGTCCCAACCCAGCAACTCCCGCCAACCGAATGTCACTATCAGCCATGTAAATAGAGTTCACCGCATCCCAGAGCTGCAATTCTAGAAAATTGCTCTAAGAGACATTTACAGTTTCAGGCACAAGAGAATACAGCCAATCGGATTGGCGTTAGGAAAAAATGGTTCCATGCAGCTGTTTAAATATAGTGGTGTCCGTGTCGTCTGGAGTGAAGATGAGATGAAAAGAGAAGGACTGGCCTTCCTCGGACCATACCAACAGTCTGGCCACGCAGCCCTTCGTTCTGTCGAGAGAAGATAGGATCGGCGGGTGTAGGTGTAGTCTCCGACGGGGTTTTGCCCGGAAGACTGCCGTCAACACCAGGAACAAGCCAAGGCCTGCCGCGGGCGTCCACTGCGTCCGCGGCCGAATGCCGTGCTTCAACAGACCATCCTCGTCCGCGGAAGATGCGAGAGGATGCGAGAGGGTGCATGAAGCAGCACGGGCGCCACGGAACATCCCATCAAACTCTGCCTCATCGGCGGTGCCGAGAGAATATCGGAAAAGGCTTCCCATGATGCCGTCGCTTTCGTGTCAGACTTCTCATCCTGAAATCGTGATCTCTCGGGACATCTGCCGAGTCCTGAAGCGGAAATTTCGTATTATCGAGCCAGCTTCGTTCAATCCTTCTCAATCCTTCAGAAAAAAAGGCCACAGACTGGTTTCACCAAGTTTAGATTTTCTCGTCTTCATCGATCCTAGCTCACCATGAGGGCTTGGCAACCTCTTGGACAGCGCTTGCCGCCAGGGATGCAACGACATGAGACGAGACGAAGAAATCGCCAGTGCGTTCGTCATGATTCGTGGAAACTTCATGAATCAGCCAGACCGTGACTCGGAAAAGCAGTAATACGCGCAATCACACAAGTGAGGCTGGAACCACATTCATCGGACGGCGGACGCGTTCTGGTGCGTGTCACACCATGTTCGGATTGCATTGTTATTTAAATTGTAAAGTGGTGTCCGTGCGGAATTTCTTTGCCCATATAAGCGAAGGAGAATAAGGTTGCGGTTCTAGTTGTCCGATTTCCATATCAAAGTGATGAATAAGTACGTCGAGTGTTAACAGAAACCCGAACTATTAGATTAAGGAGTCATATAACACACTCCAAAGAACTATATCGTACGTGGAACCTACATATATCAGGAACTGGTGACCCTCAGGCAAGAAAAGAAAGATAGACCATGAACCTCTGCCATGGCAGAGGCGACAGAGTTCGACAGCATGAGTACTTCGCGTTGATTCAACATTGATTAATTGACGCTGGACACAGGCAATTTCAATGAAACTGCCACAGGACGTCAATTTTCTCCTAGTATGACTGAATCGTTCCTGTCGATCAAAAGCAATAGCAATGCTCGACAACAACTTCAATACCTTCACTGTTCTAGAGTCCCAATCAGTTTGCTGACTAGATCCAAAGGTTTTTTCTCGGTTTGCTCAATAGTATGTATACACTCTCGTAGCTGCGTTGTGAGGACATTAAAAGCTGTCCCGTCTCCGAATGTGTCCAACGTGCACTGTGGAATGCTTTATGGTTTTGGAAAGGTTCATTCTTAGCCACAGTGATCTTTCCTCGAAGCCTAGTTACGACATAGCTCTTGAATCTTCACCAATCCCATTTCCTAGAACGCCGGGTTTCACGGGCATGGACCGGAGCGAATTTCGTCAATACGAAAGGTAGAAAAGTCACGACCGCGGTCGAAGAGAATGACTTAGCGCCATGAGACCATGGAAAGTAAGAAAGGAAGAAGTGAGACCTATTGTTGACGATGTGGTGGTGATCTGCAGGATCTTGGAGACCCCGCATCGCATCAAGTCGGTATTCCGGGGGAAACGGGGTCGAGTGAACCAGGTTCCGGGTAAATTCCGGGGAGAACGCCCCCGGAGATTGGAATTTTGTGTAGCACATGTTCACCTGAGGGCTTCTAGAGACTTCAAGTGTCGTCATTATCATAGGCTGGGACCTCATTGCATATAAACGTGGGTAGAAAGTCATGTAAGTCAGTCTCTCCCCTCGGTCATAGAGAAGTATCATCTAAACTGCGTTAAACCTGTCCACTTGTTAGCCAAGAGTTCATAGTTGAAGCCAGCAGCAAGTCTGTCGTATCAGCACTTCATTCAAGCTTGACAGAATGGGTCTTCATCATCTTCTCACTGGTTCTTACACTAGTACCAGCCTCTTTCTTCTGGCGTTTGACTCAGTGGCAAAGACACTGACTCTCAACTCCACCGTTCCTGGCTTCGGACTGCATCAATTTGTCAGTTCCAACGCTGGGCGGGATCGTATCTATGCGACAACCATGAGTGAGCCTCCTCGAATCTTCTCTTGGGCGGTAGATGAGAAGTTTCAATTCACTCACCTCGACACGGTGAACGTTAGTAAGTAACAAACCCACACATGCAGTCTACATTTGGATATGAAAGCACAGAATCCCACGCTAATCTCAGTCAGCAACCTCGTCATGCTATTTCTCGGGTGACGGCAAGTAGGCGTTCAGCGCTGGAGGTCCCGGCGCCAGAGTCCATGCCATCAACGACGATGGGGGAATTGGCGAGCAAGTTACTGAGATGTTCTATGTCCCCACACAGGACGTTCCTGCTGTGGACAAGACGCGTCAGGCCGTGGTACGTGATAAAGTTAGGCTTTCTGGCTGGTTATGTTGAACTAACGACTTTCCGTTGTAGCTTTATGGCGCGCATGGGTTCGACGTGAATGTCAACCGGAAAGGATTCGTACCCCATCTGTATGAGAAAAGTTTCCGACTCAATGATGTGAGCTGATGAAGCATTTATAGTGGCTGGGATGCCATTTTCATGTACGACCTGGCAGAGAATGGAACGGTCAACCTACTATCGATCAACCTCAGCCCAACGCCTGGTGACGGCCCTCGTAATTCTCTTCCATCTGAGGATGGCAGGCTCCTCTATATCGTATGTATCGCAAAGCCCCAGTGCAATCAAGTGGAAGCAGAGCTGACGTCTACGTATGATGCAGATAACGGAGCACAGTGAGTATCATACTTACACCTTGCAATGGGTTGCGGAAAACTGCTTCATTCAACTAACTACTGTCTCTAACACAGGCCAATTCTTGGACGTCTACGACATAGAAAGCACACATTTGACTCACAGACAACGAGCCAGCGCGATTCCTGATGGTCAGTAATGACTGTGGATCTCACAGTGAATGCCGAGTGTGTAAAATGGGTGGGACTGACGTTTCTCGTCATCTAGATGTTCGAAAGAAATACACTTACCGAAGCAACACAGTCCAAAGGTCTCGAGACGGTAGATATCTGTTCACAAGTACCCGTGGCTGGAACAACACTGAGGCAAACGGGTGGGTTGCCGCTTATGAACTGACAAAAGAGGGTTATCTCAAGACGGAAGGAGCGACATCGTTTTTCAAGGCACCGCTCACTCTTGGTTCCGCGGCTGGACTCCGAGTCGCGTTTTGGGAGGATGAGACAAATTGCGGACCAAAAGGAATCACTGACTACATGTATCTCAGCGACACGTCGGAAGGCTGTATGTTCATTCTAGGCTGGACGCCTCAGAATCACAATTTGGAGCAGGTGGCTGAACTATGCTACCCTGACAATGCAGCACCGTATGAGGCGGTTTGGCTTGACTAGTGGGAGGAGAGGCTGCTTAATTATGAATGGCAACCAGACTAGGAACTATCACAACTGAATCTTACTTTCCCAGCTCGGCCAAGGTGTTGAATGATGCATGTGACCTCACCCTTACACAAGCATTGAAGCAGAATTCTCAAATCAAAGCACCTCTGAAATTCCGGTATTAAAACAGCTGAGGTGCGTGAAGAACCCTTCTTCTTCCGCGGACTTTAGCCGCGGAGAATGTCCACGGCCAAACACCGGTAGCCAGCGATTGGTGCATAACAGGAGGATCTCGCGGGACTCGGGATGTGGGTATAACGGGTGAGTGGATTAAATATCTTTATTGGCTAAAAGGCCATAAATTTCCAGACCTCGATCGTGCTGGCTCTTGGTCAACGCGGGGGAATGATGCTGGTTGGATGCGGAGACAAAGACTGCGTTTTGGGCGGGGATATGGACTTCGTACCTTGCTAGTGATGAATTGGACTCAATAATAAAGATGTATTTCTCTCGCCAAATCCAACTGAGTTGTCCCGTATGACAAGAAATCTGAGATTCAATGCCTTCCACATCCTCTCACAGACCACGGCCCGCGAATAGTCGCAGGTTTAGGGGCTTGACATGCGCCAACTGCCGTACAAGAAAGGTATGACGTCTCTTTTGAAGTCAGAATCATGAAATACAGCGCTCAATGGTCTAAAAAGTATCCATTGACCTGTACATGTTGTATGAAGCTGAATTTGTTGACGCTGGACTCAAAACATGAAGGTTCGATGCGAAGGAAGTCAACCCACCTGCAAAACCTGCGAGATTTATCACGACGATTGCAGATATGACAAGGCCCCACCGATGTCTCAAGTGATCGCAATGGCGAAGCGTCTTCAAGACGCCGAGAGGGCCATAGCAGAACTCCAAGGAGGATCTGGGCTTGCTTCACGGCCAGCGAGAGCTTCATTGCCACACAGCAATGATAACAACCCTCCACAGTCGCCCGAGGCACAAGCCTTCCCAACAGCATACGAAACGGCCCCAGCAACAGCGGAAACAATATCTGTACCAGAAACAGAGCTCAGTCGTGATTCTCCGCTTATAACCCAAGCGGCCGACATGCCACTTGATGCCCACGAGCACCTGGAAATTGAAGCACCTCCTGAAGAACAGATTACCACAAGCTTGAGCGTTGATGAGGATGGTGAGATTTGTTACTATGGACCAACATCCGCCGTCCACGACCCACCAAATTTAGCCAGTCCCTCTTCAGTACCCTCCAGTTGTGGCAACTTCTCATTCAAGACAAATACACAAACATTTCTCTCGTCTTATTCCAAAGAATCTGCCATTTGGGAGGAGTATGCCTTAGGGAATGTTGCTCTCCAGATCGGGATCCCTCGATCCGCCATGGAAAAGCTTCTGCAAGTGCACTGGACTTGGGTGGCCCCGATGTTCATGTGGGTTTACCGACCAGCCTTTATGCGTACGTCATCGTTCTTTTAGGTCGAGAGCCATGTATTCTGAAGCTGACTGGTGATTCTTCGCGTTAAGGAGATATGGCGACGGGTGGCAGATACTATTCTGAATTCCTTCTCACAGTGCTGTGTGCACATTCCGCCGAATACCAAGACGGATTTGGTACAGACTTGCTACTCGCAAGGGTGCGTCAACTTCTCGGTACCGCCATACAACAACCTAGCTCGATCCCAACTGTCCAAGCACTACTTCAGTTGAGTGCCCGAGATCTAGCCCAAGGATCCATAACCCAGGCTTGGGTTTACAGCGGAATTGCTTTCAGGATGGCCAGCGATCTCGGCTTGCAACATAGCGGCCAGGACATCTCTGGAATCAAGGGAACGAGCCCCCTTGATGCTGAAGTGCGGAGGAGACTGTTCTGGAGCTGTTATTTCTGGGACAAGTAAGTAGCCAGAATACTCCTCGGTTTTGACTTTGATATTCGCTGACATACGTGTTTGGCCAACAGAGCCATCAGTCTGTATACTGGCCGGCTGCCTGCTGTGGTTGAACTACCACCCCTGGGTACACTTGATAACTGTAAGGATTACCAGGATAAGAGATTGGCCAACACACGCTGACCCTTGATGAGTGGATGACTCTGATGAAATCAAGCTTTGGTCTCCATACCATGAAGACTCACTCAACCTGGCCAACCTCCCACCTGGACAGTATCCTCCTGCGAGAAGCCATGCCGTATCGTGTTTCATCAACTCTTGCAAGTTGTCTATCATTATCAATGACATCATATTTCAAGTCTACTCGCGGCGCAGTAGGCCGATCACTGAAACAGCATTGGAAGATATCAAAGAAAGGCTTGACATTTGGAGGGCTCAATCCCCGCCGCATTTGAGATACGACCCTGAGCGTTTGCCGCGTATCTGCCCGCCGCCTCACTTAATCTCCCAGAAGTAAGCCGAGAACTCGCTGCTGAATGTTTTCCTCTGTCTTCAAATATCGTGCTGTTCACCCATTCAACGACTATGTTGACTAACCTGGATACTCCAGTCTGTTGTACTTCACCACAATTATTCTCGCCCACCGCCCCTTCTGGTCAGTTGCGGGGTATTATCAGGAGTGTATAAGCGCTGCCAAGAGTATCCAAAAACTCCTTCTCCTGCTTGAGTCAACTTTCGGCCTCGAAAACATTACATATCTGATGGGTTACTGCATCTACACTGGTGCCTCAGCCGTTCTGGAAGAAGCAAAGAAGGGTGATGACGCGGCCAATGCTGTCATGAAGACCTTTCTGCGGGCGCTCAACACGGGAATGCGTAGATGCCCGTTGCTTGAGCGCAGCCTCAACATCATCATCAAAGGGCTGAAGTCTGCTCCTATTCAACCTGCCTTGCGCGGAGACATAGATCGTACAGAAACCCCGCCGCTCAACAGCTATATCCCGGCATTTCCGTATCTGGATCCCCTGGGTTTCAACGACATGGACTCACATAACCTGGAAGAAGCAAGTTTCGATGCTATGGCCATGCTGGACTGTTTTCCTGAGCTACAGACGGATATCGGGGAGTTAATTTCAACCAACTTGGCATAGTATCTTTGTGGCTTTGGGGTGCTTTTCGAGTCCAAGAGTCCCGATCTCGTCTGTGTTTTTGACGTATACTCAACATGTCTAGCATGGAACTTCTAGCAGATTTATATAGCACAACGTTGTGTTTGTGACCCTTTAACCCTCCACCCGACTCAATTACTGATGCCAGTGTTCGCCTCTGCCAATGTGTCTGCCTTGAGCGCCGGTCTATCAGCTTTGCCTGCAGTTGTCTGTGCTTTGTCAGTCATGATGATGTTCTTGTCTTCGATCATTACTTCCGAGAAAGACTTACACCACCATCTACCGGCATGATGAGACCTGTGATCCATCCGGCTTCCTTGCTGGCAAGAAACAAGATAGCTGGAATTCAGGTCATCAAACGCTGCTCACGAAACTGATACCGCGTCAAACTCACCATGCCCTACATCCCAGCCAGTGCCTTCTTTCTTCATCAAGTTCTGGTTCACTCTGGCCTGTCTCATTTCATCTGTCATGCCGCGGCCGCGGGTCATTGGTGTGTACACCATGCCGGGAGCCACACAATTGACTCTAATATTCTCAGGTCCATGGTGCGCCGCCATAGCTCTTGTCATTTGGATGATGGCGCCCTTGGTGGTGGGGTAAAGTAAACTAGGGTTGCCACCGAGAACTATGAGAGCAATGTTTGATTAGTATCATTCATCTTCTGTAGATGTTGCACGACGTTCTGACTGGAGGACTTTCTGAGCACTTACGACCGCTGACTGAGGACATGTTGATGATAGATCCCCGCCCTTGCTTTCTCATCTCAGGAATGGCGTAACGACTCATCAAGACCATGCTGGTGACGTTGATCCGGAAGTCTCTCTCCCACGCATCCAAGTTGATTGTGGTAGCGTCGCCAATGGCGCCCCCGACGCCAACTTTGCGAGATTTGAGTTGACTGAATAGCGGTTATGAGAAAGTAAGATGCGACTGACCGATATTTACTAAAATATGCAAGGCACCGAATAGCTCGACCGTCTTGGCAACAGCATTCTTGCACGACTCTTCCATGCTGACGTCTGCTTGAATGATCTCAGACACGCCACCCTCTTCATCGATCATTCGCTTGCTCTCCTTGGCCCAGTCAACGTTGAAGTCTACCAAGGCCACCTTGGCTCCATGCCGTGCTAGTAGGATTGCTGCGGCACGCCCATTCCCGATCTCACCTAAAGGGAAAGTATCAGTCACTCAGGGCTGCATAGGTAATAAACATCATGGACTTACCATCCATGCGAGATCCTGCGCCAGTCACAAGAGCGACGTCGCCGGTAAAGTCAAGTGCGCGAGGAGGAGTCATTGTGCCAGATCGTTGCTCAAAGGTGCTGGTTCCAACGGTGTTGATTGGGTGTCTCGTGACGGTACGGGCAAGTTTGACTGAGGTAGCGTTGTTGGATATGTGCAGAAATGATTGTGGCTCAAATGACTGGTCTCATGAATTCGACGGGGAATAATTGAAAATCTCTTCTTTGTACATTTCATGATCACCGGTGAGTGCTGATACGCATCGGCGCAAGTCCACGGACTACTGACGCCGGAACCTCCGCGGCGATTTGCCGAATCATTCCATACGGTAGCAACGTCACACTACCTCGCCATCCGACACTCGCCCAAATGCTTGGCGCTCTACACCAGGCCTTTGCAACTAACTCAAATATACATCTTTGAAATCAGTCGTGCATGAAAGGTCCAGAGCATTTCCCGGTACGGCCAACTAGGTTCGACAGATTTGATCATGGCCAGCCGGCAAGCAACAGCACAGGCATTGCTCCTTGTGTCTACTCCAAGTTTTAGAAGGCTTTTGAGCTCAATTCTATATTTCATGACGGTTCAAAACTGAAGTTTCCGTCTGGTTTCTATACCTTTCGAGATTGAAGGCACCCGATGATATGTTTATACGACTCGTGTATTCCTAGAATTCGTTTCTGGCTTTCACCAAATTCCTCACTACCATTCGATCTACGTCACATAACCCTGAGGATTTTTCAGGGCGATTTAGCTAGCCAGAAGTCGAACCATCCTACAATGCCCGCAAGACTTTGCTCTTTGACCCATCCTGTGTGAATAAGATGTCAACAGCGAAGGATTTCGTCTACACAGCCGTAACTCAACTTACGTTGGTAAGGGTCGTTCTCATCGCCGCGCAATGCGAAACCGTGCTCAACTCCCGAGAAGAGTTGGTAATGGTAAATTCTCTTCTGCGACTGTAAGATGTCCAGTGCTCGCCGGCGAGATGGTAGATCGAAAGTGTGATCTGTTTCTGAGCACGACAGAAACAATGGCTCTGATAGATTACATCTTAGCCGACTTCGCCAGGGACGATTGGGATAAAGTGCTCACTGTTGATGTTGGTAAAATGATGCTCTCGGAGAAATGCAGGATGCGCAAAGGCGCCCGCAACGACCGTGTCTTTGGCCAGCTCATTGCAAACGTACGGGGCGCCAAAGCAGTAGCCTACGCACACGAACTTCGTGTTCCCTTGCCCGTACTGCGCCTTGACGGCATCAACCCACTTCGGCACCGCCACGTCGGCGAATTTGGTGTGCTTGCGCTTCCATGCCTCGTAGTCAAAGTCCTTGTTATCGGTGTCATGGCGGTTCTTTCGATGTTTCCACACAGGGTCCTGGACGACGTCATCAGTCTCTCGCAAGAGGCGAGGGAAGAAGAAACAGGGGCGACTCAGAACAACGTACTCCGCGGAAATAGTCAAGACCTAAAACCAAGTACCCAGAATCTGCGAATGCGTCCATGACGAGAAGCCCGTTGGGAAACATGCCCCAAACATCAGGAAAGTAGAGCAAGATGTTGCCATTGGCTTTGCCTTCAGGCGGCCACGACAGGTAGGTGTCAACGTCTGCAATGACTGACCAAGACCCTCGCGCCTCGCCCTTGTGGATATTGCCCTTTAAGCAACATTCGCCGCTCGGCTTGGCAAGGTACTGACCATTGTTTTTGGAAGCTCCTTGTCCCATGGTTACCGAGTAATGTCGAGGATCGGGGCTGACGCCTATTCACGAGGATGTATGAAATCGGACAAAAGATGAACTCAGGTTACATGTACCGAGCGTGAAAACAATCAGCCCAGCCCAGGGGTTTTCAACGGAATCTAGCTGTGCTTCTGGCTGCTAAGAAAATCGCTCCAAGCGGCGATAGCACGAGATCACAACGGATGTAAGCCGTTGCCGGAGATATTCCCCAAGTCTCCCACGGGGAAATGCCGCGGGGGCTCTCCGAAACCAGCACTAGGCTTATCTCTGTGATCCATCGCTACGGGAATACGAAGCTGATTTGCTGCCAAACCCCAGCTACTACCACCCCGCAAACGACGTGTTTGACCTGGGGTCATTCAGCGGGGAAATGAGGAAGGATCAGATCCACGATGAGAGAAAGACGATCTGCTGCCACATTCAAAAGTACGTCTCGCCGGCACCTATCTTAGTGACCGCCTTTTTCTTTCTGACTCTTGAGACCGGTCGTTGCCGTGCAATCTATCACCGCTATTACTGAATTCGTTCCCGTTGTAAATCAACAACACGGCGATGGCCGAGATTGTGAAGCCCGTCGTCAGTGCTGACGACGGCATTGCTGATGAGAACAATCGTATCTCCGGTACCAAGCTTCAGGAGATGGACGTGGCGCACCGGGAGAACGCCGTTGGATACACAGAGTACCTCGAAGCTCTCGACATTGAGATTTCCGACAAAGAGGTACGGAGTTTGAAATCGCTGCAGTAAACAGGCATTCTCTGACCTTGTACCGCGACTATAGATACGAAAGCTCCGATGGAAGCTTGACCTCACAATCCTCCCCATGTTCCTCATTACACAAGCGTTGCAGTTCATGGACAAAACTTCCCTGAACTATGCGAATCTGTTCGGGTACCAGACGGCGCTCGGCCTCAAGGGTCAAGAATTCAACAATCTCTCCGCCAGTAAGTACACCTATGACTACATGTCACCAAGGGGAAGACAGGTCGCTGACTGACCGTGATAGTGGTTTATGCCGGGTATTTCTTCGGCCAGTATCCTTGCGGTTGGCTAATCGGAAGATATCCCGCTCAGAAGGTCATGGCGGTCAGTGTGCTCCTCTGGGGCCTCATGGTCATTCTCATGACCCAGAGCCGGACTTACTCAAGTGCCTGTAAGACGAATGAAGACAGATGTGTGTTCAATAGTCCGACAAGCTAACATCTTGCAGTGGGCGTTCGATGTGAGCCGCGTTCCTCCAACCAATAATATTGTTGTGAGAATTAACGTATATACTCAGTCATTATGGGCATCTTTGAGGCTGCTGTAACGCCGTATGTGCTTCACTGATACGAAACTGGGCTCACCCTGACTCAATTACAGCGGATTAACTCTCACGACTGGGTTCTGGTATACTCGTAGAGAGATACCACTTCGTCAATGCATCTGGTAGTAAGTCTGCCAACATAACTTCAGCTGCACTCCGAGATTCACTTACTCATTTCAATTATAGCTCTTCTCTAGGATGGGGTGGCATTGTAAGTGTTTGGCCTTTCCCTTCCATGTCTTCCCTATCAGAAGCTGCATGGTCGAACTGATCGACATACAGATCGGATCGTACATATCCATGGGGGTCTCGAAGCTGCCCGTTGACATGAAGCCAGAACGATGGGAGCTTATCTTCTACGTTGTGAGTAACGTCGTTCTAAGAGGAAACTTCGACCAACACATTGACGGTAACAGCTTGGCGGTGCCACCTGCCTGTGGGCATTCGTCATATGGTTCCTCCTCCCCGATTCGCCGGCCAACGCTCGATTTCTCAGCCACCGTGAGAGGCTGATTGCCATCAAACGAGTCGCCGGGAACGAAACGGGCATCAAGAATAAGGCATTCGACAAGAAGCAAGGACTTGTGGGCTTCTTCGACCCCAAAACTCTGTTGCTCTTTACTTCCGTGTTTGCAGCGTACGTACTTTCGACAAGCTTCATATTGAGTGACCTCGCCATTGAAAAGCTATCAAGTGCAGATCTTGGACTAACAATGAAATATAGAGCTATCCCCAATGGCGTCGTCAACTCCTTCTCGACAATCATCATCCGCGACATGGGCTTCGACACCACGACGACAACCCAACTCAAGTCCGTCGGAGACGCGGTACAAATCGTCGCACTATTGATCGGCGGGACCATCATCCTGAATGTTCCAAACTGTAAGCCAAGCCATGTCGCTGCATCACCCTAAGCCCAGATGCTCAATCACTTTACTACAGCCCGCCTGATCACCGCTTCCGTCGCGAACATGCTGTGCACTATATCAGCAGCTTGCATGGCCTACCTCCCGCAATCCAACACGTGGGGCAGGCTCGTGGCTTTCTGGCTGGTCAACACGCAGTCTGTCGGCTTCACCGTCTCCCTCACGACCATTTCGTCCAATATGGCCGGCTACACCCACCGATCTCTCGCCAGTGCCATGGTGTTGTAAGAGTAATATAAATATTGTGACAACTAGATTCCTTCTAACTAAACTTCGTTAGTACCGCTTACTGTTGGGGCAACTTTGCCGGGCCGTTCGTCGTGAAGCCATCCGAAGCCCCTCACTTCCGCGGCGCCACCATCGGCTTGCTCGTCGGCTACGCCATCAAGTTCGTCTGCCACCTCACCCTTCTCGGTAAGTTTCTCGTCTTCCGCAAAACCCAAAAATGTAGGGGCTGACTTCCCCTCGAAGTGTACATGTTCTCCATGAACCGGTACCGGAACAAGAAGTACGGCCCGCCGAATAAAGAAAGCAGCAACGAAGCTGGGATGAGAGATCAGACGGAATTTGAGAACAAGGATTTCAGATACGTGCTTTAGGGTCTAGAAGTTTCAGGTTCAAGGGCTGCTGAGGATTCCTACCCATAGGGAGCTGGGAAGAGCCAAAGTGTTAGCCCTCCGGCGAATGCCGAGTCCGGCCCCACAGTACGGGCCCGAGTCGGTGTACCCAAAACCGGGACAGACCGGAATCAAACAACCGGTACTAAGTATACCCAGCTGCTCAGCTAGGAGATATAGGAAAGTTTCCAAGGGTTAAGTGAGTACCCGTTACTTAAGGTAGGACACAGCACGTTCAGGAGCCGGATGGTCATTGAGAGCCGTTATGAAGGCCCTTACTGTCCTACGTGTGTAACTAGACATCGCGATACCACTCGATATAGCCAACCCCGACTAACTTGTATCATTCTCTTCAGACTCCTTCCTCTCCCTTGATCACCATCCTCACCCACCCACCATCCCCCTTGACTCTACAAACCAAGAAAAGATCGCATCCCCGTTTCAAACTCAAACCACGTCCCCCTCCATCCTCAGCCGCACCCTAGCTCCCGTCGTCCCGTCCCTCACGAACGCCCTCGAAAAATAAGCATCGCGGGGGAACCTTTCCCCCGTCTTACCAGCAAATCCTTCTACACTCGTCTTTCCCCGCACAACCCAGCTGAGACGGAGGGCGGCTGGAAGACGACGACCTACCAACTTTAACCACGACGGATGGGCCCCTTCACATCGGTAGGAACGCCTCGTGAGGTTGTACTGGTACGTGTGGGCACGCCAGACACGGCCACTACCATGATCGAAAATCGGCATGATTCGCCAGGTCACCGTCCGCATCAAAATCGTGTCTCGCTGCCGATCCTCCGACATCCCACCGTCCGTCGTGCCACCCATTCAGCCCGGTAGTTGAACCCGGTAGAAAGCCACCAGCACATCCTCGCCATCCTCGTTTCTAACCTCATGACAAGCACGACTTACACGGGAAGGATCGCTGTGCCTCGTCCCAGGGATATTCAGCTCTTACTATTCAGCCCGTACATGAAATGGCGAAGTCTTACATCGTGCTCTCCGACTTCAAACTCAACGAGAACGCCTCCCTCACGAAGACCTCACGATACCAAGTCCATCTCTATAAATCACCCATAACAACCTCCTCCCAAACCCTCCCACCACCAAACTCAACCCACCACTCATCCAAAATGCATCCCCTAACCCTCCTCCCCCTCCTCCTCCTCCCCCTCACCACAGCCCTCACCCCACGCGACATCTCCATCCAGACCTTCGAACGCGCCTTCCTCTCCACCATCCCCTGGTCCCACCCGAACCACACCACAAAACTAATCGGCTTCAAACGCATCCTCCTCACCCCCTCGCAACACGCCCACCTGGCCTCCTCCATCGCCTCCTCCCCCGCCCAGTGGGCCGCCTTCACCTCCGCCTACCACGACCCGGACGAACGCACCATGCGCGTCTACTTCCCCGTCGAGAACGCCCTCATGTACCACCACGACGCCCTCATCGAGGCCAACACCCACGGCGAACACCCGCACGAGGAGATTGCAGGCGACCTCGCAGTCCTCGGCCGCTACCGCACCGACGCCGTCACGGGCGTCCCCGGGAACGTGCTCAGGGACGGCGTGATCTACCTCGCGGAGCCGGCGTACCCGGTCCGTCGGTACGGCGAGGCGGGGAACATCCTCGTGTACGACTTTGGCTGGCGCGAGGGGGCCCACGAGCACTCGCACGAGCACGACCGTACCATCGGGCCCCGCGCCGAGGGGAAGGGCGGCTCGTGCAAGCAGAACCACGGCGGGAGGGTGTGTTCGCAGGTGTACGGGATCAACCACGGGCGATGCCCGCGGGATTACTCGGGGTGCATCGATTACAACGGGTGGCCGGTGAAGTCGTGCAAGGACCACGGCAACAAGTTCGCGTTCCCGGGGAGCGACTGCTTCACGGCCGTTGCGAGGGGTCACTGCTGGAACGAGATTCCGGGGTGAGGAATTGTGTTGCAGAGTTGGGTACATTCTTGGGGGTGGTCACGCTGGATCCGTGTCCGGGTGAGGAATGCGGCGGTGAGTCACGGGTTACATGTTCACATATTCAAGAGACAATGTCACATTTCTTTGGGTCAGATCTGTGAAATCCATCAAATTCAATTCATCATATATCCTTCTGTCACATAGTCCCGACCCGATAGTAGGCCGAGGCAGACGCAGTGTGCCTCGCGCCGGTAATCGAGTTTTGTTCCATTCCAATAAACCGTGCCGTTCCAATACCCAAACCCTAGAAAAACCCTATCCTGAAAAGTCCGTGATCGCCGAAGAAATGAAAGCCAGTCCGGTAAAGAAAGCCGTGCCCCCCGAAAAGTTTTGTGGTGCCCCAGTGGTGGTAGTACATTGTCTAGCCCGCGAGCCGTCGCGATAGATTGTCGTCATTACGTGATTCGGACGTGGATGCCCAAGTTGACCCATATTCAAGCACATAAGCGTATAAGCGTCGTAACGTACATGCGTCGCCGTATGAGAAAGAAGCCGTGAAGTCGTTGAGTGTAACCTTTCCCAAAAGCAACCAAGACGCCAGAAGCCAGATGCTGTTTTGTCGGGTGGCGATTGCCAACTCATGAGCTGCCGAAGAAGACGTCGTCGTTGTTAGTAAACATGTTGACGGCGTCGTCGAATTCTTCGTCAAACTTGCTCATCATGAGCATGTTGGAGTCGCGGTCGAATTGGACGAGACCCTCCTCGGTCGTGAATGCCTTCATGAGCAGTTCCTCGTCGGGGTCGCCCAGGCCGAGGCTGGAGATGCTGGTGTTGCCGACAGTGCCGGTGTTGCCTCTCATTCCAGCAAGCAACGAGTCGTCACTGAAACCGGAGGCGTTTGGCTCGGCGTCGAAGAACTGGTTTGGCGGGGGCGATGATGATTGGGAAAGTTCCGGCGGCGTGTTGTACTCGCTCTTGGCTGGGGACTCTGGTTGCTGGGGCAACGAAGTTGGCCCCTCCATCAGAGCCTCCGGGGATACGTAGCCCGAGTGATGGCTCGCGGCGGGCGACGGCTCGATGTCCAATTCCCTGTGAATGCGCGGCGGTGATGACGGCATAGGAGCAGAGGACACCGTCGTGATCTGGAGTGGCATGTCGATCCCAGGACGCTCGATGCTGATGCCGCCCATCTCGAACTGCTCGTCCATCATATTGAAGTCGTTCTCTGGGGAGTTGACCGCAGAGCTGTCCGAGTATCCGGACTGCGACGAGCTCGAGGCCGAGGACTTGTTCTTGGTCCTGGTGCGGGCGGACTTGTTGGTGCGCTCGTCCATTTCGGGGCGGTGCTTGCGGGGACGACCACGCTTGACAACCTTCTTCACGATGCCGTCGAACGCCCCGATGCACATGCCGCGTTGGCGATGACGGGTGAGGGCATCGTGGCGGGCGAAGCTGTTGCCGCACTCGCAGGGGTAGGGCTTGATACCGGTGTGAATCTTGGCGTGGCGCTTCAGGTCGTGCTGGCGAACGAAGCACTTCTTGCAGGTAGGGCACTGGTACTGTCGGTCGTTGAGATGGGTCTGGACGTGGGACTTGATGTTTTCCTTGCGACCGAATTTCTTGCCGCAGTCCTCGTACGCGCAGGTCCACTTGCCGTCGCTGGGGTCGGGTCCTTGAATGTAGTTGGAGATCTCTTCAATGGTGACGCCAGTGTCGGTCTTGGTTTCCTCGATATTGATGCTCGCGATGCTTGCTGCGCTGGCGATGCTGGCAAGAGATTCAGTACGGCGGTGTGGTGACGAGCGGCGGGACATGTCGAATGAATGAGATGGGGAAACAGATGAAATATCCATGTTCGGATGACGCAGATCGGGCCGGTTGTCGAATGCAGCGTGGAAGTTCATGAGAGGCGTGTGAGGAGTCGATTGCGCAGACAGGTCAGAGGTGTTGAAGTCATCGGTGATGCCATCGATGCCATCGTAGGTGCCCTGGATCTTCATGAACTCGGAGTTGAAGTTGTTCATGTTCATGAAGTCCGCCGTGGGCAAGGACTGACCGTACATGCCGCCGTCGGACACCTGAGGGGGTTGTTGAGGCTCTGGCATGCTGTTCTGCTCGGACTGTCTTCGCATCTCCTCGAAGATGTTCTGCGTCCTCTGGTTCGACCTCCTCGTGGGCTTCAGTGTCTCTTCCATGGACTCGTCGTAGCCCTCGGCGAAGCGGCTCGGTCTTGCTGACATCGGCTCATGCTTGATGGCCCGATCATGGGGCGTCTCCATAGGAGTAGGGGGAAAGTAATCTGGCATGTGTGAGCGACGTCGCGGCTTCGATGATGTGGTAAACGTACTTGTTGCATTCTGCGTGGGTGGTGTCATAGGTCTTGACATCTGTTCAATGCCCATTGTCTCGAACTTGCTGACCCTGTCCATGATACCGTTGCTGATTCTCCGCGATGAGCGCCTCGAGCTTGAGGACTCGCCCTCAGAGATCCAGCCCTGGGGGGTGTTGGGAGCGTCGCTAAAGTTCATGAACGAGGGCGTCGAGAGAGCACTGTCAGGGCCGAAAAGTTCAAAATCCTTGTTGCCTCCCATGTTACTGCCGTAGGCCGGCTGGCTCTTGGCCATCATGCCGTTGATCTGGTTGCCATACTGATCGAACTGAATGGCGGTCGAATCGAAGCACGAGGCGTCGAACCGCTGGCCGGACGGGGTGCCATGGGGGGACATGATGTAGTTTTCATGGTCGTTAGCTGCGACGAACATGTGTTGTTGGTGTTGAAGTTGTTGTTGCTGCTGCTGGTGTTGTTGCTGATGTTGTTGGCGAAGGTGTGCTTGGTGGCGGGGGCCCGGGCGTGCTTGTATGCGTTGCTGCTGCGCTTCTCGCAGTACATGCTGCGGTTGTTGTGCTAGTCCTGTGTTGTTAGTAATACTTACCGTCGCAAAGTCCTGCCTTGTGACTCCGTTAGGAGACATGACTTGTCTTCTGGTATCCAGGCTGAGGCCTCGGCGGTGGCCGAGAGCACGCTGGCGCTGGACATTAGTAGGCAAGGGCTGGATCTTCACTGCTTCGAATGCCGTCGGTGTCGAATTTTGGCGTCGGTGCCTGTGACGGGCATGAAGACTGCTGGTGGGTGGCGGATTATTGGACAGCATTGTGTCGCAAGTCGAGTCCGGAGGGAAATTGTCGTCGGTCGGATGGTTGTCGATGGAACCTTTGGGTCCGAAACTGTAAGTCGGGTATTAGTATTGCGCATTTTGGCAGCGAGAGAGATGATTGTGATGGGAAAAAACTTACCTCACGCAGCGCAAGCACAGCTGGCCGGGCTAGGGGGAGGGGATGGTTGTGCTCAGTCGAGGTCGACTTCGCGGTTAAACAGATAAATCTGGTAAGTACGCCTTATTCAGGCGAGATTTGATAGATGAGAGCGAAACGAGCACGCGCTCTCTACCTAGGCAAAGGTGAACTTGTCAATGGCAAACACACTCAAGAGTGCGATGGATACACAAGAAGTATTGGCTTCTTGAGTAGGTAGGGTAGTGATGGGTTTGTGGTGATGAAGGACGAAAGGTTGTCTTCGTGCAGTAGTGGATTTGGTGGGAGGGGAGGGGAGGAGATTCAAGATTCCACTCTGGAGAGGATGAGGATGATCTGGGTGGGTAGGAGTAGTAGTAGTCGCAAAGATAGCAACAGGATGGAGGCCAGGCGCTAAAAAGTCGGCAGGTGTTGTATCTGAGGAAACCAGACCAGGCTCTGGTTCCAAGGCGTGCTGGTGCTGGGCTTTGTTGACATGGGAGTGTTGGTCGTTTCCACGGCAACGAGCGGCGACCTTGCAGCCAGCTCGGCGCACCAGCTGGACCTTGCCGCACCTGCCGCCTGCTGTAGCTCCCGCAAGTACGGGATAAGGCGATTTTACAATGGATTAAATGGGGTACGTATCTCGTCATCGTCCAGGCACCGTGGCACCGTGGGCGTGGCTCTTCAAACATCAAACACCATCCATGGATCTCAGAGTTGGCTAAACCTGATGTGTTCGTCCTGTCCAAGACATGGCCTCCTGGCCGCCTCATCAACGGCCAAGTTTCTGTTTCTGCAACTTGGTTCATGCCGCTATCTTCATCTCTAGGTTTTCTCACCTTGATCTTACCAGACGAAAAGTTGGGTAAACATAGGAATACACAGCCGACTTACAAAACACACCGACATGTCGTATTGCCATCAGCAGAGTGGACACTCCAAACACCATCCCCGTCCGTCAGCTTGAATCCTCAGGTTTCTCCGCAAATTCAATCAGAGGACGTGCTCCCTCTTGTCCTCCGTCACCTCGATTCGATCCAGTATCCCTCCGATCGCACAACCCCGGCAACCGGACTTGTGGAGGACCTAGGCGGACGACGAAGACGACAGCCGATGTCTACCGCCACAGCCCACAGCCCACAGTCCACAGTCCACAGTCCACGGTCTCACCAACCGCTGCCGCCGCCATCGTGCGTTTGTTCCAGCCACAATCACCACGGCCGGTTTCACCTGCTGTCTCTCATCAGCCCGGTGTTGTGTCAATCACGGGGTTAAAAGCCGTCGTCCCTTGCAGTGCTTCCAGTCCTCCCTTTCCACTGTCACCGACCAACAACTCGCTTGTACCCGTATCCGAAGGTCGGGTATGTTGTGCGAGGACATCGGTACATTCTTTGCATCGCCTCGGCATGGTCATCGCAAACAACGGCTGCCGTTTGCGATTTTGAAAGGGCGGACTCGGTATTCGATTGTCTGGAAATATATTTTTTGGGGCATTTCCGGGCGGTCTAGGTACTGATCCACTGGCTGTGAGTTGCACCGTGCGCATCCACAGTTGGGAATAGCTTCATCTTTCGCTTGCTATCAAATCTGCGAACCACCTTCGCAAGTGCTCTTGCTGTATCACGACCTTTCAATGCCGCTATACCTATCGGATTGATAGACGCTATTGCATCTTGGGCTTTGATTATTTCAAGCCGCTGGCCGTTTAGATTTCTTACCTAGATGCACACGCTTGATGATTTCGACGCCCTGCCATATTGCCAGATGACAATACGCGTGCATACATGCTTGATTGAAACTGCAAAGCTGCATTCTTAGTGCCATCGTGAGGCTCACGTCGTTGTCCCCAAGGGCATAAGGCCGGCTTCCGAATCATGCACCGCACATGCTACCCCACTTCTCCGGAAGGTCTGCGGATGAGCCCGGCGTGGTTTTCATGCAGGCCTTACCAGCTGGGATGAGCTTATTTGTGACAGTCTTGGTTCCTGATCTATGTGACACAACAAGCTGGCACTTTACCTATGGAAGAGCTATTCTTGGTGGCGACGGCCTCTGCCTACAAGGTGTCTAACTTCCCATTTATGGTGCATCTATATCTCCAGTCCAGTTATTATACACCATCAGCCAAGGACATGATTAGATTTGGTCTGGCCAGCAATCGAATTTATCTGGGCAGAAACGAGTATACCAAGACATGATGATGGTTCATCTTCCTACGCCGCTCATCGTCCACTACGAAGAATGATCCGCTAGGCACGAGCTAGTCGAGTGATCTGATATTCCTTTACCCATTGATGCGAGTTCGGGACGGTCGTTTCTTCAGCAGATGCATAGCTGCGGGCTGGGTTCGTCCTTTCTACACGTCGTCTGTGACACAAGACTGTCGTCTTGATCGAAGGGAAATGGAAACATCACCAGCTAGGTATAGGACCATGACACATATGGACCCAAGCAAGATCTCACGCGCCTGTGTTACAAGAATTTGGTCCGTAACCCTTGGGGAAAGACGGGATGGACTCCAATTGGCCAATTGGAGCCCGACTTTTGGAAGTCTCAGCGTCCCTGTACGTGCAACATCGAATTCAGATTATTGAAGAAAGTTACGACTTTTGAATGCAGACTCAACCTAGGTTCCTAGCTTGTTGGACTATTGGATGCCGTGCGTTGTGAATAGAGCTTGTACAGGCAGGAAGGACGATGAGGCTAGGAGATCAGCAGTGAATGCTTAGGCCATTTCGGTATTTATTCAACAAAACAGTATGGGGTTGATGAATCGAGTCTCGATGAGATCGATACCAGCCTGCTTGAGAAAATCAAGTAAACCTCCATCGAGTGATGCCCACAGTCGACAACGGAGGCCCGCTCGGCCGGGTCAAGTATCGTGGGGTCAGCAGAAACGCCTCAAAAAGTTCGTTGCCTGGTGTCTTTTAATTGACTTTGAAGAAATCCGGGGGGTCGTTGGTGTTGGTTGGAGAATTGGAGAGAGGTGGTGTAATGGTCGGCCGATGATGATGCGTGTTTTAATATGACGGTGAGGACTGGACGGAAGGGCGGTGGTGAGTGGTGGCTCACCGAGGGAAACAGCTGCGGACATCAGATGACATGCATCTCGAGTGGACAGGGTTCGGTGGTCTTAAGAATGGCTGATATTCACCGCCGCTCGGTTGGTTCATGCAAGGGCAGCGGGGGAAACTCGATTCCCACAAAAGTTTTGCATGAACTCTGTGTTGTTCGGGGGAGGAATTGAGTTTTCTTTTGGGTTTGATGACGGATTGTTGATTTTGGAGTTCAGCATGACGATATTCGTTGGTATGAACATGTTTCGTGTATCTGTCTGAAGATAGGCAATATTGAGCGAATATCGGCCTTGAATCCGTCACTGGGCCATTCAATGGCAGAATTGACGGCTGGTTCCGGTCACAGGACGCGGTCTCGGGAGCTTCAGGGACCGACCAAGCGGGTCATTGCCAATAGACGAAGCCATTCTATTGGTCCAAAAGTCCAGATGGTCCGTGCCTTGTCTTTTAATTGGCCACTGGCCACCGACGGGTCACCTCGACAACCAGGGGTCACACTGAGTCGTCCACTGAAAGAGACACGTACAGCGGGACGAATCTACCTCGGAAAACAACGAGCGTCTGCACCTGCACCTGCACCTGGGAAAAAAAGCTGGAATTGACGACCCAGAAACCATTTCGTCCCCCGGTCCAAATTCATCAGCCCAGACAAGGTCCCAAGACCAAAAGACCACAGACCCAGGCCAAAAAGCACCGACACACCGACAACCTTGCTGCCAAAAATCCTCCTGTCAGAGACTCGAGTCCACAGTCCACCGAGAGCTTCTATTCTATCTTTCCTGCCCGGCCGTCCTCTCACCGCCGACGTCGACTTCGATCAGATTGGATACTGTCGTCGTCGTTCTTCTCTTTATTCCCCTCTACCCCTCCTCTCCTCCTTCTGCTTCACCGACCGGCAGCAGATAGCGAAATAGCACACCGCACGTCCACACCGCACACACACAAAAAGGGACCCCTCGCATCAACCCTCAATCAGCTCGCAATCTAGCAAGTTTATGCGATGTCAGGCAACACCCTTAGAGGCACGCCCAATCGCGGCCAGAGCCGTGGAGGCATCCCCTTCAACAACAACAGCCCCTCTGCCACCGGCGCTCCTCATGGCCCTCCCCATGCTGCTGCCGCTTCCTCCGGCATTCCTCGCCCAGTCCTCGAGACCCAGGCTACCCAGAGCGAAGTCGGTGGAGCGGGAATGAGTGCCAGCCGTCAGAAGCAGTCCAAGAGAGATGAGGTTAGTGATGGCCGCTGCTATTACCCCAGACTTGATTATCGTATTTTGCCTTTTTTCGCTCTTCCCTCTCACTGCGCCGTCGACTCTCCTGCCCGTGTCCATGCCTTTATCGCGCGTCACCAATGTACTCCCCGAGACACAAGAACCCCCATCGCAACATGGGAAATCTTACCTACCACGAGCTCGAAAGAGCCAGACTCCTCAACAACATGGATACTGACTACTACGTCAAGGCAATCCGCAAGAAGATGGAGAGCGATCTCTCCAAGAAGAAGCACCTCACGAGCCGAGCCCGCCACTCGCGCAAGGCCCCACCGGGCACCGTCCTCGCCCTGAAGCCGAGTCCTGCCCTCCAGATCAAGCCCGCCACCACCGTCGCCGAGGCCGCCCAGCTCATGGCCGCCAAGCGCGAGGACTGCGTCCTCGTCACCGACGACGACGACCGAATCGCCGGTATCTTCACCGCAAAGGATCTCGCCTTCCGCGTCGTCGGCGCCGGCCAGAAGCCGAACCACATTACCATCGCCGAGATCATGACAAAGAACCCCCTCTGCGCCCGCACCGACACGAGCGCGACCGACGCCCTCGACCTCATGGTCCGCAAGGGCTTCCGTCACCTGCCCGTCATGGACGAGAACCAGGACATCTCGGGTATTTTGGATATCACAAAGTGTTTCTACGACGCCATGGAGAAGCTCGAGCGCGCCTACTCTTCTTCGAGAAGGCTGTATGACGCCCTCGAGGGTGTCCAGTCCGAGCTCGGTACCAGCCAGCCCCAGCAGATCATCCAGTACGTCGAGGCCCTTCGTAGCAAGATGTCTGGCCCCACGCTCGAGTCTGTCCTGGACGGACGCCCCCCGACCACCGTCAGTGTTCGTACCTCGGTCAAGGAGGCTGCTCAGCAGATGAAGGAAAACCGCACCACCGCCGTGCTTGTTCAGGACCAGGGAGCTATTACCGGTATCTTCACCAGCAAGGACGTCGTCCTCCGTGTCATCGCCCCCGGTCTGGACCCCGCGACCTGCAGCGTCGTTCGCGTCATGACGCCCCACCCCGACTTTGCGCCCATGGACATGAGCATCCAGGCTGCGCTCCGCAAGATGCACGGTAAGGACTATCTCTGAGATGCGAAAGAGCATGGGCTAACAGGATACAGACGGCCACTACCTCAACCTCCCCGTCATGACCTCTGACGGCGGCGAAATCGTTGGCATGGTCGACGTCCTCAAGCTCACCTACGCCACCCTCGAGCAAATCAACACCATGTCCACCTCGGACAGCGAAGGACCAGCATGGAACAAGTTCTGGCTTTCCCTCGACGACGGCACGGAATCCATGATGTCCGGCGAGGGCAGCCACACCCACCACACAAATCTCGGCTCCCGCATCATGTCCCCGGACATGACCCGCGAGCGCATCGGAGACAGCGTTGCGCCCGGTGATTCTGCCTCCCACGTCGGTATTGAGTCGCCTCCCCACTCCATCGTTACTGGCCACAGCCCGATCCAGCAGTCTCCCGCCGAGCTGCCCTTCCCGTTCAAGTTCAAGGCGCCCTCGGGACGCGTTCACCGTCTGCAAGTCATTGCCTCCCAGGGCATTGGCGCCATGGTCTCCAACGTCATCTCCAAGCTTGGAAACGAAGTAGACGCCATTGGTGGTGCTCCCGCTGTCGAGGAGGGAAGAATTTCTGGCGGATTTGCGCTCAGCTATCTCGATGACGAGGGCGACTCCGTCTCCATCACGACAGACAACGACCTTCTCGAGTCCATTCTTCTCGCCCGTCAGGGCCGCAGGGAAAAGGTCGACCTGTTCGTCCACGACCCCGAGAAGCCCCCTGTCGCCGCTTCTCTCCCCGTCGAGCCGCTGGCCCTTCCCACTCCCCCGATTTCCGCCACCCCCGACTTGCGCCAGAGAAGGAGATACGACGACGAGGATGATGATGCGGAGGATGAGGATGACGATATTTCGCACGTTAGGAGATCGCGTCGCTCGAGGTCGACCCCGCACGAGCCCGAACAGGTTATTCAGGGCGTCCCGAACGAGCTGCTGCTCCCCGGTGCGATTGTGACGTTGGCTGTTGTTATTGTCGGTGTCTTCACCATCTCGCGCCTGACCAGTAGGTAAGGGATGGGTAGAGATAGATGGGGCGGATCTCATTCATGACTTGATGAAAAGTCCTTGGCGAGCATTGTAGATATGTATCGAGTATGATTGTCTTTAGACTGAGTACCCCGACGTTAATTAATACACCGCCCACCTCATTGGATTGGACAATCATTTTCATCGCAAGGATGCACGTTGAATTCTGCCGCATGGATGCATGAACCGAAGTGGTGACGCCGCACGTAGCGGATCCCTGACCGCTTACCTAATTTGGTCTCAATCAATTGCGGATCCCTCCGCTCAGCTGCCGAAGCTCCAAAAATATTCACAGCGCGGGACTGCAGCATCACCTCGAGACCACCACCGCAGCCGCCCACCATGATCGTGAGGAGCATAGCTGCGCGGCACGGTACGCAATTCCACTTTCGTCCCCCCAATTGACCCCCGACTAATCCTCTTGCCCCCAGGCCCCAGGGCTCTCACGCCCGTCGTCAGATCATGCCACCGCACCATCCGCACCGAGTCCCTCACGGGCGAACTCTCCCAAGAGTCCATCGAAGCCTTCACCGCCCGCGCCGCCAACAAAGCCGGCCGCGACCTGACCGATGAGCAGCGCGCCCAAGTCAAGGCCCTCGAGACCCTCCCCCAAGCCCATAGGAGGTTCAAGAAGCTGCAGAGGCAGACGCACCACATCGGATCGGCCGTCAACAGCGGCTACATCCCCTCGCAGCTCATCAAGGACCCGCCCTCCCCCAAGGACATCACCCTCGAGCTCCTCATGGCCTCGCAGACGCACATGGGCCACCACACCTCGCTCTGGAACCCGGCCAACGCGCGGTACATCTACGGCGCGCGCCAGGGCATCCACCTCATCTCGCTCGAGGTCACGGCCGCGCACCTGCGCCGCGCCGCGCGGGTCGTCGAGGAGGTCGCGTACCGCGGCGGCCTCATCCTCTTCGTCGGCACCCGCAAGGGCCAGATGGACATCGTCACCAAGGCGGCCAAGCTCGCGGGCGGGTGTCACCTGTTCAGCAAGTGGACGCCGGGGAACATCACGAACCGCGACATCATCAACCGCGGCAAGGAGATCAAGGTCGTGGACGAGCAGGACGCGGTGCTCAAGGGTTTCGAGCGGTTCCAGCGCACCGCGAGGCCGTTGCTGCCGGACCTCGTGGTGTGTCTGAACCCGTTGGAGAACTATACCATGCTGTACGAGTGCGGACTGGCGAATATCCCGACGATTGGTGTCATCGATACGAACGCCAGCCCGGACTGGGTTACGTATACCATCCCCGCCAACGACGACAGGTACGGAAAACAGGCCCTCTTCATTTCTTTTCGTGCGAGTTTGCTAACACATCCACAGCTACCGCTCCATCGCCGTGATCAGCGGCGTGCTCGGCCGCGCGGGCGAGCAGGGCCAGAAGCGCCGTCTGGCGGACGCCGAGAACGGCGTGGTCGCGTGGCACAGCCCGACGGACACGCACCGGTTCATTTCGAACGCGAAGGAGAAGTGGAGAATGGAGAGGAAGCGCTGGGCCCACGACCACGCGGGCACGGAGCGCGAGGGCGGCGGCGGCGGCGAGGCGGCGCTGCTGGAGATGGTGCAGGCGCAGCGCGAGCAGGCCATGTTCGGGGACGCGGCGCTCGAGGAGGAGGTGCAGCAGGAGATCGAGGCGGCCAAGATGGCGGAGGGGGCGGCGAACTGGGAGTTGAGGAAGCAGTTGCTGGAGCAGTGATGGGTGTGCGGTTTGTACGTGGGATGTATGAACGTGTATAGTACTAGAATCTGCCCTATGAAGGCTTTTGCTCTGATGTGATCGGACTGGTGGTGACGTGGATGCCGGTTTATGAAGCGCCTTGGCCTCTGGAGGTGGACGAGTAACTTGCTTTGCTGTGTAAGTCCGCTTTATAAAATCTGGTACTCGAAGCCCCCTTCCTGCTTCTCGCCACAAACAATGCACATCAGGATTGCGCACGCATCCTCAAGCCAAGCTATAAATTTGTCGTCCTCGGCTGCGTTCGCGCATGCACCAGGCACCTTATTGAGGGATGAGCCATCGGAACGCAAGTAGGATCTGTCTCATGCCATTCATCACCGTCGTCGTCGGGAAGGTATTCAACGCTCGGCAATCCTCCATGACGCAAAGCCCGCAACATCGTGGCGCGTATGTAAACCATCATGCACCATCAAAGACCTTGCCTCGTAATATTTTCAAGGCACCGGAGAAGCTGTTCGCCTCACTGGTAATAAGTCGAGTGCAGGTTTGATTTCGTCTTTCTTGAGGTGTTCTACCTAGGAATCCCCGGAATTTATATCGTAACCAGCCTCTGGTGATATGAGATCGAGCATCATTGACCGTAATTCGGCCCCGACGATGTGATTCGTCATGCATCGTGTGATGTACATCAGAACGGCAGTCTTCCCATGATTGTGATTAGCTGCCGGCAAGATCAGCTCACTGAATATAAATGCAGTCGAGGACTTGACGATTCAGGGCTGCTAGTTACAAGCGCATAGTATATGGATGCTGCTGCTGCTGTACGGGAACGACGGTCTGGTCCGCAGCGTCGGCAAGCCAGGCTAAGGGGTACCAGTATTTGGTTAAATCGGCCAATATTAGGATGATTACTTTCGACGTCCATCGTCATGGTCTCTCCTGCGTTATGGGGCAAGTGAATACTCGGAAGTTGCTTCGTCGAATCAGAAGATAGACCGCCTATGACGGACCTTGTTATGATTCAAGATACCCGAGATGTGCACAAAGATTGCGTACAACCACAATCACTCTTCAGACATTGCTGGCTTGGACAAGCCACTACTTCATTTGAATTCTTACATTAGCAGCAACTGAGAACCAAAGAACCCTTGAGCTGTGTCGGAGAAATCATGTCAGGTATAATACGGCATCCTACAAGGAAGTCTTAAGGATTCGGCAACGACCATGCTATCTCCTCTCTCATCTGACTGTTGGCGACCTCGGATGTATTATATGGGCCGGGCTTGGAGGCGAGAAACATGTCTCGTAGACTCGTGGTCCTTGTTCGCGAGGCTCGCGCGGCACTGCATTGATGGTATACCTCGTCGCGAATACTTCGCCGATGGCAGAGACGCAGGATGATAACGGCGCGAGGTTGCAGAGAGTTACAATTTACTAAGTTTTGTCCTCGTTGTCGTTAAGTCGTCACGTTCCAGTTGCCTGACCGCAAGGCTTCTGGATTATCAACAAGTCACGCAACAACAAAATGATTTGCTTGTCCCGAGATTGCATGCCCCGTCTTACACTTATATAGTCTCATCTCCAGGCGAATCTGATATTGAGCAATGGTGCGTTGCAGGAGTGGATGGCCCGGACGATAGGATTCCATGACGTTCATGACTAAAGGTGCGTCCTGTTATATTAGAAATCCGCAGGTACATTACGTTTCCCTCAGATCTTCCGGTAAGCAACCGAAACAGGTCGGTTGTGATGCTTCCGTTTTCGATGATCCAAAGGAGCTTCTTGGCCATGGTCATGATGTTGAACGCCTCAGAGAACATGCCAACACGGATGAGTGATGTTGGGGGCTGTAAGAGTTGTTTCTTCGACGTTCTCCATCGATGTTCCGCGCTTGTTCAGTGAGTATCTAAGGTAGATAATTTGAGATGCGTCGTTTGTAGGCTCAGGGTCGCCGGTGAGGGTAAGCACAACCCAAAGCTCCTGCAACGTACGGGCTACGTACGGGCTATCCAAATTGTCTGAATTGGAAAGCACGACATATCCCACAGACATTTAATATCTCATTATATACACGTCCCAAAACTAATGCGTAACTAGGATTACCGAGAAAAGCAGCCTTACTCAATACTGACATCGATGTATGATTTCCAGCTTTGTACATGAGTGAGCTGAATAGCAACAGGGACATATAAATGCATGCGTGTGGCCCGAAGCCACGTTTTAAAGCGGCCCGGCGATAAATCCTAGCTCTCATTGGGTTACTCACCAAGGTCCTGCACCAGTGATTTTGGTTGCACCGCACGGGTATGCGGTACGGAGCTTAGACATGGTTAGATTCATCAGCATCTTTCAACGCTCTTGTCTCTCAAGTATTCTAACAGTTCCCACAGTGAACGCCAAAGATTGACGTATGGGCGCTTATCGAGGCCACTCACTCATAGTCCCAGGACTTGAAGTCTCGAGAACGACATATACGTTGCGCATCAACAGATGAAAACATGGATGATGACAATTGTTGCTAGCTACTTGGATACGAGTCCAAGTCAAGCAATTTACATGGTAGTCGGTCTCGTCAGATTCTCGGAATAGCTTCACTTTTGTGCGATGGAGCCACGTGTGGCTGGGTTCCAGAGCTCGGACGGTGGCTAAAGCCCATTACATAATCAGAGACCCGCCCCATGTTGAAAACTTCGCCCCTGCGCATTTCCCCTCCCCAAGGTCGAAAACCATCACCAAACGAACATTTCAGCACGCACAAGCCCAGGGCGAGCCAGCCAGCTCCGTTTATCCCACACCCCGCCAAGGTCAGGCATTCGTGCATGGTATTAGTAGCTGTGGTGTCATCGGCTGAAACTGGGACAGCGCGTCAATATTTTCCAAAAGTCGTGCACGCAGCACCACCAACGGCCGGCCACCTCAAAAGCCACCACTCGTGTCGCAAATCGGCGTTTGAGCCGAGGTCGTCGGACATTTCTCTATTCTGTAGCCAGTCAGGACTCGGCTGTCGAACTCCAAATTCGGTAGGCTTTACTTTACAGCCTTTTCTTACCTTTCACTTCCTTTGTCAATGTTGGAGAGGTCCGAGAGAAGGAGAAAAGAAAAGACGAGGAATCGCGCGCATTACGGGCCACAATCTGCCTCACTGCTGCCTGCCTGCTTGCTACACATGTGATATGTTGACTAACACTTGTCGCCCGTGAGGTTTCAGTAACAAAGTCGGTAGATCCGGTTGTCGCGATCGGCGACGGCCACCTTATTACACGGTTTACCCCTCCTCATCCCACTACCTTACCAGCACAGGCCCCAGCGGAGCCGATTCGCCGCCGAACGCACACCGAAAATGCCGGCCATGCTGGATGACCCGGCGAGCCCCACAATCTACCGCGTCTCCGGCGCCCCGCCCTACCCGGACCCGAACAAGCCCGAACTACCGGCCGACATCGTCCCCCGTCAAGTGACCCTCCGGGACCGCCAGACCGTCGCCACAATCATCCCCTTCGCCTCCCAGCATGAGGTGCCACAGTCCCTCGTCCGCTACCTCAGCGACCAGCTCAACAAGGAAATCGAGGGCGGCGACACCTACCCGATGACCGAGGTCATGGCCCCCGAGAAGTTCGGCGCCTACTGGTTCCAGAACTTCGGCGCCGTCATGCTCCTCGGCAACGTCGACCCCTCCGACCTCGCCGAGGACATGGACTGGTCCCGCGAGTGCCTCGGCAGCTTCTACATCAAGCCCAACTACCCGGGCCGCAGCTCCCACGTCTGCAACGCCGGCTTCCTCGTCACCGACGCCTCCCGCAACCGCGGCGTCGGCCGCCTCATGGGCGAGTGCTACATCGACTGGGCCCCGAAGCTGGGCTACACCTACTCCGTCTTCAACCTCGTCTACGAGACCAACGTCGCCTCGTGCAAGATCTGGGACGCCCTCGGCTTCAAGCGCATCGGCCGCGTCAAGGGCTGCGGCAACCTCAAGTCCCACCCGGGCGTGCTCATCGACGCCATCATCTACGGGCGCGACCTCGTCCCCGGCGAATCCGAGGAACTCGTGAGTGAAGAGCGTTTCGACAAGATCAAGTTCTACCTCAAGTACGGCAAGTACCCGGCCGGGGCTGACCGCGCCGAGAAAAGCAGGCTCCGGAGCGCCGCCACCCACTACAAGCTGCTTGACGGCGACCGCCTGATGCTCAAGGACAAGGAGGTCGTCCCGGACCCGCGGAGACAGTACGAGATCGCGCGCGAGGTCCACGTCGCCAGCCACGGCGGCATCAACAAGACGACGGCCACCATTGCCGAGAAGTATCACTGGAGCCGGATCAAGGAGACGGTGAGCGACGTTATCCGGAACTGTGCTGAGTGTAAGGAGTTGGGGAAGATGCCTGCGCCGGGGGGTAACGGTGGTGCGAGGGGCAGGGCGGCGGCCGCCGCAGCAGCTGCCGCGAGTAAAGCCGCGCCTATTTCTAACAATTCTCTTTCGGATCATCATTCTTTGTCTGCTTCTACTACCACGCCGCCCCTATCGACCGCGAACGCCAGCGCCGCAGCTCGCGCTCTGGGGCTCCAGAATCACCATCTTCCGCCTCTCTCTCCACCTCGGTCATCACCCTATGCAGAAGTCGCGTCAATACCACCGTCACATACCCTCCGCGACCCATCAGCCTCTCCCCTCCCACGCCATCCACATCACAACCCCATGTTACAAGACGAATCATACCAGCCCATCGACCCGCAAATCATCGGCCCGCCGGCGACAACTCACGACCCGTACAGCCATTATCACCCGCACCATACAGACTTCCAAGCTTTGCTGAACGCGACAGAGGCGGAGGAGACGCCGGAGGAGGCGGCTGCTGTGGATCGAGATTTGGATATGCTTATTGAACAAGGGGACGATGAGGAGGAAGAAGATGTGGATGAACCTATGGGGGATAAGGGACAGGATAAGGAAATGTATGGGATGGGGTACTCTGCGGGATGATGGGACTTGACCTTGGTGTTTGGCGTTTGCGGGTAGACTGGGGCGGCGATTTTGTGTTTTAATTTTAGACATTTTGCATATTCGGTGGGCATAGCACTGATAACAAGACCTGATCATATTCATGTCAGTCTGTGGACATCTGCAGTAGATCTTCAATGTTGTCTGTATCTGTATCCCTCCCCAGACTGGAACCCAAGCAGCCTACCGCGGCTATTGAGGAATGTGAGGTCGACGGGGAGTTCGGCACGTAATTCAGCCAGGATGACCACAGCGTTCAGCTGAAATTTCATCATAGATGATATGCATGTCGAGCAAACTCGTGCAGGGGTTAAGTACAAAGACCGACTTCACTGCATTTTACACACCTCTCAAGGGCATGTCATTTGGATTGCGCTCGCAGCATATGGCAAGTGCCAAAAATCACAGATTCGAATAAGATGTCGAAGGCACGATGTTTCATGACAGACGACAAATGACCCAGTCTATTCCGACTTCTGAAAGCCACCACCCTGTGGGCAAGTTCTAGGTATCATACAGACGCCATTCATCAAATCCTTTTATTTTTTTCCTTTTCCCTTCATTTTCCAGTCGTGACTGCCTTACCGGCGGGGCATGCCGCGTCCTCTGCCTCTCAGAGCACGCTGGGCAGCACCAGGGGGCAGCGCCTGGCCGGGAGCCTGCGGTGCCGCGCTCTCCTCGTTGCGGATGGTCTCGTCGACGCCGAGAATGAGGCAGCTGGCCTCTGTGGCGGCCTGGATGGCGTTGATCTTGACCAGCGCGGGCTCCCAGACGAAGCGCTCCATCATGTCGGCGGCACCCTCGTTGTTGAAGTCGACACCGGCCCATGTGTTGCCCTTGCGGTGCTCCACGCGCAGCTTGTTGAGGATGTCGGTGGCGTCGAAACCGGCATTGTCGCAGAGTTGGCGGGGAATGATCTCGAGAGCCTTGGCGAAGCTCTTGATGATGGCCTGCTGCTTGTGGGGAATGTTCTTGTCGGCGAAACGGTGGAGGTAGGCGGAAACCTCCATCTCGACGGCACCACCACCACCGACGATGGTCTGGTTCTTGATGGCGCGCTTGACAATCATGATGGCGTCGTGCAGCGAACGCTCGACCTCAGCGATGAACTGTTCGGCACCACCGCGGAGCATCAATGTGCAGGTTTTGGCCTCGGGGCAGCCCTCGAAGAAGTTGAAGCGCTCACCACCAATCTGGCGCTCGTCGAAGCTGCCGCAGGTGCCGAGGTGCTCGGCAAGAATGTCGGAGCACGTCGACTGAATAGTTGCGCCGGTAGCCTGGACTACGCGCTCCATATCCTCAGAAGTGACGCGGCCAGCGCAGAAGACGTCGCGGTCTGCGAAGTACTGAGTGGCCAAGTCACCGATAGGAAGTTTGCTGAGAACGACCTTGGCGCCGGTCTTGTAGATAGCCTCCAACTTCTTGTAAATGATCTGCCATTCCGCATCGACAACGGCCTGGTAGTCGGATACCTGCTCGACGCGGACCTCGGCGTTGTCCTTCTCGGCCTTGAGCTCAAGCTCGACGTTCAAGCACACGATCTTGGGCTTCTGGAAAGACTTGGGTTGTTGCTCGAAACCGGCGTATGAGAAGGTCTTCTTGAAGGCGACACCGTTGACGAAGAGGGAGTCGGTGAGGGAACCTCCGGGGATCTTCTTGACGCCGATCAACCTCTCGTTGAGGTCGTCTTGGTCGAGGGACAGGACGGCGTCGACAACCACTGCGTAGAGTTAGAAGCGAAAGGCGGGAAGAGGGGGTTGGCAACGTACTCTTTGTGAAGAACTCGGTGTTGCGCTTGATCAGCTTGCTGGTCATGGCGGTGGCCGCAAGCTTGCCGAGCGTTTCCCTTCTGTTGCCCTCATTTGTGTCGACCGCGATCTCCTTGACCTTGTTGACGGCCATCATAGACGCCCTTCTCAAACCCTTCACAATGACCTGGGAGCTAACGCCCTGCTCGACGTGCTCCTTGATCTCCTTAAGGATCTCTCCAGCCAAAACAACGACGGATGTTGTGCCGTCACCGACTTCGGCATCTTGTGATCTCGCGATATCGACGAGGATTCGGGCTGCGGGGTGAACGATGTCGAGAAGCTAGTCGCGCATTAGTGTTTCGTCTTGTATATCACCCGCATCGTTCCTGACCTTCATGACAGTAGCACCATCGTTGGTAATAGTCTGCCTGCCGTTGGCATCGACCATCAAGAGGTCACCGCCATAGGGACCAAGAGTAGACTTGATCGTGGCCTGAACAGCCAAGCATGCGTTGATGTTGGAGATAATCTGGCCCTTGCCCTGAGAGGTATCGGTTCCTGCGCAACGAACTCGTCAATCGTGGCTCCTCGCAGGCCAAGGGGAAGGAAGGCGGTGGGGTAAAACTCACCCTCTTTCAGGACGATAATGGTCGGGGTCTGGCCTCCGAACGACATTTTGAAGTATTATATGTGAGACGACGAGTACAGCGGCCTGTTTTCGTGACGTCGGATTTGGCGGGCTTCGTGTGTCGTCGTGGGGAGGCTGAAGTTCAACTGTTCGTGGCCCAAGAAGCTTCTGGAGCTCCAAAAAATTATTACAGCCTTTCGTGATGTTTCCCCGGGCACGGACCAATTTCGTTGTTGCCTTACCTGATCCCGATTATGTAATTGAGGAGGGGTACTCCCCAGTCCCACCTGCCAGCTCGACCCCACAAATGCTCTTTCAGATTCAACATCCATCGCATATTCTCGGTGATGTCAACGTCGTCGCTTGCTTCAATGTTTCTTGAAGACTACATCGTCCTGAAACACACAATCCATGTCTCTCAAATTCTCGAGACCGATGTCGAAACTGACAGCACAGATTTCGCGATGTCAACCACCGCAATGAAGCTCCATGAACTCGCATTGGTCCCTTGCAACCACCACCATGCTTTGGATCTACCAATCAGCACCCCTCGCGCTGCAGGCTGACCTGGCTGAGCTTACGTCTGCTGACGACCTCAATTCCCGCATTTTGAGACCACTATGATCAAAAAAATGAAGATCAAGCTCCGCGACTTACTCAATCTCGGAAATCCGCCATGTCGACTTTTCAGTACCGCAAAGAGCTCCGAGGCCAGGAAATCCGGCTTCTGTGCCTGCTCCCTGGTGACTGGCTTGATGATCTCAAAGCAGAGCTTTACGTGGCTGACCAGACTCATCAATATGCTGCGTTATCCTATGCTTGGGGGAGTAGTCGAAAATCCAACCAGATCATCGTCAACAGCGAGGTTCAGTACATCACGTTCAATCTCGACAGGGCCTTGCGTGCTATCCGTCGGCCAACTAGCCCTGTCACGATTTGGGTCGACTCTATATGCATTAACCAAAAAGACGCTGCCGAAAAGAGTAATCAGGTTGGGCTGATGCACGATATTTTCGGCTCGGCTACTCAAGTATTTGCTTACATTGGAGATGGCTTGGATCGCAGCCGCAAAGACTACCCCCGGCGCTTCAATATACTTCGAAAATCATCTTTCGTTCACTTTACCGGCAAACCCGACGATCTGCCTCTCATCGAGAACTCGCTCAGACTCTGGAGGGACTCCCCGCCGGGTTCGCTGTCGGAGCATGAGGAAATTCTTTGCCTTTGCAGTGTTATCTCCGCTCCGCTCCATGTGGAATCGCCGGAGACATTGCAGCAACTGTTACCAGGGCAGACGACTTCGGCCGACGAGCAACGATGTCGGCAAATATCTGAACGAATTCGATTATTCGCGGTCAGCGACTGGTGGAATCGAATGTGGATTATTCAGGAAGCCTGCGTTGCCAAAGAGCTCACCATCACCTACGGCCGTGTATCTATACCGTTCAAGGCAATTGTACAAGGAGCTCGTCGGTTTCTCGACCAATTTTCGTCAAACTCGTCGGAACTAGGTAAAGTAGTGTCCTATCTGGTGGGAAAGACGGACACGATCGACTTTCTACGCGTCCGAGGCTCGTATCGCGCGTCCGCCTTGGCAACCAACAGCGCGCTTCTCTGGCTGCTGAGGAACTTTCGAAACAGACGATCCTCCGAACCCCGTGACAAGGTCTTCGCACTTCTCCGGCTGGCGGACGGTTTGAGAAGCGAGAACGTTTTCAGTCACGTTGAGCTATACGTCGACACAGACTACAGAGTCAGCGTGAAGGAATTGTTCTCACGAGTAACTCACCAAATCATTCGACAAACCGGACTTCTGTGGGTTACAACGTTCGACTTGCTTGCCAAGAGAGGGACCGATATGCCCTCCGCCCGGTGGGATGTGCCTACCTGGGTCCCTGACTGGTCTTCGGATTATTTGGTACCTGGCTGGAACCAGCAGCGCATTACTCTACACGGGGAACTCTTTCAAGGCTTCAATTCCAGTCGTGCTAGATTCCGACATCTCAAATTCGGCGCCGAAGATCGCATCGTGCTACCACAGGAGCATTTTCAGCGCCTAGCCGACGGATATGTCGACCCCAAAGCTGGGTGGGAGACTGTCCATTATGTTCCAGCACAGATAGATTCTGTTGACCCAGACGGACACGACTTGTTTCTCTTGAGTGCGCCGGGAGTCTCTTGTGGTAAAGTCGACGGCGTCAGCGATGCCATCGCAAGCAGTCTCTCAAACCTGGGCGACGTCATTCGCCAACTCATACTTTGTTATTGGCCCATTAGTGTCCGAGGGCAGGTTCTTCATAGAGAGCCCCTGCTGGAAGTTGTGGCGCGCTGCCTCTGCTATGGGATACGGACCGAGGCTAGACCTGACGGATACAATCCTCCTCGTGGACTTAATCCGAGCGAAATGCGCGAAATTACTTGCTGGACGCTGAGGAGATGTTCGTCAAATATCTCCGATCCGTCCATCTCCAACTTCGCAAGCGACCTTATGCCCAAGGTCATTGCACTCAAGCCGGAACATGAGCTCACCATTCGAACAGAGTGTGAGGTGGAGAATAACGAGCCTTGGTATTGGTCAAATCTTCCCAAGGCAGACAATCCTTTGGACGACTTGGAACACGGACTTCGACTAATGAACTTCTCCCAAAGTGTTCCTGATTTCAACCCCGAAGACTCCGAGACCATCTGGGCCAAAGATCAACAATGGATGGAGGATACCGTCCGAGCCGTAGCCGGTGGCTTTCGGCTGTTTGTGACCTCCAAAGGACAGATCGGCCTAGGACCAGAGCGGATGCGCCAAGGGGATGAGGTGTGCATTCTCCAAGGCGGCCTGATGCCATACATATTGCGAAGACGGTCGGCAGAGGATCCGAGTGTCACAATGGTGGGAACCTGTTACGCGGAAGGAATCATGCACTGGGGTGACGAAGCCCGGGGCTACGGAGACGATCCGGGAGACATAGAAGGTCTCGAACATAAGGTAAGACGGAAGATGCGAGTTCGCAACATATCGGAAGAGGAATTCCTTATCTACTGAACTGAGCTCCTTATCTTGTCTTCATGCGTCGCCCTGAGGCTCTCGTTGCCCGGTTTGAAATGTTTATTCGTCGCCTTTTCGTATTTATGGGAGAGTCATTCACGCCGCCATTCAGCTTCAGAACGCCCGCCAGCCATTCGTCTCGTTTCCTATACCACGACCCAGAGCTTAACGCTCACGGACAAGCGAAAGCCGGCAATAAACCCCGCGAGGAATTCTCAACATATCACATCAGTGATAGGACGGAGCTACGTCGAGCTCCGGTGGAACAAGTTGCCCATATGTTGGAATGGCTTGGCTAAGACGGTGGGTTCCGCCCAGGTCCCCGACTCTCCGAGCGGAGTAGGAACCGCTACAGAAGCTTTGTCTGGCTAAACCTCACCGAGCTCACCAACATGTCCAACACCATTCTCGTGAGGCTTCACTCGATCCACCATGGAATTTATCAGACGATACGACCGTTTCCACCGTATCCCTGGGTCAGCGGCCTTGTTCCATTCCTCCCTGTGCTCAGCTAAGCTTTCAGCTTCACGTGGCGCCCGTTCCCTTGTTATCATAAACACGCAGCGGAAAATGCAGGGGCGACGGGCATTCCTATCATGTACGTGGACAGCGCAAGCCACTTTCGACTACTCTTGCCTCACAGGTCGACATTGCGTGGCCGCCGGAGTGCACTCCTGCCGCTATTATGGCGGCATCGCCAGATTCGTATTAAATCCGAAGGGGGAGATGGGGGGAAAGTCAAGCGAGACAGGCGCACATGCAACGCAGGGAGAGAGGGGAAGTGTGCCCCGTGGAATGCTTGCCGCTAAAGAGGAAATTTGCTTTCTACTCTGGGAGTGAAAATCGTCATTTCACGCATTCCAGATTTCTGGTAATGTTTGAGACCTTTGGGCTGCCCTGAGGGGGTTCAACACTGCCGATGTAGGAAAGTCTTGGCAAGAAATGGAAGGGGAGAAGAAAAGAGAGAGGCCGACCATCTTTTCTCTTCGCCCTTGCCGTTCTCGATTTACATCGCGATTTACGTACGCTCGTTCATCTCCATCATCCCAGCGAGAGTGAGGTCGTTGATCGTGCTTGCGGAATCACCCGCATCCACAGCCACTCTACTAGGAGAAACCTACACAACTTTAGACTTCGACACACGTCTCAATCTTAGCTCTTGGAGCCTTTCTTTTCTCTTACGTTGTCTCTTATAGACCGTCTGTTAGGATGGTTTGGTTGAAGAAGGCGGCCATTGCGGCCGTCTTGTCCTTCGCGGCCATCGCAGACGCACAATCCTCCACGCCCGATGGCAACTGTTATTCTCTCGAGTCCGTCCAGGGCCCAGTCTCCGTGGATCCCGACAGATGGCCCAGCGGTGGCATGACCATCGAGAAGTGCCGTGTGTTCTGCGGGCAAGACTACAAGTACTACGCCGTTTCCCAGGGAGTCACTTGCCGTTGTGGCAATACCCTCGGAGGCAGCAAGGTAGCCGACAGCCAGTGTGACTCGAGTTGTTATGGAGCTCCCGGTCAGACTTGTGGTGGAAATGGTGCTCAGATGGTCTTCGAGAGAGACGCGGATGAGGCGGACGCGAATGACTCCATGATGAGGATCATGGCGGATGGGGATCCAGAGGATCCAGAGGCTAGCACCACCACCACCACGGAATCCACTACTACTGAGGCTACTACCACCGAGAGCACTTCCACGGACGAGCCCACCACTACAGAGGAGTCTACTACCACCACTGAGAGTACTTCCACGGAGGAGTCCACCACCACCACGGACGAGCCCACAACCACCACTGAGAGTACCTCCACGGAGACTACCACCACGGAGGAGTCCACGACAACAAGTGAGTCTAGTTCCACCTCTTCTGATGAGCCTACCACCACGGAAACCACTACCACGGAGACCACCACGGAGGATTCCACGACAACAAGTGAGTCTATCTCTACTTCTGATGAGATTGAGACTACGACCACGGAAACCACTACCACGGAGACCACCACTGCAGAGACTACTACCACAGAAGAAGCGACAACAACGACCGAATCGACTACTTCCGAGGAGTCTACTACAACAGATTCCACAAGTACTACAGAAACTGCCATAAGTGAACCAAACACGACAACTGAGTCGACTTCCTCCGAGGAGCCTACTACAACGGATTCCACGAGTACCACGGAAACCACAACAAGTGAAGAGACCACGACCACTGAATCGACTTCTTCTGAAGAGTCTACCACAGCAGATGTCACTAGCACAACAGAAACCACGACAAGCGAACCTACCACAACAACGGAATCGACGTCTTCCGAGGAGCCCACTACGTCTGACATCACTACTACCACAGAAGCCACTACGTCAAGCGATTTTACATCTGCTGATGAGTCCACCACGACAGATCCCACTAGCACTACGGAAACTACCACCTCAATTGAAGCGACCACAACGAGCGATCTTATCACAACAACCAGCTTGACCACTACAAGCGAAGAATTGAGCACGACAACAGAGGCTTCAACTTCAACAGAATCTATTGATCCCGACGTAGAAGAGTCGACCACAACGACGGAGACCTCGACAACTAGTGCAGAAACTTCTACTTCTACAACAGAGGAACCTACAACGACGCCCGCTTCATCCACCACGTCGAGCTCAAGCTCAGAGAGCTCGACTTCAACCGCGGAACCCACGTCGACAACATCGCAAAGCCCGTCCTCGTCAACGGAAGACCCCATCACAAGTAGCGAATTGACTTCTTCGCAGAGTTCCACGGAGACTTCTGAGACTTCAACGACAACATCTATCACTCCTGAACAGCTTACCACGACTACGAGTTCTACCAGCTCCGAGGAGTCGAGTACGACGAGTGCCTCAAGCAGTACCTCAAGCTCTGAAGAGACGAGTTCGACAAGTACATCAATCAATTCCAGTATCGAAAGTTCAATCAGTAGCACAAGTTCCGAGGAGCCGATCACTACAAGTACATCAGCCAGTTCCAGTATTCCAACGTCTACGAGTACTACGAGCCCCGAGGAGTTCAGCACGTCAACCGGTCTTCAGACTTCGACTAGCGAGATAGAAACGTCTACGACTACTTCTGAGCCTCCGGTTCCATTATCTACCACCACCACCAGCTCATCTGAACCATCGGCCGAGCCGACAACAACGACTACGTCAACTACCTCGACTACTTCATCTGAACCACCTGTTGAACCGACGACAACAACAACTAGTAGTAGCAGCACCTCTGCCAGTACATCTGAGCCTCCAGTTCAATCATCGACTAGCACCACATCAGAGCCACCCGTTGAACCAAGTACGACAACTTCGGCAACGTCAACTCCGACGTCCGAGCCTCCTACTGTTACGACCTCCACTTCGACATCTGAGCCAACCGTCGAGCCGACCACGACCTCGATATCATCTTCGGCGTCATTGGAAACACCAACCCCCACCCCAAGCACTACCTCCTCACCAGAGCCCTCATCCAGCCCAAGTTCATCTGCGGAGGTAACTCCTACCCCTACCCCCTCATCGAGCCCGTCTCCTTCATCGACGGAGGTCTCGTCCAGTCCAAGCTCGTCTCAGGAGTCTACTTCAAGCCCAACTCCAAGCCCGACTTCCTCGCCGACGCCTTCGCCAAGCCCTTCACCCTCCTCGTCTCCGGAGTCATCGCCAACCCCAACTCCCACCCCGGAATCATCTCCAAGCCCCTCGCCGACGCCGACGCCTTCGCCTAGCACGAGTACGTCTCAGGAGCCGAGCTCATCTCCATCACCGTCACCGGAGTCTTCACCAACGCCGACTCCTACCCCGTCGCCATCCCCAAGCCCCTCACCGACGCCTTCGCCGGAATCTTCACCTAGTCCGTCTCCTTCTCCAAGCCCGTCCCCTTCACCTTCACCAGAGCCATCTCCAACTCCTTCCCCAAGCCCCTCATCTTCTCCAGAGCCTTCTCCCAGTCCATCCCCGGAACCATCGCCAAGTCCATCACCTTCACCAGAGCCGTCTCCAAGCCCTTCGCCGAGCCCTTCGCCGAGCCCCTCACCGAGTCCCTCACCCTCACCGGAGCCTTCTCCAAGCCCGTCGCCGAGTCCCTCACCCTCACCGGAGCCTTCTCCAAGCCCTTCGCCGACTCCATCACCTTCACCAGAGCCTACTCCAAGCCCTTCACCGAGTCCCTCGCCAAGTCCATCACCCTCGCCAAGTCCATCACCCTCACCAAGTCCATCACCCTCACCAGAGCCTTCTCCAAGCCCTTCACCGAGTCCCTCGCCAAGTCCATCCGCGGAGCCTTCTCCAAGCCCTTCACCAAGTCCCTCGCCAAACCCATCCCCGGAGCCGTCTCCAAGCCCGTCGCCGAGTCCCTCGCCCTCACCAGAGCCTTCGCCAAGTCCCTCGCCAAGCCCATCCCCGGAGCCTTCTCCCAGCCCATCACCGAGTCCATCACCCTCACCAGAGCCTTCTCCAAGCCCGTCGCCAAATCCCTCGCCGAGTCCCTCACCCCCACCGGAGCCTTCTCCGACCCCTCTGCCCGAGTCATTCCAAAGTCCTACACCAGCGCCATCATCATCGCTCAGCACACCTCCTACTTCGGGTGCTCCGCCGCCCTCATCATCACCTCTTAGCAGCACACCGGCGAGCCAGTCGATTCCATCGTCAACCAATGAACTCACAACGGCGAGCCCAAGTCAGAGCGCAGCCTTCTCCTTCGCAGTTCTTTCCACAGAACCCGTCGCTTTTGAGGCCGTCTTTTTAATCCAGCCCGGCGAAGCATTGATTGTCAATTTCGAGGTCATCGATCCGATCACTGGTGTAAGATCTACTGCGCCCTTCGTCGTCCAGTCCCAGGGCTGCAGAGGTGTACCTCCTGGTGAATCACCATTCACCGGAAACACGTTCCAAGAGGCTGGTTCGTATACCGCAGCCACTTGCGCAGTCAGCTGTGCTGTCAAGAGATTCACGCATACCGGTGCCAGCAGGGGTACATGTTTCTGTGGTACGGCGCTCAGAGCAGATCTTCCCCTCATCGCCCCGGAACAATGCGCAGCCGCTGGAAACAGACGACGTCGCCGCGATCTCGCGAGACGCCAGGGAACTGGAGCTGTGGACGCTATTCCTCTCTTCGTCGTCGTGCCTGCTTCTCAAGTCGCAATTACCCCTGCGACGGTTACCCTATCTTCATCCAGCCTCCCAACGCTTCCCCTAGCAAACACCGGATCACTTTCAACGTCATCTGCCACCACCTTCGGAACAAGCTCGGGACTCAGCGCCTCCATCTCTGATACCCCGTCGGGATCTAGTTTTGCGCCTAGCTCAGTCACGTCTGGAGTCGTCTCAGTCACGTCTGGAGTCGTCTCGGTCACGTCTGGAGTCGTCTCGGTCACGTCTGGAGTCGTCTCGGGAAGCAGTGCGCAGCCAAGTTCATCACCCTCTGGCGCTCCGAGCTCTACTTCGCTTTCTGTGTCTAGCTCAGTCTCGTCTGGCGGCCCCTCACAAACCAGCGTTGGGCCTAGCACTCCAGTCACCTTCGGTCCTTCGTCGAGCCCAGTGTCCAGTGCAGCCCCTTCCGACCTATTCGTTGGAGAATTCATCCTGGTCATCAATGGTGGTATAGCACCAAGTAATCCCCCGAGCAGCACAATTGCAACCACTTCCAGTCGTCCTGTGTCAACTTCGAGCGCATCCGTCGCCAGCAGCTCCCCAGGAAGCACTTCTTCAATGACCAGCTCTGCGAGCTCGAACGTTCTTAGCAGTTCAGCATCAGGGTCAGGCAGCGTCTCCTCCGGATCGTCCAGCGGTGGCCCCATAGTCTCCTCGGCTTCTAGCTTAACCTCCACCGGTACATTTTCCAGCGTGCCAGCGTCTCCTGTTATCACAACGCCGATTTCTGGTCCCCCCTTTGCTTCCTCCAGCACTTCTTCTACGGGAAGCAATCCGGCGTCATCTAGTGCCCAGCCTATCTTCTCCTCATCGTCAAGCTTGCCTCCTTCAAGCGCTCCGCCCTCAAGCTCTTCTCCAGCAAGTTCTTCTCCGTCAAGCTCGCCTCCATCAAGCTCGCCTCCATCAAGCTCGCCTCCATCAAGCTCGCCTCCATCAAGCTCGTCTCCATCAAGCTCGCCTCCATCAAGCTCCCCGCCGTCAAGCTCTCCCACTCCTAGCTCATCACCATCGAGCTCCGCGGCGGCAACTTCATCTTCGTCTATCCCCCAACCCACGACTTCTTCATCTAGTTCGGCGCCGATCAGCTCTTCCACATCCAGCAGCCCTCCACCAGTCACCACATCATCCTCAACCATAACATCGTCCGCGGCGCCCACTACTTCCAGTACTTCGACTTTCAGTCTTTTCCGGGGAGGACCTTGATTCCGCATAATCAATTCATAAGAAGAATGACGTTTGAGACCCATGTTGCTCCTAATTGACGGGGCATTTTCAAAGGAGGGTAGCCAATGGAGAGTTTGATTATGAGGTGATGCGTATGATCTGAGTTACTTGTATTATCGTAAGATGAGTTTGTGTGTTTTGGGGTTTTTTATTAGACCGGCGATTACCTCTAGATGCCGCACTATAAAGCCCCCTTAATGATTCTAGATATCTGATTGAAGCTTGTTAACTCTGATTCGTGCTGTACCAACTCTTACTCGACTGTTCTTAATCTCCCCTTCGCATCTGCCACAAAGAAACTCCATCGACCAGCTATGAATCCCCAGAAGCTAGTGAGAGAGCGGCTACCAGACGCAAATCCATTCTGGAGATTCCAAAGTCTGAGCAATAGTGGTCTGATGCCTGATTCTTTATGAATCTTCCCATTCATTAGTAGGATTCGGCGGTAGCCGGTTCGCCAGCCCAGCCGAGGTCAGCAGTTCTCGGTGACAATCCGTGAAGCCGAACACGGAGGCGTTGAGAAAAGAACTTCAGTATTCTGCCGTCTGGTAGCGTGACGGGACAAGTTCGATTTTAGGTGCAATCGGCCCCGCTTCCCCCCTGTCATCCTGGTCTACAGTCTGACAGAACGACAGGGGGAGAGCGGGGCAGATGGCTTCGACGAATCATGGTCGATACCAGGCATTCAATTCTTTTATCAGATCGAACCATTCCATCGTGGCAATTGGGCAAAGGCTGGGCTTTTCCGGGATCATGCCGGATTGGGGCGCAAACACAGTTAAATCACCGTCTTGGCGGACTCGTCTGGCCGGTATTCCAGCCCGAGATGCATGTAGGTTGTCGAGATTTTCACGGATACCCGTGATCTTCCTGGCAAGGTATTGATCCTTCTTCTGCAGATATTTAACTATGTTCTCTTCCCGTCTTCTTCTTTTCGACCGTGTTTCCACCCCCCTCCCGTACCGGAGCAACAAGAGCCAAGAAGCTGTCTGACCCAGACGACAGATACTGAACCATGTCGGCGCCAGTCGGAGCTGCAGGCGACCTCGCCAAGACCGCCGATCCAGAACGTCCCGGACATGTCGACGTCGACGGCAGCATCGGAAGGACAAAATCCAATGACCACCCCGACGACCTGAAGCCACCGCCGGCCGAAGATGGCAACACCGCGATCGGTGTCAGCAGAGTCGAGGCCTTCAATAAGGTGCTCTACCAGTCGGGCAAGTCCGGCAAGGTCATCCTCTGGCTGCTGGGTATCTCGATCGGCCTGACCATGTTCGCCTACGCCCTCGACCAGGGCATTACGTACTCCATCTTCACGACTATGGCCAGCTCGACCTTCGGCCAGCACAGCTCGCTCGCCGCCGTAAGCACCGCAAGCCAGATCATCCGCGCCATCAGCAAGCCCTTCATCGGCAAGCTGGCCGACATCACCTCCCGCCCGACCACCTACGTCGTCATCCTCGTCTTCTACGTTGTCGGCTTCGCCGTCGCAGCTAGTTCCAGCACTTTCGCCGCCTACACCGTCGGCATCTGCTTCACCTCGGTCGGCAAGTCCGGTCTTGACCTGCTGAGCGACATCATCGTCGGTGACTTGACCCCGCTGCAGTGGCGAGGCTTCTTCGGCGCTGTACTGTCCGTCCCCTTTGTCGTCACCGTTCCCGTCAACGGCTTCATCGCTGATGCCTTTGTCGACAACTGGCGCTGGGGCCTGGGCATGTTCGCCATCATCGTCCCGGTCCTCCTCGTCCCGGCCATCTTCACCCTGTACTCGATACAGCGCCGCGGCGAGAAGTTGGGCATGGTCACCATGGCAGCCTCGAAGCGCTTGAGGACGGGTGCTGGAGACACCGGGGAGCGTGTCAACTCCGAGGGTTTCACATACTGGGTGAAGTTGCTGCAAGAGGGGCTCATCGACATCGACATCTTCGGACTTATCATCCTCGGCACGGCGTTCTCCCTTATCCTGCTGCCCTTCACGCTTGCGGAAGATGCCGACGGCGGTTGGGCCAGCGGGAGAATCATCGCCATGCTTGTCGTGGGCTTCGTCCTTCTCATTGCCTTCGTCCTCTTCGAGATGTATGTCGCGCCGAAGCCGCTCATGACGAAACGCATCCTCCAGAACCGCACGTTCCTCGCCTCGGCCGCCATCTACACCTTCAACCAGATGGCCTCTTCCGTCCGTAACACCTACTTCTCCTCGTACGTCTACATCATCAAGGAGTGGTCGACGTACGAGTGGACCATCTTCCTCGGCATCACCACCATGGGACTTAGCATCATGGGACCCATCGTCGGTCTCATCCAGAGATCCACCCACCGCTACAAGTCCATGATGCTCTTCGGTGCGGCAGCCAGACTCGTCGCCTACGGTCTGCTGGTTCAGAGCAACGGCCTCATGATCCAGGACACGCCGCGGTTGGTTGTCGCCCAGCTCCTCTACTGCCTCGGCTCCTTCAACGTCGTCGGCGCGCGCGTTGGTAGTCAAGCATCCGTTCCGCACGAGGACATGGCCTCCATCATCGCCATCCTGACGCTTTGGTCGACCCTGGGTTCATCAGTCGGCAGCGCCGTCTCCTCGGCCATCTGGACCAACGAGATGCTCGATCGCATGCGCATGGAGATGCCGGGCGTCGACGAGAAGACTCTCGCGAAGCTCTACGGAAGCATCAAGAAGCTGCGCACCACGTACGCCTTCGACGATCCCGTCAGGCAGGGTGCTATCCGTGCGTACGCCTTCGTCAACGGTCACATCGCCATCACCGCCCTTCTTCTGGCTGCGGTGCCTCTGGTCGCCACGTTCTTCATGCCGGACTTCTACCTCGGCAAGCAGCAGAACGCTGTCACGAACATGGGTCTCGACGGCGAGGCGGTCGATTTGCCGCAGAGACAGTCTCGGAATGAGGACGGATCTGTCGCGGTCCAGGAGCAGTCGAAGCCCTTTTACCAGAGGTGGCTTGCTTCCTACCGCAAGGCCGCGTAGGCGGCATGATGGCTTTAGCAGCGTAGCATCCCGATAGAAGCGGGAGGTGGATGTTGACTAGTTGGTTTACTCCTACGCGAATGAGCATTAGTTACTTAATGGTAGAAAGATAATACTTTACATGATGTTCAATTCTGATTTCCAAGTGAGCACAATTCGCCCCTTCTTGTTATGCGAGCCTTCGTCAATAGGAAATGAGTACTCTTGAATCTTAATTAACGGCGGTTGATGGATGAGGCATAGCTTATGACAGCTTCTAGAAATTGGTCAGGCGGACAGACCTACTACTGGTCAAAGGAAAATCTCGGGTGAAATAATCACTTGATTGCTGCTTCCTATGTGTGGCACTTGGCCAGCGACATTTTAGTCCCGGTATGGATGATAGGGATAGCTTAGCTCGGGTTCAGTATTCAGTCAAAGGGTGGTAAAAAGAAGTTAGCACCGAGGACAAACCCGATCTGATTACGCAGGCGCCGTCCATAAATGCTCGAGTGTGGCCATATCTGCCGGCGCTGTCCCACCCGCGTTCTCCGAGGGATGTCGGAAGACTCTAAGGTCGGAAGCCCCCTAGGCTTGCACCTACTTCATGTCAAGCGCGTCAAGGATCAAGAATACAAGACTGGACTCATATCCGTGTAGTAAACCTCATAAACGACCCCCAAGCATGAACGAGGAGGTTAGTTCACCTCCCCAGCTCTAATCCATTCACTCTGCAGATGGCATCCCATGGCAGCTTTCCTGCTGCCGTGGTATCCGACTGAACTTTTGCATTTTGCGCTGACTGTTAAAGGCAGCTGGATGCTGGGATTCGGTTTCCGAGTTCTACACTTTCGCAATCCTGATTGGAGACATGCCTTATCAGCAGGATCCGAGGATCCGAAGTGACATTAGCGTGATGGAGGGGCGGCTGGCTGATGGGCTTTTCGGCATTTTCTCTCATGTCTGGACCGGCATATGGCCATTGCTCCGACGCAGATCCTCGTTTTGTGATTGTTACTGCGGCCTTTCGGGTTTCTACTGGCTATTCACGATGCTCGAAGTTCCTAGTTTGGCTTTAGTTTCGATAGTTGAAGCTTATTCTGGCTTGGCGGATTGAGTGAGATCAGGCTGGGAAGAAGGATCAGGCTGCAGCCTGCTCTCCGTTCACATTGAATGCTCTCGTCAGCGTGAGGTTTCATCAATTGGGGGATCGACGTATGCCGTGTAACGTAAAGAGACGGCAAAAGAACCTTGCAGGGCCTATTAATCCTCTAGGACATGAGGCACTTTACTCCAATGCTAATCGGTGGGATGAAAACGTGAGATGCTTCCAACTAAATCTGCCCTTTGCCCACGCACTACCAAGTGAGAAAGTTTTGACAGCAGTAATGAACAGTCCTTGGAAAGGCTGTTCCATGCGCATGTCTCCATCGACTCATTTCTTGCGTCTGGAAGGATTAGAAGGATCAATAGTTGAAGAGATCGTCATAAAGATACCGCTTTGCGGAGTTGACGGAACGAGGGTACTAGATAAAAACAGCAGATATTTGCGAGCGGTGACTGGATGTTGAAACGCTTCAAATGGCAACATTACATGAACACAACACAACCAATAGCAAGATAACAAGAAGAGAAAATAAAGCTGATAGCGATAAGATCATGATAGTAAACAACAGAACATGAAAGCAACCACAACACCAAGAAGCCAGTCGAAGGTACACATGATAATCCCAGTAGTACTTCGTTCTTGCCTCATTTATGCAATAGTCTTGTGATGAGCCTACATAAGCGAGCATTGAACTTGTACTAGTTCTGTGAGCTGAATAACAGCCTACTTCTGCCAGTTACGACGAGTAAATTATTCAATTTCTGAGGCTCAACAACGTACACAGAGAAGCTATTCTCGGTTACTATCAACCTTGGCTGTGTGACACCGAGCATAGACAATTCCCCTTCCGGATCTATTCAAGTGACGACTGGAGCATTTGATAAAATGGAGTGTCACAGATCTATCCGTCGTACGTGCGATATGTAGACCCTTAATTTTGAGAAGGCAATTCCTCGCCTCTCATGAGAAAACTTGAAGGCAAAAGAAGTGGTCGGCCAGTCCTACAGACCCATGAACAGACGACAGACCTTCATACCAACCATTACTGACGTATTATGGCTAGAAGAAACAGGCTTTTCGTACGCTCAACCAAACGGAACTCAAGGAAAAGGCTGGAATGTCTTGGTTTTGGTTTATCATCGAGCCGGCCCAAATCAACCTCATTCACCCAAGGCTCAAAAAAAGGGACTTTGGTATGGGGGTCTTAGTGACTTGCAAAATTTGAGGTTAGCGCAATGTCCATTTACGTAAACCACCTTCCTAACGCAGATGTTCGTACGATCGCGCTGTTCGGGTCCCGAGAGATCACTCAAACACTTTATTCTGTCACATTGGTGACAAGTATGACAACAGCGTGAGAGACGATGACAACAGAATCATCTGCATATGCTGTGCTTACTAAGAGCTTAATCTGACAATTAAGATCTCCAGTAAGCAATAATCTCCCGGGGACTTTCTCCATTAACAGAATTCAGCTGTTACTGAGAAAGTGCACATTGAGACTTTAGTCTTACATACAGGAAATAAGTGGAAGTTCGTGACTTGGTTCAACTCTGCGATAGCCTACCTACTGTCATGACACTCTGAGCCGAGAGCCGAGCCTGATCGCTTAGTTCACCTGCAGAGTTGCGGAGACGTCGCTTAGAACCAACGCAAATCAATTACGACAAGGCTATTCGTATATGTACTGATGTCCTCTAAGCGATATGATCTTTTGTAAACCCCTCATTACCAAGCCATGCAAGAGCGAGGTCGAGATGCTCGGAAGTCTATGCCGTCCATAACCTTCGGACCCGCTTACGGCCCGAACCAGAGAACCTGGATGGCGTTAAGTTACCTATGTTGGCAACCTGGGCGATTCAAGTCTCGAGATAGCATAGTTGAATTGAACATAGTCCGTGTAAGTGAAAGCTCATAGAACGGAGTGTTTGAAATGCTGAAGCGGGTTTGGGAACTCTTGAAAGACTGAGCATGCCATGGTCAAGACAGCCTGACAGGGAAAGTTCGTCAGCCAAGATGAGACGAGACTTTAGTCTTCATGTTCTGTATGTATTCGCGGGATCGGCATCATGGCAATGGAATCACAAGAATGTGCGAAAGGCAGTCGTGCGGCACAGTGAAGTTCGTTTGCCTCGTTGAGCATCGCCAATGTACGGACCTTCTGAGTCCAATGCGTCAACGTGACATTTCACAACTCTGAACAAGGAAGGTCGGCGATTTGTGGCTCGTTGACAACGTTTGAATCATGTCAGAGTTCGTACGTTGTTTAGGCTAATCGGACAGTCGGAGAATCGGAGCATCTTGGAAGATGGCCTTCACGAAGACCGGCCTTGCCGCTGTACGATTGAAGCGGAAGAGGCGAAGCCTGATGGAATCCTCCACGGCATGACGGTGACCAACCCCTCATCAAGCAGATAGAAGATGACTGCTTTGATCGACAGTCTTGAGCCGACTGACAAGTATAAAGAGGCTAGAAAGAACCCGAGAAGAGCTGTATATCTTCACCCTCATCATCCTCTCAAGCTACTTCCATCCTTCTCATCAAGCTTCACCTAAGGTCTCAACCGGTTCACACTTCAAAACTCCAACCAAACCCAAACTCAACCGTCAACATGAAGTTCAATATCCTCGCTGCCGTTACTGCCCTGATCGCTGCCGCTGAGGCGTGCAAGTGCGGCGGCAACATCGACGCCACCCGCGCCTGCTGCCGCAACGTCGGCGGTGTTCCCACCAGCAACGACTGCCCTGCCAACACCATCAGCGAGCGCCTCAGCGGTTTCGCCAGCTGCTGCCGTGGCTTTGGTGTTCGTTCCGACTGCCGCTGCCCTGTCGGTTGCGCCAAGCAGGAGTTGGAGGCTGCCAGGAAGAAGGAGGGCCTGACCCCTCTGAATGACTCCGAGATCCTCGCTGCCCTCAGCAACTACGACGGCTAGAGGACAAACAGACAATTCAAACATCATCTGAGGATGTCGCTGCTTACTGGGGTAGCAGAATTGGGAGGAAGGAAGGCAACACAGCGGGGCCGGTCGTGAAGGGGATGTTCAGTTCTTGTAGCTGGTATGTAGCGAGGACGTTCAAGGGAGGAAACGCGCTGCACTTGTACACGTATTCGTTACATCTGGTCAACAACACCAGCATTTTACCATTGAAATTTAAGCAAGGTCCGCTTTGGTCACTACACTACTGTTATTGATGCTTGTGCTCATTGGTCTGCCTGATTTTTCAACACTATCCCAAATAAAACATAACAAGCCTCTCCTTCTAATTGGTTCCAGAATCTACATTCAAGACTCAGATCCAGATGTATCCTCCGAGCCATCGTCTACCAAAGTCCTGTTGGTCGTCCTGATCCAATGCATGATTGGTCTCTATTGGACCGGGGTGTTTAATCCCTCCGCTTCGGCGCCCGGGCGGAGCGGGCCGGTTTAACGCAGGTAAGCCGCAATCCTTTCCCCTCTCTCCACGATTGACGGCATATACGAGGAACATGAATAACCAATCGGATTCCGAGACATTCTTGCCCGCCGATGCTGCAGTTCAATGTTAGTGGCGTAAATTCAGAAACCCTTGGTTATTCATTTTAGGTAATACCAAGCCGCTTACATGCTTGGCAAAGTCGCATCTCTCCCCCTTTTGAATGCTGCCTAGATCACGTGGTTCGAGTCTCATTTCCAACTGAGGCCGTTTGTGTTGGCTCATCTGAATCCCTCTCATCTGAACAAGTTAAGGTTAACTTTCCAACGTTGTGGCTGTCAACTCCTCCCGCCCGCGTCCGACCTCATGCATTCGCTGTGCTTATCTTATCATGCCGTCGCTACCCCGAAAGCTTAGGACTAAAATACTTCCCATCTCCCTTGTCATCGTTTTTCTGGCCCTGTTCGACTACCTCTCGGATGGCGTCGTAACAGACTTCATCCCCCGGCCATCGGGTGTCATCGAGGACCCGCCCGGGACATGGGACGAACACCCCGTGGTCCGCCTTCACAGCGACGCCGAACGTCAATTCCAAACCTTCTTACAACGTCAATCCACGACGCCGGAAGAGGCAGAGACCGAATATCGGCGTCGCTACGGACGATCACCACCCCCCGGCTTCCGCCGATGGGTCGAATTCGCCATTGCAAAGGGCTCACCCGTCATAGACGACTTCGACATCATCGCGGAAGGCGTTCATCCCTTTCTGAAGTACTCCGCAGCTGAGATCGAGGGACGCACCCGCTCTGCGTTGGCTCAAAAGATTGGAAATCATCTCGAGATCTGCGAATTGAAAGGGGGAAAGTTCGGCGAAGGGTGTCGGAATTGGGCCGACCCGTTGACGCAGCTGCTGGGTGACGCAAAGTCACTAGTGCCGGATGTTAAATTCTTGCTCAACCTCCTCGACGAACCGTCGGTCTTGCTGGGACCACAGGAGACGGGAGACGGCGAGAATGGTGCGACGTTGTGGACGGATCTGTCGCACCGTTCCATTGCCTCGGTGGTGGCCGAGGCGTGCAAAGCCCAGGGTCGGGAGCTCCGGTCGCCGGCTCCGGAGGGTCCCGCCGACTCACCCGGCATCCGCTTTGTCACCAATATTACTTCGGAACGGGACCTATGTCTGCATCCGGAGTACTCATCGGAACACGGCTTTCTCATGTGTCCCACTTCGTTCCATCAATTGCGGAATGAGGTCCCGATCCTCTCCCGCGCCGCCCCCTTGCCCTTCTCCGACATCCTCTTCCCTGCCACTCATTACTCCATTGAGTCAAGTCTGTACAGCCCTTGGTCTGACTGGGCATGGGGTGTGAAGAAAAACTCTCTGTATTGGACGGGGTCTTCGACAGGTGGCTGGTGGTCTGATGAGACTTGGCGAAAAGGCCAGCGGCAACGAGTCGTCGCGCTCGGCTCAGACAAAGATGGGCGTACTTTCACCTTTCTCCGCAGCGGCTCCGATGGGTCTTCAACAGGAAGCACGAGTCTGAAGCAATACGAAGACACCATAGATGCATCATTATTCGATGTTGGTCTAACGCGGCATGCGGGATGCGCCTCAGGCTCAGTATGTGAAGAGCAGTCCCGCTTCTTCGGCCCGCCACGACGTTCGGAAACCGAATCACGGCCTCTGCGATTTCGCTATGCTCTCGATGTCGACGGTAATAGTTTTAGTGGACGATTCTACCGATTCTTGGCCTCACGCAGCGTGCCGCTGAAGATGAGCATCTTCCGTGAGTGGCACGACGAGCGATTACAGCCTTGGTTACACTACATACCCGTCAGCGTCGGTATGGACGAGCTGCCTGAACTTGTACGCTTCCTGAGCTCAACATCCGAGGGCCAGAAGATTAGTTTCCGCGTCGCTGAGGCCGGACGAGCATGGTATTCGTGGGCCATGACGCCGAATCAACAGGGGATTTACCTATACAGACTGATGTTGGAGCTGGCAAGGCTGCAAGATGAGTCGCGTGAAGCAGGATAGAGTGGAAGCACATTCGATGGGAAACAAATATTCTGAGGTACATTTGGAATGTCTACTTATGTGTAGCATTGAAAAGATTAATGAACATCAGCGGTCTGTTTAGGTTTTGGTAGCGTTTTGGATTATCGGTAATAAAAAGACATGCATGTACTTCCATAAATATCATCAAGTGCTGCGCGACGCAAACATACTTTCCATAATAGCCCTTCTTTACCCCAGATTCCCTGATTTGAAGATTTCTAATTGTATTAAAATTCCAGAGGTCTGCGTCAATTGGCTATACTCCGCACAGGGGGTTCCTAGCGTGTTGCTGCACTCGATAGGATACGCACTTAACGTCGTTGTCCAGCACTCGATGAGATAACCCATAACCCGTCTCCTAGTAAGGTATTCTATTATAGAATTGGTTGAGACCTTGTGAAGGTTCTGTAGACATCTAGATGGATAAAATTCTAACGTCGATGATCCTCCATTCATACAGTCCTTCTTCGGGGCTTATGAAGCAAATTCTGGTTTCATAATTAAGAACCACACTTTTTCTAATGCGACGGAAGTAGCGGGTTACTAGTAAGGGCGGCGTAAACCACATTCACCTTCAGGCAAGTTAACAACATATTATTATAATTAGCATTACTCTAATTCCTACTATTACTAGTATTATCGCTAATCTTGATGCTGTTCTTGATGCTGTAGTATTCGCTCTGTATCCGGCTAGTCTGTCTAATTATTCGCGGAGATGTTGACTTCCCGGGGTATGGTTCAAATGTGATTTACGAGTAGCACCCCATAGAAATCACGAAGTCCGATGTCTTCGGACTCGGATGCAGTAGTAACAAAGAGGTCTTTGGTAAATGAACTGTAACGTCGTAATTGAAAGCGCACGAATGAAACCGAACTCTTGGATGAAGGGGTAAATTCGTTCTTTGCCGATGCGCCTCACCCGAGTGCCGCACCAGTTATATGACGACGTATCGTGAGCCCATGTAACGTCATAACGCAACCTCCAAACCCCAAATGAGCCTTCTCCCATAACGATCTCCAGCTCACTTGTGATCCTACAGAAACACATCCGTTCTTGTTCTTCGGCATCTTGATCTCCGTCGAAGAAAATATGTAAATGTGTATATAAACCAGATGAAACTCACCGAGGTTCATCGAGTTTATATCGTTGTCCTCCTCCTGAAATTCCTCAAAAGCATCCAGTTTTGATGTAATTTTGCAACCATGGCACTTCTTACGCAATTCTTCGTTGCCGTGATTTCACTTGCGGCGTTGGCACTGAGTCAAAACTTCAACAACCCCGTGTTATGGGAAGACCTCGCCGACAATGAGGTCATCCGAGTCGATAACGCCTACTATTACACTGCCTCAACTATGCATTACTCACCCGGCGCTCCGATTTTGCGGTCCTATGACCTCGTCAACTGGGAGTACCTCAGCCATGCCGTTCCCACCCTTGCATGGGGTAGCAAGTACGACTTGGCTGCAGGCCAGCAGGCTTACGTCAAGGGCATCTACGCTTCTACTCTCAGGTTTCGCAAGAGCAATGGGCTTTGGTACTGGATGGGCTGCATCGAGTACACTGGCACATACGTCTTCACCGCGCCATCGCCAACTGGCCCTTGGTCTCAGAAAGCCAGAATCGCCACTTGCTACTACGATGCCGGGCTTCTCGTCGATGATGACGACACCATGTATGTCGCATACGGTAACACCGAACTTAACGTTGCTCAGCTGTCTGCCGATGGACTTTCTGAGGTTCGGAAGCAGGCAGTGTATTCCACGCCGTCGAATATTGGAGCCTTGGAGGGAAGTCGCATGTACAAACGCAATGGGAAATACTACATCTTCGTTACCAAGCCAGCAACAAGCCAGTACGTCCTGCAGGCAAGTAGCCCATGGGGACCGTACACCATCAAGGCTCTCGTCGAGAGCGTAGCTGCTCCGGTGTCTGGAGCGGGAAACCCTCATCAAGGGAGCTTGGTCGATACGCCAGACGGAAGATGGTATTACATGGCGTTCATCGACAACTATCCCGGTGGCAGGGTTCCGGTTCTCGCCCCTGTCACATGGGGTTCCGACGGCTTTCCGACGGTTACTCTCTCCAACGGCGCCTGGGGCAAGTCATACCCCTATCCGGTAACTCAGAAAGCTGTACAATCTACTCTGGGCACGGATGCGTTTGCAGGATCATCGCTTGGTCCGGCTTGGGAGTGGAACCACAACCCTGATACAACCAAGTTCAAAGTCAACAATGGGTTGACTCTCAGCACTGCGACAGTCACGAACGATCTGTACGCGGCTCGGAACACCCTGACGAAGCGGATTCATGGTCCCGTTGGAGTCGGCACGGTTATCATTGACTTCACTTCAATGGCCGACGGCGACCGTGCTGGTCTCTCCTTGTTGCGCCAAGACTCGGCTTATATTGCCGTCGAACGATCCGGCTCAGCGTACTCGATCGTCATGTACAATGGCCTTAAGATGGTGTCTAGTACCTGGGCTACGGCTTCGACAGGTTCTCAAGCGGCAAGCACGCCAATCTCGCAACGTCGGGTCTGGCTCCGCGCTACCGCTGACATCAATCCCGGTGCTGGGAAGAAGGGCTCGTTTTCCTACAGTCTTGATGGCTCGACGTTTGTGAAGTTCGGTTCTGAGCTTACTCTCAACAATGAATGGCCGTTCTTCATGGGTTATCGATATGGCATTTTCAACTTTGCAACGAAGGCTCTTGGCGGCTCTGTCAAAGTTGAATCTTTCACAGTCGCCTAAATTCGAAGTGGCCTCGTAATATCTAGTAGCAAGGCTTCAAGCTCGAACAAAGCAGATATCGACGTTTCCAATCGCACTAGCTCTAAGGTTTCTTCGTATTATATTCTTCTTATGTGTATCAGATATGACTCATTGACATTATGAGATGGCTTTGTCGAACGACATCACTCTCACCATAGACTTCAGCCAGGAGTGGCTGTGAAACGTGTTTCGGTCCAATTATTGGAGTAAAACATCTTGAAATGTGATCCATTCGCACGTAACACGAATTGATACTAGAAAGCCATCTTCAGCTTGAGCTTGTCCTCTTCAATGATGGCAGATTTCATCTGCATCAACTCCTCCATATCCCACGGACAACTAACGTATCGGCCAGCCAGCCATTCCTGACGCCCAGCTGCCAGCCACACAATTGTATCGCCTGCAATTTCCGGCTTGTCGGGAAGAGAATCGCGCAGATGATCGGGCAGACCGCCCTTGGTGATCTCGGTCTTGATGGCGCCGGGGTTGACGGAGAAAGTCAGAAGCCCTTGGTCGGCATAGTCCAGCTGAATGGATTCTGTCCAACGTGTGACTGCAAGCTTGGACGATCGATACCCCGTGCTAGCCGGACGTGCGCTGAGCGCGCCTGATGAAGAAACGTTGATCATCGTGCAGAGCCCGTCGCCCGACGCGCGGGTCGATAGCATCATCGGCAGGAAGGCACGAGCCATGTTAAAGAGGCCGCCGAGGTTGACTTGCCATGTGCGCCAGTAAACATCTGGATCCGCATCGAGGAACTTTTCATAAGGCTCCATGTGCGCGGCGTTGTTGACAAGGACATCGAGACGCCCGCCAAATGCAACAGCTATCTTTTCATGGGCGGTTTTGACACTGGTTGCATCGGCAATGTCTGTGGTGCAATCGACTACGATCGGTTCATCGCGTCCTGCCTCCCTCGCGATCTGTTTGAGCCTCGCGACGAGGTCAGCGGACACGCCGCGCAAGTCGACGACGGCGATACCTGACGCGCCTGCCCGTGCAAAGGCCGACGCCGTAGCGAAGCCGACGCCGGTATCCCAGGATGCGCCTGTAACCAGAGCGTACTTGCCGGACAAGTCTAGTTTGAGTGGAGAGATCAGGTCGTAGGATACGGAGTGCCGTGAGCTGGTGAAGTCTCGTCGGACGCTTCCAGACTGGGCGGACATGGTTGGTTGTGTACGGTTTGTGGATTCGTAATTGTTGATGTGTCAAATAAATTGTATGTAATGTGATTGGAGCTTGTTGGGTGAACACTGATTATAGCTTGAGTAAGTATTTCTCTCTTCTCGAAGCTCTTTATATTTATCCCCATATACTCCATGAAGACCTGCATTCGGATTCTTTAGGGACTGGGAACCTAATTGTCCCGGACCTTACTCAGGCTCAAACTGATCACTAATCAGTAATGTTTGCCACGAAAGATTTAGGTCATCGTGGGGAGACCATCATCAGTCTTCAACGATCATTCGACAGGTCAGCTTCTGATAAGCTATCTGTGCACCGCGGAGTTATTTTTTTTCATTCATACTTCGTTCTATGCTTTCTTGGGAGCAAACGCTGACCCCACGCGATTTCCAAGATCGGGCTGCTACGCCGTGGCTACCCGCAGTCTTCGGCAATGACGTTTCACCATCGCGGCTCATGCCTCCTTTTCAAGAGTGAAGACTCGCATCTGTGGATTTTACTTTGTAGGTATCATCCTGTGTCATCAGCCGGCGAATTGAGTCCTGAAACCTGTAAGCATGGAGGTCATTCCCCCTCTCTTCAGGTAAGCCTGCGCACCCTGGAGGCATCTTTCCGTCGCTTCCCGAGGCGTAACTTGGCCTCGTTGATCTTACCGTACCTTCAGTACTGCGCGAGGCTGTATTCTTAATCATCACCAGCAGATTGACCATCACCGGATGCCGGGAAGGTGTGGGGCCCATTGAGGCTTGGGATACCTAAATTCTGTAAAGTTATGGTTGTGGATTCAGTAGAAGGACCGTGCTTTTGCCGTGCCTTTCATCACCAGCAGGATGAGAAGTTGAGATATCACGTGGAGGCAAAGATCAAAGGCTTGGCTCTAGTTAACTGGGCAGCACTAAATCGAGGATTCGGAGCCATCAGCATCCATACTAGGTACAATAATTCAAAGTGGAGGTTAAAGTTCATGCTCCTAAATCATATAGGTCGCATGCAACTCTCGTCTGAATCTTCTCAGATGGAGACGTTAAGCTCATCTAACCCCTCCTTAAAGGTAGTGCAGATACGAATCGTAAAGCTAAAGAGCATTACTATACCGCTCTCATACACAGTATCAGCCAGGTCGCCAAGCTCATGCAGCTTTTTAGGAGTACCATTTAGATATAAATCGTAGATATTTCTAAGAGAACAGTTCTTTATCCTAACTAGATACGAAAACCTGGTCTTACTTGAAACATAGCAATACCTAGGCTAATCTCGTTCATACGTCAAGACGGCTGTTATACACCCAGTCCAAAAGGGTGCTAATAATGACATAATAAACCAGTAATAAACTATCAGACGGCTACCCTTATTCTAGAAGTCGCAAAGAGAACCGAGACAGATTCCTCATACAATAAAGGCAGGCTGCCTGTTCCCCATTATATCACTGCTAGGAATTTGGACGTCCCTTTTGTCGAAATTGTGTAGACTAAGCCAGCATAACATCCGAAAGACTAGAGTGTACCATATTTTCAGGCGTTGAACTTCGAAGGAACTTTCGATAATGGTTTGGAATGCTGAGTTCCTTTTCTCATGCTGCAAAAGAGATGGCCAGGATTCCCTGTGAGTCAAACCCTGTGTTGGGACTGTCATTGGATCCGGTGATGGCTCCTGAAACAGCGTGGGTCCCAAGCTCTCATGTTCTGGAGTACGAAGATGTGTTGTTCTTGTCGACAAGTCTATATGAATGGCCCGCGACACCTGATCATGGTCGACTTTATGATCGTTACTCGATGAGATAGGTACAACACGCCAAAGTATTTGGTCGAAGTAAGTTTCCATGAGTCGCTCTTCTCGCACTTCAAGCGGTACCGAAGGTAAACTCTGAAGGATATTGCGTTCCGACATCGACGACCTGAAACCAGGACCGTTGGTTTCTGCCAGAACCTCTTGAAGATGACGACGATGGACATCCAAAACAACTGCGTGATAATTGTTGTTACACGTAGACATGAGGATATTATCCGACCACAATATCACGTCATGAAGGTCATCCATCATTCTCGGTGTTATTCCGTTGTCGTAATTATTGCTAATCGTCTCGGCCTTGTGAACAAGACACTCGATGTCTCTGATATCAGCAGAATCTTCGAGTGTGCTATTGTCCCAGATAGCTTCTGACAGCCGAAGGTAATCGCGACTCATCCTAACACTGAAAGCCGCGAGAAGCCGACGTAATGAGAATGAGTCTGTATCCCACGTACATATCGTAGGATTTGGTAAAAACGAGAAATATCTGCTTCGAATGTGCAGAACCCGGGCAAACATTCCAACAACTTCGAAAATTACTATGAGAAATATGAGTCTCCAGTAACGTTGAACAGTTTCGTTAATTCTTACCTGGAAAAAGATGTTGGGGATTGTTTCCATCTTGGAAATATGAAGCTGTAAGACTGTTGCATCCTAAACGCAACAGCGTTTCGCGAATGTCTTCGCGGTTGCCAAGGTTCAGAATTTCAACTTCATTGTACGCGTCCGTTGACGACCTCTTTTGTGGGTTTAGCCATTTAGCTTCCTCATGTAGGCTTTTTTTAGGTCGAAAGATGGTTGGGACTCTCCCAAAGCAGAGTTCCTTCATCTCAGAAGTTGGAATTATGCGTTGCTCCCCAAAAGACGTAAAGCCTGTCTTCTCGAAGCTGAAGACAAGGCCAAATCCCTTCAAAGGCGACCCGGTCAGCCGGAAACCATTTCCGGCAGCCCTGTATTTCTCACTCTCTACGTCGAAAGTTTTCCAGTATATTCCGAGTACTGCGGCTAACTCAACAATGTTTGAGAGTGTGGTTGTGGCGTAGGGCGTGGTGATTTGCGTGTTGATGTCGAATGATCTGGACACGGCCTGAATATGGACGGCTAGTGTCGGCGGCGGAAGATCGAGATTGATTATCGAGGATGGAAGTTCATTCTGAGCTCGAAGCTTTGCATCTTCCCACTCTTTTGAGTCCCTCTCCATTCTTTCAACTGCCGCGAGCAGAAACCACCAAGTCGCCCGCTCGTTGTTGGCAGCATTGAAGATGTCTCCCGCATGACTGAACTTGGGTTCGTCGGATATGTCGACGCGGCTTCTTCTGCAGCTCTCTTCAGTACCATCGGCGTGCCATACGTGGCTAGATACTCCTTCATGAGCGGGGGTGCCTGGAGGAGCGAGGAATATTACCGGTGCCTCGAACACAATTTCCAGCTTGAACCCACGCATTCGGACTTTCCACTTCGTGTTTTCGGCCCATTTCCCCATGACACTTTCGTCACAATTGGGAAGGCTCTGTGCGGTTGTGGCTATGGCTTGGAAAATCGGATATATTGGTAAAATCCATGTCAGAACCGCGACAGCAAGAGCAGAAATGGCAACTAGTAGTTCGGTACTCCCTTCAGCCATGATGATACTTTCGCAAAGATGTTCCAGGCAGATAGTTTATTCAGCTCGGGGACTGAGAGAATCGAGTTGTGTTTTGCGGCAGTGAAATTCAGAAAAGGACGCATGCAAGTATTCGTGGAGTAGCTCCGTATATAAGTTTTCGGACCGCGCCTCTAAGCTGCATATGACCCCTAGATGGCGATTCGTATCAGAGCGACGCTGCCGGACTTGGCGGGACCTGCGAACCTGCCATTGACCCAGCCTGATTCAATAACCTGTAGCTGACAGACAGCATCGTATGACCGTCACGGGGTCGTTGCAATGCCATTGGCTCTTGGCCTCGACAACCCCAGTTACCATGTTCAAAGATAGATCAGGCTGCATGTCATTAGTGAATGGAACTCGTAGGGGATACCAACGAGCGACAGGTCGCAAAGAGAGGCTCGTCGACTTGCTGTTCAATTTGGCACTGGCATTTCTGTAGACCTCTGGCTAAAACATCCCTCTCTGTCCCTAAGAATCATTACAAGTTCAGCGGACTTGAAGCCTGTCACTGTTGTGCAGATAGTTCAACACTAGGAGATAGATATATTAGAATTATCTATTCCCATAGGAAGTTCTTTCCCTTCTGAAATGTACATGCTGGAAATCAGGGTCCCGTACCACCACGCACCCTCAAAGCTCGGCATCGCTCGTGGTCGCAATATCCAGCTACACAATGACCGCAGTGTTCCTAAGTTCTCAAACCTCCCTCCGGAGCTGAGGAACATCATGTGGGAAATGGCCGTCCGGCAAGACAAAAACGGCGTGAACTTTCTCACTAATGGCAATGACCCCAGAGAAGTACAACGGGAAATTGGCTATCCATACCACGATCGCAACGCGATTCTCTTGGGATCCCTCATATTCGACCCAAGCTCGGACAGGTCGTGGGTCAAAAATAATCAATCAACCTACCTCGTCGATGCCGGTTTCTGGACAGCCTGCAGAGAATCAAGAACAATCATCGAACGCAAGTCCAGAATAGTATACCGGAAGCAAGCTTATAAAGACGTTCAGCCGAAACGTCGCGGGCTCGGATACAGACGCAAGCTTGAGTACTTATCTTAAATGTGTACTCATTGGGTATGGTGAGATGATATCAATGACCGGATTATAAGGGTGGCTGCATTGTATTGCGCGGCATATTGCATTTGTTGAGTACTTCTCTACCCCCTGTCTCGGTCGTTCCTGGCGTGGCGTCGAAGGCCGAACCTTCGTCGTCTTCCACCGCAAGAACCTCTTCTGTTGGAACGCTGGAAAGTACAATATGTGACAATAGATTCAGCGTGGCCATCTCTTAGACCTTAGTACTATCAGTTGACTATATTAGAACTAGCGCAGTAGTAATAAAGAGAAAATCGTAATAATAACCGGTTCCCCAGGCCAAATAATTCACCCCGTCTTTGGAAAGTACGTTGGACAGATGTATGGACTTGTTCCCGAGCTGGATAACAACGGATCTTAACAAAGTGAAGCGAGAATAACGAACACCATGGCGATCTACCTACTCCTAAACTACCATCTAAATGATGTCGATGGCTCTCTCCTCTGCTCCCCTGAACCAATCGAGTGACGCGGGAAGGCCCTGTGCTCGAGATCTGGCGCGGACCTTGCCCGTCACGATGCCCACGCGGTAGTATGTTTCGACCTTTTCCGAGGTCGAACTGGATCTGTACGCCGAATGTGTCGGACGATTGTTGTCTTGGACCTTCGCTAAATGGTGAAACTGGCTTATTATTCTCTCCATCCCTGTCAGACCCTTGAGAATCATTTCCTTGCCCCCTCGCCGCCAGTATCGCTCCTCTTCTTGCCTCTCTTCGCGCTCTTTGTCTCGCATTATTCTTAGCTCTTTTCTTTCGTTCCACCATTGCCGGTAGTGGGTCATTGATAGCCGAGGCCGGAGTCTGAACTGCGGTGCGTCTGGTGCGTCCATTATCTTCAGTTCCAATCTCAACTTGGCGGCCTGTTCGTCGAAATCTCTCATCCAAAACCGTTGGATAAGGGAGTTTTTCGTTACGTTCGTTTCCCATCTCAAGTTGTCAGCCTGTTCGTTGAGGGCTCTCCACCTCCGTTGGATATCTGAGTTCGTATCTCCCATGTTTGCGATAGCCTTCTCCAATCTCAGCCATAGCTTCATATTATTTGGTCCGATCTGGCTCTCCAAGTCTTCAGTCCGTTTACCTTTTAGACATTTCCGATCTTTCTGCTTGGTGACAGTAGCAGTCTCGCTGTTATCGGTATACTTGCTTTCGGCAACGGCATCCAACCGGCGTAGACCCAATGCAACCCACACGATATCGTTGTCTTTCGTGTATTCCAGGATCTTGGCGCAGTGAACGATATCCCCAGCCACCAGGCTGAGCTCATTAAAGGTGCCGTCTGGAATGAAAATAACCTCCAGGGCCTTGGACATCCCCTGTTGAGTGTTCTTAACAAGCTTCCAACTGTCGTCGTGATACGTCGAAAGCTCAGTCTGGGTGATAGAAGCTGTCAGCGTTATCTTACCACTGCTGACGTCTCCCAGGGGATTGATAGGATCGACAACGCATTGGGCTTCCCGAAAGGATGCTGACGGTCTGTGGCTCCGGAAGATTTCCGGGCTTGCCGAAAACCACTTGACTGGCCATGAGGTGGAGATCCAGGACCATGTTGGCTCTCGCGATCTTCTCTGCAATGCCGATGCGTCGCAGAACGAGCCCACCAGGCGGTTCTGGTTTTGCGACAAGTAATGGTGACTGTCTATGGGGATTTGTGCGTGGTCGACTTGCCAGAGAAGATGCCATAACAAGTCCTTGTGCCATAGTCCGGCCAGGTAGCTGCCTACGGTAGGGTCCGCGTGGCGGATCCGTCTCGCAACTCCAGACAAAGCAGGAAGCCGATCGCTCTGGAGAGACAATACTCTCTTCGAGTATTGTTCTACCAGTGACTGCCACAGAAGTGTCGACTTCATGGCATCAGGGTTGTTGATCTCCTTGCCATACGGGAATCCCCGCTCATCGACTCTCGTCCACGCCAGATCGGCTCGTGAACTCCCACACTCGCACCAGAACTCGCATCGACATTCCCAAATGATTTCTTGGGGGAGGAAATGGATGGTGCGTGTTGCGAGAAGCCTCTCTTGGAAAGTCCAACCTCTAGCAAGAAGTGGATATTGCGACGTGTCCGCGTCCTCCGGGATAATCGCGTCGTGTGGTAGCCGGTGTCGAACGAGAACCTCGACGGCATTGCCGTTCGGGTCATTGTAGAGAAGGCGTGTCGAGGCAAGGTTCTCTTCATAGACTTTGGCTTTGGACTTTCCCGAATCGCGTGGCCCCGGCTTTTCGCGGTTGCCAATGAAGCCCAGTTCGACGGACGAAGATCGCGTTGCAGAAAGGGTGAGAAGGGCACCCTCGTATATGGTGTCCATGTTGGCGGATTCTTCTCTCCAGTCGACTCCCTGTTCGTCATCCTGGATGATGCAGATAGAGTCTATCCAGATATACTCAATGTCGAGGCGCCTAGTAATATCAATGGCATCACGAATCGTCTTAGGTAGGTTTCGATATTCGAGAGACTCCATTCTGCTGCTGAGAGTATCGACGGTCGTAGTGTAGTTGGAGCCCGTACCCCAGCAGTAGCTGAGAGCGGTGTACGGAGCGTTGATCCCGGCTGCTAGGACAAGTTGCAGTTTGCCATCAGGCAGAAGCCGGACAAGTCGACGAGGACCACCCGACTGTCTTGTTTTCGAAGACTGGTTGCACTTGGGATGCTTCTCTTGGCAATGCTTCAACCACGGACGCGTCAGTCTGGCAACACCTTCTGCGTCGAGCATGACCGGAACAATTTTGGCAGGTCCGATGTAGGGCAAGGCACCTTCCTTGGAGAGAGAAAAGAGCTCGACATCGAACTCCGAAGACTCTAGCCGAAGCGGCATCCCTAGGTGAAAGATGATGTGAAGAACAGTGTCGGGAGCTAAATCCGAGTGGGCATGGGTTGCTACCAGTCCAGCTTCCAACAAGGCACACCCGGAGCAGCCATTGGAAGCCGACTCGCGTATCTCTTCGATTCTGCAGGCCTTCAAATGCCGCCGGAGGCCATTGAAACCGGTACCAAGGTCGTAGCAGATACTGCATGACTGTGATCTCACGGACTCGTCATCACAAGAGAGGGATTCGGGAGTCGTCGCTGGCGATAGACTTGATGCCGATTGGGTTTGGGCTTTCTGCTCGGAGGTGTGTTTCTCATCACCGTCTGGGCTAGTGGCTCCTATTTCGAATGGCATTGAGGGTATTGTGGGATCGTCGTAAGTTTACCTGGACGTACTGGTCGCGGCTCATGTAAACACACGGCTTGTAGGCTTGTATTCTTTTCAAATGAGGAAGAATGGCGCAAGGCTTGCTTGCAAAGGAAGGCGCAGTTGCCGGTTTGAATTCGGCCCGCGACATTGACGGAGGGCGACAGATGCCAAGCAGGAATGGGCGGCGGGACAGCCTGATCGAAGGCTTCAGCAGCAACTGCGGTGTCGGTTGGTTTCAGCCAATGAATCCTGAGAGACACGTCAGCATTGCAGGCTGAGCCACGGGCGGCAGTTCACAAGAGGAACTAGCTGCGGGAAGGTATACATCCGGCGTCGACTTCAAATACAATCAAGTAGATATATTCCCTCTCATAAACCACCAGCCCCAAAACTCCAAATACACAATCATATCCCAAAACACCAATGCTTTCCCACCCTCCCTCCTTAACAAGCTTTTACAATCCCTTCTTCAACCCCTCCGTAACCTCCCCCAACATCCTCAACCCAAAGAACTTGGCAACGCTCGCGTACACCCCGATCCTCTTGACGATCTCCCCCCTCTTCACGCTCTCCACCCACTCGCCGGAACACGTACAATGCTCCATGAACTCGTTGAGCCGGAGCGCGCCGCACTTGCCGCACTTGAGGTCCTGCGTGCTCCACTCCACGACGAAGGCCTCGACCTGCGCGAGGAGCATCTCCTCGATGGCGTTGCGGTCGTACTCGGCCTCGCAGAACCCGCACCGCCACGGCCTCGTCTCCGGGCCGAGGCGCTTGCCGTCGGGGCCGAGCTCCGGGAGGAGGTCCTCGTCCCGGCAGAAGTCGAGGTCGCGCGCCATGGTGCAGCTGTCGCAGGAGAGCTGGACCAGCTTGAGGCTCTCGCTCGGGTTCTGGAAGGCGCCTTCTTTGCTGAACTCCCGCACGTCGAACATGGCGAGCAGCTCCTTCCTCAGCAGCCTCGCCTCGAGCGTGATGTTCTTGTCGAGGGAGAGGACCTGCATCAGAGCTTTGACTAGCTCCAGCACGGCGTTCCTCGATGACAGATGTGCGAGGTGGCTGCCTGGTAGCTGTGGGAAGGAGTAGTCGCCCGCCAACTCGGGATGCAATAGCTCTCTCTTCTGCAGGTTGACCAGGTTCGCAATATCCTTCTTGAGAGGTTTCTCGAACTTCTTGCCGAGAATGATCTGTCCTTCCGCGCCCTCGGCTAGCGACTTCTGCGGGAGTTGCGTCAGCCGGGGAGTGGAGTCGAACTCTCCCTGTGGGCGTTTGAGGCCGTGCATGAGGTGGATGAACTCAATAACCCAGTCCTGGAACGTCGGCTGGAGACGAGTGGGCAAGAAGGTAGCCATCTGCCAGTGCATGACGGTGTCCAGGTCCTGCCTTTCAGCCTCGACGACTTCCTGGCACGCCTTGCCACCGTAGTTGAACTCGTCGTACCAAACAAGGTAGTCCCAGTACTCCTTGATTTCAAGGTCGATGAAGTGGAAGAGCGGCTTGCTCTTGATCGATTTGATGATGTACTGGCTGTACGCAAACGCGGTGCCAACCTCAGCCTTGGTGGTTTGCAGGAGCAGACGATTTGAGTTTGCAAAGACAACTTGGGAGCCCACGCGACGGAAGTCAGCCATGAGCTGCTGGAACGCTTTTCGGGACATCATCTGGACGTAGTAGTGCAGTGCCCGATCGTACAAGAAAGAATCCGGATTCTCGACCCAACGAACGAGATGTTGCACCATGACATCAGCCATGGTGTTCCCCTTGCAGGCTTCCTGCCACCAACTCTTCACCATCTCGCGAAGAACCAAAACGCCTGCATTGGCGAAGGTACCTTCTGAAGTGATGACATCGTCTCCCGACCCATCGCCGGCAGGGTTGAAAGAGATGGAGTCTGCCCCCTCGAGCTCGTTGATGAGTGATGATGTCAAGATGGTATTGATAGCGAGATTCCTGACTTCTAGGTCGATGCAGACTGAAGAGAATGTGCCCGGATTGTTGACGGAAGGCATTTTCACGGTGTCAAGGGGACCGGTAATGTCGTCCTTTTCGTAGCCAGCGTGATCGGGACGCGGGCTGGCGGACCACCAAAGCACGATGTTGTTGTTTTGCAGACGACGGGCGTAGGTGATGTCAATGAGGAAGCGAGGATCCTCACGTTCCAAGTTGCAAAGTGGCACGTCGCCATACCTCGCAAGAGTCGTCAAGTGTAGGATCCAGGAGCCGAGCCCAAGGTAGTGTCCAACAAGGCGCTTGGCCACGACGGCTTGCCAGCCGAGCGGCGGCAGCGAGCTGTCCGCGGGGTCGTACTTGAGCGGGAGAACAGGGAAGTCGCCTAGGATCGGCACGTCGGTGATGAGCATGTTGCGCTGGGAGGACTGGAGGACCATCATCTGTGGGCGCAGCTCGTCTTTCCTCATCTTTTTGACAACATCGCTCAGCTCCAGATGGGCTTTCCTCTTCGTCGTGACTTGCGTGATCTTGAAGGTAAGCTTTTCCTGGTACCGGAAGCAGTCCTGCCAGTTGGTGCCTTCAGCCTCCTCTCCGCGTCGTGCGAGAAGTTCTGTGTAGATCCTGGAGATGTTGGGCAGGTCCTGCCCCGAATCTCTGCTCTTTTGCAGGATAATAATGTGTGCCTCATTTCTCGTTGTCGAGAACACACCAAAGATCTGTCTGTCTCCTGCGGTGATGTGGGAGATGTAGATGTACGCCAGTGGTGAGGAATCGAGGTACGTCCTCTTCTTCAGAGGCCGCTTGAGACCAGACAGATCGAATCCCTGGTCTAGGCCCTTTCCAAGCACAGCGTGCTGCTGTTCATCGATAGTGCAGAGATTGCCGAGCTGAAGAACAGCTCTGATGTTGAGCGGCAAGTGCTTCTCGTACACACCTTCGACACTGGGGTGGTTGAACAAGAGCGAAAACTTATCCGTCTCAGCAAAGTAGACATCCTCCGGAACGGTGAGCTTGAACAGATGAACAGACGAATGTCCGTTCGGGAGAGTGTGGTTGACCTGCTCGACCTCACAGCCAGGAATATCGACATCCGGCATGTCACCGCTCTTCAGGTTCAGGAACACCTGTCGCGGGACCTTGATCTTGGTCGAGTGGATCTTGGCGTCGATGAGCACATACGCGGTGACGACACCGGGAGTCTCGGTGGCCTTGAGATGCAGAAGCTGCCATGTGTTCATAAAAGTCATGTGAGCCTGCTTCATGAAGGTCGCCTGGATGTTGCTCTGGTTGCCGCGTCGATCGCCGAAAAGCTGTCGTCTGCGTATGCGAGCCTGCTTCTGGATCTTCCACTTCTGCTTCTGGTACTGCAGGAAGCCAACATAGTCTTCTGAAGGCGAAGGCATCACCTTGGGCAAACCCGCGAAGGGGTCCGCATTTTCGACAGGCTCCGGCGACTTCCTCTTCTGAGACATAGGAGCGGGCTGCGATGAAGCAACCACAGCAGTGACCGGCTTCGGCTTGAGTAGCTTGCTACCGAAATCTTCAAGGTCATCCAGACTCCGGCCGTTCAGGTTGGTGATGTCCTCCAACGGACCCTTGGGGAAGAGGTCGGTAAGTTTCTTCTGCTTCATCTTGTCCTCCTTGATGTTGATCCTCCGCTGGAGCCAGTCGGGATGAGGAACGCGAGGAACGGGGTTGCGGACTTTCTGAAGGGCAGCCGGGATGGTGATGAGCTTCTGGATGACAGATCCAAGACGCTCTAGGTAGTAGTCCCAATCCAAGAGGGCTCTCGGGTCGGTGTCGGCAGGCTCTTCCTTCAGCCACTTCTTGAGGTAAAACCGCTTCGTTGTCTCCTCGGCAGAAAAGATAGCAACCGGCACAGCACGCTCAGTGACAGGAGCATTCTTCGGTCTGGCGCAGATGATGAATTTGCAGTTCAATCCCTTGTCCTTGACCATCTGCTCGCCCAAAAAGTCCGCCAGACGTCGCGCCGTTGTGATCGATGTTGACTTCTGCGAGCCGTATTCCTCAAGAGTCTTGGACATGCTCCTGTTCTCGGAAATGAGTTCCATGAGCTCCTGGTCAGCCAGAGTTGAGCCCTTGCTGTGCAATACATCCAACCACTGGTTCGCCACCTTAGCGACCGCGGTGTAGCACTCAGCGAGGGTCGTACCCTCAAGGAAGAACTTGAAGATTTGCTGCTGGAAGATCTTGATGAGCTTCAGCTCACCTCTGCGCTTGACCTCGAAACCCTTCAGCTCTGCCAAACTGCCATCGTCGTTGAAGACGGCGTAACGCTTCTTCAAGTTCTTGTCCTCTTCCTTGGAAGTGGGCAGGATCATGGCCTTGTACGGACCGTCGACTTCGAAGAAAATGGAGTTGTCGCTGTGTGTTTCGTACTTGAACGTCTTGGGATCCTTGAGCGTCTGGTACTGGTGGTTCGTGAACTGGGCGTGAACCAGATGGTTTAACATGGTGCAGGGGTACGAAATGGTGACCTTCTTGCCGTTCTTCGTCTTGAAGGCAAAGTTTTCGGGGAACGTGGCGGGAAGCATGCACCAAATACCGTCGGTATCCAGTTCCAGAGGGCGACCAAGACGCTCGACGAGACTTCGAGCAAGCTGGATAATCGTGGCTCCCGTCAAACACGTCACACCAGCCATCTCCATGGAGTACCAGCGAGAACCCTTTCTCATGACGTACCCGTAGAAAGAGTTCAGAATGACCTTGTGGGCAAGCTGCAGCGAATCAAAGAGAATGATCATCTTCTTCGCCGCATCGACCTCAGTCGACGTCGCGCCGGACGACTTGAGCGCCTCCGTCTTGCCCTTCCACACCTTGGCCTTGCCCTTGTAATCGTAACGACGATCACGGAAGTCACGCACCGTGTTGATGTAGAACGGGTTCTCGCGCTGGCAGATGATGGCCTCCTTGACAATGGTTGTCGAGTCGTGGATCTTGTGGTAGACCTTTTGCGAGTAGAGTTGCAACCGTTTCCTTAGGAGCGCCGTCTGCTCATCGGGGCTGAGGTCTTGGTATGACCGCATCGGCGAGTTGGGCCACTTGCCGGGAAACTTTTCGTTCTCCAGGGCGTTCCTGATCATGTTGTACTCATCACGCTTGGCGGGCAGGTACTCTCCTCTCCAAGCCCAGGGCAATCGTCTGTCGCAAGTCTTGCCGGGCCTGTTGAAGTCGCATGCCGCGCAGTCCGACTCCTGGATCATAGAATCTGGTTGCAGTCGATTTGTCGTCATGATGTTGGGGTACATGGAAGCGACATCGAGATGGTAGATCAAGGGTCGTTCGCTTCGATTGGGTGTCTCTTTCAGGGCGCGTAGTCGATCTGCGATCTGCTCTTTGATCTCGTCGTAGTTCGCAATGTCGTCCATGGATTTCTTCTCTTCGACCGTGATACTAAACTTGAGCGCAGCATCCAAGTCGTTGAGCAACTCATCCACAGCACCAGGGTCAACCGCGAAGTTGACAGGGATATCTGACCGAAAGACACCGGCTTCGATACTCTCAACGTGACCTCCAACGTACGTCTCTGAGTCGAGCAAGTGTCCCTCATAAAATGCTTCCCTAGGAGATACGTGCTTATTCGGCAGAACAATCTCCTTCTGGTACGCCTGCACCATCAGCAACATCTCGCAAAGGGTACCGGTACCCTTCCTCAGCGTGTCGTCACCACCAAGCGGCAGGATAGTGCAAAGCGAGAAGATGAAGGGGTGCACATATTTCATGTACAGGTAGTACGTCGCAACAGCGTCGGAAACTGAGTACTCTGCCAGCGTCTGCGGCCGTTCTTGCGCATACGGCGTCATCAGCTCGGGGTCGAGTTCGTCAGGGTCGTATCCGAGCTTCGCCACAGTGACGGCCTTCAAACCTCGAGATCCCTGAGGCAAGTAGGAGTCTCGATTTACCCAGTGGAAACAATCCATGTGTACACTGTAACTGCACTTGTACTGGTCCTCGCTGTCCTTCTTCCAGCCAATCTCCTGGTACATGTCGATACCGTTGACGCTCGCGCGCGCCTCGACAAACGGCCAATCGAAAAAGTCACCGTTGTACGTCGCAATGACCGTCGGCCGCGCCTCCTTGATGTGCAGGAAGAAGCGCTCGATGACGGCCTTCTCGTCGGGCTCGTTGAAAATCATGAACGGACCGGGGTATTCTGGCTTGGGCGTGTAGTCGAAGTCGCCAATGTCTTCGGAGATGATCTCTCGGTTGGTGATGAGGAAACCCTGGCCGTCAATCATGTACGAAATCATCATGATCTGGTCGGTGGCGGCGTCGGGGAATTTCAGGGGCAGCTTCGTCGTCTCGATATCGTAGGCCATGACCACGGGGTCTGCCATGGCCAGCCTGTCCTCGTTGATTGTGATCTTCGTGACGCCGTGCTTCACGTCAATGAAGTACCATTTTCCCACCCGAATATCTGTCCAGGTCAGCTCGGCTCGGCTGAGTCCGCGTGGACGCAAACCTACCCATATCTATCATTACTCTTACATGGTACGGTACGTCGTACTCTCTAATATCGACAATGAAGTCGCTGGCGTCGGCAAAAGAAGCATTAGCTCGTCTATCGTCATCTCGTGAGTCGTCAAAAAGGTCAAAGTCGCCGTTCGTCCTGGTAAATCGTTAGCCAAGAGTCCAAACCCACAGAACAGCATGAGACTCACGTAGCGACCTCAGCATATGCATCCATCGCATCCACATTCTTCCTATTCCTCGCCGCGATCGGCATGATATCCTTCCTCGCCGCCATCAAATCATTCACGTTGGCGAACCTCAGCTCCAGAAACGTCCGGCGGTACCCCAGCAAGTGATTCGGCATCTTCAGGTCCTCCTTCTCGACCCTCTTGACCGTCTTGACCACGCCGCCGCCCGGCACGCGCTTGACCCACTCCTCGACCTCGCCCTCGCGGCCCTTCTTGACGGCGATGAGGAGGTACGGGTCGTACTCGACCGTGGCCTTGAAGGTCTGGCCGTCGTCCTCGAGGAAGTAGCAGTCGAGCGCGGCGCGGCCGCCCGGTATGCGCTCGTCCTCGACGGCCGTGGGCTGCACGTTGACCAGCCAGCCCTCCTTCCGCTTGCCGCCCTCGTAGCGGGCGAAGCCCATGTTCTCGTCGATGGCGTGGGCCAGGCGGGTGCGCTCCCACTTCTCGTCGGCCGAGGTCGCTTCCGTGCGGGAGGAGGCGGCGAAGGTGCGTGTCGTGCGGCCGGGACCGTGGTAGGCTTGTTTCCCGCCTCGGCGGTAGCCCTTTTGCGGGCGGCGGAGACTTGTGTTTGGCATCTTCGGCGTGTGTCTGGATCGTGGGTGGATGTTGACGAGGTGTTGTTTTTTCCCGTCGAGGGGCTCTTGCTGAGAGACTCTCGAGGCAATCGAGTTTCTAAAGATTCATGGAACGAAAGAGTCGCAGATCAATCCAAGAAGTCTTACTTGCGGAAGCCAGGGAATCTGAAGGTAGACGAAACCCTTTGACAGGATTTAGGGGGTATCTCAGAAGTTCTTGCAGAAAAAAGGGTCAAGAAACAAATCCGTATGGGTATCGTTCACCACTCCAGAAATTCGACGAGTGGGAGTTTGGCAATTGTCACTTGCGCGTGTTATGTCTGGGGGGCTACTCTGTAATAGTGCACAATCTTTTGGTAGATCGGGGGCCGGGGTGTGGTCCAGAGCGAACCTGCAGAGAACGCGTCTCAAGCGCGCTCTTACGCGACTGATGCACGGCTTTCCCGCCAAAAGAAAAGAGTGCCCCACAATCAATTAAGCCCGGTCGGGGACGTGCACACCCGTGTCAAAGGGCCGACGCACAGACCAGGCCCGGCCCAGCAACGACGGGACTCGGTGGACGTCATCTACCCATCTCAGACCACGGGCAGATTTTTGAGTGAGAGAAGGTTGAGAGTGGTAGCGAACTCGACGAAATTCGAATATCAAATGCACCACAACCACCCCTAGCAAAAAGACCACAATGGCGCAGGATCCACCACCCCCAGGGACCACCGTCCACACCACCACCGACGCCGAGGGCAGGAAGATGTACCTATGGTCGAGGTCGACCAACGGGCCGGTAGGAGAGGGCGCGCCGGGCTCACCACCGATGACACCCTCCGAGACCCCGACCCCGACGACACCCGCGGCGGCGGCGGCCCCCAAGCCGGACCCCAAGGATTTCCAGTCCAACTTCCCCATGAACGAGCACGGCCAGAAGTACGCAACCGTCGGAGAGGCCGTCAAGTCCATCAAGGCCGAGGACTTTGCAAACGTCACGCAGATGCCGTGCGCCAGGGGCGGGTTCCTCACTGGTATCGCCTCGGGATTCGGCGTCGGTGGTCTGAGATTGGTTTTCAGAGGTACGATTCTCAGCATTGAATCCTGTCTCATTCGGCTTCACACAACTTGAAGCTATGGTCACGATGAATGAATCCTCAACTCACATATTCCCCAGGAACACCCGCCAAGGCCGCAAACTGGGCCGTAGGCAGCTTCATCGCGGGCGCCGCAGGCTACTTTGAGTACTGCCAATTCCAGCGTCGGCAGGAGCGCATCAGGATGAAGAGAACCGTCGAGGTCTACCAGGAGAGCATGGCCGAGAAGCGCCGCAGAGAGACGGAGGCGCTGGAGAAGAGGCAGCAGGAGCAGGAGGCCGTCAAGGCCAGCCAGAAGTCCTGGTACAAGTTCTGGTAACAACGTTTCCATTGTAACGACATCTCGAGAGGATCTCTGCATCCCGTGTACGAATATCTTTGACCTAGAAAGCATCGATGGCAGCGCACATGATGCGTTGGGAAACCAAAACACTTGTATCATCTCTGTCCATTTTAAGTTGGGGTATAAAAGAAAGACTATTCATATCGTCCACCCGGACTCCCTTGCCTGCTAATTGCAAACGCATTCCCCTTTCCAGCGTGATAGAAAGGTTACCATACTTATCATCAAATGATGAAAGAGCTTCCAAGAGCTCGTAGTAAATACCTCAAATGCAGCCATGCCTTCAATCACGCCCTTCCCAGAAACACACCTAAACGCCCATAAGAAGCCCTTAGTCCAGGCATTACACATGGAATTGGGAGAGAGAAACACCATCCAGCCCAGCATTTCACTCCCTAGATCTCCCTTATCCGTTCGTGGCAATCGTGTTCGGCTCCGACTCAAATCGCACCTTGCGCACACCGCTCCCAGAGGCAGGCTTCGAGTCAATCTTGACACCCAAGCCCGCGCCGCTACCGCGTCTGCGCTGGCTCCGCCGTGCCCTGGCCTCGCTCTCTTCGCGCTTCTTGTACTCCGCCAGCTGCAGCCGGCGCTTCTGTGTGCGGGCGTACGCCATCGCCGCCGTCGGCATGAACCCGACTCCGTTAATGCCGGTGCCGTCGTCGTCCTCGTCATCCGGGTCGTAAATCGTGATCTCCTCCTCCTTCCACGTCAGCGCCGCCCTGACGGGGTCAACGACCTCCATCTCGGCGTCCTCGTCCTGCGTCGCTGCCTCGGTGGCAGCCTTGCCCTTGCGGTTTTTGAGGGGCGGCGTGCCGGCTCGTCTGCGTCCTCTCGCCTTTGCCTCTTGTATGCGGTTTATGAATGGGTTTGGTCGTTGCGGGCCTGTCGTGGCTGCCGCAGTCGTTGTGGCAGAATAGGTAGTATTTGGTAGAATGGCAGTCTCAGCGTCGGGCGCCACAGACGTCTCCGTCGTCGGGGCGAGCCCCGGATCGCTCCTGATCTCAGGGTCCGGAACAGCGACGGGCTCGGTAGCGTCGGCGTCCTTCATCTCCAGCTCCGGCATCTTGACTCTCTTGCGGCTCGCAAACGGTTCGTCGTCGAAGGCCCCATCGCCGCCGACGTCGCGAACGGGGTCGTATGGGCCCTGGCGCTGTCGAGTGCTGCCGCCGCTGCTGCCCTGTTGCTGGGCTACCCCGCCCCCACCACCAAGCGCCAGTCCGCGGAACTTGTGCACAACCTTGCTGCGCGGGCTCGCGCTTCCGTCCTCGTCGCTCTTCGCATCCGGAAGTTGGAAGGAGAATATGGAGGTGGTGTAGACGGGCGATAATTGGGGACCGTCTTCGTCTCTCTTGCGCTTCGGCGTGGCTGTCGGGGTTGGAAAGGCGTCGGTCATGATTATGGATGGCTGCTCGGGGACGGTGGATGGAGAAGCCTGACTCGATATCGTAAGGTATATAGCGTCGTTAACGTTTGAATAGCACAGGCGGCGGTGCGATGATAAGTTCGCACCGCCAATCGTGATTGATATTGCGACCGGAATATTTCGATTTTGTTGTTGAAGAAGAGGACGTCGTTGCGGTGTAGGCAGCTGCGGAAAAGGAAGGGTGGTCTTCGGGAGTCACTGTGCAAATCCGGCAGTCACACACACACCTTTTGGCGGTTCTTTGCCTGGATGGGAGGTTGTTGAAGTCCCTGTGCTAACCGTTACGTCGGTGCGATAAGCAGAATGGTGCGCTAAGATAAAGCTAGAGCCCCCCGGCGAGCAGCGCATCTGCAAGAACTCGTCTTCGTCCCATGTTTTATGCTTTCACCTCTCATCATCAGATCAATCAAATCGGCTCTTTTCCATGGGACACGGACACTTTATTCTGAGATGGACACCAGACGCTTACGACTTCATCAGGGAACAACTCAAATTGTCTCCGTCATTTCACATGAATTATATCTGTATAATATGAATTATATCGGCCACAAATGAGACTGTCCGGATGTTCATGCTTTCTCATTTCCGTCGGTTGATACCAATATTAACATTATGACCTCCACGCCCCGAATTCCCTTAAAATTGCGAACACTCACTCGCTCCAGGCCTTGTACACGATACGAGTGCCATAAGTCTCGCCCTTCTTCAGCAACATCTGGCCCTTCCACTCATCCACATTGATAGCATTGACCCAACGGCTCGGCTCAACGCAGAACCCGCTCCTCTTGCCCCTCGCCGGCGCGCCCTCCACCGCAGGCACGTCGATGCCCTCGCCCGTGTAAAACTGGAAAGCGGGCTCCGTGCTGAGGACCTCCAGGTTGACGCCGTTCTTGGGGTGCTTCGCGTGCACGTGGAGCCTCAGCGGCTCCTTGCGCGTGTCGACGGGCACCGAGCCGGGGTTCTCGTTGACGACGAAGCAGTCGTCGACGGCGGGCCCGTCGACGCCCAGCTCGAACGGCTTGCCGCCCTCGATGCCGGGGAACGGCACGGGGCCGCCGGTGGGGATGCCGTTCTCGCGGGGCAGGTGGGCGTTCGTCGCCAGCGTGGCGATGGTCCCCGCGAAGGTCTCGTCGCCGGTGAGGTTGAAGTAAGAGTGGTTCGTCATGTTGATGGCCGTCTCGTCGGCGCCATCAACAAGCTTAGCCTCGTACTCCATGCCCAGCACGGAGACCTCCTTGCCGTCGACCTGTTGCGTGCCAGCAGTGTAGACAACAGTGACCTTCACAGTTCCCGGGAAGCCCTCGTCGCCATCCTCGCTGGTGAGCGAGAACTCGACGCTCTCGCCGCCCTTGAGGCCCTCGACGCCGGGGATCTCACGGGTGCCGACGGGCTTGGGGCCGTCCCACACGCGCTTGCTCCAGGGCTTGATACCGCCGTGGAGGTGGTTAGCGCCGTCGTTGGCCGCGAGCTTGTAGGTCTTGCCGCCGTTGAGGGACTTGATCTGGGCGGACTCGAGGCGGTTCGCGACGCGGCCGACGGTGACGCCAAAGTAGGGAGAGTTGTGCTTCTCGTAGAGGTCCTGGGTCGGGAAACCTTGGACGATGTTGGTGCCGTTGACCCTGAACGACTGGAGGATGGCGCCCAAAGGCAGGAACTCGAAGGGGGCGTCAGTCATGGTGATGTATGGTTATCCGAGCGGATTCCGATGTTGAACAAGACGGTGACTGTGATGCAAGTGTCGTGATCGCGGTTTGCCGATGCGGACGGTGTTTAAATGCTCCAAGAGCGAAATCACGCAACGCAATGGGAGGGATGTGTCCTTTAAGTGCAGATAATTCCTGCGCTGTACTGGCCAACACGTTGAAGCGTGCAATTCAGGCTATTATTGCTTGTATTTGCGCTTCGCAGTGGGGTTTTGGACGAGGATGGAGGGGGAAACCGCTGAAGAGTGGAAATGACGGAGTCTGCGGGGCAGTCGCTCGAGGCGGGGTAATTTGGAGACACCACGACGCTGCACAGAGCTGCTGACCACGCCCAAGCTTCCCCTCTCTCTCCCTGGATGCGCACCTCACAGCAAGACTGCCCATCGGTTATGCTGTCGTCTTACTGGTGCGTTTAGACAGACCTACGAATCAAGTGTTTTGAATGCATCGGAACCAAGCGGCTGAATGGATGGGCAATCTTATTCTTGAGAGGCTCGCTTGTGGTGTAGAATGCCACTAAACCGGATGTCGGGTCTAGGCGCAAAGTGGGTTGTTAGTTGTCCTGAGAAAGTGCCACCAAACCGCCAGTAATACATGATCAATCATGCCCATGTTCATTATCGCCTATCGCCTTCGACCGACATTCCGCGATGATGCCGAAATCAGAGTACGCGAGTGCGCCAATGGTATATAATACAACCTGCAACGAGTGCAATCAGCCAAATCATGTTCCAACAATGAGATATGCTCCTCCCTCAAGACCAAGAAGTCAATGGTTAATCCGAATCCTCATCATCGTCACCAAGGAACGCCAGGTCTGCCCGCGCCTTTCCCCTAGCGCGTGAAGATATGTGCGCCTCTTCGTCATCGTCTTCATCCCCGTCGCTCTTCTCCTCACCAGAAGGTTCTTCTTCCACGATCTTCTTCGCCGGCTGTTCACGCGCCTTGCTGCGTGATGATCGGCCTCCAGAGCCCCAGTTCGCGTTCATCTCCTGGACCGCTTCCAAGTCGGCCTCGAGCTCCCGGCGTTCTTTGATCTCCCGCGCCCGTGCCTCGGAAAAGCGACCGTCCATGCCGATGTCTTCCAACATGCCCCTGAGATGCTTGATTTTGGCTTTCGAGTTGTCCCCATATTGCTTCAGCTCGAAACCCCAGATCTTGCGAATGCCACACTTGACCAAGTGAGACTGTAGCTTCTTGATCTCGGCTTCATCCGCGCTTTCTGGCGCGGCGGCCTTCTTCTCCTTCTTGGGTTTGGCCGTCTTGGGTGCTCCGGCTTCCTTCTTCTTGCGCTTCGGCTTAGGCGGCTCATCGATGACATCCGACAGCTCGCTTGATGTATCGTCCAGAACTGTGGTCTCCTCCTTCTTCTCGCTAGGAGGCTCGGGCTTCTCGGCAGACGCATCGTCATCCTTGGTCTCAGCCGGGGATTTCTCCTTGGCCGCTGCCTTGGGGGATGCCTCCGGCTGTTCGTCTTTTACCTCAGCGTCTCCGTCTTCTTTCTCATCATCACTCTCGGGTGGCGAGCTTAAAGCGTCCGAGTCGCTGTCTTGGACCTTCTCTTCCTTTTTGGCGCGACCGTTCCTAGCTTTAGATGGCTTCGCCTTGACTGGACTCAGCTCCTCGTCAGAATCAACTGTGGCGCGCGACTTCTTGCGCGGAGCTGCCTTCTTTTTCGGCTTAGGCTTCTCAGCCTCCGACTCTTCCTGCTCGGGTTCTTCGTCCGGGGGAGTAGATGATCGCCTTCTGCGTTTCGACGGCGGGGATGCTTCTGTCGATTGGCGCTTGCCGGTCTTCTTAGGTTTCGCGACTACCTCTTGCTCGGGCGGCGGAGACGATTTCGCGTCGGGGCTCTCGAGAAGCTCGGTCTAAATCAAGCCGTGTTAGTCGCGACAAGGTTGATGCGGCATTGCGCGCGTGCGAGGGGCAGGGCCAATTACAGCGAGCTCTTTGATCAGCTTCTTGCTCTTCTCCTTCCACTTCCCCGACGAGAAGAACCCGTCCTCGAGCTCGAGGTCGCTCTCGACGCGTTTGCGGATGTGGTTGACCGTGAGCTGATCCTTGTCGGTTTTGAAGACATCGCGGACTGTTGAGAGGAGCTCCGCCTCGATCTTCTTGTCCGAGGGAGCCATAGCTTAGAGTGGCCGGGGTAGAGAAGAAGGGTATTCTATAACAAAATATTCGAATCAGGAGTCTGAAGGGGACCCGGAGAAACGGGGATTCCGGATTGAAGTGTTCCGCTGAGCTCGAGTAGCTCTGTCGCGGTCGTCGTCGCGTCAAGTCGAGGTATGGAGCGCATCAACAAAGCCGGCGCGGACATGGAAGTGCAGATCAATTGAAACCGGGGGCAGCTGCGACTGAACCAAAGTGGGGCTGAAAGTCACCCGGTGATGGTCCAAGCTTCCATTCTGCTTTGACTTGGCCTTCAAGCTCCTCAGCGAAAAGAAAATGGGAGGCATCATTTCTTCAACCTCACGATAGCTCGACAAATATGCACAGAGGATGGTATGAGCCTCTTGCATGTATTGTCAAAGGATGACGTGGAGTATATCTCCATGAACAGAGAAACCGGCTGAACTAATCAACTACAGGATGTAATGGAATGCCCCGTCAAATGGAGGGAAAGTACGACTAAATACACAGCCCAGCTATACAAATCAATACTCTGCCATATCTCCACGATCATCATGAGGTCGAATCGAGATTATTTCGCTACATCGGCGCAGACAAGACTGGTGCAAGCCTCGATTCGGGCCGGGAGTCAAGGCATCCGACTTTGCGCCGCGCGCGACCCAGTTCAAGGAAGTTTTGGTCCGGATTCCGGGGGAGAAAATGGGGCCTTCGATGTCAGTCTGCGGTGATCCAACGGGGGACCTTGTGGGTTGGATGATTGGGCTGGAGCGTTCTCTCGACTTTTCCATGCCTCATTGGCTGGTGAGACGGCTTGAAGGTTGAAACGTCGCGCAGCTGCCGGGGCTGAAGCTCCTCACCCCTTGATGTCCACGGAAACGGGTGCTTTTCTGGCCTCTCCGTTTCCTTGGACGCGGTTCGAGCCTCTGGGATGACGGCACGCTTGCGTCGTTCCCGGGGCACCAGACGGAGCATGATTTTACCTGTGAGACTTGAGGCTCCTTTTGTCGTTGAAGATCCCAGCTTTTGGTTGCTGTACGATGCCCAATCCATGCAAGGCACTCGAGGCACCGAGCGCAGCGTGTAAGTGAGCATCGTAGAGTCATGGTTGTCGGGAAGACCTCCGGTCAGTCTCATGGAAACCATCATTGTTGCTGAAAAGCCATATGGCAGGGATGGCTGGAGGTCTGAAATGCGCCATCATCCTTGCGTACCCTGGTGGGCCTGCGACTCTGCGTGTGGTCACCAAGCAGAGTGAGAGTGGATGGAAGGAAAAAATCAGAGGCATCGTGAACATTCTCTTTTCTATCGCCGATGCCGTGTCCACTCGGAGCCGGGCTATCCACTGGAGAGCGGGTAATAAGGTAAGGTGCTGAGGACTCCCATGTACCGGTACTTGCTGAACATTCACTCATTCGGATTCAAATGCAGACGAGAGGTCCAGGAAAGTCGGATTCGCGGCCCTACCGAAATATATCGCTCACTAACTATTCGGCCAGACTCATGAATGGCCCGGTAAGCTTTTTGGCGAAGCGAGCAGGCAGATGGCTGGCCAAAATGACAGAATTGACGAGGTGCATAGACCGTGGGAGGCGATTGTAGGGGGCGAAGTGATAACGAGAAAATATGAGGAAAATTGACGAGCAGTGACAGGCCGTCGCAATGATACCTAATAGAATGACATGGGTTGTGTCTGCGCCCAAATTACGTAGAGGGCACCTTAGCACCATCTAGCCACAGCAAGCCAAACATCTGATTGATATCCATCTCTCATACAGACTTCAGATGACAGCGACGGTAAGGATAGCGGTGGTGGCGGTGAAGTTGAAATATAAGCTAACGCGACTTCAGCTCAACAATTAATCGCTTGCTGCTTGGCTATGTTAAAGCATTAGTTTGCGAGCTTGGATTTAGTCAGTTTGTACGTACTTTACAGTCAACGGTTTGTTCTCTCCATGCCTGACAGCAGCACGACGTCACATCAAGTACCTCTACTTCCACTTCTGGGGAAGCTGAGTGTGCTGCTGCCCTGCCTCTGCCTCAAGCAGACCATCGGAATGACATTTTCCTGCTTTCTTTCGTTCTCTCAACACCCTCAACTCACCTCACATCTCACCTTGCCATTTCATTCCACACCCAGCTCACATACCTACACTGCTAGTACCTTGCTGAGTACCCTTACAGTCAGAGTCAGGTATCTCCGTTGCCAGCCGACATAAGGATAATTCAAGTCAATTGGACGTCCAAATCACCGCACCGCAGCCAACCACCAACTAGCCGCCTTCTGCCGCCTCTTCCTATCCCGACTTCCTACTTCTTCCTTCACCTCAACCCAAACGAATACCTGCGCCGGTTCCGCGTTACACTGCTTGCTACCTTGTCACACGTTTTCTCAGGGTATTTGACGCCGCCCTCGGTCTCGAGCTATCTCTGTTGCTTCTTTTCTACCAGCTGGGCAATCGTACCAACAAACAGCTCTCCACCATCAACAAAGCTACCTAGGTAAGCTTGCATCTATCCCTGGCTCGCTCTGCCGTCACCTTTCACAACACCCCGGCTTCAGATTGCATCGCTTCCACGCCAAGTACTCTGGGTCCAGCGAGACGAACCTACATTTACCCCTCCATTCCCCCGCAAGCTCATCCCAGCCTGACAACGACTCAGCTAACACCTTTCCCACCCGCCACAGCACCACTAAAAGCTACTTGACCAGCTGCTGCTCCCCCATCTTCCGGGCACCAGCCGAACCCACGATTTTCTTCCTCCCGACCTTCTTCACCACCGCATCGCCAGGCGAGCTATTCCCACCATGCCTGCGCTCGTCGACGAAGACACCGCCCCCGGGCGCCTCTTGCTCCTCTCGAACCGACTCCCCATCACCATCAAGCGCTCCGACGATGGCAGCTACTCCTTCTCCATGTCCTCGGGCGGTCTCGTCACCGGCCTCAGCGGTCTCTCAAAAACTACCAGCTTCCAATGGTACGGCTGGCCTGGTCTCGAGGTCCCCGACAACGAGATTGCCGGCATGAAGCAGCGTCTCAAGGACGAGTACAACGCCCACCCCGTCTTCATCGACGACGAGCTCGCCGACAAGCACTACAATGGCTTTTCCAGTACGAGTCCTCCCTTGGCGCATTTCTCCGCGATTCAAGCTAACAACCTCCCTCTACAGACTCCATCCTGTGGCCCCTGTTTCACTACCACCCCGGTGAAATCACATTCGACGAGAGCGCATGGAGCGCCTACCGCGAGGTGAACCGCCTGTTCGCCAAGGCCGTCGTGCAGGATGTTCAAGATGGCGATTTGATCTGGGTCCACGACTACCACCTCATGCTGCTCCCCGAGATGCTGCGCGAAGAGATTGGCGACTCCAAGAAGAACGTCAAGATCGGCTTCTTCCTTCACACCCCATTCCCCTCCTCCGAGATCTACCGTATCCTTCCCGTCCGCGAGGCCCTGTTGACCGGCGTGCTCGACTGCGATCTCATCGGTTTCCACACCTACGACTACGCCCGCCACTTCCTGAGCAGTTGCTCTCGCATCCTGTGAGTTACACCCGCCATACCTCGGCGTGCGCCCAAGCTAACGAGACGCAGTGGTACCCCAACAACACCCAACGGGGTGGATTACAACGGCAGGTTCGTCACTGTCGGCGCATTTCCCATTGGCATCGACCCCGAGAAGTTCGTCGAGGGCCTCAAGAAGCCCAAGGTCCAGGAGCGCATCGAGGCCCTCAAGCGCAAGTTTAACGGCGTCAAACTCATCGTCGGCGTCGACCGTCTCGACTACATCAAGGGCGTCCCCCAGAAACTCCACGCCCTAGAGGTCTTCCTCACAGAACACCCCGAGTGGATCGGCAAGATCGTGCTCGTCCAAGTCGCCGTGCCCTCGCGCCAAGACGTCGAGGAGTACCAGAACCTCCGCGCCGTCGTCAACGAGCTCGTCGGCCGCATCAACGGAAAGTTCGGCACCATCGAGTTCATGCCCATCCACTTCCTCCACCAGAGCGTCTCCTTCGACGAGCTCACCGCCCTCTACGCCGTCTCGGACGTCTGCCTCGTCTCCTCCACCCGCGACGGCATGAACCTCGTCTCGTACGAGTACATCGCCACCCAGAAGGAGCGCCACGGCGTCATGATCCTCTCCGAGTTCACCGGCGCCGCCCAGTCCCTCAACGGCTCCCTCATCGTCAACCCCTGGAACACCGAGGAGCTCGCCAACGCCATCCACGACGCCGTCACCATGACCCCCGAGCAGCGCCTGGTTAACTACCGCAAGCTCGAGCGCTACGTCTTCAAGTACACCTCGGCCTGGTGGGGCCAGTCCTTCGTCGCGGAGATGACCCGCCTCTCCCACGAGACGATGCAGTCCAAGACGCTGCGCAACATCAGCGGCAACGTCGTCGGCCAGGTCAGCAAGGCACTCCACGGCGCCATCGAGGGCGCGCAGAACCTGGTGGGCAAGGAGGGCGAGGAGGCGAAGCAGGAGAAGCAGGAAGCATAGCGGCGCAACGTGGACACATCCGGTCGCGAGAGCCGACCATTCATTTTGCTGCCACCCGTTTTTTTGATGAAGGCATGACGAAGGAAGCGAATACATTAACATACCCCCAACCCCATGAACAGAAGGAAGGGCACAAGGGGGGTATGAAGCCAGCTAGCAACATGAGCGAAAGAATTTTCATAGGTAACGCCGGGTGGGAGGGGGCATCGAGCCAAGCGGAGTTTCATTTTGGGAAGGCTTAGACACAGACACGTAAATCACACAACTTACTACTACTCTCTTGTTCATACTCGTCGTGTTTGTGTATTGCTTTGGTGATTAGACTATCTACCCTAACTAACGACAGATGATCAATTATGGCAGTTAACAAACAACGCACTTACATCAAGGACGGCAATGTTGGAAATCGAGTGTATTGCTTGGTCGGATGAAACTACCAAAACAAGCCGATCGTTCTCATTCGAAATTTCGTCTCATTTGGGTTGGATAAAAAGGTATCTAAAGAGAACTCTCATCTGCTTGAGCAGACAGAAAAGAAGAGAAACGCGAAAAGGCTATTGGAGCAAAACATGAAGCGAATCGTGCCTAGTGCTGTAATTCCATTCCCGTCCCCTTTACGCCCGCCGTCATCAAAAGACGTCCAACATCAACATCACACATGATAAGAAAACCAGACAGACAGTGTTGTATCCTTTGGCAATCAGTAGGGCGAGTCGACAATGTCGTCCCTGCCCAGCTTGTAGCGACCGCTCTTCGGCGTGCTGATGCGGCCCGAGTCCCTGCGTCCCATGCTCAATCTGGCCCAGCCGGGGCCGGCGATGCTCTCGCGAGTGGGGCGCTTGAGGCCCTGCTTGCCGACCATGTTAACCTCGTTAGGCAGGGCGACAATGACGTTCTTGTCCGATCCATACTTGAAGTCGTCGGCCTTGACCTCCTCAGCGTAGCGCTTAATCAAGTAAGGCGCCTTGGCACCACGGACGACCTTCTTCAGGTTCCACTCTACAATATAGGGACCAGTGGCTGTGATGATGCTTGTCTCTTCAGCGCCCGCTCCGGTGTTGAAGCGTGCCGGGGTGAAGGAGACGGGCTTGCCGGTCTCGTGGGCGAATTGGGCCACGTGCTCGGGGGTGAGAGCCAAGCGGCGGGGCTGAGGCTTGGAGTCAGCCGCGAAGGACTTCTCGAATCCAAGCTTGCCCTCATTTTTGCCCGACTTTTGCATAGCGTCAATCAGCAAGATGTACGTTCTGCAAGTTGCTAGGACCCAGCGACCGTCTGCGGAAGTATCGAGGCCGATGATGGCCTCTCCCAAAGCAGGAATGTGCGTCTTGGCGTTGATACCGAGGCGATCGAAAAGACGAACATCTCCCTTGTTGGACGCGACGGCGATGTATCCCTTCTCTGTCGTTGAGATGGCCGAGAAGTCGTTCTTGGATGCGTACTGCTTGAGCTGGGAGTCAACCAGCTTGGAGCCTGCCAGACGGGGATCGACACGGTAGAGGGCATTCTTGGAGATACCGAGGAAGGTCGGCTCGTGGGTCATCTGAGCATACTTGTTCTCGGGAGCGAAGTTAAGAACGGGGATGTCCTCGTGCACATTCCACTCATCGACGACCTTGCCGTACTCCAGATCCATGCGGTAGAGCTTGTTGGGGTCTGACTCGTTCTGCAAGATCATGTTGCGATCCTCGTTGTGAAGCATGACCTTCTTGGGGCTGAACAAAGTGCCCTTAGGAGTCTCGACCTTGGAGATGTTTGTCGAGAACTCCAAGTTGTTGTTCGGTGTGTGCTTGAAGACGCCGATCTTGGAGCCGCGCACGACGAACGAACGGTCATGCTTGTAACCGACGGCGAGCTGGGAGTTGACATTGCCGTCCTCGTCTTTGGTTACAAGGTCATCCTCTTCCTCGTCGCTGTCGTAGTGCTCACTGCGCTGAGCTTCGTCCTGGGCGTCCTCGTAATCCTCCTCCTCTTCCTCTTCTTCTTCCTCCTCCTCTGGGGTATCTTCCATCGTCAAGTCGTTGAAGGCGTCCGTGATGTACTCCTGCTCTCGTTCCTTGATCCTCTCCCACTTTGTCTCATTGAGCTGCTCCCACAGGGCGCGGAGAAGAGCGTCCTGAAACCGCTCAAGGGTGGGCTGGTCCTTGAAGCGGAGTAGCCAAGAGTACGCCGAACCGTCGGGCGAGAACTGGTTGAAGATGAAGGACAGGAACTCGAAGTTGAAGACCGGGTTGATGTCTGCGACGATGGGGATGCCGAGCCAGGCGCGATCCTCGCTCTCGATCTGCAGCCAGTACTCCCATTTGCCGATCTCAGTGACGGTGGCGGTGACGGTGCCATCTTGCTGGACAAAAGAGCCGGAGGGGAAATCGAAGAAGTGCAGCTCTGCGCTCTCGGCAGCGTAGGTACTGAGTGCAGGCGGTGCCTCGGCGGATTTGGGCGGACCCATGTCCTTCTTCTTCTCAGGCATGGTGGGCATCTTCACCGGCGTCGGTTCTCTTTTGGCCGAGGTGTTTGACTGCTTCGGCGGGGTCTGCGGTACAAAGAGGCCGTCAGAGGAGTCGATCGACCGAGCCAAAGTCGGGCTGTGAATGGGACTGGCGGGTGGAATCGGTTGCTCGTCTTGGAACTCGAACTGCTCGAGGTCTGCGTCGGAGGCGGTGGTGTGCGGCTTGCGGTACTTGCGCTCGTACTGGCACTCCTTTGCAATACGCTCAAACTGTGCGACTTGGCCAGGAGACACGACGTTATCGCAAACGAACTCGAAAACGTCGCCGGTGTCACCGCTGAGATCTCGCCAGGCAAGAACCTTTTCCGAACCCTCGCGGAACTCGACACGGAAGTGGAGAGCTTCGTCGAGGAGGAACGTCTTCTCGTCTCGCTCTGCAGCGGCAAGTGCGTCGATCTCGGCGTCTTCTCCTTCCTCTTCAGCCAGAAGCTCGGCCTCGCCTTCCTCGTAGACTCTCTGGATGACGAGCTGGTACTGGAAGTCCTGCGCGGTTCGTCGGATTCGGGCGGCGGCGTCCTTGAAGATGAGCTCGGAGTAACCCTTGGGCGAAAGCGGGCGGACGAGGTAGAGCTGTCCTTGGGGGAGTTCGATCAGAGACTCTTGGTTGCTGGATCCAAAGATGAGTTTGCCAACTGTGAGGAGAAAATGTCAGTAAAAATGTCAGGTTGATGGCGCGAGGCACGGAAAGTGGAAAAAGTCGCCAAACGGCTGGCCGCAAACGGTGATGACGAGCAGGCCCAACCAACAAACACCTCGAGTGCGGTAGAGCAAGAGTGGTAGAGTAGAACAGGGCGTTGGCGCCGGCGTTGGTGAATGGCGGGGTAAACTTACCGTTTCTGAGGACAAACATTTTGAAGTTGGAGAGAGGGGCTTGTGATGAAAGCGGGTAAGGTCGTGGAAGCTATTGCCAGTATTTATGGATCTTTGCAAAGCATTCCCGTCCGACTGGGATGAGTGAGAGGGAGAGACAAGACGATGACGGCGGAAAATCCCAGACCTTGGCCACGAAACAGAAGAGAGAAATTAGGCACTAAAGGTTCGGCGGCGGGAGGGAAGGAAAATGCGTCATAACAAATGGCTTCCTGCGTTTGGGGGTCACGGTCCACGGTCCCTGCTGATGGAGGGGTGAATATCACATGTGGCGGTGCACGTCCCTTTTTTCCTCCAATTCTTTTTCGTCACGGCAACCTGCGGATACGTCAGCCACAGCGACCGGGGTATCACGTGGACCCCTGGAAGCTGGGGTCTGGGCCCAACACGGAAGCGACACCTCAGTGCCACCTACTGCCCTCCTCGCAGGCAGCACTTGCCTTCCGGGTTCTTCTCTGCAACCAACCTGGAAGTTGGCATCTGCGAGAAGCAACGTTCTTTCCTCTGATGAGTAAGATGCCTCAACACTTGATCTTGATTCGGCAGGATCAGCCTACCAGCTGAATTTCAGTTTGAATTAATATGTCTGAAGGGAATTAAGCCAACCCGGAAGGTTTGAACCACTACCCGCGAGATCGAACGAGGTGTCTCTCTTCGTTTGCGCTGAACGAGGAGTGCTCAAACCTTTTCGGGAGAAATGATAATTGAGGGCCATTTCTCCTTCCCTGCTTACATGGACACTAGAAGTAACTGCCTGGTGTTGGCCCAGCCGCTTCTATCCGTCCGCTGTTACGCCACTGAGTTGTCAGAAACTGGGAGACATCACCACCGAAAATCACGAAAGCATCCGACATACTGCGCGTCTTCCGGAAATAGTTTGAAACGATGAAACGAGAGTGACCATGCTATGACAAAAGATCTCAAAGTTTTGCGCCGTGAACCCAGACTACAAACAAAAGCCTACAACTCATCAGGGGTGTTTGCGACATTCTCCGCCTGTCCAATCACTTCTTGCGCATCATCCGCCACCTTCTCAATCTTCTCGCCCTCTTCCTTGACAATTTCGGCAGCGAAATCCTCCGAAATCAACTTGGCAACGTTCATTCCCATCAGCGCGCTGGTCTCCATACAGGAGATAAAGCTCTCCATGCCTGACAGGTAGTACAGGCCATCCCTCAAGATGGGGTCCTGGAACGTGACGCGGGGGTACTCAATGGGATACGAGTTGAAGACGTGAGGATGATACCACGAGATGGGATCAACCGTATCAGCGCTGCCGTCCCCGGCCTTCTCCGCAACGATGCTTGCTGGCACCTTGACGCCAAGAAGCTGCGACAAAAACTCTGCAGTGACCTTCTTGGGCGAGAAAATCTTGTAGATGTACTCATCCTTCAGGGTTTCGGGGTTCGTGGCGGTTCTCAAGGTGCTGATGGAGTAGAACCCGGCCTTTCCAGCACCCTCGGCACCTGCCTTGGCCTCATCCGCGGGGTTGAGAGTGGTGAGAACCGTATCGGGTGCCTTGGAGCCCGGCTCCATGCCAAAGTACTCCGGAGACAGGCGGAACGGCGAAGCGAAGAGCGTGACGTGCAGCTTGGTATAAGGGATCTCGTCGATCTTGTGCTGGAACAAGTCTTCGGCGACGCTGATGTCGCTGTACTGCCAGGGGGTGGCGATGACGACGTTGTCGAAGGCGACCGGGTACTGGTCGGCTTCAGCCTCGGCCTCGGAATTGGTGCTCTTGCTTGAGAGCAGATACTTGGAGCTTGCCGGGCCGGACTTGACCTCGATGGAAGTCACAGAAGTATTGCGGTTCAATGTCGCGTTGCTCCTCTGCACCATGGTGTGGAAAATCTGCCAGTTGCCGCCGATGACCTGCTTGGAACCTTCGGGAGCCATTGAGACCATGGTCTCGAGGCCGTGGATGTACTTCAAGTTGGAGGCATAGTTCACGCGGGTCGCTGCTTGGATGATGTGCTGAGAGAAGAGCTCTCCAATCTGACTGATGTGAGAAGTCGTTCGCAGCTGGTTCTGATGGTTTCAGACGTACCTCGTTATTAGCGAGAAACTGGTCTCCTGTAACAGAAGTGGCCTTCAAGAGATCCAGCTCAAAGGCCCTTTGGGTAAGCGAGCGGAAGGGAAAATGAGGCGCCTCATACAACTGCAAGAAAGTCGCAACTGTTGACTGGACAAGCTTCTGCGCCTTGTAAGGAGCCAGACCGTATTTCCAGAAGAGCTTTGCCAGATTCCACCACTCCCAAGAGTTGTCGTCCTGTGTGTAGACAAACTGCTCTCCGTCCCAAATGCCCAGGAACCCGTCAGTGCCGGATTCGGGTTCCTTCAAGGGAAGCCCGAAGCGTTGGCTGGCGTTGAAGAGGATGTGATTAGCCTCGATGAAAATGGAAGCACCCAGTTCGACTTGCTCGAGCGGGTTGCCGTAAGCTTCCACGGTCAAAGTTCGACCGCCAATATGGTCAGTCTTCTCGAATACGGTGATGTTGACTGGGATGCCGTCCGCTTCGGCGTATTGCTGCAGGTAGTAAGCTGCGGAGGCGCCGCCCGCTCCAGCTCCTGAGCAGTGTATCAGCGGCAAGAAGTTCGAGAGAATGGCAGAGGCGTTCACGTACCAATGATGGCAACCTGCTTGATGTTGCTGTCAACGACGGCGATCTCAGCCTCAGTCTCGGTCGCCGGAACGCCAGTCAAGCTGAGCGCGGAGAGCACAGCTGAGAGCTTGGACCCCCACATTGTGTAGCGTTGAATTGTACGTCAGTTAAAGGTTGTAATTTGATGAATTAGTTCAGTTAAGGAATGATGAGAATGAGTAGGAGATGGAAGACGTCAATACATGCTTGGGTGATGAGAATCACGAAAAAGGGAGCATGAATAAGATTCGTAATTCATGTCCCCGGGAGGTCCCCAAATGAATTAAACTCAGGGTGAGTAAACAAACCGCCGCTTTATTGGAGTCTGTCGTATCACTGCGTGGCTTTGCACCCTCCTGGACCAGGGTGAAGCTCAGGGGAAGACTTGACTCCTTTTCAGTCTTCCATCAATCGGATACAAGTCAATTTTAGATTTCTCTTGAGATCAATCACCACAGACAGTTTTAAGGAGGAACAAGGATGTAGAAAATTAGTATAAGGTAGCTTCCTATGAAGCTCAACTCGTCTTCCCAGAGTCTCAGCACAGCTGGAACATCCTCCCATAAAGCGGCGGTTCTGTCATCCAGTGGAGGTTTCATTTCAGGTGGTCCCCAGAGACCCCCAAAGTCCCTGCACCCGCCTGCCGTGCAGCAGCCGTCAGCCGCTAGAGACGCACAGACCATGGAGAAGGTGTCGCCCCGTTCGATGCATACAGCGAAGAACGATCTTTATGCATGCATCTAAACAGCTATATCCTCTAATGGTGTCAGCCATCACTCAGGCACCGAGCCAGCACCTTCCACCGTGGCTGACCGCCTGCCACCTCAAGGCAGAAAAAAAGTCACCACCACAGTCCCGCATCTGAAGCTCCCCGGCCAGGTTGACCTCGAGAACACTCCACGCCTGGTCGCTAATCCAATAACCTCACCGACCGATACCCCCCTCACGATCCCCTCGACGACCTCCAGCGAACATGTCTGCGGCCCAACTGCTCAACCCCAAGGCCGAATCCAGGGTGCGCCTACCTTTTTTTCTGCCGTCCCGGTGTGTGTTGCTAATCATTGAAGTAGCGGCGGGGTGAGGCCCTGAAGGTCAACATCAGCGCCGGTGAAGGCCTCCAAGATGTCCTCAAGTCCAACCTCGGCCCTCTGGGCACCATCAAGATGTACGACTTTCGAATGCCCGCTTCTTGGAGATAGTTGCTAATATACCGCAGGCTTGTTGACGGTTCCGGTCAAGTGCGACATACCGCCCCTCTTCCCCTGGACCGCTGCTGATGCGCCCCGAACAGATCAAGTTGACAAAAGACGGAAACGTCCTCCTCAGAGAGATGCAAATACAGAATCCCACCGCCGTCATGATCGCGCGAGCTGCGACCGCCCAGGACGACATCTGCGGCGATGGAACGACGTCGGCTGTTTTGTTGATTGGCGAGCTTCTCAAACAGGCGGACAGATATATCTCGGAAGGCTTGCACCCCAGAATTATCACCGATGGTTTCGAGATTGCCAAGGTCGAGGCTCTTAAGGTGCGTCACAAGCGGAGGAAAATGCACTCGAAGATGATGAATTGACTGGTTTTAGTTCCTCGATAGCTTCAAGCTTTCCAAGGAGGTCGACCGCGAGCTGCTCCTCTCCGTCGCCCGCACATCGCTGTCCACGAAGCTCAACTCCAGCCTTGCGGCCAAGCTTACTCCCGATATCGTCGATGCCGTGCTCGCCATCTACCAGGCTCCCGCCAAGCCCGATTTGCACATGGTTGAGATCATGAAGATGCAGCACCGTACTGCCTCCGACACCCAGCTCATCAAGGGTCTGGCTCTGGATCACGGCGCCCGCCACCCCGACATGCCGAAGCGCCTCGAGAACGCCTACATCCTGACGATGAACGTGAGCTTGGAGTATGAGAAGACCGAGATCAACTCCGGTTTCTTCTACTCCAGCGCGGAGCAGAGGGACAAGTTGGTGGAGAGTGAGCGCAGATTCGTCGATGCCAAGCTGAAGAAGATCGTCGAGCTGAAGAAGGAGGTTTGTGGCAACGACCCCAGCAAGAGCTTTGTCATCGTCAACCAGAAGGGTATTGACCCTCTGTCTCTGGACGTCCTGGCCAAGAACGGCATTCTTGCCCTGCGCCGCGCAAAGAGGAGGAACATGGAGAGACTGCAGCTCATCTGCGGTGGTATCGCACAGAACAGCGTCGACGACTTGACGCCCGACGTTCTGGGCTGGGCCGGCCTTGTCTACGAGCAGACCTTGGGCGAGGAGAAGTACACCTTCATTGAGGAGGTCAAGGACCCCAAGTCCGTTACCCTTCTCATCAAGGGCCCCAACGCACACACCATCACCCAGGTTACCGATGCTGTCCGCGACGGTCTCCGCAGTGTCTACAACATGATTGTCGACAAGAGTGTTGTTCCCGGCGCTGGCGCCTTCCAGGTGGCATGTGCTGCGCACCTGAAGAGCGACGCCTTTGCCAAGACGGTGAAGGGTAAGGCAAAGTGGGGTGTTGAGGCTTTCGCCGACGCCCTCCTCATTATTCCCAAGACCCTGGCTGCCAACGCCGGTCTCGACATCCAGGATGCCCGTAAGTTTGATTCTCTTCTCATATCACTGATGCAAAGCTGACATTGGACAGTCGCTGCTCTGCAAGACGAGCATGCCGACGGCAACGTTGTGGGTTTGGACCTCGCGACGGGTGAGCCGATGGACCCCGAGCTGGAGGGTATCTTCGACTCCTTCAGGGTGTTGAGAAACTGCATCGCCTCTAGCTCCAGCATTGCATCCAACCTGCTGCTCTGCGACGAGCTGCTGAAGGCGAGACAGATGGGCAGACAAGGCGGCCCGGGACCTGGTATGGACGGACCTGAGGCATAATGAGTTCACCGGATTTCATTGTAAACTACTGGCATGGTAGACAAAAGGGCGTTGCGCTTAGACCTGTCATAAGCTGAGAATTGGAATGATATCCATTTACGAAGAAAAATGCCGAGTGGATGCGCTCAATCCTGTCTCATTGATGCTTTAGCTTGTAGTGACATGAGCGGTGGTTGTTGTCTTGACCCCTCGCCAAGTGCGATAAGATAAGCCCCGCATCGAATATTTTGAAGTGCCAAAAAATCTTGACCCCACGTTCGACGGCCCAACCCAGCAGTTGCACGGCACACGCAAACAGCATGGCAGACTACGATAGCGATTCCTCTCAAGAGGAGTTCACCGAAACCAATGTGCTCCTCGGCTACGCCACTAAGGATGCCGACGACGACACAATTAGCCGTCTCGGCGGCCGACCCGTAAGTACTTACCGCGCAAAACAGCTTCCTTCGCGTACCCCGCCAGAAAGCGCTCGTCGAACTGACTGCGAATTCGCAACTCTAAAGGACTGGCTGAACCCCGAGCAACCGCCCTCCGCAGCTCTCGCCCGCTGCAAGGTCTGTGACGACATTATGGTCCAGCTCCTTCAGCTCAACGGCGAACTCCCCGAAAAGTTCCCCGGCCACGAACGCCGCCTCTACGTCTTCGCCTGCCGCAGGCCGACCTGCCGGCGCAAGCAGGGCAGCATCCGCGCCCTTAGAGGAGTTAGGATATCCAATGACGCACCTGCAGTCAGCACAAAAAAGGCTCCCGCGCCAAAGGAGGAGAAGAAGAAGGACGAGGAGGAGAAACCCAAGAACGACGGCCCAGGCCTAGGCAGCGCCCTCTTCGGCGGCGGCTCTGGCTCCTCCGCAAACCCCTTCTCGAGCAACTCGAACCCTTTCAGCACGGGATCCTCAAGCAGCCCCTTCAGCACCGCCGCGCCGTCCTCAAACCCCTTCTCGAAACCCGCCGAGAAGAAGGAGACCCCGGAGCCCGAAACGACCACAAAGACAGACACAGACGCAGCCGCGGAAGCCCTCCCCAAGACCTTCGCGGAAACCCTCTCCCTAAACAACCCTCAAACCCCCTCCGGCCCGCCGCCTCTCCCGGAACCCTGGCCCGAGACCTCCTCCTCCTCCTCCCCCAAGCCGTACCCGGTCTCTTACCTCGCGGACGCCGAGTACGAGACGCTGGACCCGGAACCGGCCGCCGTGCCGCAGAACGCGCGGATGGAGGTCGACGCGGACGGGCCCGGCGGCGCGGGCGGGTCGGCCGACACCAAGGACGTGTTCGAGTCGTCCATGGACGCCGTGTTCCAGAAGTTCGCGGACCGCATGGCGCAGAACCCGGAGCAGGCGATCCGGTACGAGTTCGGGGGCGCGCCGCTGCTGTACTCCAAGGCGGACGCCGTCGGGCGGGCGCTCGCGGCGTCCGGGGGCCGGCTGCCGCGGTGCGGGAACTGCGGCGCGGGCAGGGTGTTCGAGGTGCAGATGACGCCGCACGCGATCACGGAGCTCGAGGCGGAGGAGCTGTCCCTGGAGGGCATGGACTGGGGCACGATTATCGTGGGGGTTTGCGAGGCGGATTGTCAGCAGAGGGGGGTCGAGGTTGGCGCGGACGGGTATCTTGAGGAGTGGTGCGGTGTTCAGTGGGAGGAACTTGCGAAGCGTGGAGTGTCGGGCGTGGAATCTCGTCCGGAGTAGGTTAGACAAAAGTATGCAAGACACGTGGAATGATGAACTTGTTTGTATGACATCTCAAAATATTTTGTGGCATGTCTCATATTCGGGAATATCCTCTATGGCTCCCAATTCCAAAGGTCACATTGAACGCCGGTAATTTTGCCGCCATGCTTTCTCTTCCAGCCCTGAACTCCATGAACGGAGCCGTCAAGCAGCCAGGGGGATCGTCTCCCCTGATGTCCATCCTCTCGCCCTCCACGTCTCCTTTTTCATTCTACCTCTCTTCAAGCAGTCTCCTCCCATGATCTCCGGAGAACCCTCGAGAACATGTCGACGCTGACGTCCTCCCTGATCTCGGCCTTCTTGGCCTCGTTCTCTGCGTTGCGGGGGATGGAGACGACGCCGTTGTCGCCGACGGTCCAGCCGGCGACCTCGGAGGCGAACTTGGCGGTGGCGTCGGAGCTCAGGCCGAGCCAGGACTCGAGCTGGGAGAGGGAAACCTCGCGGAATGCCTGGGAGACCTGGCCGGCGATGTTGGCGCGGATGAGGTCCTCGAAGCCGGAGATGTCGGCGATGAGGTCTGCGCAGAGGTCGTCGCCGTCGATGGTGTTCCAGAAGCGGGCGTACTGGGCGCCCTCGAGCTGGCTGTTGAGGGTGCGCAGCTTGGTGACGGCCTCGTGGAGCTCGCCCTGGGCGGCGGCGGAGGCGTTGATCAGGTGCAGGGCCAGGCTGAACTGAGGGGAGGGGAACTGGGTCATGGCCTTGACGAGGATGTTGGTGACGATCTCGTCCTTGATGCGGTCGGGGTTGAGCTGGTACCTGTTTTGGGGGAAGAGAGAAGAAACTTGTCAGCGTATCTGCTCGAGAGGGCGCGCGTGCTATGTGAGAGATAGTATTTCCGGATTTTATGTTCAGGTATCACCACGGTTTGACTTCAGTTGCGGTCGGTAGTTCATGACGGAACAAACCGGCGCAGGTCAGGTAATAGGAAACGTTGATGGTCATCATGTAGAACCGGCGCAAGACCAACGAGACGGGGGCCAAGGATATGAAGAGGAGTCGACGTCGAAAGGAGGTGATGACGGCGCGACGAGTGGTGAAGGGCGAGGACTCACAGCTTCAGGAGTGTGCGGTTGGCGTTGCAGTCGCAGTACTTCTGCTCGCACTGCTCGGCCAGGTAGCCCTCGAGGTGGACGACGGCCTCGGGGTTGTAACGCTCGAGGCCATTGATGATGTTGACAATGTATTCGGGCCGCTCGGGCGGATCTTCGCCGTTCAACATGGCTGCTGGATGGTTGTGCTGTGGTGGGCGGGGGGTATCACGGGGGTGTGTGGTGTAGGTCGGATTCGAGGTTCGTTCGTTCGTTCGTGGAGGGGGGGCTTCACGAGAGAAAACCGCTTTGGTGGGGCTGGTGTATTTTTGCTGAGGTGGTTCTCTGCCTCTGCGGACCGCGCGCACTTTGGCGACCACCAGATTTCTCAAAGTTTGTGTGTTAAAGTGTCGCTTGACAAATCGGGTTTAGCCTTCGGGGATAGGGGAAAGGTGTGGCCGAGCTGTCAACCGAAGTCAAAACAAGACGATGCTGACTAAGCAGCTGGATTGGGAGCTTGGACCCTTGTTTTCTGGTGCAACCGGCGTCATTGACTGAGACGGCCTGCAGGGGTAAGATCGTTAGTTACCTAGTAGTGAATAGGAACAACTCCGAGATGATGTGACTTTGTTCTAGAATTTCACTCACTTGAATCCGAATCTTATCTGCGTCACGTCCTTCGTTCTTTCCCCGTTTTAGCATGGTTGCGGTTTTTATTTTGCTCCGTTGATCTCGCCGCAATGCCCAGCCCGTCCAAAAAGAGGAAGCTCAACGACCAGTCTTCATCCGCAGTACCCTCGAGGGGATTGGAGTACTTTTTCTCCAAGCAGAGGCAGAATGGCAGTTTAACGCCAAAGGACACGCCAAAAGAGCCACTCGATAACACGGCGGGCGCTGATGCGGCCAACAACGGACATTCGGAACTGACGGATGAGGAGCTTGCGAGGAAACTCCAGGCCGAGTGGGATGCCGAAGTGCAGAATGAGAGAGCAGCCTCAACGCCATGTCCAGAGCCCGAGAACGAGACGGCGCCCCAGGAAGCTTCCGTTCCAGTTGACCCGCCAAAACCAACAGTTGTCCTTCCGCAAGCACCCAAGAAGAACACCCTGTCACTGTCATCCGTAGCCAACGCCGAAGACACCGCTTCATCGACGATACCACTGGACCAAAGCCCATTGACGTTTGACCCGTCAGAATTCGTGCCTCTGCTCCAAGAGCAGTGGGCTTCAGAAGGGGGTCATGCCTCGTACGCATTTCTGACAAGATGTTTCGTCCTGGTGAACGGCACGCAGAGTCGAATCAAGATCGTGGACACACTGGTCAACTGCATCAGGGTCCTAATCGACGCCGATCCGGAGAGTCTGCTCCCGGCCGTCTGGCTTGCGACTAACGCAATATCACCTCCTTACATCTCCTTGGAACTTGGTCTCGGTGGGTCAGCGATATCGAAGGCGCTCAAGCAGGTTTGCGGGTTGGATTCTCGTGCTCTCAAGGCGATCTACGATAAGCACGGCGACGCGGGTGATGTGGCTTTCGAAGCGAAGAAGAAGCAAAGTTTCACCTTGCGCAAGCCCAAGCCGTTGACCATCCAGGCTGTCTACCAGTCTTTAGTGAAGATCGCGAACAGTCAAGGCCAGGGCAGCGGCGAAGCCAAGCAGAGGATCGTTGATCGGTTACTTCAGGATGCCAGAGGTGGCGAGGAAAGCAGGTACATTGTACGGACGCTTTGCCAACATGTAAGTCACTCTTTCCTGTCACACATACAACTACTGACGCTTATCGCAGCTGCGCATTGGTGCTGTGAAAACGACCATGCTGATTGCTCTCTCTCGAGCATTTCTATTGTCGCGTCCTGCAGGGGCCGAGTTTCCCTTACGGTCTACGAAAGACCTGCAGAAGCTCAAGAAGGATGAGCTGGCCGAGGTGTGGAGCAAAGCCGAAGAAGTCGTCAAGGCATGCTTCGCCCGACGGCCCAACTACAACGACCTTGTCCCGGTATTGTTGGAGATTGGCGTCTGCGATGAACTCCTCCTCCGTTGCGGCCTCACTTTGCACATACCCCTCAGACCCATGCTGGGCAGCATCACAAGGGACCTCTCTGAGATGCTTACCAAGCTTCAGGGCAGAGACTTTGCCTGCGAGTTCAAGTACGACGGCCAACGTGCGCAGATCCACTGCGACGAAAAAGGCAAAGTTACCATCTTCTCGAGGCATCTGGAGCTCATGACGGACAAATATCCGGACCTGGTCGCCTTGATGCCAAAGATTCGTGCTGAAGGCGTGGACAGCTTCATCATGGAGGGTGAGGTCGTCGCGGTGGACAGAGAGTCTGGAGAGCTGAAAAACTTCCAAACTCTGACCAACCGCGCGAGGAAAGACGTGGCCATTGGAAGCATTCAGGTAGACGTCTGCATGTTCGCGTTTGACCTGATGTTCCTGAACGGGCAGCCGTTATTGGATAGACCGTTCCGAGAGAGGAGGGAGCTGCTACGGTCCATGTTCATCGAGGTGCCTCACCAATTTACCTGGGTCAAGAATCTTGACGCAACGTCGCAAGACTCGGACGCCGTGTTGGACTTTTTCAAGCAAGCTACAGACATCAAATGCGAAGGCATCATGGTCAAGATCCTCGACAACCTGACAGACATACCATACCAAGGCGACGACACGACCGAGGCCGATGGAGAAACCGTCGAAGAGCCAAAAACACCGTCGAAAACAAAAAGAGGAAAAGCCAATAAGGACGAAGAAGCCCCTAAAAAGAAAGGCCGCCGCAAACCCCTCCTCGCAACATACGAACCCGACAAACGCCTCGACTCCTGGCTCAAGGTCAAGAAGGACTACAGCTCGAGCTTCGACACCCTCGACATGATCCCCGTGGCGGGCTGGCACGGACAGGGCCGCAAGGCGAAGTGGTGGTCGCCCATCCTCATGGCCGTACGCAACGAGGACACGGGTTCCCTCGAGGTGGTCTGCAAGTGCATGTCGGGCTTCACCGACGCCTTCTACAAGGCCAACAGGGAGTTCTACGACGACGGCGAGGACACGGGCGAGCGGAAGAACACGCGCGCCCGGAAGCCCGCCTTCGTGGAGTACTCCGGCCCCGAGCCCGACGTGTGGTTCGAGCCGCAGGAGGTGTGGGAGATGGCGTTCGCGGACGTGACGCTGAGCCCGACGTACACGGCGGCCATCGGGCTGGTGAGCGAGGAGCGCGGGTTGAGCCTGCGATTTCCGAGGTTTTTGAAGAAGCGCGAGGATAAGGGGCTCGATGAGGCGAGTACGAATGAGTTCCTCGCCGGGCTGTGGAGGAAGCAGGAGGCCAAGGCGCCCGCGAAGGAGGTTGCTGGTGATGAGGTTGAGGAGTGAGGTATGAGAAGCGGATTGGTGCGTTTGTGTCGTTGCGAGATACCATCCAAGAGTAGACATGTACGAGACCTGATTCGGCACCACCTTCCTCGGAGCCGACGTTGTGATCTGCGAGAACTCGGAGATAAATTGGGGCATGCGGCCGTCCTCACTTGCTGGAGAGTGCTTGGCATTACCGATGAGGCGGGTGAGGACTGGCATAAATGGCTTGCCGCATGGGGCTCTCTTGACTACTTCCGATACCCGGATACGGCTGGGTGATGAAACGTGACGAGAGATCGCGCCGTCCCCCTTTAGTGAGAGCTGAGATGCCGCTACCCGTTCCTCGGAGCACACCCCTCATCCCACCTCAGCCGATTTCCACTATGGCCGTGGACGAAGAACAGACGCCGCCGGAGACGTACCTGGTGAAGCGAACGGCGTACTGTCCGAACAGCGATCTTCCCGTGTTGGTATACCGAGGCGTTCTGGGGGGTTTGGATGAGGATGGGGTTTCGGAGAGACTGCAGAGCAACGGGTGGGTGAAGAAGGTGAGTTGTTTGTTCACTTTGTTTTCGATCTTGGTCGCAACTTCGTACGAAATGAGAGATGTGCTGATTGCGATTTGTATGCCAGGGTACATGGGGTACCATCAAGTTGCAGCATTTTCACCCAAACACACATGAATGCTACGGTTCGTCCTCACAACCCAGAGAAGTGACCAAGTTTCCCCGACTGACAAGTCCCATAAAACCAGGTATCTTCCAAGGCCGCTCGGAACTGGTCTTTGGCGAGGGCAGTTCCGACGCGCCCGGGACTGGTGTAAGATGCCAAGTACGGGCCGGCGACGTCGTCGTCGTCCCCGCCGGGGTGTCGCATGCCTCTGTCCCCGAGGATGAGTCGGCGGCCGGGGAGGAGGACGAGTACCGTTACGTCGGCGTGTACCCCGAAGGATCGCCAGACTGGCGGTACGAGCTGGGCAAGAAGTCATTCGAGGAGAAGGGTGGCCTCGTCGAGGAGGTTGCGGGTGTTGGTGTGCCGCGGCATGATCCCGTGTATGGGCTTGGCGGGCCGTTGGTGACGATATGGAAGACATCGAGGGGTGTTTCTGCGGTTTAATCGGTGCTTCTTCGTTCAGTTTCGTGCATATGCTTTTGGATCGGTACAAATGCTTTTCTGTAATAATATAAATGCTCGTCTGTACTGGACAACCACGGGAAGGTATGTTAACTTCGTTTGCTTGCTCTTTCGGTTTAGAGTAATTCGCAACCGTACGTAATACAAGTAGGTTCCAGTTCCTCATGAACACAATTTTATACAGAGTGCCTAGCCACGAAGTATGTGATTTAGTCTGGGCTGGGCCAATCCGAGGCACAATCCCATCGTCAAACGCCCACCCAACCCGCGCTCCTTCCCAACTTCCACGTTCAAAGGTATATGCCCCTAAAAAAAGGCAGCGCTCTCACCACAAGTTCAACAGCGATAGCCCGTCCGCAAGGTCAGTTGGCCGAGTTGGTGAAAAGCGTCATACGCAGCCTAGAGGCCCTATAAGTACCACCCAAATTCGAGTCTCTAGTATCTTGTGTAATAACTCGAGGTGGCGCGCTATAGCAGCGCGTTGAACAGATCCCCCGTTCTGTTTTTTGCGTCGTTTGACTACTGTTGTCTTTATTTTGCTCTTCTTCTTCTTCTCCCGGTTTTGAAAATGGATTGGAAGCTATACAATTTCGCTTGAGGTGGAGATCATGCTGTTTTGCTTTTTGTTTTTTTGTGCTGCAGACGATGGTGACATTTCTCTAGAGCGGTGTAGGACTGGAACCCCAGACGAGCGAGTCCCTCATTCTGACAACATTTATTCGAATTGTTCCTGGTCTTGTCTCTTTCTGTCTGTCCTGTTGGCTTGGGAGCGTACAAGCGATACGGATCCGATCAGGGGCGTTTCCAGACAAACACTCTCCTCGTTGAGCGGAGGTCCGGTTAGACTGGCGTCTGGGCTGGGCGCAGGATCACAGAACTTTCAGATGTGCACCTTCCATTTTACTGATCATTATTTCTACTGAGAGCACTTACTCTGCAGTCCGCCGCAGTTCTCTTTATCCCCAGAACGACTAAAACCCCAAGCTGGCGTGATACGACAGACTGCCGGCTTCTTAACAGGTTTAGATTATCCTTCCCTTCCCCCATTCCCGGTTCGCGCTTCTCTTGCCAAAAGAACTCCGAGGCGCTTGAGAGAGAGAACGGGTTTGGAGTCATTTCCCGATTGCTGATTCACCTTCGAGGTCGACGCGAACCCGGTACTCGTCATAGGGCGCAGGGGGATGGATGGCAGCAAGGTGGAAGATCCCGTGACATCGGTGTTCGGATGAAGCGAGGATGGCGAGATCGATGACCTCAGGTAGCCGTCTTGGTGTCATTACTCGGTTGATCTGATCCGCAGTTCGAACTCGCCGTCCGCCGTTCCGTTGGCGGTCTGGGGCCTGCTACGTCTGCGCATGCCTGGTGTAATCGTCTGTGCCAAGAGTCTTGGTACCGCGATTGATTGAGCTTGTTTTCCAGCTCAGATCTTTCTCACTTGGTCGCATTCATCCTCTGGGCAATCAAGCTGAAGATTGCTACTGAGCCCATGAAGAGTACTGCGTTGTAGAACTGTAAACACATCATCAGTCGGATGAAGTAAGATGCAACCTCGGACCAACTCACTGCCTTCCTAGAAACTTCTCGCTCTTCGTCATCTGATCTGGCCTCGATAAACAAACGGCGCAGGTTTGGTAATGTTGCCTTGGCGACGTCGGTTGTCAGTATTGAAGGCTGTGAGCTTCAACGGTAATGGCTTACCATGGTGATCCTGGTTGTTTACGTCGTTCAAGTAGGAGGGAGTGGTTTTGGTCTCATGCACTTCAGAATGAGGGAACCGAATCAACTATTAGGAATAATTGCCCTACGCTACGTTCGCGACAATGAGTTTGACAATTTTGCACCAAAAAGTATGTCGAAGATGAAGAGAGGTAATACTGGCTGATGTCAAAGACTAAGATGGCTATGTACCTTGGTATCTCCGACGACGAGTGACCCGATACATGCATGCAGCTGAAGTGGGGCAATGTCCATTCACTAAGCGAATTTGGGCTTGCCTCAACCAGGCATTGCCAGGCTGGCCAGGCTGGAATTACGTTAAGGTTAGGGGGGCATTCAACTGGCAGGTACTCCTTCGACCACCTCATCCTCTTGGCGAATTCCGACGGGGTGCGCTCGCTGCATCTCTCCCAAACATCGACGATAAAAAAAACACCAAGCCTATTGCCGCCACATCACCAGCCGTATCGCATTGGATGAGCTTGTCCAGCTCCTGATAGGACTGGCCGTCTCCCCCCAAACCCCTGATCCGTTCCTGACGCGAGTTCACCGTCTACCGAAAAGGCCGTAGCTATCGAGCCCCTCGACGCCGAGTAATACATCAAACACCATGGCGGTCAATCGCATCCGTGGGGCCTTTGCCGTCCCGAGGAAGGGAGAGACCTTCGAGCTGCGAGCGGGACTTGTCTCTCAGTATGCGTATGAGCGCAAGGAGTCGATTCAAAAGACCATCATGGCGATGACGTTGGGCAAGGACGTCTCGGCTCTGTTCCCCGATGTTCTGAAAAACATCGCGACGGGAGATCTGGACCAGAAGAAGCTCGTATACCTATACCTGATGTGAGTCTCTGGCGAAAAGCAAGTGCCGCGCCCCAGTTGAGGTGCTGACGAGTCTGAAGGAACTACGCAAAGTCGCATCCCGACCTCTGTATTCTTGCCGTCAACACTTTCGTACAGGACTCCGAAGACCCAAACCCCCTTATTCGTGCGCTAGCGATCCGAACGATGGGATGCATCAGAGTCGACAAGATGGTGGATTACATGGAAGAGCCCTTACGCAAGACGCTACGAGACGAGTCCCCCTACGTTCGCAAGACGGCTGCCATTTGCGTGGCCAAGCTTTTCGACCTGAACCCGACAATGTGTATAGAAAACGGCTTCCTGGAGTCCCTGCAGGAACTGATTGGTGACCCGAACCCCATGGTCGTTGCGAACTCGGTGCAGGCCCTCTCGGAGATCACCGAAACCGCGCCCGAGACACGAGCTCTTGTGGTGACGCCGGCAACGTTGAAGAAACTACTGATGGCGCTGAACGAGTGCACGGAATGGGGACGTGTGACGATTCTCACCACCCTGGCCGATTACCCTGCTGTGGACGTGAAGGAGTCTGAGCATATCTGCGAGAGGGTAGCACCGCAGTTCCAGCACGTCAACCCAAGTGTCGTCCTGGCGGCTGTCAAGGTTGTCTTCATCCACATGAAGGCCATCAACCCGGAGCTGGTGCGGTCGTATCTCAAGAAGATGGCGCCCCCGCTGGTCACACTTGTGGCCTCCGCCCCCGAAGTACAGTACGTCGCGCTCCGAAATATCGACCTTCTCCTCCAGGCCAAGCCCGACATCCTCAGCAAGGAGCTGCGCGTGTTTTTCTGCAAATATAACGATCCCCCCTATGTCAAGCTTCAGAAGCTCGAGATCATGGTCCGGATAGCGAACGACAAGAACTTTGATCAGTTGCTCGCAGAATTGAAGGAGTATGCTCTCGAAGTCGACATGGACTTTGTCAAGCGCGCAGTCAAGGCGATTGGTCAGGTCGCCATTAAGATCGAGAGCGCCAGCCAGAAGTGTGTTAATGCCCTGCTGGATCTGATCGCCACCAAGGTCAACTACGTTGTCCAGGAGGTCGTCGTAGTCATCAAGGACATTCTACGAAAGTACCCTGGGTATGAGGGTGTCATCCCCACACTGTGCAAACACATCGACGAGCTTGACGAGCCCACCGCAAGAGGCTCGCTCATTTGGATTGTAGGAGAGTACGCGGAGAAGATCAACAACGCGGATGAGATTCTGGAGAGCTTTGTGGATGGCTTCATGGAGGAATTCACGCAGGTTTGTAACCTTCTCCCGCGGACGAAGTCGCAGGGCTAACCAAGACAGACACAACTTCAAATTCTGACAGCAGTCGTCAAGCTTTTCTTGAAGAAGCCGAGCAACACGCAAGGACTGGTGCAGAAGGTTCTTCAGTCAGCGACAACAGATAACGACAACCCCGATATTCGCGATAGAGCTTACGTCTACTGGCGCCTGTTGTCGGGCGACTTGGACGTCGCCAAGAACATCATTCTCTCACAAAAGCCCGCCATCTCCACAACAATGACCAGCCTCCCACCCGCTCTGCTGGAGCAACTACTTGCAGAGCTTTCCACTCTCGCCTCGGTGTACCACAAGCCGCCGGAATCCTTCGTCGGCAAGGGTCGCTTCGGGGCCGACGAAATCCAACGTGCGGCTATCCGGGAGCAACGGCAAGAGGCTGCCGAAAACCCTATCGCGGCTTCCGTGGCGGCTGCAGCTGCCGCCAACGGCAACCCCCCGTCACAAAACAATATCGAAAACTTGCTCGACATCGACTTCGACGGCGCTGCGCCTGCATCGGCCGAACAGAACAGCAACGTCAACACCCCGGACAGAGTCGCCAGCCCCTCGGGCGGTGCTTCTTCTAGCGCAATGGCCGACATGATGGGCTTGTTCGACGCTCCGCCACCCCAGCAACAGCAGCAAGCCGCTGCCAACCCGATGAGCCCCGGAGCCGCTGGCGGCAGCGGTATGAACGACTTGATGAATGGTTTCTCCGGGCTGGACTTCGGGAACACGGGTTCTAGCCAGCCCCTTCCGGCGGCCATGCAATTAAACCAGACCCAACCCGCGCAGGCACAACCTAGTGAAGGCAACGGAAAGAAGACGAACGAGGACTTGCTGGGTTTGTTCTAGACCTGTGACGAATGCGACTGCTTGCATCAGGAGTCCAGGTATGCTGTTGTGGGCACAGCAATTTCAAATAGGTTGATATATGACAAGAACGAGGCCACGAAAAGCCTGCTTCCTTTTTCCACACCCGTCCCTCGCGAACCAAACGTATATACTGGGAAATCGCGGGGGGGTACCTCGGCCCAGAACACCCTATCGCGCACCCTGCAAGATCGTGAATTATGCCTGCCCTAACCGTGTCCGAACCTCATGCCGCGTCGTCACATGCCGTGCTCTTTCGTCTCGTAAGCCCACTGGGGTATGATATTCCTCCTCGCTGCTCTCTCTCCCTCTCCCTCGTCTCTCTCACTGGGCCACGCCCTCGACCCGTCCGCCTACCGTCCCGTCCAGGGGTGGCCCGTCGGTGCGGCCGGTGGCGGCGGTGTCGCGCTCCCACTCGGCCGGGGTCTGGCACTTTGCGCTCCAGGCGTGGATGCGCGCGATCTCGTCCTTGAGCGCGGCGTTGACGAGGCGGTGGCGCTTGAGGGAGGTCTGCTTCTCGAAGGCGGGCGAGACGATTAACGACGTGAAGGATTGGCCGCAGCCGCCTGGATCGAGGGAATGGTCAGCCGGTTCGGAAGAAGGTCCGAGTTGTGCACCGCGCGCGGATGGGTGTTCGCGGGGCTTTGGTGATCCGGCGGCCGGGGGGAGAGGTAGGTATGACGTGGGGGGGGACGGACGATGGGATCGGAGGCGGGGGTGGGAGGAATGTTGCGATTCACGTACCGGACATGTCTGTCACCTCGACGTGGACGGCCTGCAGGCGCTGAGTGAGGGCGTCCTTGAGGGAGGACTCCGTTATTTGGTCTGCCATTGTGATCGTCCGTCTTCTGTGTTTCCGTCGGGGAGGTCGTGGTTTGGTAAGGTCAAGCGGGTTGGTCAGGTCGCGATAAGGAAAGTTGTCGAAAATCAGAGGTGCTTGGGCGTTTTCGGTGATTAGATTGATTAGATGGTGGGGACCCTGCGGGGAGGGGTGCACGGAGCCTGGCCCCACCTCTGTCGGGGGCGGTTCCGTCATCGGGTTCCGCTGTGTGCATCCCCGTCGACACCATTTGCATCGTTGGCTGGGGTTAGCTTGCTGGTGTTGTTGTTGCCCATCGCCGTGTATCAGATTCATACCGAGGTGTTACTCTCCAGACTCGAATCGTTCTTTGATGGCTCGTTATACCGTCTGCTGGCCGCGCGGTTCAGTGGCTTGACACTCCCGTCAGGTCTCGCCCGGGCGTTGTCAGGATCGCGGAGGCGTGGCTGAGTGTCCGACACCGATGAACGAGACGGAGACGGGGCTCTGCCGCCGCCGTGGCTGGTCCTTCAGGGCCCCTTTTGGAACCCGCGACGGCCTAGAATCTCACGATGCACGGAAGGTTGAACGCGGTGGTCGCGCGGATCCGTGTGCGGCGATCCTCGCTTCGGTCAGCATGCAGAAACGGGCGTCACGTCACCGACCGCTGCATCGCGGCCTGGAGGTTTATCGCGATACCGTTGAAAAGCCAAGGGCGGGTTTGTGGCGCAGAATGAAGTTGATTGAGCCTTGCAAAGGTGTTGCTGAGAGCCTAAACTACGCCGGGTTTTCGGATTCTATCTGTGTACCTCCTCGACAACCTGCACCGAGCCATTCACGCCAAATCACTACTATCTAACCACCATCACCCAAAAACAATATCTAACTACTATACGAAACCACCACTACCAATCTCATTTCCATTCTTACTTATCATCCTCCCACTCAGACTTAGGACGTATGTTCTCCTGTTGAGCCAGATTTGGGTCGGTTGCCGGACTGTCGAGGACTGTTGAAAACATAGGGCAATGAAGGGGCGTGGGAGCCACCAAAAGGGCTGCGAGTCGTAGAGGCCATTCGAGTGTCGATGTGAAGGGGCAATCGGCCTCCTCCCCCAGCGGCATGAGTTTCTCGCACTGGAGAAGGCAGGGAGTGCTGACTGCTGCGACCGCGACGATGACCGGGCACAGGCGACGGGCTAGGGCGGGGAAGGAAGACCTTGAGGTCTGCCTCTTTCTTGACGATGAATTTACCACCAAACCACTTACACCAAACCACCGAGTCCAAGTCTCTCCACACCGAAGTTCCCAACTTGCTTGCTCTGTCTACCTCAACCACTCAGCTCTCCTGCTGGGCAGGATGGGTTGGATAGTCGACAGTTGAGAAACGTGGAACCGAGTACACCCGGCAGAAGAGGCAGCTGGGCCCATCTGAAGGATTGCGCGGGCATGCCTGGGGATGTCGCACGTGGTACATAAAGGCAGGCTTCGAGGGGGGATCCGATTGTACCTAAGGTTGAGGGGACATGGATCCGTGGCGTGCTTCGATCTCTGCCAAACGCCGGTAGAGGTCCTCGGTCTCTTGCAACTCCCGATCTTGCTGCTGTCTCCGATTCCGCGTGACGGCATGGTGGCGTTGCCGATGAGCCCGCTGCGCTATCCGCTGCCGCACCTGTTCCGCTTCCTGCTCCAGCGCTAACCGTTGCTGCTGCCGCGATTCCTCCTCCTTGTAACTTTCGTGCCTCCTCTTTTGATCGGCTCCGATGTCCCGTCGTCTGTCGTAGAGGGTCTTGAAGATGGAGAACTTGGGGTATGGGTGCGGCCACTCCACATCCTCTCCTCCCAGCTCTCTTTCCACATACTCAGCTTCTTCCAAAGGACCGAACACGGAGGGGCGAACCATCCATTCTCGGTATTCCGTCTCCCAGTTGCGAAATTTGACCGGATCGGAGGGACACCAGCCTACGAAAGCGTCTACGCCCTTGGGGCCAAACCGTTCCGCTGGGTGAGGTGGATATTTCAGGTACTGAATTATCTGCCGGTCGCCCAGAGGGCCCTTGGCTGCCTTGGTCAGGGACCAGATCTGAACCAGATCATAGCCACCAATCAGAACAGCTCGAGGTTCCTCCAAGTCCTTATCGGTTTCGCCATCATACATGGTGAGAAAGACATTGCCGGGCTCGAAGACGCCGTGCTTGAAGCCCAGGTGTAGGTGTTGAACATGGCCGTGAAGAGCTTGCTTGAAGACGTTGAAGCGAGTATTCTTCTTGAGCTTCAGGCGGACAATTCCCTTACCGGGCTCCTTGGACAGGTGGAAGTGCTGTCGGTGCTTCTCCTTCGGAACGAGGCAGTTGTATTCATCGCGGTCGCAAAGGGACTCGATGGAGCGGCCAAGGATGTACTCGCGCAGCACGAGAGTGACGTATCTGACGGCTTCGTGGCCCTCGGGGCTCAAGGTCTGCGGGCGCATCACCCAGCAGCCGTAGTAGCGGGGCATGGCGTGCGGCGGACCAGCCCACCCAGCGTTGACGAGATGCTCGAAGACTGCGGCGACCCGAGCAGTCGTTCCATCGGCCCGCTCTCGGTTGTTGTAGGGCGCACCGAGGCCGCTGGGGTAGAAGTTGGGATCAAAGACCTCGGCGGCGAGCGTGGTGGTGATGGGCTCTCCGTTACGAGAGAGCTGGTGATCTTCGGCCGGGGATGAGATGATAGTGCAGCAGAAGACTTGGGATGTCCGGTTGTCGCCGACAGCGACGGTGCTGGTGATTCGAAGCATGGCATGATGGCGCTCGGCTTCTTGGGACTCGGTCCAGCCACGGACCTGGCCCGCCGGAAGATCAGGCGGAAGAGGGTTGCGAGGGTACGCCGAAGTGCCGTGGGGTTTGGTGGGCGTGTATGGCCAAATCTTGCATGTCGTTCCAGGTTTGTACTGCTCTTGCACAGTGATGTTAGGGGCGGACATGGCGGTCGAGTACTCCAGAGGAGAGCGGAACGGGGATAGTGTTGGAATCAGTGATTGATGGGCAGCGTGGGAATCGTTGATGATGAGCACGTTGACGGCGCGATAGCTGCGTTGGTGATGGGTGGATTAGTGATAGCCGCGATGAGAATGACAATGAGATGGGCGATGATGGGTGCTCTTAAGGTGTTCCAGATGTGAAGGGGACAGGGCTACCCCGTATATCTTTTCAGTTGCAGCAAACGGAGATGGATGCCCACTCGTGTTGATGGAAATGGCAGAGATCCATGGCTGGCAAAGTATGGTGAGGTGTGGATAAACCCGGCTGGCTGAAAGGTTATAGAGGAAAGTCAACCACCCGGAACAAAAACCCCAGCGCAGCAAAGCCAAAGGCTATGGCGTAGAAGATGGCCTGCAGAATGATCCGCCTAGAATGACTCTCTGGTGATGGTCCCAGCAGCGACTAAACCATGGACAAGGAAAGTTCTTGTCATGTAGGGTATCGAGTGGCAAGCAATTTTTTATCTGAAGTACCTCGATACATGCATGAGTCCTTGGCTTCTCCAAACTTTGTTCCCGCAAGTCCCAAGGGCTCTTCACACAGCACATGGTCGTCATGGATTTGGACCACATATCAAAAACAGCTTCATTTTCTAATTCGGGAAGTCCATCGGGAACCAGTAGATAGAATCCATTACATCTAGCTAGCGCTCTGGAAAGGAAATGTATTAGAGAAAGGGGAAAGAAACACTCTACCTTGATTTCTGCTTCCCAATCACTCCGCGCTTTGCCTTTCTTCAACTGTTGACTACCTTATTTCTTAAAATGACAGGAAGCTGTCAAGGTTCCACTTGCGATACCGGATATTCATGGGGCAGTCACTTTGGACTGGATATTGATGTGGTCTCCAACATCCCGGTTTTGCTGCCAGAGATTCGTAAGTCTTCTCTTCATGCTGGTGTAGATGTTGACGCGGCGTGGTCTCCAGATTCCTGTTATGTTGTCTAGCCTTGCGAAAGTCGAGTACTGCGCATGTGGGAACGGCTACTTGGCGCCCTTGTCCAGTGCCAACTGGTGTTCCACAACGACCATCTCTCTCAGTGGGCTGAAGACAAAGTGGCTCATGAGTGGTAGTGCTGCCGGTCTTCAGATCGGTATTCCCATCAAGCATGATGAGGAATGTATCACCTACGCGGCTCGACGATGTTGTGCTCGATACCGACATGCAAGTGGCGCGTGACGTGAAGGAGAATTCTTTGGTGAAGCGAGGTAGACGTAATCATCGGCAGGTTGTCGGAGTACAAAAAAAGGTCTCTGATTATGGCTGGCATTGGGACGAAACCAGGGGGAGACCGTAATGGTTGATCGTAGCTTCCCTCTCAGCCTAGGTGACATGGCAAACCATCTCAAGATCGCCGGCGAGCGTTTGAATTTTCCAGAATACCTTACTTCAACACTCAACTGTATTAAACAGTACGCCAGGTAGCACCGACCCACTGCACTGATAACATGATGGGGACGACATCAGCGTCGCCGACATCACCGGCCTCAACGTCATCGATATGGATACAAACAGCACTGGAGAAGGCAGCATCGCTGCTGGCATAGCTCCGTCGTGAAGGCTGCCTTCGCCGGTACCAACGCTTCCGCAGCAGATGGAATATCCGGCGACACCGCTGGGCTTACCAGCAGGGTCAACAGCAAGCCATAGCCGACATCGGGACCAACCAGAGCAACACCTTGACGATTCCGTCAAGGTCGCCACCACCGGCTCCGACGTGCTTGCCCACGGAAATCACCAAGTACCGGAAAGCCCGATCACGCCGACTTCGAATGCGATTGATTATGTTGAGTTTTCCCGATGGCTTCTGAGCGACGAAGGCTTCATTTCTCTGATTAATAATATATCGGAGAGACCCTACTGCACCTATGTGAAGCTGAGAGAGGACGAGAAAGACACTGAGAGATGGACGAGGTGGTTGCAAGTATGCCCGTGAATCCTTTTCCCCGATGCGGTCCCGCGTGTTCATCTTGTCGCGAGTAAGGTTTGCCAGATACTTCAGCGACAGGACGAAACTCTGAAAGGCAGGCAACATGCATTCATTGCGTGACCTCCATCCACGGCGTTAAGGGAACTCCAGCGAGGAAAGAAAAAGAAGCAAAAAAAGAATTCTTCCGAAACCGAGAATCGAACTCGGGGCTATGCCTAACCTCGCATCATGGATGAGAGGGCATCATGTTGGCCACTACACCATATCGGATATGTATTTATTGCGAAGGTGCGGCCTCAACGAACCATGTCAACGCAAGACTGTGGAGGCGGAAAACTGTGAAGTGGAGGTCGCTTCGCGGAACCTGCTGCGAGAGGGGTCAGTCGTCATGAGATCTATGGATAGGTAGGTAGAGTGCAGCCAGTCAGCTTAGAGCGGTCATCTTTGTTGTTTTTTCATTGTCCTCGTCGTGGTCGTTATAGCATTCCGCCTCATGTTGTGATGGTCGACTCTCCTGGGAATGGGTGTCATCTGGGTCTGCCTGTTAACAACAGAAGGAAAGTCGAGATTCAATTCCGTGGTGGAGGGATGACGCATAAAGTGGAGGCATGCATCGTCGCGGGGCTTACGTCACTGCAGTGACTGACTAAAATGCATGGCTGTTCCTCACTTACCTAACTTCCGAGACGAAATAATATGCATTTACAAGGGACATTCTTCCACTGATCTTGCCTTCTTCATCCTCAGTGAAGCATCAGAACATCTCGATCAAGAAATCGAAGCTGAATTGAGAGCCAAGCCTGAAGGGGTTTGAAAAGTATGTGTTCCTTCAAAAGTTTTTCAATTCTAATTATGCTCACAGTTCCCAGCAAAAAAACTCCCCCTCATGAACGCCAAGTTGTTGAGGACATCAGCACATATAAGTCGACGAGCTTGCGGGGCTGCACTCACACCTTCATCTCATTTCCTCAGAACGACTCCAAAGTCACCCGGTCCTAAAGCTCACTTCACCACCATCACGAATTTCCAACAACACCACACACCCCTCAAAATGGCGGCCAGCAATAACTACTCTTCCCCCAGCTTCACCAGCTCGGTCGTGGACGCCATGAAGAAGCAGTCAGCCCCCCTACCCCAAACCACCCCCTCATAAGCGGCCACTCACTGACGAACGATCTCGCAGCTACCCGGAAGAGCTGGCCGACAGGCGCTGGGACAACGTCGGCCTCCTCCTCGGTAACATCGAGACCCCGGAATCCCGGCAGCCCAAGAACCCCGTCGTCCTGCTCACGAACGACCTCACCTACGCCGTCGCCGACGAGGCCATCCAGAAGAACGCCAGCGTCATCGTGAGCTACCGTGCGTCTCCACCGCAACCCATCTCCCGAATCCCGTCTCACTAATCCCAACAGACCCCTTCATCTTCTCCGGCCTCAAGTCAATCACCACAAACGACCCGCAACAAGCCACCCTCCTCCGCCTCGCCGCCCACGGCATCGCAGTCTACTGCCCCCACACCGCCATCGACGCGGCCCCCAACGGCCTGAACGCCTGGCTCGGCGACATCGTCTCCGGCGGCCCCGCCTCCTCCTCCTCCGCGACCCCCACCGAGCGCGCCGTCATCACCCCGCTCGCCGCCGCACCCCCCGGCTTCGAGGGCTCCGGGTACGGTCTGCTCTGCACCTTCCGTCAGCCCGAGTCGCTCAAGGCCATCATTCGTCGCGTGGCCGAGCGCGTCGACATGCGCCACGTCATGGTCGCGAGCCCGGATCCCGCGAGGGTCTCGACGGCGCGCGTGGATGCTGTGGCGGTGTGCGCCGGCAGCGGGTGGGATGTTGTCAAGGGCGCCAAGGCGGACGTGATCGTCACCGGTGAGATGAGCCACCATAATGCCTTGAAGGCGGTGCAGGAGGGGAAGACTGTCATCACCGTCTTCCACAGCAACTCGGAGAGGGGGTACTTGAAGGAAGTGATGAAGCCGTTGTTGGAGGGAGAGCTGAAGCAGAAGGAGGCGGGGGTGCAGGTCCTGGTCAGCGAGGCCGATCGTGACCCCTTTGACATTATCGATGTTAGGGAGCTTTGAGGGGTTGCGGAACGGGTTGGTGTATGGTCATGACAAAATGAGGCGGGAGGCTTATACAAAAGTGAAGAGATTCTGAGGCGTTGATCCATGTACTCAAGCACGAGATGCAAATTTTTACATGTGTGTGGCGGAATTGTTAGTCGGAAATCTTTTGAACTGTGTCGTCCAGCTTTTCTGATTGTTCAACAGACTTCTGCCCCGCAACGAATCCAGTCATCCAAACGCCATTGCACCGTCGCTATGCCCCGAAATAGCAATTCCCAGCAGACATAAAACTCTCATGACCTGCCACTATCCTTCGACGTCCGTATACTACTTTCCCCCGTCCCGCCCCTCAATGCCGCATCTCCCTCCTCCAGACACTCCGTCACATCCTTCCCGCCCAGCCCCTTCTCCCTCCAGACTTCCAACAACCGCCGCGGCATCTCCCACGTCTTCCTAGCTTCCGCAATCTTTCCTTCCTTCACCAACTTTCTCAGCTTCTGTGGCGTTCCCAGCACCTCCTTAGCAAGCTCCCTCGTTCTTCGCCTCCTAGCCGCGGCTGCCTGGTCTTGTCTCTCCTTCGAATCGGGCGGTGCGACATTCTGACGCAGTGCGTCGCGGATCGAGCTGGCCTGCGCGTAGATACCCGCAATCGCAGGGTCGAGCGTCGAAGCCATCGGGTTCAGGGGGTCCATGTTGGCACGCATCTATGTAACCGTACGTCTTAGCAACCAAATCCATGAACCGGCGGGTCGAGAGCAGCAGAAGAAGAAGAGAATATAATTTCCTCACCTTTCGAATAGTTTCCGTCGCGGAGATGAGCTTGGAGTAGTTATCGTACACCAGCGCCTTCTTCTCCGCATCGAGCGCCCGTATCTCCCCCAGCACGCGCGTGTACACCCGCAGCAGCTCGTCCAGGGTATTCTCCGCCAGCGCTTTGCGTACGTACGCCTCGGCGTCGAAGGACGGGTTGTCGAGCTCGCTGGGGGGAACTTCAGAGTGCTCCGCGACGCCGCCGCGTTCCGAGGCGTCGTCGGGGGTGACTTCCAGAGACGGCGTCCCTCCGGCCTTCTTGAGGTTGTAGTACTCACGCAGGGCGGCGCGGTTGGCGCGTTTGGACGGTGCCGGCGCGCCGCCGGGACCTGAAGCGGGGGCGTTGAAGGCTGCGGAGGAGCCCGGGTTCGGAGAGCTGGCGAGGGAGCGAGGGGCTTCGAGGGAGGGCCGGGCTGAGGACGTTGGGGTGTGCGGTTGGGCTGAGACGCGCCGCGTTAGGGCGGGTGGTTCGCGAGGGGATGCGATTGTTGACATTGTGTGCGGGGGGGTTGGGTCGTGTTCGTGGTTCGACGGAGATTGTATCGTGGTGGTTGGGAACCGATTGAGCGGTTTCGGGGGCTTGTTGGCGTTCCTCGTGAAGATGGACGGTTCGAGGTGACAAGGCTGTGTCGAAGGATGACGGGGATGCACGCCATAGGCCGGTAGAGCTCCTGTGGGGAAGCCCCTGAACGTCAGCTCTACGGCGAGGCTGCGCTAGTTTGATGCAGACTGGGGGTGCTAATTTCGGGGATCTACAGTGGGGAGGGACCCCACGGCCCAAAAATTCGGGGTACCTTCCAGGTTCCAAGGTTGTCGAGATAGCTACCCCGCTGAAGCTATTCCCATCCAAAATCTGCAGCTTGAAGCTGATTTCTCCCATAACCCATCCACATCAAGATGTGAACTCCCTTCGCAAGCAACATAAAAGATGGACGTCACCACACGCATCCGCGACGCGCTGTCATCCCAATCTTTCCCCGCGCCATCGATCCCCTGGACCACGACCCTAACCTCGCGCGTCCCGACCCCTCCCCTCCCCTCCCTCATCGCGACTGCCAAAGCCCGCCTCCTCGCCTCGGACCTCACGACCCCGGGCCTCCTCGACCCGGCCACCGCGACGCTCCCCGCCCCGAACGCGTCGACCCCCGAGACGGCGCTCGCCCACGACGTGCCCTGCCAGGTCCTCGACGTCGAGAACCTGACGCTCTCGCGGTGGGAGCAGGTCGAGGAGCTCGAGGCCATAGCGCGCGGGGAGCAGACGACGGGGCGCAGGGTCATCAGGGTCGCGCCCGCCGAGGACGACAACGTGCACGATAACGTCGACGAGGGGACGTCCGGGCGGGCGCAGCCGCAGGCGCAGCAGCGCAAGAACGCGACCCATCGGCTTGTGCTGCAGGATTGCAAGGGGCAGAAGGTGTATGCAATAGAGCTGAGGCGGGTCGAGAAGATCGGGATCGGGAAGACGAGTGCTGGGGAGAAGATTGTTCTCAAGGCTGGGACGGTGCTTGCGCGAGGCACGGTGCTGCTTGAGCCCGAGAGGTGTGTGATGCTGGGTGGGAAGATCGACGCGTGGCAGAAGGCTTGGGTGGAGGGGAGAATTGCCAGGTTGAAGAATGCTATCGGCGGCGAAGGGGCGTAGATGAGACGTGGTGGTGCATTACTTGGAGTTTGGTGATACCCATATCTGTCTGTGGACACGGCAAAAGAATGAAATTCTGAACTTTTCTTTTTGATCGACTATCTGGGACCGATTTCTACATCCGCTGACTACCTTATGCAACAAAACATGGCCTGACCTTAATGACACGGTGAGTGAACACGCCATCACCAGACATACTGGTCAACCTCGGTCCAGGAATCCCACTCTCCGGCAACATCTAATTCCCAGAAACAATCTCTCTCAAAGAGCTCCATCCATCCGCAGTCCAGGGAGACAAGAAAATAGCCGTCTGGGCATCCGCTGCAACGCCAGTACCGGCGTATGCCCTGGCCAAATCGTCTGCTTCGAGCGTTCCGCGAGGGGGGACGCCCTTCTTAGCCACGGTCAAGGCCATCTCGGCGGGATACTGTTCGCCGCCGAAGCCTGCCAGGTTCGACCATCCGTGAGGAAGATGGGGATACAGCATAATGTCAGTCTGGATCTGCGTCAAGACATCTTCATCTGTGCTCGTCTCTCCAAGCTTCGCGATGGCCCCGAGCACCTCGCCAATCTGAGACTGCTCCACCTCCGCAACCTTATCGCTGGTGCGGAGACCCTCCAGTTCGGAGACGACGGCCTCGATGGACTCCTCATCGTTGTCGAGAACAGCGATGACACCGAGGAGAAGAACTGACTGGACATGGTCTGGGTGCTTCTCAATGACCTCGAAGAGGGAATTGCGAGCCTTCTCGCGGGAGCTCTCTGAACCAATAGCCCAGAGAACTTGGGCCAGGAGACACACGGCATCTGCGTTGCCATCGGATTCTTCCAGGGCCGACTCGAAGCAAAGGAGTGCTTCATTGACATCCTCACTGTAGTATTGCGCCAGGCCCACCGTCAGGTGAGCGGAAAGGCGAGCCTTCTTGCGTTCTTCCTTGGTCAATTCGTTGTCCGATTCGTCGCTGCTCAGCTGAAGTGCCATTTCGCCGCACTCGATGGCTTGCTCATGCGATCCAGACGCCAAGTACGATCTCGCCAAATCCGCCTTTGCCAAAGCAAACTGGGCGAGGGACTGGGGTGACTCGGTAACCTCAAAATCAGCTTCCAAAATACCGCAAATCTTCTCCAAAATCTCGACGGACTTCACATTATCGTGAGTACGCTCCAAGAACATGGTCGATAGGTGACCATATGCCAGATCCTGCGGCTTTAGGTTGTTCAGCTGACCGAGAGCGAAGATGGGTTGGATGAGCGAGGCGATGTTGGCGGACGTAGTCGTCAAAATGTGATCGAAGACAGACACGGAAAATTGACGCCTCGTGAGAGCGGAAGACGATTCTGCAATCTCCATGGCATGGGTGAACAGACCTCTGGCATCTTTCGTCTTGCCGAACAGGAGTGCCACAAAGCCCTGACCAAGCCAAGCGTGGGCGTAATCCGGATCTGTGGACTGCGCTCTATTGAAAGCCTCGTTGGCAAGCTGCATGTCGCCCTGGAGAAGAGCCAGAGTTCCCAGGTTTGTCCATGCCGCTGGGCTGCGCTCGTTGAGATGCAGGCTTCGAACGAACGAATGTTGAGATACTGCCGGGCTGATTTCGCTTGTAACAACACCTAGTGAGTTCCAGAATTCGGAATTTCCAGCCTCTAGCTCGATGGCTCGCTTGAAACACTTCATGGCGGTCTTCAAGTAAACACTTGACTTCTTCCTGATGCTAGCAGGCAAGCAGATATGGGCACGATGCTCTGCCCAACCCAAGTTGTAAAACGCAACAGCTTGAGCATGCAAGTCGTTTGCGGAGACGTGGATTGCTCGCTTGTGGCAAAGTATAGTGGCGTGGATGCATCTCGTCAAATCAACACCTAGTCTCTCGTCCTCGGAGAAAAGACCCTTAGCAGAGATGACACCAGTGCCCACATTATCCACGTCGGAGAAGAGGTCATAAGCCTGCTTGTCGCCACCGTCAATCAGGCTCATGATCGTATCTGCAGGGAAATCCACGGCTTTGCTTTGTACTGCTGAGAACACAGAACAAGCATCGGCGAGTGACTTCCAAAAGTTGAAAGTCTCAACGACGGCAGCATCAGCCTTGGATGCGAAGGTGATAGTGTCCTTGGCGAGTTGCACTGCCTTGCCGAATAGTCCTTTCTCGATTGAATCAAGCGCATTGTCGACCAAGGTCTGCATCAGCGCAATGGCCACGCCGTCTTCGTTAGGCCGATCTTCGATGACATCCTGGTAAAGAGCGATGGCGTCGTCGAATTCAGCCAACTCACGCCTGACATTAGCAAGCATGTACTTGGTGAACCAAGTGTCGCCCAGTACCTCCTTCGAGGCAGTCTCCTCTAGTTTCTGGGCGTTGAGGATAGCCTTGGTCGCAGCGATGTAGCGACCGGAGGAGTAGTAACTCTCTCCGAGGCCCACCCAAGAATGATAGTCCTCCGGCGATATCCTGAGAGCCGACTGAAAGGAAACAATGGACTTGTGGAAGTCCTGCTTGTTCAGCTCAGCAACACCAAGCGCAGCGAAAGGCCAGCTGATACCCTTCCTCTTGGAACCCGGAGGGGGCTTGACCTTGCCAGAGTCGACTACTCTCTGGGCCACCAACTCGACTCGATCCCAATCGCCTTCGTCAGCAAACGACTGTGCAAGCCTTTTCGCAGCTTCGACTTCGGAAGACGAAAGCTCTACAGCCTTCTGGAAACAACGCCTGGCTCTCTTCTTATCTTTGGCGTAGTCGGCATAGTAAACACCGAGACTGGTGTAAGCTGGTGCGAAGTTGAGGTTGTTCTTAAGAGAATCCAAGAAATAGACATAGGCACCCGTGCGACTTTTGCGAGCTGCCTTCGAAGTGTCCAGGTTCCACACGCAGGACCCTAAGCGGTATTGTGTTTGGGCGAGAAGCTCCTTGGCTGGAGGGTTCAGCTTTTCAATCAGAGGCAGAGAAGCCTCTAGTTCCATCCTGGCTGTCTCAAAGTCACCCTTCAGTGCTTGGACCCAGGCGGCTTCGGTCTTGACGCGAAGGTTGCTAGGATCTCTCTTCAGCGCGCGGCCGAAAAAGTCGATTGCGTCGTCGAAATCCTCTTCCTCCTCGTAAATAAGACCAACACCGATCAGTGCCGGGGTGGATGATGGGTCATGGGTGAGGACCTCCTCAAACAGCCTCTTGGCTTCGCCGTGATTCCTGGGGGACTGATAGAATACCAACGCCGTGCCAAGGTATAGGGAGAAGGCATCACTCGTGTTCTGGAAACTCATTCCAGTCTTGGTTCTCTCGGCGTTGAGCAGCTCCATGGACTTCCGCATCTGCTCCACCGTGCTCTCGTACTCTTCCAGGTGTTGGTAGTACTCTCCTATAAGACGATGAGCGAACAGTGAGTCTGATGTTGTGATGCCGTCAGTCATCATCAGGATTCTATCCTGTTCCGTCAGGGGCACCATGGATACACCGCCGCCCTCATCGTCTTCACTCTCCTCCTCGGTGTCTTCTGCCTCGAGAGCTGCGGGTGTCGGCTTCGGAAACGGAGAGATGGTGCTTGTCAAAAAGCCGGTGATGACTTTGTACAAGTCTGTTTCCGGGAAGAACGAGCAGTAATCCCTCAACATGTTAACGTCCCACTCCTTGATTTCCTTGGCATCCTTCCAGTTGATGGCAATCTCCCAAGCAAGTCCGAAAGGGTGTTTGATGATGACCATATCGAGGGCCAACTTCAAGACGGCCTGTAAGGCCTGTCCCTTTTCAGGACCATACGGCGCAACCAGCAGGCGATCATAGCACCACTGCAGAAGCTTCTCCTCGTATCTCCGTCGAAGCTCGTCGTCGTTTGTCCAATTGATGAGTTGCTGGTAAACGAACTCGAGCTTGCTCTGGCTGATGACCTCACGCTTCACCTCGAGCGTAACTTCGTTCAGCCGAGCTCCTATCCTCGTCCTGCGCTCGCCGATGAGTGTGTTGATGCGCTTCTTCTCGTCGGTCTCAATGATCTGTGCCATCGTCTCGTAGGTCTTGGCGGGATGCGGTACCCGTCCCTCGAGGGCCGAGTAGATGGGGCTTCCCGGGAGGATAACACTTAGAGCCTCGATGTACTGGGAGGTGTCGCCTTGAGACCTGGCGAAGTCGATGAACTTGTCAATGACGTCTTGGCATCTGTACATGTCTTCCGCGTCTCGGTAGATCTCTGCCAAGCTCACGGCTGCTTGCTGGTACGCTTCTAAGCGCTTCCGATCCTGCTTCTCGTAGAGCTTGATGAGTCCCTGCCATGCCGTTGGCTCTTTCGGCTTCGCCGCCGCGGCAATCTTGTACGCCTTCTCGGCTTCATCAACGCGGTTCTTTTTATCCAGCGCGAAAGCCAGAAAGGTGTTCCTTCACAGAGAGTCAGCAGCGGTTCAACAGAAGCAGGCGCAACGTGAGATTCTTACGCTTGGTAGTGCTTTGGGTCGCGCTCGAGAAATTCGCTTGCCTTCTGAATAGCATCATCCCATTTTTGCTGTCTGACAGCCTCGCCAATGGCTTTCAGCGCAGCCTTGGAACTCGACATCCTGGAAACGACAGAAACCGTGAATCATGAAAGTGAGGCGTTCCGATGGCGGGGCATCACCAGTGCTGCAAGCTCTTGCGTGGCCTTGGTGTGCGCAGAAGTGAAATCGAAACTGACTGGCAGTTGGAAAGTCTGGATTCGAATGATGTGAGAGATTTTTGAGACCACTTCAGGGTGGGATGCGAGGTTCCTGCGCAAGGGCGACAACTTGTTTGTGAGATGAGAAGGTGCGATGATCTGTGGTGATGCCTGCCCCACCAATGGCGCTGCCTCCCTTATTACATCATGCCCCGCTTAGAGCATTCACCTTTGCAACAACAGCAAGTGGGGCCCGATAAGATAAGAACCTCGCTGAGTTCAGTGTTTCCTCAATGGCCGTCTGCTGCAGCACCTTCTGGAAGCGAAACATCCAGAAATCCCACGACAAGAGCAGACATTCTCCTTGAGGCCATTTGAATCGTTTTCTCTAGAGCAACTACATGGCTTTACGGAAACCAAGGATATGAATAGCACCAAGAATCGCCCAGTGGACGACAACAGATCAATTAAATTCAATGATTGTTCGCTCGCTAGCAAGGGGTATCTAATCATGTCGCATGAATCATCGTTTCCACCTCACCGACAAAAAACATTCGCCTACTTCTTCTCCCGAACCGCGTCGATGCTAGAGTTATTGGACTCGGTTTTGCTGAGGAAGCTCATCAGTCTATGCCGCGGCACACGATTCGCTTGATCGACGCTCGAGGTCGAAGACCGCGTGAAGACGGTCGAGGAAGAAGCATCGCTAGACTTCCGCGGTGGCATCTGCGCGTGCTGCTGGAGGAGCCGCTTGATTTCTGATCCCGCCAACCCGGAATTATTGGCCGCTTGGAAGGCGTTTCTCCCATTGGCGTCGGTCAGGTGCGGGTTTGCTCCGTGAGAGAGGAGCATATCGATTATGGCAATCTTGCGAGAGCTTCTTGTGGCCACGACCTGAATGGCAGCAATCAAAGGCGTGCAGATGTTGGTGTCCATCGGCGATGATGCTGGCCCTGTTCTCGCCGAATGGCAGATGTTCGGATCGGCTCCTTGAGTCAGCAGAAAGCGCACCATTCCCTTATTACCCATTTCGCAAGCCATGTACAGAGCTGTTTTGCCCGAGTTGTCTACCAAGTCTAGAAGCTCTGGAGTGTGGTCAAGCAGCAGCTGCGCGACGTTGACGCCACCAGATTCGCTCTGGCACTTGTGAAGAGGACTTAGTCCGCCGCTATCTCTGACGTCAACTCGGGCCTTGTGCTTCAGCAACAAACCGACCACTTCGCGATTCCTGGTCGCGGCTGCGAGCAACAATGGCGTTGGTTTTCCGACGTTGCCGCCATTCTCGAGGCTGGTGACATGGCCGATCATCAACTTCAAAGTCTCGATATTTTCATCCTGTATGGCCTTGTGGAGTGGCGAGGTACGCGTCATGAAGTCGCAGACATCGAAGTGGAAGCCGCTCGCGTCAATGTCAAATCCGTTCTGGCTGCACCAGGCGTATACCAAGGAAAGCTCCCCCATTGCCGACGGTCTTCGAGTGTCTGGAGCTGGAGGTGAAGCTGGTCGATCCGTGAGCGGTAGGACATCTGTGTCAACCCAGTTCTTCACTCCGCGAGCTTCATCGTATGCCTCGGCAAGTTGCAACGCTTTGATGTATAGGTTGGCAGTCTCTAACACAAGATCGACAGGCATGGGCGCTTGATTCTTTCTGCCTTCGAGTGCTCGACTCAAGAAAGTCTTTGCCTGCTTCAGACTCCCAAGCTTGATGTAGAGGCTGCCGAGATCATGGTATAGCCTGCTACGGCGCTCGTCGTCTCTCTGGTCATCGGACTGCTTCACTTCCTCTTGCAGCAGCTTCTGCAGGATGGCTTTTGCCTCTGTCGTTTCGTCCTCGGTCTCGCAACGGAGAAGAATCTCTGCCAGTCTCTCCTTCATGGCTGCTTGTTCCGAAAACGCGAATTCCTGGTCATACCCTGGCTGACTGAGCTGTTCTCGAAGTTCGATCCCCCTTTTCTGGTATAGTGACGCTCGGAGAAAAATGCCGCACTTGACCAGCTGACCTACAATATCTTGGTTGGCCTCGTACTGATGCCTTAGGATGTCTTTGCTTGGCCCATCTTTCCTCTCGGGCTCCGGGTCCCAGTCGTCCGAGTCCACGTCGCTCGTCGACTCTTTCAAGCCAGCCTCTTTGACGGTCGATAGATTTGTGAACGACGAGCCGAAAGACAACAGCGACGGGTCTCTTTCGGCGTCATGCAGCGTAACGGCGGCTGCGACCTCATCTGCGGACATCCTCCAGGCTTGGATGTCCTTTGTCACTGACAGCGAATCCTCCACTCTGGTTCCATCATCATCCTCCCACTCCGTCGATGCTCGTCTTGTCGTCGTGGGAGTCCGCGAAACGAGATTTGCAGATCGGATGGCATCGGTCAACTTTCTAATCTCGAAATGAACCTGGTCTTGTGACTTTTGTTGGTTCCAGACAGAACCGCTGGGTGTGTTAGGTCATGGATCGTGTTCCGATTCGCATGGGACGCATGCAGTCTGCTTACAGAGAAAGAGTTATCAGACTCAGCTGGAGAACCTGCGTATATGAAGTGATGTGCGATACGAGGTCGCGAATGACGTTCGTCTTCAAGGTCGCTGCGAAGCTAGCTCGAGCCCTCGCAATCGGACCCGGGTTCTGCGCCAGCTCCGGAAGCGCTGATCTCAACCTCTCGAGTGCGCCACTGCATGACTTGAGAATGCGATAAATGTCCTGGTGGTGTTCCCTTTCAAAGGGAAGTTGCGTCGGATGCTGGTCGAGTGTTCGGGCCACGTTGCGCAGCGCAGCGTAGAGATTTCGGATCGTCTCGTGGAAGTCGCGAATGCTCGAGTCTATCACCCTCGTCTCCTCCACAAACTTGGCGGTGCCCTCCACGACCTTGCCTGCAACGCCGACAAGCGTCATGGTGAACGCCGAGATGCTGATAGGATCCATGATGCGGTCGCAAACTGATGCCCGGGCTCGCTTGGTTGCTGGGAATCAGTCATTCGGGACGAAGCCGTCTACTGCGTTTTCACGGAAACCAGTTGACGTTGGTGTCGACCGCGTGTCGACCGCGTGTCGAGGCACATGTTATGCGGATGATGGGAATCAACTGAGTCTTCCTCGGATGGGAGACACACGATGGCCGATGGTGCATCAAGCAGCACTCATCTACAGCGATGCAGGAGATTTATTCGGGACGGTGCGCATCGAGGAATGAGGTAAGCCTGCGGTGTACCGCTCCCATTGATCGACACGAAATTGACCGTCTTTGGATCTTCCCCCCGAGACACAGCTCTTCCCCGGAATCTTGGTGGGCATGGCCACAAAATCGGTCATCACGAGCACACAGCAGGCAACAGTCGCGTTGCATGTAACCTCCGGCCGCCTTGTATTCCTTCACCGAGTACTATCAAGTGCTGCGTCTCCCAGCTATTCGAACGTGGCTCTGCTCCCCGCAAATACCGAAAAGGCGGAGTTGTTTGAATTGACCGATCCCCGCGGGGTATCTTGTTGGACCGCAGCGTTTAGCGCCGCCGTCTTGCAGTAGTCCAATATTCCAAGTCCAGTTCGTCCCGACTGCCACAAAGTTGAAGGCCGGGGCCGCACCCGGGTGGCGCAGCGAGCGAGACACGGGACGACTGAACGCCAGTTGTTTCGATTGTTTGCTCATGATGACAGCCATCGCCGGGCGATCTGCGTGCGACCCAGCCCTGTCAACCTCCAATATGCGAGCTGAAAAGAATCATTGGCTCAAAGTAAGCCACCTTGCAAGTGCTGCCTGTTCTTGGTGCATTATCCGTTCTCTCTCGCTTTTTGCTATTGGTGTTCTTAACGGTAGTAGCAAGCAAACTCAGGAAATGAAGTGTTCTTTTCCGAAACGAGACTTCGACACCGACCTTCCCTCTTCATCGGTTGACATAAGAGAAACTCCACGCAACGTCTGGTTGGCCCAGAGTCGTACTCTATTTCACGTTGTTGAAGACGACTTTGCGCTCCAGCGTGACCAGCCGCCCAGCGATATGGCACGTAGCTGAGGTCAGACAAACGGTTCACACACCTAAGGTTGTTTGGTGATACCTCATGGTAAGACAAGGGAGAAGGAACAGAAAGATCGACTTCGCCACCACAGCCCTACGTGGAAAGCGAAGGTGACCAACTTCCTCCCCGCTTTCTCCCTCGCTACGCTACTCCGCATGGGGTATACAGGAGTCGAGAGGTACCGGCAGTCGTTGAACGGTCCCGGAAGGATTAAGGATGACGGCCTCGTGCATGGCGACTCTCACGGCCTAGTCGAACATAGTATTGCCAAGAGAGCCTGATTCGTACCTTTTAGTACACCGACGCGGAACGCGACCGTGGTATCCCATTGGACTTCCGCTTCCTCTCGCCTGGCCCGCGTCTTAGATTCTAGGACTATGGTTCGTGCCGCTGGCGAGCCTTGCTGATGACGGGTCGCCTTAAAACGATTCAACGTCCCAGAAAGCTCTTCAACTAACGTCTGGGATCGGCCCGGCATTGGACAACCTCAGCCCTACGTTGACTTCTTCCACATGGTTTAACTGATAGTGTGACGCCTCCCACGAGTCTTCAATCGATTGGATCAATAGTTTACCCATCGATATGGCATCTTTAGATGCCCTCGGGCCCACTGAGTCGCACTCCGGTCGGGAGCGGCTGACGCCTCAAGCCCAGGCCCATCGTCGACGGATCAACGACCGGGCTGTGATCGAAAACCCACTTGGTTGGTAGTTTTCAATAGAGCCATCTAACTCGAACTAACTTCAATCTTCAGCGTACTATACGGACGAACAATTAGAAGCAGACGTGAGGTCGTTCGCCGAGTGCCTGACCGTCGACACCACCGCTGTGCTCCGAGCTGCTCGCGTGGCCAAAGACATCAAACTGTATGATGAGGTTGCACGCAACCCAGATCCTGGCGCAGGGAAAGAGTTGCCGGTGCAGTTGACAGCGGTGGAGAAGCGGGCGCTTCGTCGTGAGCGTGATGTTCCGTTCAGCGAAAGGGGAATGTGGACCATCATCATCACTGTGTCTCTTGCGGCTTTCCTTCAAGGTAACGTATTCATCCCTCTGTCATCTGACAGATAATCAATGCTAACGCACAAGTTAGGCCATGTCCAAGCCTCCTTCAACGGCTCGTCCATATATGCTAATCAATTCGGTCTCGAGATGCCAAATCCATCCGACGAGACGAATAAGGGATTGACCGGAACGGATGCAGACATCAGCAGCAATGACTGGAAACTCGGAGCTGCGAATGCTTCACCATTCTTATTCGCCGCGATACTAGGCTGCCCTTTGGCACTGCCGGTCAACCATTACCTCGGACGAAAGGGTGGAATGGTAGTCGCCGCCATTTTGATCTTTGCCAGTTCTTTGGGGTCGGCTTTTGCGCATACCTGGCAGGAGTTGTTCGCGATTCGTCTTATCAATGGCATAGGTGCGCGTTGAGATTGACGTCGACTGTGTGATATGGTCCGCTAACAAGATCAACAGGCATGGGCCTCAAAGCCGTCAGTACACCCATCCTGGCCAGTGAGACTGCCGTGGGTTTCTGGCGCGGTACATCGATTCTTGCATGGCAACTCTGGGTAGCCGCCGGCCTTCTGGTCGGGTTTGCTTTCAACCTCATCTTCGACACTTCCGGCGACAAGAGGCTGGTATTTCAGCTCATGGTCGCCGCGCCTTTGGTACCAGCACTGGCACTCCTCTTTTTGGTTATCTTCTTCTGTGACGAAAGTCCACGATACTTGATGCGGATGTCGAGTCCCAGCTACAATCCCCAGCGTGCCTACGAGATTCTCAAGAAATTGCGGAACACGGAACTTCAAGCACTTCGCGACATTTACCTCGTCCACAAGTCCATCGAACAGGAAGAACTCTCCAATAAACACGCCGACCCACGACTGATACCTAGCTTTTTCTCCACCATGAGAGGATTCGTGCGACAGTATAAGCAGCTGTTTATGCAGAGACGACTGCGGAACGCCTTGATCAGTAGTTCTACCGTCGCCTTGGCCCAGCAATTTTGTGGTATGTCTTCGAAGTGTTGTTTCCAAAACTTGTCACGCACCTCACTAATCCGGGATCGTAGGCATAAACGTCCTGGCCTTCTACTCCGGTACTCTCTTTCATCGTGCCGGTGCGACCGAACGCATATCGATGGTGTTCAGTCTAGGCTACGGCGCGGTCAACTTCGTCTTTGGGCTACCCGCAATCAGGACCATTGACACCCTCGGTCGACGCAAATGGCTCATCCTCACGCTGCCGATCATGGCCCTGTTTATGCTACTGGCAGGAGTGGGCTTTTACATTGACGAACCGAACGCCCAGATGGGAGTCGTGGCCCTTTTTATCCTGCTCTTCGCGGCTGCCTACTCGCCCGGCCTGGGTCCGATCCCCTTCACGTACGCCTCGGAGAGCTTCCCCCTTTCCCACCGAGAAGCCGGCTGCGCCTTCGCCATCGCCGTCAACTTGGGTTTCGCGGGTCTGCTGTCGATATTCTTCCCCAGCATCAACTCGAAGCTGGGCGACAGCGGTTCGCTTTACCTGTTCGCGGGACTGAACCTCTTGGCTCTCGTGCTCGTGTTCCTCCTGTTGGAGGAGACCAAGAGGCGGAGCCTCGAGGACTTGGACCTGGTGTTTGCGGTGTCGAAGCGCAGATTCATCCGCCACCAGGTCACCCAGTACTTACCGTGGTTCATCAAGCGTTATTTTCTGAGGAGGAAAGAGGTCAAGCCGAGCCTGTACATAGATTTGATTTGGGGTTCCGTGAGCGAGCCGGCTCCTGGAGGAGGAGCTTTCGGCATGGGGTTCGGGGATGATTCTGATTCTGACAAAGACAGCGTTCATGCATGATGGGTGTACGGACAGACTAATAATGATCCGAGTTCTCCAAGATATCGGTGCCTTTCTGCGGCGCTTGATCTCGTGGGCTGCGGCCATGATGAGAGTGACAAATGTGATATGATGTAGGGTGAAGAGTTCAGCAACCCATAACCTCACTGCCTTGAAACAGGGGAAATACGGCCATGGACCTTAAGTCTCACATTCATTCAGAATGTCCAGCTGACATCTCTTTGCGAGCCGCTTTTTGCTGTTGCTGGGGCCTCGCGCAAATACAAAGTCGTCTAATGCTTGAGTTGGCCCCTGAGGAGTTCGAGATTCCATCCGAGAGATGAAGTGTTGAGGTGTCCGCTAATGTTTCCAAAATGTCGCATACTCCCCTGAGTACCCCTGATTTGGCACGTTATATTGCTAGTGTACGTAGTTGGGAGCTCTTCCGTGGCTATGTAAAGCGTTCATGTACTCTTCTTTACTATTGTTGATCTGTAAGCCGAAGAAGAAGAGGCCAACAACTCAAACGGCTAAATCAGCGCTTCTAGTCGCTATGGCCCGCCTTGGCTTTGGCTAACGTAGATATGAGAAGCCGCCGCTGACAGTCATAGAGGACATGAGGGCTATTTAATGTCGTGGGGTTGTTGTTTCCGACCGTTTTCGACCGCTTCTATGGAGGACATGCAATTGCCTGCCTGCGTAGGTCGGCTGTAGTATTGTACACCCCCAATGTACAATCGTGAAACGGGTGTGGCTGCTGACATCGCCGGAGCGACAGACCGAAGTGGAGCATCCCGACGGCCCACAGCTTGCCACTAACCCGGAATTTTGGCGGCATCGGTCCGGAGTTCAAGCGGGAGCCGACGCCACGGGTCCGCCAAGTCCGCTAAAATCACCGAGACTTGACGCTCATTGGCTTGCAGCGAAACACGAAAACGAGCTCAGATGGCTGGTCTGTCACGCTTCCACTTCGAGTCCAGACTAGACAAGTCGCTTGGAAGCCTTCGAGCAATGTGAAGAGGAATATAAATTCCGCGTATTTAACTCTTCTATCTGCCACTCAGTCTCAAGTGTTGAGTTTTCGGCTTAACCTTTGCTGTTATCACTTTCTCTGTTATTCATGCCCATAAGTCAAAGCCCGGGTTCACTGTTCGTCAGAAGACCCCGTTGAAATTAGCGCTTGGCAATCGCTAAAGCATTGGCGTGATAAGCTACGTACCTGGCAGGTTATCGCATCCCGCTAATCAGAACACCCCATCAGGACGTCATCGAACCGTCCCAATTTCAATCTCGGACCTTTGGTGTCCCGTTCGCCGCCGTTGCCCGTCGCTTGCCATCGTACCTCGTGCACTCCTATCTCGATCACTCCCAGCCAAGAAAGACATCCTCTGGCCACCGCAACACCTGGGCGTTGCGAGAGAAGAGACAGCTGCTAAGAAAGAAAACCAACAACAGATCCCGCCGTCATGTCTTCACTGCGATTGACCATCGAAGACGGCCAGTTTCGCGATGGCTACGGCAGACAAGTTGTCCTCCGCGGTCTGAACGTCGCCGCCGACGCCAAGCTACCCAGCGAACCCGATCAGCCCTCCCACGTGGGCGAAGACTTCTTTGACGGCGACAACGTCAAATTCCACAACCGCCCCTTTCCCAAGGAGGAGGCCCACGAGCACTTCTCGAGGATAAAGCGCTACGGCTACAACACCATCCGATACGTCTTTACGTGGGAGGCCATCGAGGCCGCCGGCCCGGGACGGTACGATGAGGAATGGATCCAGCACACGATCGAGATCTTGAGGATAGCGAAAGAGTACGGTTTCTACGTCTTTATGGATCCGCATCAGGATGTGGTATGTCTCTCAAGCCCGCGACAACATGTACAGAATCAATACTGACGTCTCCAAGTGGTCCAGGTATTGCGGCGGTTCAGGCGCGCCCATGTGGACCATCTACGCCTGCGGTCTCAACCCCCAAAGCTTTGCCGCTACCGAGGCTGCGATCGTACACAATACCTATCCCAAGCCCGACGAGTTTCCGAAGATGATCTGGTCCACAAACTACTGGCGCCTCGCCGCCGCTACCATCTTCACCATGTACTTCGGTGGCAGGGATTTTGCGCCAAAGTGCATTATCAACGGCATCAACATCCAAGACTTCCTGCAGGGCCACTTCGTCGCCGCATGCGCACACCTTGCCAAGAGGATACACGAGGCGGGCGACCTGGAGAACGAAGTCGTCGTCGGCTGGGAGAGCATGAACGAGCCGGGATGTGGGTTGGTGGGATACGCCGATCTCAGCATCATCCCGAGCGCGCAGAAACTCAAGAAGGGCTCCTGCCCAACCATTTGGCAAACCATTCTTACGGGGTCTGGTCGCGCCTGCGAGGTTGAGACTTGGGATATGGGTGGTATGGGGCCTTACAAGGTCGGTCGCTCACTGATCGACCCCCACGGCGAGATTGCCTGGTTGCCAGCCGATTACGACGACTCAAGATACGGATGGAAGCGAGACGAGGGATGGAAGCTGGGAGAGTGCATCTGGGCTCAACACGGCATCTGGGACCCCAAGACCGATACGCTGCTTAAAAAGGACTACTTTTCGAAGAACCCCAATACGGGAAAGACGATCGACCACCCGGAGTTTACTAACACCTATTTCATGCACTCGTACCGCCTGTACAGAGATGCGCTTCGACCTATCCACAAGAACTGCATCATGTTGATGCAGTACCCGACCCTAGAGCTCCCACCACAGATTAAGGGCACCGAGGACGACGATCCGCTCATGGGATTCTCGCCGCATTGGTACGATGGTATTACGTTGATGACGAAGCGTTGGAACAGAGTGTGGAATGTCGACGTCGTTGGTGTGTTGCGAGGGCGATACTGGCATGAGGCCTTGTCGGTCAAGGTTGGAGAAACTGCTATCCGCAACTGCTTCAAAGACCAGTTGGCGTCGTTGCGGCAGGAGGGCCTGGACCGAATGGGCAAGCACCCCTGTGTCATGACAGAATTCGGAATTCCGTACGACATGGGTAACAAGAAGGCGTATAAGACGGGCGACTACACGGATCAGTCACTGGCTTTGGACGCAAACTACTTTGGAGCAGAAGGTTCTGGTATGGAGGGTCACTGTCTATGGGTTTACGTGGCAAAGGTAAGCAGCCCGTTCGGTGAGCGCAGTGTTCTTACTAACAACAACCAGAACACACATCAACACGGCGATCTATGGAACGGCGAGGATCTCTCTGTATTCTCATTAGATGACAAGACATTGCCAATGTCGCCTCTTCCCCGCAGCCCAGAACCCAACCAGTCCTCGGACAACCCACGCAACTCCATAAGCAGGGACGTCCCCGACGAGACCAAGGTCACGCCCGAGAACCTCCAGAGAACCATCACCAACCCCTCCATCTCAACCGAGCCGACCAAAGACCCGGCGCTCACCAACGCCCCGGGCCTCCGCGCCGCCGAAGCCTTCGTGCGGCCCTCCCCCGTCGTCGTCTCCGGCGACGTGCTGCAGTACGGCTTCGACCTCCGCAGCTGCACCTTCAACCTAAAACTCCGCGCCGCCGCGCCGCCCTCGGACCCGGCCCCGACGGTCGTTTTCCTGCCCGAGTTCCACTTCCCGCAGGACCACTGCCAAGTGGAGGTATCGTCCGGCAAGTGGGCCATCAGCATGGACGACGACGAGGGACCTCTGGTGCAGAAGCTGAAGTGGTGGCACGGCGACGGCGAGCAGACCCTCAAGGTCAGCGGTCTCGTCAGGCAGCACAACATCACGGAGGGCTCGGAGGAGGATATGGGGTACCTCGAGCAGTGCCAGAAGAATTACGCCAACTGCAACGTTATGTAAATGGGCTGAGAGGGTCCATGGATAAGAGGAGGATCGCACGCGTGGGTTGGGGCATGGTTTAGAAGACGGGGTCTGGCTGTATGGTTACGTAGGCATTCGGCTTTCATAGACGTGAACGCCTGTAGGTATGATTGATGCCGGGTTTAATGGGAAGCATTGTGTTCACTGAGACGCTGCATGGCAGATACACTCGAACGAAGAGTCTTGCCTTTGGTGTCATACTGCTCTGTTGGTTATCTAAGTCGGTATGAGTATTAAGCGATTCGGCCTCGAGGGAGGCAAGAGTTTTTTGGTATCTTTCTGTGAATCATAAAGAGTGCCAGCTAGACGCGGCCCGGGGGCGGTTACCACCAGGACGTGTTCCGAGGTCTCAGAGAACAGAATGATGCGAGTTACTGCCCGAAAGTACACCATTCTTGGGTACCTGATCCGTCTAAAGCTCCCAACCACACAGGTCGTCCCATACAAATCCAAAGCCATCTGAGGCTATCTATGTCATCTAAAGCCACTTGAGGCCATATCAAGCCATTCATGGCCATCCAAAGCCACCCAAGGCCGTCTGAGCCTTCATCATTACTTCACCCAGAGCGGTGTCGTCCATCTTCCGCCCAATCGGCCACCATTGTTACGCCTTTCCCCGAGAACTCTGGCCGCGTCGCCATCTACTCCGCGTCCTCATCCGCGCCAGCATCGTCGTCTGCCATCACCTCGTCCGAGTCCCCATCAGTGTCGTAGTCGAGCTCGCGAGCGACTGCGGGTTCCGGTCCTTCCTGGTGAGTGACCTCGCGCGGGGAAGCCGACGTCTCTGAGGCGGGCTCGGACCGAACTGGCGAGTCTTGAGACGCCGGGCGCCCGAAGCCGGCGACGAGGTCGGTCGCGTATTCGTAGGCCGACCAAAAGGACTGCGAGATGGACCGAGGAGCACCAGCGGGCGCCGGCTCGGGTGCTGGCGCAGGTACGGAGGTGGGCGGTCGTTCCCACCCTTCGTCGCGTCCCTTCCTGAAACCAGGTTCCCAGCTGTTGTCGATCGGACTGTCACTATCCGACGCGCTGGGGTCGGTATCAGAGGGACTGAGATATGGGTCACCGCTGTCGCGTTCAGATAGAGACTCTTTGAATTGGTCTGCAGGTGTTTGGACGGCTTTGGTACGTGAGTCGGATGGAATCCGTCTGATGTACCCGGCGGCGTTCCTGTCGAAGCAAGCAGGAGAAGTGAAGCCGATTCTTGGGAGTCCAAGGTTTTGCATCTCGGTGTCGATTGGGTAGGTAATTTGGCTTCTCGGAGCCGTGGGCGAAACGTCCCATCTGGAAAGACCCATCTCCTGGTCCTTCTTAGGAGCTGCCTGCTGAGAGGCGGGCCCGGCTTTTTGAAAGCTCGGCTTGATCATCCGAGGTTACGTCTTCTGAGGGACGAGGCTGGCCGTGTGTGATAGAGCCATACTAACTAAGGTTGATCATCTATGGCCGCGTCTTCTTTATAAGCATATTCAGCCTGTTGAGTAGTGCCAGCTCAGCTGTAATAGATTGGGAGGACGACTCTGTAAAAGTCCTGCAAAACTTAGTATAAACACCTTCTCCCCACGTCTTTCATGGAATTTCTCTTACCAATGAACTCATCTTTTGAAAAACCTGGCGCGTAGCAACGCTCCGAGGGGAGTCAGGCGTCTCTGTTTCAGTGGCTGCTGCGGTCGGAGCCCCAGTCAAATCTGCCATCTCCACGTTGTGTTCCTCATTGACTGCTGCAGAGGCGCCCGAAATCGCATCGCCCATTCCCGTGTCGTCATTATCATGATCCTCCGTGACGACTGCCTCTGAGGCCTCAAACAAAATATTCGTCTCTCTCCACGACCATGATTGCGGTTGTTGGTGGTGGTGGTAGCTCACAGTTGATCAGTCTCTGGCTTCTGATCTGCATCTTCGATTCGTCGCAGCGTTTCGAAGGTAGAGTAGTTACCGCCGACTTCCGATCCTTCCACAATGGGGTCAAAAGTATCAATGAGCCAAGCATCGAATTCCTTCTCAGCCTCGACAACCTTTTTGCCGTTCTTGTTGTAGACGAAGCTCGGAACCTGCCTGAACTCTTTCCTTTGCTCTTCGCTTGCTTCATCCCAGTTGACCGGTCGACCTTGCTTGCACCAAACGATCTCCTTCGCAAAGATTGGCTTCTCTTCGTATTTGTTCGTTCTGAGGTTGTAGTAGCGGGAGAAAGGGTACCATCCAACGAATTTTCCCAACGCCGTGAAGCTGAACCTCTCCCAGGGATGAGGAGGGAGTGGAAGCTTCTCTATACCCTGGACAGGATCGTCCGGGTCTTCCCGTCCCTCCTTGGTAAATCGCAGTACTTGGGTGAGGGTGTAGTCGATGATGACGACCCACGGCGCATCCAAGTCTTCGTCGTCATTCATCATCGTGACGAACAAATTGCGCGGTTCAGCAGAATCGTGTTCTATTCCCACGTGCAACATGCGGACCGCGCCGTCAAGGAACTGTCGGATAACATCCTTTCTGAAATCGTCATCCAGGAACACTTCACGATCGTCGCTTGCTCCTTTAAACGGGTGCATTCTAGGGGGCGCTAGCTCCGTGCCGTTGGGGCGATTGCAGAGGTTCTCAACGGAGATGCCGGGGATGTACTGCATCAGAACCACGCCGGAGCATCGGTACCGTCGACGTCCAGAATAATCCACGCCGAGGTCGAACACCGCAACGTACGTGCCGTAGTACTCTGGCGTGAGGTGGGGATAGCCGGTCAATCCCCTGCCGTACATATGGTTGTACGCAGCGTGTTCGATGCTGAGGTCGGAGTCTGCTCGCTGGTCGTGACTGATTCCGTAAAAGTCGCTGTACAAGGCAGCGTCGAACGATTTGGCAACAACCTGTGTTGGGTAGGCTTTTCCTCGACGGGGTGCATGTTTGTCGTCGTCATGTTGAGAAGGGGTTTTGACGAACGAGCAGAGGGTGACTTGAGACTGCCTGTCGTAGCCTGTTGCAAGCTGCTGGTCCACCTTGAGAACGATGTCGGGGTCGAACACATTCGTCGGGTCGAATCCGCGGACCCAACCGGGCTGGAGGTCGACCGGCAGATCGTTTTCGGGGTAGTCATTGCTACCGTGGGGATCGGCTGGGGTGTACGGGTACAGCTTCAATAGCTTGCCAGGGAGGTATCGCCTGATCTCACGCGATCGAAGAGGTATGAACGTCTCAGACATGGCGAGTAGATGTGGCGCCCGACGGACTGGTGGCGATGCTTGGCGATGGGTAAAAGATGTAGAAGCAGAGCAGAGCGACGATGAGTTGGATGATGAAGTGGGCGTTGCTTGGAAGAGCCCAAAGTAAGTGGTGGTTGAGCAAAGTAAGAAAATGTTCCAGGCATTCCGGCCTTGAAAAGGTCCAAAGGTGGTAATTGGAGATGTGACAGTGTCTTTCGCGAGATTGAAAGGTTGTCGCCTAAAGGTTACATGTAGAAATGGAGACTTTGCTCTTCGCTGCGATCACCATGACTGGAAGTGAATGGCAAAGACCACCAACCTGGAAGGTCACGGAACGAGTTCCCGGGCTGATAAAGAATCTGAGCCTTGCAAGGCAACTATCCCGGCCCCTCAATTCGTTTTCATTCCTTCCCTTTCCTTTGCCTACCAGGTAAGGTAGGCACCCGACCGCTCTAGGGATTCTGCATAATCACGACGGCTTCCGCGCTTATGTCATGCAGCAAGTCATGGCGAAGCAGGTAGTCTTGATGTAAACACTTCAAATGTTGGCCGAGAACCCCTCCATCATCCCAATCCCCTGACGCTTCTCTTAGCATTCTGAGAGATTCTTCTTCTTAACTCGTTGTCTGGTTGATAAATTCAATTTCTTACGACTTGCTCACGTAGCAAATGTCAACAATGACCGCGTCACTGCCTGGTGGTTGCATCGGGAGTTATATGTATGATTTCCAGAAATTGAGGTAGCAGCGCGAAAAGACTAAAAGCTCGAACATCCCGATATCTTCCCAAGGCAGATATACCTGGGCGGCTCAAGCTTCTTTCCCCGTGACAAGGATCGCCGATTTCCCGCTTGCTGGTTCGGTGTTGCCTCTGGTTTTCTGTTTGCGAACTATATTGCTTCCATACACTGGACGGCATTGCAAGCTTGCAGAGAAACAGTTGATGAAATGGCTCACTACGTTGCTATCAGTTTGCATCCCGGTAAGGTAACATCACATACTCTGTGATGATTGTTACTTGCCCGGATGACCACTCGCGGAATTTCAAATCGCTTGAGTGACTTCCCCTCATTCTCATTCTGCAGGACCTCTCTGAGGAGATGTCATCATATCATCCACATTCAACAACACTTGAAAGTGAAAATACTTGTCAGCCTCATGGAGGTTGATTTGGTTCACGATGGCCTTTCATCGCAGTATCCATCCGGGTCAGGCCAAAACGACCGTATCGCCATATGAGATGCAAAGTCTCAGACGGCCCCGACGATGGCCGCGTCCAAGGTACCTGGTGGTCACCGAAGACGTCCACCAAGCATTCACGGAGCAGCTCCGTCTCGTTACCATGTGCCACTTCAACGTTGACGCAAGACGTCCGAGATACCGCCGGCCGATTGCGCTGATCGAAGACAAGGACTGCGGCAAGCTTTGGACTTGCAGCTGCCGCTGCAACCATAGCAACGATCTCTTCCCCAGAGCACGGCGACGAAAATATGACCAATGCCCAGGCTGTCAGCGCTTAAGTGAGTGTCTCATGTTGTGACGTGCGTGAGCGGCAACGCGGTGCATTCAAGGCTGTAAGCTGCGTTCTGTTTCGAGGCGTCGTCGAGCGCCGTGCTTGTTTCGACCGGCATGCTTGCCAGACGATTGGCATTGACTCTGCGGGGCAGACATGTGAGGGCCTGAAGGGATTACCTGGTTATTGGGTAATACACCAATCGATAGCTATTGTTCCTGGTCGAATACTTAGGTAGTAACGACGACAGATAACAAGCGCAACACTAGAGCTACCAATAGCGAGGGCAATCATTTAGGTAGCGAGGAGTCGTTGTAATGAGAGACTGGACCGTGTAGGGCTCTATGTTGTAGTTAAATGGATGTTTGGCAGGCCGTTGGATCGTTAGATCCAAGTTCCCGGTCGTGAGATGGGGGTTTCAGCAGTGAGGGATGACGTCGATTAGTCTGGTCTGGCGGCGCTGTTTCCAAGTGTGAGGGCGGGACCCAACGGGAGTTGATATCAAACTGTTGATATAGACAGGGTTGAGGCATGAGTACGATGACGGTGTCATCAGCCGTCTCACAAGAGGATCATCTTCAACGACGATGTCGACGTTGACGATGTTGAGGCTGAGAATGAGATATCCACCATCCCTGAACGTTCCATGCTGGGCGAGACAGGGTTCGAGGGGCATTTCTCGTGAGTGCTCTTTACAACAGTACCTCACATAGGTGTGCATGGCGCTAAACCACAAGCGGGGGAGCTGGCGCTTGTGAGTGCGGAATTGGGCGAATGAGCCCGTACTCGCAATTTTTATCAGAGGTATGTAGTTAATTGAGTTAAGCATGTATGTTGAAGATGCTGTTTAAGAGTTGAATGGCGGATGCAAAGATTTCGGTAAGAGGTTTATCTCATAAGGGGTCGCTCATGATTCATTCAAGAACATTTTCATATGGGATTGTGATTAACTGTGGATGCTCCCTTCTCAGAAGCGACCTTGGATTATGAGAACCGGCTGACCTGTGGCGTCTACAAAACCCCAAAAAGAACATCTGTCCATAACTGATCAGGCCGAGCTGGCTAGGTTCGAAAGGACGGCCTTCAATATTCCACGCGTTAAATGATGAGAGTATCACGATTGCGGGTTCAGACTTTGATGAGATGCTCGTGTTAGCACGGCAAGAAGCAGTTGGTGGGACGAGCCCGAACCGAACCCATGCAAGACCAAATGAAACAAATGGGGTCCTGCGTCGGGTTGCAGCGCAGTACAGTCGGGTGCGGTCTAATTAGGTCGTCTGTCTTATCCGTAAGGTACAGCAATGGGTTAAAAGATGAGGCTGGAGTTGGTCCAATTAGGGGATGAGGTGTGAGTTGGTTGGAGTGAGAATTTCAGAGACGCAAGAATGCGCCGAGGTAGCTGACCAGAAGGGAAATCGACCCAAGTTACCTAATTAGTAGGCACAGCTGACGGACGGGACGAGAAGCGGAAGGCGCAGCAGCGGCAGGAAAAGGAAGCCTGAATTCGGGTCACACTGTTCTTGCTGTCGTGATAAGACACCTATTCCGAACAATGTCAAGGTGCCTAGGACTTTCAAGCTCACCATAAGATGTCAATAAGAATTCCCCATTCTCCATAGGTACTCAAGTCAAACCCGGCAAATCATTACAACATATGCAATAAAGCACCGATATTTCTGATTGAGGTGCTTCTTATTGACATCTCTCTCATTGAACAATATCACCGTCCGTAGGCCAGCGGCAGCAACCCCTCCCGTCACATCGTCTTCATTGGCCCGGAGATCTGCACGGCACACCCGCCCCGCCAAAGCTGCATCTCACGAAAGTTGCGACGATACGCCGCCAACGCCAACGCCCACATCCACGCCGGCGCCCGCGCGCGCACGCTCTCCCATCTCGGTCTGCCGTCGAGTGCCTTAGCTTGCTCCAGCCTCCAGCCACCCCAGACACCACACATCGAATCGGTTGCTCTAAGCGCGCTGTCTAAGTATCTCGCCTGGTGGACCGTCTCTGAGGTACACTACCTTACTTCTCCCGTCTTTGGGCAATCGAGGTGACGCTCAAAGACAACCCGATACATACTACCCACTGCCCACTCCCCCCAAAAAGTCTCCATACGGACACCGGTCGCATCTGGCGATTAACCTCCACCACCAACACCGCTCCAACTGAAGACCGACCGACTAAACCAACGACGACAAGAAGCGACCGGCACCAACGCCGCGCCATCAAGCCGGGAAAGACGAGTCGATGCCGACCTGACCCACGGTCTGAGGCCCACTGCAGCAACCCACAGTACCCTACCTACCCCTGCCATGTGCCGCGTACCCATCCCATCCCAACCCATCCATCAGGACCATACCACGACGGGACTGGCACAGGCACAGCCAAAACGCATCTGCTGGTAACTGGATCTGGACCTCTTACTTGGGCATAACATGAGTAGTGGTAGCTCGCGCCAGCGCTCTGCGACTAGATCTGATACCCACGACCCAACTTCGAGCCCGTTTCCTTCCGTTCCACGATCGAGAGACGAGATTCACAATCTCGACGGCCTCGTCTTCAACCACTTGCCCTCCAACTACGCTGCCACCAACCAGAAACCCGCGCCCTCGCCCTTGACCCTGCACAACAAGTCGTCCACCTCCAGCTTTCTCTCCCCCGGCGCTTCTCGCCCACGAGCCGCTACTGCGAGCTCCGTCCCGACCACTCCTCTCCTCGGTCACGACGCCGCGAGGCCAGCTACGAGAGCTGGTCCGCCTGCGACCCCCCTCGCCATGTATCAAAACACCCAACGACATGTCTCCGCCGCCGACTCCTCGAGACCTTTCCAGGTCCCTCCCCCGCCGCCGCCCATGTCGCCTCCCGTACAAGGCCAGATGAGCAACATGATGTCTCTGCCTCCTCCGCCGCCGCGCTTCCCTTCCGCCCCCGGTGCGACGGGTGGTGGTGGTGCTGGTGGTGGGATGATGCTTCCGCCTCCTCCAGGCCCGCCGCCCGGAAGTGCAATGGGAGGCCAGGCACCTTGGCACGGCGCCTTTGGACGCATGTACGACGGCCGCAACGGCTTCAACGTGCCCCCTCCCCCGCCCGGTCAGCACCAGGCCTACAATCCGAAGCTGCATGCCCAGGTTGCGACCGGCACTACTCTCTCGATCCCGCCACCGCCTCCCCCGAGCGACCACGGCTCCGGAATGTCTGCGACATACATACCCCAAGGAGATACGTATGGAGAAGGAGTCGGAATCCCGGGTCTGGGTGGTTTCGACGAAGCGTCGACCTTCTCGGCCATGTCTATGGGCTCGTGGCCAACGAACAGTCAAACAAGCGCCGATACCACCATGACAACGCCCCAAGACGACATCACTGGACGAGATAGGATGTATACGCAGGCTATGCATAGCCGAGGACTATCGCAAGCTTCCACTGCCACCACGTCGAGCATTCACCCGGACTTGGCGGCACAATGGCCCCTCGAGAAGGTGTTACTCTGGCTCGCTTCCAATCAATTCTCCAAGGACTGGCAGGAGACGTTCAAGGGCCTGAATCTACATGGATCCCACTTCCTAGAGCTCGGTAGCCCCTTGGGAGGCCGGGGAAACTTTGGCATGATGCACCAACAAGTCTACCCCAGATTAGCCGTCGAATGCACCAACAGCGGGACTGGATGGGATCAGCCACGGGAGCGAGAGGAAGGCAAACGCATGCGACGTCTTGTTCGAAGCATCGTGACCGGCCGGCCGGCTGACCCCTCCAAGGTATCTTCACACGGGAGGAAAGAGTCTGGGTACCACGGTAACAACCTGCCCAGCGCCGGGACGGACGGTGCAGACTCTCCCAGCGTGAGTATGATAGTTCGCCCGAGTGAGCTCTCGAAGGCTGATGATCGGCAGACGCCAATCAAAGCTCCCGGTCCTGGATTTGGTGGGCGTCGTTTCTCCCAAACCAGGTCGACCACCATGCCTACTCTGAACAGTACCATGAGTTCGGATTCTAATCACAGGAACATCCTGAAGCAAATCGATATCGACGGCAGCCGACGTCATAGCCCGAATGCCAGCGAACCAGGCGACACCTTCCGGCCGCCGCCTCTGCGGACTGACAGTCCGAACGGAAGCCCGAACCCCCAGAGTGCCTCCTTGTTTCCTTCATCGGCAGGGAACCTGTCGGCTTCACCACACGCGACCAAGTTTGGGCATAGATCGCGGAACAGCACCGACTCTGTCTCTTCAAACGCCGCCATCTATGGTTCTGGCATCCCTCCGGAGGCGAGCCAGATGCTGCGCAGCGGCATGAACATCACAGATATGATTCAGGCCAGTCGCGGTAACGCTGAAAGCCGTCGATTGGGCCAGGACGGCGGGCGTCCTTCGCCTCAAGAGTCCAATGGTGACCGCTCTGCTGGCACCGAACCCCCTTCGTCCGCGAAAGACTCGAAAAGCTTCCTTAGCTTTCTATCGAGGAAGAAGAAGCAGAAGGAAGACGGGTTCCCGAGTCCTGACGACCTGGAATCGCCCACTTCGCCAGCTCTCAACTTCAAATCTCATTCATTTGGTTCTCGCTTCGGTAACAACAGTGAAACCTCGTTAGACCTATTACACGATAAGGACAGTGCCAAATCCAGGCGCCCCAGTCCGGCTAGGACGTTTGTGTTGGTCACAGTGGATGGATACAACTACCGTATGTGCGACATCACAGATGCCGAATCAGCGACAGATATCCGTCACATCATCTGCAGCAACCTGGGCCTGGAAGCCGCGAACTCTCAGGTCTACCTGACGGAGCTTGGGAGATTTGACCACGAACAGCCTCTCGACGATAAGAAGCTCGTCACCCAACGTAAGGTCCGAGCCGACGCTACAGGGTCGCTCAAGTTCTTCATCCGACCTTCCGGGTTTGCGCCTCAGGGCTCAGGCAAGGCCAACGGCGCACCTGCTCACACTTCTCTCGATGAGGAGGCATACAATCGCTTGAACGGCGTGTCGAGGACAAGATCCAGCTCATCACCACCCACATCAAGGCAAAACACCTTGACTGGCGAGAGAGGCGACGATAAGATGCTCGCGCAAGAGGCAAGCGAGTACCGTGCTGAGATGGAGCGAAAGCAGCGCGAGTACCTAGAGAAGAGGAAGCGGGCGGCCATGAAGGATAGCCCGGGAAATACGCCAGAAGGCACTTCTGCCCCGTACATTCATGGACGAACTGTCGATTTCGACCAACCACGTCAGTCACCGTACGAGGATAAGAAGCCGGAAGTACTCTTCCCTGTGCGAAAGCCCCCCGCGCCGCCAAGCGACCCGTCTGCGACTCTACTCAAAGCAAACTCCCTCAGCAGGAAGACGGGGCATTCTATGCGATCTTCAGACGGCATTTCTCTTGCACCACGCCGCCCTTCCACCTTGTTTGAGGATATGGAACTCCCTGGTCAATCTAACGATAAAAAGAAGAAGACAAATAGCCAGCATGGTGGCATCGGTGCTGCCCTCGTTGGCATGGGTCGGGGCTTAGGAGCGGTTGGCCACTCGAACAACCGTAGATCCAAGTCACCCAAGCGAGTCTCGTCGCATTCCAACATGAGTGGCGACTACTCAGATAGAGGTAAGGGAGCAATGTCATTGGTTGACTTCGGTCAGTCCTGCTCGGATCGAGGCAGTCCTCGCTCGGCGTCAGGCTCACCTGGAACTCTCACCTGGAGTCGTGGAAATTTGCCCTTCGTCGTGCCAGACTATTCTCCCGGCGGGACTCCGTTGGCAGTGAAACGATCGCAAAATGGTATGGTTGCTAAGATACAATCGACAGTAAACCGGGCACCTTCTCGTGAGATTAGCCCCAGTTCCCTCAACCCACCCCAATTCCCCTCGAATGAGCCAGCACCACCCCCTCGTCGCAAGTCGCATGGACCAGACTTTGACTACCTCGGACCGGAGGTCAGTTTCGACAAGCCGCCATCTGCTCAGCGGGATGATGATTCCGGAGACGATTCCGACGATGGCTTGTTCGCCGTTCCTCTCGCTGGTCAGAAGAAGCCGACCAAGATCACGCGCATATTTGACGGCGATGATTCGCCGGACGAGGCCAACGACAAACGACCAACCTTGACAGTGAACACGACCAAGCCTAAAAAGAAGCCGGTTTCCGTATCCTTCCATTCACCAAAATCGTTCAACGGCGGGTCAAGTAAAGAAGGTGAAGAAGATGAGGCTTTGATGAGTGCCAAGAGTGGCAAGAGCTCTCGGAGAACACCGAACACCCCTGGCTCAGAAGGCTGGGAATCCGAAGACAGCAAACTCAGTCGCAGAAAATCATTTGTCGAGAAGGATGTCTGGGCTAACCGTCCTACGACCGACGCCCTTATCAACAATCTTGACGACTTCTTCCCGAACTTGGACCTTGATCAGCCGGTCCTCGAGGAAGGCTCAGGGGACCCTTCGCCTCCATCGCCAATCGCAGAGTCTGAGGAGAAGGAGGCTGCACCAGGACCATCAGCGCCGCCGCAGTCTCCCCCGCCGAGCCTGCGGGTGGCCATGGGCGCCGCCAATCGGTCATTCTATAATGAGAACGACACGTTGGGCTCAGACGAGTCCACCTTGAAGGCCCTTGAACGACCTGCCTCGGTAGCCTCGGTGGCTCAGAGAAGTATGAGACGCTCAGGCGGCCTCGGCCGTATGAAGTCAATTCGTGAGGTTGCTCGTGGTGCGCACGAGGCTAACAAGCGGTTCACTACAACCACAACGACGCAGCCCGGTCAGCCCGGCCAGGCCACATCTGCGTTGATGAGGAGGAAGAGTACGAAGATGTTCAACGCCAACATTGTGCAGATCCGCCCGGACCAACGAGGCAGCATGGTTATGCCGCAGATTCCGCAAGACACGTTGCCGAAACGACAAACCACGTTCCGCTGGTTCAAGGGTCAGCTGATCGGCAAGGGCACATATGGCCGCGTCTACCTCGGTATGAATGCGACCACCGGAGAGTTCTTGGCTGTGAAGGAGGTTGAGGTCAACCCCAAGGCAGCACAAGGCGACAAGGCGAAGATGCGCGAGTTGGTCACGGCTCTTGACCAAGAAATCGAGACCATGCAGCATCTTGACCACGTAAACATTGTGCAGTACCTAGGTTGCGAGCGCAAGGAGACGTCGATCAGCATCTTCCTCGAGTACATTTCTGGTGGCAGTATTGGATCTTGTCTGCGGAAGCATGGCAAGTTCGAGGAACCGGTCGTCTCCTCGCTTACTCGACAGATGCTTTCAGGACTCGCGTACCTGCACAGAGAGGGCATTTTGCATCGCGATCTGAAGGCCGACAACATTTTGCTGGATCTCGACGGAACCTGCAAGATTTCCGATTTCGGTATCTCGAAGAAGACGGACAACATCTACGGTAACGACAAGTCCAATTCCATGCAGGGCTCTGTGTTTTGGATGGCGCCTGAGGTGATCCGCTCGGAAGGCAAAGGCTACAGCGCCAAGGTCGACATTTGGAGCTTGGGATGCGTCGTCTTGGAGATGTTTGCCGGTCGCCGTCCCTGGTCCAAGGAGGAGGCGGTGGGCGCCATCTACAAGATCGCAAACGGAGAGACGCCACCTATTCCCGACGAGGTCAGAGAGACCATCACGCCCTTGGCAATCGCCTTCATGCTGGACTGTTTCACTGTGTAAGTGTCGCCAAACTCACCCTAGACTTCAACCCTAACACTCAGCAGTAATCCCTTGGAGCGGCCTACCGCAGATGTACTCCTCTCGCAGCATCCGTTCTGCGAGCTCGATCCCAATTACAACTTCTTCGACACCGACCTTTACACGAAGATTCGCGGAAAAGACGTTTAGTTGACGAGGGAACTGAAAAAGATGAGGAGCGCCAGGTGGTGAAAAGTTGTCGACTATCTTTTGCAAAACGAGGTTGCCGATCACGTTGGAGCTGTTGTTCTGCGACGGTTGCGCGACCCTACAATTGAGAATCGGACGTTCGTTGACTCACAGCGATGGCGCACGGAAGGAGTTTTATGGTTTGTCGTCTAATGGGTGCTGACTGTTTGTTTCGAAGACACGGAGATCCTGGGCATGCCTCGACCTGGGTGTTGGAATCGGCGGTGTTATCAGCGGTGGGAGGAGCGATATGTAATTACGAGGTCAATAATTCATACTGTGCAAGGTCGATGTGTCAGAGTGCCCATACCAGGCTGTCTCCCTGCACCACTCGCGAAGGGCTCCGGTGATGTTGACGTGCGGCGCACACGTCTCTTGAGTGAGATATCGCCTCGATGACATGGTTTAACGAATCGGGCGCCTTCAGTAGTATTGCACAACCGATGGCGCACGGTAATTAAACGAACATTCTGCTATGAGCAAGGCCGGCGACACGAACCCAACAGACCTGCCATCGGATACGTCTGCACTGTCGGCTCTACGGGATGTACTTCCAACTCACGACAATGGCCGGAAGGGGAAACCAGTCTAGCTGAGATGGACCATGGCTACTTCATATCAGGCCAATTAAGCATATCGACGTTGCAGCGCCAGCCACAAAACGACAGCACCACCTTCCTAAGCCAGCCGTTCGACCTCTGAGTAGGCTTCGAGAGCTTTTCCGCCGTTCGTCACATGGGCACCTTTCTCGCGTGCGGGGCCGTCAACGGCGGAGAGGAGAGGCACGGATTCGTTGAGATGGTAAAATGTTTTGCGATGTAGGTGATCACGGGCCGCCCGCATTTGGACACCTCGGAGACTGGCGACCCGATCTCATTCGTGGGTCCCCCGGTCCCAGGCGCCGAGAGTCATCACGACGTTCTTTTGTTTTCAGAGAGTCTGGCGCGTTTAGTAAGGCGGGATGGAAGGAGACAGACGGGGCGAACCCTGGAAACGTCGGCAAAAGTTGCTGCTCGGCTCGGTGTGTCGACAGGAACCCGAAACCTTCTTTTTACGTGTGTGTGTGTGTGTGTCGTCTCTTGTTTGGCTTTGGATCTTTCGGCCGTTAGACTTATCTTTTCTTTTCTGCTCATCCGACTTTTGCGCTTGCTGAAGTCATACGTCCCGGAGGAGCGAGGATACTTGATGAGTGTTTCGGCTTAAAGACGGCGTTTCTGATCTGCGGGCCCCGAGTGGGTGGGGGGTTTTTCCCCCGTCTGTCGACCGACCGGCGACCGGTTCGGCGAGGTGCCATGCGTTGTGCAAGATCCAATGGTGTTCTTGTAGGAATCCGCGGAGGGCTTGAGCGGGAGGCTTTTTTTTTTTTTGTTTTTTTTTTTGGTGGGAAAAGCGACTGGCCGAGGTGTTGTTCAGCTGTCCTTATTTTTTTTATTGCCAAGGGGCCTTGATGTGGAGAGTCTCAGACAGAGAGGACAGAGGCAAGTTGCCGGAGCTCTCTCTAGCAGCTGGCTGTTCGCGTGCCAAGACGATGGGCCGGCTGAGAAATGGCGTGTGGACATCCGGCTTGGCCCTCCAGCTGGGTCGGGTGACTTGGGTATGCGTCGCATTAGTTGGTTATTGTCAATATTAAGAGACGAGGCGAATTGATTTGCCGGAAAAAGGGTGGTGCTCTGGGTTGAATAATTCCGAGGTTCTATCTGTCCTTTCTCTCCATCACAGAGGAGAGTTTTGGTGTAATTTGGGGATACGGCCAGGATGACCCATCGAAGGATACGACATTCTAGGGACCACAGGAGTCCACCGATGGTCCCCCTCCCCCTGCCCTGCTGGAAGAATAAGGTCCATCCATCTGGGATCTGCTCTCCGTTCCCGCCCCGCTGTTAAGGTGCGCCGGGCCCCTGGCATCGGATTGGCTGCGTGCGATGGGAGACGTGTGAGTGAGTCTGTGAAAGATGAGAGGGTGCCGTGGCCTTTAAGGTGCGACCCGCCGCGGGAGCCAATTGCTTTGCGAGCTTCTTTTGGTGAGGTCCGGGGTAGGTAGGCAGTAACAAGCCTTACGCTGGCGCGAGGAAAAGGGAGACAAAGACAGAGACAGAGACATTGTGCGAGTTCTGGCTCCCTTGGAAGGTTCAATCGAATTGAGAGAGTGCTAATTTCAAGACAACTGACGGGCGTATGTGTGGCTGGTCTGAAACTCTTCTCCAATGAGACGTTGCCAGAGCTGACTGGAAAGAGGTTGAAACGTCTTTGATAGAGAGGATCTTCAGACATCCATACGGGCCATCAAGAAATCCGTGACAGCCATCGTTAAGGAGAACCCGGTATTCGTACACGGCCGGGTACCAAGACCCAGAATAACCCACTCCCTTGACCAGCACAGATCTCGCGTCTTGGCGTCTCCTGCTCGTGTGTGTCCTTCGTCGTCGTGTTCTTCTTCTTCTCGTTCGCGTGCAGCACGCACTGCGGGTGATTAGTACGCAGTAATAATTCTCGGATGGCTTCGCGCAGCGCAGCGCAGGTGGCGGCTTGTTCTGGTGGACATTTGGGATTCGATGTCGAGGTACTTCGAGTCTCACCTTGTCGAGGCTTTCCAGGGAAGTACATGTTCATGTTGACAGCAAAAAACCCTTGTACAGCCGTTCCCCTCACAGGTGGCACTAGAACCCTTGGATCCATCTTGGCTAAGCTCCGTGCCCCCCCTAAAGCGAAGAGAAAGCCAAAGCCAATCTCTAGTGTACATGCCACCTGCCTGACCGGACCGCAAGGTGACTTCTCATCGTCCATTTCTCTACGTACCTATCTTTTCTTCCTCCCCCGTCTTACCAAGGTACTTACTACCATCGCACTTCAATTCCATTGCTTTCCCTTCCTTCTTTTCTTCCACTCCTTCTCGCGAATCGCTTCTCCCACCGCGTCGTGGCTTTCTTTCCAACGACGACCATCCTGCGAATCCAAGAGATGACAGCGTATTAACTCCTTGTCACCCTTGCCGCTCTTCTTTTTCCTGGACCCCCGGGTCCCCCCCGATCGACGGTCGAATCGCTACCTGCAGTGTAGCACGCGACCGATCTCACCCCCAACTCCAACTTTGCGCTTCAAAGGACTCGCCCCGGCGAGCACGCAGCCACCATGATGCCCCGCCGGAGGAGCCGTTATGTGCTCCTGGTCGCCTTCGTCATGGCCTTTATGCTGTACCAGGTCTTCAGGAACCCCGAATGGGATGCGACGAGCTTTACGGGCAGCATCAAGCCCAACGAACCCGCCAAGGGCAAGACGGAACCCGCGAAGCAGCCTCCAATCAACGAGCCGCCCGTCAACAAGCCCCTCAACAACCAGCCGCCCCCGGACAGCGAGCACCCGCACGACCAGGAGGAGGACGAGCCCGAACAGAACCCCATGAAGCAGACGGCCAAGCAGACGGTCAAGATCCCCCAGCTCAAGACCGAGGCCGCCAAGCCGAAGGGCATTCCCACCAAGTCTGCCAACACCCCGACGATGCCCGTCTACGACCCCGACAAGGCTGCCGACGTCACGAAGGCCCCGACCAAACCGACGCTCGAGGATGAGATCCACGCCAAGAAGCCCCCTGGCCGACCGAACGCCAACAACCTTGACGAAGACTTCTCCTCCACGACGACGACGTCCCAGATACACTGGCACAAGGTCTCCGAGCACTTTCCCGTCCCTACCGACGAGATCATCCCCCTCCCGACCGGCAAGCCAAAGGAGATCCCCAGAATCCAGTACAAGTTTGAGGCCGAGTCTCCCGTCGCCAAGGAGAAGCGCGAGAAGCGTCTGTCAGAGATCAAGGCCGAGATGCAGCGCTCTTGGGGCGGGTACCGTAAGTACGCCTGGATGCACGACGAGCTGTCACCCGTCAGCGCGCGCTTCCGTGACCCCTTCTGCGGTTGGGCGGCTACCCTGGTGGACGGTCTCGATACTCTCTGGATCATGGGCATGAAAGAGGAATTTTCCGAGGCAGCAAAGGCCGTTAAGAACATCGACTTCACCTTTAGCCCCACGCGTCGCGACATTCCCGTTTTCGAGACAATTATTAGATACTTGGGCGGTCTGCTCGCTGCGTACGATGTGAGTGGTGGCAAGAAGGGCGGATACGACATGCTGCTGGACAAGGCCGTCGAGCTGGCAGAGATCTTGATGGGCGTTTTCGACACTCCCAACCGCATGCCTATTCTGTACTACAACTGGCAACCTCAGTACGCTTCTCAGCCGCATCGCGCTGGTACCGTTGGCGTGGCCGAGCTGGGTTCCATGACCATGGAGTTCACTCGCCTCGCCCAATTGACCGGAGAAAACAAGTACTATGACGCGATCGCGCGCATCACCAACGCTTTCGAAGATCTTCAGAACCGTGGAACCACGCTGAACGGCATCTTCCCTGAGCAACTGGACGCTTCAGGCTGCAACAGGACCGCGGAGGCCATCAGATACCAGGAGTCTCAGGCTGCGGCCGCCAGCGCTAGTGCCGCGGCTGCTGCTGCTCACTTGCAGGAGCCCGAAGGCCACAAGCCTGTTCTGGACGAAAAGCGCAACACCAAGCCCCTCGAAACTGGCGTCCCCAAGGTCAGCAGCACACTCTCGAAGAGAGCTGTTGCTGTTGGCGAAGGCGGCGATAACATTGTGGAGAACGCCAGCATTGAGAAGAAACAGGCTGTTCCTGAGCCTATTGTCAACGAGCAGCCACTCTACCCCGGCAACAGCGGTCGCCGACCCTCCACCACGACTCCTGAGGAGGAGAAGTCCGAGTGGGAGTGCATCCCGCAGGGACTTGCCCCCGGCGGCTGGGGATACGAGCAGTACAGTATGGGTGGAAGCCAGGACTCCACCTATGAATATTTCCCCAAGGTAAGTTGTTGGATTTCTAGAGACAATGGAGCAGTGGCTAATTATGCAGGAATATCTGGTGCTCGGCGGTCTGGAGCCTAAGTACAAGACTATGCACATCAAGACGGTCGAAGCCGTCAAGAAATGGCTCTTGTACAGACCCATGGTTCCCAAGGAGAGAGACATCCTCTTCTCTGCCAAGGTTTCCACATCAGGCGATCCCGAGAACGACCTCCGCACCGAGTATGAAGTCACTCACCTCACCTGCTTCATCGGCGGCATGTTCGGCCTCGGCGGCAAGATCTTCGACAGACCCGAGGACATCGAGATTGCCAAGAGACTCACCGACGGCTGCGTTTGGGCATACGAAACGATGCCCTCGGGAATCATGCCCGAAGGCGCTTCTGTCGTACCCTGCGCGTCTACTAAGAGCTGCCCCTGGAACGAGACACTCTGGTGGGAGCACCTGGACCCTTCGGCCGCATGGCGTGATGCGCAAGTCAAGGAATGGGAGGAGAGGCAGCAGGACAAGAAGAGTGAGGAGCTCAGGAGAGAAGCCGCCGTCGAGAAGTACTCTGTCGACAAGATCATGCCTGCGCCCGTGGAGAAGGAGAAGGTCGACCCTCTCGCCGACGTTCACGTTCCCAAGGACGAGCCAAAGGCGGTGAATGAGGTCAAGAAGACGGAGTGGCCTGCCCCCGAACCAGGCCTGAACAAGTCGCCCTCGAACGCCGACGAGCACCTGCTCAAGAAGAGGGCCCCTCCCGCCTCGGAAGACCCTCGCAAGGGCACTGCCGAGGAGAAGGCCAGCAACTCTTTGAAGGACAAGCTTGACCTCAACAGCGCCGACAACACGGGCAGCAGCAGCAGCGGAAGCGGCAGCGGCAGTGTCTCGAGCGACGCTCCCGTCAGCGGAGGCGTCGTCGGTACGGTCCCCATCTACGAGGAAGAGTACCCCGACCCCAAGCCCCTTTCTCACAAGGAGTACGTCCTCAATAAGCTCGACGAGGAGAAGATCCCGCCTGGCTTCGTCAACATCAACTCCAGGCGCTACATCCTCAGGTAAGACACCTCCTCGTTTCACACATCCCCTTAAACCAACTAACACGTCTCCCACAGACCCGAAGCCATCGAGTCGGTCTGGTACATGTACCGCATCACGGGCGACCCCGTCTGGCAGGAGAAGGGCTGGAACATGTGGAAGGCCGTCATCGGGGCCACGCGCACCGACTACGGCGCCAGCGCCGTCGACAACGTCCTCTCCAAGAAACCCGAACCCGTCGACGAGATGGAGAGCTTCTGGGTCGCCGAGACCCTCAAGTACTTTTACCTCCTCTACTCGGAACCCGACGTCATCAGCCTCGACGACTGGGTCCTCAACACCGAGGCCCACCCCTTCAAGAGGCCCGTGTAAGAAAGAAGCAAGATGGAAGAATTCGTGACGCATTAGCCTGCGAGCGAGCGAGCGAGCGTGCATGGCCAAGTAGAGAGACGCAGAAAGAGAGTATTGCTGAAAAGACGAAAGAGAAAGAAGAAGAAAAGAGGCGTCGGAATCGGGGGAGCATCCTGACTGAGCATAAGATATCACGGGGGGGCGATTGGGGTACCACGGCGTTTCTGGCGTGTCTTGGTTATTGAATTTTTGGATTGACTGAGTTTATTGGTCTATCGACGTCCCTCCTGTCGTTGTATAAAATAAAACAGGAATGCCTAATCTGGTTCCCAACTCATTTGTTGTCTTTAGACTTCGTTCATTAGTGAAGTCAAATTACGGCTAATAGGCAAGTCGCAAGGTTATGAAGCAAGTCGTCACGAGGTGATCAGATGTGGTTTTGGGCATGTTCAATTTCATTTCCTCTTCATCTCGTCTCTGAGGTCCCGTAAGTCCTCGCGCGGGGGGACACTTTCTTTGATCCCGTAATCGTGGTCGACATACTCCTACAATTCCCTTCCTATCCCAGAAAACAAACCACGTAACAAGCCCAAGTAGTTCCCCTCATTTCCGTCGTGCCGGTCCCTATTCGCCTCCCTTCGTTTCTGCCACCTCGACTCTCTCAGCTTCCCCTAACGTTTCCGAAAAGGGGGAGTAGGCAGTGAGTGACCGTGTGTCACGGCCTCGGGGTGTATCCAGTTTCGAGGTGTAGCGGTTGGGACCCCGGCGGCGTGTGGCCCTGTTTTCGTCTATCATCTTTTTTTCGTCCTTCTCATCTGCCGCTTGAGAAAGCGTTCAACATTAAAAACATGTGGGGGAGTGGTATGTCGGGAACGTCGATGCTGTTCCGCTCTCCCCCATGCCGGCCCAGGGTGTAAATGCCGAAATGGGCAAAGCAAAAAAGGGGTTTATAAAACAAAAAACAAGACTCGAAATAAAACGCCGATTTCCCTGATGCTTTCATGTGTTTTTTCTGATTTTGTGCTGGACGAGGATGGATGTGTTGATGAGGCCACCTTCAAACCCCGCTCCATGTACAAGTTTGTTTGCGGGGCTTGATGACCGTCATCTTTTGTAACACGTCACTCGCCATCGAATTTCTTCTTCGTCTCTCTTAACTCGGTTGCTGCCGCGCCGGCCTTAGTCGACCATCTGGGCGAGGACGCGGATACTCAGGATCATGACCAGCAGGCCGATGGTGACGATGATGAGCAGGGTGAAGCTGAACCAACCGAGGACCATAGCGGACGTTCCGACACCGGAGCGGACAGCGCCGTTTCCGAAGTCCTGAGCAATGACCGCGGCTGCGACGGAGGCGGTGTGTTGCCATAGCACGGAGACGAGGACGAAGATGGAGGCGATGAAGATGATTGCCAGCGAGATCTGGGAGACGGGACGGGAGGGGAAGGGCTTGACTTCGCGGTCGGAACCCTCCGAGTCCTCCTCTTCGTGCCAGCCGGGGAAGGTGGCGAGGAGGAGGAAGCAGACGAAAGCGAAGATGATGGCGATGATGCTTGGAACGAGTTAGTAAGTTTGCTGCTGAGGGGAAGTAGAAGGAGGCATACATGAGGTATGGGAAGACGATCATGTCCTTGAACTGAGCGGCGAGCCAGATCAGGTTGAGGGGGTCCTGGTCAACGGAGACTTCGTTGGCGAGGGCGGTCGCGTTGTTGCTGCAAAGCCAGCTGCCTCCGTCGGGGCTGATGCAGATACCAAAGTAACCGACGCGGGCTGCGAGGCGGGCGTCCCCGGCGATGTTCTCGATGGCCGTGTGGACATTGTAGTCTACTTGCGCCGTGTCGGGGACTGCTGTGTATCTGTCGTAGTACAGCGACAGGAGGAAGATATCAGGGATCAAGGGTGATGATGACGAGCAGCCTGCTAATAGTAGAGCTGTGCGAGAGGTCAGCACATGAGAACTGGAGGCGGCAGAGAATTGTGTGCTTACATAGAAGAATGATTGCGATTGCGATCAAGATCATCAACACATGGTGGTATCCTAAGAACGGTACGAACCCTGAGAGATGTTAGCAGCTGTGGTATGCGCGGCGGGATGCGGTCAACTTACGATACCAGCCTACTTGGAATTTCGCCATGTTGACTGTGTGGTCCTACTCCTTCACTCCCAAGGAGAGGCCCTCGGTCTTGGTGAAGCCACGCCCGTCCTCCGTTGCAGCGGAGCGACGGTCGGGTCGTGGTCCTGGCACCCTCAGCGCTGGCACGCTGCTTGTCTCTCGCGAAGTCGTGCGGAGGGGCAGGCTCGACTCGTGGTCGTGAGGAATGCTGAGGTCTCGGTAAGGGATGGCGTTGTTGCCTCGTGAGGAGAGATGGCGTGGTCTTCGTTTGGGATTGCTGGAGAAGACCGCGAGGAATGCGGGACGGTGTTGCGATCTGCGGAGACGTATGCTTCGAGACTCTTCCGGCTATTGTCAGACACAAAACAGAACTACCACTTTGATTGCTGTCGTTCAGGATTGGCGATGAGGGAAGGACGCAAAGTGTGTTGAGTGAATGTGAATGTGTAGAGAGAGAGTGGGAAGGTGTTCAAGACGGTGGAGGGTGGGAAGAAGAGAGGTTGATCTTTGGTGGATATTGGGATGGCTGGGAGAACAGCAATCAAGAAAGGACAAGGAAGGGTGGACTTAGTTTTGTCTCTGGATGAAGTAGAAAGGTGTGTCCAGAGAGTATGAAGGCGGGATGCCCGCAAGTTCGGGGCGAACGGGAGGGTTTGTAGAGGCGGGATCGCAGACTCGAATATTCAGATGGCTGGGTGTTCCATAAGAAGTGAAAGTGGGATGGGGGAAAAAGGGTGATGGATCTTTTTTGGCAGATGATGAGAGGTTTGAGGAAGCGGTTTCTCAGTGTGCAATTGGTCCTGCCATCCCACTAAACGCGCAGCCAAGATGGAAAGATGGTATCGGTAGGGGAGCGTTACGTAGCTACGCCAACCTCCTCTATTTACTCGTGGCGCAAGGAGCGCGTTGTCAGGGAGATTGGCAGCGTCGTAGCGGTTCCTGGGCGAGACCCACTTCTGCCCGCCCGGGGGGTCCCACAGCGCCGTCTCCCACTGTGGCTGCACCACTAAAAACCGCGTTGCCCGACTTGGAAGGCGGGTCTCCACCCAAACCTGACCTTAACCTGACGTGAGAGGTCAAAAAAGCCCGGTGGCTGGGTGACGTCTTTACAGGGGTCCCCTACTCCGTCCAGGTGCATCCTTCCTAGCTGTGTTTCCCTCCACCGAATCTATGTTGGCATCTCTTCGTTCCAGCCCGAAAAGCTGAATTTCGGTCAGGTTCTTCAGCTTTTCAGATGACAGGTACGACAAATGGCCATCGGGCGCTCTCGCCTCACATCTTGCAGCCTTCCCTGTTTGGTCGTCGCCTGCTTCAGAACCTACGAATACCCGCTCACCTAACCCAATCCAAACATGCACACGACTCGACGCGGGAACAGCACCTCGGGGTTCCTGCATTTGAAGATGACACCCGAGACCGGGGTCCGGTGCCTTGGGCTCGTTGCCTTGCTTCGCTTCTCTCCTCGAGGTCTTGGTGATGCGTTGTTCCCAGAATCCGGCATCCCAAGCCCGTATTTGCCCCCCTGTTGGCACGGCGACTGCATTGAGCTCTCGCACCCTTGGGATGACGGCCAAGAGCCTCTCTCGTAGGACCTTGACTTCCGAGACTGCAAACACCCTGCCACAGATACGGTCAGCTACTTTATCTTACACGACATGCCACTCCCTGAGGCTATTCGCATCGAAGATGCCCCTCCACGGCGGATACATCTACTGCAGGAACCCCAGACTGCTCCGTGCTTCCCATCCTCGAGACCCATCGATATCGTGCTCCTCTCCCCACTACCTAGAAAGTCGGATTTCTCGATGTTGCCCAACACACCGCTTCCACCTGATAGCGGTCAACCCTCTCCATCGCCGTGCATTGTTCACGATGCGCCGAGATAAATATATCAACCAACAGCCAACGACGCCTGTCAGCTGTTGGCTGCTGTCTCTCGATCCCGCATGGACGGCTGTTGGTAGACGCTAACGCTGTCTCGCCTCCACACCATCTAGAAGTGCCCCGAGGTGCCGGCTCCCGATTCATCGTTGCAGATCGCGGGAGTCCATGTGTCTTATTCCTCTCTCTCTCTTCAGCCATCTCCAACGGTACCGCCGCGTTCCGATATTTCCGTCGACAGCGCAGAAAGGTCGTCGTCGGCGTCCGTTCGCACCGACGTCTGTCAGCCATTGACGCCATCGTCTGCATCCCTCAGCTTGTTTCTCGGTGCCATGAACAGACATTACGCTAGCCAGCTGTTCTCATGATCGGGATGACAACTCCCAGCCTGCAATGAAGACAATCCCATGATGACTCATAAAGAGTCCAAGCAGAACTTCAGCCACATCCTCCAACTCGGCAAGCCGAGCTGTCCGATTTACATGAGAACCGGAAATAAATTCGTCTCCAATAATATGTGGCTGGTAAGCTCGGCTCAGCGCCCGAACGTGTGTGTCCAGATTTCCTGAGTTCTGCAAACGTCCTCACTCTCCGTATGTGCCGATGTACTACGTGGGAGGACACATGAAAGCATTGAGAGCTTCCCAGTACTGAGCCTTTCACCTAATGATTAAATATTCTCACAACAATTTTGCGGCTACTCAGGTAGATTGGCTGTGTCGAGCCCACCGATAACAGTTCTGTTGTTGTCCGCATCACGGTTTGCTAAAGCTTGTTCAGAGCAGTGCCATTTCACGTATGTTTCGTGACTGGAGTGCGCTCCCCAACTGGTCCCGTCGGAGAGTGCCAGCCGGCATGCGATTCTCCGCTCCCGGCGATCGAGCTCCGCATATGATCCACATTCGGACTTGAGACGGAGCGGAGACCCACTGGAGTATCCGACTTCATCACGGGATCCGGACCGCGCGAATCCGTGACACGGTATATATAGATTACCTAATAGAGTACCTCAGAGCGTACGTTTACTATGATTGTTGTTGCCATTGTCGCTATTTGACGGATCACAAGCACAATACCAGAGCTGCCGACAGCGAGGGCGATGATAGAGGTGAAGAGGAGTAGTTGCAAGTAAAAAGATAACCGTGAAGGAGTGTATTGCCTTCGTCGATCAAACTATAGTGACCTCCCAGGTACTACCATCAATGCCGAGCCTCTCCACAAACTCCCTCGGCCATCTTGGAGCCTGGATGTCTCGATCCTTTTCTTTTGGCCCTTTCTCGATGAGATCCATGGCGTCCTCGCCTTCCTTGCAATAATGTTTCAGGTCTTTCCAGTCACCTATGAATTCATGCGAAAGGGCCCAGCACTCCAAGGTGATCCAATCGAACGTGATCCACAGAGTTTCTCCAGCATGTTGCCCGATCGCCTTCAATACATCGAAGCCTTTGCAGCCGTGATCATTCGATTTTTTCAGGTCGGCAAGCTCATCGAGCTCGTTGGGTCGCCTCTTCCATCGGAGATGAAAGTACAGAAAGTCGTCGTAGGCACCTGCCCCGCGACCTTCTTGGCTTCTGGGCCGAATGTTAATCCCAAATTATTCAAAAGTGCCGGTCTTCTTATTGGTCAGATACTCACTTCGCTATGCTAATCACCTCAGTTATTGACTTCAGAAAGTGGTGCTGCTCGGGATGAAATGCCAACTCGACCAGGGTTACATTGTGTGGTTCGAGTTTAGTAGTAACTGTTCGAGGTCGAAAATCAGAGACAATATCAAGGTATGACTTGAGAAGAGCGGATGACCCCTCCTCGAATTTAGAGCCCGCTTCGTCTATGCAATCCTGTTGTCGACGGTAACGGCGATCTTTTGCCTTGAAATCTGTTCCATCGAAATCTTGTCGATCAGGACTTTCCGCCATGCTTTCATCATACGTCTCCAGATAATGGGTGATGGCGGTGTGTTTCGCGACTTCTTGAAACCATGCAAACATAGTTCGTGACCTACTAACGTTCGGAAATGCAAACAAGGGCCAAGGGAAACTACCACACAAGGGTACAAAATATGGAATGTTTCCAGCTGGCATCCCTGCTTCAGTTTGCCCTTCGGCTGTGACCCATCGCTGTTTGAGAGTGTTTAAGAGATCGAAACGACTGACCCTCAATCTTTCCATTGTCAAGTATCGCGTGGCGGGAAGGTTTTCGTAAGTACGAAGTTGGGGCCACAGCTCAAGGTCGTGTGGGAAATCACGGAATTCGACCCCATCCATCTGGTGTGAGCGCAAGTCGAGGTCATTGGGAAACCCTTCCAGTACAGCATCCCAAGTTGCTATGACGAATGAATATTCTCGTCGCGCTTTTATGGTGTTTATGGCCCGGTACTGGTCATATTGATCCTCGTTGTGGGCGAACCCAATAGGAGTAGCTCGCGTACGCTCGAAGAAATCGTCCGCAGATTCGAATTTTCTTTTCCCAGAATCTGTGAAGGGAAGGTGAAAACAAATATCCACAGAAGCTGCAACTAGCTCAAACTCTCTCAAGCTTTCTTCCCTGGTTCGTCGCAAAAGACAGAGCCTCGGTATGGATTCTCCAGAAACATGTTGCTGAACCGTTGAGGGGCCTTCGTACAGCGCAAATAAGCCGATTCCGCCCATGCAAATAAGATCTTCCAAGTCGGAAACGTTGGTTCTTAAGTGAACAACCGTCTCATCTTCGTGAAGAGCATCTGCAGATTTCTCACCGCGTTCAGACCAATTGCTGTCAGGGTCATCTGCTCGGGCGTCAGAACTAAAGCGTATGGTATAGATGTACCATGATCCGTCTTGTAGTCTCCGTATTTTACCCGTCCTCATCTGATCCAATGAGGGACATGAATAGCAAGGATGTGAAGGGCACCGCTCTCAGCATTCAACGAAGCCCCAAAATGATAGCATCGATTATCGTAGTTCTGGGGCGCACAGACATCGATGCTATGCATTTTATTGTATCGGTGGACTCTTGTAGGATCTGGGTCCAGCCAACTGACTAGCCTTACGCAGTCGTAGATCCACCTGTGGTATCCTACATATCCATCTGGGACCCAAAGTTCTCTGTTGGGGTTTGCGATGTGCTCAACGCATGTGAGCCCGTTGCCAGGTATTGGTGTGGGTGTGTTGTCATTTGTGCGGACAGACGTTAATTCGGCAATGCTCAGCTGTGACTGCATCGTAGAAGATGATAGCGAAGGGGCCCATGACGGTGTCAATCTTCTCTTGCTTACAGCAGCAAGATCTAGAACTCTGACATCTCGGTTCACAAGGAGACAGTATGCAAAATATCCAAACTGGAGGTGTAGAAAAGAAATGGAATATATGGGGACAAGCGCAATGTCGCTTCTTCGGCTGAGACCAAGCACACCGAATATTTTGTCTCTAGGGTCTGATGCAGACGAGTTGCGACTTAAGTCCACAGCTGTTTCCAAGTCTCTTCCGCGAAGGCCCTTGACGGACCTTTTTGTGGCAAATTTGAACCAGGGTATGATGGCGTTTTCAATATTGATTTCATTCTCCTCGTCAAAGAGCTGACCAGAGTCGACCATAAATTCCACATCGCCAACGCGGAACGTGATGAGGCGAGATAACACGAGCTCTTGCACAATCCACACTCTTCTAAAGTATTCCCTCTGAAAGACTTTTGACAACAAGAGCGGATCTGATGCACTTCGGAAAGATCTTGATTTCGTATTCTCCTTGAGCGAGTCGAACCCGTACAGGTCGTGTCGGATGGGGTAGGTTGAAGAGCTTGACGTTGGTGGTGCTAGATCAGGTCCAAGGTAGAGTACGACTCTTAGAGCGTTCCGATATATGCGTCCCATCTTCGCAACTTGGGCCTCGCGTTCTTTCAGGTCGCTTTGGTTAATACAGATCGCGTCGACCCACACAGTCCGGAGGCCCCTTCGTGGGCGCAGATGGCGGAGGAGCTCCCAGCAATTTCGCGTCTGTAAGAGAACATCCCAGTAGGGCCCGATGAAGAGGGGCTTGCAGGGCGTAATGTCTCTGTCCTCACCACCCCAGGTATACGATGCAGTCTCATATTCGGAGTGCCCGTCATCGTGACACTTTTCTAGGTCTACATGAACTGGATAGTCGACATCGTCGACCGGGGACATGAGCAGAACGCGGAACTCGTTTGATTTCAGAGACGCTGGGTAAATGACATTCTGGTGTGAAGGAGATGTCTTGGTATTGCCAGAAGCAGTGGCGCTGTTCTTCTCATCGGGGGGCGTGACTCGAGTTCGCGTGCCATCCGGCGCCTCAGTGACGTACGTGATGCTTGGCGGCCACCATAAGTTATACTGGCCATGAGGCTCATCTGGTGGAAGATCTGGTATGGAACTGCTTGTCGTCTGGGCCTTGATAAGGGCATCCACATCAGGCAAATTGCCGCAGGATTTGCAGGTTGGCTGATTTTGCTCCACAACAACGAGCGGACTCGCACACGATGAATGGTGCCATCGGCTCATGTCGTCGGTGTTCGACGGAGTTCACAGATATTCTGAGCGATCGATGTGAGAAAAAGCATAAGGCAGACTGTGGGAGTATGGGGAGGATGTACCCTGTACTGTTTACCGATAGATATTTGACCGATCTTGTTCTTAGCGTGGTGAAGATGGTGGAGTGTGGTTGAGTTCGAGCAGTCTTGAACGAGGGAAATAGCAATGCTTGCTTACTGCGGGGTAGACGCCGGATATCTATCCACATTATCCGTCGACATGCAGAAGACACGAAGTGGGAAAAGTGACCAAACCTGGACACCAACCAATAGATGCACAGGCGTCCTAGTCCTCGGAGCCTGATCCGCCAAACGGTCAGACGCGAACCACCCAAGCCAGTTCGCGCAGGACTGCGACGACTTCTTGTCTACAGACCAAATGGCAATATTTGAGAAGTAATCAATGTTTGAGCACTTCGATTCAGGTACCCGTGAGCTCAGGTTGTACAGCCATTATGCAAGAACCACAAATTCAAAGTTGAGGTCATATGACTTTTAATGCTTGAAATAAATTTTTGAGCCTAAACAGTGATCTGGGTCTTCGAAAACCAATAAAGGTTTCCAGACGCACTTTTTGTTTTCTAGGCATGCAAGTTTTGACATCCGTTCCCTGTTTGCTGGGAGGTAAAAGTCCGAGATTCATATCGGAGAGCGGATATGCGCATAGATCCTGTAAGCGCTGCACACAATCTTCCCAATAAACATGCATATTCCACTACAGCGCAACTCAAGCTCCACGTCATCGTTCAGGACCACACGTGCGATCTCCCGGCTCATCGCCTGTTCGGTTGCAACACCACACCAGCCCGCCATTTACAGAGTTCTCGGCTGCCTCACGTCTAACCCTATTGGTTTGGGTTTGACATGCGGTTACTGTGCAGTAACTGCAGGGTTGTGGCGAGGATAATCCTATTCAGCCACATGCACATCTTAGTGTTGGTTACTGTACAGTTAGCAGTCCCGCCAGGATGAGATATCCCGCGCGGTTAGGATCCCTTGGACACTCCGTCTCGCACGACGAGCTTGTCCCGCAAGCCAACTTTCGGTAGAGATTTTAGTTCGTAGAGGCACCTCCCGGGACTCAAAGGACATGACTTCCTTATGGCGGGTGCGGGGGACTGGGTAGTTGACGTTGACCTGCGTCCCCAATTGGCCGTGTTTGGGGTTGTTTACTGTACAGTAACTGCATTAGCGTCGTCTGATCGGATCACCGTTCTGTCCGGGCTCGAATCATGATAGTCCGAAGACAACGGAACTTCTTGAGTATCTATGGTGTTACATGAGTCGGAAGGCCAGAAGAAATGGCGAGGGCGAGTTACAAGAAAACAGTTGCAGGTGCAGTGAGGTTTCCAGTATTACATGGGGAAAGAAAGGCATGTTTCCATCCCGTCATTGACTCGTATGTCGAAACCGGCAATGTTATGATGGTTTCCGAATTACTATCGCTTCCCGAATGACATCTAGTCGCAATTTTAGTGAGGTTAGGGAGCGAGAGAGACAATACACATTAACCATGTCCTTTTTGCTTAGATGCCGAGAGAACAATCTCGAGTAAAAGATTTGAAGTCTTTCGATGCTTGTGAACTTCAGGATGGTTGCTTGCGAGGAGTAGCTTGGTAGCAGTTGAACCACTTTTTCCGGGGTCGACTATTCATCGTATCCGAGTACATTGAATACAGAAAGGGGCGAGGACGGCTCAAACTACTTTGAGAATCAATAGATCATTCCACCAAGCCAGCCATCGAGGGGGAGGTAGAAAGGCGGTGGTCAACAACCTGGTCCTGCTAAGCCTAAGACCGAGCCTGCTGGGCCTAGCCTTCCTAAAACCTGCTTCCGCGTTTCCAAGGTGCGACCTACAGAAAAGTGCCAACGAGAACATGGACCTGATCCCCGGGTTTATAAGTTGAATCTCTTCCCCGTTTCCCCAGATTCCCCAGACTTTTACTCCATACAAGGCAACCCTTCGCCACAAAAGTTTACAAGATTCATTCAACATCTGCTGATAGATCCCACATCATGTCCACCAAGCATGTTGGTGATGTCGACTCACACGAAGTCTCCCAGATAGCAGAGGAAATCGAACGCGCCCAGATCGACCCATTGTAAGGTAGCATCTTGTCTCATCAACGAATTCGCTAATGAGCCCTCACCCTGTGCAGAAGTTCCCTCGACGGACTTTCCAAGGAGGCTTTACATGCCTACGCCGACAATTTCGTAGATTCGTCCGGCTTGGATGAGGCCAGAGCCTTCTTCCATAAGGCAGCCATTATCGCACAGAACCCGCAAAGCTACGAAACGCTTGTCGATATTAATACTTTGGAGCGACAGGCTTTGGTCCAAGAACAGAAGAAGAAATGGAACCATCCTTGGTCGCTCTGGTTCACCATTGCTACGTGCTCAGTTGGAGCCGCGGTGCATGGATGGGACCAGGTGCGTCATCCGCTATGGGGAGAGCTGTTTTCATGGCTGACTAGCGACACTTCAGACCGGTAGTAACGGAGCAAACTTATCATTCCCGCAAGAGTTCGGCATCGGAAGTAACTCAGCTCATGACAAGTGGATACTTGGGTTGGTAAACTCAGCACCAACCATCGCAATATTCGTCATGTACGTCATCCTACCTTACTGAGTACCAAGCCGACGGCTCACTGATACTCTACAGAAGATGTTGGCTATCTGACCCTCTCAACAACATTCTCGGTCGCCGGGGTACAATCTTCGTGTCGGGTATCTTCTCCTTCGCCTCAGTTCTCGGCTCCGGCTTCACACAGACCTGGCAACAGCTCCTCGTATGTCGTTTACTTCTTGGGGTAGGCATGGGCATTAAGGCGTCCACCACCGCGGTGTTTGCAGCCGAGTGCTCGCCGGCTGCAATAAGAGGCGCATTAACTATGAGCTGGCAGCTTTGGGTCGCCGTGGGGATCTTCCTGGGCTTCACGGCTAACCTCGTGGTGATGAATGCCGGTGCCATCACCTGGAGACTCCAGATTGGCTCTGCGATGATACCGGCGGTGCCGCTCATCTGCATGATTTACCTTTGCCCGGAAAGTCGGCAAGCCTCCGCCAAATACTGAGGCATCACGGCTGATCGACCCGCACCACAGGTCCACGTTGGTACATGAAGATGAACCGGCCGGCTGATGCGTTTGCATCGCTGCAGCGCTTGCGGTTCACTAAGCTACAGGCTGCTCGTGATTTGCTACTAATGCACGTTGCACTAGAGGCGGAAAAGAGCCTGTTTGCACACAGGGGAAGTGCATTGAAGCGTTTCCAGGAGCTGTTCACAATTCCCAGAGTACGACGGGCCAATCTGGCCGCGGCCACGGTCATGCTAGCCCAGCAAATGTGTGGCAGTAAGTGATTGAAAATCTTCTGAAAGTGACAAAGCTAAGCATGGCAATAGTCAATATCATATCATTCTACTCGTCATCCATCTTCGTCGAATCCGGATTTTCTGAGCAGAGAGCGTTGTGGGCATCATGGGGCTTCGGCCTGGTCAACTTCACATTCGCAATTCCTGCGCTGTGGCTTATCGACAGTTACGGCCGTCGAACCCTCCTGCTCACCACATTTCCACACATGGCATGGACTCTGCTTGCAGCGGGTTTCTGCTTCCTCATTGGCGGCGACGGCACGGCTCGGCTCGCCCTCATCGCCCTCTTCATCTTCTCATTCACAGCCTTCTACAGCATTGGCCTCGGCCCCGTTTGCTTCGTCTATGCGGCAGAAGTTTTCCCTCTATCCCACCGAGAACTCGGTATGGCTTGGAGCGTCGTCATCAACGCCGTCGGGGCTTCCATCCTGGGGCTGACGTTTCCTTACATGCTGTCTGCGCTGACTCCGACGGGTGCTTTCGGCTTCTACTGTGGCTTAAACATGTTGGCTCTGTTTGTGATCTTTGGCTTCTTGCCTGAGACCAAGCAGCTGACGCTGGAAGAGTTGGATGTAGTGTTTGCCGTCAGAAGCTGGACGTTTATTCGGTATCAATTCACCGTTGTGATTCCGTATTGGTACAGGCGCTGGATTCTGTGGCAGCGGGAGGTTGTGTTAGAGCCAATTTCTCATAGATCCTCGTCACAGGATATGTAAATAGTGTGATGAAATAGAGTGGCGCGCGTGCACTTTACGCCTGGAAATCCGCAACTTCGTAAGCGTGCGTATATAAACAGTGCCCCGGCGCGCATGAGCAAGAGTAAGGGTTTCCTACAGACTCATCTGCGATAGTATTGATGGTGGTGCGGAGTGAATGTAGGGATCTAGTTGAATTCTGTGATGTTCACGGTTCAGGGGCATACTCCGCATAACCGAGTTAGCGAGGATCATGGTTGAATGAAGGGATGGAGAGGGGTAGTTTGCCCATCTTGGCTTTCATCGTCTTCTTAAATACCAGCTCATCATTCAAGGTTTCGACCTTAAAATGGCGGGATCAGTCCCGCCACCACAGCTGCCTGAAAGCTTGTTATGGAAATGCTTTTCTTGCTAAAATCTCATTTAAGCATATTTTCTCGTTGGAAATGCCGCATTCTGTCTTCGCTAGTCTAGCTCAACTCAAGATCCGCGCTAGTGGAAATCTTACCCTGATGATTCACGATTCTTCAAGTTGATACTTTCCACGTTCGCATAAGAGCGAGTCAGGCAAGACTTGTAAGTTACCCTCCCCGAGAGGAGGAAAGTTCGATATAACAGATTTAAGCAGCATTGAACCCACCTGATAACATTTGGTTCTCCCCCTTCTGCTGCGAGGCATCTTAGCATTCTGCTGCCTTACATCGTTTTCTCACGACCAGGTCAAAGACAGTTCTACAATATGTACTTCGTTATCATCGTTCTCTTGGGAACTCTTGCAGCTTCTGTAGCCGCACGTCCTATCGTCGTCTCACACGATCTCTCCTACGCCGGGGCGCCAGCTTTCAGAAATGACATGCGCTTCAACGATGTTGATACCAAAGCAGGGGGTGAAGGTAAAGCTGAAAATGTCTCGAGACCTTTCCTACTGATACCAATGTCCTGGTCACAGACAAGCCATATCTTCAACCTAGGAATGATGCCCTGGTCGATGTTCTTGACTTAGACAATCAAGATGCCGGGTTGTCCGATCAGTACTATGACAAGGAGGCCACTCACTACCCTCCCAACAATGACCTTTCAATTGTCCCGAGGGCAAGCAAGACGCCAAAAACGACTACCAAGTCGAAATCTGAGCTGAGGGCCGACGACAAGAAGTTTCACAGGGATCAACTCAAACCAAAGGACGGAAAATACATCAACAACCTTGACAGACTCAATAGCAAAAACTGTGGTAAACATTGCGGGGACTCCATAAACTCTTACCGCTCCCAACAGTCCAAGGAGCTCAAAGAGAAGGAGCGAAATAAGCCGCATCTCCCAGGCTCCAGGGCATCAAGAGGCGAGGTCAATACGAAACAGGATGACTACAATCATGATTTTAATCACCTGCGTCAGGACAGAGGTGACATAGGTAAACACGGGCTACAGTCCCTTGACTCGTGGCATTCAGTCGAATCCGCCAATTCGAAGGCGTCGAAGGCATCGAGGGCGAAAGGAGGCAGGAACCATGGCTGAACAGTTGAGGAATAGTTGGAACACGTAACGTGTGTACAGATTGTAAGGGGCTAAAAGTTGGAACTGTGATTCACACAATTCTCAGTGAAAAGAGTGACCGATAGATTGGTTGAGATAGGTTTTGTAGCAAATAAAGTTTTGTCGCAATCATCTTGAATCGGTCCGCCCGGTCATATACCAAGGGGCGCTTTGTAATACCTTTGCAGCGCTCCAAGATGCGGCAGGATTTCCTAATGTACCAGTCATATCTATGTACAACTCTATGTCACAGCACACGATCTCCACATGCGAGACGTGTTCAGCCACGCGAGCTTTCTTTGTGATTGTCTGATGTTGGCATCGCTCAGGTGGTGCTATTGTTAAATGTGCGTTATGTATGAGTAGGTTGTCATCGGGCCTCAACTGTCACATTCATGGGGCGTCTCGAACCAATCAAAGTGTTTCCTAGAGCAAAGTTATACAGCTGCTCACCCTGCTCACCCTGAAAACATCCAGGTGTTGTCTAACCATTTTGAAGCAGCAACTCAGATATGAGTGACCAAGGGATATAATTGCGCCTGCACGATAGAATGCTTCACTACTCGGTTTCCCAGCCCAAGTACAGACCTGCACGACGTCTGGCTACAAGCACGTCATATCGACAACTACTTACCGATTCCAGACGATGCATGCATTGCGGGCATATCGAGGCCCTTTGCTGCCCCATACGAGACTAATGGTCATGAAATAAACAACAGTGTTCCATTTAGATCTACTCCCTGACAAGATGGTGATGACGCTGGGGCTGGCTTTGTTTCCACCGCAGTTCTTACTGCGGCTGCTTCCGCTCTGGACCCCTCCGCCGGGTCAAGTCCCGCTTCAAACCGAGCGCAAGGCCAGTGACGGGCGAGGCGAATGAATCAGAAACACTGTTTATTGGACGTAGTTGATGGTATTGCGGTGTCTTAAGCCGACTCGGGCGTTGAGCCAAGCCGTTCAACTGGGCTGTACGGCAATCCAGCCTTCTCACCGATCTGCGGCCTTCCTAGTTTGACTTCAACGGTAATATCAGACTCGTATCCGAAGCAAGGCCGTCATCATAAGCATTTTCTGAACTACCCCATAATCAATATTTGTTATGTTAACTAGCCCGCAGCATCAAGCAGTATCACCGTGGTGATACCGGGGACGATGGGTTGTCCACTCTTATCTGACAAGTTTGGGATCGAATTCGGGGCATTGATCGTCTTCTCGATAAGCGGGATATAAGACGCTGTCAATAGGTAAAGGTCTCGGCCTTTCAGTTTTATATACAGGGCACTCCCGATCGAAACTTTTTATTCCCCTAGCGTACTACGAAGGGCTATGTAGTAACATATAATTGGTAGAAGAAATATACGTAGCTATTTAATTGTAAGAGAAAATGGAAGATGAGATGACCTCAAGTTGAAAGATCTAACGAACTCAGGTCAAGAAATGTACTTGGTAATTGCTAAATCCGATGATTTACTGCGACAACTGCAAGCAAACAGCCGTCTGTATAAACATTCACGGAAAACCCTAGCGAACAAAAGAAGACATTATTTTGCGTGCTCAAGTGGAAGGGGGAGTTAGTTTCCTGAAGCTTACTAATCTAGTCTAATTCAAATCTACATACCTTCTCATGCAAACCCTGGTCAGCTTATCGTCGAAAACCTCTTCTGCCATTGCACGACAGTACTATCAACTTCATGTCTTGGATGTAAGTTAAGTCCCGATATTCACATTGTTTATATATGCATTCGATCCATTAAATGCATACACCCCACTAAAGCGAAACCCAAGCTCCACGTCATTGCTCAGACCACAGGCAGACATTACGATCTTCAAACTGTTCGGTCGCAACATCACACCAACCCGTGATGGCCACGATCTCCGACACGCGGTCTCAAGCGGGCGGCGCCTTGGACATCCGCGTAGAAGACTACCTCGACGACAAGCTTCAATCGACAACCGATCTCGACAACCTTGACTCGTTACTCGCCAACGTCGAAGTCCAGCGCAGCCAGCTCCAAACCCAGCTCGACAATGCCGTCAAACAGCTCGACGAGGCCCGACGCACCGCCGGCGATCGACAATCCTCGCTCGCCCAGCGAATTCAAGACTTTCAGGAGCTGCAGCACAGCATAGACGTCCGCGTCAAGATCGCAGCGGCCTCCGACGCCCCCAACCAGGCTATCGCGAGGTTGCAGATGCCGATGAAGAAGCTGCAGACGATCGAGCTGGCTCAAAAATACCTGGTTCTGTTGCAGGATGTGGACCAACTGAGGATCGAAGCACGCTCGCACCTTCCCGAGAGCCCGAAAGCGGCGCTAGAGCCGTACTCGAAGCTGAAACAGCTGTCGCGGCGCTTGGAGGAGCTCTCCGGGCCTGCGGACGATGCGGCGGTGCACCTCGTCAACCACGTCCGCAACGTTACCGACAAGCTGTGGGAAGAGATGAAGAAGATCATGTCGAGCGAGCTGGAAACTATACTGAGCAAGAGATCATGGCCCATGGTGGATCCCACTTCAGAGATGGACGAAGAGTGGCTTGCTTGCTTCGAGAAGCTCCTCGATCTGCAGATCCCGGAAATTACGCTAAGCAAGTCAATCGTCAGCTTGCTTCCGTTCGATGTCATGAGCCGTATCTTTGTGTCCGAGTTCCGATTTCACTTTCTGAGCGACAAGCCGACGAGCAAGCCCGATGCGATAGGGTCGCACTGCTTTCCCTGGTTTTTAGCGACTATTGAGAAGTGGGAGGATTTCTTTAGGGACAATCTGGGCTTCACTTTGGCTGCCAAGCTCCGCGATACGCCGGCTGGAAACAGCTTGGTGTACGTCGATCCGGTGTGCGCGTTCATCACGAGCATGCTCCCTGTCATGAGGGAAAAGCTCAAGACCGTGATGGTAGATGCCTCCAAGAACCCTACCTTCCTCAGCAGTCTCATCGGCCAGCTCATGACCTTTGACGAGAATGTTCGTTCCAAGTTCAACTACGACGGTGGTAACCCGGAACAGGGTTGGCCCGGTCTTGCCTCGGAGGTCCTGGAGGAGTGGTTCGAGCCATGGTTCCAGGCGGAGAAGGAATTCGCCATGGAACGCTTCCAGGCCATCATGGCCACGCCCGATGCACGCAACATCGATTACGACTATGCTGGCACCGGAAAGACAAAGCCTACCTTTGGTGCTGTACGAGTCACCGACCTACTGAGATCTATCACGACGCAGTACGAGAGGGTCCGCACATTCAAGCACAAGATCCGGTTCTTGATCGGCATTCAACTCGACATACTCGACGAGTTTCACGATCGTCTGCGCGGGTCTCTCGAGGCCTACCAAGCCCTCACTTCGACCGTCGGCAGGACCCTCCACGGCGTGACCAAAGAACAACTCGCTGCGCTCGAGGGCACGGGCGCCTTGGAATCACTGTGTAAGGTGTACGGCAGCGCCGATCACGTCGTCAACACACTCAAGGATTGGAGCAACGAAGAATTCTTCGTCACGCTGTGGGACCAACTCCAGTCTCGCGCGACCAAGGATGGCGAGACCTCGAGGATGTCTGGCGAGATGAGCTACGAAGAGGTCAAGGATCGCACGTCAACGGCTGTTGGGTCTGACAACGACGACGGCATCCTGTTCGATGAGACAATCGCGGCGTATAGTCTCCGATGCAAGACGGCGCAGGACTTCTTGGTCAATGCCGTCGCTGACTCTCACTACAAGGCTTTCAGAGCCTACGCAACAAGGACGCAGTGGACCACTATTAGTGAAAGCGATTCAGAGAGTGAGTACACTGGACAGGGTCATCTTTCAATATACTGACATATTTACAGTCGACCCCTCCCAGCTCGCTGTTACACCCGAGCTTGACGAGCCGTTGAGAATCCTGAAGCGCAACCTCGACTTCCTGGTTAAGGCCATTGGCACCGCTGCCTACCGCCGCACATGGCGCAGCACGCTCGACAAACTCCAAGACCTGCTCTGGGGCGAAGTCCTCATGAGGGCAAGCTTCACAGCCTTCGGCGCAGCACAGTTCACGCGTGACGTCAACGCCATCTTTTCTCTCGTCGAAAGATACATCCCGAACGGACTGGCATCGATGACAAGTCTGGTCGATGCACTAAAGCTTCTCAATCTTCCTACTGAGGCGCCTGAGGGAGGGCTTTCACTGAAGCAAGCGAGTGATAGGGTCTTTACGGATAACACTGAGGCGAAGAAGGTGCTGGAGGAGCTGGATATTGATACGCTCACGCCGGCGAACGCGAGACATATCTTGCAGCGCCGGGTTGAGAATAAGGAATAGACAATATCTTGATCTGTGCATAGAGCCAGACATGACACGCGCAGGATGTTGTGAATACATGATGCCCGGAGAATGAAAATCATGACGACGAATGCTGGGAAGATCCTGCCCGGGACGACAACGAGACCCGCTTCTCGATGCCCTGACCCGCACCACCCAACACAAGACTCCGCAACGTCAAGCATACTCATCAATCAACTCCGATATGGTGTAGTGGCCAACATGATGCCCTCTCATCCTTGATGCGAGGTTAGGCATAGCCCCGAGTTCGATTCTCGGTTTCGGAACATTTTGACATTTTTGCCATTTTGCCCGTGGCCGCCGGCTGAGAATTGCTGAAAGACATTTGCGGGCTCTGCTTTTTGCTTTGCGGTTTCGCGTGTTGACCGGAAGCAGCTAAGAGAGTGTATTTCATACAGTCCTGTTGGTCAAAGTGTATCAAGTCCTAGAAGTTGACGGTATGAGGACATCGACAGGTGCCCCCTCCGGTAGATTCTGGATAGCCGGCCAGCGAACTCTGTCTGGGTGGCCGGCTCTGCGATGTACGTTGCTTACTTCTGGCAGTCTATACCAAATCTTGCTGTCCACTCAAACGAGTTGACTCAATAAAATTGACGATTCAAAGATGCATAGGGTCGTCCTCCACAACCATACTGTAGACTTTCTTGTATGCTTCTTGGCGGCTTTTGTTGGTGATTGATATGCCTCAGCGCTCGACGACAAATTCGTACTGCTGACAGACACATGCCAGCAGCTCATCGATGTTGAGATCGATTCGGGCGTCTTCGTTCTCACAATGGATGAGAAGTGCTGTCGCGTTGGTGTAGTTTGACTTTCATTCTGAAGTTGCAGTAGGCCACGGAACCTGACGACAGGCGAAAACCCGCCATGTTTCCGCCGGATTCAAGCTTCATTATCTAGTGTCAGACTCTCCGGCCGGGGCCGTTGGACTTGAAGTGTATGTACAATTCAGCAAGCTTATCATGTCAAGAGCGACTTGGACATGATGGTAAACACGAAAAATACCAGGGAACGATAGTGGGATGACAAGAATACAGACCTCATCAGTTGAACACTGGGAGCTACCCCACCAACTTCGGTGAGTGACTTGGAAGGTACCCCTCACCTCGGTGAACAGACCACCGTAGATCGGCTCGGTAGCGGACCGTCACTGCAGCTCCCCTCCACACCGTCGGGCGAAAAATCCCAAGCTCCTCCCGACCAACAGGTGATGCGCTGAAGCACCATCTCCCTATTTCCACAATGTCGGCAGAGGGCAAGAAACCGGAGACGGCCAGGTAATTTCTGTCCAGTCTCTTGTAAGCTACACGGCGAAGCTGACCTTTTCTTCCTCACCCAGCAAGGATGCTACGCCCAGTAACCCTCGAGGTATCCCCAAGGCGCCGTTCGTCGACAAGGTCGAGGACTACGTCACGACCCGCGAAGATGTCGAACCCACCCTGCGCAACTTCCAGGAGATGATTTCGTGAGTCGCCCAGCGCTGGACGAGCGCCCAGCCCGCACGCGGGATCGAGACGAGGAACACGCGACGAAAGACGAGGGGTCACACGAGGGACAATCTGGTAACACTTTGTTGCGCGCAGGAAATACCAGTTCATGGAGCTGAATCTTCAGAAGCGGGTGGCCGGATTGAATGACAAGATTCCCGACATCCAGAAGACGCTCGACTCCGTGCGGTTCTTGAAGCTGAGACAGGTGGGAGTCATCAGTCCAGGCGAAAGATCGGTACCCTGACACGATATAGGACGAGGAGGAACCGATCGAGACGACTTTCGAGCTCAACGATACACTCTACTCCAAGGCGAAGATCCCACCCACTAACGAGGTGTACATCTGGCTAGGCGTTTGTGTTCCTTACTTTGACGGGATGCGCAGGATTGTGCTGACGGATTACAGGCCAATGTCATGCTGTCGTACCCCATCGACGAGGCCGAGACGTTGTTGGAGTCTAAGCTGTCGACAGCGAAGCTGAGCTTATCAAACTGCGACGAGGACTTGGATTTCCTGAGGGAGCAGATCACAGTACGTTTGAGTTTCATGTCCCTTCAGAAGCACCAACTGACAAATTGCAGACAATGGAGGTGGCTATTGCAAGAGTCTACAACTGGGAAGTTGTCCAGAAGCGCAAAGATAAGGAGGAAGGCAAGGGGGCCGAGAAGGGCAACGAAAATGCCGAAGCGGGCGGCTGATTGGAGATTCGATACCAAACAAAAGAACCCATGATTTCGCAGCAAAACACATCAGTGCTCCCATACATGCTTCCCCTGAGGTGCTCTCACAAGATGCAGCCCGACTTTCGGGTTGCCGGAGATTGGGAGCCTCAAATGGGGTTTTAAAGGGTGGATGAGAGCTGCCATTTCAATTAGGGTGGCGTGGCCTTCAGGCGTTTAGTCGCGACTACCAGAAGCTGGGGAATCATTCCACGCAACACCACAGACCGAATCGTCATTGCGCGAACCTGTCAGCTTCAGTTTACGGACAGACGCCATGTTCCGATAGTCATCTCGTTAGCGATCATCCGATATTTGATAGGGCAGAGCATCAGCAGTCAGCCACCCTTCCACAACACTGCCACCACCTCAAGCTTCCGAATCGCGTAACTCAAAGTCTTTCCAAAGCTGATTCAGTACCATGCTGGATCTTGCCATATTTCCTGCTGTGGCTGGCAGGGCTGGTTGCCGCTCGCCGAGACGCACCAATCTACAGCGCCTCTGGCCACGCGTGGGCAGCTCCAAAGTGTTCCAGGTGCATTACGTAAGGTCGTATCAAGGCAAACGGGGTACATATGGACATACGTACTCCGTATCTAAGATGCGGGTAGCGCAAGTGCGGTGTAGACCTGAGGCCAGGGCCATTTTGAGGGGCAACCAGGGGGCAGTTCAGTGCGGGACCGGTCGCTATGACGAATTTTGGCATACCGCCAGCGAAGTTCACTTTAATTCAACCTCCCAGGCCGCCCCTACATTTGTGCAGGAGATCTATCTTCCCGCTTCTCTTTTCCCCACAACCAGCTCTTTCTCCTGAACACCCTCGATCCTGGTCGCCCTTCTTCTTCTTCTTCTTCCTAGGAACAACAACAGACAGATCGTCTCGTCGTTTCCAAACCGCAACCTCCTCTTCTTCCACCCCGCCTGTTGGAAAATCCCTCTCAACCTCCCAACAACCTTTTCCTCTCCTACAGCGTTCTTCTTCCTCGTGAAGAAGACCCTTAAAGAGCCCCACCATGGCCCAGAACGAACTCGACCCCAAGTATGACCAGTTCGACTACCCGACGGTCTCGCCGAACACGCAGCCCGGCCATCCTGGCCACCTCACCGAGGAGCAGAAGGCTCAGGTCGCCCAGCTGCGCCTGATGCTCGAGTCTGAGGGCCACACCAAGCGTCTCGACACATTGACTCTGGTAAGAATCTTAGCGAAGCCAGACCGCATGATGGGTGTTGCGTGTTCAGTCTAAGCTAACACATGTTTCAGCTGCGATTCCTCCGTGCTCGCAAGTTCGATGTCAACCTCGCCAAGAAGATGTAAGATAGCAGCCCCCCTTCCTTACGATACAAAGCGAACCGCCGGCTGATCGACTCCCTCCAGGTTCGTCGACTTCGAGGAGTGGCGAACAGACACCAAGCTCGACGAGACCATTCAGGGCTGGGAGTACCCCGAGAAGGAGGATATCTTCAAATACTACCCCCAGTACTACCACAAGACCGATAAGGTACGGCTTATCGATGGAATAATCATCTTCTTTTTCACATGATATGGCTAACCGCCCTTCCTGCAGGATGGCCGCCCCGTCTACATCGAGAAGCTTGGCACCATCGACCTGACCGCCATGCTCAAGATCACCACCGAGGAGCGCATGTTGACCAACCTTGCCGTCGAGTACGAGAAGTGCGCCGATCCCCGTTTCCCCGCCTGCTCCCGCAAGTTCAACCACCTCGTCGAGACCTGCTGCACCATCATGGACCTCAAGGGTGTCGGCCTCATGAAGGCGTCTCATGTCTACGGCTACGTTAAGAAGGCCTCCGTCATCTCCCAGAACTACTACCCTGAGCGTCTCGGCAAGCTTTACATCATCAACGCTCCCTGGGGCTTCTCCGGCGTCTGGGGTATCGTCAAGGGCTATCTCGACCCCGTCACCGTCGAGAAGATTAGCATCCTTAGTAGTACTTACCAGAAGGAGCTTCTCGCCCAGATCCCCGCTGAGAATCTCCCCAAGTCGCTCGGTGGTAAATGCGAGTGCCAGGGTGGCTGCGAGCTCAGCGACGCTGGCCCGTGGCACGAGAAGGAATGGACCAAGGAGCCCTGGTGGGCCAAGCCCCAGCCTGCCGCGGACGTCATCGAGAACAAGGGCGGCGAGACCGTCACTGCTCCCGCTGCCCAGCCTCCCGCCGGCATTGCCGTCACCACCGACGGTGCCGCCGACCCCGCCAAGGCTCCCGCCGCGGCATAAGCGTCTTATTCGAGATTGCTTTGCGTACATTGAAGCCCGGCGAGGCTGTTGTTTTCGAGTACGGGCGCTGCTGCTGCTGGGCAAGGAAAGCCAGTTAGAGAAGAGGCGTTGGCAAGATCTGCTGTTGTTGCATACGTGGTAAAGGATTTCGTGGAGCGGGCTGGGCGACGGGGTGGTTAAAAACAAGAGCTTCTGTTGTAGAGTCGCTCATACACGTGTTGATCCTAGCAATTTTGCTACTTTACATCTTACATACTTTCGCTTTCATTTTGGTCCGTTGTAATGGTGCATTTCAACAACGCGAAGCGTTTGTAGTTCATCGTGACTTGGCACTAAAGTGAAAGATGTAATGTTTCCCATGAATGACTTCATACCATCATGGTTGAGAAACTCGTAATCGTCATGTGGTATAAACCAACGCCAAAACTCCCAATCAAAGCAGCACCCTCGTCCCTCACGACCTCTCGGTGACGGTATACTCCCCCGCGACCCTCGCCCTCTCCATCTTGGCGACCGTGGCGGGCATGTCCTTCTTCAGCCTGCCCAGCTTCTCCACCGCCGTCCCGAACGCCCTCCTCGTCTCCGCCTGCCTCTCCATCTCCTCCAGCGGGAGCACCTCGGCGTCGCGCGCCGCCAGCTCCTCCGCGCGGGCCTTCTTGGCGGCCTCGAGCGCGGCCTCGTCCGCCGCCGTCGAGGCCTTGAACTCGTGCGCGGCGGCGGCGGCCACGGTGCCCGGCACGCTCTTCTTCAGGGCGGCGATCTCGTTGAGGAGCTCCTCCTCGTCGCGCGCCAGGTCCTCGACGCGCTGGCGCAGGCGCGCGTCCCAGGGCTCGTAGGCCTCCTCGGGCTCCGTCGGGTTGTCGGAGAGGAAGTTGGCGGGGTCGGCGTCGAGGCCGTTTATGGAGAGGTTAGGGGCCGCGTAGGTGAAGGTCTTGTTGATGTACTGTTTTTGTGAGACGCGTTAGTCTTCGTGTGTTCCGTATTTGAAGGGGTTTGCATCCTGAGGAGGAGGGTTTGTGGCGCTGGTGCTGCATTGTTGTTTTGGTTGTATGTGGTGAAAACGTACCTCGTTCACGAGACGCTCAATAGGCGCCCTCAACTCGTCCTCCTGCGCGTCTCCGCCCTCGATCGGGGGGAACGCCTTGTCCAGCTGGTCCTGCGCGGCGCGGCGGACGTTGTTGAGGAGGTAGGTCAGGTCCTCGGTGGACTGCAGCTCGATTTTGCGGTGGGCTTCTTCCATTGCTGTGGTTTTTGTTTTGGACCCCCTTTTTTCTCAGCCGTCCGGGTCCGGAATGGTGAAGTTCAGGATCAGAAACGTTTCGGACCAATGAGGGTTTCCTTCACTCGAGATCGGGGTCGGTTTATGCTTGTTTGGCGGGATTGGTGATGTTTACTCGGTTCCCTTATTTGGGTACGGTCGGCGCGTCGAGGGTTCCGTCATCCGACGTTTTTCTTTGGCTCGTCGCGCTTGCTCCGTCCAGGCCCCTCCACCTTATCTTATCTCGTCGTTATCGATAAGACGGCGCCGTATCTCCATCTCCCAACTTCGATCGCCAACCACCAAAAGGACGCCCCCGAAAACTGCCGACATCGGACAGTCGCCGGACAGCTGCCACGGCGGCACATCTACAAAAACACGGGCCAGGATGCGGACGATGCCTGGCTGGTGTTGGTGATGACTGTCGGGTTCTGATGCATCGGATTGAGGGGGGCCATCTTTAGTAACATCCATGCAAGGGGGCTTTCAGCTGGGAACCCGACCAAGGTTTTGACGACATTTTATTTATACTGTATGTATGCTGGACTCAGTATGCAGCTGATTAACGTTGATCGTCGCCAATTAACAAGAAACCTGAAGAATGACTGCCCGTAGATTGGGACGCATGAAACTTGTGGTGATCTTCGCTGTCAAGTTGTCAGTGACAGCTCAGAGGTAAACAAGACAGCACAACATCGGCAACCCACCGCACCAAAGGCCGGCTCATCAACAACAACACAGCATACGTGCCGGCCGGCATCGTCAGACTTCCTCCCTTCCTCCGTCTTCCCTTCTCCCCGTCCGTCGTCCCTTGACCCCAGGGATGATGCTCCTCGGCGCTCTGACACTCGCGACCGGGACGGACCTGCATGGGTTGAGACCGCGGCGTCGAATCACAGCGGGGCCGATTTTATTCTCAGCGACTTTCCATTTTGGCCCTCCTTCCCGGCCCCCAGAACGTAAGGTAACCGACCCCGGTAAGGTAGCGCGCAGCCGCTGCCACTCGTCGCCGCCCCGCCCGCCTTCTCAGCGGCACAAGAGGAAAGGCGTGGTTGGGTTGCGAAAGTCGCATGCCGGCGCCAGCACCCTTTCGGGTTCGATGGGAGGGTCTGGAACTGCGGGACCCTCTTTCTCAGCTTTCGACGTCCTGATGTTAGTAACAGGACGAGTCAGATGTTCCGGAGGGAAACCCGTTTCATGGCAATTTGGAGGAAGGAAGAATATGTTATGTTATGACGCCTTCCTTTTTTTCTTGGTTGTCACTAAGGGAGGTTCATCGGTGCATGTACGAAAGACGTCACTCATATCGGGGTTCACGGCGTGCAATTCGGAGAGGATCGGCTTCGACTCAGCTCCGACGCAAGCCGTGGGGCCCCTTTGGACTGCCGATTCGTACCACCATTCGCCTCCCGAACTCTCGTCGTCCGGAAGAGGGATCATGCTTGGTGGCCCGGTTGGCGTCCTATCTTCTTACAGGACTGCAGGTCCCGATGTGGGGAACGTGGTGACGGAACCTTAGGCCATGAATAGCGTCCTGGTGACTCTATTGCGACTATGTAATGTTGGTGTGGGAATCAAATGGTCCGAGGAAACCGTAGCAAGAGAAAATACAGGGCCGAATGAGAGAAGAGGGTATGTGCTGCAAATACCGAGGGAATGAACGCCCCAATCCAAGTGAAAAAGCAGACCAGAAAAGCGCGGCAACAGACAGATAAGAAAATAACTCTCAATGAAACCCGTCTCGCCGCAGTAGTTCCAACTCCCCGATGATCCCCCATAAGCCCCAGGTAGTCTTGTCAAGGAAATAATAAGGCGATCCTCTCATTACGAGAGAGGAGAAATGCGAGATGTGCTGTTGCTCCTGCCCAGGCCCACGTCCATGCATTGTCCTCAAACCCGGACATGGGCTCATCCGCCGCCATAGTGCGTAAATCAAACTGATCAAAGGCTGAAGAAGAGATGTGAAGGGGGTAGGTCGTGTCCGGACGCCATGGTATAGAAACAGAAAGGGGTGTCTCGTGAGAATTCATCGGTCTAAAAACACTTCGGGCGTTGTTGTTCGTGTGGTATCGTCATGGCCGGGGCGCCGTTAATGGGGGAACATGTTGTTGACTTCCTCGTCGCTCAGAACGATCTCGTGTACGGGCTCCCGTCGGTTCTCGAGGGGTTCGTATTCGCAGTCGACGTAGGATGGCAGGAAGATTTCTGCGGTGGTCTGTCAGTCGGGAAGCGAGGATGGCTTCGGCAAGAGAGTATACACACCTGGGTTCCATGCAAAGCCTTGGCTGGAGGAGAGGTAGGAGATCTACGAGGTCATGTTAGCCCATGCACATGCCCACTTCAAAGGGCGGGGGTGGTCTTACCAGGCGGGGAGTGCCGTTTGGCTCGCCGATGTTGATGACGGTGCTTTCTTGCTTCGACAACGCCGTGCCTGACCTCAGTATTAGCGAGTGACCATAGGCTGTAGTTGTGCCGCTCCGGGCGGAGCAGGCAGACGATGCCCGGGCTCCGGAGCTCCAACCCATGGTGGAATGACATACTGAGAAGGCTGGGGCGACGTTGGTGGACCATCTTCTGCTTCTGGGCGGAAGGCGGGGATGAAGTCCGAGGCGAGCTGGAGTATGTCGAGGACGAGGAGCTGGTTGCACCGCGAACCTGAGCGGACTGGTGGTGGTGGTGACCGTAGGTTGCCGACGACGGGGTCATCGGGATCGCAATCGACGACGACATGGTGGTCTTGGGAGGAAATGGAGGTCGGTAAAGTGAGACGATAACACCAAGCGTGGTGGAAAGCGGTCTGAACGATAGAAAGAAGAAGGGAAGCACACCAGACAGTTCGTTGGTCGAGGTGGTGGAAGATCAGCGTGTTTCGGCTGAGGAGTCGAGATGTGGTGAAGAAGGAGTCAAGAATGGGAACTAGAGGTACGAGACCGAAGAACAAGTGTGCCTGTGACTGTTCGGTACAGTGCTAGGTTGACTTGCTGGGACGAGGCCTAACGAGGCATCCTCTCCTCTGAATCACGCCCACATCATCCCATAGGTAGGCAGGCCTTGGGGGTCTGATAAGAGATGGGTGACGTCTGATAGAAGGACGTATGGGCAGGTGCAGTGAGTCGCTAACAGTGGATAGCAGGAGAGACCCTCGCATCATCATGGCAGGGATCACGGCATCGTCCCCACATTACTTGGGGGAAGTACGACCCCACCAAGGCCAATCGGAGGCCGTCACTGCCTACGAGTTGGGTAACGTGCTGCAGGCACTTCGCCCTGCTCCATGCCACCTGCTCAGCCAATCAATCAATGGTGGATATTGTACGTCACGTGATGGGTCTGAGCTTCCATACGTTTCCTGACTAAGCCCGGCTGAAAGGCTGCATGCGTATCCATTGACGCCTACAGGCAAGCTAGAGCAACCAAGTAGCATCCCGAGCTTTGTAGCCAAACAACCTCGCCATCGCCAACGACACCACGCCATCCCTCACGATTTTCTTCTCGACACATCTACCTCCATTCTTCGAGTCCGCAACTTCCCGAATCGACACGTCCCGCAGCTCCCTGCTTTCCAGACACAATGGGTGACGTTTTGGTGGAAAACCCGGCCAACTTCGTCCATTCTCAGAAGAAGACGGCGCCCTCAACAATCCCCAGTATCGAGAACTTCGAGGGCATTGCTTCGGAAGGAGGTGATGACTATGCCACACTCAAGAAGCTGCAAAGGCAACTGGAGTACATCCAGCTGCAGGAGGAGTACATCAAGGATGAGCAAAGGTTGGCAGACTTGGTCGTCACCGCAGCTGTTCGTCTTGCTGATCCTGTGCCGTAGGAGTCTGAAGCGTGAGCTTGTCCGAGCTCAGGAGGAGATCAAGCGGATTCAGAGCGTGCCCCTCGTTATCGGGCAGTTTATGGAGGCCATCGACCAGAAGTGAGTCGACCCCGCGGCCAGCAGACACCTAAGCTCGAAGCTCCAGACAGCTAACCCCCAACAGCACCGGCATTGTCCAGTCATCGACCGGTTCCAACTACGTCGTCCGCATTCTCTCCACCCTCGACCGCGAGAAGCTTAAGCCTTCTTCCTCCGTCGCCCTCCACCGCCACTCCAATGCCCTCGTCGACATCCTCCCCCCCGAAGCCGATTCCTCCATCGCCATGCTTGGCGCCGACGAGAAGCCCGATGTGACATATGCCGACGTTGGTGGTCTCGACATGCAGAAGCAAGAGATCCGTGAGGCCGTCGAGCTGCCTCTGACGCACTTCGACCTGTACAAGCAGATCGGTATCGACCCCCCGCGTGGTGTTCTGCTGTACGGTCCTCCTGGTACCGGAAAGACCATGCTGGTCAAGGCCGTCGCCAACTCTACGACTGCCAACTTCATCCGCGTCGTCGGTTCCGAGTTCGTCCAGAAGTACCTCGGTGAGGGTCCCCGTATGGTCCGCGACGTCTTCCGCATGGCTCGCGAGAACGCCCCCGCCATCATCTTCATCGACGAGATCGACGCCATCGCGACGAAGCGTTTCGACGCGCAGACCGGTGCCGATCGTGAGGTCCAGCGTATCCTCCTCGAACTCCTCAACCAGATGGACGGTTTCGACCAGACCGCCAACGTCAAGGTCATCATGGCCACCAACCGTGCCGACACCCTCGACCCCGCTCTTCTCCGTCCCGGTCGTCTCGACCGAAAGATCGAGTTCCCCAGTCTGCGTGACCGCCGCGAGCGCCGACTCATCTTCTCCACCATCGCCAGCAAGATGTCCCTCGCCCCCGAGGTCGACCTCGACTCGCTGATCGTGCGCAACGACCCCTTGAGCGGTGCCGTTATCGCCGCCATCATGCAGGAGGCCGGTCTCCGCGCCGTGCGCAAGAACCGCTACAACATCATCCAAAGCGATCTGGAGGACGCCTACTCAAGCCAGGTCAAGGGCACGAGCGACGAGAACAAGTTTGACTTCTACAAATAAACGACGGGTTACGAATCACGGACGAGTCGAAGGCGGAGGAGGAACGAACCAGTCGCTGCAAGGCCGGCGATGTAATGAGACGGACATGGCCGGCAGATCGGGACGGAGCAGGAATAGACCACACTTTTGTTTTCACCAATGGCTTCGGGGGAACGAGGCCCGGCGTCGCGTTGTACAATATTCCTGATAAACAAAGCTGCGTTGCCACATGCGTACCGTGCTGCCGTGAAGACTTGGAATCCTTGTGCCTGACTATCCCAAATGTCATCAAAACACTGACCATTACAATAATAATAATAGGATCTGCCAGAAGCGCGAGCGCCACCTGAGCACCAGCCACGACAAACCCGAAACCGAACCCGCCATGTCAATTCCCCGGCCCGAAGTCGCAAATAGACCGAGAGCAAACGAACCTGCGTCGCGAACCCTCTTCCATCTCGTTAGCTCACATCGTGTGTAAGTGTATACCTCCCCTCCATCCACCCTCACCTAGAAACACAGACAAACATCTGGAGTTATTGGAGTAGTTCAGGACATTATATTCATTCAACCACCTGATTCCCCGTTCTAAACTTTTTCCCTTATCCCGAATTTTTCATTCCCTTACTTCCATGCCCGTTTTGAAGAACCTGTGTTTCAGATGCATTTTCCCCGCCGTGGCCTAGAAGCCGGTTTTGTTTCTTGTCTAATAACAATAAAGATACATCTTCGGGGCAAACAGGGTTGTTACAGATGGAAGTGAAAAAAAAAACCGTGAATCATGACGAGTCCCAGCCGGAATAGAGAGACGAAAGGTGATCTATCAAAATTCCATGAAACAGACAGAAAAGACCAGAACTAGCTGGGATGTTCCTCCCGTAGTGAAAACGCTTGTAAAAAGGCAGAAACCGTCGCTGATGCAGAAAACAAATAGGTCGTGGGACCGCAGATGTGTGGTGTGGTCCTTGGTTTCTCGATGAGGGTGTTTGTTGTTGGGTATATCCGTCTTTCCTTGCTCCTCCCCGTCTCCACTCTCTCCTGTCCGTTCCGAGCAGTGGTGTTAAGGTAATTAGGCATTATCATTACCCATTACCGCTTTCTTTTGATATATCGTAACCTCCCCGTAGCCCGAAGCGCGTAGTGCGGAGTGGCTGTTTTGGGTGTTTTGTGTGTGCCTGACCAGGCAGGCGAACGTGGGTGGCATTTGACATGCCTGGGTATCTCTTTCTCTCCTCTTGTCTCTCCACCCTTGCGATCATGGGTATAGGTCCATGATCGATATCGTAAAACGTATGTACAGCCACGGCGCGCGTGACTTACGAGCTCAGAACGACGCCGAGCTCCAGCATGAGCTTGACGAACTTGGCGTGCAGCTCGATGAAGAAGTCGGGCATGCCGACGAGCTCGGCGAGGCCGCGCGCTCTAAGCGACACCCCGCCGGGCCCGCCGCCCATCCGCCTCGTGAAGCCGCCGCCGCCCGTGAGGAAGCTGCTGCCGCCGCGGTCCGGGCCCTCCCTCTCGTGCGCCGCGCTCATGGGCGGGTACGTGCTGTGGTGCTGCATTCCCCCTGCTCCGCCTCCTCCTCCGATGGGGCTGGCGGCCTCGGCGACCCTCTCGGCCTCGGCCTCGGCGAGCTTCTGAATCCAGGCGGCGAGGTCGCGGAAGGCGGCGGCCATGAAGCCGAAGGTCTTCATGGCGAGGCGCTCCTTGTGGGTGCTCAGGGCGAGGAAGGCGTAGACGCGCTTGTGGCCGCGGGCGTGCATGTCGGGTATGCGGAAGATGTAGGCGGTGGTGTAGCCGTTCATGGGGTCGCCGAAGAAGATGGGCCCGCCGGAGGCGGCTGAGCCGGCGCTGTGGGTTGTGACGAAGGCGGGCATGGTGCTCGACTGCGGGGAGGCGCTCGGGGTGGGATTCGCCGGCGCGCGGGGGAGGGTTTCGAGGGAGAGGGTTCGGAGGCAGGAGGATCGCACGATCGAGAAGGAGGAGGGTATCAACGGCTCGTGGGTGGAGGTGTAGTCGAGGTAGTGGGTGTGTCCGGCGTTTCTTCCCGACGACATGCTTGATCTTGTCGTGGTCGAGCCGGTCGCTCTCCGATGCGCTCGCTCGGGGTGTCCTTCGCTGTCGGTGTCGCTGGCGGAGGACGCCTGTGATGTCGGAGGCGATGTTTGGCCGTACACTCTGGCGTAGGGCGCGCGGGTGCGTAATGTCGGGCCCCGCTCGGCTTTGAAGTCGTTCTTGTCCTTCGCACCCTGTCGCTGCGGGAGCGTCAACGCGCAGTTCTCGCAGGGGCCGGCGCGCTTGGTGACGTATTCGTCGTAGGTTCGGCGGAAACTCGAGTCTCGTCGCGGTTGCTGTTGCTCCGATATCCGGCGGGGACTGTCTGGTGGGGTCTCGATGGCGGAGGGCGACAGAGGGGAAGCCGGTGATGCGGTGGCGGATGCGCGCAGCACGGCGGCGCGGGCGGTTTGGGCCTCGTTCTCCGAAGCTGGTAATGAAGAACTCCGGTGGGAATTCAGATGCATCTTGCGGAGGGCGTCCGACATGGCGACGGTCTGGTTCAGCGACGAGGTGGCCGCAGTTGGGGCGCTTGTCCGGGGTCGGAGTTGGTCCTGATCGGCATAGTTGGCGGCGCCATCTTCGAAGCATGTCGTGCATGGGACGGGCAAGCCTTCGGTGACCATAAGCGGGGTCGGGCCATGTTGGTCACAGTAGTGAGCGAGGCATAGCTGGACACCAGTCATTAGCGACAACGCATTCGGAGGTTGCTGCATTTCGGTGGTATCGCGAGGTGTAGCGAAAGTGTCCTCGAAAGACGGGACACGCATCGTGAGGAGGAAGGCAACGGGAGAGTACAGCGGTCTTTTGTCACTGACGGGAAGGGCAGTGCCAGTGACGAAAGGGTGGCGCGCTGTATTCCGAGAAGAAAGGGGACAATTCAAAGGACGAAGGCAGCCATGACGAAGACTAAGCTGGGGGGCCGTCGCAGCAGCTTATACAAAGACTGGAGTCCGGAGCTTTGGAAAGCCACGATGTTGGGCAGGAATGGGCGAGTCGTGGCATGCGACCGTGGGTAGAGTTATATGTGTAAGAGGCAGGGGACTGCGAGGAAGCGCAAGGAGGCCATGGCGGCGCAGTCTCCCTTTCTTATGGGAACTCTGAAGGGGGGGTCTGGGAGTGATTTGAATGGGAAATGGGGGAGGACAAGAAATGGGATGGGAATACAGATGGTGCTGCGTAAGGTGCTGCATCTGCATCTGCGTCTGCGTTGCGCCTGGGCAAGGAAAGGAAAGGTAAGGCAAAGACAAGACAAGGGAAGGGAAGGGGGTGAGCTAATTAGGGGACGAGGATTTCGAACCTGGGAACATGGGAGCATGGGAGCAGATAGGACGGACGAGATGAGGAAGTTGGGCAAGGTGAAGGCCGGTTGCAACAGGCCGGGCCCCGGTCGTGGGGTGGGAGGGGGAAGGCTTCCTGATTGCCGGTGTCTCGTGTCTGGCTCTCGTCTGAGTGTCTGGGAGGACGGGGAAGACGGAGAAGAGGACGCGGATGGGGATGCGCACTGAACACTGGATTGAGGTGATATGCGGGAAGCGGTGAGGCGGTGAGCGAGCGGCTCTCGTCGTGGTGCAGTGCGAGTCTTCGTCTGCCAATTACACGACCAACGGGGCAAGGTTTGGACACGGCCGGGGACAGCAGGCTGCAATCGAGATTGGCTGCGCGAGGGAAGCAACGTGAAAGCTTGCAACTTTGCAGCCGGAGTCGACTTGACTTGACTTGACGTTGGGGTGTTCGAATCCAGGCCAGACCGGCCCCAGGGTAACAGTGAGAGTGACAGTGACAGCGACAGCGACAGGAGACGAGACGGGGAGAGGAATAAGGAATGTAAGATAACTCACTATGGATGTCATGACGTATTCCCTCCCCAGCCTAATCCGGGTGCTTGTTGATTGTTTCGCCAATGACGAGGAGAGCGCAATCAAAGCCCAAGGGGGGGAAGAGAAAAGAAAAGAGTGGTTGTGATGGGAAACGACGGCAAGGATGTTTGCGCCTTGTCGTTTATTTGCTGGTCCCTTCTTTTTTGCGACGACTCGGGATCGCGGGACGACGGTCGATGACGGCAGAGGCGAGGTGTGAGGAAACCACGATAAAAAGAAATTAAAGTGGTGTTGAGTGAGATATGGATGTGAAGATAATAATAAGGTGTGTTTATGGTGTGTGGGTGAGAGTAAGAGTGAGAGTGAGAGTGAGTGAGAGAGTATTACTCTGTATTGTCGGCAAGTTCGAGTAAGTGGGCGTGGATGAATAAGTGGGTGTGGTGCGGATGCAGCAGTTAGCAGTTAGCAGCAGGTGTGATGCTATGCGATGCGAGGCCGAGAAAAGGACGACGACGAGGACCGACGGGAGGACGCTGAGCGTGGAAAGTCCCGGCCGGAAACGACGAGTCGAGTCGATTCGATTCGATGCTGCTGATGCTGATCCAATGGCTCTGGTTCTGGCCGGCTTGGGATTGGGATGATGGCTGGTGGTGGTTGGTTGATGTATTTCGGTGGTAACGCAATGTGGTAAGCTAAGGTGACAAGCAGCCGTGACTGAGGCGATTTCTTAGCACCAACGGCGGGAGGAATAAGACAGACGCTGCCTGTGCTGCAGTAGTGACGGATCTGAGACTGAAAGATGGTCGGAAAGTGAGGGAGACGAGAGAATGGAAGTGACGAGGTGTTGACAATCACAATGACACGGGCACTAGTAATAAATCAACGCTGAGTGGCTGACTTGGGGATGAAGAGGAGGCAAAAGAACCTCAACGGACAGTCGTCTCGTGGACCGCAATAAGGTAATAGTTTACTTTTTTCTAAGTTGCCATGGGTAAATGGTAATTGTAAGCCCAACCAACCGGGGGTCGGAGAAAAACGCCCAAGAACGTTTTTCCCGTCACCAAGACATCGTCAAGGCTTCATCCTTTTTTTTTCTTTCTGCTTTCTGTGCCCCCTCTCCCCTCCACCGTCCCCCTCTTGAACCAGGTCCGCCATGAGAACGGAGCGCTGGGACTTGGGGTCGGCGGACAGAGGAACACCTTTGGCTCGACGGGATTGGGCGCGCAGCTGGGGCGCTGAGACCCGGGACCGGGACATGGAGACCTGGGTCTGGCACTCGGGAATGGGAACGAGAGCAGCAAATTGGGAAAACACCAAAAAGACTCCAAAGTCACTGGCCACTGGCCCCAAGCCTCCAGACGGCGGGTTTTAGGGCCCGGGAGACGTGGGACGACCTGGACGACGGGGCCGGGCTGTTGACTCGCTCTAGACCTCACGACTCCACCGTTCCAAGGTTCCACGTCCACGGGCCACGCCCACGATGGCTGTGGGTATTTTTTTCCTGTTGTTTTTCTTTGCAGCTTTTCTGAGACTCGTTGTCGTTAAATGTCGGTGGGGACCGCAGTGCAGCCGACTGGATGCATGATGCCAGTGAGGAACGGTGTTTTGATGGGGACGACGATGTTTTTTGTAGGTAAACAGTTCCCTCTGTAGCGGCGCGCTAGGATGGAAAGGAGATTCGCAGCGGAGCACCCGTTCGTATCTGGCCTGGCATGAACGGTATTCGTACTTTGTAAGGTAGGTGATGAGTGTTCGTACAGTTGGGGGCTGCAGCAGTGCGAAAAGCTAGTGCCGCCATTGCCATTGATGCTTCACTTCCGTACATGGCGAGGCAACGGAAGGTTTCCAGGTTCGTACTTTGCAGAGACGGAAACACTAGAGGTGTTAGATGGGACGGATGATTGGAGCCGCGGTGGAGGAGGGTTCGAAGGGGCTCAGTGGAGGGTTCGAGGCAGCCGAGTGGCGGAATCTGCAAAGGTGCGTTTTGGAGGCCGTTCGAGATTGAGTTGGGATTGTCGATACGACGATCGTATGCTCCATCCTGTAAGGTGCTTTCGTCAGTCATCTTTCTGTTATTCGTGCGGTTCATTCGGGACCAACAATGGAAGATGGATAATTCCGTTTTCGTACCTTAGGAATGGGTACTCAGTACGGCAGAACAAGTGTCTTGTCGGAAACCACGCGGCACAGTCCAGGATGCGGCATGTCGAGTTCCAAGTTGCTCCGAATAACGGCCCATTCTCGCGGTGCAGCTTTCTTTTTTCTGTTGCCCGACAAACCAGCAGAGAACGCCTCCGACGCAACCGCAGCCGTCCCCTGTCGGAGGAAGAAGCAGTGCTGCACTGGACATTCCAAGAGCCAGGATTGAGATGCCGGGATGGGACGTGACGTGACGAAAGAGAAGGAAGGAAGAATTGATTGGGGGGGGGGGGGGGGTGTGCCTGGTGATCGTCCACACCTTCCAGAAGTTTTCCGTTTGGTGGGCCCCGTTAAAAGAGGGTCAGGAACAGGAAGGTACATCCGAGTTGCACATCGAACTAAACTGCTCGAGGAGGAAGTCGGGAATGGAATGCTCTTTCCGCCGTTATTGATGGATTTCCATGAATCTAGGAAGATGCGATTCTGCCATTATTTGCTCAAGAATACGTCAACCGAATTCAAATGTTTGCTATCTATTTACCTCCTAAAGACTCAAACCGAAGTGCCTCGGCGGCCTTGGCGAAACGTGAGCGACATGCAAAGTGTCGCTAATCGGCCCAGCATGCAAAGAAAGGGGGTTCAAGGTCCAAGATGGGTCTTTTGAGCGGTGGACAAGACGTCAACAATGGAACTGCCAACGTGGTCGAGTCTATTTCAGGTTCGTTCGGTTTCGGCTGTTGGGCTCGGTATCCTTTCCATCCTGCTGCAGCCTCGACCACGACTTTCAAGTTCCACGTTCGAGTTCGTGGCAGACTGAATCGAGGCCAGCTCTCAACATTGGCTCACACTTTACAACTCACGATACTCGGCGTCTGCGTTATAAACCCGGACGCACTGAATCCTAGCGTCGTCCTCGTGATGTGTGGTCTCATCTTAAGATGCACTGCTCCTTCCCTCTCCCTAGGGTAGCTCCTATAAAAAAGCCTAATAGTTATTTAACTCTTATATTAACTATAAATTAGTATTAAACCTCTACTTATTTATTTACTCCTTTATTATTATAATATAGCTATATCTCCTCTATATTTTATTATAATTTTTAATATTTTTCTCCCCCTTTCTATTAATCTTTTCTTAAGGAGTTAATAAATAACAAGATATTAAGGATAATATTCTTATATTTAATATAGGTTTATATATAGATATAGCTAATAAAATAGTAGTTATACTACTTATTACTAGCTTAAAGGTAGTAATATATAGCTAATAGGATATTATAAACTAGCTAATTAGTAATATAGTAAATAGTAATAATAATCTTTTAGAGCTATATATTATAGAGGAAAAGTTATATTAATTTACCTTTAAAATAATAGGACTTTTAGATCTTAATACTTTTATTTTTAAAAAAGAGCTTAAATTAATATATATATTATTTAGCTATTACTAAGGGGTTATAGCTATTTTTAAAGTTCTTATAGAGAATATAAACTATTTTTATTATAATAATAATAAATATTATCTTAAAATAAAGATTAAAGAGGAAGAGAAATAAAAGAGAAAGAGTTTAATTTATTTTTACTACTTAATAACTCTATTAAATAGAGTATAAAGACCTTAATAGTTAAAGCTATTTATAACTACCTTTTAAGTAAACTTTATACTTAAAGTTTATATTACTTTAGATTTACTTTATAAGTTAAGTAGAGTAATTCTATTTTTATATATAGTATTAGGAATAATATTAATTTTATTACTAAATTAGGTTAGAATATTAGTTATATAGCGTATAAATGCGCTTTGCTTATATACCTTAGCTCCTTCCCTCTCTAGTTTATGCGTCGTCTGGGGTTGGTGTGAGTTTCTGTGAGTGTCATTTCCAATTGGGAAGGAGGGGATGAGGGACGACGGCTGAGGTTAGGTAATGTGGGGCTCTGCTCTGCGCTTTCCTTCCTCTCAGCTGAATAACAACCTGGAAGGTACGTTCCTCTAAATGCCGAATTTCAGAAAGCACACCTGATGCGTCGCTTCCTGATGCAGCTGCAATCCACGAGGCGGGAGCAAGTGCACGCAGGACGCAGAACGCAGGCGCAACCAAGTGCATCGCATCACGCCTTCCACGTCCATGTCCACTTCCACGCCGGCTCGGGCTTCGGCTTCGGCGGTCTGGCTTGCAGCCCGTTGACCCAACTCCTACCTACTGTACACCCATGATCTAGCTAATCCCGTCCTTACCTTAGCCCACCTGTCATTGTCATGGTCCCCCAAAAAAACACATTTCTATTGTCAATCCAAGACCCTGAACGGGAACTTAACACAAGACAACGACAGCCCTGCTTTCGCCTCGCTGCAACATCGGAAACAACACCGGCGGTAACATGAACTACCGCCTTCTATCCTTGACTCGTGACTCGCTCACCAACAAAAGGACATGAGAGATCAACACTTACGTATCAAAACACCAGACGAAAGAGGGACGAGACCACCCAACGAGGCCGATGCCTGCCTCAAAACTCAATCCCTTCTTTTTCACACACCGTGCCTCGTCATCCCAAGAAAACAACAACATCAAAAGCATGTGATTGTTTTGCTCGGAACCCGGCCTCACTGACCGACTGACTCTTCACTTTCTGCCCTGACCCGGTCCAGACTCGGATCACCCATGGAAACAAAAACATCCTCACGTCGCCGAAGCTGTTCGACGACGAGAAACCAAGACTGACAATGACAGCACCACCACGCAGCGATCCAGCTTCCTCGCTTCCAAATTATTCCTGTCCATGGAACCAACTCATACGTCGGCCCGGTTTGCCCTGTCCCACCATCAAACAGCCCGTCCTTCGACCCTTGGCTGCCAGCATTCACCTCGTCTCCATCGACGGCGGTCACGAACTGCACCGCATCAGAATGTCGTCTGGTTGAGCTCACCGACCGCTCGCAAAGGAAGCAGTCCGCGTCACAAGCCAACGCCCAGACCTCACGGCGTCAGGCACAGCTGTCAGTTCCCTGGAATTGCCTTTCCCCGGATCAGATTCCCTTCGCTGCCGGACAAGTCAGAGTTCTGCTGCTTATCTCTCCTTCATGCTTTGCGCACTCCGCAAATCAAATCACTGCAGCTATGACAACAGACGACCAACTCAACGCCCTGGGCCTCATTTCGTCCATCTCACCGCCAGACTCAATCTCGACGCCAGCTGTCCGACTCCGAGACACATCGACCATTCGACTTTCCGTCACAGACTGCGACCTCTACCGCTCTGAAGTTCCATCATCCCTGCCTGATGGAGCCTCGCCCTCCTCTTGTCCCAATCCAGCCTCGCTTACATTCTCAACTGCCGTCCGTTGAGCCAAGTCACTACACCACAAAAAAAAAGGCATCCACACACATTATCGCAAGTCTGCGCTGTCATCCACGCCAAAGTTTGCGCCAAACTTGAAAGACGCCTTCGCCGTCTGGGGGAAGCAACCCTCGTCCCTGTCGTGGTGGTGAGGACTGACTCTCACCCTGCTCCACGACGGAGACGCTTATCCCAACTGAGTTCAAGCTCGTGAAGTCGTCGCTCGGGGAGAATTTCGTCGTCGACCCGAACTTGGTGGAATTAAAAAAGACTTTTGACAGGCATCGTCACTTGCCAGAGCTTACACCGCGCCCGGGCACTCATCCAAGTTCGCTATTACTTTTCTTTCCATTGCTTGGGCCTTCCAACGCCCGCACATGAGTTGCAGACAAGCTGTTCGTCCAGGGCAATTACACACAGGCACACCGGCATCTGCGTCGCGTAATACAACGATTCGACGCGGTATGATGCAGCCACTCGCATGCCATGCCCTAGATCCTGGACGGAGACGAAGGAACAGTCGGCGAAGGTCTCCAAATGAAAGACCCTCTCCCTGAACCTCACCGCAACCCTGCAGCCTTTGATGCGCCTCTACCATGTGCCAGGCCCACGTTTCGGTCAAGCCAACCGGCCGCTTGATGCCAACGGCAGACGGCGGAAAACGCACAGACGTGGTCGATGCCACATTAGACCACGGCGATGCATTCGATTCGACGTCAACTTGCACATGACAATGGCATCATACTCCGAATCACCAGCCTAATTAGCCCCCTTCAACGCCGAGGCGGACAGGCTCTCAGAGCTCGCAGCGGCGCGTATTGGCTGATATGTGGCAGCCTGGACGACGGCCTACTGCACCCTCAAACTCCAACCCGAACTCCAATCCGCCCGCCCGCTGCTGGTGAATCCGGGGTTAATCGACGGGCCCCTCATTTGCTGGTTCATCTCGTCTCCGTCCCCTGCCTGTCGTGCTGAGTTGCGCTGCACCTCGCTTCAGCAATCCGAACTGCCCCGTGCTCTACTGCCGTGTAACGACGGCACAGCAAGACACCGCAGCCAACTCAATACTTTGAGCGGTCTCTCATGCACTAAAGACGTTTTTCAGTCACACAAGCGTCATAAGAATGACGAGCATTTCGCGAATATTTCCACGGCAGTCACGGCGCTTGCGGAAGTCGGCGGCACGCCATGTAGTAATCCCAACGTTGGACCAAAGGCTGGCCAAAATCCGGGGAGGACGACCGCTGCCCACCCTGCCACGAGGCCGAAGTCTTTAATCACATCTCGTTCATCGCCGGATTCAATATGTGAGAGCCAACCCCAGACTACCAAGACCGGCCGGCCCCCAATTAGCCGCGCCGGTCCGACATACCACATCGAGTGCCCATCACATCAGATCATCCAAACCCCCTTCATCTCATCTTTCCCCCTTTCGCCCATCGAGCACGCCAAGAGATTTCTGCAACACTCAACTAGGTGAATTGAGGAGAAGTACCCGTTGAATATCAAACGACATATCAGCCGGCGTGTCTTCCTCGGTCTCCTTCCACCGAGCGAATTTGCGGGTCAAGCATTCACTTCCTTCACGGATTCCTATTACCGGGAACATCACCGCCGTTGAACCAGGGGAAGGTTCTTGATCCCAACGGCCAGGCTCTCTGTTCGGTGGTCTTTGATTTATCCGCCCGCCTGGCCGCCCAGGATCTTCACCTCGCATCCTGACCTATCGCTGACGTCCCATCGCTGATTATCGAGGCACTCACGCGCGCATCTCCAGGCGCTCTCGACGTATTGGCCGATCTGATCACCGGTGATCTGTCGGAACGTGAGCATCTTCCACGGAGGCAATGACGCACCCTGCATGCTCACCCGTCTCGTCACCGTCACATGGCCGGAACACACATGCAGGGCCAGCTCGCGGAGTTTGATCGGAGAGAGCTTGCGGAGGGAGGGAAGGCTCAATCTCCCAAGTCACAAGTCACAAAAGGACGCGGATATTTGATTCGGCACGCACTCTACAAAGACCGTCAGGCCCGTACCTCCTTCCCTCCCGACCCCGGCTTACCACACCTTCCCTCAACCCCGGTCCCAAATCTCACACCGAGTTACGGGACTCCCCGGGACCGGTGAAGAACAGCATGTCTTCTCGCGGGAACTCCCATCCACTCGTGTCCCCTTCGTCGGGAGATGGCCCGCCGAGGTCCAGAGAACCACCATCTTTACCGAATACATACCCGGCCTCTGGCCTAGCCGGACGAACATCGTGGTGGATCGGTCCGAGGCTGGCATTACGAAGCTGGGGGTTCATTCGAAGATTGCCAATGTGAGAAGATCAAACCTCGGATTATGCCCGGTCTACGTCGCAAAGTACCCCAGGATGCGGACAAACGACCGAAGCGCGTGAGCCTCAAGCGAGAACATCGAATCTCGGACCCAGCATCTCCAATCCACATTGTCATTCGAGACAAGTCTCACCGTTGTTGGTTCACCGCTCCGACCAACACCGTTGTGTCGGAATCCCATGGGAATGGGACATGGGTTCAAGGTCCTCGATCCAAGCCCTTCGCACGTTCGCTCTATCAAGTCACGATTTGCCTCGGTTCGTATATCCCACCGCACGCGGGTGGGCAGTCAACGCCATTCGTCCTTGCCGGTCTCTCACTCGTAGTGAATTCTCCCCATCGTATGCATAATTCCACTGAGCGCTCTAATCATTGGAATCGAATCGCACACATGAACTATGAGACCTGCGCGTAGACACACTCTCATCATCACACGAGGACGCAGTTGAAGACATTTTCAATACTCATCCGTCCGAAAACGGAGGACACTTAGGGGGGGTATCTGAATATATTCCATCGCCGTCGCTCAGCGTGCGGCATTCCCAATGAAACCATCGTCCCTTTCCAACGATGACTGCACTCTCTCTCTCTCTACCTGTCATCCCCTCGCCTCGTCTCGTCTCCCGCGAGTCCCGTAGTATGTAAAAACGTGAAAAAAACAAAAACAGTATCCGTCAGAGTGACCGCTATATGCCGAGATGCCCACATCCCGCCCTGTGACAAAAAACGCCAATGATGCTGCTGCTGCTGCTGCTTGTTTGGTACAAGTAATGTTTGGTATACACCATTATCAAAACACCATGCCGGCCCCTACATTACTCACGCCTCGCTCCTCCTCCTCCTCGTCGTGACCTCCACCTGGCGTCAATCCGACGACTCCCCCTCCACCTCGAGCCGTTTCGCCGCCGGCTCGCCCCCGCTGCTGTCCCCGTCGCTGCCGCCGCCGCCGTCCTCGGCCACGTCGTACTTGTCCTGCCACAGCTTGCGGAGGACCTGGTAGAGGAAGAGGTACTGCGCCTCGGCCTGGACCATGCTCCGCCTCTGCTCGCGCAGGCAGTCGACGGTCGCGTAGATCGGGTCCTCCTGCTCACCACCGTGCTCCAGGGCCCCCGTCTCGAGCTCGCGCATGAGGTGCTCCAGCGTGATGAAGGTGCCGGTGCGGCCCACGCCAGCGCTGCAGTGGATGATGCGCGGGGCGGCGTCCTCGCCGGCGCCGGCGTTGTACTCCCGCGAGAGCCGCATGAGGGTGAAGAAGCTGGCGAGGTCGTCGACGGCCGGGACGCCGAAGTCGGGCCACTTGGTGTAGAGCATGTGCCACACCACCCTGTCCTCGAGCTCGTCGCCGACGCGGAGGCGGAGCTTGCGGACCTCGATGGCGCCGTCCTCGAGGAGCTGGAGGGAGTCGAAGGCGAGGGTGGCGGACCACCCGTCGTTCCAGCCGTCCGTCTCGTTGAGGGTCCAGGGAGGGGAGGTGTCGTCCATGGGGAGGTAGGGGAAGCATTTCGGCTGGTTGTTCTCGAACATGCTGGTCAGCTGGACGATGACGACGGGGGAGGAGAGTTGTTCCGCGACCATGCGCCAGACGAAGTCGAGGGAGGCCTGGGTCGGGCCCTGCATGGCGATGTAGCGCAGGGGCGGGAGGTAGGGGTTGGAGGGGGAGGGGAGGGATATGGAGGATGCGTTGACGTAGTCGAGTTCGTCGGGGGCGACGCGGAGCTTGACGCGGTTGTGGTTCCATGGTTTGATGTTGAAGTAGCGGTCCTGGACGCCGCGGCGGAGGTCGGTCTGTTTGTAGGAGCCCCATTTGCAGGAGTCGTCCGTATTTGATGTTGTCGTCGTCGTCGCTGCCGCCGCCGCTGCGGCGCCGGCGTCCGGGTCCGTGGTCGTCGGGGTGGGGGGCGCCATGCCGAGCGCGAGGCGGTTGCGTTCCTGCCAGACGAGCTCGTGGAACTTGTTCTCCAGCTCTGCGGGGAGCCGCGACATGTCATGGTCAGCGCCGAGGCCTCGTTTTCTGCTGGAGGGTTTCCAGCGGGAGGGGCTCCGCGAGGGGCTCCTACCTGGTGTGGGGAGATCCAGGAAGGCGGGGATCTTTGGTTTTGTCGGCTCGTTGGTCGTCGTGGTTGTGGATGTGGTGTTCTCGGCATCCCTCGCGCCGTCGAGGCCGCCGCGCGGGGGCGAGATGACCGCGGGAGGCGAGGGGAGGGAGGACGTCGTGGTCGGCGGGGAGCGGGCGCGTTTGGCGGAGCTGCGGAGGTGTAGGCCGCGGAAGGCGGATTTGCGCAGGCCCGGCTTGGTCGGGGTCGGGGAGCGGCGGTCGGCCGTGGGTGGCGGCGTGCCGCCGGTGACGGTGACCGTTGTCGTGGAGGGGGGATATATTTGTTGCGGGGAGCTGTTGTCGTGCTGCTCGAGAATGCCGGCGCCGTTGGTGCGGGACGGAGGGGGTTTGACGTCCGTTGTCGAGATTGTGGGGATCTTTGGTTTTCTGCGGAATTTCGGGAGGTGGTCCATTTTGGGCGGTTGTGAGGAGGGGTTCTTTGTCGTCGTTGTTGGTGATGCGCGGGGTCGAGTGGAAGAAGAGCGTCAGCGTGAGGATGTTGCGGTTTGTCTTGCGACGATAGGAAATCGAAGTAGAGGGGTCGCCGCGGCGAGGGAGGTCGGGAGGGAGAGAGGCGAGGTGCTTCGCACCGCCCGGCGTGAAGGGTTGATTAAGTAGGGTGGTGGAATGTCGTCAGAGGTTTTTTTTTGGGGGGCCGGGGGATGGAGGACTCGGCGAGGGCGGCGGCGGGCTGCAGGAAGCTCTCTCTTTTTTCTTTTTTTGGATATAGAGTGTGGTGGTGGCCCGGTGAGACGGGGAGCTGCAGCGAGGGCCGAAGTTGGGGTAAATGTCGTCGGGACTTTTTTCTCTCTCCTCGTTGGCTGCGTATTCGGAGGATAATGTTCTCAGGTTTGTTTGTGTGTGTTGGTTTGACAAAGATGGGAGGAAGTGACTGGCAAGGTGAGGTAAGGTAGTTGTAGGTAGCTGAGAGGCGGGCGCGAAATATGTGTTCGTTGTTGGCCCGGGGAGTGGAGGGTGAACGTGACGCAGTGAGATGACCGCACGCGCGCGCGCGAGAGCTGGCTTAATACAACAGATGACTGGAGGGGGTTGTCGAGGCGCCAGGTAGAAAGGCGTGATGTGTGTGTGTGTGCGTGTGCGTGTTCCTGGCGATCTGTCGCATGGATCTGGGGTGCGCCTTGGAGTGTGAGGTGTTGCGTTCGTGCGTCACGATCCCTCGTTTGGCTTGTGTCACTTTTCGGGAGGGGCACGTGCTGCGCTGCGCTTAGGTGTGCGGGAGGTACGCATGCGGTATCGGGTTTGAGATGAGGAGAAGAGGAGGAAGAAGAAGAAAACAGAATAAGAATGCTGTGGAAAGAAGAAGTGGAAGGAAAAGGCAGAAGGAAGGCGGCTGAAAATGTGAAGAGGGTCAGGTCGGTCAGGTCCAGTCTGGTTTGGTTGGGCCACGGCGTTCGGAAGCGGAAATTGCCACGATTGGAAACGAGTGTTCGGAGGAGAAATTTGATTATGACGGTTAATAAGAAAAGGCGGGTATTCGATCGTAAGCTCTTTTTTCTCTGATGCTTTCTTTTTCCCTTTCCCCCACACTGGGAAACGTGACCACTCGAGCTTTTGCTGCTAGCCGCGGAAGCGCAGAGAAAAGAGAGAGAAGAAGAAGAGGAGGAAGGGGGGTTTGTAGATGAGGCTGTCTGATACGGACGAGTGGGCGGGCGCGATGACATTAACGGAGCGGAGTTAAGGCGAGGGAGGGTGAGGTTGAAGGAGGAATAGGAGGTAATCCCTCTTCACAGCCTCCAAGGATGAAGCATGCCCAGTTCCGGATTGACGGGCCAGCAGCTGTCACCCAGATCATCTCGGTCTGCGGCCTGGGAAAAAAGAAGAGGACAGGACAGCAAAGGCCGGTTGGGAAGTTCCTTGGTCAAGTTGGTCTTGCAACGTCCTGTTTCCGGCCGGGGGGCTGGACTTGGTTCAGATTCCCATCTGAATCCAGACCCTCGGCGCCCCTTGTTCCTGCAATCTGCACCTTGTTTTTTCGCCATCGCCATCGCCAACCGCTGGGTTACCAGCAAGTAACATTGCATTGCCTGTAGACATGGGTATTTTGCTGCCGTCGTATTTGACCTTTTTTTTTTTTTTTTGCCTTATCCGAAGCCCGGTTGCAGGGTCGTTCGGGAGGCGGTGCACGGTGGTTTCTACCGGGTTTCTAAATCGACCTTGCTACCTTAAGGCAGCTTTTTAGGGGGGGCTGATGGTGAGGTGGGGTGGAAGGTTAAGGGGGATTCGGGGGGTGACCCCGCCCTGCCGCCGCGTCCCGAGGACCTGGAATTTCGCAATCGAGATGAGTTCCGGGTGCTGTAAGTCACATCTTTTATTTTCATTTTCTTATTTTCTATCCACGTTTCTTCTCTTCATAGAAGCCCAGAACAGCCGTCAAAACATCCCGAAGCATCGTTCAAACCGACACATTCCACTCATACGCCGTTCCCACTCGACCCTCGGAAAACTTCCATCAGAAGCATCTCAACATCCATCTCGCTCGTATCTCGGCATCTTCCTCTAACCCCATACTTTAAAGACTCTATCCCAACATCCGCGGAGAGGGTCAAACGCGGAGCCGCAGACTTGAAAAATCCCATCTCTTGCCAAGTTCCCAACATCTCATTTTTCCCTTGCTATTCATCTACGTCCCATTCGTCCGGTGGTGTGATGCCCCCAGGACAAGGTCGTCCACGACGGGAAACTTCCACTGCCGCCGATCAGCGCTACAACTGGACCGCAGAAGGGGTGGCGTGCGGACGGGACGGGCCCCCCGGCTGCCGTCGCCGTCGCCGCTGCCGCTTCCAGGGCTTATTTCTCATGTTTGCTGAAGAAAAGAAAACTACCGAAGCACGGTTGTTGGCCACTCACCTGACATATCACAGTCAGTCAGTTGTCTGCGTAGATCGGTCACCCGCGGCGGAACATCGCTGTGCTGCAGGTCAATCTCGGCCGTCTCGCCCGTGCTAAACTTGGAACCTCGGTCTTTTTGGACAATTGACCACCGAATGAGAGCCGGATCGTGGCCGAAGGAAGCGTGTGTGTGTGTGTGTTGGCCTCACCTCAGCATAGGAAACCAAATCCATACAACACCAACACCGTTTCCGGTACGATGCCACATCGGCAACAACTTCCACCTCAAATTCTGGAAAAAAAAAAAACGACCCCCTGAATCGGCAGCGCCTTCATCTTTCGCAACCCCCAAGCCGAGCCGGCCGCCAAGCCCCTCCCGGGCCGCGCATTTCTTCATCGTGACGGCTTTCCCGCTCGGCACCTCGTGTGTGTGACATGACCGTCCAAAAATGCCCTGTTACAAGATCTCCCACATTTCAACCGGCCGGGACACTCCTTTTCTCGGAGGACCGTAAGCGGTGCCTGGGCTCGGTATCAACCGCTAACCCATCACTCACAAACGCCGCCAAGCCGCAGGCCCAGACTTCGGATGATTCACGTTCTCGTTTGCGACGTCCTTTGGCATTGCCGATCTGCGGACGCACACACGCTGCTTACATGGATGAGCACGACAACGACCAGACTGATATCAAGATGCGGTGGTAAATACTGTGAAAAAAAGGTTGAGTTGAACATTGCCAAGCGAATGGAAGAGACGAGGCTGGGTCGATGGACACAATGTCTCCGGACTCATCGACTACATGTCCTCATACCTCGTCCGCCCCCCCGACTATCCCTACCTCCCAAAACGCCCCCCGAATATCTCCAACACATTACAGAACGCCTCACAGCGTTGGTTCTTGTTTTGTTTTTGCGTAATATTACATGGTTACCTTTTACAAGTGCCCCCCAGTCACAGCTTTGCCCCCCCTGGTGATGAAACATGTACAGTCGCCGCCCCCAGGCACGACAGACGGACAGACGACTAGACGCCCGAGTACACGGCCGTCACGAACCGCCCGCACTCCACCCTCTGCTCCAGGCTCACCTTCCTCCCCTTGCCGTCCTCGCCCAGCCGCACCGTCTGCCGCGGCGTCAGCTGGAACCGGTGCACCTCGCCCCCGCGGCCCATCAGCGCGTCCCCGGCCCCGCCGTCCAGCGCCCCGATGTAGCTCGGCGCGTTCAGGTTGCTGCGCTTGCCCGTCCCGAGCTGGTAGTGCTCGTTGCCGCCCCAGAAGAGCACGTCGGCGCCCCAGTTGGTGTCGTTCTCGGAGGCGCCGCGGGACCCGGCGCCCACGCGGGTGACGTTGTCCATCGTCGCCGACACGTGCGTGCTGCCGACCGAGATGTCGGCCAGACGGATCGGCGCCATCGTGTTGGCCTTCTCGTCGAACTCGAAGAGCGACGAAAGGGCCTTGACCTTGGCCGGGCCGGGCGTCGCGTGCGTCCACTTGCCGGTGCCGAGGGCGCCCAGGACGCCCTGCCCGCAGGCCCACAGGTCGGCGGAGACGCGGGGCATGCGGCGGGCCGGGGCGAGGTCGTCAGTGGCGGTCTGGGAGCCGGCCTCGGTCGCGTCGACGGTGAAGAAGGTGTTCTGGCCGCCGGCGGCGACGGAGGTGATCTTGGGGAAGAGGCCGCTGTTGGCGTAGAGCTTGGCCGTGGGCAGGAGAGAGGGGACGTCCAGCTTTGCGGTGGCCGCCTCGGCGGGGACGCCGAGCTGGCCGAAGGTGTTGTCGCCGAAGGTGAAGAGCTTTCCGTCCTTGTCCAGGGCGGCGGAGTGGAAGTCGCCGGCGGCGATCTTGGCGATCTTGAAGCCCGACAGACCCGTGATCTCGTGAGGCTGGTCGTACGGCCCCGCGGGACGCGACGTCCAGCTCAGGCCGGGGATGCCCATCTGGCCCTTGGAGGGGTACTCCGAGGTGCTAGCGGCGGCGGAGAAGACGCGGCCCTTGGACGTCAGGAGGAGGCAGTGCTGCAGGCCGCTCTTGACGTCGACCACCTTCTCGCCGCGGCCCAGCGACTTGGGGGTGAGGATTCTGAAGTTGACGGCTTCCGGGCCGCTTGAGCTCCAGAAGGGGATCCAGGAGGATGACTTTGACTGGGGCTCCAGCTTTGCGCCGGACTCTTGGTCGTTGCGGGCCGCGGGGAGAGAGTAGACTGATCCGTTCGACGAAAGAGCGATGATGCGGTCGTTGGAGATGGCAATCTTTGAGATGTCCTTGCCCTTGAGCGTCGGGACTGGCGAGGGGTCTGTCTTTGAGAAGCCCAATCCCCATTGAACGATGTCACCCTTCTCGGTGACGGCGGCGCCAAAATCCTGTGTGAGTTTGATATCCCTCAAGAGCTGACCATCAAAGTAAGGAATCCTCCTCGGGAGCTTAATGACTGTCTCCTTGGACTGGGGGTCAATGACCTTTCCCACGTTCGATCCCCAAGCGTAGACGCCAGGCTTCTCCCAGCTCTTCTTGACCTGAAGATGCTGAGAGCTGATGAGGTCACGGTTCTCTTCCTTGACATCCGAGTGCTTCCTCGATTTCTCGAACTCGATCTCCGCCTGCTGGTACTTTGGCTTGCGGGGTTCGGCCTGCTTGGTCTCGCCGCTGATCAGTTGCTTGAGAGGGCCGTTCATCGAGTCGTCCAGATAGTAAAGACCACCTCCAACACCGGCAGCAAGAAGAAGCGGCACCGCCTTCCTCAGTCCAGACTTCTCACCGGGGCGACGAGGGCCTCCGCTCGCATGACGACGCCATTGGTGGCGGGCAACGGAAGAGCATCTCTGCGCTGTTAGAGACGCGCGAGCGTGAGAGGCGGTTCTGCAAGCCTTCATCGTCAAGCCCGCAGCAGAGTTGATTGGGTGTGAAGATGATGTAAGTAAAAATAATCGGATTGTATCAACCCAAGTTCTGTGTATCGAATTCCGTTCACAGAACACCCGCAGAGAAGAGGTGCGGCAGGGGAAATGTCCGCTGACAGGTCGTGAGGTCATCAACGAAAACTAAAAGTTCGATTCGCCAGACGCTAAATCTAGACTTTTGGGACGTGGACCCCTGACGCTGCAAGGGGACCGTGCGCCCCGCAGCGGGTGGGGTCGCTGTTGAGCATGCGCGCCCCCACTTCAGGGTGCCAGCTGGGGCCAATGATTTTCCGCCCAGTTTACGGTGGGAACACTACGCCGAACGTCCACTCCAGGGAACACGGCGCCAGACCGGACACGGACAGCTTCCATGTTTGTCCCGAAATCACCACCAGAGCAGAGCTCCCGGTCACCCCACGGAGCCAGCGATAATGTACGACGACTCCTGGTACAGCTTCGTGCCGGACGTGGCCAAGAAGGCCGCATCGGCTGCGCAGGGCTCCGGTCATCGCCGGAAGGAGTCCCTGCTGCAGCAGCCCAACGTAAGCTCGAGATGCTTCTCCTCCACACACCTCTGAACGACACGCTGATGATGGCTTCCTTTTCGTAGGGCGTCGCGCAGGCCTCGGATACGCCTGAAGTTCTCGACGGTATTTTCGAGGACATCGAAGATACGAATACGCCCCCCGAAGCTACCGTCCTGCGGCGCGCTAAGTCCTACTCCGACTTCTACCACGTCGTTCGAGCTCAATTGGCCAAAGATGACCAGAAGAAGAGGAGGAGACGGAGGAAGGACAAGACCTGGGACGCGCTGGATGTTGCAGCGCAGGTCCACGAGTCCAGTCTGGCGCGACGTCCAGTGCTGGACCAGTACGATGAGGAGCTTCTCGAAGCTAGCCAGCAGGAGTATCTGCTCTACAAGGACCAGCTCACACTCACGGAACGGCATCTCGACGCGCTCATCGACGACACTAATGCGGCATTGAAACTCCTGACGACGCTTTCCGAATCCTTCGAGTCCGTGGAGGCACAGACGTCATCCTTCCAGTCGCAGTGCGAAGACTTGCTGTCCGAACAGCACCGCCTCGAGAAGCTCGCAGACGAGGTCGGCACCGATATCCACTTCTACCTATACCTCGACAACGTCACAAGACGCCTGAATGCCCCTGGTGCTGGGCGATTGGTCGATGACGGGTCGTTCGGTGAGGTTCTGAAGAACCTGGATTCCTGCATCAATTTCATGTCTTCCCACGTATGGCTCCTGTTCTCTGTTCCTGTTTATTCTCTGACAAGAAACCCAGCCCACCTACCGTGACGCCGAATCCTATCTCGCGCGCTACGAGTCACTGCTCACCAAAGCGCTCCATCTCCTCGAGGTCGGGTTCACGTCGCGCCTGGACGGCATCTCTTCCGAGATTTCGGGCCAGATCGCGGCAACAAAGTCGGAAGCTACCCGGCACGCCCTCGCTTACGGCCGTTTTGAGGAGATGATTCTCGACTCTTACTCATTGATCCCCAACATTCACAAGGTGGTCAGTAGCGTGTATGACGAATACGGTCTCCCCATCGCCAGCGTCGCAAAAGACATCTACTCCAACACCGTCAGCAACCTCTTCCAGTCCTATCTGGCAGTGCGAGACCGCGACCTGAAGCCAGTAGTGCAGCATGACTTGGACGAGTTCAAGAAAGAGATCAAGGATCTGTCCGTCGAGACGGCCTCGAGGAACTACATCAAGCAGACCTTCGAACGCGCCTTTAACGAGTCCAACCTGTTCTCCAAGATCTTCGGTCTAGACCTCCAATGGAGCTCCGAACCCGAGTCGGCATACGCGGTCCTCAAGTCCAACAACAGGTCGCTTGTGAACCCGGCTAACCTCGTACATCTTGCCACCAACCTGCAATCGTCGCTGCAGACCGCAGACCTCGACACGATTTGCAGCGTCGTCGGCTGGCTAACCAACGAGTACCTGGTTCTCGACTACGAAGAGGAGGAATCGCCCTTCGCACGTCAATGCAGAGAGCTGAGCGCCAGGCTGTTGACAGAGCACTTGTGGGTCTTCACGGACAACTCATTCGAGGCGGAAATCACCAAGACGGTCACGAAGGCCGCGGTGAAGGACGATGCTCTCACCATCGGGCCCGTGGTCGACGGTGTCTCCTCATCCAACGCCTATCCTCCGGTGAAGCAGGCTTTGAAACTGCTGTCCATGTATGACCAGGCCATGCCAAAAGAGCGCAGTGTAAGTTGATGATGACTCTAACACCGAATCCACCTTACTAACCCTTCGCAGCAAAAGAACAGCCAGGTCGTGTTCAAAATCGTCCGCGAGACAATCCAGATTCTCCAGCGCGCCGAGGCCCGCATCAAGTCCATCAAAGCCGGCACGGACGCCGATCTCTTCATGGTGAAGAACCTCCTAATTATCAAGAACGAGCTCGTCTCCCTCGAGATCGGCGACATCCGCAGCGACGCCGCCGCCATGCAGCACTTCGGCCACATCTGGGACCACCTCAGCCCCCAGAACTGGGTCGGCTTCGTCAGCAACATCATCAGCGTCGGATCGCTCTGGTCACGCGGCGGCGGCGGCGGCACGTCACAGCCGTCCGTCACGGCCAAGACGCTGACGGTCGAGGACATGAGCGAGCAGCTGGACGAGCTGCTGAGGCAGTCCATCGTCGCCTTCACGCAGCGCTGGGGCAAGCTGATGAACGACGCCAAGGACCGGAAGCCGGGCGTCAAGCCGATCGGCAAGGTCGAGAAGGAGCTTGAGGAAGTGCTGCAGCGTGCCTTTAGTAACCAGCCCGAAGTCATCGGCAAGCTTCAGGAGGCTATCCAGATCAACGCCCAGGCGCAGGAGGCGGCGAACGGCGAGAAGAAGGGTATTAGGCGGTATTAGTCGGGGACTACGAAAACCACCATTTGGACGACTACCAGGCACGCATATACTACATGAGAATATGATGAGCAGATTATAATTAGACAAAAGTGAGGGCATAATGTCTCGTTATTTTACGCGGATGGCGTCTTATTCAGATATCTCATATAAAGCTTGCATATTCTGCTGCACTCATTCAATAAGAGTCTCTTCAATAACAAGGAAGGCCACCCCGAGCAGTTATGAGAGCATCATGCTGACTCATCAACGAGTACCGCAACGAGCCCGACTCAAGCACGCCATTCGCGCCTTGCATGCACGACGCCCCACACAAGCTATCTGGGGAACAACTGCAGCCGATAAATAAATCTCACATAAACCTTAAGCTGGCAAGCCAAGGGTCCTTCAACCACACCTCAAAACCGTTCATCCTCCGCGGCCAATTGACCTGTTTCGCCCTCTGCTCAGACTTTCTTAATTCAACTCGTTCAGTCTACGACCCCAAGACCTCAAAGGTTCCACGAAGAACAGCCAAGGGAGGCCCCGATAAGCGGCGGGCGCGGGGTTTATCTCAACCGAATCCAAGATGGCGGACGCAGCTGTTGATCCCGAGATCGTGGGCGGCGGAGCGCTGCAGACGGCCAAGGACCTTTTCTCCGGAGCTGCGGGTGGAATTGCGCAGGTTCTCTTGGGTGAGTAGACCTCAAGCAGCTTTTTCTCGCACCTTATCGTCGCCTTCATCAGGAGAAAACCTGTCGCGACTGAAGTGAAGCTCGGCAGCGAGCCGATCTCGGAAGCATACCCGAGCGCACTCACTCACCCTCAACTCACCCTCGACAACCAAACACATGATGAACTCTCACAAAGACGACCACAAGCTGAGACACACCCGCAGGCCAACCCTTCGACATCGTCAAGGTCCGCCTCCAGACCTCGACGACCTCAACAACAGCCCTCAACGCGGCCACCCAGATCTACAAGAACGAGGGCCCCCTCGCCTTCTACAAGGGCACCCTCACCCCTCTCATCGGCATCGGCGCCTGCGTCTCCATCCAGTTCGGCGCCTTCCACCAGGCCCGCCGCTACTTCGAAGCCTCCAACGCCGCCAAGCCCGGCAGCCCGGCCCTCTCCTACGGCCAGTACTACGCCGCCGGCGCCTTCGCGGGCGTCGCCAACTCGGTCATCTCGGGCCCCATCGAGCACGTGCGCATCCGCCTGCAGACACAGCCCCACGGCGCGGCGCGCCTCTACTCCGGGCCCCTCGACTGCGTGCGGAAGCTCTCGACCCAGGGCGGCGGCGTCTTCCGCGGGCTGTACCGCGGCGAGGCGGTGACGGTGCTGCGCGAGGCGCAGGCGTACGGGGTGTGGTTCCTCGCGTTCGAGTGGATGATGAACGCGGACGCGGCGCGCAACGGGGTCGACCGCAAGGAGATCCCGAGCTACAAGGTGGCGTGGTACGGCGGGCTGGCGGGCGAGGCGCTCTGGCTGGGGAGTTACCCGTTCGACGTCGTCAAGAGCAAGATGCAGACGGACGGGTTCGGCGCGGAGCAGAGGTACAAGACGATGCGGGACTGCTTCGCGCAGACGTACCGCGGCGAGGGGCTGCGTGGGTTCTGGAGGGGCATCGTGCCGACTCTGATGAGGGCCATGCCTGTGAGCGCTGGTACTTTTGCGGTTGTCGAGATGACTATGCGGGCTATCAACTAGAGGTCTGTAGAGGGTGGTAATACCAGTTTGGATAGAATGATTCCGGGTGTGGGCGGTTTCGTCTGGTGGTGACTTATACGCTTCTTGATATCTGATTCGGGTCTGGTGGGCTGCAACGAGGCTTGTAATTTGCGCTGTCGGAGCCAGAGTTCCATGATTATGAGGCATAAATTAACATGAGGCAGCCCGCAAACTCATTCAAGTGCCTCCAAAACTGAGAACGCCGCTTCTGCTTCTTGCTAATTGCTGGGGAGAAAACCCAATAGATTCGCATAGTGTCCGTACAAACCTTAACGACTAGCCGCAACGAAACCATTATCAGAGTGACACGGGTACCTCCCACTGAACTATACATTTCGATTACGCAGTGGACGACAGAGACCAAAGACGAGAGCGTGATGACAATAAACTAATGACAGTCAGATTGGGATCGATGGGGTCCAAGTATCTACCTTATATGAGGGCTTCCTTTCTTAGTACGATCAAGTAGTTGACGAGACAGAACATGTCAAGGCGGACCGAAAGTACGGGCCCAACATGTTGGTCTGATCTCTGCATCATTGCGGGAAAGGCTGGATTTATATGTATTCTGATGTTAGTTCTGTCGTAACTTCTCGATATGGAGGTGTTTGTGGAATCGTCTTCCTCCTCGGGCACTTGGTTACAGTCTTCCAACTGAGTATAAAACGAAGCCCATGAACTAGCAGCCGTTTAGGGGACAACACGACGAAATCAAGCCAAAAGCAAAGCAAACCAAGACGTCCACAGCTTGGAACCCTTTGCGGCTCGAGTACTATATCGAAGTCGTTCTACACAAAGCTTGGCGAAACCTAGAGCTTCCTCTCCCGTACACGTCGATTTCATGGGAAACCCAATTAGTTTGGTTGTACAGGTATAGAATACTTTGACAGTGGTGGGGGATAGGAGAGAGGTGTTTCGGCTACGCTTCGATATGTCGTTGGAATTGATCATGTCATTTCTGCCATGGGACAGGCTTCACGGCATCGCGCAGATTCCATTAAACATAATAACCCGGGGCAACGGCTCGTCCAGGCTTAGCTGCGTGTGCTCGGAGGTTGTAAACATGTCCTCCCTGAGTCGAACTTATATATAGGTACATGTACGGATGGCACCGAAGCGTCACGATTCATCCAGGCTTTCCTGAGTTCCAAGGGTGCTTATTCACAACACGATGCGTAATGGATGCCCATTCTCGTCTGCGAAGGGTAAGAGTATGCATTTGATAGCTTACTGTGAGTATGTGAAATTGGGAAATACTTCGAAGGAGACTTGGCGTCCTGATCGCTTGAGTCTGGGCTACGGCTTTGCTATTCACCCACGAGGTAAGATACTACCCCATGAAGCACGTATGCGACACAATAACAGGAATCCAAGCCATTAAGTCTTAACGACTCACAAACGCACTATATAGAAGATATTGAAGTGGGAGCCAAGAGGCTTCAGATATAAAAGCAGGCCAGTGGGATCAAAACTTTTATAAATGGTACCCAGTCGTGCAAGAGCGTTTTTGCGCCTCCTATTGAGCTAGCCGTCGGTAACAACGCATGGGCGGCGATTCACCTGGACCGTCTATCAGACGAACAGGTCATCCTGACAGACAGTCCCCAGATGGCATGGATGTATGTAAATGGGATACCTTGACGACGGCGAAGAATGAAAGAGATATGGCTGCGGCCGTTTTTGAAATCGATCTCGAAGTTACGCCGCCATAAATTTGAACAAAGACCGCCACAGCCACTGTTTCCAGTGCCTTCGGACGTCAATCCAAACCATCCCAGTACCCTGTCAGCTTCCCAGGCACTTGCTGGCGGGGAATGCATCACTACCCTAAGTGTGTACTATATAAACCTGCGAGAGTTCCTCAAGAAGAGGGGGTTCTGTCATATCATAATGAACTCGCTGAATAGGAGGTAAAGTCTAAGCAGGAAACATTAGATAGCCACCGTATCGAAGAGAGACAAGATTGCTTCGGAAGTTTTCGACCCCGTTGCCTGCTTCCGGACTCTTCTGGAGGAAAGGTCCCGCATACTCATGCTTAGAGGCTCGGCTAGTCGCAGCTAATACACTTGACATGACAGATTCTACCTTAGCCGTTCAGCAGAGATGTCCGAGATGCTTTGCCTCTAATAGCATGGGATACTTGGACGATGATGAGGAATGCAAGAGACGAACTGCCGTTCTTCAACTAATTAAGTTATGCTGTGGTTAAAAGAGCTGCATCGATGCAGGAAAAACCACAATGAAGCTGATGGAATACTCAGCACTGGCATCAAATGCGGCATCCATCGAAGTCAGCCTCCAGAAATGGATCGATGAGCCGTAGTACACTGATGTCTGTAAGTACTTACTGAATGACACGACGGGCATGACTAGGCACGATCTATAGAATATGAAATCTCGATCTAGCCCATTTTTGATCGTTGATAACGAACTGATGCACGTGGATCACGGACTCCGAAGGCGATGCCTGTTAACTCTGGAAATCTGTTGTGGAGTTCATAGCTAAACAGCAGGGCAGATACCTCAAACAGATAGGAACACACCAGTAGAAACCGTTCCATTTGGCTCTAACAGCTTTCAGGGTAGAACTCTAAAACTTTTATACATTTCAGTGTCCCTGCTTCTCTATAAATCAAAATATAATTGAAACGTCTCTTAAGTAGCTTACAAAATATAATGACTAGGAAATACTGGTCATATTATGACCTAGAAATAAGATCTACATTAATAAGCAAAATATTATAATACTTCTCATTCTTATCGTTTTTTATAGATTTATAGTGAATAGTTAGTAAGTAAAGTTAAGATATAGGATTGTTTACTAGAATAAAAGAAAGAAGCTTGCGTTATTAATTCGTCTTATATTGTTGTTTATCTACCCGCCGTCAGTATGGAAGCACTTAATGCATCGCGATCTGTCTAGGTAGAGTGGTTTACAGGCGGTGGCTCTTATATAACGACTAAGAAGTCACAGTCATTGGATAGGCATCGTGCGTGGAACTCATATAATCGACCGTAACTTCGGTTTTGAATCCTCCACATTTGAGCCCGGATAAGCTTAAAGACTTTCCATGCCGGTGTCTTTCCACGGTTCTGTTCTGTATGTATTCTGTCTAGCTAAGTCCATGAGTTCGTGGGTAAGAGACATCTGATGACGGATTTGGCTGAGGATGGAAGCCGAATATTAATCAGTCCAAACCTCGCACAATTTACCACAGTTATGCTAAGACAGATTATAAACTGTTAGTATTGCGTGAAGAAAGCAGATGGAGCACGAACTGCGACATGTACAA